CCTAGGCTGGTTAATAGACTCTGGCCAGCTACTAGAATATAGTCTAGCTACGTAGTTAGAACTAGAAATAGTGGATAGAAAGGGCTAGAGAGCCCGGAGGCTGGTATAGAGCCTTCTTTCTTTTATAGTATAGTAGATTCAGAAGCTGTAGGCTGTAAGTAGTAGGTAGAGGTTTTTATCCGGCCTATATAGTACAGTTTCCTTTGTAATTAGCAGTAGAAGGACCGGCACACCTATAGGTATATCAGAGTAGGAAATAATAATATATAATTAACTAAGATAATAAATAAAGTAGGTTATCTAGTATAATATTAGAGTTAATAATATTATAAAAGAGATTCTAGAAAGCCTTTTAGAGCTAGAGAGTAGCGAGAATGTTATAGTATTATAAGGAACTTAAAGAAGTTAGAAAAGTATAAAGAGATATTATTAAGAAGTTATAAATAAAGTATTAGAGAAAGGCTATTTATAAGATATTAATCAATCTCTATATACTATATATAATTAAAATATATATAAAGTGTTAAAGCTATACTATAGTAGTAGTATTACTAAAGGTCCTCTCTCTAACTAAACTTAAAGAGTATAGAGATATAATAGAAATATATAAAGATAGGTTTAAAGTTCTTATAACTAGATTACTTACTATTATTATACTAAGAGAAGGTCTATAACTATAGAAATATAATTATATGCCTAATAAAGAGTAGAGGTTCCTCTATTAAAGAGCTACTTATAAAGATAATAGAAGTACCTTATAGAGCTAGGGCTCTTACTATTTACCTTTAAATAAGTTAATCTATTTATAAGAACAAGGTTAGTAAATCTCTAGTTTAATAGCACCTGCTATAGGAGATATATAGTAACTATATAGGTTTTATAAAGCTTCTCTCTCTTACTTATTCTCTCCCTCTTATTATGTTAAGACTCTTTAAAATGTTTAAAATAGTAAATAGAGTAATTATTATTAAATTTAGAGATTATATTAATTAATGTTATATATAATAGTAGGGATAGTTAGCTATATTTATAGTATTCTAGTATAAGTATAGAGATATTATATAAATTAAGCAACTAGATAGAGGATAGAGTTCAGACTAGTAAATAGCAAGCTTATTTAATTTATAATAGTAAGGGTATTAATTAAATCCTAATAATAGAAGAAGTAAAACTTAATCCAATAAAGATATTAGAGTTTTTAAACTTTAGTTTAATAAAAGCTTAAAGTATTATATATATATACTTTATAGTAGTTATAAAGAATATAACTAGGAACTAATTATTAATATAGCTACTATATACTTCTTTAATTATCCTATATTATTATCTTAACTATAGAAGCTTACTATATATTAAAGTAGAGACTCTAACATTATAATATATGTAATTATATGTAATTTACTATGCTATATATTATATAGTATATATCTTCTATGGTACTACTTCTAGAAAGATATATGTATATGTAGTAAATTGCTAAGGTAGAGTAGGTTTATAATTATATAGAATATAAAGGCTTCCTCTCCTTTTTTATAAGGATCTATTCAATTATTACTTCTTATCCTTTATTTATAAACTATAATCTATACTTTATATTAGAGACCTTAGATAGTATATAATCATTACATTCTAGCCTAGGCTATACTTTTACTATAGTTATAGCTAATACCTTTACTCTCTATATCTAATTATACTTAGAAGTTAATATATTTAATAGTAGTAAATTCACTAGGTAGACTTTATTTACTACTATTTTCTTCTATATTATATTAGCTAAAAGTATCTAATATTATTAAAGGTTCCTAGCTAAGTATAGTAAACCTTTAAATCTATAATCTAAAATGGTAGTTAAGGCAAGCTAGTAGTTTCATTTACTTAGAGAAGAGTTTAGGTTCTAAGATAATATCTATAGTTATATATTCTAGATAGCTAGCTTAGCTACTATATTATAATAAGATAGTAAATTATATCTTAATATTAATTTAAAAAGGGCCTCTCTATCCTTATAATTATTAATAGAAATACTACCTTCTTATAAATATACCTATATAGAAAAGGGTCCCTTTAGCAATATTAGCTAATTTCTAAAGAACCTAGATATTCCTAGAGTATAAGACTTTCCCCTATTAGGGTTTGCTACTTTATATAGTTAATAATAGAGGATTAGAATATAAGAAAGAAGTAAATAATCTCCTATATTACCTAAAAGTCTAATATATATCGATTTTATTATATAGCTCTCAGGCTAAAAATAATAATAAATAACACTATATTCCTATTATAGCTTTACTAGTAAGGATAACTAAATGAATAGAGAAGGATTAGTAAAGGCTACTTTTATTATACTATATATATAGACTAAACTACTATAAGAAGGCTATTATTAACAGTACTATCTCTTTTCCTTTATAATATATATAGTATATACCTTCCTTAAATAGATAGAGTATTTAAACACTATAAAATGCCCCGTTTTATAGAGGTAATATACCTATACTACTACTATAAAAGTTACTATACCTAAATACTAGATATAGTTTAATTAAATATATTAGTATTATAATATACTATTTCTCCTAGAATAAAAATATATATTATTGAATTCTAGAGTTTAGATTACTAGTGCTGTAGCTATCTGGGGGGCTCTACAGTACTGTAATTGAATTTATATAGCCTATAGCTATATACTGGTATTTTAGTTGTAGCAGTACAATTACTAGGTAGCTAGTTATCTTAGTTTAAAGAAGGTTAGTTCTTCTTTTCACTAAGTACTGGTTTCTCCTAAATCAGGCTACCCTACACCTACCCTACACCTAGATCCCTAAGCGAGCTACCCTACACCTAGTTATTCCCAACCGGCCTACCCTACACCTCTTGGCATCCCAAGCAACCTACTCTACACCGGTAGTTAGCTCCTAAGCGGCCTACTCTATACTGCTTAGCCTTAACTAGCTTACCCTATACCGGTTTTTAAGGTAGTAGTATAAGTGGGCCTAGGTACTTCCGGATGTGGCTGCGAGCAGGTGAGCCTATTTTTAGTCTTTTATATTAAAATGAGTTTTATAGGATTTAGCTTTTTACCCCTAAGACCACTAGGCCGAAATCGGTACTATAACCCGGTCGGTAGGTATATAAAAAGGAAGTAGTAACTCTAACTCTAGTAGTTAAGATAGCAAATACAGAGGTATTCCCAAAATAATAGTAGTCTATCTACTAAATTATCCACTGCTATAGGGCCTAGGCCCTATAATTACTGCTAGTAGCTAAGTAATAGTATTATATATTACTTTCTTAAAGTATATTATAAGCTCTGTTAGTATATATACTATAGGGCCTTATCTACTTAAATTTTAATATATATATAACTCTCTCTAGTTAGCTAATATTACCCTAATTTATACCCTTATAAACTACCTTTATAAAGCTAACTATCTATCTACTATCTAAGCCTTCTATAGTTGTTAAAATACCCCTACTATAGATAGATAATATAGTAGCTTTATTATAGCTATTAAGTAGCCTTCTTATAGTTATTAAAATAGCCCTATTATAGTTATTGAAATACTACTACTATAGTTATTGAAATAGCTTTATTATAATTATTAGATTAAATAGTATTATAAAGGTTAGCTTAGTAGATAATTAGGATCTCCTATAGTAATTATAGCTTCAATGTATTATTTAGTACTATTAGTACTATAGGCTATTGTTAGAAGTACTTAGATTGCTTTAAATTATTGAAATTAAAGAAGGTTTAGGAGAAAGAAGTTAGTAATATAATAGGTCTTCCTCCTAATAATATAGAGATTAGTAGTATTTGAAGACTATACCTATTTAAGGAGGCTATCTATAACATTATATAACTATAACTATATTAGCTTAATTTAGAGTATTATTCTAAGGTAGTAGGTTATATAATAGGATTTAGCTATATCTATATAGATAGAGAAAGAAAAGAAAAAGGTATAGTAATAATAACTTCTCCTCTAATCTTAAACTTAATATATAAGCTAAAATGTTAGTAGAATAGGGTATATTATATCTACTATATTAATAATTAATTTATTTACTTCCTTAAGATACTAAATACTAATTCTATTATAATCTATTATTCACTAAATAGACTTAAAAGGTTCTTTAAACTTGAGAATATCTAGGTAGAGGCAGGTAGAGAAAGTAGGATGTAGTAAAATTATAACTAAGGAAAAAGAGATACTAGAAGTTAAACTAATTATATATATATAAGAGATCGGAAAGGTAGAGAGTAAAAAGGAAAATAGCTACTATATAGTTATATAGCTAGGCTAGGGCATTAGAGGAAAGGAGGTTATGTAGATTGTTCTAGGTTTAATAGATAGCAAGGATATTAAAGAAGTCTCTTTAACATGAAAGTAATAGTAGGAATCTATTGTTAAGCTATCTTAAACTAAAGAAGAAGCATAGTAATACCCTTTTTTCTCTTTTACAGTTCCTATTATTTTTATATATCTAGTTCTTTCCTCTCTAGACTAAGAGATTAGCTTTAAACATTATTATTAACTTTCTTTATATTATTATTCTTCTTTCTATCTAAAGTTTATTAGCTATCTTATTAAGGGAACCTTAATATATATATTGTAATTACCTTAAGTTTATATAATCTAGTAGAAATACTCTCTAGATCTTTATAAAACTACCTTTAAAGGTAACAGACAATTTAGAAATAGTAAGGGTCTCCTTCTAATACTTATATTCTTAATATTCTTATAGTAGTTCTATTAAGTACCTTTAAATTAAACTAGTTAAACTTAATATAAAGCTATAGGTATATATATTAATGTAAGGTACTAGCCCTATAGCAACTGCAGATAGGTATACAATGTTCTATTCTGAAAGCTTAAGGAGGGAAAAGATATTTTACATATCCCTGGTGCGGGATTTCCTTCTTGTGTGACCTCCGGCACGTAACCTGGGTGGACCCGGTACGGTTCCGCCCCGGACCCGCACCAGACGCGGGACGGTCAGGACACAGCTCCTAACCTCCTATTAGCCGGGTACAGCCCGGCCCTTAACAATTAAGGAACTCTATCTTCTCTTACTTAATATACTTAAAGCTAGATAGCTTAGTAATCTTATAATACTGTTTCTTACATTAAGCTATACTATCTTTAATTTCTAAGGTACTAACCTTACTTAAGAGATTAATAAATATAGTTGTAATCGTAGTAATAATAATAGAGCCTTTAACCTACTATACTATTTCCTTAATTATAGTCTTAATCCTATTAAACTATTATTTAAAGTTATTATTATTAACTTTGTTAGTATTAGAGTTATATTAATATATAGTTAGGTTAGAGTATTATAATATATATAGTCTAAACCATTATAGAATTTAGGAGAATAAGTAATATATAATAAATTCATTCTGAACTTAGGTGTGAAAAAGAGCTTAGTTAAATTAGAAGTAAATAAGAATTAGATATATAGTAACTAATAGGTAGATAGTAAAGGACGTCCTTGCTCCCATTCTTAAGCGACATTTCAACTCTGTTTGTACGTAAACAAAGAATTGTGGGGAGGAGGGGACGTGGGTGTTGGAAAACCCACAGCCAAAATCTAGCAAGAAGATGGAAGCAGCAATGGTTACGCAGACGATCAACCGCCTAAAGCCCCGAACAGCCCCGGAGGGATAGGTTTATATTGCCCCACAACTTGACGATTCGTGCCCAGTCTCTTCCTCCTTAGCGCCCTCTATCTTCTCTCTCAACAACTTAGCGATGCGGCAGTGCTCTAGGGAGCTATTCCCAAGGTCCCAAATCTCAAGCTGCGTGATCCCTTGTATGGAACAAAGCTCTCCAATTCCGGAATCAGCCATGAAAGCGTCAGGCTGCATGCTGAGAATCAAGTCCTCCTCAAAGCAAAGACGCAAGTGTTTGAGTCTCTTGCACCGCCTCAGCAGCTGGACACATTCGGAGGCGTGTAGGACGGGCAATCTCCAAGGAAGCTCAGAGTCCAGAAAACCTTCCCACGTGAATTCCATGTCGGTTCTGCTTTCCCAAGGAAACTGCAGAGACTCGATATTATCGCGGCCAACTTGTCCAATCGCGACAAGGAACTTGATGACGTCGTCTAGGTCATCCCAGATGAAAGTCGTCCTCCGATACGCAAAAGGCAACGCTTCTAGTCGCATCTGTTTGTTAACTCTTAAAACCACCAAACTCTTGCTGAGTGGATAGTAGAAACCGCTGGGGTCGCCGATGCCCCTAATGAGATTGTCTTGTTCGAATTTGTCGATGTTTGTGATTCTCCATTCCCCCCTGGGAATCGCAAAGATGTAAATCTTATCACGTATTTCTCGGGGAAGGTCGAAGAACCCCCGGTTCACACTTGGAGTTGTCTCGCGCAGTAACTACAGCATAACTGTCATTATATTGTTCAATGGAATTGTTCCCAAGCATACCTTCGCAACTGAGAAGGTCCGAACTACTTCAGCCTCGGTGAGGAGAAGTGGCAAGTTGAATCCAACCCCATAGCAGATATCTACAGTGAACCTATAGAATCCGCTGGTGTTCTTATGTGTGAGTATGGTCCTGTTCTCAGCGCTCCCAGTAATCTGCGATTAACATTAGATGGGAAACTAATGTCGCACTAGGCAAATGTGCTTGCCTCGTTCTGACCGGCCTTCAGCAGAACCTCACCAGCGGCTTTGCCGCTGTTTTTGTCGTGCTTTCTTTTCACGAACTCCTGGTAATCTTTCTCGGTCAGTCCATATGTATTGTCAGGGACCGGCGTGAGATCGGAATAAAAGCGCTTCTCGGCCTCATCCGGGCGATCTAGTGCATCGACTTTATACCCCATCTCGTCCTCCATCTCCATGAGAGTGAGAGTAGGTTTGAGCTTGGCCATGCTGGGTTTAGTCTATTAGGTTGCTTTCCTGATGAAAATATCCGCTTCTCGGTGAGTTTGATTGATGTTCGGTTCGGATCAGGACAGCGAGTCCATGCCTGCCGCGAAAGCGGGGAAGTTGTTTGTCCGAACCCAGAGCCCTTTGTTGAGATTCAGGTACCTCCTCAAATTGATTTCGTACTAGGATTCGATGAGGAATGCGGCCCGGGGCAGTCACGAAGTAAATCATGACAAGCATCGTAAGACAACAGTGACCAGCACACCTCCACCGGAAATAAACTGCGCTTCACCCCTCCTCGCTCTTCCCGGGAAACCCTCCCCTTTTACACAATTTTCTGGCTGCTGCTAACTTCGAGTCGTACATACGCACCTTTGCATCAAAAGACTTGACGAAATCCCCTACATAAACATTCAAACGTCTCCCAAAAAATGGCGGCTCCAGCCTTTCCCCCGGTTCCCAGGTCGCTCTTCTATCCGCGCCGGCCCAAAACGCGCGACAACGAAACCGCCCTCCGCCTCGAGGCCCTTGGAGCTAGCCGCCACACGACCTACGCCCAGCACCTGTGGGGATTCACCATCCTGCGGACAGTCTACACGCCCGAATCGGACGCTCTATTCCCCATCGCCATGCGACGGCTGGACGCGTGGGCACGCTATAGCCCCCACCAGGGCAGGTTTCCGAAATACGGACAGGCGTATGAAAGCAAGGCCGTGACCGACGGGGAGCCCAACGAGGAATTGGCAAAGAGGTTCTATTGCGACATGATAGAGGACAAGGACAGGCTTGCGGGGATTCAGTCGGACGCCGAGGGTTTCGCCAAGCTCAGGGACTACTTCCGGGAGTGGTTGGTTAGCGTGGGCGTGCAGCCAGACCTTCCGCTGAATCATGACGACGACGACAACGACGACGACAACGACGACGATCCAGATCTTGGTCCCGCCCTTGAGCCCAACGAGAGCCATGACGACCCGAGATTTCGCAGTGTCCTTGTGGTTGACGAGGAGTGCTTGCGTTCGCTGATTGAGGAACTACCCGACGAGACGCCCCCGCTGAGGACGGCAGTGGATAGGGAAGAATGGCTCAAATACCTGCGTATGGGTAAGAAAGCGTGGCTTTGGATGCTGGATACGGGGTATATGACCCGAGACGAGAGTCAATTTTCTCCTCCTGGATTTCGAGGCTGGTTCAGGCTCGGTCCTACGGAGCTTCTCTGGGCTTGGTACGAATGGAAGAGTTACCTGCATCGCCAATCCGATCCTTCCTGGAAGGTTCTAGAAAGAGATGGGGTTCCGGGTGTCTGGTGGTATTATTACTAAGACGAACGTTGGCAGCAGCAGCAGTATGGTGGATGAAAAATCAACATGTTATGTACCGACCAATCTTGGAATCCGGCTAACTTGACGACGCTCCGCAATCTGAGCGGGGTCGCCCCCTCTGCTCAAGCTTAGCCAACGTTCCACAGTTGTCAGTTCTTCTGTATCAGCTCCCAGAAAGACCAACACTGTTCCGTCCCCGGGAAGCACTCGCAATCATGCTGCCTTCTTTGTCTCCTTGCAACGCTTGTCCTTGCAATCACGACACACGTGAAACGGGCAGTCCCGACATTCCCAAATGAAACCGAATGTGGGAATGGACAGTACGTGAGGCTGCACGCAAACCACGGGGTTTGTGAGTTGATTGGAAGTGATCCCTACACTCCCTCTAACACCCCGAGAACCATTAAGCTATCCGCCTCCGCATAATGCTAGGCGCTGCGATACTTGCGCGAGATGGTCCTTGGAGTGGGTCCCACATAACGGCTCCAAGTTGGACAAGTTCAGGACCTTCGTGCAACAGAGCCTGGCCCCAATCGAGATGCTGGGCAATATAGTCGCTTGGGCGACTAAAGCTGTAAGCAACCACAAATTACACAACCCAGTTATTGCTGTCCTCTGACCAACGTGACGGAATAGGTTTCCCCTCCAAGCGACGTCATCTTTGCTGCCATTAAATATTTCATCAAGGTATGACCATCTTACAATCCTAGGTCGTTTCGCCACGCCACTACTGACACTTCCGCAGACTGCAGATACCGTATCTTCAGACTACGACAAGATTACAGGGTTCTTTGACGATTTGAACTCGTACCTCCACCGGGTGAAAACTTTAGAACATAATAATACCCCAGCAATACCGGAGTTAGAGGTCGCCCTGACAGAGGTCTCCCGATCAGTCCTAGTCCTCTACGGCATCTACACGAAATACACGCGGAGGAAACGAATCGGTGAATATGTTTCTTTATAACTTTTCCCATCTCGACAGCGTACATGGATGTGTTTAATTTTGTTCAGCATATTCTAATGAATTTCGCAGTTAAGGCATTCCGAAACCTTGTCTCTGGTGAGGATGCGGAGCTCAAATCCGCATACGAGCGCTTTCACAAAACGGCCGAGCGGGAACAAGGCATAGTCAGATACGCCATACTCGCTGGCGTAGAGGAGCTTAAACTCTAAACCGGCGCAGTACATGCGGGATGTCTGAACCAGCCTTGCTTTTACAAAACGTCTAGACAACAACCTCGAAACTGCATCAACAAGCATACAACACATTCATACATATGCCAAAGGTATGGTCGTTTGCTCGTCGATGTAATTCTCAGCATCTAACGTGAATCGTAGACCGGGAATCGACCTGGCTGTGTTTGTGGAACAGCCGGACCCGTCATATCTGCCGCCGGCGTTGACGGGGGCCGACAACATACCCATCATTCCTTACCATGGTCGAGGCTCAAAGAGTAAACCACAAGATACGGGGCATTTCCACACGAAAAAAACCTAATGTATTCGCAGTGTTTCCCATCCCCCTCGTTCTTGAACGCACGTTTCAGAAGTTTACAACGTGGGAGCATGGATGATCGAGTAGCAAAACTATACAAAGGTCAGAGGTAAAGTCCACTTAGCGTACTGCCTTGACTCTCTGTTAGCCGGGTGTTGTTTACGCGGGGTCATTTGTAGGTTGGGCATCGCCTACCTTTTCAGTCTTACGCGTTGCTGGAATCTAGTCTAGTCCGAGGTTGGATGGTCTGTATTTGCTTTTCTACGTCTGTGTGTAACCCGAAGTGTGTGTAGCGCGATCTTGGTCTTCGTGGGTTGTGTCGCAGAGCAACCAGAGTCTATTTTAGGCATGACCACCCCCGGTTGGCATTTATCTCTCCGTGTACCGTCTGTTTATCTACCTGTCCTCTCTCGGGCCGCAGCCCAACAACGCGGCTGCGGCCATCCGAATCACGCCAAGGGAGGCCATTTGCCCGTGCTGTTACCCGACAGCATGTTTTCACCTTCCCCTCTACCAAAACATGTACTCATACGAGGGGAGTTATAATAATCGGTGTCGTGAGATATGCTGTTTTGATTACGTGTTGTTATCCGCTCCTTGCTAACTTAGAAGGTCTCGAATATCCTCGATCCGTTGCATTTTTTTATCTTCGTCAGACATCATACCAAGTGATGTCGCACTGCGATCAATATGTTAGCACATCAATTAACAGATTTTGACCGAGGGGGTAAAGGAACGTACATGAACTTCTTTCGGTCCTGTATTTTGAGCATACGTTGCTCAACACTGTCTTGTACAATGAATCGAAAGACCTTTACTTCCTCGTCCTGGCCCATACGATGGACTCGATCAATAGCCTGAGCCTCAATAGCGAAGCTCCACCAGGGGTCCATCATGTACACCCGTTTAGCACTCGTCAGGTTGAGGCCAACACCGCCGGCTTTGAGGCTGAGGAGGAGAATGGTGAACTTCTTGGATTCTTTGAACTCATCAAGGACGGCAGCGCGAGCTTTCTGAGCCACGGATCCATCTAGCCGGACGAAATGCATGTTGGCTCGCGAGAGAGCCGGTTCGAGGAGGGTGAGAAAAGACGTGAACTGACTGAATACGACTGATTTCATGGTTGGGTTTTCCTTGCGGAGTTCACGGAGTTGGTTGATTAGCGCAACGATCTTTGCGGAGGAGTTGCCAACTCCAAGCCGCTGGAGAGTGACGCGCGGCGCCTGGCCGACTTCGGCAACATCTGGGTCGTCGTCATGCCGGACCACTTCGAACAGGTCGCGCGAATTAATGACCTCGCGGCAATGAAAGCAACGGGGGACCTCATGGTGATCAGTCTGGTGTTTGATGTAGTCCAACAAGCAGTTTTTGCAGGCGGAATGCCAGCATCCGGTCACGGTTTGGTCAACCATCGGCTCCTCGGCACAAATGGGACACTCGTTAGCGGCCTCGTCTCGGATTTGGCCGAGAACGTGAGCACCGAAGGCATTGGTGCTCGCCGCATCATCCGTTGTGGCGGTGAAACGCTCTATGAGAGAATGGAGGTCCATATCGTCCGCGAGCCCGGCTGCGGCATCTGCGGCAGCTCCGGCTTCGTCTTCCTCGGCTACAATCTCCTGATTGCGGACAAGGACAGGGTGGCAGCACGACTGGCGAAGTCGGAGAATCTGTGCAAAAATGCTGGTAAAGGCTTTCATGACGGTGCCGGCCTCGACATTGGCTAAGAAGGTACGTTTTGCTTTGGTGAATATGTAGTCGTAAACATCGCGCTCGGCTTTGGAGAGTTCAATGTCTAGGATCTGGACTTGCTTGGGCGGGAGAGCCACCAAGGCCTTCCCGTCCGGCGTTCTCATATCCTTCGTCCTTCTCATGACGAGAGGCTCCAGGACAGTTTGGACAACGTCTAACGCCCGCATGTAGTTTTTGGATTCGAATGGTACCGTGATGAACGTTCGCCAGAAGGAGAAATTGTTCCACGGCTCGACCCTGAGGAATCTAACGAGACTGAAGAGGTCCTCAAGCTTGTTGACGATAGGTGTTCCCGTCAACACCCATCGGTGCGTTGCGGCGATCTCATAGCAAGCCCTGGCCGTTTTTGATTGGCGGTTCTTGATGCCATGAGCTTCATCCAATATGACACGGAAAAAGTTCAACGAGAAGAGACCACGGCTGCCGGCCCTGCCGCTCTTCTTGGACGCGATCTGAGTGAATTCGGAGAGTACCACACCGTAGCTAGTGATGATCATGTCGGGGGCGTTTGAGGCGTTCGCTTCGCAGCAAAGCGACGGCAGATCGGCGTTCTTTTCATTCCCATAGTACAACATGGACCTTAGGGTGCCCTCTTTGGAAGCGTTCTCTGCCTCGCTCTGCCACTGTGCAAGAAGGGACATGGGCGCAACAACCAGGGTCGTGCATGGGGCATCCGAAACGGTCTCGCTTGCTTGCAGGGAAGGGAGACGCGGGAGCTGATTGACCGACGATACCGTCCGATTGCATTGGCGAGCGGCGATCGCAGTATCGGACTTGTGTGTGTGTATGAGACTGAGCATCTGGATCGTCTTGCCCAAGCCCATCTCGTCGGCCAGAATCCCGCCAAGGCAGTGTTGCCCTTGTCGTGGAAACTGCAGGGACAGCTCTCCAGAGTACGGATTGACGTAGAAAGCAGGCTGCTCGGCAACGTCTGGAAGGACCTCGTCATCATGGTCCTTTGTGGGCCATGCGTACTCCTCCCACAAGGGGTGCATCGACGTCTCGCGTTCGTCGCGCTGGACGTTCCTTTCTTTCGCCATCATCCAGTGCAGTGATTGTTTTTGATACGGACGAAGTGTTAGGCCGAAGGTATCAGCAGGCTCTGCTTCCGGGGTGCTGAAGTCGAATGATTGCGCCTTTTTGTAGAGGGCATCTAGTTGGTCTTGCTCCAGCTCCTCGCCGTCTTCGTTGTCGTCCGGAGAAGACGCAGCAGCACTGTCTTGGCCTTGGGATCTCGTGTTCTCCTTTTCCTTGCTCTCAGCCATCTCAGCCGCATCTAGTAGCCCCTGCCGTTGGTTCTGTGCCACTGCTGCGTTCCCTCTAGTTGGAAGAAGATTGATTTCTTGAAAGAGCCTAACAAGTGCCACCTGTCTCAACCGCAGATCTTTTTCTTCCGAAGTCTCGGATTCCTCGAACCGGCCTGTTGTCCTGTTATCGGCGACTTGGAATTCTCGGCCAAAGGCCGACCTCAGCAGCGAGCAGCGAAGCTGCAAGAAGACCGTGTCATTGGTGCGTAGTCTCTCGGGGGCGTAAACACAAGTCCCCTCGAAAGCGCAGATTTTCTGATCCATTAATGTCGACACCCAGTTTGCGGTATCCTTGGCCAGACGTCCAATTTCCCTGCCAGTACTGTCGGTAAAGCGAACGATCACGTCAACCCTCTTGGCCGCTGCCGCACTGACGTGATAAGTTGGCTGAGCCGTCCCAGGCTTGAGCTGTCCTTTGTGGGACGTTGTTTTGGGAATTTGGATCTTTTGGCGCTCAATCTTGACAGTATCACCGTGTCTCAAAAGATTGCTCCCGCTCCGTGTTGTCCACCCTTCGACGCCGAATGCGCCGATATATCTTGATTCCGGCATCAATCGTAGGGCGGAAGGCTGATGAGGAATTGGGCTTGATCCCTCCTGCCTGCGGCGTCCTGCGGACGAAACTGAAGGACGTGTAGGAGTTGGAACCGGCGCCTTTCGTTTCAAGCTCTTCCAAGTGCCGTCGAGGTATATATTGATGGCCCGCTCTAAATCTTTGCCGCAGTTCTCCCGAAGCAGAGCTATCACATTGGGTTTGACGCTCTCGCCTACAAAAGTCTCAAATGTGCTCTGGTCGAAGACATCGGGACTTGAACCCTCGTTGCACGAGCTTCCCCCACTTGGCACGACCGGAGTTGAACCGGTTGCTTCGACATTTCGCTGTGGAAAAGAAGACTTCGCGGGAAACGGCAAGCCCAGAGAGCCCGTGAGATCGGATTTCGGCAAAGTATCGGCATCGATGTCGGGTGGTCTCGTTGTTGCGTTGGGCGGGGAGAAGACGTCGGAAGATGGGGCGGTATCGGACCTCGGAGGGACGGTTTCACCATCACCCGTCTCTGCAAAAAAGCGCCGCCTTTTGATTGGGGGCTCATCAGAGCCACGGAAGTCCATTGCATTGATACGTGGGTGTCATCGGGCAAGGCGGCATAGGAGGGCGGTTGTACTGCGGTTGAGTGGACGTTGGTGCTTGTCCCAGGAGACGCGACGGGTTAGGGTAGCGCGAACTTTGGCGTCGCGGCCATCAGGTGACCGCGCGACGCAAGCAATGAATTCAAGACTTTCGTGGATCCACAAATCCGACCAGAGCCCTGCTCTGATTGGCATTGCATCACTTTGCTCGCCACGGTTTGTTGAACTTGAGGGTGTGTCAGCCAGTACGGAATTAAAGATGGGGTTATCAAGTTAAAGGTTCACCTCCCATGTATTCAACCCGAGCCGTCGGAAACGGCCTCAAGCAGGCACCTCGCAGAGCCCGTCAGTTTCGACGTGGCCTCGCAACAAGTGCAGAAGCGCCGGATGTGGCTCAAGCACGCAAATACTGTCTGAACCAGCTCAGGTCTGCACCCTCGCCATTATGCTTTGACAGGTTTGAACATGCAACTAATGAGCTCTTAGACATGGCGACTATGAGGCATATCTCATTCGGCACTTTATCCCCCGCTCGGCCCAGGATGCTTACGATGCCCTCCGGACGCTGAACCTCGAGCTAGCCCGCCTGCCCGAGACGGTGTCAAATCCGGCAATAGGCCGTTTCCGGGTGCAGTTCTGGCGAGACTCCATCAACAGCACCTTCGCCGGCAACCCGCCGCGGGAGCCCATTTCGATACTGCTGCATAGCGCTATTACGAGGCTCACAGCACGGATGGGTGCTAACAGCGCAAGCTCTCTCAAGTTCTGGCTTTTGCGGTTGATCAACACGCGGGAGAGACACATGGAAAACAAGCCTTTCACTAGCTTGACAGCATTGGAAGACTACGCCGAGAATACGTATGCCACGCTGATGTATATGACGCTTGCGGCGATGCCCCTGCAGTCGGTGCACATGGATCACCTGGCAAGCCACATTGGCAAGGCATATGGCATCGCCGCGTCACTACGCGGTATCCCAATCCTCGCCGCGCCTTCACAGCCCATACAAGGCCCATCGGGCTCCAATGTGGGGAGCACTCGGAGCCCTGCGCTACTGATCCCGCTCGATGTCATGGCCGGGGTGGGCCTAAAAGAGGAGGATGTTTTCCGCCGTGGGCCAAACGCCGAAGGGTTACAGGATGCTGTCTTCCAGGTTGCTACCCGAGCCAATGACCACCTAATCACGGCGCGGGAAATGCTCAAAAACTTGCAAGCTGGACATGGACCTGGGCACGACTATGAACACCAAGAGGAGCCAGAGCATGCACATTCCGGTGCGGTACATGGCGGCGAGGACACGAAGTTGGACATCCAGCGTGGGTTCAGTGTGTTGTTGGAGGCAGTCGCAGCTGGAGACTATCTTCAGCGTTTAGAGAGAGCTAATTTCGACCCTTTCAAGGTTAGGAGTAGCTGGAAGCTTCCCTGGGGACTTTGGAAGTCGTTAAAGCGACACGAAATATAACAGGCCGCCTTGTTTGGCAACATCTTTCACGCAGCTGTAACTAGGTTGATCATCCTACCTCCCGTCCTTACCTATCCTTACCTTGGGCACGCTGCCGCCAACGCTGTTCGCGCTTACTGTGGTGCGCGCAAGAGCACATGAGGTTAAACTCGGATTCATGGCGAACCCACTCGCCACCAGCAACGCCTTGGCTACTCCACCGAGAATGAGCGCAAAAACAAACTCAAATCCGACAAACTCTTTCGAGAGCTAGCTCCGGTGAGAAACACACTGTCGGCAGGGCTGAACGAGCAGCCCTAGAGCCGCCCCTAACCGGCCAGGAAAGGTTTTTTCGCTCTGAAACAAAGACTTTGCTCCGAGGCTCCTCCACTCCGGGTCCGATGCGACGGAAATAACTCGCGGATGGCGGCCGGGCTCCACCATTGTGTGTTATTTGTGTTCCTACTGTGTAACTTTACAAGTTGGTACATTCGACAGATCAACCGAGAACAGTTCGTTCTTTGTCGCCTCTTGCTCCTGGGGAGTATTCTACGCAGATAGAACTTGGTACTCAGCAGGGGCATTCGTACATGTGTGGACCGAGAAACTGGTTTTCCTCAGTTGTCGGGGTGTTCACATTTATTCCAGGGGCGTCGTGATTCTCGGGCCGGGTTATGGCGGAGATGCCGCATCGGACTCGGCCCGGTGACTCATCCGAGATCGGCGAGATTTAGCGCAACGACAGCGGCCGGGTCCGCACGAGCGCCGGGGATTTTGGTCACCGTTCACGGATCAACGAAAAGTATGTACCTGGGCGGCTGTCTGCGATGGCAGCGGCATGGTGAGTGAAAGTGGAGCCTGGGCCAACGCCCTGGATGTGAGGCGAGAGCAGCTGTTGTCAGTGCAGTGTTCGATGCTGACGCGGGTCGTTAGCCAATGAGGGCCAACAAGGCGTCATTTCAGGAAGTCTTGGGCACATGAGGCCTTGCAGAACGGCTCGCGGTGACTGAGCCCGAGAAAACACCATCTCCGAGGAATACCAGACGGGCAACGTCACGAGATGAACGGCTAAGCATTCAATTTCTGGGGTATTTTGACAGCCTGGAATATCCAATGTAACTAAATCGAAGCACGACCTTCGCGATCACAGGAATGACCAACGAAAACGATGACCATACGAATAAGGCTGTCGGTACGAAGTGGGTTCCCAATTCCGAGACACAATGAGTTACAAGTCATAACTCAACGAAGCAGCTGCGCTCACTTGCGATTTGTTTTTTGACAACTCTGAACCTCGCCATCTCACAGTCAGGGCGAAGACGCGAACCTCGTCTCGGATTAACAGCCCCGCGAATGTCACTGCAGCACTCAGGTAGTAGTCATCAAAAGAAAATTTTCCGCCCCGTTTCCTCGTTTTCCTTCCTTTCCCTCCACCAGGTGACCTGGCTCGAAAAAAGTTGGTCGCAGCCAGCGTTCCAGGCGCCACGGGCCCATGTGCCTTGTGACCTCCCAGTGGCTTGGCGCCCGACGGATCGATCCCTTGTTGAGCTTTACTGTGGGTCGATGATGGGATCTAGGCCCTTCGGGCGAGGACATGCAAGAGCTGCACGTCAGTCCACGGGCAACGGGTGTTCAAGTAGTTAATGTAATTCGTACCAAGTTCTGCTTGGAATTGAAAGTGAACCCCCGAGGTCCAGGTCAGTAAAATTCAGCCGTAGGCTCAGGTTATTGCGTATGTACCTGGGTAGCTGCTTGCCGAACACAACTCACGACAAATGTGGCTGGTAACTTCTAAACTCAATTGCAAGTTTCCTCGAATTGTGGGACAAAAATTCTTGAGCCGGTACCCGGATGTCAAGCTGCAGTGCAGCTGTTTTTACATGGGGAGCAGTTTCCGCCAGGGAGGCGGCGAAGGGGACCCTCGTGGGATTTGTCCGTACAGTGCGCTTTCAAGCAGAAAGCTCGGCCAGCGGGGCTTCGGGGTGGGTCCTTGCGCCATACTCCCGGCCTCAAAGCCGGCCTCCTTACATATAATTACCTGATGGAAACTTGAACTCTGCATGCTCGCTGGAGAAATATATATATACAGTCTGGTTTGCAATTTACCTTCCAGCTTCTGCCTTGATTCGCGGTTCTTATTTCCACACGTTCAATTCGCTGTTCGTGCACCAGCCTAGTCTACACGGACACCAACTTGTCACCACAACTCGTGCTCTCTCAGAGCCAGCAAGTGCATTCGCCCTCGGCCTCGGCCTTATATCTGACCATCTCGTCCGCTTTCCGGGGTTTACACAAACTTCCAGACATATTGTTGTTTTTATAAAACCCCCATCTCAGCCCACGACCGTTCCTTGGGTCTGACGACAACCGCACACATACTTCTGAGCTGTAAATGATGGTGCTGTGGTGTCGGGAGCGTTGAGTTCGTTCCCCACTTACACGAGTGCACCAAGCTTTGCGCTGCATCATTGTGGCGCGGCCAGGCGATCCGATCAGTCTTAGCCCGCTATTTCCCCGCCATCACCGGCAGGGAACGTCTCGTCAAGACAAGATGCCGCACCGAGTTGTGGACTTCTTCCGGTCGTCAACACATTCAATCGAAGCCCAAGTTTCGAATCTATCCAAAAAGCAGGCTCCGGGTGCCCGGCGGAGGCGATACTCTCCAAGCAGAGTATCCAAGGGCTCTGCGAGCTCCGGACGGGCATCCTCGGCGTTGGTCGGCGGAGGTAACTCGGACAACGCTCCTGCGCCGCCGTATTCCCCGCGCGTCAAGATGGCCGATTCGCGGACAAGCAGCTTTTCCTCGGCTTCACGCAAGGAACATGACGATCACCACCAACACCACCGACTCTCGTTTCCCGGCATGCACTTCGGCCGCTCAACCAAAGAGCCACCCAGCTTTTCCCCGGCAGCGCTCTATTGGAAGCTCGAGTCGCCGCCTCTTGTCATGTATGGCGACCACCAAACCAGCAGTGGTACGCTGCTCTCGGGGCAGCTGTTTCTGAATGTCAAGGAAGAGGACCTGGAGGTTGCGTCGCTGGATGCCACCCTCAGCATCCGCGTTACCCAAAAGAGGCCGTTTGCGAACCACTGCGTTGACTGTACAACGCAGCGTACGGAGCTGAAGCGGTGGGAATTACTTCAACATCCGCTAGTTATGGCCAAAGGTACGTCTTAACACCCCCGATTGCCTACCGAGCTTTGAGACTCACGACAGCAATCACAGGCGAACACTCATTCCCCTTCTCCGTGTTGCTAGAAGGGCATCTTCCGTCCAGCATGGAAGGCCCATTGGTCTCGATTTCGTACGAGTTCAAGGCCGAGGCTGTCCCCAGAGCTGATCTCAGCCCGCTGGCGCCCATCAAGTTCGAAAAGACAGTCGACGTCAGGCGCAGCCTCCCGACTTCCGAGGCGCCGCACCACTCTGTCCGCGTCTTCCCTCCGACGAATATCAAGGCCAGCGCATACTATCCCCACGTGATCCACCCAATCGGCAGCTACGTTCTCGCGCTCCGCCTGGATGGCATCGCAAAACTAAACACGAAGGTCAACACGATCGAATACTGGAAGTTGAAGAAGCTCACATGGAAGCTTGAAGAGACGACAAGAACGATTGCACCGGCCTGTGAGCGGCACAGCCCGAGGCTGGGCGGGGCTGCAGAGGAGCAGCAGAGCAAGAAAGGCGTCATTCGCTCGGAGAGCCGCATCATCGGGGAGAAGACGCTTTTCTCGGGATGGAAGAGCAACTACACAAACGCCACAGACAGCCTTGTCGAGCTTGAGCTGGACTACAGCTTGGCAAAGAATGCCAAATACGCGTGTGACAGCAAGAGCCGTGACGGGACCGAGGTGACTCATCAACTGGTGGTCGAGATGGTGGTATCACAGGAATGGGCCCCTATCAACAGGCCATCTCTTGTGACACACACGGGCGTTGGGCGCATCTTGCGGATGCATTTTGGCACCATCCTCACGGAGCGGGCAGGGATCGGGATCAGCTGGGACAATGAGGCGCCTCCCATTTACCAAGATGTGCCTCCCAGCCCCCCTGCTTATTCCCAGGAGACCATCTTCGCCGAACATTCGATCGCGGAGTTGATGACGCCACTCGACGGTGCCCATGGGGGCGGGCTGTCACGTAGTTCCACCGACGTGGCTACCGCTGGCGGTTCAGGAGCAGGCGCTAGAGGGGCGTGAAGAATGCTGTCTCGCTGTTGCGCAAGGGCGAACACTGACACTTCGCGTTTCTGCAAGTGGATCAAGTATATATTCAGTGCCTACAGTGGGGACGGCACGTAAGAAGTCGCGAGGTGGGCTGGTTTTTCAGGAGTTTGGCTTGCGCGAAGATACCCATTGAAGATCTATTTCGAATTCTTCGGCTCTTACATTGTTTTGGATGGAAGGTTAGCAAAAAATCAAGTGGCCTGGGCGGGGATGGAGGCGTTGGGATATTGAATGCGATTCACCTAATAGTTAGTTACCTAGTTACACGGTTTGCCCGGGGCTTTCGGGCTGCACCTCGATACTTGAAGTTTTGATTGCCAGGAATTCAGGTTGTCCATATAACTCAGGGACATGCCCCTTCTCCAGCAATTTTACGCTTCCCCAGACCCAGACACCCAGTCTCGCAAGTGTTGCCAACAGTGGCACTGACCAGTGTCCCCATGCAAGTTCAGGGAAATGTGACTCGTCGAGCTTTCAGGTCCCCTTGCCTTATTTTGCGGGGTAACAACGTGGGGTCCTCGCCTTGTGGGGCAGAGTTATCTGGTCAAGGTTTATCGATAAGTGGCGTTGGCCTGAGAGCTGGCCGATGACTCTCAAGGGCTTCGACTCAGCCGGTGAACCAAGTCACAGAGAAGATCCTATAAAGCGCCCAGATCTAGCATGATTCTACCTCCTTTCTCTTCTTTCATATCTAGATTATTCACCGCAAACAAAAGTTTCCTGGGATTCCATCCTTACGCACAACCGTTTGCATTAACTTGGTCGATGATCTAGTGAAGTCATCGTTTGCTTCCACGACCTCACTCCGGATTCTTCTCCTCCCTGGAGTCAGACTAAACGAATGCGACAATGACTAGCAAACCCGCAAAACAACTACCGCACGAGAGGCGGAAAGGTGAGGCCGCGTTAAGCGACTTTGCCGAGTACGTCGAGAAGCAGCAGGCGCTCCGCTACCCAAGCTCCAAGCAAGCGCAAACAACGGCGGCGGCCGCGGCAGCAGCAACGAAGAGTGGCCAAGGCGAGGTTGAGCACCACGAGGAGCTTGATGACATACTCAGCAGCTTGGATCTCTCTGACCCGACCCCCCGTGTGAGGTTACGAGAGCTCCTGCTCTCCCCTGACGGTGACGCCGAGGCTCTCCAACGATTAGCCGACGTCCTGAAAGAACGGCTATTGGAGGGCCATGGAGAGACCGTTTTCGACGTTGGCTTTGAGAACAGTGGCGAAGGCATGAAGTTATCGCGAGAGGAGTGGGACGCGGCACACAGGCGGTTAGCGGAGGCGGCCAAGAAGCTCGGAGCCGACACTCAACTACTATTAACGAAAAACGTGGGCGGTGATCTTGATGGGGCGCCGACCAAAGATGGAGACTGCAGCGGGAAGGTCATGATTCGCCAGGCGCCGGACACGGTCGAGGAGGTCATCGAGACGAGGATAGCTGTTGTTGGGAATGTCGACGCCGGCAAAAGCTCCATGCTTGGTGTTCTTGTTAAGGGCGACCTGGATGACGGCCGTGGCAAGGCACGAGTCAACCTTTTCCGACACAAACATGAGATCGAGACGGGGCGGACGTCGTCCGTCGGTATGGAGATTATGGGGTTTGACACAACTGGTCAAGTTGTCGTCTCGGACACACCGGGACGCAAGTTGTCCTGGGAGGAGATCGGCAAGCGCAGCGCCAAAGTCATCACTTTCACCGACTTGGCGGGCCACGAACGCTATCTCCGTACCACGGTGTTCGGGCTTTTATCTAGCAGCCCGAATTACTGCCTGCTCATGGTTGCGGCCAACAACGGCCTCATTGGCATGAGCAAAGAGCACCTCGGCATCGCACTTGCCCTAAACGTGCCAGTCATGGTGGTCATCACCAAAATCGACATTTGCCCGCCTCAGATCCTGGAGCAGACCATCACACAAATAACACGAATCCTGAAGAGCCCCGGGGCAAGGAAAATACCCATCTTCATCAAGAACCATGAAGAGTGCATCAACACGGCCACCCAGTTTGTGAGCCAGCGGATATGCCCCATCTTCCAGGTGTCAAACGTGACAGGTGAGAACCTTGATTTGGTCCGGTCGTTCCTCAACATCCTCCCGCACCACGGCCGCTATGATGCCGACGCCGCTTTCGAGTTCCATATCAACGACACCTTCAGCGTCCCTCACGTCGGGACGGTAGTCTCTGGTATTGTCAAGTCTGGCGTGATACACGCCGGAGACGACGTCCAGATCGGGCCGGATTCACTGGGCCGCTTCACGCAGACCTCGATTCGCTCCATCGAGAGGAAAAGGATAGGCGTGCCCGCGGCATCGGCTGGCCAGTCGGCCTCGTTTGCTCTCAGGAGGATCCGGAGGAAAGACGTACGCAAAGGGATGGTAGTGCTGTCTAAATCGGATGGAGCCCCCCCTAAGGTGTACCGCGAGTTTGTGGCCGAAGGTACTTCTGCTAGTCCCCGTATCGCGTAGCATGTCGCATGCTGACCCCCTTTAGTGCTCATATTGTCACACGCAACGACCATCAAGACCAAATACCAAGCGATGCTGCACGTCGGGCCGGTTTCCCAGACCTGCGCCATCATCGACGTTGACCGCCCCTTCATTCGAACGGGAGACCGGGCTACTGTTGCCTTCCGGTTCGTGCAGCGGCCCGAGTACCTAGCGCCCGGTGACCGACTCCTCTTCCGAGAGGGGAGAACGAAGGGTCTCGGGATTGTTAAGAGCGTCGGATACGATCCTTCCAACCCGCTCATGCCGGGACAGCCGGAGGGCGGGGTTAGCAACGAGCAGCAGGGCCCCGAGGCCGACGCTGAGGGGGTTGGGGCTGTTAAGGAGGCCCCCGATGTTAAGGCTGAGTGAGGTATGACGCAGCACGGTATAATTGCTGGGCCTCGAACCACGGCTCTTCTACACCGTTGAGCAGGTCCAGGGGTGTTGATTCTCACAGCAAATTGGCTATTAGAGCATCATTTGTTTTCGGTGGCCTGGGATTTCTTGACCCCCAAACCATGTAGCAAACGGCGTTTTGTGGTTAAATCTTCTTTTTATTTGGTCCCTACTTTGCCCCGCAAGACAGCGGGCATGGCGCTACAAGACCCCGAGGCATGATAACAGATAAATCTTGATTCGGGTTCTTTCACTATGAATGCTTTGAGCCTTGTCTTGAATTCCAGTAATGGCGTAAACAGAAGATATGTCGTGACGATAGTCGATCGAGAGCAGCCGCCATATCGGCCGGCCTATGTTGCTCTCTTGCCTGGCTTGCGTCCGGGGTAAGTCGAGGTTGACGGCTATCGTTCTGCCATGGGGTATCCGTCCCTCGTCATGCCTGCATCAACGGCACCGTTCCGCACCCGCCCCCACACCGGCGAAAAGTGCGGACTTGGTCTTCAACGCGCGCTGAGAGCGTGGTGCTCCCATACTATCGAGAACCCCCGAGCCGATTAAAATGACCGTGCTTGGGGGGATATGAGGACCACACTATCTCCTGGTCACATTGTTAGCCGGGCTACGTAATTTTAAATTATGGGTGTGCTCCTCGGGACGAACCTCTTACGAAGAGCATCTCGGATTTCTTGCTCACAGTCTGCGCCGGGATGTGTGAGTAATGACGGCGAGGACTCCATTTTGAGGCTTCAATATTGAGCAATAGCTTGACTTACCTTGACGTCCTCTTCGTCCTCCTCATCAACGACGTAGATGGTCTCCTCGACATCCCCGAGCACAAGATTGCAATGGCTGTCATAAGCCTAAGAGGTGAAGAAGGTGTGTGTGTTAGTCGGAGCTTGCGCCGGGGTCGGGCGAAAAAAGGTGGGGCGAAGTGGCTGCTCACATGAAGGCGGCCCTTGAGCTCTCGGTCCCCTCTAAGCTTCACGCAAACCACTTCGTCGAGCAACAGGCGCACAAGGTCGAGTGGCTCCGACACCGCACTGCCTTCATCCCTGACTTCGGCCATGGCGGGATGTAGTAAATCGCACTTGTGACGTTGGCGGGTATTGTTGATTTAGGCGCGCTGGTGTGGTCTGCCTCAAAATATCGGGTAATGCGCGACGTCAAAGGGCGGTCGTGGAGGGATGGCGGGCTTGTGGTTTTCCAGCAACGGGGGCACAGGCCACTGAAGGCGCAGGCATGGTGGGAGGCAGATTGTGCCCCATGTCCCCGCCTGCCCGATGGAGCAGTACCGTCGCTCAGTCGTTGTGCACGCGAGCCCCACCTCATCAAGTTGGCAAAGAGAACCGACGAACCAGCAGCATGTCGCATACGAAAACCAGACGCGTTCTTCACTCAACATAAGCGCTTTGGCACCTACGTACAACGAGCATGCATTCCCGGAAGTAGACGGAGTTCATCGGTACCATAACGGAGCGGAGTTTTGCATTCAGGGTCAGTGTAAGACATTTACATGTGTTCCAATGCCCAACGAAGCGAAACCCCGCAGGGTATGCGAATGAGGGACGGTTCTTGGTCTTGACTTTTAAGGCCGACCCTTGATCTTCTCCAGCCTCAGGTCGTTGATAAACATATACCTACTTAGGGAGATCCAGCCGTACCGAAACCAGACCATCTGGCTCTTGTGCGCTGAAACCATGGCTCTCCATGCGGTCGTGATGCCACCGTACCCCAGGAGGCTGCTGAGAAAGACGAGTCCGCCAGGGCGCTTTTTGTCCTTCTTGTCAGCGCCGATGGCCCAGCTAGCGAGAGTGGTCAACACGTCCAAAAACCCAATGTATTTCCGCCCCAATGACACCGTTGTGAGGGTGTAGAGGTCGACGGGTGGCTTCCAGCCGGGCTTGCCGGCCACCAGCTCCGCGATGAAAGTCTTGGCTCCGTGGTATAAGGAGATATGGTTCGGGTGGCCGGAGACGCCGCCGGCGTCGAACGTTACGAGCACGTCAATGGCGGCGGCCGGGGCCGTGTCGCTGTTCCGCGATCGGGCGATATTGGGCGCGAAGGCCGAGCAGAGCAGGGCCGAGATGTCGCCGCTGTCCCACTTTGCCGTCATGCTATCGGGGAATTCGGGCTTGTCAACGACAAAGACGTCGTCCGCCGAGCGCAGCCCGAGGATCAGGCCCGACTTGGCGAGTTCTTGCTTCCGTGTCTCGCCGAGGCCATCCGCGTTGCCTATCATGAGATCGTTTCTCGTCAGCGGCAGGTAGTGCAAGGGGGTGGAAAAGGGGTCGACGCGTACCACTGCTCAGACAGAGGATCTTGACGTGGTTTCCCGTGTCTGGCCTGGCAAGCGCCATGACGGTAGGCGAAAAGAACATGGCCTCGTCATCAGGGTGCGCAATAAGGAGACAAACGCGTTTGTTGCGCACGGCCGGGAAGCGCTCCGAGACCACGGAAGTGGTGTAGACGTACAGTGACGGGAGCACGACGGCTAGCACGCCGACGGTTACGGGCCAGTCCATCGTGCCCCTACTCAAGTAGATTGGCGAGAATATTGATCCAGTTGGCCAATTAATGCGGCCACACAAGTCGCTTCGAAATGGCTGTTGGCTGGACTCGGCAACGCGGTCGGAAAGAAAAGCGTAGACAGAACGCGCCCCAAGAACTCGGCGCTCTGCAGCGCTAGGAAGGGAGGGGCACGCGAGTGGAGTAGAGTACAGCCAACCGGACCTGTGGCAAGAGGCTCGAGTTCAAGGAGCGGAACGTTCGACGATTTTATGTAGAAGAACAGAACCCAGTTCAACGACGGCTTGCTTGCTCGTGCATAAATTGTTACCAAGTAGAGGCGGTGAGAGGTCTGTCGCATGTGGGGAGGTGGCCGAGAACGGGGTTTTGAATGGCCTGTGACCTTGCGTTGGGAGGGCCCCCTGACTCGCGGGGTCCGAAGTCCATGTGACACGACCTGAGGGGCTCCGGTTTCAACTGCCGATTTGCAAACAAATGGTCTGCTGGGGGCCCGTTCCCTTCATGGAAACAAAAATGAACTGGCAATCAACTCCTTGCTTCATTTATTGGGCATTTTGGGGTCTCTCGCAGTTCAGTGCCTCGCTGCTTCGTAGTATGTTGAAGGCGATCGATCGGGTACCGTATTTAGGTAGGTATGGATGCAAGGGATAGGTGTCGTGGTCCGTACGTGCGTACCTTCCACGTTACAGCCCGACACCCGACGTTCTGAACTGCAAAGACAGGGGTGGTCCAGCAGACCCCTGTTTAGTAAATTGCGGCCTCTCGACCAACCGTCGCGTGCCACTGCCATCACTCCCGTCGCGCCTTTTCGTCCCGTTTCCCCAACTGATTGATACGAAAATCCCGTGGCTACCCGAGCTCGCTACAATGGCAAGAAGGCGCAGAGAACGATCCCCGTCCAACGTCAAACTGAAACAACCCGACCGGTCGGGTCCGTCAGAGAAGACGTTGCTACAGCTCGCCGAGGAGAGGGGGTTGTTCGATCAGGCAAAAAAAAGGGAGGACGAAATCGAGAAGGAAGCTACTCCAGTTCCCATCCCACGCCCAGCGAAAAATGAGGAGGAAGATGACGACGAGGAGGCTGGGTTGCCGCCTACCGTTGAGCGTGTACTCGAGACGGTGCTGTGGTCTGTGAGCCTGGCCATGCTGCACTTCACCCTCGACGTCCTCGTCCAGCATCAATATTCGGTCGACAGCATAGTATGGCCGAAGGTTTGGACGAGATTTATGCAAGCGTTATTAGGTGAGGCCGTCCGTTGCTGTGATGCTGCGTTTATCCCCGGGCCACAATGCTAACGTAATTTCTGTCGTCCCCCAGTCTTCGGTCTGCTCATCTACGCCCTTCATCCGCATCCCGCAAACCATGGGTTGGTTCCCGGCCTGCCTCCGCGGTACCAGTCGGCCCTTCGGCAAGTCATATTCTTCACCGCGAGCGTCTTTGCCGGCTGCTACCTGATTCACATCACCAATGCATTCGGTTATATGGCTGTTATGAAACAAGCGCCGCCAATCGGTTGCCTTTGGGTGTGGTCTGTCATTGAACTGGATCTTCCTTGGGCTATGCTCAGTCTTTCGGGCGCAGGGGCGTTTCTTTGGCAGAAGGGATACAGTATTAGATAGGGTTGACGCGAGTGCTGGCTTTCGATCCGCAAATGCCGTCCCTTGAGCTAGCTCTGCGAAGCACCTACCATCGTTCGTGCTCTATGAGAGGTTCAGTTTTTTCTCTGTTGGGTCACATCATTCTTCCTTCCGGACCTGCTTTCCCTGGCGGCAAGCTCCTTTTCTCTGGGACTCACCTGCGACTGCCAGTAGCGCCCCTACCTCGCGCCTTCTTCAGTTAATATGGTACGGCAACCGACGGCACAATTGGCAACTGGAAATGTCTGAAATGTTTCGGGCCGGATGGCAGGTTCACTTTTGGGTGCGCCTACTCCCGAGGAAGTCAACGAAAGACTGAAAGGGCTGGCCAGCCTAGCACCTTCCTATGTGACAGGTTACCGGTCCGTCGATCCCTCCTCTTGGTCGGATAGAGCGTCCAGGCTGGTTCAAACTGGCGTCCTCGGCACCCAAATCTCTCCTACACACTTTTCCGCAGCTCACTAAGGTAGCATCTTCAAGTCGGCGCCGATCACATCATCTGACGCGCCTCGTTCTATTCAATATCTAAAACATCCGTCGAAGCCTCACCATGATTGTCACAAAGCTCAGCACTTTACTTTCGATAGGGCTGTTCCTCTCGAGAGGACATGCCGCGACTGCATCGACTGCCAACCTGACGACACGAGCTATTCCCAGTGGTGCCATCATCGAACACTGCACGGTCCCCGGTGTCGTGGCACTCACTTTCGACGACGGCCCGTTTATCTACACCAGTCACATTCTGGACCTTCTGGACGAGTACGGCGCCAAAGCCACTTTCTTTATCAACGGCGAGAACTGGTCCCGCGGTGTCGGAGACTCCTCGACGCCTTGGCCGGATATCTTAAGGCGTATGGATCTCTCGGGTCATCAGATCGGCTCCCACACATGGTCGCACGCCGATCTCTCGTCTGCCGATTCTCCTCTGCGAGAGTTCCAGGTGTACGAGCTCGAAAAGACCCTTTTTTCCGTCCTCGGCAAAGCCCCCACCTACCTTCGGCCGCCCTATGCTTCTTGTTCGGCCGATTGCCTGCAGGAAACGGAGCGGATGAGATTGCACGTGGTCAACTTCGATGTTGATCCCAAGGACTATCTACATAACGACCCGAACGACATCGCGTCCGCCATGGAGAATTTCTCGAGAGCTTTGGATGAGCGCCGGTGGGGTGATTCGTTCCTGGTACTCAGCCACGACTCGCTCCAGAATACGGCGGAGTTCCTCGTCCCCCACATGCTCATGGAGATAAAGCAGCGCGGATACAGGGCTGTCACGGTTGGGGAATGTCTCGGCGACCCTGCTGAGAATTGGTACTGGTATCTATAAACGGGTGATGAGTCTCTGTTGGGGAAGAATGCGTTGTTGCAGGCCAGAAATGTGGCGACAGCGGGTTTCTAGGAGTACGAGTCCAGGGAGCTTCGACATCGTGAGCGTTTGGTCGCCCCGACTGCTAATTGGCTTCGGGCTGGGGGTCTCGACGGTGGAACACAGCCTAGCTTCCGTATGGGGAGCGCGCGGGACGGACTGTTGAACATGCCATTTGGTTTTCCATGCCGACTCCATCCGTAATATTCTTAGGTTCGGTTGGTAGAGCACATAACGTAATGTGTATTTCTTTCTGCACTGTCCTCTGCCATCTGGTCTGTCACGTCCTCTCTCTCTTCCCGCTCCGATATAGCGCCGTTCCCGACTCCAGAGGTCTGCCCCTAGACCTTTTCGTAGACGTGTCCAGGGCGGCGGCTTTAAACTATTGTCCACGATTCCGCAGCTCGTTTAAAATGCCGTCGATCTTACCCGCTACAAAGGCCGGGTCGTCCTTTTGAATGAAGTGGCCGCAACCCTTTGCAATCTTGACGTCACTCGTCACCTGCACGAGGCGAGTCAAGCCCTCATTATACGTACCCCAGGCCGGGTTCATATACGTGTTGATGATAGCCTTGGGTACAGCTAGTGGGCCCTATGTCGCCGTTTTTGGTGTCAGTAGACCGCCATAAAACACCAAGTTCCCGTCGTTAAAGCTTGCCTTCTCGCACTGGTCCGCAAACTCATCCCAGTCATGCCCCACCACCGTCAAGAGCGGAGGATCGCCCCCGGGGGCGTTGGGTAGGGCGGGTTCGCTCGCATGCGGCAGGAGCTCCCTGAGGTTTCTCCGGTCTAAACGCTCCGAATTCGGCACCGTCGGGTGGAAGAACTCGCGGAACTTGTCCCGCGCATGTCGCAACCCCTCGGCCGTGACGCCCTCCGCCAGCTGGCTTTCATCAAAGTCGGGCTCGGCCGGGTCGGGGAACACGGAAACGAAATCTGTGTTGGCCATCATCGAGTCTAGGAAGAGGTACGCCCCCACACGGCCTGGGTGCTCGGCCGCGTAGAGGCGGGCGAGAGGACATCCGATGGAGTTGCAGACCAGAATTATGCGAAGGTCTTCGACCTGGCGGTGGAGCTCATCCTGGGAAACCTGGATGAGAAGCTGATGGAGGTCAGCGATGGCGGCACGAGCATCGTGTCCGTAAGGCGAGTCCTGGATGTCAAACGGGTCCGAGTCTGATTTCCCTTGGCCGTACCGATCATAGCAGAGTAGAGCAGGCGTCGGCTGGTTGGAATCGCTGCGGAGTTTGGAGAGATGCTCGACTGTTTCAAACCAGCCGGCGCGAGGGAGTACAAGGCCGTTCAGAAATACAACCAGGGTGTCAGATAACTGTCTCTCGTCCTGCGGCTGGTGGTGGGCGATTGATACATGGAGGGGGGCACCAGGCTTGGTTTTCAATGTGATGTTTCTGTCCTCCATCTTAAAGCGCAATGGAAGAGAGAGGGTTCCGGCAGGCAGTTTTCCAGATGGTGGATTGTTTAGTGTTCAATTTGTACATACAGTTTACAGTTATACAGGAGGAGTTGAGGAGCGTGATGACGTGAGATCTGCGGAGCCGTCAAAACCCGAGAACCGACAGCTTGCTGCGGGAATGGACATGAGGACCAAAGGAGTGGTAGCATCTCAATTACCCCGTTTATCGCAATACACATATAGGCCGTTCCCAACATGTATTCCACGATGACTCGGCATCCTGACCCAACCCGATGCTGCCACCCGGCAGAACCATCTCGCTGGCGGCATGTTGCAGCCCAAGCAATGAACAATGTTTGGTTAGGTGCTATTAGTGGGCTTCCCTTCCTAGAACGGATCAAGCAGATTCTGGTTGGTAATTCGCGGGCATTCCATTGGCTCGCCGTGACTCAGTAAGACTCACCCCAGCCCAGCACGTAAAACTGAAAAGGTACCTTATTTGATAACGGGATTTCTTCTCGTTCGTTCCTCGTGGCTCTTCTTCCACCGCCACTTGACACATCCCGCCGAGCAAAGCCCAATCTACCCCAAGTGCTGCAAAGTACGACAAGGCGGAAAAATGACGATGAAAATAACAGCCGTGAGTCTGCAATATTCTCCCTAATAGAGAGTCTCTATGAAACAACAGCAGCTAACACATCGATCAGCTCTCTGTATATCCCATCAAGGGCCTGCGCGGGATCGTTCTCCAGTCAGCCCAGATTGGGCCGCTGGGAATAAAGCATGACCGAAGTTTTATGTTGTACGAGGTGCATCCGACGACGGGGGAGCTGAAGAAGATCCAACTGGATTCACATCCGCGCTGTGCCCTGTTCGAACAGCACATCACTCCCAGGCCTCAAGACGGGGCTGCTTCTCTTGCCGTGCGGTACCTCGGCAGCACGCTGCAGGGTTCCGAAGCCACCGAAGATGACAGTACAATCGAGCTCCCACTCGAGCCGGACATGTCCTCCCTTGAAAAGACTGACGTGGTTCTGCACGGCAGCCCGGCGTCAGCCTACCGCATGGGTGACTCATACGACACCTGGTTCAGCCAGCACTTCGGCGTCTCCGCCATGCTGGTTTACCTTGGCGACGGACGGCGAGCTGTTCTGGGTCAAACGCTCCCACCGAAACCCGCCCAAGAACAACAACAACCGCAGGGGTGGATGTCTTCCCTGACCTCTTACGTCACCGGGGCCCAGGGGTCAGGCAGCGGCTCGGGTCCATGGCTGTCCTTCAGCGACGTGGCGCCCTTGATGGTCGCATCTGAAACATCCTTGCAGGATGTCAAGGACCGTCTTCTCAACGGCCAACCAGTGGAGATGTACAAATTCCGACCCAACATCGTCGTGGATGGCGCGGGTGAGGATGCATGGGCAGAAGACTTCTGGGCCGAGATCGCCATAGGGCCCAGCGGAAACTCGGAGAAGAGTGCACTTCAGTTGACGGGCAACTGCGTGAGATGTCTCAGCTTGAACGTTGATTACCAGACGGGGAAGCCGGCCGAAGGGGAACTTGGCAACGTCCTAAAGAGACTCATGAAGGACAGGAGGGTCGATACGGGGTCCAAGTGGTCACCTGTGTTTGGCCGGTATGCCTTTCTGGACGGCCGCCACACCGAAGGCATTACCGTGTCAGTAGGTGACAGCGTTGAGGTCACTCGGCGCAACACGGAACGGACCGTCTGGGACTGGCCGGGCATGTAATACCCCAGGTAGATAAAGCCCTGGATCTCAAGCTCTACGCTATTTTTCGGTTTGGCATCAAAAGCTTCAACACGCACATGGCGCTAGGGACATCAACTATACCCAATACATTGTTAATTTGGATTATATTCGCCCAACGGCCTGAAGTACGTCGTGTGTACGCAGTAGATCTCTACTAGCTAATGTGCGGAACCGCAACCCTGGCTACGGTATTCTCCGTCCGCAGCTTCTGCTCGCTTTTATGATGTAGATTGGATATAACCCATAGTTACAGCCGTCGATAAAGTCTTTCAAACTCAAGCTATGAAGGCTTAAACATAATCCCGTATCAATCAATAATAACCCATCCACTGCCAGAACCGTTCGGATACGAGGAGGTTACGTTGAATGGAGCTAGGGGACACAATTAGCCCGCCGAACCCTGAGCGGAAGTCCAGATTCAGCGTTTGGTCTCCAGACGGGAGGCTTAAGCGGCAGAGTGGCAATAGGGGGCGTGTCTAACCCCTGGGAGAGCTGCAAATCAGATGCTGCCTTCCGAGCTTCCTTGCAAGCCTTTTCGGTCCGGAGTCCGGGTGAAGAGATCTTTAGCAGCTTTCCTCCAATGAGCGAGCCAATGTCCCTTGCCACACCTACACCGACCGAACGCCCGGAGTTGGGGCCATGGGCGCGAAAAACAGGGTTTTATTTTCAACTATCTCCCAGGCCAGTGTTGATATATCGACGGATAAGCGGGACCGGCTTCGCGAGTTGGAAAGCCCGGACACCATGGGCCTGGCGGGTAAGGGGTAAGAACCGGGTATTGTGTATTGTGGCTGAGGTGTTTTATGATGGGTTAAGGCCAGAAAATGCTGCGAATAGGAGGGAAAGCGGTGCTCTGAATTTGCCACCGGGGGGGGGGGGGAAACCGACATGCTTTAGCTAGCTGGAGGTTCGGTTTTTCTTTTGCCCCTGATCGGCAACGCGTTTGTGATTTACGTATCGGGGATCACACAGTTTCTAAAAGAACCGGTGTGTATGTACATCAGCACGCCAGCATGTTAGCTACGTGAATGTTCGCGGGGAATAGAACTTGGTCCATTTCCTTGGAAAACAATATCCACGTATGGACTGCACCGTGGGACTGATCGCCCGGGCACCTTCGGGTACCTGGTCCGAATCCCCGTGGACCGGGCCGGACGGACTCGACATGAACATGTAAGACTGTGCTGCCAGTTACAAAATGTATCTGTACGGAGTACTGTGTGTGGCATAGCTTCGGCCCCAGCAGGGAAATAGTACTCGCTACCCCCGTGCATCGACTAGTTGGGGTATTCACCATAATTGTTCCAGTGTATCAAAAACATCGGCGGATGGCGGCTAGCTGTAGTCATTCATATCGCGAGCGAGTCGATGGCCACCTGTTGTGTGTTGCGAATAGTGAATAGATTGCATGCCCTCGGTGCAGAGTCGCTCCAGAGCACGGCCAATTGGAAGACAAGGAAACGGAGCATGGCTTCATGGTGTTGTTACCCCATTGGCCTTGTGGCGGGAGGGTGGGTGACGTCTGACGTTTCACCAATGGTGGGTAGAGTGCCGCGTTAACGTTCTGCAAGACTGCAGGTGTCGCCAATCGCTGCTGGTGCCTTGAATGCCCGATTAGCCAGTGGATGGGAGGGGGGACAGAACAGTTTGTTTCACCCCACTAGCTACAGCCCGCGAGACTGGAGATTTGGCCCTGGGTCACAAAAACCATGAAGGCATCGTATAAGTTGTGAGATATGCCGTCCTTGCTAGGCTTCTCGGCTTGGCTTACCGGCCGGATTCGAAGCTGGGGTAGCATGCCGAGCCGAATACATGTGAATGGTATAGCGAATGCTTCGACTCCTGATGAGAAGCAACACCCTTGATCATTTCGGTGGCGTCGTCGCCCAGAACTGGTGGGACGGGCTGCCGGATCCGAGACTCCCGCCCGCTGTCTCGGAGGCGGCTACCACACAATACCACGTACCAGTCCTCTTGAAGGACCTCTGATTCATATGCGGGATGTCCCTATGCAGCATAACCCGCCTTTACTGGTACTCCCCACTTAGATTGCGTGCAGCGGCCGGAAATTGCACGCACCTCTCTGCACGAACAGATCACGGGACACCCTTTTACTGCTGGTTTCGTCGAAGGCTCTGCCGTGAGGGCTGGCCGGTCAGGGAGCATCAGGCCCCATATCGCGGCTCTCCGAACCACGGCTTGCGGTGCTGTTGCCAACATGATGGATTGGAAACGGAATCGAGCTGGTTGATCAGTGGGTAGGCCAAAATCAGTCCCGTCCGTCCCTGCCGTAGACAGACAGCAACCAGCCTGCCGAACCCGATCACCATTACTTGCGGCCCGGGAGTGCCATTTTGGATCTGGCCGTGGGTTCGCGGGTGTTCAATCCCACATGGTGGTGGACAGGGGCCGGAGGGTGAAGGAAGCCTGGGACGACGTTGTCCCGAAGATGATTCGTCCCGGCCGACGGGTTGCTCCGCTTCTCCAAGAGTTGCTCTCGGGCAGCTGGAGTTGGAGGTTGGAGAAAGTCAAGGGGCCGGACAGGGATTAGACAGGGGCCAGAAAAAGGCGGCTGGTGGCTCATGCTCAAGCTCCTGGGAAAGTTGTTCAGGGAGGGCTGACTATGTACACAGTATGTACAAGTAGTAACTGTCTTCTTGGCCGTTAACCCGCTCCTCCGAGCAAAGTCACCCGCCGCGGAGGCCCCCCTTTTGCCTTTTTGTTCCCGTGGAGTTGCTGGTGAGGGAATTTGGGGTTGGAGTGGGAGGGTCGGTAGCGTTGGAATGGTTTTGATGCTGGTGTCGCAGATACGCGAGAAGGGCCCGATCCCGCTGGCGGCAGGGAGCTGGCGAATCCGAGACACGGCAGTGACACGGGCTTGCATCGTCTGCTGCAAGCCTGGACACCCCCCTAGCCATGCGCCTGACCGTTTCCTGTGAGGAGCCAAGTCGGGCTTTCACCCCGGTTCCAGAGCTCAGAGTGTTCCGGGACGGAGAATGCGTGGGTTTCTCGTTTTGTCCTACCCACCTCGCTTTTTGGACGAAGTCGAAACGCAATCTGGATCAAGTGGGAACCACGGCAGCGTTCTCGGGATGGTGGAACGGTCTTTTATCGTCATTGACACGTGTGGGCTGCGAGATTGATTTGGAGCCTTTGGAGGCCGTGTTTGGCCAATCGACCTTCACTTATCCTCTTGCCGTGCGGGCAGAATGCAGGGACTGCAGAAAATAACGCCTTCTCGACTCGACCGCTCCTGCCTTGAGAGCCTGCCTGATGAACGGGTGAAGTTGAATGGGTTGCTGTTGGGACAGTGCGGGGTTGTTTCAGGGGTACCCAACGGCCGCGTTCGGAGAGTTCAATTGATTCCCGTCGGCGGTGGGTGGCTTTCAGGTGCTAGTGAGAAATAGAAAATCATTATGGTCGACTTTGATACAGAAAGTGAGCGGCTTAAAAAATGACATTTTCCGGTTTTCAAATCAGGATGCTGCTGTTAGAAAGGCTCTGCACAGTAACTCTCGGCTGGTTTGTGAGGGAGACGAAGCTCCAAGCTTCGGGAGCTTGGGCCATGAAATGCCCCGCGATGCAGGGCTTATCTGGTTTTACCCCTCCAAGCTCCCTTCCCTTATCGCCCTCCCATCCTCGAGACCCATGGCGGGGTAAAATGGGCCGTGGCGAGGAATCGCAACTGCCCGGGCTCGACTTAAAAGGATTCCGAGAAAAGATATGTTTTCTCGAGTTCAATAAAATATACAAGGGCTTCTATTGCCTTGCGCGGCGCAAGCTCCGCGATCCCGTGGCATCACTTTGTGGTTGAGTTGCTCGCTGCGTCGTCGCGTGTTTCGGGCCTTATGGCGTGGGGGCCACTTCACAGTTCATTCTGTCAGTCATCAGTTAAAGCCTCTCTCGCATGACTGGTTGGGTCCACCGTTGTGGTTGTGGCAGCGGTGTGGGCAACGCGAAATGGACCTTTAACGGGTGAGGCTTCGCGGCGTGCCGAGATCTGGCCGAAAACCCTCAGGCTGCTTTGGCATACGTCGTCGTTACTTTGTTAGCTTGCCTGAGCAACGCCGCGGATTTTCTGCCCAACGGGGCTCATGATTTCGTGTCTTCGTTGTGGGATTCTTGATTGGGCATCACGGTTTCGAAATTTACCGGGTTCCTTGCTAGGGAGGAAGACAAGCTGCCTTACTACTCGCGTTAAGCCGTGCGCAAAACTCGGCGGAAGCTCACGCAGGGCACAAACACAGACAATACCTCCTTGGTCACGCAGAACGGTCGACTTCTTGAGAGAGGGTCGAAGATCCCCCACGACCGCGGTCACTGGTGGAGTAAGGCCCCGGATCCGGGCAGAGCTTTCTTGAGGGACTGGAGCCACATAAATTAGGATTGAAATAAAAAGGGTCCGTCAGCGGCTTTACCGATTCCAGCATTGGCATGGTTACAGGCAGACGGGGCAGCAGGAACGGCTATATTAATAGAATTGTTCGGCTGTCAATAAACAACTGGCTTCCGAATCTTGAGTGGGGCACTTTCCCGAGATCGCCACTGTTGTCTTGCCAGCCGCCCAGTTCAACTTCCACGTATGTTCGCCCCGAGGAACGGGAATGGCGGGGCCAGTTAAATGGTTGCTGGATCGCCAGTGATCGCCTTTCAACTCACAGATCTGTGCTGGGTCAAGCTATATCAAACTGGGAATACTTCGCACGCATCAAGGCCTGGAAATCCGATCTCGGGACCTGCGAAAAGCTGGAACCTGCAAGGCCGGTTGTTTAAAATGACGGTGTATTATCTTTATTTGCACGTTATTTCTCGCTGTATCTCGTGCGCATACCCGGGCCACGCCCACAAGTCAGCCAGCAGAGTCCCACAGTAAACACTCTCAACCTCGGCCGAGATACCGAGTTATTGTACCTGGATAGCTGATTTGGTTTGGGGAGCGTGGAGTCATACTGGTTTCCCGCCGGCGCGATCAAGCCTGGAGTTCATCGGATTGCTTTAGGATACTTGCTGTTATACTAAACTACATCTACATTTTCTTCGTTACCTGACTTGGCCGCATGTTATTGTGCCACCATCGACCGCATCGCCCTGTAAATGCAGGCCGATAACTGACTACTTCGTACGTCTTACTGAGAAAGCGGGTTTGCGGCGGGTTCGTCAAACTCACTGGGTTTCAGAACGGTCGCTCTATTGAACACAGTTTGCCGATTACCTTGGGAAGTGAGTTGAGGACGCTGCTGACGAGGCTCACCACGTGACAGAGCGAGCTTCGCTCCGAGTTAAAATAAAAAGCGGCACTGTTAATTTAGACGGCGTGGTGGAAACAGTCTGCAGCCATTGTTGGTGTCTCGTCTCCATTTTGCCCTACCCCTGGTCCTATCCGAACAGTGAGCCAGCAAGGATACCCGGTTTATTGGGCGCTTGGGGCTCACCTCGCATGCCGCAGCTTTCCGAGACCAATGATTTGGCAACTCCTTGTCCCGAGTATTGTGGGCCGACGATTTGAGAAAGGAACTGGGAAATGGGCGAGAGGCTATTTAAAGGATAAATGGTTTCAATGACCGCGCCCATGATATTTAGGAAGTGCCCGTTGCCGAAGCGGATGGCCATCTCCTGCTTTTTAGCGGGGCGCTTCCTGGTCATGGCTGACAAACCTCTGTTTAACAGATGGCATGTGTACGCCCTCGTCGGGACACTGTCAAGGCAAAAATGTGGGAAGGGCTAGGTCATAATAGGAATAGCGTACTTCCGGACCTGGGCAATCACACGAAAGGCTGCTGCGCCGCCATGCAAAGAAGCCCACTGCAGCAGCACACGCATGGACACAGCGAAACAAGCGGCCAGGCTTATCCAGAAACGATCGGCTTGCCTGCGTCTTCTTCTGCAAGCCTTGGAAGCTGCACCGAGTTCTGAGAGAAAAGAAACGGACAAATGGCAGGCCAACCTTGTCCCATTGACTGAAAGGAGACAAACCACGGACGGGGGGCTGGCGAGCTTGGAGATGCCCGATGTATGGGCATTTTCGGGGTGGAAATAGGGCAAAAAGAATTAAATGAGCATAACTACACCGTCGTTCAAGTTGATGATACATGAACAAGTAAGGTAAGGTAGTTAAGGAGGTAGTTAATGCCGAGGTAACAAGCCAAACATCGGTAGTGCCCACGGGCGACCCGAGGGGTATCTTCTCTGGATGTGACGTACGTTCCTTGGTCGATGCTGCATTGATTGCCAGATGAGCCCAATACTCCCGTGAGGTGAGAGAACAGAACAGGTCACCCCCCAACTTCAGCGCGAACGGGTACCCTGGTTACTACGTCGTAAATAACCTCCTCAGCTGTTAACGAGAGCCCGCGCTCAATGCCAGTGCTAGACGGGTAGGTAGTTATCTTGCCGAGGCTGCCCGACTCCGTCATTTTTGGTGCGAAGAGCCTGAAAGCCGCCACCCGCCATTTTACATTTCACAACTTGAAAGTGACAGTGCGAGCGCGGACCGGACAGGGCCCGGCGTCTTCTGACTCACGGCCAAACTGGCTCCACCACTCCGAGGTGTCTCTGCATGCCATTCGGCGCTAGGTGTGAGCAGCCTGTTTCTCAACGCAGCGACCCAGGCCGTGTGGTGAACTTGACATTATCCAAGGTTGTCCGTGGGCCATCGTGGGAGGATCGCCTGTCCTTCTTCGCAATTGAGGTATTGGCCCGGTACCACGAGACCCGGTGCTCTCATCGAGGCCGCCATGAGCAGGTCAAGTAACTTCCTTACGTATCCTTCGGATGCATTGCTAGCGTAATTCGTAATCCTCACTGTGTTACTGTTATGACCTGGCTTAGCCGCCATGCTGGGATTTCCGCTCGAGGCCTTGCAACCCCCAATTTCGCCATCCGCAGGTCGCACCGTTTTGGGCAATCTAGCCAAGCCAGCAAGGATCCAGGGGAGTTCCAGGGACCACACACTGTTTCCCGAGCGTGCCCTCCAATCCGTGTGCGTGTGGTTCATGCTCCTGCCTCCACCGAAACCGACAGCAGCCAACCTCTCTGCTCTCTTGCCTTGCACCACAACTTCTCAGCGGGTGGGATGCGATCACATTCCTGAACACTGAAACCGACAATAAAATCTTGCAGCTACCTCAAAAAGTCTAGAAAACAACAATTACATTACAGAAGAGCATGCCACAGTCGACCTTGTCGCCGCGCCTCTCATCTCTCTCTCCGAGCCTCCAATAGAGCTAGCTTTTGCTCCCCAACTCCCTCCCCTACCCGCCCGCCTGCCGCTGTCGCTGCCTCCTTCCTGCCTGCTGCCGCTCCCCACTCTCCTGACCTGCTCCGACACACCGAGCAAAGGTCCTCCGTTCACTGCTCCCGAAACTCGCGCTCTGTCCCACCGCACAAAGTCGCCCGATCGCTCCGAAACCGACAAAATCCCGCTGCCAGGACGATGACTGTGTCAAGCGACGCTGTTACCAAGGTCGAGGCTGTCGCTACCATGTCCAATTCGTCGACGCCTTCGGCTGCGAGCGGCACCGCGCCCGCTGGTGACGAAGCTGGTAGGTCCGCCCAACAAAAAAGCACACACCACAGCGCTGTTTTGAGCCCCACGACTCTGCAATCAATCGTGCCCTACCTCGATTTACCTGTGGTTGGCGCGCGAGCTGGTTAGCTAACGAGCTGTTCTTCCTATCCAAAAGCCTCAACCATCATGGTCAACACCAAGGCCCCCGCTGCCTTCCCGCCGCCCAAGACCGACAAGCCTCGCCCCCACATCTGCGGCACTTGCCAGCGCTCTTTCGCCCGCCTGGAGCATCTGAAGCGACACGAGCGGTCGCACACCAAAGAGAAACCGTTCCAGTGTCCCGAATGCGCACGGTGCTTTGCTCGCCGTGACCTGCTTTTGCGCCACCAGCAGAAGCTGCATCAGACGACGACGCCGTCGTCCCGACCCCGCAATCGTCGCGAGAGCGCGAGTGGGGCGACGCCGGGTGCTAGCCGGGTCCGTAAGAATAGTGTCGTGGGCCCCGGTGCCGCCGCCGCCAGCAACACTGCCGCGTCCATGAGGCCTAGGGCAAATACGATTAGCCATATCGATAACACGGCCATCCAGATGATGGCCGCTGCCACTGCCCAGGTCTCGAGGATGCCACCCACGCACAGCCGCCATCCAAGTTTGATTGGGTTGCCAACCCATCACAGTCTCGAGTCCTACGGCATGGCTTCGGCCTTGGCCCATCGCGGAGCGCCGCTCGGCCTGCCCAAGCTCGAGACGCACGGGATCAGCGGCATGGACTTCTCGGGCGGCCTTCGGACCGCTCCGGCGATGCCATTCGGTTCCGAGTTCGAAATGGACAGCAGCTTGTTCTTTGGCGGCTCTCCGGGCTCCACGATCAACCCCAATGCTCTCCACTACAACGATTCCCCTCCTTCGATGGCCATGGACGCCCTCTCGTCCTTCCCACACGGGCTCCCCGACATGTCGGCCGCCACCCAATCGCTGGACGAGTTCGACTGGGTAACAGGCTTCGACCACACAATGTCGTTTAACAACGGGCCGGTAGAGACCGCCGTGGACGGTTCCTCCCCCTCTGCACTTAGCACCACGAGTCAGAGCGGCATCAGCGACGTCATGGTGGACGGCTCGAACCACCACACCGCCACGGCTGCGACGAGCTCGATGTGGCAGACGTCCATCATGGGCCCCCCGCAAATGGGCAACCCTTTCGCCCTTGACATCAACGGGTCCGTCTTCCCAGATCTCCTGAACGGCGCGCCCGTGTCGCCGCAACCGTCGTCCGCCAAACCCATGGGGGAGACGTATTTCTCAACTCCTTCGCCCTCGCTGCTCTCGGGCTTGAACACGCAGAACATGAACCAGGCGCTTAATTTTGGTGCCGGCCCGGAGACGCCGTCCTCGATGAATGGTAGTAATCATGGCACCCTACCCGTCTCGACAATCACTGATTCAACAAGAAATGCCATCCTAGGTGCACTGTCGGCCTCCCAGGCGTCCCAGTTTGGTACGCGGAGATACTCGTTCGCCACGCCGACCTCCCCTCTCGCCACGCAGCCGTCCCCGATCACAGCCAACATCACCCCTAGCACCACCAGCGCCATCGCCAGCACTCCCGACCAGCTCAGCACCCTACCTACAACCCGAGACCTCCAGCGATACGTCGGTGCCTATCTGCGATATTTCCACCCCCACCTGCCGTTTGTCCACATAGCGACGCTGACGTTCGATTTTCCTGCGCAATTGTTGGCTAACGGGCGAAATAGCGGCATTGGGGGGAGCGGGTGTTTGCTTCTTTCTATGGCGGCCATTGGCGCCTTGTTTGAGTTGGAGCACCAGGCATCCATGGAATTGTTCGGGATGGCCAAGAAGATGATCCAGCTGTATCTCGACGAGCGGAGGAAGGCGAACGTAAGAAAGGCAGAATCCATTCGGCGCACTCCCATGTCGGACCACAGTTCACAGCAGCAGGAACCCCCCGTCGAGACTCCCGTGTGGTTGGTTCAGGCCATGCTCCTGAATGTCGTGTATGGTCATAACTGCGGGGACAAGCGGTCTGGCGAGATCGCGTCCACCCACGCCGCCGCATTAGTAAGTCTTGCGCAGGGAGCGGAGCTGCTGCGGCCAGTGCGAGTTGAACCTTCGGCTAAGGACGTCGAGATGGTGGATGCTGACGTCGCCGGTGGCTGGGACGGAGCCGGAAGACAACATGCCGACGAGCACGCCGAGTGGCTGCGCTGGCGGACCATTGAGGAGCGGAAGCGCACCCTTTATGCCGTCTTCACCCTATCTAGCCTCCTCGTGTCGGCGTATAATCACACGCCAGCCCTCACGAACTCGGAGATCCTGCTCGATCTCCCGTCTGACGAAGAGTTTTTCGCCGCCGAGAGCGCTGCCGTTTTCCGGGCCAAGGGCGGCGTGGCAGCAGCTAATCACAACCGGATGACGTTCCACGAAGCCCTGGGGAAGTTGCTGCGTACAAACGAGAAGCAGCATAAGCGTCCCTTTACTAACGCCCACGAAGCTTTCGGTTCCGCAGTCAATGCTAGCGATTTGCCCGAGAGCGACCTGAAACCGAGCAGCTTCGGTTGTTTGATACTGATCAATGCGCTGCACAACTACATATGGGAGACGCGCCAACGCCACCATAACAAGGTCTGGACAAACGAGGAAACCGAGAAGATGCATCGTCACATCGAGCCGGCGCTTCGGGCGTGGCACGCCGCCTGGGCAACCAACCCTCAGCATAGCCCGGAGCGGCCGAACCCCCACGGCGCGGGGCCGCTGTCGGCAGACTGCATCCCGCTGTTGGATCTTGCCTATGTTCGCCTATTTGTCAACCTTTCGCGGTCCAAGGAGAAGTTCTGGCAGCGCGATTGGGACGGGATGGCTGAGGAATTGGCGAGAGGCTCTGAGATTATCCAGCACGCCGAGCACTCGCCGGCCTCTATCGCCGATTCGGCTGTTACTGATCCGTCGAGCACACCCGGGACAAGCTCTCTTACGGTGGATACCCCGCCGACTCTTACTTCCTCCCCGGAATTTGGGGTCTCAAAGTTGCCGCTGTCGACCTCCATGAACCCGGGGCTAGCCTCGCAGCCGCCTCAACCTCAGACGCAGAGCTCGACCAGCCAAGCCACCTCCCGGAGAGAGAAACACTTGCGGAAAGCTGCGTTCTTTGCGTCCGAGTCTCTTTCCGTTTCCGACAAGCTCGGCGTCACCTTTGCCAACTTGACCAGCCGCGAGCTGCCTCTGCAAGCGACGCTCTGTGCATTTGACTGTGCTCAGGTCCTTGCCGAGTGGGTCGCCACCCTCCAGGACCGCGTTGGGCGCTATCTTGGAATCCTCGGCCGGGATAATGTTGATTTCTCGCAAGTGCCCGCGATTATGCTGCTCGAGGAAGAGGATGTAAAACTGCTGGCGAAGATTGATGAGATTATTCGTGGCGCCGAAGTCAAAATGAACATGGATCTGGCTCAACTTGGCGGCATGGGGGATAGCGGCACCGTCGTTGCCGCTGGCATCGACGGCAGACTCCAGATGGACGACAATGCGGGATACGCGACAAAGCTCCTAAGGGTCACAGCGTACATGTTTGACAACGCTGCCGTATGGCCTGGTACGTGCCGCAGAGAGACGGCTTGTTCCTTAATAATTTACTGACAAAAGCTCCTAGTGACCCGGCTGATCACTTCCTGCCTCGAAACCCACGCGAACCATATGCGTGCCCGCGCAGAAAAGTCCATCCTGGCCCTTGGCTGAAAAGTCCGGATGTTTTGGTCAACTCGACGGCTGCCACGGCGCTTCTACACGGCGGTGCCCGGCTCGATTTGCCCTTAACCCCCAGTTCGGTTTGCGCTCTGCATTCCGCGAGTTACTTTTTCGGCTGTTCAAGCTTCTGCCGCAATACGATACCATTCTATGCCATCCGCTCTTTCTCGGCGATCAATTGGCGACCATGGCAATTCGGGCTTGGGATATGTGGCCAGTGGCTTCGCGCATGGCATGTTGACTATTACATCCTCTTTGGCGTTTGATGCATTTTTGTTGGCTACGCATTCGTTGACTTTGGTTGGGGATGCCTTCAGTTTCGCATCACGGCGTTGATTTCACGCTATTTATTCCGCACAGGCGGCGGGGTCGGAAAGGAGTTGGGGAGGTCTGGGAACGGAAGGGCACAGGAACGAAGAAGACGCTGAGGGAGGTTGGCGGCCGAGTACCGGGGGCGTTACTTGAGATTACACCATGGCAGCTAAAATGTCGGCTGTTTGACGAGTTGATGATGATATGCCGTGCGGGTTGGGGCTTCCTTGAGAGCGGTCTGTTTCCACGGCGCCGGGGGGCGGGGGGCCCTGAGGGGTTTCACGAAAGGGGTCCTTCTGTTGTGCATAAATATGGGGAAGCTTGCGAGGAGGCGAAAAGCTGATTGCAAAGGGACAACCCGGTGTATTTTTACTGTCGGCCAAAGGCAAAAGAAAAGGGGTTGAACTGTTTTTGCGGTTTCGGACCGAGGTGTGTCATTCCCATCTGAATTCCCATGTGCGTGCACTGGGCCGACGAGGATCTTGTTCTCGAAGCATGGATGAACGGCCCCTGACCCGTCAAGTTGCCTGGTGTCTCAGATTTTGCTTGCATCTTGCAGGAGTCCAGAATAAACAAGGCCAGGGCCCTGGCTGCATGATGGACGAGTCTGGGTGCGCATGCCAACAAAACCGGAAGCCGATTGGCTCTTTGAAATTTTACCCCCCGTTTCGCCATGCCTGACTGAGCTTAACTTTACCCCTTTGGTGGGTTCTTTTTTTCTTGCAGGAAGCCAACTTGTGTTGATCAACGGTGCCTGGGATGGCACAGGACCCTGAGTTCACGTGAAAGGTTCTGCTTTTTGTGTCTTGTGTTCATAACAAGGAAGAGTACACACAATACGAATACGTGAGCCATCATCAGACGGCGCTGGACGCTCACGGGAACCGGACACCGCCTTCACCCTTACTTAGCTTGCTCTGTCCCGTCCCGTCGTGGAGTACGAAGTATTTCGAAAGTTTCGATAGGGTCCGACCCCGGCTGACTGCAGCAAAGGGGCCAAAGTGGAGGAAAATGTTGGGACCGATATGGGTGCAATCTTAAACGAGTCCTCGGCCAAGCCAGCATGGATGCGGCTCGGTTGTTCATCTCTTGCCCATGGGCTGGGCCCCCAGCATTGTGGACATGGTTTGGTCGCCCGCAGGGGGCGGTCAACAAAAAAAAATGAAACGGGGTGAAGAAAAGTGTGGTCTGTCCCGTCTGCCGCAGGCTGTTCTTCTCTCCCCTTCCTCATCCCCTCCTTTCACCGCTCCCTTACCCCAGATTTCCCGTTGCCAATCTTCACGATGGCGACCACGACGACCACGACGACGAGAAGCCGCAGGGCCGCTAGCGAGGTCAAGTCGGCGCCTATCAAGCTCGTCGAAGGGCCCCAGTACCCCGACATCCAGACCATCCGCGACGCCATCCCCGCCCACTGCTTCGTGCCGTCCACTTGGCGCTCCCTGGGCTATGTCGTCCGCGACGTGAGCATGGCGGCGGCCCTCGCCTGGGCGGCCTTCACCTACATCCCGCAGATCGAGGACTTTGCCTGGCGCACCGCCGCCTGGATCGTCTACGGCTACGTCCAGGGCCTCGTCTGCACCGGCATCTGGATCCTGGCGCACGAGGCCGGCCACGGCGCCTTCTCGGTCCACCAGAAGCTCAACGACGTCGTCGGCTGGGTCCTGCACTCGGCGCTGCTGGTGCCCTACTTCAGCTGGAAGTTCTCCCACCACCGCCACCACCGCTTCACCGGCCACATGGAGAAGGACATGGCCTTCGTCCCCCACACCAAGGCGGACCGCCAGAAGCGGAGGCTGGCCGACCTGTACCTGGACCGCGAGCTGTTCGAGGACGTCCCGGTGGTGCAGCTGTTCAAGCTGGTGGTGCACCAGCTCGCGGGCTGGCAGATGTACCTCCTGTTCAACGTCTCGGCCGGCCGCGACAGCCAGCAGAGCAAGGCCAGCTGGTGGCGCGTGAGCCACTTCGAGCCCACCAGCGCCGTCTTCCGCTCCAGCGAGGCCCTGTACGTCGCCATCACCGATGTCGGTCTTGCCATTGTCGCCGGCCTGCTCTACCTCGCCTCTACCGTCGTCGGCTGGAAGATGGTCTTCCTGATGTACGCCGTGCCGTATTTCTGGGTCCACCACTGGCTAGGTATGTCTTCTCTCCCTTCCGTTGTTTGACGGCGCCTCTCTCTCTCTGTGTCGATCGCATAGCTAACAGCGCCATAGTTGCCATCACCTATCTGCACCACACCCACCCCGAGGTCCACCACTTCGAGGCCGACAGCTGGACTTTCGTCAAGGGTGCCCTGGCCACGGTTGACCGCGACTTTGGCTTCGTCGGCCGCCACCTCTTCCACGGCATCATCGACACCCACGTCATCCACCATCTCTTCCCGTAGGTCTTCCCATTCTCCGGCGCACTTGGCGATGCCTTCAGACGCTAACCCGTAAACAATAGGAGAATCCCCTTTTACAAGGCCGAGGAGGCCACCGAGGCCATCAAGCCGCTGCTAGGGGACCTGTACCACCGCGAGGAGCGCTCCTTCATGGGCCAGCTGTGGTCGACCTTCACGCAGTGCAAGTATGTCGAGGCGGACCCCGCGGCGCCTGGTGCGCTGAAGTGGGCGGAGAAGAAGTAACCGGGATGCGTTGCACGTATGATGTTTGCGTAGATACCCTTGGTCATGTGGCAAGATTTGGGTATAGATGATAGAGAAAGATAGACATAGACTGGGCCGGACCGCTGTAACGGAGTTAGCGTTCAAAGAAAGACCTGGTATCGTTTAATTATTTGCTTGGTGATATTTGTGACGATGTGATATGTAACTGTTGCCTTCGGCACCTTGGAAGGCAGAGGATTCGAGTTGGGGGGCCAAAAGAGGGAATAGCGAAGGTTAAGCAGGAAGAGCAAGAAGGTCGGGGTTGGGCGGGGAAGGAGAGAAAAGAATACCTATTATTTTTCCCCCTTTGCCTTTTACGTGCAACCTCCCCTCCCTCTTAGCCCTTATGAACACCTTTCTGCCTTCACAGTCCTAATGAACCTTCTTTTTCCTCGCCGCCCTCCCCAGATCCAAAGTCGACTCACTCCCACTGAAGCTGAAGCTGAAATCCACCACGCCGACCAGCCCACTGACGGCGCGCACCAACCCCTCCAGATCATCACACACCAACGTCGTGCAGACCTGGAGCACCGCAAACTCGGCATACCCAGGCTGCTCCACGTTCCGCGGATCCAGTATGTTGGCCACGGCGTGGTCCCGCCGGGCGTCCCCGAGCCGGTTCTTGTTCTGACTGATGAAGTCGTCCAGCCCGGTGTGGGAGTCGACCATTCTGATGGGGGCGCCATCGCCAGCATCGTCTTCGATTGTAATAGCCGGCACCGCGGCAGCGGCAGCGGCCTGGCGCATGCGCATCAGCTGGCGGGTCATCTCGTAGGGCCGCGGGAGGGGCAGGAAAGGGGGCAGGCTCTGGCCCGAGAGGAGGGCGTTGGACAGGAGCGTCATGGTCGAGAGGATGGTGTGGTGGGTCGGCTTGAGGATGTCGAGCACGTCGGCCAGCGCGCCCATCCATTCGCGGTTGGTGGTCGACGCCGACGGGCGGCGCGAGCGCGAGTGGAGGGACTGGGAGCCGCCGCGCATGTGGGAGCGCCGGGGGCGTCGCTCGTCGTGCTCGCCGCCGACCCTGTCGCTCCGGCGCACGCGGGTGGGGTGCATTATGGTGTAGCTTGTCAGGGTGAGGTAGGCCATGATGCGGGTGCTCCGCATGATGATGTTGTCGTAGGCTTCGCGTGGGAACCTGCCGCCGATGGTGGGCTCCCACTTCTGCCACTCCGAGTGCTGCGACATGGAGGGGATCAACATCATGACCTTGCCGAAGATCTTGCGGCCGACCTTGAAGAGTTGGTGGGCTGGCGTCCCCGTGGTGTTGACGTCGCCTGCGGTGCCATGGACATTCGATCTGAGCGTGGTGCTGATCACGCCGAAGTAATTGGCCAACAGGTAGAGGGTCGCGGATAGGTCGCGACGTAGCCAAGTTCGATCTGTCAGCGGCGAGGGGAAAACCGTCCAGAAGAAGGCAACCAAGCAGCCGGCTGCCACGCAGGCGACACGGTATGGTGCTAGAAGATATGTTCTGTGAATATTGGTTAGCTGGTTTGCTTCAGGATGCTTGCCGGGCGTAGTAGTTACACACGGATAGAATGGCTGGCCTGTTCGCTCCGAAGCTTCCTTGCCAATGGTGAGCACTTGGAGCTCGTAGCCTATGATGAGGACCTGTGTGACAATAGACATCAAGACGGCGGGGAGGAACCGTGGAAACTTGAGAAAGAAGTAGTAGTTGATGCAGATGGAAAGCCACAGGAAGACGATCACGCCAGGTATCTGCTCATTCACAATGTACCAGATGATGAGCGAGAGGCACATGGCGATAACCGTGCCCCCGACTCTGCAAAGAAAGCCGAAGACGGACTGGCCAGAAGCTGTGACAGAGGGTTAGGAGATCATGATTGCTCAAGAACGTGGAGGGGGAGTACAGCATACTCATCGTCACTGTCCAACAATGTTAGCTAAATCGTTCTGACTTGGAGGAGGCCCGTGGAGCTGACATACTTCCGATTGCTATAATGATCATAGCCCATACGAGCCTCTGCTCCATGAAAAACCGCTGGGTGTTCTCTAAAAAGGCTATGACCCCAATCGTCATTGTGGCACACGCAACCCGGAAGCCGAATGCGGACTCTTCAGAGCCAAAGAACTTGGTGAGCTTCCGCAGGCCATTGCCAAAGTGCTCCCAAGCTGTCTCGGGGGGCAGATGCTCGGGGTCCTTCTTGCGATTGTACGCGTTTCCAAAATTGACGAGGTTGGCGCCTGTCTCCATGACATCGGGTGTTTGATCCGGGGACGAGTCCTCGTTGCTGAAGACGGCCTTGAACCATTTGTGCAGGCGGTGGATCGTGGGCGCGATGAAGCGTTTCTTGGACATGGTGCCATTTTCGACCTTTTCGTCGGCAAAGTCGACGAGATCCTGAACGGCCTCGCCCGCGGCGTGCATGAGGTTCTCCATGTAGAGGATAATGTAGAGCTGCACCTGGTCTCGTTCGCTCCTGAAGTGGGACGGGTCGGTTGATTCTTCGTCGAGGTTGATGCCCCTCTCTTGAACCCATTTCTTCAACAACTCCCCCTTCCTCGAGTAGAAGGCCTGGACCTTGGCGTCGAGGACCAGAGCAAAACCAGAATCACCAGGCTTTGGTTCCTGCCCTGCTTCGAGGTCGATGTCGGAAGAACTGGATCCTGACTTTCCCGGTTTGCTGGGCTTCTTTTTGGGCCTTGGGACCAGTTCCAGGCATAATGCGGCATGCAGGAGGCCCTGGTCAACCGCCTCGGAGAGGATATCAAAGGGCTCTTGTACTTGTTTCATGACCTCGTTCCAAACATGCTTCTCTACCTCCTTCTCATCGGGGGCGCCTTCGGCGCTGTCCCAGTCTGGGCGCTCAGAAAAACGCTTGAAGATGTCAATAATGGTGTTCATCCCAAGCCTGCGAGTCGAAGTTAGTGACAAGTTCGGGGTTGGGGAAGGTCGAAGAGGCAATTGGGAGAGTCAAGGACGTACACAGGAACATAAACATTGCGGAACAGCTTGACCAGCTCGCTTATGTCTTTGGCGTTCAGCTTCCCCCATGCGATATCACGCTTCGCAAAAGGCAAGTCAGCATGCATCTTGCCTGCGAGCTCCCTCATCTTGGCTCCCGTCTCCTCCAGCGCCTTCGCTGCCTCGGCCTCCTTGCTCAGCTTCGGTTCGTCCTCCTTTTTGTGAGCCGTGCCGTCTCCTTTGCCTAGGAATACTTCGGTTTGCATCGCAGCATCAAATGTGGCGTCCGGTTTCAGACTCGCAAGGTACTTTTTCTGGAGCGAGATCAAGCTTCTGAGGAGGCCGATGCCGCCTGCGAGCTCTTTGAAGATCACTAGCCTGCTGCTGACGGGGAACACCAGCAGGTTCACGCACAAGGCCAAAGCGAGGGCAGTTAGCATGGCGGTCATCAGCTGCTGGACAAAAGCCTGCGCGGCGGCAGTGGTTGGTATCATAGGACCGAAGGTTGCCGAGACGTTGACCAGGATGCTGTAGGTGATGACGGGGAGGTTGAAGGCGGGCAACTTGGCGCGTATAACGTTGACGATCCAGATGTTGGCAAACAACCAGACGGCACAGACAGCTGACTGGCTTGAGTTGTACGAGGGTGCCGCAACAGGCTGAGACCCCATCGACGCGGTGTTGTGACGAGCTTGGACAGCGGACCAGAGCGCCAGCATGGACACTGCCGAGCCAACACACACGGCTAGGACGTTGAGAAAGAGGTTCATCAAGAACTTGCCCCGCGGCATAATGGGCATGGCAAACACGCTGATGACGGGGATGAGGTAGCCCAACGTGGTGAAATAGGCCGCGACAGGGCGTGACTGCAACATGGCGATGCCTATTATCGGAGGCAAAGAGCCCCTGATGATAGCGAGCCCGCGTTAGCGAGCGGCTCTGAACAGTCTCGGCAGTCATGAGTATGGAATTTGAACCTTACTTGAACATGGTGGTGAGAGTCGGCGCATCAAGGCCCAACTTGGTGATGAGGGCTACCAGCCGATGCGGCTTCTTTTCCTCGGCCGGCGCATCTTGACCTTCGTTCGCGCTGTTCCCCTTGCTACCATCGTCCTTGGTAGTCTCTTTCCTCATCCCATCCGTGGCCTCACTCGGCTGGCCTCCATTTGCTTGGGAAGCCATGGCTTCTTCTCCCTGGCTGGACCCCGGTTCGGGTATCGGGTCGTACGAAGGGGGTGTTATTGGGTGTGAACTCGGTGGGCCATGTCTTGTATTTGACATGGCGATGAGTAAGAACGGATAGGCCTCGCCAAAGGTTCAATGAGACGGGAAATGTCCTGTTTGTACTTGGTACTACCTGTGATACTTTCCGCCGTCACACAATCTTTACATTGACACCAGACGACTCCAGGGCGGAATGAACCGTGGAAGACATTGCACCGGGTCCCGCAAGCGTTGATCTGGAAGAGCATGATAGACATTTTTGATGCCGATATGGGGCATGGGAAAGGGCTGGGCCATGCGACTGCGTCATGAGCTGTGGGTTCCAATCGTGGGCTTGCGGGACCTCGGCATTAGCGGCATCCTGCCCTGCCCGCGCCCGGTACCTTTTTTGCTCAGGGGGGCTACCTGTCCGACCTGAGTTAGGTGGGTTGCTGCAACGCCTCCCAACTGTCTCGAGTCTCGAGTCGGCGGGTCTGGGAAGACGAACTCCTTATGCGTTCAGGAACTCCTTTTGATAACCGGCATATGCCTACAATAAAAAACCCAGAGATCGGGAGAACGGACGTGCCCATGGATGTCCGCATGTCGTTGAAGTGGGCAGTTAAGATGAGACGCGAGAAAGCACGAATTGAGCCCCCTGTTGGCCTGTGGTTGGTGGCCTGCAACCCTGCAATTGCAACTCGCCGTCCCGAGGAGGTTCCCAAGCAAGCACCTTCCCCCGGGCTGTCTCCGGTGGATTTTTCGGTGTGTTTTGGGCTGCGGTTGCCCTGTCTGTAAGACACGAATCCCTCTTGCCAAGCTCCCATTCTTGCGCTCTTTGGTGGTTGTCCATGCTCTGGAAAAGCCCCGTAGACTCGCGCTTTTGTGTGCTTTTTTGGTCGAGATACAGCCACCGTCATGAGTACGAAGTACCGACGCCGGCTTCATCAACCTGTTCGCCAACGACAGACCTATTGACCCACTGATTTGCAGCCTGGCCCCGGGATCGCCGGGACCGCGATCCCGCTGGGGACCACCGTTGGCCCTTGGCGATCTGGATCATCGTGGCTTGCGGGAGTCGGTTCTTGAGTTCGGGAGGAGGGCCATTTTATCAATTTCCAACCCGGTAATCCGTAGAACATGCGGCTTTCTTGATTGCCATGCACTCGCAAGCGTAACGTGAATATGTTCATTCTGTGCAACGGGCGTGGCCCGGCCGACCAGGCCAACCAGGTATTCCGGGAGCTCCGGTACGCTCACCTTGTTTCATCAGGGCCGAAGTGCTGCGGCACGGGTGCCCGGCCACGCAGCTCACCTCAACCCGTTGCAGACCACGCCCATCTCGGTGACCCATTGAGGCGAGGCAACCAGACATATTTCGCAATCCCTCCATTTCCCTCTCAACCCGAACTTTCTCATGTCGGTTCTTACCATGATCACCAGAGCCGTCAAAGAACCCGTTTCTCGAGACATGGCAAAGGGTCCTAACTAGCCCGAAACCCACATCCTCGCACTGTTGATCATATCATAGAAAGAAAGCATATACACTTCACCTACACCATGCCAACCTATTACACCCCTCCCCCCTCACCCATACCAGCAGCCTTGCCGCCCTCCCACATCTACCCACCCCACGCCAACTCCTTCTCCCACCCATCCACCACCACCACCACCCCAAGCAGCAGCCGCACCCGCCCCGCACCCAACAAACCCAACAACCCAACCGAGCCCAAGACAAAGGCGCCCTACATCTTCCTCGGCTCGATCGCCGCCGCCTCGCTGCTGGCACACAAGTACTGGCCGCGCGGCTACCCGCACAGCGACAAGGAGGACTGGGAGCTGTCCGGGCTGGCGCGGCGTACCAAGGAGCGCCGGCTGGCTGAGAAGGCGGAGAAGGCTGAGAGGGCGGCGCGTCGTCGCTCTCAGAGTGGGAGTGGGGGTGGTAGTAGTGGGAGGCGGGGGGGTAGTGTTGGGTTTGGGGTGGATGGTATGAAGAGTGGTGGTGGTTATCGGGATGAGGGCTGGGGTCGGGGCGGGTATCATCGGGGTATGGATGGGGGAGAATACGGGCGTTTTGACTATGGTGGTGGTGGTTGGGGACGGGAGATGGGCTCAAACGACGGCTGGGAAAGGGGGAGAGAGCGCCGGGGATCGTTCGCCAGCCACAGCCGCAGCGTGAGCCGGGGAGGACAGCGAGACTACAGCGTGGACGGCTACGTCGAGACCCCATACAGGCGAGCCGGCAGCCGCGACGTTACCGAGGGCTTTACGACGACGGACCGCTATTACCCGACCGCCCCGAAGCGATACCTCCTGGAACAGAGCGCGTCCACGACCGGGTCGTCAAGCTCCGGGTCACGATACGTTCTTGAGAGGAGCTCGTCGAATGCGGGATCGAGGTCTACGGGTTCGTCGCAGCGCGGGTACTACGAGGAAGACCGTCCAGGCGAAGTCATCTACGTCTACCGAAATCCGCCGGCAAGGGCGCGGCGAGCTTCTTTTGACGCGGGTGGGGTTAGACGTGAGGGGCATGATTGGTATTATCGATGAGGTAGTGTCATTTTGTACGTCTGGGTTCACGAGCGCTGGTGATGTTTTTAATATGTAAACGCATAGAACTGGTAACCTGTTAGAGGTTTAATTGTAGATGGACATTAGAATTTAGACCGGGTTATACCACTGACAAGGACAACTGGGATGCCGTCATGGGTGGCCACAACATCACCGGCGCGGTCGACTGCACCAACGCAGGAGCTCATAGATTGATCGATTTATTTATCATTCTCGATTTCTTTCCCAGTTCAAGCACATTGATCCATGGCCGTATCTCAACGCCCCTAAAAGTACACCATATTCTAGCTGGCAAGTTGCCGACTCAGCAGCCGAGCTCGTCAATGTCATCATCGTCTTGAAGAACCTGCTTCCGCTTCCTGCTCTTCAAAACGGCCCTCTTCGGGATTTTGGTGGGGCTCGTGTCCGGCGAGGTCTTCGGGGAGTCTTCTGAACCCTTCGACTCTTCAGGCGTTTCGAGACCCCCAGCTTCAAAGCCATTCCAACCCGCTCCCGCGGTCTTTGCGACCAAGTACGGATTGATATCCGCACTGAACCATCTCTCGCCCCTTGTACTGCTCCTTGAACCGCCCTCCAGGGCCGAAAGTGCCGCTCTGGTGGTTCGCATCCGCTTCGACCCTTGGCCGCCTTTACCACCTTCGCTCACGAGGCTGCTCATCTTGATTCGCTGCCTTTGAAGCCGTGATTCGTAGGCAACGATACTTCGGACGTACGGCGCTACGTCAAGGGTAATGAGCTTCAATGTACGATCAAAGACCGAGGGCTCAAGGTGCGAAGCTAGCTGTAGCGGGGGTGTGTCGGGAGCGGCAATCGGGTCGAATGCGAAGGCAAAATCCATGCGGCCGATGGCGGGAGAACTCGGCAGAGTGGACGTAAAACTGTTCTGGAGACGGCAAGTTGCACTGGTTTCGTCTAGAGGTCTCATGGTAGGCACTGCTTGTTCTCCGAGCTTTTCAGCTTGCGGATCTAGCAAGGACCTGGCAAGAGACTTGATAGTGGTAGCAATGGACGTGCAAAGAGAGTTGTAGTGAGTGATCATCGGCGTTTCGAGGTGTGTGACACCGAGCACGAAATCGTCGCGGGCTTTGGCTGGTAGCGCTGGTTGAGTAGCGTCCATTGATTCCTGTGACTCCAACGGTTAGGCCCGACACGGTCCCGGACTGGATCGCGAGTAACTCACCTCTTTGAATGCGGCAAACGACCGGAAAGAACACACGTCTGCCGCGCTCATCGCTTCAGCTAGGTCATCATAAGCACACAGCGCGGCCCGACGGTCGGCAGCATTTTCGAAAGTCGGTCCTGGACCCTCTGCCCAAGAGATCATCTCTGGCGAATCCTGCCAGTGCCCCAAGTCAATGCCCCACGAATCCCAAGCTTGGTAGAGAACCTCCTCCTCAACGAGCCGTGGAGAAAGCATTGGGTCAATAATGGGGTCCCGCCCCAGGAGGTTCATCCCCGCTCGGTACGTGTCCTGACTGATGACCCTGACCACCTCCTTGTTCTCGTCGAGATCGACTCCCTTTGGCCAGCGAGGATAAAACCAGTCGAGGCCGCCCCTTCGGTCGCCCACTCCAATCTGGCACCAATACTGCATGTCCATTGTGGTGGCCCGTAGATCACAACCGCGAGAGTCGTATAGCTGCTCTACCGACTGCCTGGCGAGCGCATGGCCTTCGTTGGCCGCAATGAGAAGGAGACGATCGACCGCGAGGTCTTTCGGTGGAGTACTGAGTCGAAAGATGCCGTGAAGCGTCAGCATATGCAAGGGAACAAGCGTTTCGTCGTTGCATGTCATGATGAACGGTCGCTTGGCCTGTGCGATTAGGCCGACCAGTGTGGCCCAGAATTGTTTATCCTCCTCGTAAAGAATGTCCACCTCTTCGAGGAGGATCAACGACTGTCGCTGGACTTTAGATGGCTCCTTCTTCACTTCGCTTTGCGAGGTCTTGGCTGGGGTCTTTGCTGGCTGCTTGGATTTGGGCCCTGCTGCTTTGGCTGTGAAGAAGGCATTCATAGTTGGCTGCTTGCCTGACTTGATGTCGTTGGCTGTGTCGTCCTCTGCAGCGTCTTGATTGTCCGGCGCCTCGGAGGACTGATGCTGTTGAACGTGATGATTCCTTGTCATATCTCCGATCTTTTCCAGTACGTCCTTCCCGTTCCGCCGACTGCTCGCATTGATCTCGAAGACCTCAAAGTCCAGTTCTTTAGCCACGGCGTACACTGCGGCAGTTTTACCGCACCCCTGGGGGCCGCTGATAACCAGCGCATTCGCGGTTTTGTTGCCGTCCCTGCCTTTCGCTCGGTTGCCAGAACGGACGACTGTCTTGCGGAAAATACCCCGGCTCCCGCTAGGAGCCCAGTCGGCGTCATCCTCGGACTGGTCATACCACTCGTAGCCTTCGTCTTCACTGGAGACAATAAAGCCATCGAGTTTCTTTCTCCTCTTCTTTTTGCCAGCACCCGTGGACTTCGACTTTGACCCAGCCTTTGCCTTGTCGGTCTCAAATGTGGAACCAGTGTCTACCGCCTGTACCATCAGCGCTTGAAGCCAGTCTCGCAACAGAAATATTTCCTGTCCCGGCTGGAGCACTTCGGTGGCGGTTATTGGAGCATACTTCTGCACCCAGTTGGAGGTCTCGCATTGGGACATGTCAAATGCCGATAGGGATGAAGATATGGAAGTGAAGAGACGGGCCAGTTGTGGGGGAGCTCGCATGGTGCTACAAGGCCCCTGGGTACTTTTGAGGGAGGACTGGAAAGTTCTGAGCTCGGGGATGATCCGCGACTGGAGCTTGCTTCCACTCTCAAAGTGTTTCTGTGGGAGACGAAGTTCGGGGGGTGGAGGGATAAAATTATCCGTGTCGATGTTCTTCACAGCCTCAGCCATGACTGAAAGTTGCATCGAGTCGGCAACGGTGTTGATAACGGACTCGCTCGGCAACATCCTGACTGCATTCCCTTTCGACTTCCGGATGACAAGAGGCAGAGGGTCGGCTTTTACGTCTGGGGTATCGTTTTCATCGCCCCGGACGTGCACCATGCCCTGCCATGGCCATGCTGGTAGTTTTGCGCCCGGAAACTTCAGCCCCAAGCTTTTGACACCAAATTGAGGCATAGGAATCTTCGAAGTAGGGCCCATACGGGGCTTTTTCGGTGAGCACGGTGTCGCGCAGTAGTGCTTCGTACGGGTGCTGGTTGGGGACGAGCTGGTTTTTTTTGGCTTGGGACCGGTAGCAGGCGGATCGTTTATTTTGGGTTGACCCAGGAAGAAGGGATGGGTGGTGGTGTTTATGGGTTTCGGTGTAGGTGTCTCCGTTGCTTTCGGCAACTGCTTTTTGGTGTTGGACGTGGGTGGTTGTTGGATGCTGGTGGAGGAATTCTGTGTTCTCCCGTCGAGGATGGCATTGATTAACTCGCCCAGCCTGGCGCGAGTTTTCAGATCCGGTCCGTAGGTGATACGCACGACTTTTGAAGCCGGCTTTCTACCACGTCTGCCAGCCGCCTTTTTCCCAATTTCGGTTTCCGATGCGGCAACCCGGGGCTCCTTCGGTTTCGGGGGTGATCCGATCGTGCCAGTCTTGGGGTTGAACTGCAACATCTTCTTCGGCGGTTTGGCCGGGCTAGCTACAGCAGCCTGGGACGTTGCAGCCGGGCCGGAGACACAACCACTCATCACCGCATTGGGCTGCTCGTTAGGAGATGGCTTAATGTCTAGGCCGATGGTTGGGCAATCACGGGTGCCATGATTTCCTTCTGCCGTAGCGTGTATGGAGAGCTGGACGTTTGCCGCAGATGCACCGACAGCACCGACACCGACGCCAGAACTGCCAAGGTCGCTCGTGTTTTCGCCTTCGCCTCCGTTGTTGAGTTTGATGAGATGGTTCCCGATATCCCCATCCCCCGCCGAATTCCTCGTCCGTTTGTTTGGCCTCGTCTCCCTAGGCATATCTTCTGCATTCGAGTCTTGATCGGCCTTGCGTCGTCTGCCGCGCCGCGCCGCTGGGTTTTCCGTGATATCATCTCCTGTTATGGCGTCTGCAGTGGATGGGGCAACGGGTTGATGGACGTGTGGATTCGGCGCGTCATTGGCGGCGGGATTCTCTGCTGTCGGTGTGATCGGGCGGTTCTGCGCGAAGAACGGGTGCACCGGTCGCCGAGCCGCCGAGTCGGCTGCCGGGGCATTTTCGGTCATGGTGAGCACCTCGATGGGACCCATTGGCGAGAAGTGACCCCAGACTATAGAGCAAGTTGATTAGTCTCTACTTGAATAATTCGATACTGGAACTGTTGAACCGCGGCGGGGTGTAAAATGTAAAAAGAAGTTGGACTGACGGCGTACAGCGGTGCTTAGAGAATATGCTGGGCCGGGGCAAGAACGTGGTTGTGAGTTATCATGCTGGGGAAAAGTCGAACAACGTCATAGAGAATATATTAGACAAACGCCATGGAAATGCTTCAGAAAGACACGAGTAGTCGTTATGGAACGGGAAGAGAAACTGCAAGAAGCGTCACTATTCAGTGGTTGTTGGCGAAGCTCTTCCAGGCACGCGTTGCCGACCCGCGCGTCGCGCTTCCGTCAATTGAACTGGCGCGCTGGTTAAGTTGCCCCACTTCACAGCGGCCAGGGTCCGGGCACCCGCCGCCTGCCTGTGGAGCTCAACTATGGGGGCCTGGTGTCGGGGCTTGGATGAAAGATAGGCCGGGTCAAATCGATAAGCCCACCACCCTCCCCCAATCGGGACCCCACTTAATTTTTTGCGATGCGACGGAGCAGCCTCTTTTTTTTTGTCGAGCGAAGCTACGCGATAATGGCGATGTACTCGTCGTGACAATTCACGCCCGTGTCAATTCGCTGCCCTGGTGTAATCAAAATGGCGGCAAAACTTCAGATACACACGCCATACGTGCTCCAGGCACTTCCGCGCCCGCTTGACGGCCCAGATGGCTCGGGTCGCTACCTCGCCGGAGACGTTTTCGGTCAGAAACAGGACGACAAGCGGCGCAAGAGGACGGAGCTCGCCGTAGCGATTGACGGCGTTGCGGTATATCTATACGATGTTAGAACTCTGGATTTGCTTGTTCTTCGCCCTTTATGCTAAACCATTTTCAGATCATCTCCTCCCAAGCTGTTACATCGTATCTCGTTTCACCTCAGTCCGTTTTCACCTGCGCGCCGTATTCCCTGCGTTGGCGACCGGCATCGTCCAAGACGGCCACACGTTATACCTATGTTTCACTTTTGACGGGCGACGCCTCCTCGTCTTCCTCGAAGCGGGAGATCAAGCTGTTCAAGGAGACCTCCGGAGCAGGGACGACAACTGCGACTCCCGTTTCCCATACCCTCCGCTGCGATGCGCCCATTGTCCACATTTTCGCCAGCTCGCCACGGAGTTCGAAAACAAATCCTGCGACCGACGAATCATCAAATCACGATCTGGTTGCCTTGGCTGCTGACGGCACCATCTTGTGTTTGAATGGGGAAACACTCGAGGAGAGGTGGCAGGTGCCATCGTCCGTGCTATCAAAAGAACTCCTTCTGGGTTCAAAGTCGGAGCTTCGTATTGACTTTGCCCAGCCTACACTGGCGGCGGACGTGGTTGATGGGATGTTTGATGGCAAAAACGAACTCTTTGGTGTCTTCCAAGAGAAGATCCACCGCGATGGTTTCAACCCAGACTTTCTAATCGTGATTACCTCGGACAATTTATCTCAGAGGCGGCACTTGCACGTCCTTGCATTGCCCTCGGAGAGGGAGGCACAGCAGACGAGCAACGAGCGTCTCATTTCGGTATTCGCCGCTCCGCTTCCAGTCGAAGTAGATTGCGCAAAATATCAGCTCGATGTCAGGTCCGGGACACTACAAACGCTGTCTGGGGGCACGATTTCCACCTATGGCTTTAGCAACGGCATACCCCGACTCGAAAACAAGCTTCAAGTCCCAGGTCTAACTTCGTTTCTCCGACTATCGAAGACATCGGTCCTCACAGCGGCCGCCGATGGCTTCTCGGTTTACAACCCGATCTACCGGTCGCTCCAGGCCAGCACCCCCGCCGACACCGAGGCATCAGGAGATGTGGCAGGGACATTCGAATTCGTTACCTATCTCGCCAGCCGGGAGATCGCCGTCTGTCTGCGTGGGCCAAATCTCACCGCCGTCCAGATCGAGGCGCCGAAGAACCGGACTACTAAGCGTCGCGCAGAAGGCTTGCTGACGGATGCAATCCGTCGCGGCATCTCTCGAGATATCTCCGGTCAAAAGCGAGTCCGAGCGGACCACCCCGTCTCTGCCGTTCTCGCGGAGCCTGGACCTGGTTCGACGGAAGCGTCATGGCCGGAATGGCAGAGCAAATCCGCGCAAGCAGACGAGCTTCTCCACAACAACGACCTCCGCTCTTGGGAAGAGCTTTTAGCAGATGTTCTCAAGGTCCCAATCAAGTCAAGCGAGTCTGAAACCGAAAAAGGGGCGCTGACGAACGGAACTGCTTCTCCGACGCACCTCCCAGAGTGGGAATGGCCATCGTCAAGGGCCGAGTATCCGCGCGTTGATAGGCGTTGGGTCTTCTATGCCATTAACAAAACCTTTGCTTGGAACGAACAGAGCGATGACTCGAATGCCTCACGGTTGGCATGCCGCTTCCCAGACAGCAACGTCCTGAGCTATCTCGTGGATGCCGGGCACTTGTCGACACCAAACATCAAATCGGCGTTCAAGGACGAGGTTCGGGAGGTGAATGAGGCTGAAGAAATCATCGGGGCGGAAATACCCGTTCTGCTAGCCGAGGCCGATCCCACAATGCAGCTCCTCTTGGGGTACCTCTCGGGGACGCAGCTCGGGTCGACGGAGCTGGTTTCTTCCATCAAGCTTCTACTCCGCAGCCTAGGCTTGTTTGAAGATTCCTCGAAGATCCTGATGCGGCTCACAGAGAACGGTGAAGAGGCACACGGGCAAGGAAATGAAGAAATCACTATGGAGTTGGACCGGGCAGAGGAGGAGTTGCAAATCACGGAACACTACTTGGGCGGGCATCGGACGAGAGGTTTAGGGGTTGCTTTCAGCAAATTGGCGGCGTGCCCTGCGGTGGCGACGGTTCAGAGCCTTCGCCGTCTCTTCAAACCCGAAGAAACCATCGGCTTGATGAATGTGTTGCGGGCTGAGCTCATCAAGGACGGTTGGACTACACGCTATCTCGACCGAACCGGGGCCGACCAGGGAGAGATCGAAGCGCCCCCCGACGGGAGCATCCAGCTCATCGCAGACCTCATGTCTAGATGCATTGACTCCGTGGGCCTGGGCGGGTGGATGGCTTCCGACACCATGCTCGCAAGCTCACGCAGCCAGGAAGACTCGGCCGATTTCTTTAGCCAGTTCCAGGCTGAAGTCAGCGTGGCCCTGGAAGGTATCATGGAGGCTGTGCATCTGCAAGGGGCGCTGGCGGAGACAGTCAGCTACGCAAAAAGGGCGAGGAAGGCGCTTGCGGGTTCGGCAAAGACCAAGACCGTGTCTCTGCCCATGACCGAGGAACTGCCACTGGGGCTCAAGACGGACACCCGGGTTTCTACGGAGAGGGTCAGGTCCGGCGGCGAGATCGTCCCTCGGAGCAGCAGACAGGTCGGCCATTTCGTCAGCAAGAAGCGGGGAATTTACTCGGTGCATCGGATATCGGAGGAGACACTGCAGGGTGGAGCTGGCGCCACTGTTGTTCAGGAAGCCCGCTGAGCTTGCCGACAGAGGATTGGAACTGGAGACTGGAGAGGCTCGATGTAATGCATGTTGGATTATCTTGGCTGTGGATAGCGTATGCAATCTTGTGGTTATGACCATGTCCGGGTGCCAGTAAGACAAGTTAGCGGAAAGGCCGGCAATGTGACACCTATGGGCCGGCGACTTGTTTGAGCCTCATCGGCATCACATTCCGAACCGAGGAGTCTGGATGCCCCGCACTCCCTAATCCAGGCGCTGCCAGCTTACACAGCCTGAGACAGCAAACATGCATTGCGTCTCGACCCCGGTGCCTCTTTTGAACCCACCTGCAGCGCCCCATCGTTGCGACGAGCATAGAATGTAACCATCTTTCTCGCTATGGTGGTCTCTTTTAGAGGGTAAATCTATGGCACCCACACCATCTTTAACTTGCTGCCTCGACGACGCATAATATGACCTCAACGAGAGCCCGAGAGAAGCAGGAATCATCAGGCGGAAATGCGCTCTGCCCATCCGTTCTCTCTCACCTTTGCCCGAATGGGGTACCGAGGTGACTCACTGTGGAAATAAGACTATGTACACTTGTAGATGGACTCCCAGGGCGGCGCGCTAAACGAAACGTGGAGGTCGGCGATCTCAGACCACAGATATTCTAGAAGCGGCACCGAAATGCCAAGTTGGGAGCCACGGAGCGCCCCGCCTCCACAGCCTCGCTCGGCGATGATGAGTGAGTGGATGGGTGGATGAGTGAGTGGATGGGTGGATGAGTGAGTGGATGGGTGGATGAGTGGTGACTGGGCATGAATCTCGCCTCCTCTCGCTACTGAGCTGTCAGATTTCACGAGGAAATTGTGCCGGCCAGGGCTCGGACGCATTCAGAGTTGGCCTCTTCCCCATCGTAAGTGGACTGGACTGGAGCACAGCACAACAGGTTGGGCTGCACTGCCGAGCCCATCGGCATCTCCATTGAGGCAAGATCTCGCGGATTCGATACAACTCCGTCCACCATAACTGCCGGTTTTGCCACCCTTGGAATTGTTGAACGTATCAGAAATTTAGAGACAAGAAGTGCCTGTTGGGAGATGTGTTCTGAATTTAGACTCATTTTATTCTTTGGGGTCGGTGTTTCTCTGAGGCCGTTTCTGCGGCCCAGCGCCGAGATTGTGCCATGAAGGTTGGATGGAGTTGGGATGAACTGGCAAGATCCAACGAAACGTTCTGGCTCGCGGGCGCAGCTACCCTGCAGAAGACCCTGGAAAGTTTGATGCCCGCCACCACCCCGCTTGCAGGCAGCTGGCGGCTGGACGTCATCGGCCGGATTTGCTGGGGAGAGCTGAGCAGCCTGCCATTGGCCAGCCCTAAAAGAACCCCGGCTGGTGACTGACTTGGAAGACTGGCTGCTGCTGGATCTGCAGGCGCTGCAACCGACCAGACGTCACTTGGTCTTTCATGTCTTGCCTTGTCCCACATCGAAGCCCACACACACCACACCTTCCAAGTCATTCAGGCCGCCGCTATTTTCTCCCTTACCGAGCCTCGCGGGACCGAATGGATGATGGAGGTATCTGCTGTTGGTTGGTTGGTATGGAGCTCCTCGCTTCATCATGGGTTGAGACCTGTGCCTCTGCGGTGCATTTGTCCCGGGGGTTGGTGGTTGGTACAGGGTAGGTGTTCTGGGTCGGTATTGATGCCGCCGATGCTCGGGATGGGGAAGCCCCATGTTGAGCCTCGTGAGGAGTGCTCGGCGGCGCTAGTGCCACATGTTTTGATGACATGCTGGAATGCTGGCTTGGATGCGTGGGTGCCAACTGACTGACACCCTTTCGGGGACCACAGTCGATCTTGTTCGCCATTCGTCAGTGGTCGGGTATCGAGCCCGAATAACGCCAGGTGATCGTTCCTTCCTCCCTTGACAGCCAAAGTGATTTCGTTTCTCCTTCAGTCCCATTCAGTTTCTTCAAGTTGCCATCTGCCAGTGTCTCTCATATCCCCAAGGTTACCGTTTCGAGACTTATTGTTCGCGTTTGTTGCTGCGCCCCACACTGTCATCCTCCAACCTCAACTGAGCCTAGTGACCGACGACCGAGTCTGCCACTGTGCTGACGATTCAGCCTCTTCCTTCCCTGCCATACTACCTGACTGAAACTCTTTCGCTTGGCACCGCGCCTCCCCCGGAGGGAGAGACGGACCACTCAGATCTGGTGTGGAAGCCTCCGGGTGAATCACTCCCATGACAAAAACAGACGACACCCCCAGCATCGAGTCCGTCGATGCCTTCGCGCGGCAGCTATATCGGCGCACTCGCGATGCTGGCACGGATTTCGTCGACCTGGCAATAGCCATCCGCAACCTCCACACCTCATTAAAGCATCTGGACGCCGAAGCCCAGGACGGCGACTCGCCCCTTCATGACCGGTCGAACCCCGGTGGTGGCGTGACGCAAGTTTCCGTTTATACGAGGCAGTTAGGGTCCCTCATTGAGGATAGTGATTTTGCCCTCAAGCAGGTCAACACCATCCTCGAGAAATACGGGGAAACCGCCGAGGGAGGAGCAAGAAGGAACTCAGACCTGTCAGAAACGGCCCGCAAGATCGATCTCATTCGAGGAGATGTCGTCTCCCAGAATATGAAGATCGATATCTTTCTCGACACTGTCCAGCTACATAACCCTGTGAAGACACAACCTGCCCTTGGGAACGTTGACGATCAACAAATGGATGAGATCAAGAACAAGGTGGATGCCGTCGCCAACCGTTTGTTTGCCCAACGGAAGGACCGCTCGCCAATAGAGGCGGACGAAGATGAGCTATGGCGCAGTTTCAAGACGGAGCTGGAGCGGGAGGGCTTCTCGCCCGAAGTGTTGCGCAAAAACAAGGTAGGCGCCACTGCCCCTTTCCCACTGCATGTGGGATTAAACAATAACCATGGCATGAGCTAACTCGCGTGTCACAGGACGTCCTGCGTGCATACATTCGCGAGCTTGAGTCTCACCAAGCGCTCGGCGGCGGGACACCGCCATCGGTACGCGGGTTGCTTGAGTGGGATGCCAAACCGCCAATGACTACCGCATCTGCGTCGTACCCAATTCGCGACGGAGACTCGAAGCCCAACCCGGACACCGGACATCACAGCAATGAAGGGCGGTGGCGCGTACCGACGCCCGAACGGGCTGACCATATGCCCCTTTATCCCCAGCCATCTTCTCCCGCTCTTCCTCAGTTGAGCTTCGAGCAGTCCACTTCGTCCGAGTTGTCTGAAACGGAACCTAGTCCTCCATCTAGCACAGCTCTCATCTCGACCAGAGAGCTTATGGCTTTTGATCGTTATTCGACTGGGAAGGTTGCTGCCCTCACCGCTGTGGGCGCCTCCCTCTTGTCACCTACTCGGGCCCCGTTTTATTTCATCTCACCCGGCACGTCCCCCAACACGAGATACCTCCCGCCGGGAGCTCAACCCTTGCCCATCCCTGGCGCTGTTGCGCCCGGGCCCGACGGCCAGCCAGTAGTGGTACCCCCTCCTCCCTACTCAAGCACCTTATCCCCAGGCTCGCCGCCGCCTCCCTATGGCAGCAGCTTGACCACTTCCGCCTCGGATGCTGCCTGGGATCTCACAACGCTACCGGCCTCAGCTCCCGCCGCCGGTCATGACCTGCAGCAGTACCAAACCCCACCACGGCAACAGAGCAACCTTGCTCCCGACAGCAAGGGCCAAACCATTCCTTTGGACGCCACATGGACCAAGGTTGACCGCAAACTGATATCGCCTGAAGTGCTGGAGGAGGCGGGCGTGCGGTATGAGGCCCGGCCCAATTTCGTCGCCGTGCTCGGGGTCCTGACGCGCGAGCAAATCGAGGCGTACGCGCGAAAGAGTTTCGAGGTGCGTAACGCGAGGAGCTCCCCCGCAGCCAGAGCCGCCGAGGCCGAGATGCGGGCGAGCCAGGAAACGTACGGTGACCACTATAGAAAGAGAGGAGGAGGCGGCGGCCGTAGGGAATCTGCAAGGGACGACGGACCGGATGCGCTCTTCGATGCGAGCGAGAGCGACGACGACGACAACAACCGCCGCAGAGGAGCCGCTCGGTCCGGTGGTCGCAACCGATACACACCAAAGGAATACGGCCCGAACAAGCACCTCGACGGCGAAGACGACGAAAAGGGCTCCAAGGTCTACCCCATTATCGTCTCCCCGCCGGCGAGCGTCAACGGTGACAGCCTCTCGCCCTCGAGTACGGTAGCACCGAAGCCGATTCTAAAGAACAAGAACCCGAACCATGTGCGGTTCGAACGCAGTGGCCCAAGGGAGATCTCGCCAGCACAGTATTCCGATCGCCGTCGCGACCGGGAGCGGGAGCGGGAGCGGGAGCGGGAGCGGGAGCGGGAGCGGGACCGGCCGCGGGATCGAGACCGAGATCGGGAACGGGACAAGGAGAGGCCGAGGCGAGATAAGTCGCGGGAGAGGTCGAGAGACAGGTCACACGGCGTGGCGGATGGAGAGCGGGATAAGGAGAGGGACCGGGAAAGAGATCGCGAAAGAGATCGAGAAAGGGATCGGGATGCGGAGCACCGCTCGTCAAAACGACACTCGGAACGAGACCGAGACCGAGATCGGGAAAAAGATCGGGATCGGGATCGCGACCGTGACCGTGATAGGGACCGTGATAGGGACAGAGATCGGGATAGAGATCGTGACCGCGACCGCGACCGTGACCAGCGAGGACAGGGAGAAGAGGACCGGCCGTCGAGGAGGACCGCCCTGAAAGACGCTGCCGGTGCCATTGGTGTCAGCGGCGCCGCGGCTACGCTGCTGAGCGTCTTGACGCAGGCCGTGACCCATCTCTAAGACGGGGCGTGTGTCTCCTTTGCTTTTCTTGTCTTTTTTCCTGTCCCTTTTCTTATGTAGGAGGAAGAAAAAGATCAGCGATGGGGGCTTTCCTTAGTGCAAAGGGTCATGAGATTATACCCCTATTTCATTTTCACGGACATTTAATGGCTTACATGAGGGCGTGGTTGGTAAATAGGAAATGGATTTGGTGCAGGCTCATTCACACAAGATTCTGGCCAGGGTTTTGTTCACGGTGTTCTCTTTTTTCCATCGTTGTGCTCATCTCATGTCATCATCATGTAGCGCACTTGAGTTGCATGACAACGGAAAACGGAATGGAGATACCCAGATTGCATTGCGGTCGTAATCCTGCCATACCCTGAAGCTACTCATAAAACCCGTAGAACCCTGAAATGCTGAATATGCCGTCTGATCAACGCTCGCTCGCTCGCTCGTTTCCCCATTTTAGCATATCATATCCATCCCTTGTTAGCATCCCTTTCCCAATATCATGATACCAACCCCCCATCGTCGCCCAACTCCTACCCATTACCCACCCCCCTCCCCATACCCACCTCCTAAAAAGCCCAACCCACCACCATCACCGCCATCACCACAATCACCGCCACCACCGCCACTATCACCGGCGCCTCGTCCGCCTCTCCCCCCCGGCAACAGCCCCATACCGCCCCTGCCCCTGCCCCTGCTGCTGCATCGAATCATACCCACCCATCTCGGCCAGCGTCAGCCGCTTCTGTTTCGCCGCCGAGAACTTCTTCTCCGACACCTCCTTGCCCATCATCTTGCTCATCAGCTGCTCCTTGTAACCCCTGGCCTCCTCGTCCTCGTACTCCAGCTGTGTCGCGGCCGGCGGGGCGTCCGCCGCGGGGAGTTTGGTGGTAGCCGTGGTGGTGGTGGTGGTGGTCGTGGTGGTGGCGGCTTCGCCGTTGCTGGTGCTGCTGGCGGCGGAGACGTTGCTGATGGCGCGGCCGAGGATGTTGCGCTTGCGGCGTTTGGGTTTGGCTAGTGCGCCGAGCTCGGCGGGTGCTTCGTCGCCGCTGGCGTCGGGGCCGCCGGGGAGGGGGATGGCGGTTGGGGTGGAGGCGGTTGTGGGAGTGGTGCCGAGTTTGGAGGTGGTCGAGTCGAGGAGGGAGGTGACTAGTTTGGTGGAGATGGCGATGCGCTCGGCTGCTGCCTTTTCGGCGGCTTCGAGCCGTTGCTTTTCTGCTGTTGGGTCTGAGCGTGCGCTTCGCGGTGTAGCCTCCCCCGCGTTCTCCTGGTTATCTTCTACTGGAAGGTCCTCAAGTTGGGCGACATCACCCTCGGTGGCTTCGGAATCTGCCACTTCGCTGGCTATCCTGCCGAAGGACTTGCGGGGTGCTGGAGGATCGGGGTTTCGTGGTGTGTTGGTGGTGGTTTTGTTTAGCGCGCTGGAGGATGCCTCGGAGAGTGGTGCTCCCGAAGCTAGCGACTTGGTGCCAAAGCTGATGTGGGCATCATTTGTTGCGAGCGCGTGAGTGGGGGCTGTGTCAAAGTGCGTGGTAGTCGTGACATTCGAGTCGTGTTCAGTTACCGGAGGCGCTTTGCGGCGGGTTGACTGCTGCAGGTCTTCCTGAGCGGTCACGAACGCCGACTCATCAAGATCACGGCGCTGTTTCGGCTTGGTGGACGGCTTTGGCAGCAAGTCGTTGTCTATGTCGCCTTTGCTCGACGGTTTCTCCTGCTTGCCCTGCGTGTTGTTCTTGCCTTTCCCCTTTCCGCTGGGCTGGATGAGTACTTTTGGGCTGTCGACATTCTGCTTCAGCTCTGGAAACAGGAACCGCTTGATAGGGGTATTGGAGCCGGTTGCTATGCATTCCCATAACCAATCGGCACTGACTACTGGTACCCCCCATGCCAATGCCAACTCAAGCTTTTGTTTTCGAACCACACCCAACGATGGGCACACGAGAAGTGACACGTTCCCAGTGAACCGTTCCTCGTACTTGGCGCCCAGCTGCCGGACGGACTTGTCTGCTTGGTTGAGGTCAACACCGGTGAACCCGGCGGTGCAGATAGTCAGACCCTCGAAGCCCGGAATCGGAAACAAGGGGAAAGGTCGGCCGATGGCGTGTTGGGAGGGGTCGAAGAAGTACTTTTTGTGCAGACACCTTTCGATGTAGAACTCCGTAATGACGTGGAGGTTGTCGGGAGCTCGAGGATGCGTTTCCGAGCGGGAGGCTTGCGGCACGATGAGGAACCGGTGGGATAGTTGGGCACCGGATGTGGAGACGGCCTCCTCGAGAGAGTGGCAGATCAACCCCCCGAGCGAGGCAATAGTGTTGACCAAGATCTCGGTCTTCTGCGCCGAGAAACCATGCACGTAGAAGCAGCAGGAGGCGAAAACAGCGCTGTCTGCCGGGACCCCAAAGGATGAGAGTTTTGACCCTTGAGTATCGTGTAACTTGCGACCCGTTAGTTGTGTTGGTTGTGTGGATTGTGTGGGCTGTGTGATCTGAGTAGGTGGTAGAGGCTGCCGATTTGCCCCGACCTGTTGGGGGGGCGCAGCGGGCGCGGGCGCAAGGTCGGAGGCTTGCGGTTTCCCCAAAATGTCTCCCCATAGGTTGTCCCTCTGGGTGTTTAGCTTCATGCTGGCGACTTTGCGCAACTTCCTCTTCCCCTCATCCTGGGCCGCGGCGTTGTTTTCCCTGAGCCTTTTGCCGAGCGAAGAGAGCCGGGACCGCTGCTTGTTCCACGCGCCTACTCCCCTCTCATGCGGAGGCAGGACCGGATCGAAGAGCTTCTCGTCTAGGATCAGGCCGCGTTCAACACTTTGGGTGATCCATTCGACAGAGACGGTTGCCACACCCCAGTTCTTCGCGGCGTGGTATTTCCGCCCTTCCGGCTTGAAGACGATGAGGTGGGTGACCTGTTTCATGAGGTCTCCGGTGTAAAGGCCGCCGTTGGCTTCGATGGTGCTGATAATCCGCTCGCGCTCGTCTGGGTCTTCGAAGCCGGTCATGCAGCATAGGAGCTGTCGGCGTTTCGGTTCGGAACCGTCGGCAGTTGGTTCTCCTCCACCCGCCTCGAAGGTGCGCAGCTGCCACTCCTTCTCGAGCGCGAGGAAGTCGATCTCGACATCTTCTACCCAGAGATCACGGACAGCCTCGACCCAGCCGGGGACCATGACCCTGACGTCGGGCCGCTCCTTCGCAACATGGCGGTATTTGGGGGTGTCGTAGTCGCCAACGATCAGGTGGGTGCAGTCGGGGGTGAGGTCATATTTGTGCTGGCCGCCGAGCTCGGTTGTCTTGGCTGCGATGTCTGCCTGGACGGGAAGAAGAGTTAGTAAGTTAGGTCTCTCAAGTTTCGGCCTTCCAAGCGCTACCACCGCAAACGGCGGGCCAAAGTTCTGCAAGTCAAAAGACGCGATCGACTTACTCGCAGTTCGGTGGGAATGTTGGTGCAGCAGACCACGACACCCTTGAAGGGTTGGGCAGAGTCAAACAGTGGCGCGTCGCCTTCAGAAGATGCTGGTGGTGTGGCCATTGCATCTCTGTTGAGTCGCCTTGACGAACGAAGAATGGAACAAACGGCGCCTTGTTTGGAGCCTTCGACGGGAAGTCCCAATTACCTAGTTGAGTTGCTCGGCGCGTCGCGTGGGCAGCTGACAGTGGGGGCAGGCATTTAACGCAACAAAAGTAGAAAGAAAGGGTTAGGGTTTATTATGCGGGAGGTCACTCCTGAGTGTTCCCCTCTCCCGACTCTCCCCTTCTAAGCTTAAAGCCCTGCAGTATAACCCATCTCTGATGCTTCGTTGTGAAGTTCAGGTCCACTACTTCCTTCTCCTCGCCAGTTCCTAGCACAGTGGCCTTCCCCAGCCGGCACTCCTCCTCCGTTGCCCATAGAAACCGCACATGCTCGTTCGGATCAATCACCACCTCTGGTAGGGCCTCCGTTTCCGAGCCTCCCTCAGACTGCGTGGTCTCAACCTCAACCTCGAACGTAACCTTCGCCACGGCAAGACCCCTCCTCGTGAGAAAGCCTTCGTCCTTGCCAACCTGCCTCACCACATTGCTCATCCTCAAACCGGCCTCCTCCCACAGTTCCCTAGCCACGCCGTGGAGGATGGACTCGTCCTCCCAGTCACAGGCGCCGCCGGGCACTTCCCAGAGTAGGGGCAGCGAGTCATGAGGTGCCCGCTGGATGAGGAGGATGCGGTCTTCGCCGGTGGCCCTGGAGAAGACGAGGGCGCCGGTCGCTGCCGCTGCAACGAGCGGGCGTGCTGCGACGAAGGCTCTGGCGGTGATGTTGTGGTCGACAACCTCGGGCTGATGGGTGAAGGGAAGGCCGCCTTCTGGGAGAGCGCGTGGGGCGGGGGTCATGGTGAGAAGTGGGTTGGATCTGAGGGGGGAACTGGTTGGTGGGGGATAGATAGGTAGGTTTGTTGGTTCAGTGGCAAGCTTCGTGGCAGCGTTGGGACTGGATGTTGGTGAGCCGAAACAGATTGGGTGTGTGTGATTGAGAAACTCGAAGCTCAGTGATGGTGGATCCCAGAATTTACTGAGAAACATGAGCTGAAGGAGGCCAACGGCGTTTGAGGCACTGCCAGGCACCCTCCGGTTTCCTCATGAAAGACGGCCTAATAGGACCCCGCTTCGACTCACACGGCGAACAAGGCATACACAAGGCACACAGCAACGACTTTTCTCCAGGCCGAAATTGTTTGATGCATTGTGCATATTGACAGACAGGCTTTGGTCATCTTGCTGACTAACGCGCATCTCCGAACGGGATCCGTCGGACCGGCGACGTCGACGTCGGGGAAGTTCAAGGACAATTTGCACTGGCGACAAAGACTTCATGGGGGTTCGCATTCCTATGCGAGGCCTAAAACGGACATGTAAGTCACGCCGCTGACTCAACACACGCGCTTGGCGACGCGGGGCAGGTCTTGACGTCAAGCACCATCCTGAATCGGGACCATGCCGTCGTCGTGATTCGTTCCAAGGGCCTTGCGAAGCTTAAACGAGCCGGGCTTTGTCGCTGCTTTCGCGGAGATGCTCGCGCCGGTTCGCGCCCATCGGCGACAATCGGGATATGGCACTCCCTGATATAAAATGTGGTGGCGGCCTCCTCACCATGAGACACCACCCCTCTCTCAAACCATGGCAACTCGCCCCATCTTGTCCGGTTTACTTCGAGCAAACATCCCTCGTCTCAACGCGGTATCTTTAACCAACACCACCACCACCACCCTACCTATCAGCAACAGACTCACCTTCTCCTTCTCCACCCCCCACACCAAAACAAGAACCATGGCCACCTCAACCACCCTCCCCGAGACCATGCGCACCCTCCTCCAAGCCTCACGCACATCCACCGAGGTCATCTCCACCACCCACCCCGTCCCCACGCCCAGCCACCCCGACGACGTGCTCGTCCGCGTGCACGCCGCGGCCCCTTGCGCAGGCGAACTCCTCTGGGCGATCAACTTCCCCGAGTCAGTCCCGCCGGGCAAGGTGATGGTACCCTGCCAGGACCTAGCGGGCAGCGTCATCACGGCCCCCCGCGACAGCGGGTTCGCGCCCGGCGACCGCGTCTACTGCCGCATCGACGCGGGGCGGGCGGGCGCGGCGCGCGAGTACGCCCTCCCGCGCGCGAGCGAGCTGGCTAAGATCCCGGCGAGCTTGGGTTGGGTGGAGGGCGCGGCCACGCCGCTGAGCGCGCTGACGGCGTGGCAGGCGCTGTTTGACCAGGGGACGCTGGATGCGAAGGGGATTAAGGGGGATGCGGCGGCGCGGGAGCGCAACGGGAAGATTAGGGTGCTGGTCACGGGCGCGGGTGGGGGGGTGGGTGGTTGGGTGGTGCAGCTCGCTGCGCGGGCCGGCGCGAAGGCGGTGGTGGCTGTCTGTGGGACGGACAAGGAGGAGGCCGTGCGCAAGTTGGGCGCGACTGAGGTTGTTGACTACACCAAGACGTCGCTGGAGGGGTGGGTGGCGGCCGACCCGGCGTCGCACGAGGTGGATCTTGTGGTTGAGATGGTCGGCGGGAAGACGCTGACGGGATGCTGGTCCGCGGTGAAGGAGGGAGGCGCCATGGTCTGCATCAACTCGCCGCCTGAGTCTGGCAAGCCGGAGGGGATGAAGAAGGAGCTGGCCAAGGCTCTGTTCTTCATCGTCAAGCCGCTCGGCAGCAACCTGGCCGAGATTAGCGAGCTGATCGAGGCGGGCCACGTACGGCCGACGGTCGACAGCGTATGGGAGTTTGAGGACTTCAAGAAGGCGTTCGCCCGCGTCGAGTCGGGTCACGCCAAGGGCAAGGTCATCATCAAGCTCAGCGACGAGGCCTAAAGGATGGGTTCCTCCGGCATGGAGTGGAGTTAGTCATGATTATGAATTAGCGTAGTGTTATGCATAAAAATGCCACTCTTGCCGTGCCGTTGGATTTTGTGTGTTTCCCCGTGATATTTGTTGTTGCGGCTGCGAGTGGTTGCAATTGACGCGCAGGAAGCGCAGCTCCGGAGGGATCGCTGCCAGAGTTGCCGGTTTCGAAGGCTTGTGGGGCAGCTGCGTGCTTGGGATCAATTGGGCAACAGGCGCTTGGCAGGGCATCTGAGACGGTGCGGCGGGGTCTTGCCTGCAACATCTCACAAACTGCAGGGACTTCGCCAGTCCACATTGGGCCCCTGAATGTTTGATCTTCCAGACCACTTCAACGTCTCTTGTCACAGGTTGATGTGCGACAGCCGGTGGCAGCCGAGCCCACGATTGGTAACAAATGCACGATTTCCAATGACAGCGCGCTTGCTTTAGCTCTTCAGAGCCACACGATGGCCTTGGTTGCGGTCGGGGCTGGCTGAGACTGTGTCGGTGTTGAGTTGTTCCCTCGCGCCTATCTCTGACGACGTCGGCTGTTGGCACGAGACGCAACAACACAACCGCGCGCCTTATTTTTTTCCCTATTGGTGGCCTTGATGAGTAAAACATGATGACCCCAGTTTTGCAGGAATCTCCTCTTTCCCCAAGCAAGTGCTTGGAATCCTTTTGCGAGCAGTGTTTGTCTGGGTTGGGCTGGGCTGAGACGCTTCCCAGTCCACGGGGTTCGGTTACCACCCTTCTCGTGTCCTTGTCTCCTTTACACCTTATCCACCTCCGCTGTCACGGCTGGGCACCGCTGAAGTTGATCTTCTCGACGACGGGCGTTCGGATCTCGTTTGTTTTGTGCCTTTTCTCGCCTTTCTTGTTTATTGTTTGCTTCTATTCTGTTCCTAGCTTTTGGTGTTGGTGCTTTCTTCCTTTTCTTCTTCTTTTCTCTTCCCCCCCCCCCCTTCCTTTCCCCCCGGGGCACTAGGTGCGATCAACGCCGCAGGTGTGCCTAGTTCTGCTTCCGCATCTCTGTTCGTTTCTTTCTTTTTGCCTCTTGGGTTGTGTGTGGAATCGGCTGGCCGGCGCCCAGCACCCTCGTTCTCTTCGTCCCCCAGATCTAGTCCAGCGATCTTGACGCCTGCCTCTGCCCATGCAGACGCCACCGAGACCCCTCGACGCCGCAACCCGTAGCCAGAAATGGCAGTTTCCTTCCTTGTATCAGCGTCGGTGTTGCTTCTAGCCTTGTTTTGCCACCATGCCACAGCCCTCCAACAAATCACCCACGACCAAGGGTGTGTACATCTTCCCATCGTTCACTCGACGAACGTCGAGCACTTCTCAAACAAACGGGGTATCCAGCTACAGCTAGCCAACCGGTCCGACGTCGCTTACTATGCTCAACGTATTTATCATCAGCCTGGGTTGTTCTGATGCTTGCCACTAACACCCCTTGCAGTCAGCCTCGGCACACCACCACAGCCTGTCTTTGTACAGTTGGACACGGGGTCGTTTGAACTATGGGTAAACCCGGATTGCACGACGGTATCAGGTTCCGACACTGTTTTCTGCGAACGGGCCGGCCATTATGACTCTACCAAGTCCTCGACAGCGACGTCCCTCGGAACCACCCGGACCCTGCGTTACGGGATCGGCGCGGCTAACATTTCCTACTTCACCGATACGATTTCACTTGCTGGGAGTCCCATGGCATTGCGGGATGTTCAGTTCGGCGTGGCCACCGCGACGGAAGATGCATTCTCGGGTATCCTAGGGATAGGGTACGGGAAAGGCATTGCCACAAGGTACCTCAACTTTGTCGACCAGCTGCGGGAACAGAATGCGACGAGGGTCAAAGCGTACACCCTCGCGCTGGGGAGTAAGGATTCCCGGGAGGGTGTCATCGTGTTTGGGGGTGTCGACACGTCCAAGTTCGCCGGCAAGCTGGCCAAGCTGCCGATTCTCCCAGCCGCCCGATCGCCCGACGGCGTCCCCAGGTTTTGGGTTGATATGGAGTCTCTTTCCATCACGCCCCCGAGCGGCGTGAATGCGGTCTACGAGGGCAGCGCCATGCCCGTGTTTCTCGACAGCGGATCCACCATGACGCTTCTACCGGAAAACCTCACGAGTGCTGTGGCCAGAGACTTTGGCGCCGATGCCCCGGATGCAAATGGGTTCTACATGATCGACTGCGCCCTGACGACCATGAATGGAACTCTCGACTTTGCCTTCAACGGGATGACTGTCAAGGTGCCCTACAAGGAGCTTACCCGGGAGGTTGCCAGTACCCCACCGTCCTGCTTTCTCGGTATCATGGCGAGCGAGAAGTTCACGCTGCTTGGAGATACCTTCCTACGATCGGCCTACAGTATGTCTACAACCACATCTTTTCCGGCTTTCGAGACCTCGTATCTAACCGGACCAAATAGCTGTATTTGACCTCGAAACCGACTCGATATGGATGTCGCAGGCCAGCAACTGCGGTTCGTCACCGGCAGCACTGAGCAACATACAGGACCTGTCGGCAGTGGTTGGCGCCTGCGGGCAACCGGAGGGTATAGATACCACGAGCACCACGCAGTTTCCCAGCACGGGAGTTGACGACAACGAACTCAGAGTTGTCCCAACAAGCACAGCTAGCTTTGGGCCGCAAACCTCGGTGGTAACTCCGCAGGACCAGGCGGCGAGCCCTACACCTGATAGCTCGGGATCCTCCCTGAGAGCGGCTGGGCTCATCGGGAGCTTGGGAATGGTGGGTGCGGTGCACTTGTTTGTGGGGGGTGTATGACAATGCACCAGAAGGGGAGTTTTTTTTGCTGGCAATACCCTAGTTTTGCATTCATGTGGTTGATCTACAATTATTAATGGCAATTACGAATAACCTAACCTCGTTGAGGTGTCACCTCACATACTTCAGGCGCTTGCTCTCAACGTCTTTAGGCGTTCAAATATTGTTCTCGGGTTCTCGTCTACGTACCGGAGAGGCTGACCCGGATTGCGGTCATATCGGTTTCTAACTGAGGTTTCGAACCACAACGTAAGGAAGAGATGTGTGATGGGTAGAATTCCTTGGTGGCGGTAATCCCCAGCTGTAAGACTGAGACCAGCAGCTGTATGGCTGGGGCGACAGAGCTCCAGATCGATCCCATGATTGCTTTTCTTGCTCACCAAGATAGAGTTTGGAGTAGAAGTAGAGTGAGTACCTAGAGAGATCTTGCCGAGCAATACTGACGGCCTATAAGCCAAACCACGACAGGCCAGTCTTTAGTTCGTAAGGCCTCTTTGAATCACTTTGTAAACAATTTCTTTATATCCATCTCATTCACTTTAGACAAGTAATGGGGGGCTATGTGTGAACCAGCAAAGGCAGCAAGGTGTTACAGACACTTGGCATTATCTGGTTTTCCACAGACGAATTGCTTTTCGGTGGTCTTTACCCAGAGGTGTTTTGACCCTCATGTAAGATATCTATGTAGCCGCGTATGTATGCGTTAAGTGTCCGATAAGATCATTCTTAGTATCCCAGGTCGATAACAACTTTCGCTTTCTAGTCCTTTCTTTCTATAGAGAAAAACGCTCGAGTGGATGAACGAGCTCAGAATAATAGAATGAACATGGGTCCTAGTCTCAGCGTACCCCGAGTCATTCCGTAATCGGCAGACGTAAACTGGCCACATCTGCGACGTACACTGGCTGCGTCTGAAGAGCATGCCGACACGCTTCCCTATCACGGGTTTGACATTGTACCTACTCCGTAGTCCTAACGCCCACAGACCAAATAATACTTCTCTCAATGTAAAGGGTCTTAGTGCTAGCTATCTGGAACAACCTGATCAAATACGTTACAAATTGATGTGTATCGGCATATACGCGTAGATCAGTGGAACGACAACAGTTTCATTTGAAGTATATAAGCTGCTTATAAGTGATCATTTCCACATCCTTCTTATTTCTTAGGTACCCATCACAACCTCCTCACCTTCCAGAACAAGCAAGAGCGTCGCTTAGGTACATAACCGTGCATCCGAACAACGCTAGTTCGCCTAGCTCATGCTTCTTCTCTTCCTTGCCCTCATGTTAGATTACATCCGAGGCTTGTGGCCCTGGCGTCGCGTTCGCCAAATGACGCGGCGCCGGCAGTCCCTGCCGGTGATGGAGTCACCGCCGACTATCCCGATATTCTTTTGCCCACAAGAGATCATTCGGCTCATCCTAGGTCACCTTCCCCCAGAATCTGTGGCCGCATTTGCCCTCACCTGCCGCCGGTTCCGTCCGCATCTATCCTCTGCACGATTGAACGAGGAGGCACGGCTTTTGCTACTTGTCTGGATCGAGAAAGATACACCACACTTGTACTTGTGTTACGAGTGTAAGGACTTACATACTTGGAGCCAGTCAAGCTGGCATTCCGCTCACGATAGACACTGCAGGAAGAGGGACGAATCCAGTGGACACCGCGGCGTATTATTTCGCTTCACCGACGGTAGACTGGCCATGAACCGGCACCTTTATGGGAAATCACATGGACCTCCTCTAGAGGCCTTCGACCGTACGAAGTCAACTACCAGCCACGCGGCTGTGAAACAAAAGCAATGCCGGTCGGCGCGCATTATCGGCGACGAGCTGTATTTCAAGGTGACAACGCAGTTTTATCACGATCAGGGCCGCGCACGTATTCTTCGGGAGCACATCGACGACTGCTTTTTTGGCGAAAGGCTGATATGCCAGCATGTGGGGCTTAATACTGAGTCTTTTAACTACACATATCGCACCCCCGAGTTGGATAGGCCGCCGGGCTCGACTGAGTTGTTTGTCCCTATCACCGGCCCTCTCAGATCATGTCGCCATTGCTTTACCGACTTCTGCATCGACCTGGAATGGCGCCCTCTCACCAGCAAAACCACGAAGGGTTGGATAATTACGATCACGCAATGGCACCAGCTGGGGAAGTTCAGGTCCCCAGAGGATACCAAGTGGTACAAATATACAAATGGCAAGGTTCCCGAACCACGTCGCCCATGGCGGGACGATATGGCCGTGGCGGGTGTAGTTTATGACAACTGGAGTGCGCAGGATGACGAAAGTGCCGAACACATGGCGGAGGATGGCATTGTCCAGCGGAAGAATGCTGGGTTTCTTACTGCCTCTAGGCGGCGTTAACGACACGGTTGTCCGGTGTTTTCTGATATGAGGGAAGGAGCGATTCATAGAGGACGGATTATCCGAGAAACTTTACCCGACGGGTATGTGAGTACATACGAAGGTGGTAGGTAGGTACCTAGGTAGGTAACGATAACGACGAGACACTGATTACATACACCCATTACGGATGGACGAGCACTAGAAAATGCGCTGCCATCAAAAGAATAGAGGTATTACGAGGCTACCTTATACGTGGTTCAACCATACGTGATATTGATAGGATAAGCGCCTCTAAGGAGCAAGTGACGCCATGATTAAATCAATGTAGAGTGCTGGATGTGTGGGTTCTCTTGGGTACTGGAAGCCGTCTTTACAGGACAAAAAGGCTGAGCGTACTCCCAAGAACAGCTGAGAGGAACAGGGACCTTACTATAAGGCTGAAGAAAACTATTGCGTACGTACTAACGTTTGAAGTTCAAGCCTTCTGAATTAGCCCTTGTCACAGCCCCGAGAAATATGCACGTTGAAGTATGTACACTAGAAATGAGTGTGAAGGAAGGTTGTTCGGGTCCGGGATTGTAGCCTGAGCTTTATGTTTCATATTTCCAATAAGTCGATATTACAAAAAGCACGCCATAAAGACAGGAGCTATCAGCATGCCTGCATGCTAGAAGTCAAGGAGCGTCCCCAAGACGCTTTGTACTCTCCTCGCCAGTACCGGCCTGGGGGGTAACCTTGGAATGCGGGGATGCGGTCGAAATATCATTTCGTCACTGACTCTGTGTCCGCCGTTTCTAGATGGAGCGATCCGTGTCAGCCGAGTGAGCGATACATAGGTACTGTAAGATTACCGTAATTCTGTCGAGTAATACACTACACTGTCCCTTAATATCGGGGGCCGTGAGTTATGATTGTTGTTTTTACATAGTTTAGTGGCACTTGTCAAGAGATGGGTATCAGTGTCGTGTTAACATTAAAACTCTCTACAGTGACTTCAAATGTGAGTCTGAGGCAAGATCGAGAGTTGACGTCTTCTCCACCTCAGGTAAGTCCCTCACTCTCTCTGTCATCTCTCATGGAACGCCTTGCCGAGGATCCCCCAATCTCACAGACCTTGTGCGTAACTAACGATCGATTCAAGCAGTCTGAAAGTTCAGTTGTGAAATTCTTGGTTGTTTTGTGTTTCGTTTCATGAAGTCCTGGCGAGAGTGGAGTGGCCAGGCCGTTTCATTAACAATCTCCCAGCGCCATCATGCCGAATTCTGGTTAAGGGTCCGATGCGGCCTAGGCCCATCCGGCCGGCAGTTTCGTCGCATCACTTGGGCCCGAGACTCGCGACCAATTGGCGGCGGATCTTTGTCATCCCAAAGGTCGCAATAAACTCTGTACACATGGAGTGTAACAGATGCCACTCCCGATCCTTTACTGTTGCTCCTCTGTGCTTCGTCGTGTTGTTGGATTTGTTCCTCCCGTTCGGCATTGGCGCCGTGGCGCGCTCAAAGCCTGTCAGACGCCTGAGAATTGGAAGGGTTGAGCTTGAAACGCCCCTTTCCATCAAATCGGCTCGCTTCTTCGGCCTTGGATTGCTGAGTGGTCGGTTCTTGGGGCGATCCTTGTTCTCAATCAGGGGCGGTTGCGGGGCGGGAGTGGGAATGCCAGGTTTTGGAGTGGACCCCGGTCAGGGGAATTCCTCAAAGTGCTGTGGAACAAAGTTGAGCTTCGATACGAGATCGGACTTACTTGTAGGTCAACAAGCCTCGGAGAGCCCGGGAGAGTGTTGGTTGAGGGATAACAGACGAACAACTGTGGTGCGTGACCTGCGAATACGGAAGAAAGGATACCATTCGTTAACCCTGTCCATGTTGACACGATTCAAGTGTTGGGGTTGACAACGGAGAATCTCTCGAGCTGCACCCGACGTTGTTGAACTTGAGTGCAGCTGGCCAGGGTTAGGGAGCTCGGGAGGTTAACACAGATCGGCAATGCCAAGGGGCCTTGGGGCTGTGTTCTCGCTCCCGACCGGCCCTTGCAGCCGACCAGGGCCAGGCGCGCCACCCTGGACGAGAATAATTCCTCGATCGGGACCAGCCAGCCGTCCCTTCTTCAAGACCAAAAGACCTGCGTCCCAGGCCCTCACAACGATCGCTTTTCCCTTTTCCTCATTCATTACTTCCTTTTATCTGCATCCAACTCAACCGTCCTTCTGTGACGCCGACACTCTTTCTTGCCCAATTTTGCGATCTTCCAATCTTTCGAATTCTCCCGCGCTCCTTCCTCCTAACGAGGCCACTGTTCCATCCATCACCATTTCGAGCGATTGTTTGCTTCCTTAGTGACGCAATCGCCAAGTTCGCCAAGTCGGCTACCAACGACTCCAACGCAACAGTTACTTCCTGTTATCCATCACCATGCGTCCCACTACAGCGCTTGTTGCCGGCGTCCTCGCCTCGGGCGCGTCGGCCGAGAACTACCTCGGCTTCAACTCTGGCGCCACCCTCGCCGATCGGTCCGCCAAGTTCAAGTCCGACTTCCTTGCCGAGTTCAAGACGGCTCAGGGCCTTCAGAAGGCGCCGGGCAAGTTCAACGCCGTGCGCCTCTACACCAACGTCCAGGCCTACTCGGATGAGCCGATCGAGGCGTTCGAGGCTGCCATGGAGACCGACACCAAGATGCTGCTCGGTATCTGGACGTCGGGCACCGACAACATCGACAAGGAGCTCAGCGCGCTGAAGAAGGCCATCGACAAGTACGGCAAGAAGTTCACCGATCTCGTCATTGGCATGTCGATCGGCAGCGAGGATCTTTACCGTGACTCCGAGACGGGCGTCACCAACAAGGCTGGCGTTGGTGCCGGCCCAGATGTCGTGGTCAAGTTCATCGAGGAGTACAGGAAGTCGGTCTCCGACACCGCGCTGAAGAGTGTCCCCATTGGGCACGTCGACACTTGGGATGCTTGGACGAACGGCACCAACAAGGTTGTCATTGACGCCGTCGACTGGGTCGGTGTTGATGAGTACCCCTACTACGAGACTGGCAAGGGCAACGACATCAAGAACTCGGGCAAGCTCTTTGACCGCGCCTTCAACGCCGTCAAGGGTGCCGTCGGCAAGAAGCCCATCTGGGTCACCGAGACTGGCTGGCCCGCCACGGGTCCCGACTGGGACGAGGCCGAGGCGAGCGTTGAGAACGCCAAGTACTACTGGCAAGAGATCGGCTGCCGCCAGCTCTTCAACAAGGTCCCCACCTTCTGGTACAACCTCCGTGACTCCAACCCGGACAACGAGATGAAGTTTGCGATCACCAACAACCTCTCGACCAAGCCCCTTTTCGACCTGACCTGCCCTACCGAGTTCGACACCCCGACCTCGAGCCCCAGCACTGGCGGGGCCTCCTCCACCGGCGTCACCTCTCCCAGCAGCTCGGCTACGGGTGGTGCCACTGACAGCACTGACGGGTCTGGCAACAACAGCGGCACTGGCACCGGCAACGACGATGCCACCGGCTCTGGGACTGAGGAGGCGAACGCTCCTGAGGATACCCCGAGCGACAACGCCGCCTTTGTGGGCAAGAGCCTCTCCGGGGTCGCTGTGGTCGGCCTCGCCCTCGTTGCTGGTGTTTTCACTCTGTTCTAAGGTGTTTAATGGGCGATGATGGGTTGTGTGTATGTACGCGGATATCGGATACCATTGTTGGGTAACGCACGTATGCGGCTTTTGGGTTTTTTGTTGGCCTTCTTCGCGTCCTCTCCCTTCGTTCGCCGGATCACATCCCGACAGCTGGATCTGTGAGGTTTATGGTTGTGTATGGGATACTATTAGACAAAGAGGGCGCACCATAGACGAGAGCAACTGTTTCTGATTTGTCTAGCCCCACCTTCTTTTGCTTCATGCGTTGTGAGTTCGGTTCTGGTTCGGCCTGCTTGCTGCAGGTCGAGGTCGATCCGAGTGGCATCAACCCGCTTGGCTCAGCCTTTGCCGTCCGCAGAGTGATCGCTGACCCTGGGGCGTCGCAACGGTTGCGGCTGCACAGGCATGACAGGCAGGAGTCGATTAACGTTGAGCCTCTATTTTTGCTTCTGCGTACAACCAAGTGTTGCATTCTGGCGATGCGATGCCGACTTACGCGTAGCGTTGTGGACTGATTTGTTGGTGTTGTTGACGCGTGGAGCCCTTTTACGTCATTGATCAACATCGCCATCCCTCCGTATAAGTATATACGGCAAGCATGGCTGCGATTATTTGCTTCCACTTCCCCCGGACTCCTCCAAACCCATCAATGACTCACGGGCAAACGTATTACAACTGATTCCACTTGCTAAACGAAATCCACTGCCATCCACCCAGGACTCTAACTAGTACAACAACATCACAACCACAAACCAACACTAACAAACTTAACAAACACCAAACGTAGCAACACGAGGAGCAACATCAAAAAAACAAGTCCAACAACCAAACCAACCACAACGCCAACAAACCCAACAATCACCAAAGTAACAACCCAAAAACCACACCAAAAACCACACCAAAAACCACACCAAAACCACCACCGCCAAAGAATGCCAACCCAACCCCCCAACCCCCCTCCCCACACCCACACCCACACGCACACGCACACCCCCCACCCTCCGACCATCATCAAGCCCAGCCCGATGCGCAACCTCTCCGAGTTCGCCGTCGCCGACACCCCCGGCACCGCCGGCCCCGAATACCCCGCCGCCACCGACTACCTGCAGAGCCGCTTCGTGCCTGTCAGTGCGAGCCCGTTGCAGAGGGGGGATAGTAGGAATAGTGATAGTGATGCGGATGTGGGTGCGGATGTGGATGTGGATGGTGGGCGGGTGAGGTTGTTGAGTGATGGTGGTGGTGGTGGTGGTGATGGTGATGGTTGGGAGGGGGATGGGGATGGGGATGTGGATGCGGGGGTTGATATGCAGAGGGAGATGGGGATGGGGATGGGGATGGGGGAGGGTTCTGAGGGGAAGGGGGGAGGGGAGGTGGATGGGGGGGTGGAAGGTGGGACGCGGCGTGTCCGGGTGCGGCGTGGGAGTATGAGTGTTGTTGGTGGTGATGGTGGTGGTGGTGGTGGAGGAGGGTTGGGGGTGGGCAGGGTGGCGGTGAGGAGGGTAAGTCCGGGCGGGTTCCACGGACGGGGAAGAGGTGAGGTCACGCTCGGCTCAGGGGAGGCGGATTTGGAGAGGTGAGTTCGCTTTTGTGTTCTTCCCCTCCTAAGATGTATTGCAGAGGGTATGCTAACGGCGGGGATAGGAAAAAGCAGCAGCACGCGGCGGCCAGGAAACAAGTAAGGGATGCGAGGAAGAGGGGAGAGGATGTTGATGGACGTGAGACGACGGGGCCAAGCGGGCGGCAACCGGGGCCTTAAGCCGACCGAACTGCATGATCATAGGGCGGAGTTATTCTTGGGATATCGGTATCAACTGGGTAGAGCATATCGGCATGGGAATAGATAGGTTGAACATTACAGCTAAGCACGAGTATCTAGACATCTCAAGGGTATCCATATCTTCCACTTCCAACCAACCACCACTGCCGTCCTACAACCATGGGTTCGGTATGCTCTGCTCCAACACCGTGCCGTTGTTGAAGATTGTCCCGTTCCTCAATATCTCAACACGGCCCAGATGAAGTGCCGCAGGCGGGTTATCCACCGTCGTCCCGTTCGCAAAGATGATGCCATTCCAAGGCGTTTCTTGACTCTCCCTCACAGCAACCTCACTCCTCCCGAGCAACGGCGGTTGCCGCTTATTGACATCACAGTTCTCACTGGCCATATACAGATTCATACCCACCGCCAGAGTGTATATCTCAGCACTCAGCTGGTCCCACGCCCACTGATCACCCTGCTGCACCCCGATGTAGTCGACCATCAACACATTCGGCCAGTGCTCCGGGTCCATCCCGTTGACACCGGCCCAGTATAGCGAGGGGTTCGTTGGCTGAATGGCAAAGTTCTGCAGCGAGTATGCCGTCGCAGCCAAGGCATCAGGCGTCACCAGCCACTGCCCGACCATGAAGTTGCCAAAGTCGGACGCACCCCCGCGCGTGACAGAGCGCCAGTTATTGACTTGGTCCGGAGCCATGTCGCTAGCTTGCATCTTGTTGGACCAGTGGTCGCGGATGCCCATACGGCCGATTTCGTAGATGCCGTCGGCCGGTGATTCACGGGGCACGCCGCCGTCGAGGTGGCCGTTGAGGAGCAGGATGACACAGCCCTTGCCTTCGTTCTGGTCCATGAAATAGGAAGCCTTCTGGTTCTGGAAGCCTGTGCCGGTGTCGAGGTTGAGGCAGCGGTTGTTGATGCCGCGCAGCTTGGAGAAGAAGCTGTTGACCATGTTTGTGTCCCACATGATGGGACCCCGGTCGGGGAACTCGTACCGTCCGACGAGATAGCGGACGGTGAAGAAGATGATTTCGCCCGGATTTTCGGACGTGAAGTGGTTGATCTCGCTGATGACTTCGTCTAGGGACTCGCCTGAGTTGCCGATGGCGAGCGTGCCCAGCTCGTCGTTGACGTGGAGCACCCAGAAGCCGTTGTTTTTCGAAGCGTCGTCGTTGGAGTGGATGGACCCAACACGGAGGTCGAACCAACGGGAACCGGCGCGGAGTTGGTCGTATATGTTGATTCCCTGGTTCTGGGTGTTTCCCTCGCTGCCGATGCTGGTGATCTTGTCTGTAATCTTGCTCATGCCGGCGTCGTGCGCTCCCGGCATGATGAGATGCCGGACGAGACGATCCCGAATCACGTCATACATCTTTCGCATCCAGTTACCGGGTCCGTGCCGGAGCGATGCTTGGAAGCCAAAACGGTTGCTCCCTGTAATGACAAGAGAGACGGCTGTGTCTCCTCCGGGGTAGAAGTACTCTCGTTGACCAAGTCCCATGCCGCTGAGGTCCAGCACCACCCGTCGATCGTCTGACTTGACTCGCAAGGCAAACTTCTTGTCGGTGCCATCGAGACGGTAATACGCCTCACCAGCGTCATCCTGAGTAGACCATGTCCCTCGATACTGGATTATGTTTTGACGAGCCCGGCCCTGGGGAACGTCGCCGAAATCGAATGTGTTCATCTGGTATGAATGGGTGTCCTCTAACTTGATGCGGTGTGGTGTGAGGTTAACGACGGTGATGTAAAATCTGGTGCTCATGATTCCAACCACCGGATTCAGCTTGTCGTACGGTTGGTGGGTGCCGGCGGGGACCGCCTCGTTGCTGTAGGTGCGGTCTTGGGCATCGCACACGTCGGTTTGTCCGTTCACCAGCAACCAGGCGGAGCTAGCCAGGACGGCTAGCAACCTAAAGGCCCTCATACTTTCCCGTCACAATGACTAGGTACTGATGAAAGGGGGCAGAGGGTAGTGTACGGTCCAAACTTGTGTGAGAACCCGGGACGGAGGCAGTCACCGTAGACGGGACGCAGCCCCTGATATAGTTGATACTGTAACTAATTACTTGCATGCTTTATTTCCCATGTGGCGCTTGTGCCTGATTCCAATCCAGCTCAGAAATATCAAAATTCCTCGGGCGCCTCTTGGCCCGGGAGATACCGTTCGGGAAGGTTGGTGTAGAGGTCGACCAATCGCCACTCTTCCCGCCCCCAAGACTTGTGCCCCTGACCACCATTTCCGCCCCTGACGCCGTTGTATCGGTCCCTCAAGACGGCGGCCAGCTCTCACGGCTTGGCCGGCTTGGGTCATCAGGCAGCCTCTCGCAGACCTTTGGCGCCAACAAGCGCAACGTGCCACGCCTAGTCGACCAAAGCCGAGACATGTCGCATCGTAGGAATATTTTCTCCCGCTTGTGCCAGGTCACCTTCCATTTGTTGGTCGCGGAGGTTTCACATGCCCCAAGCGGGGTTGAATTATAGTAGCATTGCCCTTAATGGTTGCAACGTTTGGGGAAGCAATCGGCCCGCTAGATTGTTTGCCGTCTTGCCAACTTTATGCATGATCGAGTCCCTTTCCCACGTTGGTGACCGATATGCCGGCCAGCCATTCCTTCGGCCTCACCCGGGCCCCTCCCATGGCGCTTGTGCCAGATCGGGAAGAATCTCCGATCTGAAAGGCTTGTCGTCTAGCCCGTCTTTAATGATAATAAGTATACGTGATTACACGTGGGATCTCAGTTAAACTAGTTGGGTCTGGTGAACAGCTTCAATCCCGTCCGCAGACAATGCACGTACCTACATCTACATCCTGAAGGGCAAATGACACCCCTAGTCCGGGAGGTTAGGTGACATTGTTTGGTGACCTCGGGAAATATGGAAGACAAGCACTTTGAAGCTTGTTGCTCGAAATGAAGAGGCCAGAACAGTGCGTGTAATTAAAACGGACAAACAAACGTAGGGTCAAATTATGTCTGGATATCAGGAACGCAGCTGGCATCACCAAAGTTGAGTATCCAATAGCAAGATAGCACGGAAAGCTGCCGAGAGGGTGGTGGTGTGACCCTGACGGGGTCGTGGCGTCATCAGACCACCCGGCACCACACCATATGGCATCTGAGACAGAGACAGCGCCGTCGGGATAAAACTTGAACCACATCTGACCTCCACAGGTGCTCTGTTACCCCAAATGACTAGGAATAGCATTGTTTGTATGACATAAAGCACAGCTAGTACTATTTCAGAGTCTCTGGAGCCACCAAAGCTGAATAACTGACTAGAAGATCTTATGACCATGCTCACGCCCCCGTCTGAATTTCTGGGCGCGTGCCCCAAGTTCCGTCTCCTGGTGCTTGGAAACCCAGAGTCGACCAAGCGGGAGCTTTTTACCAAGATATTCGGGGTTGATCTCGAGAAGGTTTGTGATACCCCTGAGGCTCAGCCCCTATTCGGGACCGGTACAGTTATACGTCACTGGCATTGGACGACTAACCACGGCGGCCCCAGAGACTCGTCGACGATGCATTCAGCCCCAGCCACAATATCGAGCAGGAGCTCGACCTACACGGCCAGAACTCACGCTTGGCCATCCACACAAACCTCAACGTAGGCGCTGGCGATGAGGCCAACTACGACCGCATCCGAGACTTCCTAACCTCACGCGCAACGTCTTCCAAGCAAGAGGACCGGATCCACTGCGTATGGTACTGCGTCGCGAGCGAGGAGGACCGCTCCGTAACAGAGCTCGAACAGCGCTTCTTCTTCGGTGGCCTGCACTCGGCTGCGCCATGGGTACCCCTCGTCTTGCTCTTCACGAAATACGACGAGTTCGTCAGCCAGGTCAAGCTCGACTGGTCTCGTGGGGCGCAGGAGCAGGGCTTGTCAAAGGTTGCTGTGTCGCACATTCTGCGGGACCTGTCGTCCAAGAAGTTCGAGAAACACATCGGGCAGAAGTGGGACGAGGTGCTGGGCGGGTCGGTCCCGCGGGTCTGTGTGTCCAGCGGCGACGAGGATGACGATGTACGGAGCGACGAGGTGCTCGCCGAGGCGACACTGACCACCTTGCGAAACAAGAACGTCAAGTACGCCTTTGCCGCCGCGCAGAGAAACTCCGCCTTGATATCAACCCGGTGTAAGCAAGCAACACCCCCCTCGCAACACCCACCCAAAACTAACCAGCCAACCACCCCCCAGTCGCCGCCGACACCGCCGCAACGGACTACTTCGAAGTCGACACCGGTCACGCGCGCAAGCTCCACGGCACAGCGATGCACGACATCCTCCCGCACTTCTTCACGCGCGCCGTGCAACTCTTCAACCTGCGCGACCCGACCGCATCCCTCGTCAGCGACAGCACCCTCCTCACCCAGATCCTCGAAGCCACCTTCGACGCCTCCCAGCAGGGCCTGGTCACAGAGTGCCTCGGCAGCACCGACAGCGAAACCTCCCCCAGCAGCCTCCTCGCCCACCTCACCCCGCACGAGCGCGCCGTGCTCCTCGCCCAAACCCTCACCGCAACGCTGCTCTTCCTGCACCGGCTCGCCGACACCCAATCCTCGCCATCCAGGTCCCTCCCCACCGGCATCACAAGCGACACCATCACGCGCCAGCTCGCCGAGACACGTGCCAGCGCAGCGGAGCGGCGCGCGCTGCTGGAGGCGGTGGAGAGCAGCGGGGTGTTCACGGCGTGCACGCTGCGCGGGCAGGTGGCCGAGGTGATGGTGCGGGCGGTGCAGGGGGCGGAGCGGGTGCGGGTGAGCGAGGGGGGGATGGGTGGTGGTGGTGGGCGGCGGCATGCGGGGGCGGGGGCGGCGGGGCGCGGGATCGTGGTGGTGGAGGATGACTCGGAGCTGCAGGAGATTTCGCTGAGTTTTGTGAATGATAAGGGGCCCGAGGATATGGTGCTGCCGTCGGGGTTGACGATTTTGCCGCTGACTTAGGGGGTGAGCTAGGTACAGGTTGAGAGGGCATATGATGGCTGGATGGACGAATATTAGGACTTTCTATTCACTCGAGGTTGGGGATGTATCATTTATTTGTCGAGTCCCCTAGGTAGTTGTTACCTTAGCCTATGAGATTATTCTAGGTTGTAGTTTAGGGGTCATAGTTCAGGTTCTTTCTCCTCCTTTATCTTGAGCCTAAGCTTATAACTATATTCACTTAAACGACGACCAACAATAGCACTAGGGTAAAGGGCGTGGGGAGATAGTGACCATGGGGACAAAAGGGGTGATGGCGGGGGTGGGGATAAAAAAGTTGCACAAAAGTCAAAAAGTTCCTCTCCCGCCGGGAATTGAACCCGGGTCTCGAGCGACGTCGTTCTTAGGTGACAAGCTCACATACTGACCACTATACTACGGAAGATTTGCTGGTGTGGACACCGGCTGTAGTGAGGAGCTGTGGGAATCGTCGGCGGTTCTCCCCTATACCAAGGAGCAATTACCTGCCCCAATTTTCGACCCCCCCGCACCTGTTGTTTACCACAGAACATCTTCGGTATTGAAAAGGGGTAATCTAAATAATGATGTTTACCTATATACAGAGCTATGTTACCAAGCTCTTTTCTCCTCTTCTTTATTGATTATCAACTCTAGTCTTTCGCCACACTCTTTTCTATCCCAAAAAGGACAACGCTGTGTGTGTCCCACCAATTGCATCTTTCCTCTCCTCCGTTGTTTACCTCTCGGTATCCAAAATGTCGTTTCCAACAACTTCAAAACAACAGCGAGTTCAGTAGCAGCGCATAAAACGGTGGGGCTTACGCCCATGCTCCAACAAAGCTCATGCAGATGGCGCCCAAGAAAACGAAAAGGCAGGCCATGACCCGCTTCCGTCCTCTCAAAACGGACCAACTCTGATCGCTCAAGAAATCTTCGGCCAGCAGCTCTATTAATGCAGCAAAAACCAGCAACCCGGACGAGACGGCGTTCATGGTGCCAACCAGAATAAGGCCGAATTCGGAATCGGGGCTGTAGAGGGTATGGGTAGCCAGGCCGATGGCTTGGCCGATCGGTGTTCTTTCCCGGTGTTAGTTTGGGCTGGAGTAATCAACGGAGAATTGGGGGAGGGGGGGAAACGTACGTGCATCCGTATGCTATGACCATCAGCCAGGGCTGAAGGGTATTTTTCGGCCAGCTGATGGAGGCGATGCGGACACCCAGGGCGAGACCTTCAAAGGTTTCTGAAACGGCCGCGTTAGTCATGCGTGGTGACGCGGGAGAGAGGGGGGAGTGGAGTGCTCACGATGGAAGGCAATTGCGATGAGCAGCACGACAAAATTATTCCCGACCGCCACGCTCAAGGCCATGCCAATGAACACGCTGTGGAAGAGGATTCCCACCTCTAACAACATGCACTGCAGAATGCTCTTTTTATGCCGTTGCTCAGCCGTGAGACTCCACCCCTGAGACTCAATTTCTAGGGTCTCCTTGGGGTTTGGCGGGTTGACTGCAGCGGCAGTATCTGGCGACGGGCTTGACTCGGTGCTCGCACGGCGGGCCGCCGATGGACGTGTTATGGCGGCCACAACGGCAGCATTGCTGCAATGCCCACCCCCAATGGAGCCGTGTGCGGCATGCGTTCCTGCTCTGGACGTGCCGGCACTGTCGCTAGCCTCCCCCGCCGGTTTCGTTCGCGGGATGGAGTTGCGCGCGGGGCTGAAGATCATCTCGATGATGCTGACAAAAAAGATGCCCACGAGCGCGATGGCACCCGGCATGGCCGGGTAGTCGGTGGTCCAGAAGTTGGAGAGACAGGGGTCGCCGAGCGAGATGAAGGCGGTGGGCAGGAGGTGCACAAACGCGGTGGCCAGCAAGACACCGGTGCCCAGATGGCGGACGGCGAAGAAGAAGGGTTCTGGGATGCGGAGGATGGGGAACTTGGCGGCGAGCATGGGGACAGCGCAGGCCATACTCGAGACGGCCAGGATGATGAGCAGGGCGCCGACGTGCAGCGGCGTGTTATAGTCGTCGCCCCCAGCGACGCTGCCCGCGCACGAATCCCGCCTTGCGAGGGGGCGGGGGGTGGCCTTTGCTACATCAGGAGCTGACCCGGCCGCCCTCCCGAATAATGCAGGGAGATAGCTCCCGGCAACATGGATCGACGTCGACACAACGATGACGGACGCGGTCCAGCCATACCAGCCCGAAGGGGGCTGGAACTGGCGAAAGGGGAGACAGACTTGGCCTTCACCACCAAGTACTGTCTCGGACGCAATGAGCGGGCCCTTGACTAAGTTTGGTTATTAGCGATTTGGTGGCTCCACCGCGGGAAAGGTGAGGATAATCACTTACGGCCGCTCATTGCAGAGGGGGAGGGTGCGAGAGAGTCGCATTCGCAGTCGCAGTGACGAAATCGGCCATCTCCGGCTTGTTTCTCGTCATTGGGGAAGCCGACGCCGTTGCCCGGTCCAGAGCACCCGTGACGGTGCTCGCGGGAGTTGGCAATGCCGTTGAGATCCTGGCGGGTCGTGAGATCTGGGGCCAGAAAAGGCGGGTTTTGGTTCCACGTGGGATGTTCGAGATCGTCCTCTGTTCTCGATGGCTGGTTCATGGCGGGCAACGGGTGGGAAATGGTGTTTGTGAACCCTTTCTATCTTTCGTCTCAAAAGGGACCTTCGTATTTGGCTGCGATTGGCTTTGGGAAGGAAGTTTTGCGATGACTCTTGCCGCCTAAAGAATGGAATCAGGGTCGAACGTGACCGAACAGGGACAAATCGTTGAATTTCAGTGGGGCGCAGCAGTGAACGACTTTGATGAAACCCGACTCCCGGCTCAAGCTCCGGGCCACCAAGGTGCTCTTCCGACCGTTGCAGGGCCTTCATTGGTGTCCGCTTCCGGTGGGGCTCGGCACGGACTTGGTTCGGAAACACACGGGGCTTCATGGCGGCTTCTTCCTTCCGCCTCCCGATAGTGTCGAAACATGGCAACTTTCGTTGTATCTAACCAGCGACCAGCGACTGGCATGGCCTACCACGGCAAGAGAAGCTTCCTTCCATTGCAAGTTCAAGCTTCAAGTGAAGTTATGTTTTCCTGGGTTGGCAGGCGAGGCCATCCGGCTGTCCCGCTTGGCGCCAAGGTTGCCATGTGCCAATGTCAATGCGCTGGGCTCGGGGAATCTGTACCTCGAAGACGACTTGTGACGTGGGTGGGTGGTCAGTTACATGACCCGACTGACCCGACTCACCCGAGACGACCTAGTTGGCGTAATCAAGTGTGTATCGCTGAGTGAGCGCGTATCTCGGCTCTCACGGTAAACGCACGCTCGCCCACCGCCGAGTATCTGACATGCATGGGGAAAGAAGGCGCTAAGCTTGCCTTTGTTAAGGTTAGACTGGACGATATCCTATTGCTAATTACTCTCATTAGTTACGTAGATGGCTCGTTTAGTTAGGTGCTATTGGCAGGTGCATTGTTGAGAATTGCAAATTATTCACCAAGATAATGATTGTGCGAATAGCTTCAACTTAGCTAGTGTCGAAAATCGGGATTGTGGCAAATAAACAACAAAAGAGTGACGAGAAACATGTTGTAGCGTGGTCAAAAATAGCAAAAGCTCATGGGTCAACCCGCCTCCGACCAGTCGTCACTCACGGAGGGGACGTGGCCGGTTGCGAAACCCCTTGGGGGTTTACACCGTTCTGGGCGGGTGTCCCCGCTCAGAAAATCCCCGGGCAGTCGGGGCTCCAACCCACGAGCCCCCCATCGGGAGCGGGGTGAGCACTGCCCGGGCGAGGACCACCGCCAGTTACCATTTGGCCAACTGTCGAGTGGGCGGTGGTCCTCGTTGGAAACCAGTGACGTGGACCTAATACATATAGCATGTGCTGGTGCCTCGTAACGAACGCTATGACTCAAAAGTTGGCACTGCGCTCGGTAAGCATCCAACTCGATGATGAGGACGTGTTGGAACATGAAGGTCAATCAGTTATAGGGCCTTGGCGAGAATCTGCTAGTCTCGAGAGAGCGTTGGCATGGAGTTGGTTGTAGGCGAAAAAATATTGGTCTTTGCTAGGAATCGTCTGCTGCAGCTGGTGTTACCGTCCGATGATTCACTAATAAAATGATCATGGACCAAAAGGAAACAGGGGGGGTCGACTGGGTGCTAATGACATGAAAGCAAAAAGAGAAGCGTTCGACTAGAGAATTAGAGAGCTGGGTCCCACTTCATTAGACGAGGATGTCCTAGGACATCATACTCTTAAACTTGATACCTGCCCGAGTAAACGTACTATGGTATGAAAAATCAGACACTCTGGTTGTGGGCAGACTTTAGCATACTATTGAAACCTAACTGAGCAGAAACGCCGTAGATATCCGATGCAGTAGCGACAGGTATCATGAAAGTCAGTACACCCACTCATTCCGCACCCCAAGCATTCTCATCCTAATACAATGGCTTTAACCTCGATGCTAGCGCGTCTCGGCGTGTCGGACGGCACTGATGGGTCGACAAAGGCTGAATGGGGGCACACTGATCAAGTTAGGATAGCCCTTTCAATTCGGGATCTGAGTAGGTATTAGACAGACTCACCAGTTGCCTCGCTTCTCATGCTGTCATAGAGTTTGAAGACAATGACATCCTCCTGCGTCATGCCCCTCTTGTAGAACCATCGGTGGGACGGGTTGTATTTGACCTCGTAAGCCTCGTCGGTGAAGTGCGGATATACAATGTCCATGGGGACGAGATCCCCGGCGTCGACGGTGCGGAAATCGCAGAGAGCTAGCGGACAGTCCTCCACGGGTGCTGGAGATATTGGCCTCCAGATGCTGTGGGACGTCGTTAGTGAGAGCAAAAGCAGATTGGTGTCTTTGTCTCTTAGTCGACCTACTTGATGAAGCGGACGCGGCCCTCCATGATCTTTTGGTAAGAATCTGGAAAGTAAACTTGAAGGCGAGCCCGGCAAGTTGCCTCCGTCGCATCTGGCGAACATGTTGTCAGTACCGGGCCGGGTTCTAAACCGTACATGCGCGCCTGGTGTCACGAACCGCAATGTGCACGAAAGAAAGGCGGCTTGAAGTTGTATTCCAGGCCATCTGCCTTTTGAGTGGAACCATGGTGGCGAAACTGCCGTGAAAAACACTTGTGACTTAGCTCGAGAAGCTAGCGAGGAAGTATGACGAGTGGTCGATGCATCCGCCAGCACCCGGACCACCCCGTCGGCGTGGACGCACATTGTAGGCGTAACAGAAGACGTCCCGGCAGCCAAGACGTTGCGTTAGCCATCTAACAAGCCCAGGGAGGTACTCAGTCGACACGTAGTCGTCGGACCAGTTCTGCACAGCGATAGGAGACTTGGCGAATTCGAACCCAGAGACAGGGAGTGAGAACAGGGTTTCGTGGCCAGTAATGTCAGCAATGCGGACGGGGTAGCTTTGCGAGACGAGGTTGTGCATTTCGAGGCCGGGGAAGCATTCATTAGGCAGCTGGCATTTGTATGGCTTTTCACTGTGGTACCGCTCCAGTGGTGCGAGGTGGTGGAAAGACTCGGGCTGAACAATAGGCAGGTCGAGGCCACGGAACTCCTCGTCGAGATCCCGCCTTATTCGTTCGATGTCATGAGGGCTGTCCAAAATTGGCCGGCAAGCGGTTTCATGATCTGGATCTTGTACGCACAGAAGATAAGTGGTGAATCATGCTAGATACTTGGCAACTTGGAACTCACGCGCTACTTCGTTGGGATCGAGGGAACATCCGCCCCCTTCAAGGGGTGCTGGACCTGTCCAAAGCCGCCATGGTCGATTGAAGGGTCGAGTAATGTCGAAACGGCAGGTCAGGACGTCTGGATGCTCATTCTCTAGCCTTCTGTAGGCGTCACTCCCATCGGTGGGCGGCCAGAAACGTCTCCATGGCTGGGCAAGGGCGCAGTGCTTGGACTTCCTCAGGGAGTCCCCGCTCTCTGTGAGAGGGCGCGGTGGGCGGCCAGTCGTGGTGAGACGTCCGCTGTCCCCCCTCTGATTGGCGCCTGCTTTGCTCAGCGCGGCTTCCATCACCGTCGGGCGTTCGGGATCAACTTTCGGGCGGTTGGAGTTTGGCGAGGCAACAGCGCCAGACATGATTCAATGCATGATTTCTCTATTTTGGCACGACGACGAGTTGCTGCCCGGTCGAGCTTTCGCCGCCCGAGACGAGGCTCTGCCATTTTGGTGACACGCTGGGCACACACACAAAGCTCCCGCCCAAAATCAGGACTTGGGCATGAAAAGCGGCTCCAATTGCCGGCGGGGTGGCCTGCCGTGCCTGCTTGCTCAAAAAAAAACCGTTCCTTCCAATCATGGTGGAAAGAGTTGTGTGGCAGCTCGCGTGACTCGATTCGCTTGTGCTTTGGGGGGAAGGCACGGTTGGTCGGGGAGGAAGGACCATGGTAACGATCGTGACGTGAAGGCGTTGCCAATCTTTCGCTTGTTACGACTTGGGGGTGTACTCTGGCGGTCGAGCGGTGGGCATTCGCTCACGGCGATCTTAAAAAGCCATGCCGCAAATGGGCCATAACTGGCGGCCCTGGATCACTCGATGCCTCTGTTTCAAGGGGAGAGGCGCCCGAATGCTTTAAATACGCGCCATGGTGCCTGGTGAGAGCCTAGGAAGTTTGAGAAGAGTACCAGTAATACCAACTGCTGTTGGGCTTTGAGACAACCAGAAGCCCATCCGGTGAGGATGGTATTAAACTGTGTTAGTGTGGCTGCCACCAAGCCGGGTCATGGTACGCTGTCTCGGACGAGCTTGTGCGGGACAGCGCGGTATTAGTACTTCCGGGTTACCAGCCGCTCGCAAGATTCCTGCACAACCGAATCGGGAACCGGTCTGGACGTGGAAGGCGCGGGGGGGTGTACTGGGAATTGGGGTTCCCCAACCACACAATGCCCATTGTCATGATCCAATATCGCGCGCGCAAACCTTGGGCTCAGAAGCCAGCATTCCGTCTGGCCGCATTTCCCTTCTGGTAAATTGCAACATTGCACAGATACGGCTAGGATTTTCGCCGCTTCCTATTTTTGTTGGCCGCCCACGAATCGACGTCGTCACTCGAATCGTTGGACGACTTGGACAAACTTCCTTTCAGGCCGGACCCCGGGTCGACCAGGTCCCCCCTCCCTTGCCACTCACTACCTTACCTATTTTACATTGCGCAGTACTAGTATGCAGGTAAACTTTGAGTTCAATTCCATCCCTTGGCTCTGCGCCGTCCGTTTCAAAGTTCCGGGATTGTCTTATCCGCGCCCAGTTCCCGACGGCGACCGCGGTTACCGAAATCACTGTGTGGCCATCTCGCTCGTGTTACAGTTGCCCTGCTGATTCTCTCTAATTACCACCATCTTCTTTGTCTACCGTTTTCTCGTTTAAAGTGGCCCCCTTCCGTTCAGCAGCATCGCGCCTCCTCTTTCCTGCTTTCCCATCTGCGCCGAGACCTCTGCAACTGACTAAAAACACACAAGAACCAATCCCGGAAGAGGTCGTGTCCCTTCCCAGAAGACAACGGCGACATGACAAGAGTCAAACGGGGCAGCTTTCCGGCGGCCTTCCTGTCCCTGACGCCCGAGGACAGGGGGGTGATGGAACGGGCGGCATCGATCATGAAAATCCCCCTGGATGAAGTCACTCAACTCATAGCCGGACCTTCCCACGTTGGCCAGGGGACATCGCTCGGACAACGACCGGGCAGTTTTGAGCCTCCCCAGCGTCCGTTGAGCGAGAATCATGACATTGAGAATGGTGATATACCTTGAATCCAACTCGTATTTGGCAAGAAGCTTATGTTTATATGTGTAGATACTAGTAGCCATGACGATGAGCAACCGAATGACGACGACAACAGAGACAGCGGGTCGGATGGGGAAATCTCGGTGTGGCGGTCTTCTGCTGCCGAGTTCAATAATATCGATGATGGCATCACCAAAGAGTACGAATATGTGGACCCTTGGGGCGATGATTTCCCAATCCTCGCTGCAAATACCGCTGCCACGCAAGGTCAGGCAATAGAATCCAACACTCGGACCTCAGCCGCGGCGTTGTACGGGCTATCGATTCAGCCCCCGTGGAGCCTTGCTGGGGCGGACACGCCATACGTTCCCTCCCTCGTGAGCCACTTCACAACCCCTAGTACAACTGTAACAACACCTGCGTTTTCAAGCGATACAGCCCCCGTTACTCAACAGCAGTCCTGGGAAGTCATAGAGAAACCCCAGACGTCTCAGCTCCCGCCACCATCATTTGGGTGGTCCACAGTGGGTGGTTATCTTGGGTCCACGGTACCAAGTCCCAGCCCTGGCAATGAAGATACTTCCGGCGACGCCCTCCGCTTCGTATCAATGCACCCATTGCAGCCACAAACATCCCAACGTGTTCAGCGGCGCGGACCCTTCCAGGACCGCAAACGACAGGAAGAAACCAGCAGGACGAGGGGACTCAAAGCATGCGTTCGATGCCGCATGCAGAGGATTCGAGTAAGGAAGCGGAGCTTTCCCAACATGTTAACCTTTCTAACAGCTTAACAGTGTATCATCGTTGAGGATGATCCTACCGGTATCTGTGGCACTTGCTTGGCGGTGTCTAAGCAGAAGGTCCATTCTTTGCCTTGCCTTCGGTATCGACTCACTGAGTGCACACTCTACAGGACTGGAAAAGCCCCTGGTCTTGAGTTCACCTTCCGCTGGCCCGTGATGAAGCTCAAAGACATATCGGAATGGGAGTCCCAGAACTTGAGGACAGTACTCGTCAAGTCAGATGTCTGCGAAGTTCCCCTCAAGCTCGTTGTCCGCAGATTCATCCCGATTCCTCACAAGGACTCAATCCATCGGTCCTGGGTGGACCATCGGAATGGCGTCAAAAAGTTCAAAAAGACTACGCCATACGCCGTCGTCAACATGAAGAATGCTGTACAGGATATGAGGGAGTACGTTACTGCCAATGTCTTCAAATGCATGGAGTACTTTCTCCGCGGGAGCGACCAGTTGGTCAAGGACACGTATGAGTTTGCGCGGAAACACATGCAACGAGTTGAGGTAATCTTTTATTATTTTCACCCGTGTTGGGCTGTTCAGCAGCGGAACGCTAACTACGGAGATGTAGTCTGATGAGGAGCGCAAATTGCTTGGGAACTTCTTCCGGTTATGGTTTGCCATCCGCCGAACGGCCACTACGGAGCACATTGTCGGGGAAGACACACTCGACATGGAACCAGAGAAAAAGGACGAATCTTACCCGTTATTCGGGAAAGTTCCGCTGCCGCCGGTTATGATCCAGCAACTGGACATGATCCTGACTTTGGGCATCCTGGAGCCGCTTCGGAAGCAAGTGCTGGAGGATTTCCAAAGGCTCGCCCTGACGAGCAACCCGAGGAATTGGATGACGATCTACTTGATTACGTTCATGTCTCTCCACAGCTGCGCAAGAATCACGGCGGAAAACTACCACAATGCCCGCAAACACGGCCTTCTGGTAAGCACCCGACAACTTCTGTGTATCATCAGAGGTTAGGCACTAACACATCTCTCCAGCGAAGATACGCGATTCCGAACTTCATTGCCGACCAGCACCATAGCGCAAACGTGTTCCTTTCACACTATCACTACCGAACCGAGTCCTCCAACCCGTTCAAACAGGATTGGAAAAGGCGGCATCAGACGCCATTTTCCTACATGTCCGTAGATGACATCCAGTTCCTGGAGCGAACTAAGGTGTTGCTGGAAGAGCGAGGTAACGTAGCCCCAGTCTTGCAAGCCCAACAAGACTAACCGTCTTCTCGACGCAGAGGACGTAGTAAAGACGAACAGGGACAATGATCTCTACGAACACGAGCTGTACTTTCTCTCTCAGATGTTTGAGGACAACTGGCAGCCGAGGGACACCGCGATTGATCACACGGAGGGTACGGTCAATAACGTAGGGCTGAAGAAGTATGCGGGAGACGAAGAAGGTGGGAAGCGATGAGGCACCTTGCGTTCGGCCAACACGGCCAACCAAGCCCTTCATCGGTCCGAATCAGACTGGAAGCTGTGGCTGGGCTGTTTGTCTTGACTTTTCGACATTTGTGTTGATTTTTCCATGTTTGTCTTGACTTCTCATTTTTCTTTCCTCGGTTCGAACTATTACTGGCTTCTGGGGTGTATTCCCGGGCAGAAGACTGTTCAGAGGAGGTAAGCTCTAAAAGGGGGGTTGGTTCCACGGTAAGTACGAGAGCGGCACGCCGCTCATGGCAGAGGAGCGCATCGCTCGATAGCAAAGTATATTTTTCACATATTGATTTACGCAATAATCGAACTTCAAGATCTGGATCGAGATTCGTAATTGTTCTTTTTTCTCATTTTCCTTTTCCTCGCCTCAGTGACCGCTTGGCGACCTCGAGTCTGCCCAGGCACTACCGAGCAGGTTCTGCGTTATCCCGAACGAGGCTGGAGCAACATACCACGTTGTAGTGTTGGGACTTGAGAATGTGTGGTTTACAACTGGCAATGTAAGTCCCGTCTCAAACCCGAGGAATGTGCTTGTGGCTGCCCAACCAGGCTTGAAACGCTGTCATTGCCGCTTTCTGCGACCGGTCTGGGGTGGACGGCGGCACGGGAAAAGAAATCCAACCGGTCTGGCGACCCCTGAGACCCTCGGACTTGGCAAGGAGACGGAATCAGCCGAACCGGTCTGGGATGCTCATGGAAACAAGGCCCCATTCCTATTGGGCACCGCTTGAGGTGACACAACCGAACCGTGCATGAGCCACCGGTCGCGAGTCCGCCGAGGTGAAGGTGCTCCGGCCCTGACCGGCCGCCGGAGAGGACGGTGCTAGGTCCGGAAGGACCGGCATCTTGGTTCCGGACGGCTTTCTGACATCCCAGGGCTGATGAAAGAGAGTCCCCGACCAATGAAACCGCGCAGGACAACAACGGGGCTTGGAAATGATGGCATGGGTGCTGCCGGCCACGTCCCGTCGAGTATCTCTGATATTGAATGTGCTGCCCAACGGCACCCCCTTGTCTTGAGCCTTGTCAAAAGGCCGATACGTAGGTAGTAGGAGCCGCAGACGTGGAAGATGCCTGATGATGCGAACTGTTTAGTGTTCGGGGGAGAAATGGGGGTCCTGACGTGGGAGGAAAGTGCAGATTGCGAACCGATATAAAAGAATAGTTCATGCTCCCAGCCGCTGTGATCCACATCTCATCTTGCTATTTGGGATCCAGCGGCAGCTAAGCCAAAATCTTCCTCTCCCCTTGCCCTTACACCGCCCATTCCGGAAAGCTGGTCGACCCTGGACCCCAGCAGTCCGGTCACAACGCCCCTCTCTCACGCATCGCGCCTTTCCCTTGCAGATGCTGCCAGCTCCTTGCCGGTCCCGCTTAGCTCATATCCCAGCAGACTGAAACCAACCCGCATTCACCCTTCACTCATTGGACACAATGGCGGCGCCCCCGCGGCACGATGCAGCATCAGATGCCGCTTTCCTCGTCTCGGGCATGGACCGGGACTGTGGATACCTGCAGCAAGTCGACGTCGATGAGATAGACCTCCTCCTTCCGCAGGCTGCCGGGGTGGAGGAGACCCAGGACCAGGATTCGTGGAGAGACGGGGCGTATACTTCGATGTTGTTGATGGAATGTGGGTCTGCCCCTGCCCCGGTCGGTACCTTGTTACGATACCGGACGGACCTGATGAACGAGGGCTGACTTCTGATTCTGTACTTTACAGTAGACTTCATCAGTCCGCCAAAGACGGACACGGGCCAAGACAACTCCTCTGACGACATTGACAAACGTTCTGTTGAGGTGTCATTCGATGAAGAGGACCTCGCCAGAGGTGGTGTTGAGTTGAGGGCCCAGCATGGTTCTGGCTAAGTCACCCTGGCGTTGGGCAACACACAAGGCTACAAAGAAATACAAGGTTAGTAAGCCTTACCCCCCCAACATGAGATTCTGGGAGCTACCCATGAGGGACCTTCACTGACAGGCATTGTCAAGAGTCCGGGATAGAGCGTTATGGAGAAAAGGCATCATGTTTCCTACATTGGGAGGCTGGCATAGTGCTCCCGGGTCATTTGGGTCACGGTTCATGTCATAGGTATGGGAGGTTTCATTGTGAGCTTCAGAGATACCCATTCACTCGGATTCTTTTCCTCAGCCACTGCCGAAGGATACTGCTATATTATTACGCACGACGGGTAAAGAAAACGAGGGGAGGTATTTTGAGTTCACGGACAACAGTCATCAATGTTTGGAATTATGGGCTCTAATAATAGTATTTATTCGATTTTGGAACGTGTTGCTTTGCTGTTGAGCTGTTGAATCATTTCTTTCTTCGAGTTGACGGCTGGCTGGGGTAGATATTATTAAGAGTTATCCTTCGCCACGCGGTTTAAATACCCACAAGCCGATGGTCGGAAGGCGATGGTTGAACTCAGTAGACCAGGAACCTTGATGCAGACTTGGCTTTTTCCATTTCCCTCAGCAGTGCGCTATGGAGGTCGTCTTCGAGTCTTCTGTCCTCGATCCAGACTGCATTCCCCAGACGCAAGGATTGCAGCATGCAAAGTCGCTGATGAATCTGGCTGACGGCCTCCTCAATGGTGCAGCCCTCAGGAATGTAGCCCCTGTCGTGAAGGTAACCCAGGACATCCAAGACAAACGAAGCGGCGTGTTCATCCTGTCTCCAATTTTGTTTCACCCAGGCAGTTCCTTGGGTCCAAAACCATCCTACTTGTCGGTTCTTCATGGTGACGCGGACACGAAGCCTGATCTGGGCAAAGTCGGGGTCCAGGACGTCGGTATTGTGGACAAGGAAGTCGGAGGAGTATTCATTAAAGCATCTAATGATGAAAGCCGCAACCTCGTAGTTTTCGAGGTTGAGGTGTTGAGCGAGAAAGGCGATGTCATCCATTATGGGAGTGTTGGCGAGATGAACTTCGAGGTGTTGTTGGAACTTGTGGACGTGGGAGACATGATTTTGAACAAGGACACTCGGAGCGTTGTTATATTTGCTGTCGACTTCACAGAGGCATCACAATATGAATTGTTCACACAATAAGCCACTGCTGTTCAAAATGTTTCGCGCGGAAACATCCCCCCACCCCCGGGCAAAGTAAACAAAGACCCAACAAAGGAACACCAAAGCCGCAACAAAGACGGATTGTTTCACTTGGGCGAGTCAGATATCGGATGGGTTTCATGACTGAGATTCTCGTATGTCACGACGCCATTTGGGAAATTATTCCACAATTTACATGATTAATTACAGCCACCGTTTCACTGCGCACTCGCTAACCTTTAAGGCGTGACGTGACGCCTCAAGCCCCTGACCCCCCCACCTCGAACTTGGTGCAGTCATCCTGAGCACCCCTGTTAGCAACAGGCATGGCAACGGGCTGATGATTCCTGGCGGCGATCATGGTGCACACGCGGTAGACACCCTCGGGCAGACCGCCGGTGACCTCGGCCTCGAGGCCGCCCTTGCCGTCGCCCTCGTCGTCGACGCCCTTGAAGTAGGCGAACGAGGTCGGGTCGGGCGCCTCGAGCGAGCGCAGGCTGCCGATGTTCTGGACCGAGATGTGGCAGTGGCCGATGATGTCGCCGTTCTCGTCCAGGTCCTGCGGCGCCGTGTAGTAGTTGGTGGTGGGGTTGACCAGGTAGCCCGCGCGCAGGTGGCGCGTCTGGATGGACACCTTGAAGGTCGTGTTGGCCGGCACGCGGTCGCCCGGCTGCGGGTAGGTGATGATGGAGGAGATCATGTTGGTGGTGGCCGGGATGCGGCCCATGGGGATGCCGTTGCAGGAACCGTCCCTGTTTTGCTGGCCGTTGGTAAGGGTATGGCCGGAGCAGAAGTTGATGAAGTTGGCGGAGTCGCTGGTGTGAAGCTGTGTGTTAGTGTTTGTTGATTCGTCATGGACGGAATGGGAGGCTCACGTTGCCGACTCGCTGAGGCCGTCTCTAATCCCTGGTGTCCCCTCCTCCATCCCGGTGTATTTGCTTGCGCTTTGCATGGTGTCAGGGGCCAAACACGTGGGCTTTGGGCATGGTTTCCGCCTTGACCCAGGGGCCCGGTTCTCGTGCTGAGGGTTCGTGCCCACGGCAAGGCCGGCAACTGCTCCTAGACAGGAGAGAAGCAATGTTGTTGTCGTCAGGGGAAGCATCTTGAACCTGTCAAGCTCGGATGTGACTGGATTCACAGTGATTGTTCCTTGCGTACGGAGTACGATGCGCCAACGACACCAAGTAAACCGGGTGTCGCCGTCATTTTAAACAAAGTCCGAGAGTCGAGAATTATCTATTGGCCACCCCAATCCTACCGTGACGAGATCTGTTGACTGCAGGTCCCGGGGGCCTCTAGATTGCGGCACACCCCGGCTAAATCTCCGCAAGCCCGGTACTGCCAACCAGGCTGGAGCGCCCAGATTGGATGGCGTGAGATTTGATGTCTTGGATGAGGAAATAGCGTCCCGCTTTCTTTTTTGGTCCTTTTTGGTGCGAGCCAAGTCCTTGGGTTATCCACATGGCCTTGGCTACATGGAGGTTAAGCGCTTGCAGATCGAATTGGAAGACGCTCTCGTTGAGTCAAGGCTGGGGCGATCATGGGTCGTCAGCTTGACCTCGGTCGCACAGCAGAACGTGCCGACGTTTGGTCGTATTAATAAATAACTCGTCCGATGTCCACGTGTGTGCCCTGTCACTTTGAATACACTAACGAGTTAGTTCAGAGCCCGCCCCCACGGCTTGCGAGATTGTCGTGAAACTCATCCAGACTTCGCAGGGACAAGGCCCGATGGAAGAGTCAATTCCTGCCCATCTACACACATCGTATGGGTACGGAATGCAGGGACATCAAGCGGCGATAACTAGGGAATAGGGTCCGCAATGTGGCTCTCCTAGGGAACCCCCTGGTGATCACGGGAGGTGTTCTCGAGTCCCGGGTCCTCGACAAAGACCCAGTCAAGCTTTTCGGCGATCCCTGGAGCGTCGGACTCTGCGATGGACTTGCGCGTCCAGGGCTCGACACGGCGCTTGAAATCCTTTCAGTGACCGTCTAGTTAGTTCATGTCCGGTTTGTAAGTCCATCGGTAGATGGCCCAGCCCCATTTGTCCTCTGCGCCCGAGTTCAACAGCCACTGGATCTTACCCTCGGGCGCGAGGCCATACCACTCCATCCCGATAAAAAGGCCTTTGATCTACTTGAAGAAACCGGTGAGCTTTGAAAAGATCATGGACACCCGCCAGACATTTCCTAAAAGGGTGCTGACTGGTGGGGCGAATGACGCGCGTTCGCCCTGAGATGCCGAGTTTGGTTGGCCGCCGGACAGAAAAAGGGGGACACAGGTTGTAACCCAATGATCAGTAGACCTTTCTGTCATCATACTGTATCCATCCCTACCATGTACTAATGGGTAACAGTGCTGTTGTGTACTATCCTTAGTGAATATGATCACACGGTGACTTCTTGGAGAGCTTCTAGGAGAGTGAGACTGACTTATATCTGTCTCTCTACTTTGAACCTAGGCCATAGAGTAATAGCCATCTAATAAAATGGACTTCGACTTCGGATCCCGGAGCAGATCCATCTCTTGTGGTATTACCACACGACAAACAGGAGAAGTCATAGCACGTGCAGCCTAATCATTCATTTGCTGCCAACTTCGCACCTTGATATGATGCCGTGGCAGCCGCCCTCACGCCCTGCGTGGACTTCCGTCCATACATGATCCTCATCATAACGTAGGCATGAACATTGGTATCCTTTAATTGCTTATGGAGACGAGCGCCATAGACAGTGACGTTCGTCCGAGGCCAGCCCAAGATATGGGACCAAACCCACAGAACCCACCCTTGAGTTCGCGGGTTAGTTTGCAAATCGAGCGCAAAGAACGGGGACTCGGGAGTGGTGCTTACCTTCAATCTCAATGGAAATACCCTCTCGGGCATACCGCCCAATCTCCCTGAGCCTTTCGTCTGGCGGCCGACCGCTAATTGGGCACTGCCAATTCCACTCAGCATCCATATTCGATCAACAAACTAACCAACTCAACAAACTCTGACAGAGACAACAACACGGGATCAATTCAAACCCAAGGTACTCAAATTACCCGAAGAGACACGTGGACTGGGGTAGTAGAAAGGGAGGTTATGAACAACCACTTATCCTTCTGCTTTTGGGATGTTTAGTTCGAGGACCTGGCTGCGCATGGATAGACGCTGTGGTCTGTGGTCGTATCCAATCGGGTGACCACGTCTTCAGACCTCAACTACTCGAACACCCCCGGAGTCTCGCGGAATAGAACCCTGAAGGACTCGATGGAAGCCACAGGGCTATCGTTGCCGAAGTCGATAGCGCTTCGTATATAGCGTCTGAGCCTAGCTTGGCCCATCGGCGAGTAAAAGACCTCAACCTGGCCCTTGAGGGAGTTGATTTTGCCCTCGGGTACCTAGGGTGAAGTGTTGCGGGTTGGTGTTGGATCCGATGAAATCAGCTGCCCCGTGGAGGAGTAGCGAGATCCAGATGATTGACAACCCACCCCGGGATGTAGTGTACGCTTGCGAGGACATCACCCTCGACCAGAACATCACCATGAGCGACCTCGACGGATGGAACCCCTGGGTGGACTCGGAGTCTAGCTGTGACACGGGCCTCTATGCCAACCTGACCGAGGCTGACGAGCGTCCGGTGTGCATTGGGGTGGGCGGCCCGGGATCCAACACCAGTAGCACTGGGTTGCCCACTGCGACGCCAATGCCGACTACCATGGCATCGATGTGAACGACTTCAAAGTTTAAGGGTAAGATTTTGCGTTTTTGTCCCCAGAACTCTCTCATACTGCTTAATGTAAGCGCCGTGCTGGCTCCAAAACAAAAAGCGGCTGTCTAGGGGCTGAGATAGGGTGTCCGGTTGGAATGGAAGAAGCAACGGTAGTTTATAAACTAACTGTGAAGCTTCACGTCTGATAAGCTTTCTATAAATACCGCCATATCTTGTTTGACTATCCAGTAGACGTCAAAGGGTTGGGGGTATGTGCCTTATTCGCGCATGGGCAACTATAACTGTGAATGTGCTCTTAGCAAGGCGCAAGGTTTCACTAGCGGTTCCCTTTTTGTCATAATACCAGTAGCTTCTGGCTCATGGCTTCTCAGAGCTAAAGACCAGTGTCCATATCACTTAGTGGGGGGATAGTCAACGGAGGGTTCCTTCGTTGAAGCTGGCAGCGTTGCTTGGGCATTGCCGGTCTACCACGCCATGCAGCTCACGTTACTGCATAGTCTGTCGACAACCCCCTGTTTCATGTTCCTCCCTCAGCCCCCCTTTTCGGCGTCGGTCCATATTCGGCCACTTGCCAACCACGTCCAGAACCGATATCGGGGTAACGAGCCCCGGCCACGTGTGTCTGGGCTCTAAAGTCGGGACGGTGAGCGAAGGGGTGAGTGATTGCCGGGCCTGGGGCTACCGCAGCGCGTTGAACCGTGCCACAGGGCAAAGTATTGGTACTCCGCCGACGAGTTGCGATGGTTATCCGACGGGCACAGGCCTCGATGTAGCAGCCGACCAGTTGACTTGTTTGGTTGGTACCGTGTACCTTCGGTCCAAGGCCCAATGGCGAGAGCAAGGTAGCAGGCCGTGTACCGACAGTTTGGTTCTCTTATACACATCGCAGGAGAGGCTCAACTGAATGATGTGAGCAAGGGTTTGGGGTCGTCATCGTCCCTTTTACCCCTGCATCACGCCGTAGTAGAGGTTTTTTCCCATTTTACATTCCTAATTACCATTTGTCCCTATTCGTATCAGTTCACCTTTCCATTTCCCCAGCTCAGGATCCTTGCCATTATGATCATGGGTGTTCGGATAACGCCCGGGAATGTATAAGCGGATATCAGATGCTTGACAAAACGACCCTTCTCCACCACTTACTCCACGACCACAGGATATGTGATAGTGTTTGGAAGACACAGAAAAAGACCAATGAACGTATGCCTATGAATTCGGTGCCCGGGGTCCTAAATGTGGTGGGCGGAGAAGGAATTGCACTCGTCGATTCATCAACCAAGGTGGACGTCTGCATTGCTTCGTCATCCTAGGTGTCGGCCGGGCAGGTTCTAGACTCGTGTATCCAAGCCACGCAGACTCGCACTTATCGAGTCTTCCCAATGTTTCCTTCTCGGGCCTTACCGGTTCACTTTTCCAGCCTTCGGGGTTGGATTTCCTCGGAACCGGGCTGGCGGTCCGGAGAGGGTCGAAGTGGTAGGGGTGGTCGGGGCAACATTCTATTTCTGTCACTCAGACGACCTCGACCGGCCCGGGAAGGGACTTGAACTTTTCATCAATAAGGCGTTTTATTGATCGTGTGCATATTCTAGCTTGTATGCAATGCAGAGTGGTTGCTACGTAGAACCAAACTGCACAAGATGCGTGGAGGGTGACCGGGACGGTGGGCTCGGTGGCAGATACGAGGATTTGGCCACTACCACGTCTGGTGGCAATGAATTCAGCTCGGGGAGCTTCTCGGCCATCTTGTTTGTTCTCGATCGTCTCGCTACTGCATTGATTGACAGGATGTCGCCCTCACCTTCCCGCTCAAGCGGTTATTATTGGAGCTGGGTTACATTGTTCGCTAACTTGAGAGTGCCCAGATCGAGCCGCATCTGCAACCCCGCAGGGGAGGACGGGAACTGACGGTTTACCTGGTTCTCGGCCTCTGCGTGCAGGTTCCCAGCGGGGTGCCTGGTGTTGTTGTGCTGGAACAGTGAAGAAACTGACGGCGGATCGGACGGCTTCTCCCCTGTTCGGGGTGTTCCAGCCAAATTTGCCCCTGCTCTCCGAAGGATTGCAGGGGCCATGAGGTGGCTGGGCTTCCGAGGTTGGTTGAAAGGTCTTGGCCTTGAAGGGAAGGGATGTTGATGTCCGTAAGGGTACGTCGCAGTGTAACTCTATCTTTCTGTGATGAGCTGAAATGCGTGTCATGTAACCTTCTCACTGTGACTTTAACTCAGCTCCCTCGTCGGGCCGTCCCATGACTTCCCATCCACAGGTCTGGGCCCTGTCTTTGCTCGAAGTGAAGTCACCCAAGTTACGCCATGGCGTAGTCTATTGAATCCGCGCTTTGTCGGTCGAATACTGTCTCCTCTTTCCTAGGTGTGCCCAAGAATGCAGGAACAGAAATTCGGCTAGTTAGAGCGGGAGGGCCGCCTGAGTGGTCCGGTTGAGTGGTCCGACGACCTACATCCTACCCCTGACGGAACCGCCCGTGGCTGCAGGTCGAGCTAGCGTGCCTTGGTAGCTTTGGCAGCGAATCGGAGGTTGACTCGAAAGACATCTGACTTGCGTCCCGTCATCGGAGACACACAAGGCTGTTCCCAATACCTCGACGCCAGATCTCTTGGCCCTCCGCAACAGGATAGGTGGCTTGCGGGCCAGACCTTTTGAGTTATTTTACTCTGAGGCTCTGCTTAACAAACCAATAGTTGGGGTTGACCTCGAACCCCTGGAACCGTCACTCTCCGCTCCCCGGATTCCATCCCCGTTCCACTAGTGACGATGCAGGCTTTAATGGCTGCATGTGATATCCAAACCACGCATATGCAAACCGAGCATGCGGCCGCCCGGTGCCCGCCTCAGCTAGCCGAGGAACTCCGGGCTTGGTGTTGTGGACTCGGACTGAGGATTTGATGAATGCTGAACACGCATGGACCATGGTTTCATTAACAAGTTGGGTGTGTGTGTGCCAGCGCAGAGTGGGATTCGGAAGAAGCGAGAGGCCATGTCACGGTCGTACCAGAGATGCCTTCGTGAACGCCACGGACCTCCCTCTGGGACTCGACTTGACTTCTGGGCAAGGGTGTTGAGACAGGCGAGAGATGGGGAGGTTCATCAGGTATAAATATTGCCTCCCTCCCCGATGTTGCCATCTATTTCTCTCATCTCATCATCACCCTCATCTCACCACTCTCAGTCCTCTGACAAGGCATAGCCGCAACTCTCTCCCTCTTTCAAGATGCAATACTTCCTCACCCTCGCGGCTCTCGCGCCCGCGGCCCTCGCGCAGACTTACTACGGCTGCTACACCGAGATCCCCGCCCGCGCGCTGACCGGCTCTTCGCTGATCGACTACGATAACATGACCATCGCCGACTGCGAGACCCATTGCACCGGCTTCGACCTCTGGGGCCTGGAGTACGGCGGCGAGTGGTACGTTCTCAACCACTTCTCTTTCCCCCCCCCATCCCCTTACCCCGTCTTCTTCCCTACCTGCCCACTCAGACTTCAGTCCTACTACCACCCCACTAACGAACCACCCAGCTACTGCGGCGACGCCCTCGCCCAAGGCTCCTTCCCAGCCTTCTCGACCGACTGCACGATGCCGTGCCCCGGCGACGCGACGGCGACCGAGGTCTGCGGCGGGCCCAACCGGCTGTCGCTGTACGGCACGGCCGAGACGGCACCAGCCATCGTCCCCTACCCGCACGACCCGGCCGTGACGGCGACGCAGTACGAGGGCTGCTGGACCGAGGTCTCGGGCGCGCGGGCGCTGGCCGGCGCCAGCGGGTTCTCGCTGACCGATATGACCGTGGGAGGGTGTGGCGGGTACTGCAGGGATAGTGGGTTTACGTGGTTCGGGCTGGAGTATAGTGCCGAGTGCTACTGTGGCGCGGGGCTGGATGCGAATAGCACGCTCGCGCTCGAGGCGGATTGTGCGATGGCTTGCTCTGGGGAGCCGACCGAGGTGTGTGGTGGGTCGGACCGTCTGAGTGTCTACCAGTGGGTGTGAGGATTGGGAGAGTGGATAGGGTATTTGGGTGAGGATAAGGGGGTGGAAGTGCAAAGGGCTCGAGTGTGTTTGGTTCTATTCTTCTAATCTTGGGTTTGCAAGGTTGCCTTTGTGCTTAGGTAGCTTGAAATGAGAAAAGGATGGAAATCGCAACAGGAGAAGAGAGTCATTTCAAGACAGCTATGATGTGAAAAGATGGAAGAGACGCAAGATGATGTGAAACCGGAGTCCAGGCATAAAAGAAGCCGGTAGAGATACCGGTAATCAGTGCTCGCAGAAGGAGTACCTGTTTTTCCACGCCTTCTTCTCGCTGGTGCGCACAAAAGCACTTCTTTCCTCCATCAACGCGAGCCGATGTTGACGTGCCTGTTCGGCAGTCATCAGTCCCCCCGGTACGGCCTCTCGCCGCACCATCTCCATGACCTCGGCCGGTAGCCGGTTTCTCATGCTCTGGAGCAGTTCCTCGGACGGTTTGACGGCCTTGTCGGCGCCCTTCTCAAGCAGCAGCTGGAACACCTCGGGCGGCATCTCGCCTGCAGTCTTGGCCTCGTTGCCAAAGACAGCCTCAGCCCACCAGTTGAACTGCTGCGGCGGCACGTTGGCGGTTGAGACGACGCGCCGGAGTGGGTCGACGAGCCACAGAGCTACGAAACGGCGGTGGCCGGGTTTGGTGCGGTCCTGCAGGCTGAAGGAAGACACGCGGTGTTGGCTTCAGGAAAGCCACCAGCTGTTGTTAATGATGCCCGGTAACAAGTTGGGAAGCAATCAAACTTACAAAACATTCGGGAATGCCAACAACCGCCCCTCGGGCGTCGCAACGCTGCCGTAGGTCTGAACGGTTTCGGAGCCTGGACCCCAGGAAAGGTTGGTGCCGTAAATGCGCTGGTACAGAGTGTCCATATTCTGTGCGACCCGAGACTGCAGGCCATCTTGCTGGGAGCTGGTAGCCATGCCTGTGCAGCCTCGTCAGCTATTTTCCTTACGGGTTTGGGGAGAGGGGAAGGGTCTGCCAGGAGGTAGCCCATTGTCTACGTAGGAAGAGAATGGGCTACCGGAGATGGGTTGTAAGGAGGCAACGGGTTCGGACTTTACGTACGAAAGGACAGCTCGCTTGGTGTCACGTTTTCCGAGTCGAGATAATACAGCGCTGTCGCCACAATGTGTTCGTTCATCTGGCCCTCAATCTGGATTCTGCTGTTAGAGCCACGGCTCTCCGGCGAGGAACGTGGTGGGCGCAGGGCGGACTTACATGCCAACCGCCCATTGGGAAGTCGGGATTCTCAGGGGTCAACTCAATCGAGGCCATCTTGACGATGACCTGCAGACCAGTATCCTTGAACCGCTCCCGGAGTGTCTGCTCAACCTTGTAGGTGTGGGGTTCGAATTCCAAGGGTTCCATGAGCGTAGGATCTCTAATATCTTTCCATTTGAGGCGCTGAATTTCCTGTTCTTTGACCTCTGCCGCGGTCAGGCCCATCTCCTCGTCATCCTCCCATTCGTCATCATCGCACGGGAGCTCCCGCTCAGAGTAATCGATGGGACCATCTTCCGCCTCGTGTTCGGCGATAACAACCGGATCTAATTTCTCCCAGACATCATCTTCGTTCTCTTCGCTAATATTCGGCAGCGTCAGCTACCTAGCTTCAGTGCCTCGAGGGGACTGGAACAACTTACTACACCCTGGGAGGTTGCTCTAACCGTTCCGGGGCATTACTAGACGGCGTGATGGCCTTTCCGCTGAGAACATGTTCCCAAGTGGGAATGGCGGTGTCGATGAGCTTCTCGAGGAGCCTGTAAGTCTCGGTGTGCTTTTGGGGGTGGAGGTTGTTGACGTAGCTGGTGAAGCGCACGGAGCCATCGTCCTGGAAGGCTAGGTTGGCAGGAAGCCATTGATACTTTTTAGACCAGTAGTCCCGGTCGATGAGTTCGCCCTCTTCTTCGTCTCCTTCCAGCAGCGCTTGTACCGTTTCACCCTTCCCGGACCACCTCTCGACAGCGTCAACCACCCTGACGGCCTCTTCTGGGATGAACCTACTCTCGCCTGTATTTCGTCAGCCGAAAGTGGAAAGAGATACCGGCATGGGGCAAATACGTACCATAAACGAAAGGATACATGGAAGGGTGGACGAGATCCTGAACCATATCGTTGCTCCCTGGATGCCAGTCGGGCTCGGCGGCCTGCTCGGCGCGGAGTTTCTCAAATGCAGCCTTCAGGCCCTGCTGGAGTTCATTGTTTACGAGGGAGTCTGCCTTGATAGCCGTGTTAAAGCAGGGGTACTCAGCGCTGCCCTGGGAGGAGTTGAGCGTGAAGACAAGACCGGTTTCTTCGAAGTAAGCCGCCTTGCACTTTAGCTCGGCGATGCACTGCGAAATAAGATGACAGTCAGTAACTAGTAAATACATAAAAGTACAGCCACGATCGGCGCCAGCTTGATGTTTACCCACATAGTCAAACGTGGCCTCGTTGATAATCCTCGTCCGCTGCGGCATTGGGATATTTTTTCCGGCCACGATCTCCTCGTACATGGTTGTTTCATCTTGCGTCAAAGCCTCATGGCGCCACTTGGCGACGATGGCCTCGTCAAACACCTTCTTGTGCCAATTGGGTTTGTCCGTGAGGCGATCCATAAGTAGGAGCATGGCGACTTCACGGACTTGGATAAGCTCAGAGAGAGAGCCGGCGGCCGCTTCGAACGAGCCACATCGGTAGAATTCGATACCGGCGCCGCCCTCTTCGTTCTGGACGAGATACCGCAGCGGTAGGTCGATACCGGGGTATTTGTGCAAGGTGGACGCCATGGTCGAGAAAGAACTGAGGGGACTGAGAATAACAAAGCGATCTTACTGTCTCTCGTTCAGTGCGGGGAGAGGCTACTTTTTTGAAGCTGCAAGACTTGCTCAGCAGACACTTTGAACTTCCCGAGCTGACGGACTCGGGGCGGCAGATAGCCTGGCTGATGCCTGTTATGCCTGCTAGGCATGTTGATCGGTTGGTCGAAAGCGGGCTGGGCGGGCCTTCAGGGTTTGTTGCCGAGCATCGGCTACTCCTTTTTTGGCGCCTCTCGCGCTCGTGGCCGAGGGCTCAGGGGTTGGGGAGGTCTTGACCCAAAACCGAATATGACGGAAACAAAACGAAAGAATTTTTGTTTCGCTGGAGTGTACGGTACCTATTCTGTAGTCTAATAATTCGACATTACGCCCTTTGCCCCCATTGCCCCCCAACCCAACCGTCTAATTCTTCTTGACTTTTTTGAACAACCCCTGAATCCCCCTCCCCTTGACCCGGAACAAATAATACACCCCAATAGCAACCGCAATATCAAAAAGAATGTACGCCCACATGATACCAAAATTCCTCCACCGGTCAGCCCAAAAGATATCAACGCTCTCCAGGTACTGATCCGCCACATCAAAGGCGCAATATCGGCACGCCTCGCGGTCGTACGGGTTCTGTAGCGTTCCCTGCGTCACGTTCGCCAGCGGCATGAGGTACTCGGCGCACGTCGTGTTCGGCGGCGGGTTGAACACAAGATTCTCAGCGGCAGAGCACACTACTTCCCGGTCGTGCAGCACTGTCGATACGATGCCCGAGATCCAGTAGGTGAACGGCGAGACGTAGTACATGAAGGTCCAGAATCCGGGCAGCGCAACCTTGGTCTGGAGCACGCCGCTGAAGATGGTCGACATCATGGTTAATAGAATCACGATCCCTGCCGCAGCCTGGGCGTCGGGGAGAGCCGCGATGGTCATGTGCGCGAAGGCGCTGGCGTAGATGAAGAGCTGGATGATGAGGAGCAAGACGAGGCCCTGGCGGGTCGAGTCTTGGATACCAACGACGGGATAATAAAAGGAAGCAAAGGCGAGGATTCCCGTGAGGATTTGGTAAGGTATTTCGACGACGATGTTGGCAATAAGGAAAGCTTTCCAGGAGTAGGCCTTGCTCGGACGCTCCCGGACTTCGTAGAGAGAGCGTTGCGTGATGAAGAGCGGTTGGATCTGGAAACGTCGGTATTATTAGTACGGAAGAAAAGATGTGATACAAACAAACATACCTGCTGCACTAGAGTGGTGAAGATGGTGGTCACCATGAAGACAGAGAACACGACATTCCGCATCCCAGCCTGCGTCTCTTCGGCCTTCCAAAAGGTGAAGCCGATAAACAGACCCGACATGATACCGAGCAGAAGCTTGGAGAGAACGTAGCCGGGCATCCGCCAGTACTGCTGGAAGATGCGCTGGGTGACAGCCCACACTTGAGAGGAGAAAGGCATCGCGAACTCGGAAGCAGCGCCCCCGTGGCTACCGCTGTCAACCTCTTGGTTTGTCTTGCCTTGCTCGTGTATCCTCTCAAGCTCGGCCCGAACCCCGTTGTACTCCTGACTCCCTTTCCAGACTGAATGCCAATCCTCGCCATCGCGGTTGACGCCCTCGGCAACAATCTCAAGCATGAACTCGGCAGGATTCTCGTCATCGCCACATGGGCGTGACCCGTTCTTCTCGAAATAGCCGAGCAGAGATTGCGAGTTTTTGCCGATATCCCCGAAGTAAACCGTCTTGCCTCCCTTGGCGAGAAAGAGCAGGCGATCAAACTGCTGAAAGAGAAGGGCGTTCGGTTGGTGGATCGTGCACAAGACCGCCTGGCCGGCGTCTGCTAGCTTGCGGAGGAAGACACAGATAGCCCAGGCGCTCTGTGAATCAAGACCGCTGGTGGGTTCGTCCAGAAACAAGAGAAGCTTGGGTTTCGCAACCAGTTCGACGCCGATAGTCAGGAGTTTGCGCTGCTCGACGTTGAGACCCTCGCCTGGGATGCCGACGATGGCATTGGCATACTCTTCCATGCCCAGCATCTTGATGACCTCCTCGACAAACTCGAACTTTTCCTTTTTGCTGACTGACTTGGGCCGGCGGAGCATGGCGCTGAACCGGAGACTCTCCCTGACCGTGGCGGTGTCGAGGTGAAGATCTGGTGGAGGTTAACGCTCCGTTTCATAACAGAAAAGAAAAAGAAAAGAAATAAACTTACCCTGCTGCTGCACATAACCGGTCTGGCGCTGGAAGTCTGCTCCAAACGGCCGACCACTCACGAGCATATCACCTGTAACAACACCGACTGATGTCCGCTGCGCGAGAACATCCAGCAGGGTCGTCTTACCGGCCCCTGACGCGCCCATCAAAGCCGTAAGCGTGCCCGGCTTGACCCACCCAGACACATTGTCCAATAGCCGGCGCTTGCCCTCCTTGACGTCAATGTCATAGACAACATCCCTCCAGGTGAAGACTTCGGTTTGTGCCTCGATACTGCCGCCATTAGGGTTCTGCGTGCCATGCTCGACATCCGTCCCCCGAGTGTTACCGCTTGTCTCCTCGTCCTTGCCCCTGCGCTTCGGGTCCAAGTGCGCGGGGATATCCCACCGCGGGAAGACCAAGGCTTCGGCGGTGCTGGCGACAGACGAGTTCAGCTCGACAGCGGCTAGGTAGATGGCCATGAAGCCGACCAGAAACGCCACGAGGATGCCGAAGTTGCGCCATACATGCGAGTACTCGTATCCATACATGGCTGCGATGTAGGCATCTCCGCTGACCGTGCGCCGGCCGGCCACGGCGCCAGTGCTGGCACAGATCCAGGAGTCACCGATGAGAGGGGAGTACGGAGGGAAAATCGCGGAGCAGGTGAACTCGCGGCCGTGAAACTCGTTGGCGATGAGGATCTCGAAGGCGTAGTAAATCGGGTTGAGCCATCTGATCCAGCTGAACCAGGGATGCATCTGCGGAACGGGAATGCTGGGAACCAGGTTAGCAGCCAAACTCTCCTCTCCCCCACTGCAGATCTCAGAGGAAAGCACTTACATGTAACCGGTGTACATGACCAAAGCCAACACCAAGACACCCGCCAGCGCCATAGCCTGCGCGACCGTCTTGGTAATGGCCGCCAGCGTCCTGAACACGGCACTCATAACAAACGTCGCGACAAACGAAACAAGAAAGAACAAGAAGAACTGGTCCGGAGTCCGCCTCAACCCAGCCAAGAAGTACACGATCAAGTTGAACACCACAGCCGACGCGAACTTGACGGGTATGTCGGCCACGATCCCCGCGGCAGCCTCGGTGGCCGGGTGGTAAAACGCGTACGAAGCATGCTTCTCGACGATGGGCCGCTGCGCGTACAGGCTGTCAATCTCGGCGATGGCCGTGAGCGCGTTCAGCAGGATCGCCATGAACAGCACCGAGCCCTTGCCCTCAAACCCAACCGTGGCGTCCGGATTCCCAAAGAAGATCGACCCAATAATCAGCGCCAGGATGAGGTTCGACCCGATATTAGTCGCCGTCGCGGGCAGGTTATTCCACACCCTGCGGTAAGCACGCTTGGTATTCAGACGGACCTGCATAGCAACACTAAGACGGTAAGGGGAGCCGGGACGGGCGTGTTTGGCCTGGCAGTGCTGCTTCTTCGCGCGCAGGGCGGCGATGCTCTCGGCGCGGCGGTCGCCCTCGAAGGCGGCGTCGTGGCGCGCCATGTCGGCCTGCAGCGCCGCAAACTCCGGCGAGCCCCGCCAGTACCGCTCAAAGTCCTCGGGCGTGCGCGGCACCTTGTGCTCCATCCCCGGCCGCGGGATGCGCTCGTCCGGGTTGGTGACTGACGTCAGGAAGTCGCCTGTGGTCTGCCGCGGCGGGCAGTGCCACCCTTGGCGCTCGAAAAAGGCCTTTGCCGCGTTGGCGGGGCCGAAGTAGATTTGCCGGCCGTCGTAGAGGACGGTGGCCTTGTCAAAGACGTCGTAGATCGCCTGGCTGGCTTGGTACATGGCCACGGCGTGGGCGTGCTTGCCGAGGTCCGACGAGAGGCGGAGGGCTTGCACAAACTTGAGGGCGCTGGTCGAGTCGAGGCCGCGCGTGCTGTTGTCCCAGGCGCAGATGGGGGACCCGGCGACCATCATCTCGGCGATGCTGACGCGCTTGCGCTCGCCGCCGGACACGCCGCGGACGTAGTCGTCGCCGACCTTGGTGTGGTAGGTGTGGGAGAGCCCAAAGATGGCCATGACCACGCGGGCGATGTACTGGAAGTACTCCTCGCGAGGCATGTCTTGGATGCGTTGCGCAGGCGTGCGCATGCCGGCGGCAAACTCGAGAGTCTGCCCGACTGTGAGGTGAGGGAAGTGCTTGTCGACCTGTTCTATGTTAGCACTTGTACCCCTTACCACGCACGGCATGTGATTCAGGGGTGAGTCGGATGACATACTTCCTGGTTGTAAATCACCTCCCCCTTAAACTCCTTCTCCATCTGGGTCTGCGTCGCCCCATTGTAGTGGACTGTAGACCCCTTGCCTACCGTCAAGCCGTTTAGTTCCCCGCAAACGGACTTGAGGAAGGTGCTGCAGCCCGAGCCCGGTCGGCCCAGCACTGCCAACAACTCGCCACTCTTGAGAAGACCGTTGAAGCCGTGAAGGATGTGCCTGTGCTCTTTCTTCCGAGAAAAGAGGTCGCCAACCCGGAGTGGCGCTAGGAGGACCGAGTCGACTGTTTCTTGGAGCTGCAGGGCAGAACCCGATCCAAAGACATCGAGGTCTCTGAAGAGAACGCTCAGCTCACTCGCCTTGCTCCCTTGCTCGTTGACTTGAGCCATGAACTGTTGAACCCATCTTGTTACATCAAAGTCTGCCGACTCAGGATCCAACGCAGGATCCAAATTATGTGCCACTGGTCCGTCCCTGGTGTGGGTTTGATGCCGTGAAAGCGCTGTAGCAATCCGTTGAAGCTCCGTTGTGACGCCCTCCTCCTCTAAGGGATTTACTGTGTCTCTTCTGTCGTGATCTCCTATAGTTCCTGAACTGGCGTCATGGTCACTCAGGCTAGGGGTATGGTCCGTTGCACTACTCCCGGCCACCTGTTCGTCAGGGGCTTGGTGTTCGTGTCCCGTCATGGTAAAGAGTGGATGATGATGCTTGTAAGTCGTAACATGGGGACGAGGCGGGTTGTCACTCTGGCTCGTGGAGCAAGGCGACTAATATAAGAATGCCATTTCTTTGTTTTTCAAATCCCATCTCCACTCTCTCGGCCGGTTTCCAACACCGAATACCGCAGTGGAGTCGTCGATTCGCATCATGGATGTTAAAAGAGCTTCGAATCCTCCGATGTCCCGTCGGCTCGTTTCCGTCTCATTGCCGTTGCTTCGTTGGATCATTTTGTCGTGTGTCGGGATGGACCCGTTGCATTCACGGCCGAACCCACATTTTCTGGCAGTCCAGTTTTCTTCTTCCGCTCAACGCCCGCCTCTGCCATTGGTTGGGTCCGGAATTCTTCCGTCGATCTGCCCAGAAACCCCGGATGCAATCACGGCAACAACCCGACGCAGAGCCTGGCTGCGCGGTGACGCGTTGGCATCAGCAACTGCAATTCTCAAGCGAGATTTCCACAGCCGTTATGCTTATTGAGTTCGATACGGAGTAACCCGGGTTCCGCGGGTGGATGCCGTGGACCTTGCTGGTACATAGCAATTCGGCATGGTGCCAGTGCTTGTTGGGCTTCGGGCGGAATTCGGTTGTGACCTCACAGGTCCGGTGGAACTCAATTTCCCGGGGTCTTCAACACCTTGCTCGCCAAGTTACCAAGAGATCTTGAAAGCGAACCGAGGGCGATCTGTTAGTGCAGCAAGCCAGACAATCCCGTCGAAGAAAATGTCTAAAGTACCAAAGAGCCATTTTCAACGCGAATTTTATCGTCCCAATTAGGCGAAGCAGTCAATCTGGAATAATTAGAATCGGTTGGTATAACTATCTTTTTACTGTTTGGTAGGGAGAAGTGTCGACGTTTGAATCTCGAGCAAATCGTCGCCAAACGTCAAAGACAGCGACAGTTAACAGTAAAAGGCTTGGCGGTAAGGGGGGCTGGTCAAGCCATGTTCAGGGGGCCCCGGGAAATTGAGTTCCACCGGACCTGGGAGGACATTGCCCGGAATTCCTGTCATCTGGTTCCGCGAGGGGCTTAATATGTCGATGACACCTTCTCGAAACACGGCCAATAAGATGGTGCCCACGACATTGACTTTTCACATGTGAACCTGAAATGTTTCAGACTGTTGACATCATACACTAAACCCATCAAGGTGTATCCAGAAAGAAGCGGTTCGGCCCAGTCCGCCCTTAAACTCGCTTTTATTATTATATCAAGCACGAAGAGCCTGAAGCCTTCCATTTGCCCGAGATTGGTATCGATATGTCGTCAGGCTCCAACTTTACGGTCCTTCGTATCGTTAGATACTGAATGGGTGACCTGGCTTCGCAAGACGTGGAAGCACAACCAGTCAGGGAAAAGAAGAGAGACGCCAGAGCAAACTTACTAGTATCTTATTCAGAAGCAATGAAGCTTCTGATGACTGCCAATGGGTGCCACTCCTCATGTCGAGGATCATTTGTCGCTGCCCGAGGTCCTGGGTTTGGACGAGGACGTGGTGCCTCGCGGCGGGGGACGACTCATACGAGCCTGGGCCCTGCTGTCAGATCCGCGGGCCCCGATCCCCGGATCGTTCCGACGCTAGCGCGGCGGGGCAGGACCGGGATTGCAACAAACTGCCGGGGCCGCGAAACGGCGCCTCGGAGCTTATCGTGCTTGGGTGCCAACGGAGACGGGACAACGTTGTTGTTGTTGGCACGGCCATCCCTGCCCGCCGATCGCAGATTCCATGGGAACAGGCATGGTGATTCGCAATACACGAGAATCGTGGGGGCACGTGGGGGACCCAGTTCAGCCCGAATTCCGATCCGGTCGACGACCAACACGAAGTAGTCCTGTACTAATACACGGGTAGTTTTTCTATCTGTTTGACCGAACGATTAGCGATGTTTGTCTCCGGCCCCGAGCCATCAACGGCTGAGACACCCCCCCTTTCTGGCACGCCGTCACCCCTCATTACACTAAACACTCTTCTTCCCAATTACCCACACAAACTTGGGATCGGGGTTGTTAACCTCGGTCACCTCCTTCACTAGTACCTTCATCCCCACCAAGCCCTCAATAATTCGCATCATCTTCTCCTCCCCCCAACTGCTCCGGTATACCCACCCCTTATCCAGCCCCAACCAATGCTCCTCCACCTCACCCTCGTTCTCCGCTTGCGGAAAGTTGAATAAGATCAAGCCGCCGGGCTTGAGCCACCGGCAAGCCCTTGCGAGAAAGACCGTCTGCTCCTCCCGGGGAAGGTGAAGCAGGGTGTACACCGCGATGATAGCGTCGAATTCGCCCTTCTCGTATTGCAGATCCATCATGTCCTTCTGGTCCCACTCCACCTGGAGAGCGGCCGCCTGGTTGGGGAAGTGTGCCTGGCAGAAGGCGATCTGGGTTGCCGACATGTCCACGCCGACCACGTTCAACTCCTCCAAGAGGAGGGCCTCGGTGACTGGAATGCCGTCACCACACCCCACCTCGAGTGCCTTCATGTCGTTCAGCCGGACGAGGTGGATACCAGCCTCGGCAAGGAGCGAAGGCTCCTCTCTGGCGTGGCTCTCATGCTCTGTGCCATGATTCCCGTTCGTTACACCACCTGCGTACCCCGCGATCTCGGACACCGAGGTGATCGAGTTAAGCGCTGCTTCCCTGGGGTCCTCCGCGGGCTGAGCAGCCGAGGTAACCTTGACCTTTTCCGCCTGCTTCCCCTTTTTTGTTTTCTCCACGTACTGTGACTGCCCTAAGCGTTCTGCGTGGCCCCGGAGCCCCGAGGGCTCTGGGTGTTTTCCGATTTCCTCCGCAGTGCCCCTGGCCTCGTCCCTGCGCGCGCGTTCTTCCCGGAGTAGGTCGATTAGCTTCATCGCATAATTCATGCGGTGACCCCGGTGCATCAGCGTCCACTGGTTGTAAGACGGCGCTATGGAATCGTACGACTCCTTGAGCCGCGCCTTGAGGTTCGCTGGAGGCTCAACACTGGTGATCCCCGGTTGGGTTACCGTTTCCAATGTCGGTATGGAGTCCGAAGCCCGAACTCGGTCCGATTCCCCCGAGCTCGAGTCGTAACCGGAAAATGGGTCCCGAGCCGCATCTTCGTTAGTCGATTCGTACCCTGGGCCTTGAATCGGACACTGTTTGTGAATTGAGGTTGGGTTCTGGGTCGAAGTTGGATTCTGCATTTTATGGAAATGAGTTGTCGAACTTGGGCGGCGTCAACCTATCGAGCTGGGAGGGGATGCAGATTAATAACTGCTGGAGTTGTTAAGTTGTTTTCCGATGATGATGACTGTGGTGATCAAGAAGCGACATGGACGTCGGGAACAGCTGTTTTGGTTTATTACTTTCAAGTTGGCAGCGAGTTTGTCAGTTCCAGTTTGATTAGGTAGGTACTTTCTCGCCTCAAGAATTACTCGCGCAGCGGATTCAGAACAGCTAACTTGAGCATTGGCGACAAGCTGACCAGTGCAGGAAGGTGCCTTCAGTGTGTTTATTGTGGCGGGCAGGAAGGCCCAAGGAAGATGGGATGACCCAGGCTCAGACCCGAGAGTTTCCACACTCCGGACATGCCATGACGTGACGGGAAGATACGGAACAGCTACTATGCCTGCCAGATCCCCGCTGTCCTTGATGGTGTTGCTTGGCTCCATACCTAACTTCTTACACCACTTCAATTTTAAAGCAGAGCTCAGGTGCCTAGGTAGGTAATTATCATCCCAGTGGAAATTTCCCGGGAAACCGTTGTTACGCCTCTTCTAATCCATGTACCTAAACTACCTACCTCCTTAAGCAAAAGGCCACACCCAATCTACCTACGTCATCCGTGGTTGATACCCTAACTACCGTCTCCATAACGCCCAAATGCTAGCCGCTGCAATGCTATTTATCCTTAGTAGTCTGCTTCCCCTAAAATGCTGTTTATGCTCTTTATGCTCTTTAATGAGTAGTTTTCCGGAGGGTATGGGTCCTCCTTCAACATCTCCAGCGTTTCCTCCGGCTTTTCCGCTGGTTTCTCTTCCGGCTTGGCTTCGGGTTTATCCTCAGCCTTCTCCTCAGGCTTCGCCTCGGACTTCTCATCCTTCTTCTCCGGCTTGTCCTCGGCCGTCTCCTCAGGCTTCTCCTCGGCCTTCTCCTCAAGCTTCTCTTCAGGCTTACCCTCGGCTTTCTCTTCACGCTTTTCCTCAAGCTTCTCCTCTGCCCCCACCATCGGTTCCTCCGTCTTCTCTTCTGGCCTTTCCTTGTCTTCCGCTTTCTCCTCTGTATCCGTGTCGACTTGCTGGCCCTTTTTCTTATTCTTTTGTTTCTTCTCCTCCTTCATCCTTTGGCGCAGTTCTTCTAGGTCCTCATCCGAGTCGTAGTCCCGCATCGCCCTGACCATCCTCTCTGCCCGTTTCTGCTTCTGCAGCTTTCTCTTCTTCTTCTTCGACTCGGCTGCTTTCTTCTCCTTTTCTTTGGCCGCTTCGATCAACTGGACTTCCTCTCGCACCCATTCCGCAGCCTTGGCCGCTGCATCCACGGGCGAGTCCCGGTAATTCAAGAGATAGCCTTGGATTTGGGCCGGAGTAAACACCTCATCCGGGATGCACTTGCTGAAGTTGAGAGCCAATTTCTCGAGCTCCTCTCGAGGGAGCTGAACCATCCGGTCCGCCGGGGCTGCGCCATCCGCGTCCGGACCAAACATTCGCAGGAACATGAGCTCGCTACTGCGCGGCGAGATGTGTCCCAGGTACAGCATCCTGTCAACCCGGCCTGGTCGGACGAGGGCCTTGTCCAGCTTCTCGGCAAAGTTGGACGTCATCAAGACGATCCGGCCTTCCTGCGAGGCCACTCCGTCGAGCACGTTCAGGAGGCCCGAGAGAGTGCAGTTCGACCGCCCTCGGTCGAGGTCGCTTTCGGAGTCGCTCTTGTCGGAGTCGGAGTCGCTGTTGCTGTCGTCGCTGTCGTGGTTCCGAGAACGGCGTTTGACTCCGACGGCATCGATGTCTTCGAGAAGCACCAGGCAACGCGGCGGCAGAGCGGTGAAGAGCTTCTCGAGGGTCGAATCGTTGTGTACACCCGGCATGTGGAGCAAATATAGCTCTAGCCCGAACCTGCCCGCTAGCGCGAGCGAGAGTGACGTCTTACCAGTGCCAGGGGGTCCATACAAGAGGAACCCGCGCCGATAGGGAATTCCGCGCCTGTTGTAGAACTTGCGCGTGTTAACGTCGAGGTAATTGCCGATGTCCGCGACGAGCTCCTCCTTGATTTTTTCGTCAAAGTGCACCGTCTCCAGCGGGCGGAGGGGGCGGAGGATGGTCGTGTCCCACGACTCGTCATAGCTCCGCTTGCTGATCCGGACGGTGATGTACGCCTCGCGCTGCTTATCGGCGAATACGCGACATGTGTCGAGGAAGCGCTTAATCGGCTCTACCGACCGACCAAGGCACATAACCACGAGCGGCTCGTCGCCCTCAGGCGCACCGGCGTATTCGTCGGGGGTTCTAGCCCACGAGCTGTTGTAATGCGCGCTGCTCGTGAGGATACGCCGCACCATAAAGATGTTGCGCCCGTGGATGAACCAGGTCGTCCCAAAAGTCGGTAGGTACTGCACCGGCATCCGCTTCTCGTGGTGGAAGTCGTTACGCTCTTGCGACACGCGGCGGTAGGACCAAGCATCGTTACGGATCGTTTCCGAGTTGGCCGTCAGGATGCGTGTCCCCTTCTTCGCGAGCACATGGGCGCCCAGCCAGTTGAGCACCTCGCGGTTGAGGCGATCATTGCCGGCGATGGAAATAGACGCCGTCAGGAAGCGCACGATCCACCAATATAATTTGGACCCCGTCTCTTGAATGCTTTGCGCACCACTTGACGCCGCGCCCATCAGCGCCGCAGCGGTGAGGAGGGTTGTGAGGTCGATCCTGAGCCATTTCTTGAAGAAGTCTTGGAGTACCGAAAAGCCGGGGATGCGCCGTTCGAGGTCTTCGGCAGATGCACTGTCATTCAGCAACGATGTGCCCGCGAGGGCTAGTATGCTGTTCATCGTGGTCGACCCTGGGGTTGGACCAACCATTTCAACAAAAAATGGGAAGTGGGACGATGGGCGTTGCAAAGGCTGGCTCTTAAATAATTTGGTACAAAGTACGATGCCCTGGCAACCTGGAAGGCAGCGATGCGGTGGCGTGGCCAAAGAGAGGCCGAGCCCTATCTGCAGACCGCCCTGAAGTTCGGCAAAGTGAAGAGGCAAATAAAGGGCCGAGGCCACCTGACAGCCTGCTGGTCGTGCAAAACAGGACAAAAAGAAAAAACAAGGAGGTCAAGCCAAGGCAGCAGCAGTAGGTGGCAGTGGCAGTGACAGCAGTCGGAGTCATCCACGATCAAAGCGGATTCAGAGGAGCTGCATGCACACCGCCCGGTTGTGCGTTCGTTGGTTCATGGGATACAGGTCAGCAGAAGTCAGTGTTTGGCTGGAAAAGACCGTAGTGCCCCACTGCTGCATCTCAGGAGCGTCATGCAAGAAACCCTCCATGGTTCGTCAACAACGCTGGCGTGGCTGCCAATTGCAGAAGGCGCATCAAGAGCTGCAGCTGGGGCCCACATCGAGGACCAGCCTCGCAGATGAAAAACCACTAGCCACGTGTTTGGTCCGATTGCTCGCGCCACCTTGACCGCCATTGACGAACCTGCACCACGGGATGACAAAACTCGACGATGAATCGAACTCTGGAAGCCAAGGGTTTCGGGTTGATGACGACGGGGAGCGCGGACAGCTCAGAACATAAAAGCTCGGTTGGGATCGCCCGGCATTTACCCCGCACTCTGAGGTGTACCCCACCATTGCGAAGACCCCTGCTCAGCCCTACACAGGATTGAATGTGGGTTTGGAGCTGTCTGCTTTTCAGACCGTTCCATCCTCCAACTACACAGTAGTACTTCTTTGCGAGGGGGGTTTTGGTCTCGAAGTAATAGGCCCCGCTAAGCCTCAGAAAGATCACGGTAACATTATTGAACAAGGCAGTCTGAGCTCAGAAACGGTCCTTGAGAACCCCCGCAATCTCGACCAACTGTCTGTCCACATGGTACGGACCGGATGAACAATGTAGTTTCTAATCATAGCTTTCCGATTCAAGCACGGCGTGTCATGTCCTGCATGTTGGGCTAAGAAACCATGCTCTGCATGACAAAATCTTGCATCTCCATACACTGCAGTTTGCGGCTCCCGTGTGGTTCAGATGGAAATCCCGGACCTTGCGCAACGACCCCACATGCGAGCTTTGGCCCCGCTCTGAGCACCTGCTTCGAGTGACTGCGTCACCTACCCGCGCCACCAGCAAGCGCTCAGCGCACATTCATCGCATCTGAACGAGAGCCTTACCACAGGACATAGTACCGAGCTATCCAAACCACTGCGTTACCAACCCATATCAAACTACACAGTTGCATACAACTTTACAAGCACAATGCGGTTCGCTTCGAAAAAACAAACGATCGAGGGCATCGACGAGGATGCCGGCATCTCCCTCCTGATTGTCGAGCCCGAGGACATGTGGCACGCCAACAACCTAATCGCCAACGGAGATGTCGTACACGCACCCGCATTCCGCAAAGTCACGATGACTACCGCGACAGGCTCCAAGGTCGTCAAGAACGTCCGCACGAACCTGTCAATCCAAGTCAAGTCGACTTTCTTCGACCCGCTCGCATCGGAGCTCAAGGTGTCGGGCACCGTCGCCAACGAGAACGACTGGGTCAGTGTCGGTCAGCACCACACCCTCACGCTCAAGTACGAGAAGGCGGACATCAAGTTCACGATATGGAAGAGCGAGGGCTGGGACTCGGTGGCGAAACAGTCGCTGAAGGAGGCGCTGAGCGAGGACCGGCCCGAGGCCATCGCCGCCGTGGTTATGCAGGAGGGTCTCGCCAACATCTGCCTGATCACTGAGTTTCGGACGATCGTCAAGCAGCGCATCGACAGCCCGATACCGAAGAAGCGCTCGACCGCCAAGGAGTCATCCGGTGTGATGTCATCCTTCTACGACAAGACCCTGGCGAGTCTGCGAAACAACATCGACTTCAGCATCCCCCGCACGCTTCTGCTTGCGAGCCCCGGGTTTTCGGCCGATGATTTCCGCGCATACATGCAGTCCGAAGCCTCAAGGACCGGCGATAAGGGCCTGCAAAAGATTGCCAGGGAGGCCGTTGTGGTCAAGTCGACCTCTGGCCACGTGCACAGCCTCAACGAGGTGCTCAAGAGCACCCAGGCGAAGAAGATTGTGCAGAACGCCAAGTTCGCAACGGAGTCGAACCTGATGGACCAGTTTTACGACCGTCTGCGCAAGGACGACGGGAGGGCCTGGTACGGCACGAAGCCGGTCGAGAAGGCCGTTGTCGAGGGAGCCGTTGGCCGGGGTGGCGGGGTGTTGTTCGTCAACAACGGCTTTTTCCGGAGCATGGATGTTGCCACGAGGAAAAGGTATGTCGGGTTGGTGGACAAGGTCAAGGACGACGGTGGAGAAGTGAGGTTGCTCAGCAGCGACGACGAAAGCGGCAAGCGGTTGGAGTCGCTGGGCGGCATCGCTGCGATCTTGACATATCCTATTTTGGATCTGGATGAGGACGATGAAGAGGAAGAGATAGCGGCTGACCCTAACGACGGGGACATGATCATCTGAAGCTGCGTGTGTTCTTCGGCGCTGTTGCGCCCGGTCGGTTGACTTCCCAAGGTCCCTTCAAGCCCCAAGACAACAACAACAACAACAACTGGGGTAACCCCCTAACCTCTGCCATATCAGCTTGCTGGGTGCCGACGATGTCCGCACCAGCACGCAAGAGCAGCCCGATACTCTGGACCGGGACCGAACTACCGTGTCTGACTTTCTACGTGAGAACATCGGGTGTGAGAAAGTTATTTGCCAGGATTGGAGGGCACGGCTTCCCTTCCTGAGTTCCGATTGAGGAGATGCTAACCTGGCTGGCCAGATAGGTCAGCACGTCAAACAGTCTAAGATGACGGTTCCGCGAAGTAGACCCGACATTCACAGCCTGGAGCGAGTCATCCATCTTGTGAGCATGAAGTCTGCCTTACTTCAAGGTTCGCTTGGCACCTTGGCGAACGGAGTGCGTCGCCCACAAACACGTTTGGTTAGCGTGTGAGTTCAGGAGATTTGCAACGGAAAGTGGAAACGGACGAAGTTTGTTTCCAAGCTCCCCACAAGGACGACAGCTTTGGTCTTCGCTGTTGTTCAAAGGGTCCTGTTTTTTATTAGTTAGTCTTATAGTTACCTCGTTCCCTCGCAGCTTGGGCGAGCTTGGTCGTCAGCCGCTCGCGCCCTTGCCCAGCAGACAATGAAATTTTTCAGGGTAAAAACTGGGGCCCAAAATTCGATGATGCAACCGACACTCAAACCAGGGAAGGACAGCATTGCTTGTCCTCCCAGTTGGGGCTGCACGGCTGCGATGAATTGCGAAGTCCGTTGACAGTTCCTCCGTCTCTCAAACCCTTTGTTACCGTGTGTCTGATGACCTCCAACCGGGCATCGCTGTTTCCCCCTCAGGCATCTTGTTGCTTCAACACACCAAGTGGACTCGCATCAAATTAATTTTCCGTGCCCCGCGACGCCAGTCCACTGGGTAGGATCACTAAACGAACCGACGACCTGCAGCTCCGTGTCGAGACAGGGTGATCCATCTCGACCCATCGGCGACGCGCCAGCAACGACGACGCTTTGTAGCACAAGTCGGTGAGAGGTCCCGCAGGATCGGGGGGCGGAGCTTCGGCACCAGGGGAGCACCATCTCGCACTCAGCCAATCAAATTTAATCACCGGAGACCGGCACAGGCACGGTGCCAGCGCCGGCGGTCGGTCGTTTTCGCACCCCGAAAGCCACCCGGACGGCGTGCACCGCTACGATTTCTTTCCGTGGCTGCAGTTGCGCAGTCGGTCATTGGTGGTTGTTGGACTCACATGTCAGACAAGCTGAAACCATGACGGGTTTGTGGTCGACGATAAAGTCGGCGGCACCCGCACTTGGGGGGCACGCGAACGACAGTAGCGCGAGGACCGCGGAAACGAGCACCACGCGGTCTCCTTCGCCCCCAAGGGTTCTCGGCACCCCTCCATCCTCACGGCCCTCTCTACCCAGGCCTTCTAGCTCCCTCGATGCTCGAGGTATGTCTAAGCCTCGATTTTCATTACCCATCGGCTTCCTGTTGGTCCAGATACGCGGATAGGCACTGCGAGGTTCTCCGGTTCCGTTCGTGGCGTCCACTTCTTACGCGTATTGGTCGTATCCAATGATTTCCCCGTCCACCAGCTCATGCGTCGGCAGCGAACACCCGGAGCCAAGCCTCGACGACACCACAATCCACTCGAAGCCCCGTCACAAAGAGCCCCTCGAGGCTCTCCCGCAACAGCACCAGCACCGTGCTCTTGGATAAAGTCCGGGGCAAGGACAGAGATGCCGAGGGCAAGGATGCGGGCGAGCCCGGTAACACCACCACTGCAACTGCGGGGGCGACAAACGGTACCAGCAGCAGCGTGGACATTGTTCGAAACACGGCATCGGGGACGGCGCATACGCCTAGTTCAAACTCCGCCATCGATCCCTTGTCGCAGGTGGGCTCCCCTTGCAGGTTGGGGGTTCGGGCAAGATGCTTTTGGCTAACACCAACCGGGGCAGCACATCTTCATGCGGAAAAACACCGAACCCTCGATCCCCCAACGACTGACCCAGATGGCCGAGGGCCTTACCCGCGCCAGTTCCGAATTCTCGAGGAATGCGATACCAACGGGCGAGTTACCCAAGGACAAAAGGTAGAACATGCCTCCGTTGGAGTGGTGTAGGAGAAACAGGCTGATCGTTTTATGCGTTGGACAGCGGCAGGAAAGGGAGCTCGTTCTTGAGCAAACTACACATACGCGGCGGGCGGAAGAAGGACTTTGGGGACCCTGACTCCGACTCGGAGCTCGGGAGCGAGGCGCGGATGGACGGGATCAATGCGCGCGTCTTCAGCCAAACGCTGGGCAGCCCCTTGATCGGCGGCGGTTACGTGCCCCGTCACAAGGAGCCGCCACGATACATTCGAACCCGGCCGAGCAACAAACGGACCCGAGAGTTCGACCGCATGTTTCTCGCCCAAGAGTTGGTCGGGACACGGCCGCCGGAGAACGAAGACGACTTGCCTACCGAGGTGGGGAAGGCGCCCACAGTGTCCGTCAGTGTGGCCGGCGTGAACGATAGGAAGACGATGAGAACCGGAGGCGCCATCTGGGCAACCGAATTCAGCAAGGACGGCCGATTCCTCGCGACAGCGGGCCGCGACCATGTGGTCCGGGTTTGGGCCGTGCTCTCGACCCCCGAGGAGCGCCACGCGTATGAGGAGGACGAGGCCGTCAACGGGGGCGCTGGAGAGAGGCTTAGCGCGCCTGTGTTCAGGGACCAACCAGTCATGGAATTTCGGGGCCACACCGGGGAAGTGCTTGACCTCAGCTGGAGCAAGAACAATTTCCTGTTGTCGTCCTCCATGGACAAGACGGTACGCCTATGGCACATGAGCCGTTCCGATTGTCTCTGCGCGTTCAAGCACAAGGACTTTGTGACGCGGTTAGCGTTTCATCCGCGCGACGACCGCTTCTTCCTGGCTGGTTCCTTGGACACCATGCTCCGTTTGTGGAGCATCCCCGACAAGGCGGTGGCGTTTTCGGCCCAGTTACCAGACCTCGTCACGGCGGTTGCGTTCTCTCCGGACGGGAAGGTCGCCATTGCAGGCTTGTTGAACGGATTGTGCATGTTTTACGAGACTGAGGGGCTGAAGCTGAGCTCGCAGGTTCACGTGCGGTCATCCCGGGGTAAGAACGCGAAGGGAAGCAAGATCACCGGGATCCAGACCATGAACATCACGCCGCCGAACGCGCTCGATACCGCCGGCTCGCAAGCGCCAGGCTCGGCTTCGGCGTCCGTCGTTTCGGCGGATATGCCAAGTTCCAGTGAGGTTCGGGTGCTCATCACGTCAAACGACAGTCGCATACGGATCTACACCCTGCGCGATAAATCTCTTGACGTCAAGCTGAAGGGGCACGTGAACTTATGTAGCCAGATCGCAGCGACATTCTCCGACGACGGAAAGCACGTCATCTGCGGTAGCGAAGACCGGAAGACCTTCATCTGGAGCCTGTCTGGGTGTGATGCGACGGTCCTGGAAAAAGACAAGTCACCGTGCGAGTACTTTGAAGCGCACGGGGATATTGTCACCACGGCCCTTTTCGCACCTACGAGAACAAGAATGCTGCTTAGCCATAGCGGTGACCCGATATATGACTTGTGCAACCCGCCTCCTGTGGTACTCCAGAGCCTTGAGGAGGCCGCCAGCGCTGCTGCCAGCCAGGTCGCTCTCACCAATGATTCACAAACTGCACCGCTCACTGAGCCGATGTCCAAACGGCCCGAGCTGAGCCCGGCCTACATCGCGCGGTCGACGCACTACGACGGCCACATCATCGTTACCACCGGCGACACGGGGATCATCAAAGTTTTCCGGCAGGACTGCGCATTCGCGAAGCGGCGGCACGAGAGCTGGGAAACAGGCAGCACATTCAGCCGCAAGCTCACCGCCGGCGGCAGCTACGTCGGCGGCGGGCTGGGCCGGAGTGGAAGTGTACGGACGCGGACAAGCGCCGGCAGCACTGCGCACAGCCGGCGCGGATCCCTCAGCCAGCCCGTCCCGCCCGGCGGCATACCCGGCGCCGCCCAACTACACGCCGCAGGCATACCCTCGGACCACATCCTCACCTGGCGACAAGGCATCGAGAGTGGCAGCGACAGACGCTCTGCTCTACTAGCCTACGGCGGTAGCACCCCCGCACGCAGCGAGCGCTCGCTCAGCCCGACCAAAGCCAGCCGCACCTCGCTCAACTCGGCGTACAACCTCGCCAGCGAGGCGCGCAAGCAGCCCTACGTGGGCGCCTCACCAGCGCGAAACCGCGCTAGTAGCGCCCTGACCAGCCCCGCGGCCAGCGTCTTCAGCAACCCGCCCGAGCGCCTCTCGTCGCGCCTGGTCAAGGACCCCCACCACCACCACCGGCCGGCCACGGCGCGGCCCAGCTCCAAACACCAACAGGAAACGGAACCGACGGCCCCGCCCATGCCGGGCTTCACGCTGCACTCTGTCGCCGCCGACGACGAGCCACAGGAGCAGGAGCACTCCTCTCCGTCGGATCAGCCTGCGAGCGGGAATACCTCGTTCTGGAAGCTGAACCGGTGGCGCGGGATTACGGCGTTCAAGGCCGGCTCGTCGTCGGGTGGTCAGGGATCTGGCAATGCGCGAACGAAGAGCAGTGGGGGGCGGCCGTCGCTTTCGAAGTCGAGGCGTCAGACGGAGAGTTCGTGCGATGAGAGGGAGGTGGAGAATAAAAGGTGTAGGCGGCCGAGTGGAGGGGTGTTGTCGGTTGAGGGGGGTGGTGGTGGTGATGGGAAGGCAGTGCCGCGTGAAGACATGTTACATGAGGGGAGTGATTCGGATTCGCCCTCTGTGCCGGCCGACGGTGGAGCGGATAAGGCGCCACGGCAGCCCCAGGGTGATGGGTCTTCGTTCAAGGGGCATTCCCATGCCAGACGGCTGAGCTCGATGTGAGCCGACTGCAAGTGGCGCAAGCCTGACTGTCCGCACAAGAACGCGGCAAGGTTGTGGAAGTTGCATATTGTTGTTTTTTTCGTTTCAGCGCGGCGCTTTTGTACCCATGGCAGCATATACGGCGTGGATCTACGTTTTGTTTCGAGCTGGTCAGTTAGGAGTACGCGTGGCTTGGAGTTGGTGGACGATACCACGGTTAGCATGCCTGTAACCTGCACATTTGTCGGTTTAACATGTAACTTTCTCGCGCCCATGTTTCGTGCTCTGCATCTTCAACTTGGAGGTCAAGGCGTTTAATGGTAGCAACCACTTCGCGTGTGTGTTGGTCTGGCCAAGATGTCTTCCATCCGAGAATCGTGGAAGGAGCTCATGATTGAGGCATTTAGCAATAGTGGTACAGTAAGTAACAACGAATCGAAAATAACCTCCTGTGCTGCCCGTCTATCGTAAAACGAGCCCATAGTTGGTACTCGGGCCCCTGCCAGTAATCCATTCTGGACAGAACGTTCCGCGTATAACAAAACAACCTCCGTTCTCCTGCAGGGTATATACCTCACCCGCGCAATAGCCTCCTCTCGCAGCCCCTCTGTAATCGTTCCACATCCCGTATCGACGTCTAAGCACTCTAAAGCATAAACCGTTAGCACTATTCCGCCCCTATCTCCGCCGGAAAAGCGCCAACTCACCTCACCAGCCTCCTCCGGCTTGGCCGCTGCCGCCAGTTCCGCCACCTTCTTAATCGCGTGCGTCAAGCTCGCGGGGTCGGCACCACGGATCGCAACCAGCGGGCCTTCGGGCCCGGTACCCTCGGCACGCACCACGGTCTGGCGGCCGGCGAGCGGGCCCGCGGCGCCGCCAACGTCGATGCCCGCGGGCTCGCCGTCGACGAGGAACATGAAGGTGGGCATGGCGCTGATGCTGAACTTCTTCGCGACGTCCGCCGCGTCGTCCACGTCCACCTTGCCGAACGCGATGGCATTGTCCACTGCGTGCGCCGCCGCCAGCTTCCCGTAGAGGGGGGCGATGGCCTTGCACGGCGGGCACCACTGCGCTGTGAAGTCGAGGATGACGTATTTGTTGGCGGCGGTTAGCGCGTCGAGCGCGTCGAGGTTGGGGATGACTTGAACTGCTTCGGCCATTTTGTTTGGTTGGGCTGCGGGTGACGTGATGTTGAGTTGGTGCTGTTTGGGGTTAAGGTTGGTTGCAATTTGGTGATGGGGGAAACTGGCGGGGTCATTGGTGATGGCGTGCGTGGGTGCGGGGTTATTTGTAGTGGGATGGCTGCGGGGCATTTGGTCAGCCCTGTGCTGCCGCCTCGGTGATTTGGAAGCTGCCTTCCAGGTTCATGATTTGGAAGCACCCGTTTATTACTAATGGAAGTCGCCGAGGGTGAGAATGAGCCAGCGAGATCTGGCGACCTTCCCGGCCTCACGTTCCACCATCAGGTACTTACTTGGCAAGGATCAATTGAGATGCTGCCGAATTACGAATATGTGCCTTGATTGGGTCTGTACCCGGCACTCCCGATTACTGAACACGAGAAATTTCCAACCTCTGGTCCAGCCCTCTGGCATTCGCAACACTCCAAGAATAGCCGCCCTATGTTAGAGCCGTGGTGGAGGATGTACGTTTTGGGAAACCCACACCATCACGTAAAGTTTCGCTGTGGTAGAAAACAGCAAGGAGATCTTGGAATCACGTATCGACCAATCTTGGTTGTCCTTGAGACCTGGACTCGTTTTCGTGTCGGTGTTTCATCCTTCAAGGTCCGATCGTGAGGCTCAGCAAGCCGATCTCCACCTGCTTTTGATTCCGGCGCTTAACGTCACCTTCAGCGTGGTAACAATGTCCATTTTGTAGCGAGAACTCTACAAGAAGACTCCCCCACCCTGGTCGACTCGCTTGGTTTGGAACTTATCAGGAAGGCCGGCAATGAAACTTTGCGTCGATGCCCCTCCACCATCACATGTGACGCCAGCATACTGCATGGAGTGCATACATCGGCGATCCTTGTTTACACTAATGCAGCTCTGGGGTCCTCTGATAGCCTTGCATAAACTGGAAGCACTGTGGCCTCTTATGGGGCCACCACGGGGCCACCACATCTGCAGCCCGCAAGGCTAGCCGAGCAAAGGGTGTTGGAAGCCCCCTTGTCTTCATCACACCTCCGTCGAAGGAGGTAAGCAAGTAAGATATTAGGCTTGAACTCGATCGATTCCAGTCGAAATAAGCGCTTTCGGGGGCCGCCTGCGCCTCCGCCCCCGCTCACTTATGTACCAACAGTCGTTCGAGTTGATGGCCGATATCCATCCTGACCCCATATTACCATGGCACGTTATAACTGGGAATACACAGCCAGGTTCGGTATGGTCCGTAACGCAAGGCCGAGGGCGAGACGCCGACACACGCCACCCTTAGCTTCTTACACTAGAGTGTCACCGGCGAAACGCTCAGTACCAGTGGTTTTTGTTGAGGCCAAAAGCTCTTCAACCGCGGCCTCGTTTTCGGGGGGGGTGAGGGTGTAGTAAGGCCGGCCGTACGACTTAGCCGTTGTTTGGAACCGCCCTGTTGTTTCGAGTTGCGTTGAGGAGGGCAAGTTGAATGGAGTATGCTATCCCATACCATAGAACAGTGCGTCCGGAAATATCCTCCGGTCACTGGCAATGTCAACGCCGTCCGCAAGCATGGAAGGCGACGATGGGATTCACCGCGAAAGGGTCGTTGTTACGAGGGAGGTAGAGGGAGCCTTACATATAAAACGCCCAATGTGCGCAGTATTAAATCTCAGTCCATTATTCCAAGCACGAGTTCACCGATATCCACTTGCACTATACCGCATCATCCAAGCTCATCTTTTTGATATTACTTCACCATGACTGTGACTCGCAGTACCAAAAGCTCGTTCCGATTCGGTGTGGAAATAGAACTGCTTCTTGAAAGCCCCGGCAAGAAGCACAAAACATGGGACTCCCTTGCAAAGGATCTTAGCAAGCAGCTCGCAAAGGCCGGTATTCCTAACCGCATCGACGACAGCGGCGATTACAGCGAATGGAGTATTGTCCGGGAAGTGACAGTTCAGGATCCAAACGGCCAAAACCCCTGTCAGTGACCCTCTTACACCCCCTCCCCTGAACACAAACATTACTAACCACCCCCAAAGACCAATACGGCGTCGAACTCGTCTCCCCCGTCCACACCCCGGCCTCCCTCCCCACCCTCACCACAACCCTCAGCACAATCTTCACCACCATCCACACCACCACCACCCTCATCCCCACCCCCCGCTCCTCCTCCCACATCCACATCTCCCGCTCACCAAGCAACAACCCCCTCACCCCCCTCGACCTCGCCGCCCTCTCCAAAGCAGCCCTCTACTTCGAGCGCGCCCTCGACGCCCTCATGCCCCCCGAGCGCCGCACCACCACCACCACCACCAACAACAACACACACTGGGCGCAGTCCAACCGGCACGCTTACAACCCCTCCCTCGCAGGCCTGCCACTGGCCGCCTGCCTCGCCAAGATCGACGCCGCCGCCGCCGCTGCCGCTACTACTACTGCTACGACCACCACCCCCGCCGTCCCGGGAGGTAGGGACGCAGCCAGGCCGGTGGTGGAGGTGATGAACCTGGTGGCGAAGGAGTCGCGGTATGGGGTGGTGCGGCAGAAGCGGGCGGACTTTGTGCGCGGGAAGACGTGTAAGTGGGACTTTTCGGGGTTGTTGATGAACGGCGGGGGTGGTGGTGGTGGTCCTGGCGGGGAGGTGGTGGATCGGGGTATTGCGGGGACGGTGGAGTTCCGGCAGTCGCCGGGGAGTGTGAAGGCTGGGGATGCGGTGGTGTGGGTTACGCTTGCGGTGGCGTTTGTTGCGGGCGCGGTGGAGGTTGGGATGGGGTTGGGGGTGGAGGGGGGCGTGAGGGAGGAAGGGGGTTCAGTTGAGGAGTTGTGGGGGGTGTTGATGAAGGGGAGGGAGGTGGTGGGTTGGGCGGATCTAGAGGTGCTGGAGGGGTTATTCTCGGGCGTGGGAAGATAAGTGGTGGTTAAAGGGCAAGGTTGAGCAATGTACCTAACTAAGTGTGTTTGTTTTGTTGAGTCTGCAATTGCTTTTTGTTATTCTTGAAATTGAATGCGAGTTGCGGCTTCATGATCTGTCATAGGTACAATGTGGATGACGGCCCGGGGCCGAAGCAGTAGAATATGTTGAACTACCCTACAGCTCGTTTGCAACCCCTCTTACTGATCCAACGGTACAACAGTCGGATCCCAGGCGATCGAAGAGTACTCGTCCGTTTCGACCTCCTTAACCTCCTCGGGCGTGAGCTCAAAGTCAAACACGTCCGCATTCTCCTGAATACGCTTCGAGGTGACGCTCTTGGGTAGGGGAAGGAGTCCTTTATCAAGGCTCCAGCGGATCAGGATCTGAGCCTCGCTCTTTCCATACTTCTCGGCCAGTTTCTTGACCGCGGGCTCGCCCCAGCGCTTGCCCTGGACGAGGGGGCAGTACGCCTCAACGGCGATACCGCGCTTGGCGCACCACTCAATGATGTCGTTGCGGGGCAAATAGGGATGGATTTCCCACTGTCCGACACTGATGACGCCTCCCTTTCCTTTGCCGCCGCGCTCCTTCTCAAGCTCGGCGATGTGCTGCTCGAGTTCGTCGAGGTGGTGCACGCCGTAGTTGCTCACCCCAATGCTGCGCAGCTTCCCGGCCTCCACTGCCTCGACTAGGGCCTTCCACGAGCCCTTGCGGCTGGCCGAGCCGCCGTAGGGGGCATGGAGTAGCATGAGGTCGATGTACTCCAGCCCTGATTCGGCGAGCGACTCTGCGATTTGGGATTTCGTACCCTCATAGCCCATCTTTTGGGGCGGGACCTTGGAGGTGAAGAACACGTTTTCCCGCGGAATCGACGATGCCGCTCGGATGGCTTCCCCGCAGGGACCTTCGTTTCTGTAACCGGCTGCCGAATCGATCTACACGTAGTTCATGGTAGCCGCTGTGGTCAGAAAAGGTGCCGAGGGCGACTTGTGGGGTAGGGGGGCTTACATGGCGATAACCGACTTTAAAAGCTTCTGACACACATCGTGCAGTGTCCTCGACCGGACTGAGACGCAGGAGCACACGGGATTAGTGACTACAACGATTGCTGGGGTATCTCTCAAGCCTCCCATGGTGCCGGGTATGTACAAGGTACACTCACGTCTGGTAGACCTAGAGAAGAGACATGCCGTGTTAATAAACCAGCGCATGTCAGTGACGTTGTACCAAGTTAGCTTACCCCGAAGCCTAAGCGCGGAATCTCGTAGCCGCTGGGCAGCTTGAAGGCGCTGTTGATCTTGAGAGCTGCCATTCTGCGCATTTGTCGAATCGTGGGTATGTAAGGTAGGTAGGTAGGAAGCTCGAGCGGTGTAGATGCGTTGGAGTTCAAATTTGGAGTTTTTGAAACTGGCAAGATGATCACTTATATATTTGATGATGTAGGTACCGGCCCGAGCATGTCGGAGTTAACGTCAACGGCTCTCCTTTGTTGCAATGACGCGGGGTTTACGGGCAGGGATGGGGCTGACAAAAGAAGTCGCAAGCCCGAATTTGGATCCGATGTTACACTCTTGGAGGGGTGAGCACCTTCGACCGGGCCGGGAGGGGCCGCGGAGTTTCCGTGGTCTTGTGCATGAGCGAGTTCACGATATGAACGGATTAGGAAGGAAGGGAGCATCAATAAATCAATAAATCCTTTGGCGAGGCAGGAGAGGGTGGTACAATCACGTGCGGGACACTGCGAGTCTGCCTCGCGAAATTGCCTGATTGATCCTTCAACGGTATTTCCACGCGTCGTTGAATGTCAGCGCGAGCTCGGGTTACATACTTTCAGTCTCACCATCGCACCCATCGATCATCGCACCGAATAAAACATTCACTATGTTTGACATCGTTGGGGCGCGGCCTCACGTGTGGAGGATTGTCATTTTTGTCGTCGGCCTGCTCACGTTATTCTTGTTTTTCGACCCAATCGGCTTCGCATCCTCGTCGATGGACTCGATCGCCAATCGAGGCCCCGGTAACGCCGACACCCTCACGCACATCGTCATGTTCCAGTTCAAGAGTGATGCCGACCCTGCCGCCATCGATGTGGTATGTCATCCATCCCACCTAGGAACAGGTACCTTAGTCTAGCTCATTGAGCCACCACTGACTTGGCAAGGCATGTGCGAGAATGATGTCCCTTAAAGACCATTGCGTTGCCCAAAACTCAAAGTTCCCCTACATTAAGAGCCTCACCGGGGGCAAGGACAACTCGAATGAAAAGCTACAGGTTGGTGCATCCTTTGCTTACGGATACCCCATCTTGCCGCTAACTATCCGCCTAGCATGGCGCGACACACGCCTTCGTCGTCCAGTTCTCAAACGCAGACGACAGGAATTACTATGTCGAGAGGGACCCGGCGCATCAGGCGTTCAAGCAGGAGATTGAGCCGCTGGTTGAGAAGACGACCGTTTTGGATTATACGAATGGGAAGTTTACATGAGAAAGCACGGATGACTAGGGTAGCAGTAGGCTGTACGAGTAGGGTTTGAACATGACACCCATTGGATCCTCAATTTGGTACTTACATCCAGCGGATAGCGATCAGGAGGCAGTTAGGAGTAATGCCTTTTGTACATAATCATATGAGACTCCGATCGCCGTACCTTGACGAACCCTAGCGCGGTGTAGGACACCCTACGCTCAGACCTATTATGATGCCTTCTACGGGTAGGATAGGGCATGAAATTAAGCCCTCCCGTTTCGGCCTTTTAACGTGCGCCACTGTGGTGACATTGACGTACCGAGGTAGAACCTAGGTAGCAACTGGTAGAGGCCTGAAGCTCACGGCATGGGTTTCAACGAGCACTCGCAGAGAGAAATGTGACCTTGAAGCATACCTACGTATTATAACACCAGCAAAAAAAGCCAGACACCCATCCCGTCTTCAGCTACTAGCCCGACCCATATCCCACCGCTTCCTAACCACCCCCTCTCTCAAAACACCACCTCTCCACGTTCTCCACCCCACAACTAATCTCCAACATGCCCGTAGCAAACTCATCCACCTCCCCCGGCCTACCGCCCTCCAAGATCCGCCACACCCCCAAACTCTGCACCATGACCCACGGCATCACCCCTTTCCCATCCCCATCCCCTCCCCCCAGGTCTCCACCCTTCAAAACCCTCGCCCACGCATACCCCGACCGCGCCTCCCACAGCCCCCGCTGCGCGGTAAACGCCACCCCGCCGGGACACGAGGCCCACCCCGTGCGCAGGGTGTCGTACACGGCCAGCATCGAGGTGGCGGCGAGGTAGACGCGGCGGACGCACTCCGATTGGATCCAGGTGTGCCAGAGGGTTGGGAGTGCGGTTGACGGGGGGGTGGGGGAGAGGGTGTGAGTTGGGGATGGGGAGGGGCCAGCGGCGGTGGGGTTGGTGGAGGTGGTGGTGGTTTGTGTTGGGGTCCCGGTGCTGGTGCTGATGGAAGACGTGTGGGCTGGGGTGGCTGTGGCTGGGGAGAGGAAGGCGGCGGCCGCGCGATCGAGCTGTGCGCTCTCGAGCAGCTGCCGGCACCAGAGGAGGAGGGTGTCCGCGTGCCGCTCGGCTTCGGCGCGCGCGCGGATGTCGCCGTCGAATAGGGTGATTAGATGGTAGGTGAAGAGGGCTTGTGTGCGGGCGAGGTGGGTGGATGTGTCGATCAGGCAGGCCGGGGAGATGGCGTCGTCAAGGGCGAGGTCGGGTGGGTGTTGGTTTTGGGACAGCAGCTTGTCGATGCGGTTTTGGATGATTTGCAGGGCTGTTGCTTTCCCGCTCGCGGAGGCTGCGTTGTAAGCGGCGAGGGACGTGTAGGCATCTTCCACGCACTCGGGCATCCCATCCTGGTAGAGCTGTGGGTGGATGATGGGGTTATGTCCGTCGGCTACCCAGTCGGCCATCCATGCTTTCAGCTTGTTGATGAAGTGTGGCAGCGACCTTTGGCTAGCTGTCAAGTCGATCTGGGGCTCGCTCAGGCCGTGTTGCCGTGCCCAGGATTCCGGGGCCAGAAACCAAGCATAGTTGACGGCGTCTGTATCCCGATGGGATACGGCGGTCTCATGGGGGTCACAGGATGGCGGTTGTGTCCTCGTCATACATGTAGTTACAGAAGAGGCGACGTTTTCCTCACTCTCCGCTACATAGTTGACGACCTCATACACTGATTCAGACTCCCCGAAAGTGATCGAGGCGTTGCGTCGGGGCGGATAGGTGCAGACAATGCCTTTCCCGCGGCAGCGCGAGCAAGAAGGGCCTGTCTGGTCACATTTCCGCTTCGCCTTGGCACATTCGATGCATGTCCTACACTGTCGACGAATTCGCGTGGGAAAAGAAGACGTGTTTGGGGTTTTTCGGTTGGTGACGCCCATCATCCGTGGATATCGTTGAAAGAAGACTGACGTGGTCCCGAGACTCCGGGGGGATGGAATCAGCGGATCTGACTTGGGATTATTAAGACCCTGCGGGTGAAATCTACCCCTTTGGGCAATACCCACCCGCCGCGGCCTCCCCTTTTCGGTTAGCTTGCGGGTGACAGACAGCCAAAAGTGACTTCGAGAGAGAAGAAACAGCAAACTGCGGCCGCAACACCACTTTATGGACTCTTTCCGCCATTGTTGACAAATGTAAGTTATGACATGACTGGAAATGGGGAGACAGGGACGAGATATGTTTGGGTATAAAGGGAGGTTGCCCGATCTGCTCTGTTGCTAGTCATTTTCTCTCAACAACACAACACTCTCAACTTACACAGGCCAAAGCATAGCACCTCCAAACACTCACAATAAGTCACACTACAATTTCCAGATCCACAATCCACAATGGCTCCCAACACCGTCTCGTTGAATGTCCCCTACATCAAGGCCACCCACAAGAAGCCTTACCCAGCCATCTCGCCCCTCCGACCCGAGCTCAGCCAGGCGGGCAGAACCGTGGTTGTTGTCGGGGGCTCGGCCGGGATTGGCTTTGCCATCGCCAGGGCCTTCGTTCAAGCTTCAGCGTCGCATGTCATCCTCACAGGCCGGCGCGAGACTGCCCTCGCCACTGCCGTGTCTGAGCTCCAAGCCGAGGCCAACCCCAAAACCACGGTCAGCAGTTTCGTGTCCGACATGTCCGACCTGCAAGCCACCGAAAAGCTGTGGGATGACTTTGCCAAGCAAGGGATTGTCGTCAACGTCCTCGTCCTCAACGCCATGACCGTCACCGAGGGAGGGCCGCTGCTGCAGACCAACCTGGGCCCCACTTGGAAGTCATTCGAGACCAACGTCCGCGGATTGCTGGACTACTCCCAGCGATTCAGCAAGCAGGGTGGAAAGGAGGGAAAGGTAAGCTAGTGTCTCCCTGGTTCAGGTTGCGCTCCAAGGAGGACCGTAACGCTAACAGTCAGTCAGTTCCTCGTCAATGTCTCGACCAGCGCCATTCACAACTTCATCACGGAGCGCAACGGCCTTCCCATCTATGGCTTGACCAAGAACTCGGGCACGCTGTTGATGCAGCTAATTGCTGATGACACCGACCCCAAGGATATGCAGGTCATCAACTTCCATCCGGGCGGTGTTTTGACCCCGGCAGCTCGGAGCGTGGGCTTCGACGAGTCGTCGTACGACTTTGATGATGGTGAGTTTACAAGGGTGTCACCCGATGTGCCGTGTGCTGTGTGCTGACGTACTGGCAGAGAACCTCGCCGGCCAGTTTGCTGTGTATTGTGCGAGCGAGGAAGCCCGGTTCCTGCATGGTCGGTTCATCCCGGTCTGGTGGGATATCGAAGAGGTGAAGAAGGGCGAGGTGCGTGAGAGAATGGAGGCGGATTACCATTTCTTGCGGGTCGGCGTGGTTGGTCTTTAGGGGCCTAACTGCAGGATCCAAGTTTAGATGTGTAGTTGTGTGAATGGCTGGTGTTGGTCATGACTCATTACAACTGGTTGGAAGTCGTCATCATTCCAGTTGGATAGCACTCGAAATAAATCTCTTGTTTATCTATCGTCTGAACCCACGCGGTGAGACACTCACAAATAGCCGTCCCATTATCAACGGATGCTCGAGGGAAGCTAACCGAAAGGCCTCTGCCCACTTACACACGCTTGTTTAGGGGGGATTCTGATGATTGGTTGGCATCGCTGGTGAAAAACACTCCATGTTTTGCCACCTTGCTCCTTGAACCAATCGCGAAATCGAAAAGCGAAGTTTGTGCGATGCGAATGGCGGAAAACGAGGGTAGAAGCGCTAGGGAATTATAATTCCCAAACCTTAATACCACCTTTGCCACCATTCCAACCACATTTCTCTCCGTTTTTGATAGAAATGCCGTTGTTATCCGAAGGGCGCGCTCGTCAATTTACTGATGTCCCACGCTTCGAACAAGCGGCTGCAGGATTTTTGACAAGAAGCGGGGATCGGCTGCGCGGCGGTCGGATAGCGGGCCCGAGTGACCCCTCTTGTCCACACAGTCCCCAATACAGTGTCCAGCTTGGGAGTTGCGAGCATACAGTGGGATGGAGCGCCAAACAACGGTGGAACGGTTTCCCTGAGCCTGAGCTGTGCACGCTGTAGTGACTGGAAATACAGTATCAATACTTCAGAGTAGATTGGATTGCAATCCCTGCTCTCGACAACACACCCGGAGCTAACAATGCACGGCAGCGGCTCCTTGCTGAAAACAGTCAGTCTAACCTGGAAGTTTTTTTGGCCGAGACTGGACGGAACTTTGCATTGCGGTCAGCAGCAGACAAAATCCTCGAGACCCCACGCTCGCTCACCTCGTTCACACGCCGTCTGTTCACCTCCTTTCTTTTCTTGCACATAGTTGGAGCCGTGGATCAGCAGCCGGCAGCAGAAACAAACTCACAAAAAAAAGGGAATGACGGTCGGAACAGGCGACACCCAGCCGCTGCTGCGAAGCGTCACCAACGAGGGGCAGCAAGTTTACACGACGAATCCTGTTGCCCCGCCGCCGCCGCAGGATGGCGCCGACATCGCCGAGACCACCACCATCGTCGACTTCGACCCCGACGGTGATGCCGAGAATCCACTGGACTGGCCCGCGCCCTTCAGATGGGCCATCGTGAGCCTGCTCGCCGTCATGGCTTTTACTGTGTATGTAGTACATACACACACCCCCTTTTTATCTACCAAAATCTCAACTCCGTTGCTAACCCCCCTGTCCAGAACCATGACGTGCATCAGCGTCGTCCCCCTCGCATCCGACATCGTGCGGGACCTGTCCTCATCCCCCAACCCATCCAAATCGGCCAGCGTGCTCCTGGTCACCATCTGGGAGCTGGGCGAGGCGGCGGGCCCGCTGCTGATCGCGCCGCTGTCCGAGATGGTGGGGCGGTACCCGGTCATGAACGTGGCCAACCTGCTCTTCATCGCCGCGGGGGTCCTGGCCGCCACCAGCGAGAGCGTGCCCCAGTTCGTCGTCGCCCGCATGCTCAACGGCCTCGCCGTCGCCGGCAACGTCCTCAACCCGGCCCTCGTCGGCGACATGTTCCCCAGCGACGAGCGCGGCGGCGCCCTGAGCCTACTGTTTCTTGCTCCCCTGATCGGAGGCGCCTTTGGGCCTATGATTGGCAGCGCCGTGGCTGATTTGTATGGGTGGAGGACAGTGGTGTGGATGACGGTGGCGCTGGCGTCCGCGTGCGAGGTGCTGTTTCTGTGCTGTTTCCGCGAGACGTACAAGGTGGCTATCCTCCGGAAACGGGCCAAGAAGATGACGGCCCATGCTGCGGGCTCGGGCAAGACGTTCAAGACGGCGTTTGACGAGGCCGAGAGCCTCAGCACCGCGGGGTTCTCCCAGTGGAAGAAGTTGCGGGATTCGGTTCTGCGCCCGGCCATCGTGCTATGCAGCAGCGGCGTCTTGATGGCCATGTGCTTGTTCAACTCGGTCGTCTTCACCTTCTTTTACATTTACAGCACCAGCTTTGCGGATATTCTGATCGACATCTACCAACTATCACCCGTAGCAGTCGGCTCCTGCTTCACTATGTTTTGTAAGTCCCTCCGATTATATTTAGACTTAGTATCTCAACAACCACTAACCCCTCACAGCAATCGGCTCGACCATCAGCGTCGTCATCTGCAACCGCGCGCTCGACCGCATCTACGTACGCATGCGCTTCACCCACAAGGGCGTCGGCAAGCCCGAGTTCCGGCTGCCCCTAGCGATCGTGGGCGGGTTCGCGCTGCCCCTGACGGTGGCGGCGTACGGGTGGGCGGCGCAGCTCCGGCTGCCGCTGGTGTGCCTGCTGTTCTGCGTGTGCGCAATGGGCACCGCCCTCATGCTCGCCGCCATCCCCCTCATGGCCTACATCGTCGACGCCTTCGGCCTGTTTGCCGCGTCGGCCATGACCGGGATCATCGTCACGCGCTGTCTGACGAGTACTTTTCTGCCGCTGGCTACGGCGCCGCTGGTGGAGAGGTGGGGGTTTGGTTGGGGGTTCTCCGTGCTGGCCGGGTTTAGTTTGCTGCTGGCGCCGATCCCGATCTTGATGTTGCGGTATGGGGAGCGCTGGAGGACGTTTTCTAGGTATAGCCGGGATGAATGAGGGGCATGACTGATGATGGATGGACGGGGGCAAGGGGCTGGGTAATGATGGTTTCTATGATATGGGGCTTCAAAAAGATGGTTCTCACGATAATGACGGGCACCTGAAATGGACGGTTATGGTTTTGGTTACATTACGGAAAAGGGTGGGCGTAGAAAAGTATTAAATACTACACGGGCATTGTTAAGTAGTCAACCACTCAATTCTTCATTCAAAAGCTTGATACTGCGTTTCTCAGTAATCTACGTCTCACCCACTGTCGGTTTCGCTGTCGGTTCCGCTGTCGGTTTCGTTGTCGGTTCCGCTGTCGGTTCTGCTGTCGGCTCCGCTGGGCTCGTCCGCTGTCGGTTCCGCTGTCGGTTCCGCTGTCGGTTCCGCTGTCGGTTCCGCTGGGTTCGTCCGCTGGCGGTTGTTTCTTGTGGTCGGTGTCTCCGGTCATCATCTCTTCCAGCTTTTCATACATCTGGTACCTGGTTTCCGTCACCCGCACCATCTCCCTGTGGACCCACGCGAGGTTCTTGTTGGTTTTCCGAAGGTTTTCGTTGAGCATTTGCTCGGCATTGACGAGGGCCATCTCTAACATCTTTTGCAGATCTTCAGCGTCCTTTACCAGTATTCTTTTAAAATGCTCTAAGGCTTGCACCTTCTTGTTGTCTACCGAGTCTGGAACAATCTCGCCCTCCTCGAGGTCCCCAGAGTGCTGCTGCGTGTTATCCATCTTGGGTAGTGTGGTGTGAAGCAAAACGCGTGTAGGGAGAGGAGGGACTTGAATGGTAAAAGGCCTAGAAGTGACGGGGAAGATGTGAAGGGGGGGAATGGTTCAATCGGCTGGGTGTTATTATAGAACCTACATGTACCTCCGCGGGAACCTTTGAACCTTTGTCCCTTGCTGTTGAAAGCACTGGTATTGGGCCGAAGCAAGAAAGCACGACAAGCACTACCTAATCTTGGGAGTATTGTACAGCCGCCAACAGCGCCTTTGTTCCTCGATTCGCCTCTTATAACTTGTTCACCCTCCAATCTATCATAGCTGATTAGATATGACAACTCGACGGGGTTGAATCAAAGACATCTTTGTCGTCGCCTACATAAGTAGGCCAGGCACCTGTCACGTCAAGCACTAGTCCGGGTATCGTCTTTTTATTGCGAGTACACTAGCTGTTAATCATGAGGCGTGAACTCGTGCTCATTCTGGCCTGATGTCATAGTCTCGCAGTTCCCGTAGTAAATCATGAAGCTCCTTTGGAGTCTCGTGCCCTATCCGCTGATAGTATGGCGATGTCCTGTCTTTCCCTTCCTGGGCATGCTTCAGCAGCGCCCTTGCAAGCCAGCAGTACTCGCCGCAGTGCCTGACGAGGCCGCTTGTACGCAACTCTTCGGCGTCAAGGCGGATTACCGATGCCCGCCAGAGCTCTTGCCACCGGTCTGTCGCCCGCTCGATCGCAGGTATGGTCGTCTGTAGCACCGACACGAGTCGGGAGATGGCGATCATCACTTGGATGGCTTCTTTTGTGAGCTAGTGCGGCAGGATCATGGTGACTGTGCCCTTACCTGTGACTAGGAAATAGAGGTCGAGTAAGGAAATGTACTTTAAAGGGAAGCCCTCGCTGCCGGACCAGGACTCGGCCATCAACGCATCAGCGCAATCGCGGAGTGATGCTGTCCGCCGCCAGCAACCGGGTCCGTTGGCAGCTATGGCCGCTTTGAACTCGGTAGCATCATTTGCCTCCCACAGATCCGGCAGGGAGGGGAGGTCGCCTGTCATCTCGTGTATTGTCGCGAGCCCAGGCTGATGGGTCACCCCGCCCTGCTGCCAGTCCCCTACGAAGGTCCAGGTAGCGATTCTTTGGCCGTCAGTAAGGCGGCCACGCCGAAGATGAACACAGAGTAAAAGTAAAAGTAGAGAAACCCACACACCTAATCCTAGTCTCCTCCCTCACCCACCTCTCCCAATCCACCCCGCCCTCACCATAACACGCATGCCGCGCCCTGACCAACCCCAGCCTCCTAACAGCCTGCACCAGCGCCGGCCGTCTGCCCACCCACCCCCTGCTCCTAAACGCCGGGTTATTCACAATAAACTGCGCGCCATGCACCAACAACGCCGCCTGAACCGTCCCACACACCTCCCTCTCCCTCTCACCCTCCAAGGCCTCCACCCCACCACCCTCCTCCTCAACCCCCTTAACCAACCCCTCCAGCCGCCTAAACACCCACTCCTCCACGACCGCAAAAAACCCCCTCACCGCCAGCACCGAGTCCCTCGGCGGCGCGTACAGCGCCCCACACAGAAACACCGCCAGCGTGAGCGCCGGCGGCGAGGTATCGGGGTCGAAGCTGGGCCGGTGCACTAGGGGTAGGTGGAGGTGGGTGTAGCGGAAGTAGGTGGGCACGAAGGCGTCGCGGTGGGCGCGTGTGAAGACCTGTGCCGCGAGGGAGGCGTCGAAGGTGCCCGTGTAGGAGGGGTCGGCGGTGCTGGTGAGGGTGTGGTGGAGGGTTTGGATGTCGGTGAGGAGCGGTTGGAGGGTGGGGTCGATGCCTGTTGGGGGGGTGTTGGCGGTGGGGGTGGTGTTGAGGGGTTCGGGGGGTGGGAAGGGGAAGGTGGGGATGGTGGCGGCGGCGGCGGCGGCGGTGGTGGTGTTGGTATCCGGGTACGGTTGTTCGAAGAGCCAGGAGAGGAAGAAGCCGTCGCTGATAGCAGTGCCTTGGTAGGGGTCGGGATGGAGAGGTACGTCTGGTTGGAGCTCGGCGCTGGGGGGGTCATCGCCGCGGCGGGGCTCCCCGAGGAAGGCCTCTAGCATTGCTCCGGCTTTGGGGTTCGTGAGACTGAGGAGGAAGGCCACAGGGATTTTGGTGCTGTCGTCCTGAGGGGCGGCGGAGGTCTCTACTACAGTGCCGGTACTAGTCGTAGCTGCTGGTGACTCGGTGCTGTAGTTGATGACGGCGCCTTGAGTCCTTGTGTAGACGCATGCCACTCGACGAGCCTGGCATCGAGCACACTGTGAACTACCGTCACAAGAGAGCTTGCTGCGGAAACAGGCATCGCACGCCTTTGCTCTCTTCCCCCGCTTGGCCGGAGGTGGTTCATCGTGATTGTTGTTTTGTGGGCAGCTTTGGTAGTGTTTTCGCCACACGTCTCTGCTCGGATGTTAGTGGGCTACGGACCGGTGGGAAATGAAAGAAGCAACTCAACATCAGGCAAGGTGGAGATGTGAAAATGGATTAAATACCTCCTGCCGAATGCTTTTCTGCAGTACTGGCACCTGAACTCCTCAGACCCCGAGTCTAACCAATCCTGTTGTCAGCTGTATCGAAGGGCCGCAACACCCGGAGGGGCCGGGGAGGGTGTCTCTTGAACTCTTCCTAGTGGACAGACTTACGGGTTGTTTCATGTCTGCGTAGGTGGCTGCTGTGCTGGTACTGCCTCCCGCAGGTGGTGCAAGCGAATCCGGTGGGCCGGGACGGTGCCATTTTGATTGTGACGGACACAGACTGCGGCTGGGGAATGTGGGTTGATGCCGAGAAGTGGGTGAAAGCCGAGAAGTGGGTGAAAGCCGAGAGGATTTGGCTTGTCTGGGGTCGGAATAAACCCACAACGCTTGGCTCGGGGAGACACGGGCCCGTGTAAGCCAAGGGGCGCCATCGAAGCCGCACTGTACTGGCCTACCAAGATACGCAGCAAGACACAGTTAAGACTCGGGGTTGGCACATGGCCGAGACCCTTCCCTTTTCGGATCTCTATGACGGGGGGCGGGCGTTCTCAGACTTGAACCTAAGATCCGTTTCCTTTCTTTATGCTCCGTGTTCCATGAGGGATAATACTATCATACTACCATTTCCTCGGCCGAGGAGGTACAAACTGACACCATGCGTCCACCAACACTCATCAAATATACGGCATCACTGCCCCGAGGCCGACTCCTACCTGCTTTTTCAGCTGCTCCAGTCAAGCGATACAGCACCGAGCAGACTTCACATGCCCGGCTACCTCGCACTCCTCCCCCTGTCCGTCCAACACTGGCCTTGTCCACGGAGAAAAGGCCAAACGCCGTTGCAGAATATGCCTTGTGAGCAAGCAAGATCCCAAGATGCCTCTGTCCCAGACCCCCACTTACATGATACCGTGTAGATCAACACTGGACGGTCTCGTCAACTGGGCTCGGCAGGGCTCACTTTGGCCAGTGTCCTTCGGACTTGCGTGTTGCGCCATCGAGATGATGCACCTCTCCATGCCGCGCTATGACAACGACCGTCAGGGTATCATCTTCCGTGCCAGTCCGCGACAGGCCGATGTCATGATCGTGGCCGGCACCGTGACTAACAAAATGGCGCCTGCTCTCAGGCAGATCTACGACCAAATGCCAGAACCGAGATGGGTCATCAGTATGGGGAGCTGCGCCAACGGGGGTGGCTACTACCATTACAGCTATTCAGTAGTCAGGGGCGTGGACCGTCTCATACCAGTCGACATTTTTGTGCCTGGTTGCCCGCCTACGGCTGAGGCGTTGCAGTATGGCATCTTTCAGCTGCAGAAGAAGATGCGGCGGACAAAGGTCACGAGGATGTGGTACCGGAAGTGAGAGAGGAACTGTTGGCGTTAGGTTGGGCGGCAGAAGTGGATAGGAGTTCGCTAGGGGGTGTACTTGAAAGTGTTCGGTTTTGAACGGAGGATTAAAAGATTAAGAATGTATTAAGCGCAGAACCTGTACCAAAACCGCAAATCCGTTGCATTGACAACTACGACTCAGGAATGGGCCGTGACAGAGCCATCGTCCTCCCACACCCAGTTCTCTACCTTTTCATAACTTCTCGGCCAGTACTCCACGGTGAACTCGCGCCCATCACGCTGAGCAACGACCCGCATCATGTTGTCGAGAGAGTCACTGACACCCCAAGCGCCCCACATACGCACGATCTCATCCCCGACGCGCAAGCCAGCTTCCTCAGCTCTGGTGCTATTCGAGGTGAATCGGACGATCTTTTGCTGCGCGGAAACAAAGCCGATGTCAAACAGCTCCCCGTCCTTTCTCACCATCCTCAACCCAAACTTGGCGAAGCAGTCGGTGGGCGGCACGACGAGCGTCCCATTTAGCATGGCGGAGAGGCTTGCCTCAGCGGCCTCGGTGCCGACGAGACCGCTCAGCACCTCGAGGAACTCGTCGGTCTGCACCTGTTCGTGCGCCGTGAACCGCCGGTAGAGCTCCAGCACTAGGTCGTCGACGTCCTTTGTGCCGTTGGTCGCCTGCGCGATAAGCCCCTGGACCTGGGCGAGGTAGGCGAAGCCGACGCCGTACGGGGCCTTGACGTTCGGAACACTGGTCCAGTAGTTGTCGATGACGGACTGCCACGTCTTACCCGCCATCCCACCAGTGTAGTAGGACTGGGCGTTGTTATTGAGCCACTGAACGAAGTAGCTCCTATCGACAGCGCCCGCGGCGAACGGGGCCACGATAGCGTAGAACTGCGCCACGCCCTCACGGTACCACAGGTCGTACTGCCGCACTGGCGACATCAGCGCATACTCGTGGATGGCCTCGTGAGACAACAAGAACGTCACGGCCTCCTCGCTCTGCTCCTCAGCCGTGCCATCAGACCACTCCAGCAGGAACGAATAATATCCCCCTGCACCACCATAGCCCGACCACGCATGGCGCCAGAACACACGAAACGGCGACGTATCATCCCCAAAGAACGATGAGATCGCACCATGCATTTCCTTCGCAATCCCCGACACACGCTCACTGTCATACGGCAGCTCCCCGATCCAATACACATAAAACGGCCTTTCCCCCTCCCCCAACTCCACATCCCAACCCGGCCACCTCTTCAACTCCCCCACCGCAAAATAGCTCTTCGCCAAAACCCTCTCCGGCCGCCCCACCGCCACCTCCCTCACCCCATCCCCCAACGAACTCACCCCCCTCACCCCCGCCGGAATCCCCTCCGGCAACACCCACACAACCTCCACCTCCCAATCCCCCTCCTCCCCCGCCACCGCCGTCGACAGCGGCGGCGGCAGCGGCAAGAACCCCGTCCCCATCCCAACCACCCCTCCCCCACCAGGATCCCCCCTCAAATCAACCCGCGGGCCCGACGGCGTATCCCCATCCGTCACTCTCGGCACGGCACGGAAACGCACGACCACGGGACCCTGGGTGTCGCGGTGCGCGGTCCAGGTGCGCCGGGCGTCGCTGGCGTTGGTGTCGGTGTGGGTGAGAATGAGGGGGCCAAGGGTGTCGGAGGCGGCGAGGGCGGAGTCGGAGTATTGCTGGGTTGGGGTCAGGCCGTGGTTGAGGTCGAGTTGGAGGAGGGGGGTGTGGGAGGGGATGGGGTGGGGGTGGGTTAGGTTGAGGGTGATGGCGAGGGCGGTGATGTTGGTGGTGGTGGTGGTGGTGGTGGTGGTGGTAGTGGTGGTGTTGTGGGTGGGGGAGAGTTCGACGGCGAGGGTGACGGTGATGCGTGGGAGGGCGGTGGTGAGGGTGAAGATGCTGGTTAGGAAGGTGAGGAGGAGGGGGAGGGTTGTTGGCGCCATGTTTGAGGCTCGGGCATCTGGGTAGTTGTTTCAACGGCCTAGGAATGGGGTGTGGCTCATGAAGGAGGGGGTTGGGCCACTTGAGTTGCCTCTAATGGCTACGGGCTCACATATATTTCAGGTTCGCAAGTCGCAGGCCCTGCACCGAGTGTACCAGTTCGGGCAAGCACTGCATAAGTAGGGGTTCCTCCGGAGGATCATAGGATTCAGGCAAAAGGGAACGTCCTTCCCGTCGGGAAGGTCACCCAGGACCCGGGTTTACACGTGATTCACTCATTTAGGGGGAACGGGCTGCAAGTAAGAGAGCCCCCCGGTAACCAACTTACAAATCACAGTTGTGGAACACTCTTCTAGTTGAGTAGGTAGGTAACGCCAGAGACGCCGTGCGGACCCTTGTACCAAATCCAACTACCGTTCTTTTACACCTTTAGTCCAACAAACTGTTTTAGAATTGGTCACAGAGTAGGCAGGTTCACATGAGATGTTCCATATCCTATGGCAGTGTGTGCGAGAGAGGTACCTAAGCTCTTGATATACCTTTCCTTTCACGAGCCCGAGTTCGTCAACCCAACAAAAACCACAAGCACAGCAGCATACGCCGCCGTGGCCTGCAACACTTGATCGGACTTTTCTAGCCGCCAGGAGGCCAACAGTGCAAGAAGGGCTACACAGACAGTAGTAGTGATAAGCCTAGTGTAAAGACCATCACGCAGCATCATCAACCACATGGGCCCCACGAGCAGGGCACCCCCGATGGTGGCAATAGACAGGCGGTCCCTGAACGCCTTCATGCGTGTTTTCTTGATATTCATGTTGCGAGTTCCGCCGATGACCGTGTTCTCCTCGCTCCAAAGCTCGACGGGGACGGTCTTACTGGCCTGACCCAGTCTACCAAAATCACCTACCAGCTGGCTAATAACGTACCGGTCGACAGCACGCTCCCCGGTGGCATAGAAGTAATCCTGGGGTAACTTCGTACACTCGAGCATGTATTCATAGTCCTTCACGGCTTGAGCTACCACCCGGTCAGTCACGTCATGCGATGATATGCGACTTGTTGAACAATACTCACTGTACTGGGCCAGGTCGCGTTCCCATCCCGCAGATTCCTGATTTAATGTGGTCATATCGATAGCATGATCCACCAACTTGACTTGTAACTTTCGGAGCTTCAACCTCTGCATTTCCGCAAAGCTGACGCGGAATATCCTCTCTCGAGGAGCCGGCTCTGTGATCCCAAGGAGCCCGTTTAACCACTGCTTTGACTTTTTCCTCGCGCCCACAACCTCGTGGATCAACCCCTTATGGTGGTGTTCCACCGCCCACTTCCCCTGGTTCTCGGCATCTCGGGCTTGCAGGGTAACCGAGGCGCCTTTTACGGCCACGGGTCCCTCGGTGGGAGGTGGGCTGGGGGGGCCGATGGTGCCGGCTCTCACACTGGGGTTTGTCAAGCTAGGAGACCCATGACGGGGCGAACCGGGTGTGGAGCTCGAGACGCGTGAGCTGGCGGCGCTGGATGCGCGTCTTGTCTTGCGCACCGGCCTTGTTGGGCGCGATGGGAAGGCTCGAAATCTCCTGCGGTTGTGAGGAACCGAGGCTGCTGAAGGAGATGGGCTTACTGATCTTGCATCATGAGGGCGTAGGGATGAAGGGTGACTTGGTGTTCTTGGCCCGGGGATTGAAGTCGCGCGTGTGGTGGGCTCTGGCCCCCTTTCCGGCAGTTCTACGTTCGCGTTCCTCGTATTGCTAGGCAGCTCTAGAGTTACACAGTAGGTAGTTAGCTTGGAGTTCGTATGCTTTCGCCGAAATTGGTGGCAGGTGGATATTACCCCCTTCCCCCGCGACTATTGGCGTATTTTGTTCCAGGAGGCCTATTTCCAAGTCTGGACCGAGACTTTGGATCGACTCTCCTGACATCCCGAGTAAAAGATGATGGCAGAAAGGGGTTCTCCGTGCTACGATCGCTAGGTACTACCAAGCGAGGGAGAAAGGGGTGGCAAAGGCGCAAGATAGAAACGGGGGGAAGACCAGGGTGGGTAGGAATTCTGAAAGTAGGCTCTTGCTGTCCCACTGTCACACCAAACCAAAGTACGGGGAGGTTGCCCATACTCGTGCCCCAATCAGGCAGCGCCACGACGAGGTTGATCCGATGCCGACATCTCAGCCCTAGGCAGTAAAGGGGCACGGCATGTAATATACGGGTAGATTGCCGAGCCTCGCAGCTTAGCACTTCTTAAGACGAATGATATCGCATCGAAACAAGGCATCTCCCAGTCCCTGTCTCATAATACCTACGACACAGTCAAACACACCAACCGATAGTAACCAACCCTCCTAGAACCCATCAACATGTCCGGTCCCCCCTGCGCGCGCGAAACGCACCACCTCAAAATCGACATCGACTTCGACCGCATCCTCACCATGATCTTCCCCCACACCTCCTGGGCGGACTCTTTCATGGACCACCTCGAAAGCCGCCCGTACCACCAAGACTGCAGAGCACGGTTGGACGACGCGTACACGGTGAGCATGAAGCTGCCAAAAAACGTCGACCGCATGCACATCGGACTCTCGACCAGCGCCAACGAGGGCGGCGCCATAGCGCTCGTCTTCGACGACAAGCGCTGTGCCCGGGATTGGTTGGCCAACTCGCCGCTGTGGGAGGCGCCGTGGGCAGGGCCAGCTAATGGGGAGAGATCGGCTGTGATCAGGACGCGATGGGCGCATGGCGATTTTGAAGAGCGCATGGGTATGCACCGCGGGACGCAGGCGAACGCGCATGTGCCGCCGGGGACGGTGCCCGTTGGCGCTCCGACTGCCCGTCGTGCCCATGTGATAGGGCTGGCGGAAGATCGCTATTCTCGTGATCCGTCCCCCCTTCCGGGGATGAACCCATTGGCGGGGATGAACCCGTTCGCGGGGAAGAAGCCATTCCGATCACCATGACGATTCCATGGCGTCTTGGTTTGGTAGTTTTGTGGATGAACGAGATAAAAGTTGCGGAATGGGAAGGGAATCGCGACTTCAGAAGCTGCTTGGTGTCAAGTCCAGGCGCGTCAAGTTGGGTACCTAGGTAGGTACCTATCTAGGGTTTGACCCATACGGGGTCGGTGTGTGGGAGTTGGATGGAGTTGATTTCCAAGCTGCATGAAGCGCTTGTATACGTATTCGCCAAAATCAAAACTAATAGTGCCTGGACCACTCGCTGTCCTTTGGCTCCCTCTTGCCGTTCGCGTAAAGGCTCTCGTACCGGTGGCCCATGACGCAACGTTCGGCACATTCCTTGATGGCACTCTCCTCCTGGGGCAGCCAGAATCGTTCGTTCAGCTCCCGCCTTACAGATTATCCACTGAATGCCCAGGCCCAAGGAAGGCAGGCATGGAACCCGGCAAGAGCATCGTCGGCCAGTCGTTTCAGGGGCTGGACAAGAGCTTGGTAGGCCGCCATTACCGTATCCCCCTCCTCAACAGTTCTGCTGTCGTAGTGTGTGAACCACTTGCCGCTTTTCATTTTTGCTACGATGAATCGTAAATTGATCCGGACAGGTTCACTTTGTGGTCCTGGAACCAATCGACGGTTTCCCTCCAGTCCCGCATCGCGGGAGAATAGTAGAGCAGCGGCTTCGGCGTGAATGGTGCGTCAAGAAAGGAGCAAACCGTGAAAAGAGCGCGGGTCCGGCGGAACGTCCATAGCCCACACGCTGTAACCGTGACACGGTTTGAGCTGTTCGCTATGCAGGTTGAATATGTAGGGGTGGCCGTTCCACGATGCCAAACCGAGATGGCGGTAGACACGGTGTCAAATGGTCGTAGGGAGGCGGAGAAGAGCGAGTAATGGTAGAGATGAGGATGGCAACGTCTGGCCGACGTCTTGTAGGTGCGCCATGCTGATTTAATTGCTCGCCTTCGCAACCTTCGTTTCTCTCCAGCTGCATTGATATCCCCTTCTGCTTTTCAAGACCCTAGCAGCTAACCAGCAACGTCCCAAATTGATCGTCTTTCTTCTCGCACCCCTACCCTGTCGAGAGCAAATACCTTTCTTTGTGTTTCTACACCCGCGCCCCGCGCTGATAATATTCGCCCTCTAATACCCGGGCAACTCGACAGTCTGTCGAGTGGCAGGCATCTCGGCCATTACTCCTTCGCCCGACATCTCATAAAGACGATCTGGCAGCATGCGCTCGTGTGGTTTTGTCGGTAGCTCATGGCTCTTTAGCCAATCAGTACCTGCCTCCCTGCCCATCCGCTGTCCCCTTTTCCGCCGCCACACAAGGAGAGCCGCGACGGAGGCTCCCAACACTGCCAGGGGTATTGTCACGCCAATCGCGACGGTTGCGCCAGTGGACAAGCCCGACTCGGAGCCGGTGCCGAGCTCAGAAGACGTGGGAAAATAGGTGGAGGCAGTAACGGAGCCCGTTGACGGGGGTACGAAGTCAGTCGCTTGGTAGACCATTTTGACACCGTGGGCGTAAATGAGCTCGGGAGAGGTGACGGTCTGTATTGTGGTGTATGAGGATTGTGGCGCTCTGGTTACCACAACTGGGACCGTCATCCCCGTAGCGGGGGCAGTCATGAAACATGGAAACCAGCCTATCACGGCATTGTCCTCGTCCCCGTACATACAGTGCATGTCGGGCATACTATCCAGGGTTGGACAACTGAATCAAGATTAGCCAAGGGTACCGAGGTAGCGAGTACAATCTGTGCATCACAGGCGTATTAGGGGAACAGTGCAAGGGAACCAGGATGGAAATGCACCAACCAAGTCACGGTAGTAATGGACGCAGCCCCCTGTGTATCTTGACAGGCCGTCCGGTAACCGCTTGGGCATATGAAACCCGGCGAGAAGAGGAAGCCCTTTGGGTCAGCAGTAAAGCCGGGTGGGAAACATGTTCCGTCTGTAGCCAACTCTAAAAGCCCGCGCACCGAAGTAAGACCAGTGCATTCGGACCCAGGTGGCGTAAAGGTTGTGGTGAGAGGTAGCAGCGGAAATGATGACACGGATTGCGGCCTTTCGCTCCAAGTTCTGGTAGAAGACGTCATTGACGCTGCAGATGGTGGACTTCTAGTTGACATGGTGAAGCTTTTCTGGCGGCCGCGGCAGCAAACATGTGTTTAAATCAAGAGTTGTAAATCAGGAGTGGGTAAAGTTCTATCACAATGATGGCGGCCCGGGCAATGCCTTTCTTTAAACGCCCTTCGACTTGAGCGCTACCCCGGGCCAAAGTTCTTGCTGTACATACCTCGCCGCGGCGGCTGCCGAATTTGATTGTTGTGTCACCGCACCGCGTTCCCGTCACAAATTGCAAGAGAGAGTGGTGCGTGAAGGGGCAATTAATGGCCAATCATGAGAGTGATGCCTGGGAAACTGTCAAGGGGTGCAGTGCTATTTCGAGTGCCTTGCAGCGGTAGGATTGGGGGCCCAAACCATGAATTGAACCAGTCTGATCCATCATCATCGGCCTCGTTTGACCCGACGGCAGCAACCTGGAATAATAGCTTCTCGCCCCCACTAAGGTCGTCTCTCGTCTGAAGTTTCCGTGGGGACAAATCGTCGGAACAAGCTTTCCTTTTTGTAATCCGCCATAGCCGTTAATTGGCCGAGGCTGAATCGATGGTTGCCCATGACGTTGGTGATGACGTTTTGGGCGAGAAGATCCAGAGGAATGCTGCTGTGGGGAAATTTTCAGCGCTTGGTTTCGGTTGAGAACTTGAGACCACTTGCCATCGGCACGCAACACAAACAATAAATAAAATATATCGTCGCGACTGCGGATTATTAAGATGAAAAGAATATTACTCCTCGCATTTATCCACGGATTTAAGGCAAGTCGCGTTTTAGTGTGTCAGTGTTTGAGATGCGTTTGCTGATTGTCGTGTTCACCGTTTTTCAGGGAAGCGACTTCACTTTCGGGGACTTCCCAGCTCATCTCAAAGAAACTGTCGCCAACAACCTCCCGGACCATGAGGTTGCCTCTGCCATCTTCCCCAAATATGAAACACGCGGAGAGCTGGCCCAAAGCACCACTGCTTTTCTCGAATGGTAATTGTTGTCCGCAACAAATACGCGATCCCAGGCTCTAACGCGAAGACAGGTTAAAAGAGCAAGTGATGGATTTGCGCAAGGCACACCTCGACAACCCCTGGCCACCAAACGACCGAAAAGTCGGCGTCATCCTAGTCGCACATTCCATGGGGTAGGCGGCTGATACATCATCACCAATAGAACCGTCGTTGCAAGCACTGACACCCCCCAGCGGTTTCGTCGCCACCGACAGCCTCTTCCGCATCCTCGACGAGCACCGCCAGAACCCCTCCCCCAACAACAACGCGCCCATCTTCCCCCTCATCCAAGGCATCCTGGCCTTCGACACGCCCCTCAACGGCCTCGCCCGCTCCATGTTCGTCTACGGCGCCTTCTCCAACTACCAAAAAGTCAGCCACGTCTTCAACATCATGACCGCGCTCTCCGCCGCGACCCCCGCCGCCCTGTCCCGCCTGGCCTCCAAGCGCGCCCTCTCCACCGCCACCAACCGCATCACCAAACCCCGCACGGGGGGTACCAGCCCGGCCTGGAAAGCCTGGCAGCTGATCGCCATGCGCACGGGCACCGTCGGCGTGATCGCGGCCGGCGGCGTCGCCGCCTTCGCCCACCGCCGGCAGATCCTCGAGGGGATGCGCAGCGTGCGCGCGCTCACCCGCGCCGACGTCGTGCAGGGCTATCAGCAGTCCGTCGACGCGGTGGGCCAGGGGCTGGCGTATGTGAACCGGGGGAATGTCGGGCGCAGTTTTGCGTGGCTGGCGGACCATTTTACGTTCGTGGGTGCGCTGCTGAAGCAGAATGAGTTGACGAGGCGGTTGGAGAGGTTGGCGGCGTTGAGGGGGGTTGGGGTGAGGGATGTGTATGTGTCGTTGGGGGAGAATGGGTATTGGAGTGGTGGGTATTTTGTGCCTGAGAGGACGTTTTGTGCGGTCCCCGGGAGGGAGGAGCCCGAGGGGAGGTTGTTTGCGAGGCATGTGGTGGAGGGGGCGAAGGATGAGATTGCGGCGCACGTGGGGTTGTTCAAGAGGGAGAAGAATGGGGATTATGAGAAGATGACGAATGAGGCTGCGAAGTTGGTGGTCGACTGGTTCAACGACGAGACGGAGCTCTACGATGATCCCAAGTTTCAGGAGCCGGCGCCGGCTGAACCAGAGGAGACTGAGGCCATTGCGAAGGCGGCGGATAGTGGCGAGATTGTGGAAACGGAGGCCGGGCTTACGGCAGCAACCGAGAAGGAGGCGGAAGAGGACGTCGAGATGGCCGCAGACGATGAGCAGGTTCCAGACGAGTCACCGATTGACATCGCCGCCGCAGCCTCGCTTGTCCCGCTGCCCGACGACATCGACAAAAACCTCTCGGGAGATGCCGATGGGGATGGGAAGGGTGACCAGAAGCGGGCCTACCTTCGCCATCTATTTGGCGTGGCCCAGCAGACCGGGACCAGTCTGCGGTCATACCTGCCGTCGAAGATACCCACTGTCGAAATTCCCAAGGTGTCAATGCCCGCCGTCAACCTACCGAGTATGCCCAACATGCCTAGCGTACCTAGCATGCCAGCTATGCCGAGCATGTCGGTGCCGACGAGGATGAATCCATTCTCCAAGGCGCCTACTGCAGAGACGACGCAAGCTGAGGGTTCAGCAGAAGCCACAAATGTTACGTCGACTGTCCCCGAACAGGTTGAGGCAGGAAGTGAGAAGACGGGCGAGGAACTCGGCGCCGCTCAGCAGTAAATGGTTGTTGCTGAAATTTGGGATCTTTAGTTTGGTCCTGTCGCGTTATCAACTTTGGTTTCATACGCTTCCATGTTTTCTTTTCTCATTTTTCTCCCCTTTATTTTCTCCACTTCAGGAGCAACGAAGAAGCAAATACACGACCTTGAGATACCCCATTGCGAATTGACCAACCAGCTGTTATCTCCCTCTAGGCATCGACGTAGTACATACATGCAAGCGCTACTACGCTTTACTAATTACAGTTCGGTATCGTTTTCTGTCAAGCGCGCTTTAGCCAAGAGGACGACGAACACCCCCCAAGCGGCGGAAACAACGCCATCTGGAAATGATGGACGGCAAACGTTGTTGCGAATCGCGGGGTGATTGGACGGCCCGCGGCCGTTCCCGCTCGAAAGATCCCGATCAGGAAGGTTGGGGATGGTGTTGTCCATTGGCTTGCCGGTGCTTGCGGGGTTGCGACCCGCACGTGTCGGATTCAGGGGGTTTCATGCCCCTGACGGGAATGGGAGGTCCCCCCACAACCTCTCCCGACGTGGCCGTGTCTCGCACCTTGACTGGATATTGGGGAGCTCGAGTTCTGAGAGGCTCACCGAGACTCGGTAACATCGCGCCGGCATTGGCTGCGTAGGCGGTAGTGGCAGGCGCTGAAGACCATTGGTGGGGGTGGGTAGTTCGGAGTTTGAAGGTTACGCATGCTGGATTGGAAGCTGAGATTGAGGATCGGCGCTCAGACAAGCGCCTCGCCGCCTTCCATTTATGGTAGTCTTATCGGAGTTGCAGCTTGGTGCTTCCCGCCCATCGGGGGATTCCGCCGCCCGGGACCCAGAGGATCACTACCTATTTATGACCAACTCCTGCCCCTGGACGAGTAATGGTTGACTCCAGGACCAAGGCCCACCCTCTTTTGACAACCAGAAGCAGACAAGATGAAGTCGTACATTCTCGGTTCCCTTCTGGCCGTGGCGGTCTCCGCCATTCCCATGCCAGCTCCGGCTCCGGTAGGTACGGCGACCCATGCATGTCGGATTCAAGCTCACTTACAGTGATAGCCGGGAATTCCTTCGGTTTCCACAGCCAGGAGCCAGCTGTCCGCCCTCACCGTCAAGGCCTCGTATGACGACGGCAACTACAGCCGTGAGAAGTTCCCCCACTGGCAGACTGCTAGCGGCTCCTGCAACACTCGGTATGAACCTTGCCATTCTCACTCAATTGCCCGTACCCTTCGAAACTGACGTATCGGGACTACCTAGGGAGTACGTTCTTAAGCGCGACGGCACAAACGTCGTGACCAACGACGCCTGCAGCGCCACCTCGGGATCTTGGTATTCGCCCTTCGACGGAGAAACCTGGACCGCCGCCTCGGACGTCGACATCGACCACATGGTCCCCCTCAAGAACGCCTGGATCGTAAGCCCCCCCTGCCCACTCCAACCCAACCCCTCTGATCTGATGATACTAACCCCCCTCCCCTTTCTAAAGTCCGGCGCCAGCAGCTGGTCGACGGCCAAGCGCACGCAGTTCGCCAACGACATCGACATCCCGCAGCTGTGGGCCGTCACGGACAACGTCAACCAGCAAAAGAGCGACCAGAGCCCCGACAACTGGAAGCCCCCCCTCTCGTCCTTCTACTGCACCTACTCCAAGAGCTGGGTCAACGTCAAGTACTCGTACGACCTGAGCATCACGTCGGCCGAGAAGTCGGCGCTTACCAGCATGTTGAACTCGTGCTAATTTGGGGGCGTTTGTAACTTGCGTGGGTTTTACTTGGCTATGGTTCAACACGGGCGGGTATGTAGCTGTGGTCGGTTAGCCCAGCCCAACAATGTTGGCAACGGAGGGCCGCCAGGCTTCGTCTGTCTGTTGCATGAGAAACGACGGCGGCATGCGGCATTTGTATATAGAAGGGTACCAGGGCAGAATGGGAATACGCGATGAGAAAATGTACATCACAGTACCTAAGCCTTGCACTTGTGACTTGTTAGGATGTTGAGGGGTCTCTGCGATGCGCCTTAAGAAGTGGAGTGGCAATTCTAGGTAATCAGACACCTAGTTCCTGATATTGAAGTGAGATTTGTTGACGTATCATAGAGGTAGTCATACGCAACGCGGTAGACGCGCTGCTTTTGGACGGGTATTCGAGTTTATAGAGGTACACAATGAGGTGTGCGTTAGCCAAGCTTCTGGCCTTTCTTCGGCTGCTGAATCTCCTTAAGGATGCTCTCGTAATTCGGGTAGACAATGCCCTTCAGCTCCATGTTCTTGATTTTTTTCAATTTCCCCTTCATCTCCGTTCCGATGGCCCCCGGGTTGTTTCGAGTTGCAACTGTCTTCCAGTACTCGTACTCCGGGTTCCACCCCTTGTCTTTCGGGTCGTGCCATGCTTGCAGGAGGATTTCTTTGAACTCGGCCTGGGCAAAGTCGATGAAGAAGGGCATATGCGTCCGCTTGTCCACAATCACATTGCGCGGGGCACAGTCGCCCATGAGAACGCCGGACGCATCAAGCTTATGGGCGAGGTTGACGGATGATTGAATAATGGAGGGCCACTTCTTTGGATCACTTGGTGCAAGTGGCGAGATGGGAAGGTCGCCGAGATTGTATCCGGAGATGCGTTCGAGCAGGACGCCTTTGAGTTCGAAGTATTTGCCCAGGTCCGCCGGCACATTAGGAACCGGAACTATGACGCGCACGTGGGCTAGCATTCTCGGTATGTATTCGCCTTGGAGGTGGCACAACCGATCGTAGGCCTCGGTTTCGGTCTTGAAGTATCCGTCACACTTTGCCCATAGCGCGGCTTCGAACTCGGCTTGACAGTCGGGCCCGGCATCATCAAGGAAGTGCCAGGGCTCTGGGGGGGTGAAATCTTCCTTTGACCTCCTCGCCAGCTCGCGAAGGAAAGGGGCCATCTTTTTCGCCTTCACGAAGTACTGAAAAGCAGTTTCAACTTCCGGCGTGTGAGCTACGTGCTTCCCAAGACATTCCCGAAGATCTCTACCGAGTCGACGGTCGTAGACTTTCAGGGCTGCCCGTATCTCGGAGCCAGACGCGGTCCGCACAGTGACGTCCATGACCGGGGACATGGTGATGGTGTAGACGGTGATCATCGTCGCCTGGACCGGTCGGCCAGCTGGCAGATTGCAGAAGCTCTTGAGGACATGAAGCTGCATGGGCGTGCCGTACGGGGGCGGGACGGCATTACGCCCGTTGCTGGGTCTGGACATCGTGTGAGTGATGCGGAGGTCAAAATTGAAGAATTACCACACGAGAGGAATGAAGTCTTAAGTACGAGAGAGAAATGCTGCTGGTACGAGGTGCCGGGGGTGATGGCATTCACTCACATTTCCAAATCATCCATGGTGACGGATAGCAGGGGTGGTAGAGAGGATAATATGGACAAAGGACCGCAGCGTGAAGCGATGGGGTTCTCGGTTTGGGCTGCCCAAGGGGCGTTGTTAGCATTCCTTCCATTTGGCGGTGAAAATTGAGTCTCAAATGGCTTGAAGTTTGAACTTACGATCAATGTGACGTATGTATTATCGCGGATGAGATGTGCCACTAGCACCGTTTCATAAGATGACAATATCACTGTGCCACGGTGTGTCATGTACCGGCTGTGACCCCGAAGAGCCTCAGAGTGCACTGTGGGTGAGAAGTGAAGCGGCACAGCTATGCGAGGCTATTTCGGGACGTCCAGTGGTCGTCTTCATTTTGACGGCGCGGGACTTGAAGCGATTGGCTGGGGCGCCTCCCCCCTTGGGCCCCTGTCGGCGACTCGGGCGGACAGGGCCTCTAAGACCTTAAGGCCCACCTACACAGTAAGTTCGAGACCACGAGACGACGGGCTTGATTACGTGTTTGATTCCGTCTTCACTGGCTGGCACAACTGGTGAGCCCGTCAGTTGTCTCAGTCTGGACTCATGCCCTGCCACACCCTGTCATGTTTCCATGCTCGTACTTTCTTAGTTGCACATACTACCTTGATAGTTTAGTGGCCTTGGCCTGCAAAAATGGGACTAGAAGGACAGACGATGGGCGGGGGGCTGAAGACATACGAAGGGCCCATGGCAACTGGGACATAAGCGCAGTATGCCGCCAGATGCCCTTTGGTTCAGCTCGTAATAAACATGCTTCATGATCACGAGTCCCGGAGGCCGGAGCTGTGGCTGGTTTCAAGCCTGCTTCGTCTTCTTTCGTGCGTCCAAGATAGACCATGACCGCGTGGACCGAATGTCTTGCGGCCGTCTCAGCGGTTCCTCGTACAGTCGTATGGGACCCGACGGCCGGTGATCCACGCAACGAAGATTCAAGGGCTTAGATGGCGAGGAGGGAGCTGGATCAGGAGTATAAAGGACTCGATCATGTCTGTCCATCAACATATTCTCAGACTTCATCACAGCCCACCTCACTCAGTACTGGTACAACCTTCCTAGCTTCACCAAACACCAAGCGCTACTACCTCTCGCTGGCCGGGACTTCACCCAACACTCCGTCTACTTTACCAGCGCAACCTATCCGGGTCACTTCTCCTGTTCTTTTGTTGAGATACCCCAATCCATTCATCACCATGTCTGAACCGTTTAGCTCGCAGCCGCTGGATAAGCGCGGTCTGCAACAAATGGTCATCTACTTGCAGGGCGCCACCCCGGACAATCTCAGCGCTTCCGAATGGGGCGTCAGTACGTGGCAGGCGGCGCACGGTGAAGGCCGGTCGGCGTCGTCGACCACCTTTCATATCGGGCTCCGGGTGGCCCAGGGGTCCTATTGGACTTGCATCCTTGTTCGCGGCCGTGGGGGGCGGGACTACGCCGTGCAAGGGACGATGCTCAACTGGGGTACTAGGGCGCCCAATTTGCCTAACGTCCTTCGGACGTACCAGCAGCAGTATTTCAAGTCGGGCGCGCCTGCAACTCAGACTCCCCAGCAGGACCCCAGCAACAACAATGGCGGTGGTGGTGCGGGTGGCAGTGGCGGCGGCGGCGGCAGCGGTGGTGGCGGCAGCTGGGAGAAGAAGGTCTGCAAGGACGACTACGGTGGATACTACTACATGGACGAGAGTGATGAGTACCACGCCTGCGACCCTCAGGGCAACCAGCTCAAGACAACCGCCACCTATGGCCCCAACCCTAACGGCATCATTCTGGTGTTCCTGAACTCTCGGCAGGAAGCATACCTCCTCTCCCGCGGCCAGCGCGTCCCGTGCCAGCCGCAGCGGGATTCCAAGACCCATCGCTACTTCATCCTCGATGGCAAGAACAGGAAGCGCAACGCTCAGATCTATGGTCCGTTGCCGAGGTGGAAGCGCAGCCGAACCCATGCCCCAGCCCAACCAGCTGCACAGCCCGCGCCTAGGAATCCCTCCTCCAAGACGCCGTCGTCCAAGAACCCCGTCGCGAGGCAACCTCTCCAAGCTGTCCAGTACATGATCGATCCCAGTGGCAGGAAATACTATATTGGGAGCGACGGTATGGCCCATTGGGCCTAGAAAGGCGACGTGACCTGGCGGTTATGAAGATGAATGTATCATCTGGAAGTGCTGGGGATGGGTTGGGGGTGGGTTGTGCGGGGATGAGGGTGGTTGAGCTGGTTCTCTCAGATAATTAGTGCTGGCTGCTGATGTCAATGCGTGTTGGGATACAACTTTGGCATTTGAAATAGACCATGCTGGTTCATGCACCATCATGAGGCTGGCTTCTGACATCTGACCATCTGGCTTTTTGACTGTTAGCGAATATGACGTTTTGAGGTTCAGCTGGCTTTTTCTTCGCTGTCCGCACTACTTCATTCCGATGCTTCAACGCGGCCCACGAATCTCTCTCTTCAATCTCAATTCTAATCCCTCTTTAACATTCATTGGTACTTAGGTACCTACCTAATCAACAATGTTAGCCACACCTCAAATCACCACCAACTCCACCGGGATCTCCTAGACCGGGGGACTATCGGGAGCCGTCTTCTTTCTTTCCGACCAAGTCGTCCTCAAACGCCCCTTCACCAAGGACGAGCGTTCCCAGGAACACCTCCGCGTGGAGCGCGCCATCTACACACGCCTGGGAAAACACCCTCGCATCACAGAATTCCTCGGCTCGCCGCGAGACAGTGACGCCATTCTCCTCGAACGGCTCCAACAACCCCTCCGCGACCGGCTGCTGGAACTACGAAACATGTAGCAATGCCCAACAGCCCAGCAGACAACAAAATGGGCCTTGCAGACAGCCGAGGGCCTCGCCCACATCCACTCGCGCGGCGTCAAGCAAGTCGACATCGCCACCTACAACGTGCTACTCGACCGCGACGAGAATGTGAAGCTGGCCGATTTCGCCGCGTCTTCGGTCTTCTCTCGACGGCTCTCTGGCCACCGTCGTGCCGGGGGTTCATTCTACGCATCCCAGGCTGTCGGTCACAACTCCGACGGTGCAGTCGGAGCTGTTTGCGTTGGGGTCGTTGTTGTACTACCTAGGTAGATTGAGACCATGCGGCGGCCTTTTCATGATCGGAGTGATGAGGAGGTGGTTGCTGACATTGGGGTGATCAAAGATGGTATGGTGCATATTAATGCCGGTGATGCAATGGGGGAGATAATTTGTTTACCAAGTAAGCTTAATAAAACGGGCAATGATTTCAGGGGGGCGACTCGCAAGCGGAGATTGAATAGAGCGTTTACTCGGCCCAGCTCCCGTGTGAATTCTCCGTGTTGCTGGTGATTCATTGGTGCCCTTGCACGCACGGAGAGAAATTAAAAATGTAATTGGCTGCTTGTTAAAATTGGCTGTACATATTTTCCATCCTTCACTGTTCCCGGCGGGTTCAAGCCATGCTCACTCTCGCCGACCCAACAAGGCACTGACATGGCATCACTTCTTCGCTGGGCTACAGGTTTATACCGTCGGGCTCCGTTACCTCCCAGGTCATTTGCCAACCTTCGTTATGAAACGATCCCCGAGAGCCTGAAGATCGAGGAAGAGACACTCCCAGATTACCTCCCACAACGGTTTTACCCGGTTCGTCTCGGCGAAGTCCTAGCTTCACGCTACCAGGTTGTTGCTAAACTGGGTTACGGTGTAACGTCTACAGTTTGGTTAGCGAGGGATCTCAAGTTTGTCATCCCGCTGGCCCCATATGCCTGATTGGACCTCTCACTGCTGCTGACAATCCATGTTGTAGTCAACATCGACATGTTGCTGTCAAGGCCTTTGTCCGTGCGGCCGCCATGGGTTCCCGACTCAACCATGAACGGAATGTCTATCAGCGTATTAACAATGGACCCCGATCCCACCCTGGGCGAGACGCCGTACGCTCATTGCTCGACGCCTTTCAGCTAGAGGGCCCTGATGGCGAGCACCAGTGCCTCGTGCACCCTCCTCTTTGGGTAAATCTTCAGACATTCCTCGATTCGAATCCGGTGGGGAGACTGCCCAATCCAGTCCTAGCCGTAGTTCTCTACCGTCTATTCCAGGGCCTAGACTACCTTCACAGTGAATGTGGCATCATCCACACGGGCAAGTCTATGTACCCATCTTCCCCAAACCCAGCGTGACGACTTACACGGAACCCTCCAGACATCAAGCCGGACAACATCATGTTTGGCTTCAATGACGATTCGCCTCTGGCAGAATTCGAACAGGCCGAGCTGGACAGCCCTAGCCCTCGCAAGGAAGTGAACGGAAGGGTTATCTACGTGACTCGGCAGATACCAATGCCCAAGTCCCTTGGACCGCCAGTCTTGTGCGATTTCGGGGCTGCTGTTTTTGGAGACAAGCTCCACGACGATGATGTCCAACCTGACCAGTATCGGTGCCCGGAAGTTATCCTTGAGATTCCATGGAGTTACAAGATTGATGTTTGGAACATCGGGTGCTTGGTAATACCGATTCTCTCTTTGCATATGGACGTTACTAACGTTAGGCAAGGTCTGGGATCTTTTTGAGGGCGGTCATCTGTTCCATGGCACTGATCCCGAACATGGCGTCTATCGCGGAAGGGCTCACCTTGCTGAGATGATTGCTCTCCTGGGGCCACCCACCCCTGAGCTTATCAACCGGGGAAACCTGAAGGCCAAGTTCTTCTCAAAGTCATGTGAGTGACCACCCTTCGTGCGCCGACGCAAAGAAACACGGTCGAGGTTCATGGTATGACTGGTCCTTACTAACCTCACGGCATGATTAAAGGTGAATGGAAAGCAGGGATCGAGCCCTTGCCCCCTGTGTCACTAGAGAAATTAGAGATGACTTTGGAGGGCGCGGATAAGCAGCTGTTTCTACAGCTCATGAAAAAGCTGCTCCAATGGGCCCCGGAAGACCGCATGGCGCCAAGAGAGCTCATCAAGGATCCGTGGGTAGTGAAGCATCTCTTCGGTTGAGTCCGAACTCGTGTGAGCGGCGTGAGGGCTATTCGTGCCTACGGTTGGCTTACCCATGTAATACTATGTATTATATGGAGAAAAGGGACTAAGATCAGTCCGCTCAGAGCCTCATGGCCCACCTCTTGACGTCGGCAACTCGTTAATGCTGGATGTGTGTTCACGACGCCCGGGGACTTCCCTTCGCTCTTCAACGTGGCCAGTGGCAGCATGATGATTCGAGAAGGCGAACGTGTTCCGCTTGGACTTGTTGGCGCAGCAAGTCGGCAGTTAACGCTTATGATGCCAATAATTATCTAGGTAGTTATCGAGTTACGGCATACTTTCTCACCCACCAACTAGTCCGACGTTTCCGCCGCCGACCGGCCCACGCGCACATTAACCCGTTGTACAGACCAGTTGGGCCTGGCAACGCCCCGGCCGCGCCGACCACTCTCATCGCCATGGATGGGCTCAGGTTCGCCCACGTCTGCCCTGTCAAGCTGTGGCAGGATCTCCCCGGGAAAGTTGCTCCGATCGGCGGGGGAACCGAGGACGACGATGGCATCGCAGGGGTTGGGCTGGAAAGAGTTGGTGATCGTGGCCGGCTCCGTCATGATGACGAAAAGGTCGGTGCTCTCGTTCGGGGCAAGCTGGATCGGTGCTTCCTCATCCTCAATCGGGTAGATCCTGGAGACCTTCCAGGACGGTTCCAGATCGAGAACCTCGACGTATACGGGCCGATATCCCCGGTTCGTCACCCGGATCATAACGCTTTCGTTGTCTCCGACCTCATTTGGTCTTCCTGACGCGAACGGCTTGACGCCCGTCTCACCCACAGGACCCTCATCCTCCATGAACGTGCGCGGCTCCAGAGGCTCCTCTCCTGCGGGGAGCCATCCCAGAACTTGAACCGATATTCCGCTACCGGCTGCCGAGCCAAGGCCAGACGCCGAGTTGGATAGCTGCAAGAGGTTATAATACACGGTTAGATGCGCCAGATACGGCACTAATTTGTCCGCCGAGTCGATTTCTACGACGGCCCTATTCATCGTCGTGTCTGGTTGGAATCTGATGGCGAACCGGTGGTCTGACTTGACTTCGACGTCAAAAAACGGCTCGCGAGTGTCTGCGATTTTGACGAGCCTGCCCTCTCGTCTGATCTTCGCCTCAATCCTCTGGGCATCTGCCACAGACGCTCCGGACTCCGCTGCCAGCACGACACGCACCCCCCTCGGCGCCATGACGCGACGGTACAGAATATCGCGGACACTCACGGCCTTGCAACCGGCCTGGATCTCGGGCGCGTCTCGATCCCCACCGTCGGGCACCGTCAGCACGCCCGTCGAGGTGAGGTCGTTCACCTCCTCCACCTTGCACATGGCCAGTTCCCCGTGGTAGGAGACAAGGTCCGTGAACTCTCGGTCGGCGGGATACAGAGCGAACCTGTCTTGTTCGTGCACGCCGTGGGCTGTGCCGACGTTGAGCGTGATGCGGACCCTGACCCCGCCGTCGGACACGCGCTCGACGTTGGTGACTGCCGGAACGTGCGGTTCGACCTGACCCGTGCTAAAGAAGGACCGGTTTTGGCGGCCGCCGAGGACCGGATCCTGAGGGGAGTCTTGATCGCGGTGCTCCGCCACCTTCTTCGCGACGAGGTTATACACCTCGCGGAAGCCCAGCTGGCCCAAACGCTCCGAATTGGCCGCCATGACGTTTCCGAACCAGGCACTCATCAAGCCGCGGTCCTTTCCATCGTAGGTAGTCTCCTGTGCCAGCTGGTTGGCGCGGCAAGCGGCGAGGAAGTCGATCCCCTTGGACGAGGTCAGCCAGTGGCGCATGGTGGTGGCGCCGCGTCCGGTCCCGGTCGGCGGCGGCACCCAGGCGGCATGCAGGGCAGCCTCGGGGGCGATGGGCTCCCGCTCGACAAGGGAGGCGGCGGGGATGTCCACGCCGCGGACGCGTTTGCGCCCGCGGACGGTCCCGGCCGAGTGGCAGCAGTCCAGCACGAGGGTTACCACGGCGTCCTTGTCGGCGATGGACTTGAGCAGGCATGCCATCTCCACGTCGCGGAGGAGGTTTGCTCTGCGGCGCTCGGTACCTTCGTCGGGGCCGATGAGAACGAGTCCTTCGTCGATGCGGTTCTGTTTCAGGCCCGGAAACTTGGTGTTGGCGCGCGTGCCGTGGCCAGAGTAGTGAATGTAGACAAAGTCGCCGGCCTGAGCCTCCTCGGCAAGTTTGTTGAAGGCGGCAACGACATTTTCCAGCGTCGGGAGCGTCGCGGGGTCGGCAGCGGTTGGGGGGTTCGGGGATGTGAGTTTGACGATGCTCGTAATGACGCCGGGCATGCTTCGCAAAAGCGTGTCTGTGGCCTCGACATCGCCAACGCAGCCGTAGAGGTTCGTGGTCCCGCCATAGTAGTGATCGACACCAATCAACAGCGCGGATCCTCTCGGGGCTCGTTCCGGCATCACGTAGTCGACGGCGTGAATCGCCGAGTTCCAATGATTTCGACTTGGGGTTCTGAGGGAGTAAGTTTGAACTCTCCTTGCGGGCTGTAGCGGAGCGATAATGGCGAGGAATCCAAGAAATCAGGAGTCCTGGCTGGGGTTTAAAACAACATGAGGCTATAGGGTTGACACTCTCATGGGCCCCCGTGATACCTCGACCTCGAGCACCTTCCGAAGCGGGGTCACTAAAACACAGGCTGGCACGCCTATCCATCAACTCCCTCCATTGGGCCCAGCTCGTGGCGGTATTGATGCCCAACCTCTGTCTCAAATGAGTTTTTTTCTTCGACCGGCAGCCCTAACGACACTCCCCAGGGCAGAAGCAACATCGCAGATCTCTGGCACAGAAGTAACTTGAGTGCAAAGTCCACTACAAACCGGACCTGTCCTTGCTGATCGTTGTATGCATAGGTGACAGCCTAGAGCAGGACGCGGATGTCTTGACTGCCGCAAAGACGCATTGGGCGGCAACGGCGGACGGTATCCAGGTACCTACACGTAGGTACCTCGCTTATGGGGCAGGTCGGCTAATGCTTTGCTGTCGGCGAGTGACAGCGTCCCGCTTCGAATAAAGAGAGTTAACCGCGGTAGCCAGTCTCTATTGTGCTTAAGTATTCACGCCCTCGGGTCATTGCACGACGCCTGACGCGCCATCCCATCGAGTCTCGTGTATGCACATGTCCCCGAGATAGGAAAATTCACCTGTGCCGATAATCAGAGTACTCAGATAATTAATATTCTCCCGCTTTGCGCTCTCAAAGTCCACTCCCGGTGCCACGTATTTTATTATCTGTCAAGAGAGAAATTGACGCGAAACCACAGGTACCAACCAGGCATGGATACCCTGAGCCGGATTGTTGAAGATGTTCGGAAGGCTGTAGAGCATCTCAAACAACAGCGGCAACAGACGTCTGCAAACATTGAGCTGAGTACCGTCATGACGGCGGCGGGGGAGGTCTTGGACGACGAACTTGACAGGCTGTCACCCCATTCGCCCGCGGATCCTACCGTACAATGGGAACCACTCAACCGACTCATCGAAGCGGGCGAACTCATCCTGTCACTTGTGCCGTCGAATCATCGACTCCGATTCGTATTTTTATGCAACCTCTCGGCCAGTCTTGCGCGTCGGTTCGACCTCATGGCGCCTGCGGGAAACCCAGACTGGAAGGATCTCGACCGTGCGGTTGACTTGGCAGCTGATGCTGTTTCAGTGGTCCATGGGGAGGATGTAAGGCACCGCTGCGTTGTTCTATACCGACTCAGTAGGGTGTTGGAAAAAAGGGGTATGTATAGCAGTAACGTCAAGGACATCGAGCTTGCTTTGCAGGCAGCCGACGAGTCTGCTACCCACCTGGGCGTGGCCCAGGACATGGCATTAGACTGTCGGGTGCAAGTCGTCAAATTGCTCACCATGTTGTTCACTGCAACGCACGGTATGAACTTCATTGAACGGGCGGTGGCAGTGGCCCAGGAAGCGGTCGACGCCATGCCCAAGAGGTGCGATCAAACGGACGAGTCGGTTGTCCATGAGCGGCAGCTTGGGCTGAATACGTTAGCGAGGGCGTTGGGCATGCGGTTTGAGGCTAAGGGGGCAGTGGAAGATCTGGACCGCGCTATCGCTCTGCTCGATAACTCCTTGCCATCGCTCGGGGCAGAGGACCCCAACTTTGTTATTGGTCTAGACTACCTTGGCATTCTCCTGGGGACCCGTTTCGAGCAGCAGGGTGATATCGCCGATCTCAACGACGCTATCCAGTGGTCCGAGGTCGCTGTCAAACGGGCGCTCAGCTCAGATCCGGACCGACCGAGAAAGCTCCAGAACCTTGCCGATCGCCTCGCCGAACGCGGTCAATATACCGGGCAGGTTGCTGATATCGTACGGGCCATCGAATACGCCCAGGAAGGCTTACAAGATGCACCACTCAATCATGGGGAGCGGGCCAAATGGCTGGGTAACCTTGGAGCCTTCTTTGGTATGCGATATAGGATAACACAGCCGGAGCCCGATAGAACGGATCTTGCGCAGGCAACCAAGATTACCTCTGAGGCAATCGACTTGGCACGGAAGCGAGGTGACGTCGTTCTGCTTGGCTCTTTGGCCAATACGCTCGGGAATATCCTCCGTTACAAATACGAAGCGGGAGATCACGACGATGCCACCTGCCTCGACCGGGCGGCAGAAGTGCTTGAGGAAGCCCTGGATCTTCTAGGACCAGACCCCGAGCAGGCCTTCTTGTACCATGGCCTCGGTGAGACGCTTCTACTGCGATACGAATACGGCGGCGCCGTCGAAGATGTGGGCGGCGCGATTCAAGCGTATCAGCGAACTTTAGACAGCGAGATAGGCCCGCCAACGGTCCGGATCAACGCTGCTGTTAGGGCTGCTGAACTGTTAGGCCTCCTTGGTCGTTGGGCTGAGGCTACAAACTCCTTGGAGCGGGCGGTCCATTTGCTCCACGTGCTGACTCCGGGGCTTCTGCAAACCGAGAACAAACAACAACTAATTCGCCACTTCTCGGGTGTAGGGGCCGCCGCCGCTGCCGCCGCGCTCAATGCCGGCAAGGATCCGGGTCACGCCCTCGGGTATCTAGAACTCGGGCGCGGTATCATATCAGGGTTTCTGCTAGACATGCGTACGGATACCTCGGCTCTGAGACAGGCGCATCCAGATCTCGCAGACCAGTTCTTACGGCTAAGCTCCAGACTGGCTGGCCGCCCTAAACTCCAGCGGTATGATCGAAAGACTGGGGGCCAACCTCTCTTTCAAGAAGGGCCGATGGCTGAGTCATTTGATCCCAGCAAGGAACGTTGGCGACGCGCGGTTGGTAGTGAGATGGAAGCCCTCCTCACGGAGATCCGCAGCCAGCCTGAATTCGAGCGCTTCCTGCTCCCGCCAACGGTCGAGCAGTTAAAGGCGGCAGCTGACCCGGATCCTATTTTCGTCGCCAACGTGTCGGCATTCCGCTGTGATGTGTTTGTCGTCGAGAGTCACCAGATTCGGGCCGTGCCGCTACCCCATCTTTGCCAGGAGAGGATTATACAGGAGAACCACAGGGTCCAGATGGGCTCGGGGTCGTTGTCGGAGACGTTAAAGTGGCTCTGGCATGCACTAGTACGTCCGGCTCTCGACGGGCTTGGTTTACACGGTAACGTCGTCCCGGAAGGCACCAATCACGCCGCCGTGGAGTGGCCACGCGTGTGGTGGGTGGCTGTCGGGCCCCTGAGCGGACTGCCGCTCCATGCTGCTGGTGACCATGGCTCTCACAACCAGGAAACGGCGCTGGACTGGGTCATGTCATCCTACAGTTCATCTATCAAGGCATTGATCGCGGGGCGAACTTCACAACCACTACCGCCATCGACCTCAACCCCTGGTCGCACGGTGCTGATCTCGATGCCGAACACCCCTGGCCAAGATCATCTCAACTTTACTGACCGCGAGGTAAACATGCTCACCGAGCTGTGCCCGTCCATGCAGCTAACTCCAGAACGGCCACCGAGTCTTACCAAGGACGACGTCCTAGGGCAGCTTCGTGGCTGTCGCGTCTTCCACTTCGCGGGCCACGGCATTACGGATCCCGGGGACCCCTCCAAAAGCTGTCTGCTGCTGAATGACTGGGAGACACGCCCGCTGACAGTGGGTGACCTGCGCGAAGAACGCCTGGTGGAGGAGGTCGCACCAGCCAGCGCGCCGTTCTTGGCTTACCTCTCTGCCTGCTCGACAGCGGCCAACGAGAAACTTGCGCTCACCGACGAAGCCATCCACCTGGTTAGTGCATGTCAGCTGGCCGGCTTCCGGCACGTGGTTGGCACGCTTTGGAGTGTGTCAGACGTCTTCTGCGTCGACGTGGCAAGGCGCTTTTACGAAGTGCTCCGCGACGAGGGTGCCACCGACGTCGCCGTGTGTCGCGCGCTGCACCTAGCCATGCGGGAACTTCGGGATATCAAGGCTGAGAGGAAAGGTGAGAAGGGAGTGACGCTGGATAACAGCAATGGGCTGGATAGAGGCGCTAGGGTTGCTGGTCCAAAGCGGCACAACCTGTTATGGGTTCCATATGTTCATTTTGGAGTTTGACCAGACCTGGGCGTACCGTCTTTGCTCGTCCTGCACTGCAGACTTCTATAAAATAGCAGAAGAATGATGTTACCGAAAATCACTCTGGCTCATCTATGGCGTACCAATCATCCCCAACCATCTCAAGTCCGACTGGATAACTTTCTCCCGTCTCGTCATCATCGGCTTCAAACACCTCCTCGCCGCCGCGCCAACGCTTCTCCGGCTCCTCGCGCGAGCCACAGAAGCCCTTGCGAATCTTGACGCCAGTAAAGAAGATGACACGCTTCTGGTCGGTCCAGGCAGACCAGCCACTACCAGCGGACCCGCGGTGCCAGGAAACTTTGGGGCCGGCCTTTGCAACGCCGGCAACGGCCAGGTCACAACCGATGACGACGCGGTTATCGGCACTTTGCCACGCGTTGATATGTATGTCTGTTGACGCGTAGGTCCAGGTGGCGGCGCAGACACCGTGCTCGCAGACTTCGGGGTATCGTTTGAACAGCTGGGCCGCGTGGTGCCGAATCCAAACGGCAAAAGGGTCGCGGAAGTCAAACCCCTCGGTCACGACGTCGGCATCGCACATGAGGACTGCGCCAAAGTCGCCAGCCGTCGAGTACTGAAGCACGCCGCCCACGTCGAGCGGCAGGCCCAACGCGGCGGCACCAACCCCCGCCTCGAGATCAATGCTGGTTTCGGCCACGCCGCTGGCCGTCAGCGGGCCGAACTTGCGTACGTCAGGCTCTGCACGCTGGAGTGGCCCAAGAGGCTCAAACCCGGCCGCTTTCACAGCCGCGGCGTCGGTGAGATCGAGTATGGGGTGCCAGCGTTGGTACTCGTCAAGGAAACCGAGCATACCAGGCCGCAGCCGCGAGAACGGCGCCGGCTCGTACAACGCGTAGCCGAACCGGTGCCGCCGCATCGCTTCCCGGTACCGGGTGGCCATGCTCTCGTCGGCTTTCGTCATGGTAGGTGACTACCTAGTTGTGCAGACTTCTAAACGATGGTTACTTGGAACAACCGGAGAGGAGAAAAGGGGGGGCGGGCCTGGGTTCGAACTGGAAGTTCGGCTCGGGTCTGGAATTTCAGCTGTCAAAGTTGTCTGTATCCGTTCACCGGCGGCAATAATAAGGTAGGTAGCTAAGGCGAAACGAGACTTGTGACGCATTTCCATGCCGATCGCTGCGAGCTGTGTCTCACCACACGCGTACAGTTGGGCAGCAATTGTGTTGCGGTCACACTACCCCATCCCCCATAAGACGTACGCCGGGTCGAGGCGCATATGCAATGCGACTCAAGCCTACGCGGAAGCGCATGTCGCGCCTGTCGCGCCGGGCGCCACGGGAGGTGCCGGATTCGCCATTGCGCTACAACACAAAAGACACGGTATCCGGTTTCAGCTTGTTATCAAGATTAAACCTAAGGGTAAACGCGGTTCTCAGGGGATCACCACCCAGCTTGGTGCGAAATTCCCACGTTTTCCTGTTCTCTCATATCCTTTTGTTGCTGAACCCAACGGTTACCAAGCAACGCTCTTTCTTGAACTATCAGGAATTAGGAACAAACAAAATTAACGTCACGCAGCTCCTAACACCAGGGGCAGTATAGGTGGAGGGCCATTAATACCAAGCCAACTTCGTCATGTCTACAAAGAAGCCCTGAGCCTCTCCACACCTCATCTATCATTTATGTCGATGGAATACTTTGTAGAAGACCCCCTAAGTCTTGCTAATCGCGGGCAACACCAGCTTCCTCCCCCCCCTCCACCAGTCCTCCAGATACGTCCCAACCAGCGGATTAAGCCCCCTCTTCCTCGCCTCCTCCAACCACCTCTCCATCTCCCACTCCTCCACCGTCCTCCCAACCCTCCCACTCAAAAACCCCGCAAACTCCCCCGGCTCAACCTTTTCCCCATCACCGTAATGCTGAAACACCACCCTCCCACCCCCTCCTCCCCCCTCAGACTCACTCAGCGCCAGTGGCACCACCACGGGCACCGACCCAACCACACCCCTCACAATCTCCCCCGCCACCTCCTCCACCCCCGCCAGATCCAAAACCCCCTTCACCCGCCCCTCCCCATCCCCATCCCCATGCCCCATCCTCGGCACAGCGCCCATCTCCCCGCCCATCTGCAACAGCGCACCCACGATATCCGTCGCCGGCGCGCCGTGCAGGGCGAGGGATACCGGCCGGTGGATGTGCACGTGCAGGGTGTTGTGTAGCGCGGCTAGGCGCTCGAGGAGGGCTTCGCTTACCCATTTGGAGGCTGTGTAGCCGTCGGTTTGGGCGGCGTGGGGAGGGGGTGGGGTGGGCTGGAGGGAGATGGGTGGGAGGGGGGTTGAGGTGGTGGCTGTGTTGGGGGGGGAGAAATGGGCGACGGAGGCGGTCGAGATGAAGTGCAGGGGTATGGGGGTGGGTGTGGGTGTTGTTAGGGCCATCTCGGCGAGGGTTCGGGTGGAGAGGACGTTGGGGGCGCGCAGGGAGGCGTAGGTTTTGAGGAAGCTCACGTCGGCGCCGTTGTGGATGATGGTGTCGCATTCTGTTGCGAGTTGGCTGAAGGTTTCTTGGGAGAGGCCGAGGTAGGGGTCGCCCAGGTCGCCGGAGTGCTCGACGATTTTCGGGGATGAGAGGGCGACGTGCCTCGGGCGCCCGGACGGGTCACGGCGGATGGCGACGCAGTGGATGGTGCCGACGCGGGACTCGGCGATAAGGTGGGAGAGGAGCTGCGTTCCGAGGAACCCAGTGGCGCCAGTGAGCAGGACTGTTAAGCCGTCTGGCTGGGGGCCGTTCGGGTTATTGCGTTTGAGGTGCGTCGAAGGGGCGACGAGTCCACTCGCAAGAGATTCGACCTCACTGGGCCAGTCCATGTCTAGAATGCCAAAAGGCGGCATCGTCGGGGTATGCTCTAGTAGTGCCGCCATGCCGGAGAGCGAGCTGGACCGGAAAAGCTCGGGCAGTGGAATATCGGCGCCGAAGCTTGTCTGCAAAACGGCTTGAAGATGGACGAGAAGCAGTGAGCTGCCCCCTACGCGGAAAAAGTCCGACTTCGGGCCGAGGGTACCAGGACGAACGGCGGGAGGAAGGACTTGTTTCCAGGCCTCTCTCACCCGTAGTTCAACATCCGTCAGGGGGTGGTGTCCCTCTTCCTCCGCACTACCCCCGAAAGTCCAGCCATCTGGGATAGGGAGAGCGTCGATGCGCCGACGGTCGCGTTTGCCATTCACCGTTATTGGTAGCTCCGCGACTGGGACCATCAACGCGGGCCGCATGTACATTGGCAGAGGCAAGCGGTCGACCACTTGCGCGAGTGATCTGGCAATGGAGGCTCGCTCCGCCGTTCGCAGCCCAGGGCTGAGAATCACAAAGGCGACCAGCAAGCTACCGTCCCGCAATGACAAAGCCGCGTCGCTGATTGTGTCTGACCCGGCGGTCCGTAGAATAGCAGCCGCCACCTCATCGAGCTCAACCCGCACTCCGTGGATCTGGACTTGGCTGTCTCCCTCGATACGGCCGAGGAAATGTAGCGTGCCGTCATGACTTATGCGCCCCAAGTCTCCGGTGCGGTAGAACCGTTGATCTCTCAGGCGGAGCCTCTTCGCAAACCCAGGCGTGACGAAACGTTCATGTTCCTCAACAGAACGGTTGACGTACCCGCGCGCGACCCCCTGTCCGCCGATGTAGATTTCGCCTGGCCATCCGCCAGGGACCGGTTCCATGTCCTCACCAACAATGACAATGGAGTAATTAGTCATAACCAGGCCCATGTGCGGGTCCTCCATCGAGCTCGCAACCGCACGATAATCGATGGCGCCACGAGTGCAGGATACGGTCCCCTCGGTCGGACCGTACGCGTTGACGAGCCGCAGCCGAGGTAGATCCAGTGAAGCGAAACCGGCGGCATGGTTTGCCGTAAGCTTCTCCCCGCCGCTGACGGCTATACGCCAAGTAGAACACCTCTTCAGCGTCTCTCCCGCGAACGTGAGGAGAGCGGCGTACTCAGACGGCACGCCGACGGTACATGTGACGCCCTCGGCTACCATGATGGCGGCTAGCGCTGCAGGGTCCCCGCGAGCCTCCTCCGGCGCTATTACCACAGTCCCTCCGTTCGCAAGCCCACCGAATATCTGCTCCAGCGAACAGTCAAAACCCAACGATGACTGCTGAAGTACGACCTCCCGACCGATGTTGAGCATGTTCCGTACGGCACACAGCTGATTAAGGAGACTAAAATGCGTTAGCAGCACTCCTTTAGGCCGCCCTGTCGAACCACTGGTATAGATGGCGCAAGCGGATCCGTCCGCCGTCGCCAAGATATCGACTCCCTCTGTAGGCTGTTGTCCTGATCCCGGGGGTTGTGTTAAGCGGCCAAGATCAAGGAGCGCCGAGCCACGTGCCTGATCTCCGAGCTGGCCGACCGCAGCGAAGTCCTCATGGCCCTTGTATACCAATACCCGGGGCTGGCAGTCCGCGACGATTAATCCTAGGCGCTCAATGGGATTGCGTCGGTCCAAAGGCACGTAGATGGCCCCCAGACGCATAATGGCAAGCATGGCACACAACGCCTCGGCCGAAGCGGCAAGGTAGACGGCGACGAAGTCCCCAGCACGCACACCGCTGTGTTGCAGTGAGTGACTCATCTGGTTGACTATTTGGATCATGGCCCCGTACGTGAGCGGTACGCCCGAACCATGCTTGATGGCGACATCGTCTGCGTGCTGGGATGCCACCTGATCGACACAATGAACAAGGCTACGCGGCAGTTCACCCGAATGCAGAGTGGGCGCGCACCCGAGACGGATTGCCGTCAGCCGGTCTGCGTCGTCCACGAGGTTGAGGCTGCGAATCGTGGGTGGTGCAGATATCCCACTGCCGCAGTCGTCGATCGCGCCCTTGACCAAGCTGGTGAACGACTTGGCCAGCATCCCAGCATCGACATCCGAGTAGAGGTAGCTCTGCACCCCCAAAGAGATCCAGACCCCGTCTGCGTGACCGATCTCGGTAATGTCCACTTGGAGGTCAAACGGGTTACGGGCCACGACCATGTCAGTCCACTCAACCTCGCATCCATCATCCCACATAGAACGCGTCGGTCCATGGCCCATGCGGTAGTTTATGGCGGCCTGAAACAGCGGATGGTGTGCCTCCCTGGGAACGCGGAGGTGGTCGATCACCGTATCAAACGGCGTGGCAGAGTGTGCCATGGCAGAAAACACCATATCGCGTGTTTGCGATACCAGCTGGTCAAACCCAGAGTACCCGTCCAGCCGGAAGCGCAGCGCAAGCATGTTCAAAAAGCACCCGATCGTGTCGGTGTTGCCGTGAGGGCGGTTGGAATCGACGATGCCGATGCAAAGGTCGGAAATGTCCAGCCACCGAGACAGAAAGGCCGCCAGGGCTGTGAGATACAGGTGGAACGGCGTCGCGCGCAGCTGGGCGCACTTAGCCCTGACCTGCTGGGCGAAGTCCGCACCTAGCTTGACCTGAAAGCTGTAGGATCCGTAGGCGTCGAGGGGTTGCTTGCGGTGCTTGGTCTTAGCGAAGGGAAACAGGGGCAAGGGGGCCGGTCCGTCGCGATGGAGCTCTTGCCAGAACGCGATGTGTTTTTGAAGCGTCGCGGGGTCGGCATACCCTTCGAGAGATGCTTCGGCTAGATCGATGGCTTGTAACGACGGGGGTGCTAGGTCCTGGGCGCCTGAGTATGCGGCCTCTAGCTGGCGAAGAAACACGACAAGGCTAAGCCCATCCATGACGAGGTGGTGGTAGGCAACGATGATGATATGTCGGTTCCTAGTTTGTGGTAGTACCGTGACCTTGACCATGTCGCCGTCCGCCAGGTTAAACTCGTGCTTGCGCATCCGGTCCAGCTCAGCCTGAAACCGAGGAAGTCTGCCAGGTCGGCCAATGCGATGTTCAAGTACGCAGCCGCCGTTCTTTTTGACTCTCTGGCGGCCTTTTCCCGAGGACTGATCGAAGAAAAAGCAGGTGCGGAGGGATTCATGCATTTGTACAATCTTCCCCAGCGCATCTTTCAGTCTGTTGATATCGAGGGTTCCGTAGACCCTGCCGGCGAGTGCACAGTTATACGTCGATTTGTCGGCCAGATATCTGTCCAAGAAGAGCAGCCGACCCTGGCCAGGGGAGAGGTTCCCCTCCCGGATATATGTAGGTGTTGCTTCTGGCTCAGCCAGAGCATGGTTGCGCGGCTCGTCGTTGGTATGCCCCGATGTCTCTTTTAGAGGTGCAACACCAATGTCCGCGGCTTCCGGGTCAAAGCTGACCTCATCATCTCCGGCAACAGCAGCAGCAACTGGTTCGGGTGGCGTTGGAATGTGCAGCGAAGCTGATGATTCCGAGTAATCGGGATCTGTTACAACCGCCGAGGGGGTTGGAGTGGATGTTGACGTGACACAGTTCGCACCCTCTGTTTCCGAGGATGTAGCGCCCTCCGGCTCCGTGTCCGGCAGCTGTCTAAACAGTTCCGCGCTCAAATTCTTGACTGACGCACTCGCCAGGATCCCGAGCGCAGCCATGTTGACGCCGAGTTCCTCGGCCATCCACGACCGCAGCTGAATCGCTACCAACGAATCTACACCGAGCGACAGAAGCGGCACCTGGGCATCCAAAGTCCCAGAAGGTATTTGCAGCGCTTTTTCCAGCTTTTGCAGCAGACCGGACTCCAAGACGCGCAAGGCGGCATGACCATCAGCCCCGGCGTCAGAAAGTTGGCGCCGGATACTGGGCTTGTTATCAACACCGATCCCTCCTAGCTTCGAACCCCCGGAGCCAGGGTCAATGCTACTCCTGACCAAATAATGCGACATCCTCGGTTGGTTGAACCAGCCCGGCCTCCGTGCCTGGTCTGGACTCGAAAGGTCCCAGAAGCCGATCCCGGTCATGATATCAGCCTCTTGCTCAAGATTTCGTGAACCGGCAAATACTGCTTCGGCGAACATGGTGTGGAGGTCAGATTCTGACAGCGGCTTCGTGTTGTGCTTGCGAGCGAGCTCACCAGCCTCGTGGGGGTTGGACGAGCGGGTAAGATACCCAATATCTGCGAGGGCGCCGATGTCGATGACGGAAGCGGGCGCACCTCGACGCCTTCGCTGTTGGGCTAAACCACACATGAAGAGGTTGGCAGCCCCATAGTTTGTCAGGCCGGGAACGCCTAGCACGCTAGAGGCCGACGAGAGGAAGATGAAGAAGTCGAGGTTGTCGTGGGCGCCAAAGACGGCTTCCAGGTTGAGGGACCCTTGCACTTTTGGGCGAAGCGCAGCTTCGAAATCATCGATTGACATGTTCTCAAAAGCTCTATCGCGTAGAATCATGGCACCGTTCACGACACCTCCCACAGGAGGCATGGCGGATCCATGTTCCGGCGCTGTCAGGCTGCGGCGGGCGGCTGTGAGACTCTCGCGGTCGGCGAGGTCTACTGAGTGAACACGGAGTGTCACTCCTCTCTGAGCGAGTCTTGCTGTAACCTCCAGGTCCACAGACGGGTTCCGACTCGCTAGCGCAAAGTACCGCGCCCCGTGGTCAGCCATCCAACCGCAAAGCGACAAGCCCATGGAGCCCGTCAAGCCAGCCAAGAAGTACGTCCTGTCCGGTGAGAGTAGGAAACGGGCGTCGAGGGGCCGGACTATGGCAGGTATGCTGGTCTGCCCAACACAGCTCCAGTCTACGACGTCTGCCACGTCGGGAAGGGTCTTGCCAGTAACAGACGCGAGAGACTGCACTGGTAGGACCCGAGACCTGGTTTCCTCGGCGACCGTTCCAGTCCGGCCTGTCGCCTGGTTATAGTGGGTGGAGATTACACGGTGGATGCCCGTCTCGCTGTAGGCCAGCTCTACTTCCCACTGCGGCAACCCCTTATCGGAGCTGTTGACCAGGCGCGGCATCATGGAAACACGGGCCTTGTCGCCGATGGACGCACGAATCAAGCCATCCAGCACCATGCATTCACTCCCACCGCCATGCATGTTGGCATAGACGCTGACCTGCCGGGGTGCTAGCAACCCCAGCATCCGTGCTGTAGATTGGGGGTGAATGAATGTGTAGTCCCCTGGAAGCTTGGAGGGATACTCGGAGCTGCTGTAAAACATCCGCGCCCCGTTAGCGGAGTGCTCTGCGGCCTCAGTCAAGACTCTGGCGAGGGCGGTATCCGGTTCGTGGACCCAGATGTTGCGCCCATGTGACTTGTAGACTAGACTTTGTGCCACAATCCATCTGAGGAGGTACTTCAAAGTCTCTGGATCTGGTTTGCCGTCTGTCCCGACGCCCCAAGTGTCCGCAACGGGAACCTCGATATACGAGGCATTGACTGGAGTCAAGGCGATGACTTGCCGGCCCGAATCTTGTTCCGTACCGAGACACAGGTACACTACCGCGGCTGCACGCCTTAGTCTGAATCCGCAGAGGGAAGAGTACCGAACGCACACTCGCACGTGCGTCTTCCTGCGACAATCTCGTGAGTGTGACGGCGGGCGTAACTCAGGAACTTGACGAAGTTCGAAGGAGCCTTCCCCAACTGACACAAGATGCAATGGGGTTCTCTGAGATACGTCGACGTTGTCCACAATAGCCCGGGATCTCGAGTTCAAACGGTTGTTGAGTTCTTTATGGGGTATGATCCTCGGCAACAGCTCGTTGCCGCGGCCGTCCACCAGAACTTCGGTCTCCCTTCTCCACAAAACGTCGTCAAACTCGGAACGGCCGAGGCGGACCATTCGCAAGAACGTCGATGCGATCCACCGTGCGGTCGACTGGTTCATATCCAGCTCATTGCAGTCGACAAATTGCATCGGGCGTCCCGGCAACTCCAGCATGGCGGAGCGAGCAATACCGAGAACCATGCCAGCGTGGGGTTCATCGCCACTGATCCGCCCCCTAGTGAGCCAAAGAACGTGTGTGGATTTGCAAAGGATGTTTTGTATCGCGGATAATCGCTCCGGCGTGACGTCCCGCAAAGCTGGCTCGACCAGCTCTGCCAGGCATATGACAGCGGTGTCGGGAGGAAAGTAGCCACGGACAAGTTCAAGTTTGTCCACGACAGTTACCCTCTCCGCGAATGGAGAGAGAAGAGAGGCAACACCATAGGCCATCTTAAGCCCGGCTAGTTCCGTACTGCCGATGACTTTCACGGCGCCAAGCTTGGGGATTCCCATCTTAGGCGTGTTGTGTGTGGAGAGCGGTTCGCGAAGGAGAGTGACACGATCGTCAACTGCCTGGCTCACCATAATAGAATAGGTGTAATAGCGAGAGTCCTCATCTACATCCCGAGTGACCGCGTCAACACCGGAGAAACCGCTGTGAAGTAGGTAACTATGCCAGCGTGCCTCGCTGACAAGCGGAGAATCCGCTCGTCCTTCGTCCGCGCCGAGCCACCAGCCGGGCAACGTGCCGAAGATGAACTCTGTGGAGAGAGTGCTAGCTGTGTTCTCCACCAGCAACAGATATCCTCCCGGACGAAGCAACCGCCTGCAGTTGCGTAGTGTGTCTTCCAGCGTCGGCGTTGCGTGCAGCACGTTGGATGCCACTACCAAGTCATATGTGCCGGCCTCGAAGCCCTGCTCGCCACTAGGGTCGCGAGAGATGTCCAGGGTTTGGAACACCACCCTTGCAGCATAGCTTCCCAGGGTTTGACGCGTATCGTCAAAGAACCCAGAAGAAATGTCGGTAAAGGTATAGGAAGTAAACTTGTCCTCGATCCGTGATAGAATGGCAAGGGTTGCACTTCCCGTGCCCCCACCAACCTCGAGGATACGCATGTCCGGGTAGCGGTGGACGATCTGCGCTGCGGCAGCACCACCGCGCTTGTTCGATTGCTTCAATCCAAGGCCCCGCTGATAATAGTCCGTAAGCATGTTGTCCTGCATCAGGAGCTGCAGAGCTGGAACTTGGCCCCTGAAGAGATCCGGCAACGCTTCGCCCAAGGCCATGACAACTTTCAAGTCAATGAGGTCAGGGAGGCGCTGCGCCCATTGTATCAAAAACTCGCGACAGTCGCTGGCCCATTCCTTGTGGACTCGGGGGTGTTGTCCGGCCTCAATCCTAGGGAGAGCGTGCTCGACAGCCCAGTCCCAATACGCGGTCAAGGATGGGTTAGAAGCACCGCGCGTACTCGCACTACCACTAGTTCCAGCGGTGGGCATGGTCTCAGGGTCGAACTCATCTCGCAATTTGCGCAGATAAAAGTAGACAGCTCGCGTCACCAAGTCCGTCTCTTCCACGTGCTTGGTCAGGTCAAACTCTCGGTCCGTGGCTGTCAAATCAATGCCAGACGAGATATCCCTCTTCCACACAGAGTGCGAGAAGATGGCTCTCTCATCCTGCTCGGTGAATGACCCGAAAGGCGAGCAGGTCAAACCCTCAATCTGAATCTCGGGATATTCATCTGGTCCACCAAATACATCCACGTCGCAGCGGATTTCAGTCGGCGATCTCACACAGACATGACAGTCCGCACTCAGCTCGAACTGCTGATGACCACCAGCCGTCCCTTGCGTGTGTGCGTTCCCTTCTGCGCCTGTGAACCGCAGAAGCCGGGCAACATCAACACGCACGCGTACAATCGAGGTCGGGAGGTACGTGGTCAAGAGCATCCCCTCTTGGTGGGCAGCCAGCGCCGCAAGGATGCCATGCGAGGCTACATCAAGTAGAGCCGGGTGCAGATGAAGCCCATTCACTTTAGGGCGGTTAAACTGAACAGTTGCGAAGCCGTTGGCCCGCTCGATATAGGCGGCCAAGAAGTCTCCGGAGTATTCCAACCCAGTAGAGGCGATGGAAGAATAAAACTGGGCGACATCGACTGGGCTAAGGGTAGTGCTATCGTGGGACACTCGCGGTGGTAGAAGGTGTGCGGCGGGACCAGAGACGGGTTCTTCACGCTCCAGACTCTCCAGTGCCAGAGTGGCCCGACAGTTAAAGTTCAGATGAGCTGGATCAACGGGCACATCCGGCTTGCTGTCCACTGGGGCGCTGCAAATAGTGAATTCGATCACGATCTGCTGCGTGCTCCGCATCACAACGGTCAATGTAGAAAATACGTCGGTACCAGCCGACTCGTCGTCGTCTTGGAGAGTGAGACCGCGGTGAATCACCAGATCTTCGAGCTCAAGCATCCGCACAGAATTGTGCTTTCTGCTCAAGGCAAGACAACCTTCAACTGCCATGCTGACGTATCCCTGAGCTGGGAAGAGAACCTGACCCTGGAACTTGTGGCCCTTAAGCCACCCCATCTCGCTCAACTTCATAATGTTGCGCCAGCGAAGCTCTGACGGATCAGTGTTTAGAAGGAGATTCCCAAGGAGGGGATGAGGTGGAGTGTTGCGAGTTCGGAAGTGCGTGGAAGCGCGAGACTCATTCCACAGCGGCCTCTCGTGGTCCCAGGAATAAGTTGGCAGATCCATACTAAGGGTCCGCTACTGTTTGTCCTCGTTTCCAACGCAGGCAGTTCTGAAACCATCGAAGTCGACGATTTGCCTCGACCCTCCGAGAAACTGCGTCCAGACGAAGCCTAGGGCCGCGCACACTGCTTCCATGTCATCTGCGCCTCTCCGCAGGACGCTAGAATACTCGAGTTCAAGTCCCGCGGCTTTTACAACGTCCGTAACTGGCTGCTTCAACGCAGGGTGCGGCCCAACTTCCAGCGCAACCACCGTCTGGGATGACAACCACGGCTCACTATCCCGCAACGCAGCTTCGACAGCTTGCGAGAACAGGACCGGGTTCGCCATGTTATCGATCCAGTAGCTGCAGCTGAGGGAGGCAGGATCAACGGGAAACCCCGGATGCACACTAGAATACCAGACACAGGAGATATCTCCCTGTGCACCGCCCGGATTCAAGACCCTGATGCCACACCTCTCCAAGCTCTCACGGTACTGGGACACGCACTCCCTCATATGATGCGAGTGATACGCCGTGTCAACCTTGAGAGCCCTCGCAAAGACATCGTCCCGCTGGACCAGGACGTCCAGCGCTTCCTCCATCGCATCCGCATCGCCCGACAAGGTCACGCTAGTGGGCGAATTGCTCGCCGCAACAGCCAGCCTCCTCACAAAGCGCGGCTCGGCACAAAGCAACTCGGCATCTCGCAGGGTGATGCCCGCCGCCAGCATCCGGCCCTTGCCCGACGCACGCCGGACGCTGATGCCGCGATAGTAAGCAATGCGGATGGCGTCCGGGGCGGTCAGATAGCCTGCCGCATAGGCCGCGGCAATTTCCCCGGAGGAGTGACCGACCACTTTGGTCAGCCTGATGCCGGCGGCGGACAGCAGATCGACGAGGCCGATCTGGACGGCGGTGCAGAGCGGCTGGGATACGGCAGCCTCGTGGATGCGTGACGTTTCGGGTGGCGCTCGGAGCTGTTCCTGCAGAGACCACGATGGTGCGTCAGGGAGGGTGGCGAGTGCCTGCTCGAGCGACTGGATGGTTTGGCGGAAACACCGGGATTTGTCGAGCAGCGTCGCCGCCATGCGAGGCCATTGTGCGCCTTGTCCCGTGAAGATGCCGAGGATGGGTGGGTATTGCGCCTCTGCCGGGATGGGCCGACTTCTGGCAAGTTGGAGGCTGGAATTGTTGTCACCGCGGTTTACGGCGAGCCAGTCGTGCAGCTGCTGGCTTAGTTTCTTTTTTGTGGCGGAAGCTGCAAAGCTGGCCTTGAACTGGAACTCAGTGCGCCGCGTTTGCAGCGTCCAGATGAGATCAGCCAGATTTGCGTCGTTAACTCCGTTTCCGGTCTGAAGTAGTTGAGCAAGCGAAGAGACTGCCGAGACCAGTGAAGTAGCTGAGTGTGCTGAGATGGTAAGGGGGCCGCATGGCTGCAAGCCCACACTTTCTCTCTCGTCCTCTGTCTGCCAGCCTTCGACAATAACATGGCAGTTGGTGCCGCCAAAGCCAAAGCTGTTGACACTGACACGTCGGGGTACATGTTCTGGCAGACGTGGCCACGTCTGTGGCGAGAGTGGGATGTAAAGGTGTTCACAGAACGGTCGAACGGCAGGGTTCATGTGCTGGAAATGCATATTCGGTGGGATGACACCATGCTGGATGGCAAGTGACGCTTTGATCAGGCCGGCCAGCCCAGCCGTCCCCTCCGTATGACCTATGATTGTCTTGACTGAGCCAACAGGGAGAGAGTTGGGTTGGCTAGCGTCAGCCATGTCTTCCTGTTTTTCGACAGGGAAAAAGACGGACTGCACGGCTTGTGCCTCGACTGGGTCACCAGCTGGCGTGCCAGTGCCGTGCGCTTCGAAATACTGGCAGCGACCTTCCGGGGAGAGCGGGTCAAGGCCGCACCGGAGGTAGGTCGATCGAATCAGGTCAGCTTGTGCAGTGGCGCTGGGCATGGTGATACCAGTGCTGCGGCCATCCTGATTCACGCCTGTCTCCCGGATGATGCAGTGGATAAAGTCGCCATCTCTCAAAGCTTGTGAAAGTGGCTTGAGCACTACGACAGCGATGCCTTCTCCTCTTGCGTAACCATCGGCGCTGGCATCCCACATGGCGCATCGACCTTGTGGCGACAACATACCGAGCTAAAGGATCCCGCGCATTAGCTTTAAAGCTTCTATCGGGTGCAGAGTACTTGTTTACACGCACGTTTGACTCAAATATGAACTGCTCAGGACCGAGCAGGAGGTTCACACCGGCGGCAATTGCCACTGTGGACTCACTCCTCCCAAGTGACTGGACGGCAAGGTGCACGGCAACCAAACTGGAAGAGCAGGCCGTGTCAAGAGTCATGGATGGCCCTTTCCAGTCAAAAAAGTAAGAGACACGATTGGACATGATGCTTCGAGACGTGCCCGTGGCCGTGTACGGGGGTGCGCTCTCGACATCTCGCAGCAGCACATCGTAATAGTCCCCGTTCAGTTGGCCAACGTAGACGGCCGTTGACGAGCCGCGAAGCTGCTGAATGGAGTAGCCTGCGGATTCGAGTCCTTCAAACACGACCTCAAGTAGAAGACGCTGCTGGGGATCCATGGATTCGGCTTCAGCCGCCCGGACTCCGAAGAAAGCATTGTCAAAGAGACGGATATCCTCTTCCAGCAAATATGCTTTATCGGCGTTTGTGCACTGTAAGAATTATGGATCATTAGTGTTATGCTCGTGCAACCGGTAAACTCGTTGTGCATTACTAACCCCATGCCGACGTCCATCCTCATTATAAAAGCCATCGGGATCAAACCGGGTGGTGGGTATCCGAGTCCGAACATTCCGTGGATTGGTCAACAGCTGCCAGAGCTTTGACGGTGAGGTTGCCCCTCCTGGAAAGCGACAGGCGGTGCCTGTGATGGCGATGTGCTCAGGAGGCAGTTTAGCCATGTTCGGGACGTTTACACGCTGATGTCTTGATGCAGATTGGTGCAGATTGGTACAGAAAGCGGAATCGTTTCCGGGACGGCGGTATGGCCAGCCCACTCTTCTACCGCCTGTCGGGATGAGAATAAGTTAAGTGCCAGTCGTAAGGTAAAACGTAGCAACTACCTCGATACCCCTCACTGTGTTTAGGCCCATCGGGAAGCTTTGGCGGTTCTACGAAAAGGGAAGGTGTGGGAAAGTATTGGAAAACCAACGGAATACCGTCCGTACATGAGGGATCTGGGTAATCACCAACCGAGCCCTCCATTCCAAACACTTAGACGGAGGACGTGAGCAGGATGGCCGAGATACCGCCGCAGCCAAGAGCCACACGGGACGCGACGTGACGAGAGAGCCGAACATATGAACCTGCTGTGCCTCAGCCTATCTGTGATGACGATCAAGCTTGCAACTTCCACAACCACCTTGGACCAACACCCCAGCCGAGAACACTTTTCAGCGACCTTGGAAAGAATAACACGACATGAAGAACCTGGCGCCCCGGCTTTCCCAGTTCTTCCAGTTCGAGCTCCTGCGTGTGCTGGGCACGGCGCCCTTGCTGGGCTGCGATGTGGGCGAGTGGGTGGAGGCGACGGACAAGATCAAGCAAGACGACCCCGAGAGCTGGTACAGAGCTTGGACCGAAGCTTCTGAGACCGTCGAAGCGGTGGCGGATGAAGCCCTCCGGGCAAACGACCGACAGGGGGCGCTGTGGGCCTTGTTGCGAGCATGCAACTACCGGCGGGCCAGTGAGTTCATGCTTCACGTCCAACCGGGTGATCCACGCCTCCACGCTGCATTGCTCAAGTCGTCGGACAACTTCCAACGGGCATTGCCCCTACTCGATAGCGCCGTTGAGATGCTGCAAATCCCGTACGAGGGCACGACGCTACCGGGATACCTGTTCCTGCCAACGGCCAGCGGCGCGGCCAGCGGCGCAGCCAACACTACCCGCCCGGGCAACCGGACAAAGACGCCGCTCCTGGTCGTCACCGGCGGATACGATGCGACCCAAGAGGAGCTCTACTTCGGCATGGCAAGCGGCGCACGCGTCCGGGGATACGCCTGCCTCGTCTTCGAGGGTCCTGGACAGGGCGTTGTGGCACGGCGCACACATGGTCGAGCGTATCTGAGGCCAGACTGGGAGGTGGTGATCGGAGCTGTTCTTGACCACGTCTTTTGGCTGGGCGACGAGAAGCCAGCTCTGGGACTGGACTTGTCACGCATTGCCCTGGTAGGCGCGTCGATGGGTGGATATTTCGCGCTCAGGGGTGCAACTGACGCACGTGTCTCAGCCGTCATCTCGATCGACGGTTTCTACGACCTGGGCGACATGATGGCATCACGTATGCCTCGCATTCTATGGCCCGACCGACTGGGCGCGCCCTTATTCAACTGGTTGCTGGGGGCTGCGCAGCGTTGGGACTTCCAGACGCGATTCGAATTCCAACATGCGATGCTCGCCACAGGAGCCGAGACCCCGGCTGAAGTCTACCAGCAGCTGGCTCGTTACCGCTTGTGCAACGACGATGACACGAGCATCCTGGACCGCGTCAAGTGCCCTGCCCTCATCACGGGTGCCAGAGACACGCTGTACTGGTCGTTGGAGGACAGCACGTACCGTATCTTCAAGGCACTTTCGCAGTTGGACGAGGCCAAGGATAAGCAGTTGTGGATTCCTGACGGCTGGGGGCAAGGATCGTTGCATGCAAAGGTCGGCGCGTTTTCGCACCTTCACTGCAAGATGTTTTGCTGGTTGAACCATGTCTTCGAGATCAACCCAGATGGCTTGGATCGGGACGCGGGCGGCGTACAGCAGAAGTAGGAACGCGGCGCAGCGTGTTATGCAGATATGCTGCTGTTGGGCCGGAAGAGGAATGAGGGGAGGACAACCTGTTACACCACGGTGTCGAGTGGGCGGAATACATACCCAATCAGACCCCCATGCTCAAGTAACCACTGAATTCCGTCCATGCACTGTTCGAGCTGTGAACCAACCTGCATCCAACCCGTCATTGACAGATTAACCACAGTCGGACACGGCAATGACTTGACCAACGACGCGGCCGAGACCAAGATGGCCCCCAACTTGACGATCTGCTGCCCGTCGGGAGCTGTGAATGGTTGCTTCACTTTCCGTGCCCGACCATTTCGTAAAGTTCAGAGCTCTCCGCGGCGAGCTCCTGAGTCCTGACGGACATCGTCAATTTCTTTGATCGCGCTCTTGATAAGCCCATTGCAGCTTGAGAATCGCCCGTCTCGCGTAGTTCCATAGAGAACACCTTGCGGCTAAACATAGCAACAACCTTCGTTTGGAGACGTGATGGAACCGACGGCAGGCTCGACAGTCCCAGAGCAACAGACTCCGGAGAACAAGTCCGGTCCACAGCAGGTCAGATATGGCTGGCGGTTCTGGGTAAGTCGCCTGTTTACTAACCCGTGCATCGACGGTTTGATAATTCTGTACGCTAATAAACCTCACGCAGGCCATCCTCGTGGCCCTTTCCTTTACGTCGATCCTGGCCGGGCTCGAGATTGGGTGCATCGCTACGGCCATGCCCACCATGGTGAAGGAGTTGGGTTCCGGCGGCCACAGCGAGACAATCTATGTTTGGGTTGCCAATGCGTACTTCCTCACCATGACTGCGTTTCAGGTAGGTACCTAGTCACTGAGATATCTTGAGGCACAGATATCTTGAGGCACCATTCGAGTCGTTTTCATGGTGTATACGCTGACATGTCCCTCGTTCTTGCTCTCCCAGCCATTGTACGGTCAAGCATCGAACATCTTCGGGCGTCGAACGATGACGCTGTTGTCGGTGATCCTCTTTGCTATTGGCTCTGCTGTGTCAGGTGCCGCCACGAGCATGGCGATGCTGGTGGTCGGAAGAGCCATCATGGGCGCCGGCGGCGGCGGCATCCTGGTCATGATCGAGATTATCATCTGCGATCTTTGCCCCCTGCGGGACCGACCCAAATATCTCGGCATGGTCATGAGCATCTTCGGCGTCGCCATGTGTGTCGGCCCGCTCATCGGGGGCGGTCTTGCCGAGCACGCAAGCTGGCGCTGGATTTTCTACCTGAATCTCCCAGTGTCCGCCGTGTCCCTAGTGCCGCTCCTCCTGTTCCTCCGCGTCCGGTACAACAGAGACTCGATCGGGAGAATGCTTATGAAGGTCGACTGGGGAGGAAACGCGCTTTTCGCAGCATCCGTCACCGCAGTCCTTCTCGCCCTTAGTTGGGCAGGAACCGAGTATCCATGGTCCTCGTGGAGAACCCTTGTGCCCTTGATCCTGGGCATATTGGGTCTAGGTGTATTTTTGGGCATCGAATCCACCACACTCATTGCTCAACCTACCATGCCCCTCCGCCTGTTTGCTCACCGCACCTCGCTCGGCGCATTTGGTCTCACCTTCATCGCGTCCATCCTGACATACTGGATGGCGTACTGGCTACCAATCTACTTTCAGGCCGTCAAGGAGTCTACGCCCACCCAATCCGGAATTGACACCCTTCCAGTCTCCATGATCATGATTCCGTTTTCCATCCTGGCCGGCGGGGGCGTCACGGCCGCGGGGCGCTTCCGACCTTTCCAGTTTATCGGCATCTCACTCTTTACCGTTTCCATGGGACTGTTCTCCATGCTCGATATCGACTCGTCCAAAGGCTACTGGGTAGGGTTTCAGGTCGTGGCTGCGGCGGGGTCTGGCATGCTACTCACTTGCACGCTTCCTGCCGTGCAAGCGCCGCTACCCGACTCTGATGTTGCCATTGCCACAGCCACCTGGGGTTTCCTGCGCAGTTTTGGTGGAGTTTGGGGTATCGCCATCCCTACCGCCATCTTCAACTCGCATGTCAACAGCCTCCTGGACGGTGGCCGCGTAGGTGACGCCACAGTCGCCGACTCCTTGCGCAACGGGGGGGCTTATGGACTGGCCTCGATAGGCTTCATTCAGTCCCTCCCCCAAGACATAAAACATCAAGTCAAGACTGTCTACGTCGATAGTTTACGGCTGATCTGGCAAGTCGCCATCGGGTTTGGTCTCCTCGGCTTTTTGGTGGCGCTGGTGATCAAGGAGGTGAAGATGCGGGAGGACCTCAAGACTGACTTTGGCCTGATCGAAGGCAAGAATGACAGTCCAGCCAATAACTCGGCAACTGTCAGCTCGGCGGAACAGAGTGTTGAAGCAGGACACAAGGAAGGCATCCGAGAGTAGAATAGGTAGCCCTTTCCAAACTATCTGTATCAGTCGTATGAAACTTCATACCGTGTTGTGTGATATCTCGAAGGCGAACCTTTTCCTACGCAAAGCCCAATTCCGCTGAGAAGCATCCAGTAGCGTTTGGGGCCCCAGGCAAACTTTTCTTACCAACGGACTCGCAGCTCATGCATCGGAATTCAATGGGCAAATTGGGGGAGGTGTCTAAGCCCTGGTTGCTTCGATGATTGGGTGGTACTCGGAGCCGACCAACAGAGTGCCAACGACGCAAGGCATTGCCCACAGTACGAAACACGTCAAAGGCCGAGGTTCCTGTGTGCCCCTCAGTGAACTTGTTTCCATCTTTCGTTGGGGCCTACGTCGCCTAGATAGGTAGGTGGTTTATGTATGTGCATAAATAAGGGCTTGCCGACACTACCCTGCTTCTCCTTCCCCGTCCCCCAGGGACATTGAGTTTGTGACAAACAAGAGGCGCAGACTGCAGTACTGAGGCTGAGAATTTGTGTAGGTTCCTGATTTAGATTGATATTCGAAGCGCCCAAGCTATCCCATCGCCGGTTCCGCAAGCAAGTCCCTCCCGTGTCACACCACGTTGGTGGGTGCCTGGGTGGGTAGTATCACCTCCGCGGTAAAGAGATAGGTGGCTTATGCATAGTTCCGGAAGAAAGGCCGGTCGAGGGCGGCACAGAAATATGGCAGCGCCGCAAAGCCCGACGGTACTTGCTTGGCTGACCATGGGATCGACTACCTTAACTCCGTTGGCTGGTCTCTCGGCTCTCGTGGTGGTTGCACTGGGCGGGGACCCTTTCCCTTCGATTGGCTAGGTATGTCGTGGCGGAGCATCCCGTCCAGGTCCTCCAAGCACCAACTGCTCGCGGTAGATAAATCTCGACGGCTGCGGTGAGTCGAACTCTTGGAGCTGCACCGTGGAGGCAAGGCCAAACTTGAATCAACACCTCGAACCAACACCTCCAACCAACACCTCCAACCAGAACACAGCGAAACATCCCGCCTTTTCACTCCTCGACCACATCATGGCCAGCGAAACCCCCCAGCTTCTCAAGTTCGACGTCTGCATCTACAGAAAGGATGACATCCCGTTTGAAGATTTTGTCAAGTGGGCTACTGTGGAGTATCCTCCCAAGGCCGTTCCCCTGATGAAAAAACACGGCATTGTCCAGTGGGCGCAGGTGAGAATCACCTTGTCGAGGACCTGAATACCTATGCATGCGGTCTAGGACTGCGCCCTGCTAATGTTGCTCGACTGTTAGACACTGACCCCGCCGCAACTCCGTGAGCCCTACCGTCATGTGCTGAAGAACGAGCTGGGACGGGCGGAATGGACCGTTCCCGACTACGATCTCGTTCTGTCCTACTGGCTGCGCAGCCCGGATGACATGCGTTCGCTCACCCAAGATCCCGAGTGGATCGAGCTCGAGAAGGACGCCCAGACGCGGAGCAACTTCTCAATCGGCCACTTTGTGATCGGCCACGAGATCGTCCACCTCACGGGAGGCGAGGCTCGGGGAGCGGCCGCCGCCTAAGCGAACGCTCGGGGGCCAAGTTGTGTGGCGGCCAGCAGGGAAATGGGGTGGGGGGCTTCCTGAGTTCAAGTTTACACAGTAAATCAAACGAATCGTCCGGTTTTGAGCTTCAACCTGTGTGACAACGGCAAGATTGACGCGAGGGTGCGGCGGCGCCACAACCGCTTTTCGATGTGACGGTACCTGTGTCGAAACTCGGGACAGTCCTCCTTCCGCCCCCAACCCTCCCAAGTTCCTATTCCATCATGTAGTTGCAGATAATATGCCGTCGCCAAGTCCTCATGTATCTCTTCAAGATGGACATGGCTATCCTTTCCCCGAAGTCAGCTGACACATTCCGTCTTTCTGAAGGCGGCACAGCCCAACTGCCACAAGATGGATGCCGGCCACGACACTTGATGTGACCGATCCAACACGCAAATGGAGCCACTAATTTGGACTGTCATAACGTGTGTGCCAATCTAGATAGTATAGGCGTCAAGAAAAGCGGCTAAATCGCCATTGTTAGTGTACTCTTCACAGAGGTTGGCCCCGAGCGGTAACTCGCGAGCCTTCACCCCAACGTCGGAGCCCAGGGCCAACTCATCACGCCTCCATGCCATTCCAGCTCATTCAGGCTCTGACTTCGCTGCAAGCTCATATCCAACTTTGTCACAATGCGGTTCCATCTAGCATTTGTTGCAGTTTTCCTTTTACTCGCCGAGACCATCACGGCCCAGGCGGAGGGAGAGCAGAGCTCAAACCCTCTGGCCATCTATCCCCCTTGCGCAGTGAGTTTCCCTCTGGCAAGGCCTGGAGGATGATGAGCTAACGCCCCAGTACCATGACAGCAAACCTGCATCATAGATGCCTTTACCAAAACATCGTTTTGCCCGAACCCCCTCGACCAGACCTGCACCTGTGAGAATGTTGGTTTCAACGACTTCATGACAAAATGCGTCATGCAAATATGCACCGTACGAGAAGCCCTCAGTAAGTTGCTCAACATCCGAGCCTCGGAACCGTTCAACGACTAATAATACAACCACTACCAGCCACGCACAACATCTCGATCACCTCATGCGGACAACCAGTGCGCGACCGGTCACACGAGCTTGTGCGAGAGGCAATCGCCATGTTGGTCACCACTGTCGTGGTTGTAGCGTCGCGAATCGTCTTCAAGCTCCGTGCCAGAGGCCAGACAATCTGGTGGGACGATTACGCGATCGTCTTCCTCCTGCTCTTCGGCGGCATCCCATCCATGTGCCTCACCATCGCCGTACTCGCACCGGCCGGTCTCGGCCGTGACATGTGGGCTGTCCCGTTGGAAAACATTGACAGGATCTTCAAGTTTTCTTTCGTCTCCGCTGTCTTGTACCTGCCACAGGTTGCCGCCCTGAAGCTCACCTTTCTCTTTTTCTACCTGCGCATCTTCCCCGGACGACGGACACGCCAGTTCATATGGGGCACCATTGTGTTCAGTTGCCTCTTTGGCCTTGTCTTCTTCTTGCTTGGTATTTTCCAGTGTTGGCCGGTCCAGTATTGGTGGGTTTGGGACGGTTCACCAGGCGGCAAGTGTGTGAGCAAGGACGGCGTGCAGTTGAGCAGTGCCGTGATTAGCATCGTGCTCGACGTGTGGATGATGGCCATACCTCTATGGAATGTACGCCGGCTTAATCTCCATTGGAAGAAAAAGCTTGGTGTAGCGGCTATGTTTGGGGTCGGAGCATTGTCAGTCTCCGTGTTCTTAATCCCCCCCTCTTCTCCCCCCTCTCAAGCTTACTGTCCCCGAAGCAACTACTTACTCAAGCCTTGCAGTGTCACCGTCGTATGCTGCGTCCGACTCTCCTATCTTAAGGACATCACCAGTTCGACGAACCCCACCCAAGTCCTCTTCGATATCATCCGCTGGTCCACCATCGAAGGTTTCACAAGCTCCCTCTGCGCATGCATGCCCGTGCTGCGGCAGATGCTGGTCGCCGTCTTCCCCAAGACTCTGGGCACGGGGACCAACAACGTCGCGTCCTCGGCATACATGCACTACAACAAGGAGGATAGCCAGCTGCGCTCCGCTCCGGTAATGCGCTCAGAAGTGCGGGTAGACCATTCCGTAGCCGGCCCCGAACCCGGTCATTATTGGTCTGTGAACTCTCACAGTACACTCCAGCGAAGTGATGATGAGGAGCTCATTATCCAATACCCTGCGCGTATTCCGCTAAGGGATGTTCGTCAGTGAGGGTGTTATTAGGGTTAGCATTTTGCCTGGCTGAGCTCGGTAATCATGACCTCACCTCTAGGCCAGTTCTCCTTTCATTTTCTCCTTTTTCTTCTTTAGGCTCAGTGTACTCGTACCGTGCAGTCATTAGGTAGTTAGTTACAATGTACGGGGTTCCGTAACCGGCTAGGTAGTCGGATGAGTTTGTGCCAAATTTGTCACCGTCTGAACTCGTTCTTCTTTCTTTTTGCTTCGTGGGATGGCTCATGGGCTTAGCAGGAGGTTGTAAACAACAACGCTAGAGGTTCTAAGAGGACATATTAATTCTTATCATCTTGGCAGCTCGTAAGTAGAATGTGCAAACAAGATAATTAGAGAACCTTTCGTTATGTACGCCGTCTAATGGCTTCTGATATATGACTTGGCATCGATGGGCGGAGGACTCAATAGGTACAAATTATCCCTCCCTACCAGGGCAGTTGGCACTCGATTATTCCAATCTTATACGGATAACACAATGAACCAATTCTGGCTTGTCAATGATATACTTGCATGTGTACACTGGAATCCACCAGGTTATTGACAATGCCGTCACTGCCACCATTTCTGGTTGGAGCGAAAATACTTGTAGTCATGACGAGTATCTTCCATGTTAGGTTCCCCCAGGAAACTCCGTTTGAGAGGCAAATATGACTTGGCCATGCCTTGCGCGCGAATCAAGAGAGCTCGGCGGAAACAAATTAGAAAGGCTCGTGCCGAGGGACAAGAACAATTCAACCGCCCAGGATACTTTCGCGTACCATTGGTGCGCTTGATCCATATTCGCGTAAATGTAACATCGCCGGTGGGATCTGCAACTACTTTCTTCCTTTCCCACGCAAATATTGCGCCAATGATGGTAGTGCAAGGATTACAATGTCGGCTACCCATGGGTTGCGAAGCGGAGGTTCACCGGCACCACCACTCCCCGGGAGTGAGATACAAGTATGATATATAAGTCAGGTCGCCCTTAAGCAAGATCTCCAGCTTATCAGAGCGACGGCATTCTAGCATTAACCAGTTGTGGTTAAGTTTAGCTCGAACAAAGACTCCATTCTGTCCCACCTACCTAGGGAGAGAACCAGAGACCCAACATGGTTCCCGTGACGATGGCGCGTTTAAACCGTCTTCTCCCCTTTTGCACTCTGCTCACCGGCACGGTGTCTGGCGCTGCCGTAGACACAACCCTCCGGCCTCGCGCCACGGAGTTCAACAACCCCGTGCTCTGGGAGGACTATCCTGACTTGGACGTTTTCCGGGTTGGGTCGGTCTTCTACTACTCGTCCTCTACATTCGCCTACTCTCCCGGCGCCCCAGTCCTCAAGTCCTACGATCTGGTGAACTGGACTCCCGTTACGCACTCCGTCCCCACCCTCAACTTTGGGGACCAGTACAACCTCACCGACGGTACGCCCGGCGCCTACGTCAAGGGCATCTGGGCCTCGACTCTCCGCTACCGCGAGTCCAACGACAAGTTCTACTGGTATGGCTGCATCGGCTTCGGCAAGACCTACATCTGGACCAGTTCGGGAACCGGCGCCGGCACCAACGACGGCGAGGTTGACCCGTCCAAGTGGCAATGGGAATCCCACCCACCCATCGACTCGTGCTACTACGACAGCGGCCTGTTCATCGACGACGACGACACCATGTACGTGGCGTACGGCAACCCCAACATCGAAATCGCGCAGCTGTCCGCCGACGGGCTCAGCCAGGTCCGCTCGCAGACGGTCTTCACCCCGCAGAGCGGCACGACCATCGAGGGGGCGCGCATGTACAAGGTCGACGGGGCGTACTACATCCTGGTGACGCGGCCGGCGGACGCCGAGTACGTGCTCAAGTCGACGTCGGGCCCGCTCGGCCCCTACACGCAGCGCACGCTGGTGTCGCGCATCAACGGCCCGCTCGCCAACGCCGGGTTCTCCCACCAGGGCGGCATGGTCGACGCCCCCGACGGCACCTGGTACTATGTCGCCTTCATGGACGCCTACCCCGGCGGCCGCATCCCCGTTGTCGCGCCCCTGGCCTGGACAGATGATGGCTGGCCGGAGCTGGTCACGGACGACCAGGGGAACTGGGGGAAGAGCTACCCCGTGCCGGTGGAGACGAGCAAGACGGTGCCGGATAGCAATGAGTTGGAGGAGTTTAAGGGTTCGGAGCTGAGCCACCACTGGGAGTGGAACCATAACCCGGACACGTCCAAGTGGGCGTTTGCGGAGGGCGACCAGGGCGGGTTGGTGCTGCAGACGGCGACGGTGACGGATGATCTGTTCGGCGCGAGGAACACGCTGACGCGGCGCATTGCCGGGCCCAAGTCGAGCGGCACCTTCAGGTTGGATGTGAGCAAGATGAAGGACGGTGATAGGGCTGGCGCGGTGCTCTTCCGGGACCGGGCTGGGTACATCGGTGTGTGGAAGGAAGGGAATGAGGCACGCATTGTCGTAGTTGACGACCTGCGGTTGACTGAGGGTACTTGGACAACTGCTTCAACGGGCAGAACCGCCGAGACGGGTCCGACCGTGAGCGACACGGCAGATGTTTGGTTTAGGATCGAGGCCGACATCACGCCGGCGTTTGGAACCAACACAGAGAGGACCACGTCGTTCGCCTACAGCGTGGACGGGGGTAACACTTTCGTCAAGCTTGGGCCGGCCCTGAAGATGACCAACGCATGGAATTATTTCACAGGGTACAGGTTCGGTGTCTTCAACTTTGGCACCAAGGACCTTGGAGGAGAGGTTACGGTCAAGAGCTTCCAGATGGAACCCTTGTGAGCACCATAGTTGCAAGTAGGAGAATCGAATCCCGAAATGATACAGCCCACTATGGTTGTGTTGCCAGTGGTTGTTCTGGGTTTGATCGAACCAACTGGATGACTTGGCATATCTATGTGCCGATCTGCCGAGATGCACTGTCTCCAAGGGGTCTGATACGAAGATGGCCACCAAATGGTTGCAAGAGAAGGGGTTGTGTGACTTCCACACTAGTGTTCCGTACTGGCGACATGATTCGTGGGGCAACATCACTTGACGCGGTCAAGGTGGTGCCACCTCCTCACGGCTGACCCATCATGACGAGACTTGAAGAGGGGTCGGCTGCTCGATCGCCACGTTGTGACACCACGGGGAAATGAAGTTGGGGTATATATTGGTTGGCACTCTCCGAGGTGTGTGAGAAAATGAACATGTCTGTCCTATAACCTTTTCCATCGTTGCGGTTGGATCATTTTGAGGACCTCCTCTTACTATTTTGACTTTTCGACTCATTACCACTCATTATTGTTTGTTTAACCTTTCGTCCCCTTTTGATCCTCGATACCTCCTAGAACGGACGTTAACGCCAGTCTCCGATGCAGCAGTTTCAGCATGGCCCCCGACTAACACTGGCCGGCCCGCAGCTTTGAAAGCTAGCAGCAACTGACTTATTATCAGTCCACCGCCCAGGGCGTAAAGCGAAGCCAACGACCTGATCCGGACCGCGAGCGACATGTTGTCCTCCGGTAAGTTTCGGCGTGGTCGCTAACCTGGCTGACAAGTAGGACGCAGTGATGTCCAGAGCCACCCAGCTCTTGGGACGGTAAGTCGCGCAGGCCTGCCCCGGAGTGATTCCCGCCGCCATGGCGTACGGTCCACAACCTGTTCGAGTCCGAGCCCTTGTCGTCCATTCCTAACCCCACCACAACACCCAACGGCCTATATCCTCCTATACCAAGCGGTCCCACTCTCTTGCGCGCGCGCTCTGTCCACCTCACCCATCACAACACCACTTCGAATACCCTCGTGGTCTCCCCAACCTACGGTCGCCCTCACTCAAGGCCCTCGATGATGCTACTAACCGGCACCGAGCCGTCAAAAGGTACGCAGAGGACTCACCCACCGCAGCTGGCCCTCACCACCTCGAGGGTACCGGGACTTAAACCAATTTTCAAGTCTTCCATCTCTGGATGCCATACAAGGTCCGGACACCACCACCGGCTTCGCTTCACATCGTTTTGGTCCCCGCTTCCGTTCGGTTTAGTTCCGCACACGGTTTGACGGCTGGAGGTTTTAAAGCAAGCGTGGAAGGTTGAGTGACGATGGTTTGACGGATATTGGTTCATGGGGGGACGGGTTGATGCAAGGTTGTACGTAAGGAGTGAGCTTGGGCTTCATGTATAGTGATTGGGGGAGTAGAGGTGCATTTAAGGGGTTGGTTTGCGGGTTGATGTTGGCGGTATTGGGACGGCTATGATGCATGTATGCGCTTGGGTTTTGGTTTAAGGAAGGAAGGCGGAAGAGATGAATGGAAGATGATTTGAGGGGGGCAAGTTGTTTGCGGTGTGGTGCCGTGATTGAGTGTTGTGACTGCTGAGAGGATTGAGTGTGTATGGAGCTAACATGATGCAACAAGTTGTTCATGCGCCTTAATATGAGATCTATCAGTCTCCCCCTAATAGCTCTTGAGGATCATAACATCCACACATTGCATACTGTTGCCCAAGTTCATTTTTGCACCCTCATCTCCTACACGCTGATCGTCCTAAACACGCTAAACTCCTCGCCCGTCGCCACCAGCATGCCCGGTATTTGCGGATGCCAATGCACCTCCTTGGCCTGGTTTTGGTAGTGCACAAATAACAGCTGCGGCGGCACATCCTGCACGCCCGCAGTGTCCTTGCTCTCCTCGTCATCCAACTCAACCGCCAGATCCCACAAGGTAACCGTGTTGTCACCCGCCGAGACGGCCACAATACTGTCGTCTGTCGGGTGCCACTCAACGCCCGTGATCTGCTCCTGGTGGAAATTGAAGCTGGCAACCGGGCTCGGCCTCTGCAGCGCCGACGCGGCATTTGCGCCCGCGCTCGGCTTCCACTGCCGCAGGTCCCACACCCCCCACACGCCCGCATCGTCACCCGAGGCTAACAGGTGTGTCGTCTGTCGGGACCACGACATGACGTTTACATCCACGTTGCTAACCTGCATGGAGAGCGCGGGCTTGCGGCCCTTGCTGCGCACGTCCCAGACCCGGATGGTGCCGTCGCTGGACGCGGACGCGAAGACGGACGCCTCGGAGGGGCTCCACTGGATCTCCTCCACGCTGGACGTGTGGCCCTGGAAGGGGCGCGTGTCGGTCACGAAACCGCCGCCGTCGGTCCGTGTTGTGACGTAGATCAGGCCGTCGTTGTCGCCCGTCAGGAGCTTGCCTGCGGGATGGAGTGGCGACCAGTCCACGGCGTACCCCTCCGCCTTGTGGGCGCGGATCGTGCTGAGAGGTTTATTTTGTTGGGGCGTGATAACGGTACCCGGAGTATCGAAGGAGGCAAGATGGGGCGTGATGTCGTGGATCAAGACGTTGGTCGACTCGGTCATTGTCGCGGTGAGGGTTGTCGGCGGTTTCGACGGGTCCTGAGACGGCGTGTGGTGGGCTCGTATCCGGTTCGTAGTGGTATTGAGAGGAATGCTTTTGTGTTCTAGAATTGGGTCCGCGTCCTCGTCTTCGTCCTCCTCGTCGCTGGACTCGTCGCCGTCGGCGCCCTGCATCTTGCTAAGACCGCTGAACTTCATGACCATGATGGAGTTGTCGCCAGCCTTTGTGCTCTCGGCTTGCGTTCCGGAGACGGTATACATGGTCGCGGGATACACACTGCGGTTGTCGCCCAGACCGTCGCGTATGATGTCAAAGGAGAGGCATGGCCACGGGGTGCTGAGGTTGTGCAACATCCGGTATGTTGTCGGATCGGGGGAGAGGGTCTGGCCGGGCTCGAGTTTTGTTCTACCAACGATAAAGGTCCCGGGAGCAGCGGAGTCGACGTCCATTGCCTCTTCGGCCTCTCGCTCAGCATCTGGCCTCCCATCGACGCCGGCCTCGATGATCTCGTCCTCGCTCTCGAATTCATCCTCGAATTCGTCCTCGAATTCCCCCATCTCGGCGGGCTTGTCGTCGACATCCATAGCGTCGGGGCGCCCGCCGGCCTTGAGAGGGCCGGTGGTCTCTTCATCGGCAGTGCGCTTTGCCATTGTATTGTGTTTCTGACCCGTCAAGGTTGCGCCGATGGCTCTGTCGCCGATTTGGTCGCAAATTCGCGTCAAAATCTGTGGACTGGGAACTTTTTCGGTGGGGTCGTCTTATCACCCCTCACCTGTGGGGCTGTTAGAGCTTATCGCTCATCCAGGGGCCACGCCGAGCACACGCAAGCCCAAACTCGCATCCCTAACCCTAAGACAATTTGCGTTATGCACAGCAAGAGCCAGCGAAGAAAAAGAACCTCAAGTCATCGACTCCTCGCAAAGATTTGTAAAGCCGCTATCTCCAAGCGTAACTTATTATAAACCTAATCCAATGCGGTAGCTTATCTCGATTAATACTGCTCCAGATGATCGGGAACAATCCCACCCTTTTACCTCACCACAAAGTGACGACTTCTGATTGCTGGGCAAAAATGGTGACATGACGCCTGCGATTCGGAAGCCTCCGCAAGGCTAAACAGCGATCTGCATTGAATCCTCACAACTCAACCCATCACAAAAACCAGGCTGTTAATCGCCTCGCCCGCCCTCGAAGGTGTACAACAAACAACCAACCTGGCATGAGCCACCAACCCCGCCGTTATTGCCTGGACAAAAAGAAGAACCGTCAGCATCGTGCCAATTTTCGAAGCACAATCAGTAAAGACAGAGCCACTTACACTTCGTATAATCCTCTCTGACAAGAACGTAAGCAGTTAGGCTCTGCGACGTCCCCAATGGGTAACGGAAGCTCTGCTTCTCGACCGTGGTGACACAGCCACCAACCCACTCGACGCTATAATCATAGTTCACCCCGTTGTTATCTTTGCCTCGCGACTTAATCGGCGCGTCGCCCGGCCTGATGGTGCCGTCGTTGAGGTCGCCAAAGTAGAGCGCGAAGCTGTCCTGGTAGTCGGAGTTAATCTCACCGCGGTCCGGGAAGTCGGCCCCGTTGAAGCAGCGGATGGGGTCGCGCGTCAGCGGCCTCACGCTTGGGCCGGGGTTGGCAGAGGTAGTGACGGGAGTGACGGAAGCGGGATGCGAGGTACTGTAGGGGTCTGTGGTCGCCGTGACGCTGTGCATCGTGGTGTGCGTCGCGGTGCTTTCAGCCGTGGAGCTGGACTGGTCGGGCTCCCCCGAAACTCCCCCGCCGATCCTTGGCCTCTCGTTACAGGACCCGGGAGGGCAGTAACCCCTTGGGCAGGCGAAATCGCACAGCCCGTAGTCATTGGGCGCCGAATCTACGGGAAAGCCCACCGTGTCCCTAATCACTGGCGGTGGAGCGTTGAGAGCTCCGGTTAGGTCGCAAGTGCAAATATTTGACGGGCAGTAACCAAAGTTGCACCCGTAGGAGCACAACCCTTCGAAAGGGCCACCTGCCGAACCGTGTCCTTTAGTACAAGTCGGTGGGAGGAAAGGGGAGACCGTCTCGACAACCAAGGGAACCTCCACTGTGCCACAGGCGGAGGGTGGGCAATATCCGAGGTTGCAGTTAAAGGAGCACAAGCCCCAGTAATTTGCGCTTTTACCAGGGGCTGGGTATCCCACAACGCCGGTGTACGGTGGTTTCGTTTTCTGTATGCCCATAGCCTGGCAGAGACAGGCGCCGATAGGGCAGTACCCGAGTGAACAGGCATACGAACAAAGTCCGGCGAAGTCTCCGGCGCCCGTGCCGCGGATGCACACTTTGTTATCGGTAGAGGGCTTCGTAGAGATACTGCCTTCCGACAAGGCGTGACCGACCCAGGCGTTCCAATTCACCAGCGTGCAGCTGGAGGTGATGGACTCCCCGGATGACGTTGCAAAGACAGTACCTCCACGGGAAAGCGAGACTGTCACTGGTCCGGTACGGTCGTTAAAAGGGACATTTCCGTGGTAAAGGCCGGCGCCTCCGTCAGGTGTGTCCCTCCACTTCCCGGTGGTGGCCCGACCCCCGATATTCACAGTAACGGTTGCGTCGGAGCCGAGCAATGCCGTATAGAAGACGGCATCGCCCATGACCTGTGCCGGCGGGAACTCCAGCTGCAGCTGAGAAGCAGTGTTGCCGGTTGTCTGCCCGCTACCTACATACATCCCCTATCAGCATCTAGTGCGTCTCCCCTCTTTTTGCGGTATAGGACCTTGCTTACCACAGGCGGACGCGGGATTAGGCCGATACCAGAAGGTAATCCCCTCCTTGGTAATCTCTGTCGTATTCTTGACGTACATGTCGATCGAGAACGGAAGGAAAGCGCGCCATGAATCGTGCGGCATACCGGTTACGAAGTCAAAGGGTGCGCTCGACAGGGCACCCAGGGCATCGTTCCGTATGGGTCCGATGTAATGCGACTCGCCATAGTCGTTCCAACTTATGATTTGCACCCATTCCGGTTGCACGTACAGGACCTCTTGCCACCGGTCAAACCACAGATTGTCGCCCCTTGTTCAACGAAGTCAGTTCCGGCCCGTCATTAGTACACAACGGACGAATGAAGAATAACATACCGCCATAGCCAGTTCTTTTCCCACCGAGGTAGATTGGTGTAGAACCACGGCGACACTGGCATCATGTACGGTTTCCCGTTCAGGTACTGGAGGTAGGAAGCGTCGATATAAGTGTCCATATCTTGGGGGCCCCACGGCCAGGCCGCCCAACTGAACAACCCATCCGCCACACCGTCGGATATTTCAATGGCTGCCTTGGCGCCCAGCGAGGACCAGTCCGGGACCAAGAAGCAGCCGGTAACCTCTTTAATATCGTGCCAGTCGTCCGCATTCTCCCAACCTTCAAACGTTGAGACGAAGGGGCGGCCACTATAATGGTAGTAAGAGCTTCTGTCCATGTAGGCTCCAATGGTAGACATGACCAGTGCCTTCTCCCAGGGTCCTCTGCCGGCGTAGTCAAAAGAAAAGAACAGTTCAAAGTCTTTCCTCTCGGCCGCCACAAAGGCCCTGGCGATCGAGACACTGTCAATGCCTTCCTTGTACGCCATGTTCAGCGCAAAAGCTGTCATGTGAGCATCCTGGGCCTTTTGTATGTCATCTTCCCAGTCTTCGACAGTGTAGTTCGCAGCGTTGGACACCTGAGAGGTTTTATTAGACTGGAGCCGGTTATTGTAACTCTCGGTGGTGTTAATAACTTGCCATGAAATGTGCAAACACGGCCTTTGCAAGGACATGTCGGGCACCTCCCAGCACCATCAGTGCCAAGGGTAAGAGCCGGACGAGAAACATTGTGAGTAACCAGGGCCGCAGGTGTAATGGAACTCAACATGGCCATCTTGCTAAGATCCTAATAAAGGTCGAGACGCGGGTTTATACCCAATCCCAATGGAACACCACAGGGACCAGCTCCGCCTCAGGGATTGTTGCCCCCCACATCAAGGCAGCGCGAACCGCCCTGAGGGTAGGCTTCACAGGGATAACTACTTGGCTGAACGAACGGACAGGCCCTCGCAGGAACCTTGGGGGCCAAATTGCTGAACTAGCACCGCAGACTATTGAAGACGGCAAGGCAACTGCTGCAACGGGCCGCCCCACTTAGAGTTCTGCTCAAATCGGACTTCTCTCCGGCCAGCTGTGCCGCTGTTCTCGACGTCTGGTGGAGAAAGGCCATGGGGTCTTTGAACAGCATGCCATCAAGCCTTGGGCGACGCTCCGCATGACCATGCGAGAATACTCGTCATCAGGTCATATCCATTATGCGCTGCCGCTAGCATCGTGGTAAGCGCTTGACTTTAGTCGGAGTCGTTCCGCAGACCGTTACCTCATGTACTGAGGTGACAGTGTCCCCTGTTTGACCGGCCGAAAGCTTCTTCACGAGGTCGTTGGCCCCGCTGAAAAACGAAAATGCAGCGTCCTCAAACTAACTATCATTTCCTTTCCGGTGCTTCCTGACACTCTCTCGAGGGCCCACCCGATATGCCAGGTGTCGCGGGTGTTCGACGGAAGCCGCTACAGCTGCTTCCGCTTCAGCGCTTCTCTTTGTCTCGAGAGCTGGGGTAGCCCGAGTGCCAGTACAAAACCCAGAGACCAGATTTGCCGGTGTTATACTGGGCGTTTGTCACTGCCATTTGTATACAGAGATACCAACAATGCGCCTTCGGCTAACTTCTACCCATGACAGCGCGATGGTGTCCGGCCAGCCATTCGGAGACTGGAGATGGGTGCCACTGGCGCTGGCGAGACCATGAGATCGTTCTACCAGTGGCTATCTTAGATGGGAACGCGGGGAAGTGGCTGCGGTTCGGTCACGAGGACCGCATCAGCATATTCTGTGGATTATCTACTGACCCCTTACCGTTACGAGAGGGTGTTGTACGAGTATACCGACTTTTCAAAAAGGAGACACTAAATTAAATCTAGGAATAGGTTGCTTGGACCTGAATGCATGTCGACGGCCTCAGCACTCAAGCAACCAGCACTGAGCAGAGTGCCAGATAGTAGGGTGGGGAGGGATGTACCGATGTAATCATACACGAGCTCGGTACCTACCTAGGTATGTCCATCCTTACCGTGTTACACTTTTGGGCGCCCGCCAATGTGCAAGTGGGAAGGTGGCTGGCGAACCCGAGCAAAGCCCTAACCCGCAATAAGACCCGGAACTGTAAATCGCACCAAGGGAAGTAACGAGTGCGAGGGACTATCCGTATCCATTTTTTGGTCGCAAGTCGCGTTGGGCCATTGGTCGGAACCGGAAGGGAGGGACGTGTCGAGGAAGGCACCTCTCGACAGCGCAAGCTGCCCCTAATAATTGAATAATTGGGCATCCATTTTCCCTCGTAAACTTCATTCTTTAAAGTCCCTTCCCCCTTTCAACCCCCCATTCTAAGGTAGCTCGACAATGCCTCCTTCACCGCTCAGACTTGAGAATATACCCGTGGAGATTTTGACTCGCGTTTGCCAATATGTCGGACTTCTGCACCGCCCCAGCCTCTTATCTTTCGCACTTGCAAACAAGCGTTGCCATTCCCTTGCAAAGAAGTTCTTCTTCCACACCATCCAATTCTCAACCGGCTTCTTGCGCCAGTTCGAATTGGACGTCGGCGAATGTATCCGCATTCTAGACAGAAATGAGGCATTCTCCGACGTCCGCATTCTGCTCATTACAGACCGCAGCCAACGCAACTGGAGGCTTGACCGCGCTCTTGTATCGGCCCACAGTGGCACCGGATCTTGGTCCTTTGGCCTGCCGCTGAGCGTATCCGAGATGGTCGATGCCGACAAGGACAGGCTACAAGGCCTTGAGCGCCGCTCTAGCCTCGTTCTGGCCGAGACCCAGAAAAAGTCCCCCGATATCACCAGTCTGACGCACACGGCCTGGCAGCAGTTGGCCCGCCTTCTGCAAATGTTGCAGGGTCTCGGGGACTTGTTGTACGCGGGCGAATCCCAGGTGCCGCCCTGCCTTCTCCAGGCACTCCTCCAATTTCGGCCGCGCTGCCGACTCCACGTCTTCACTTTCACCCTGCGCAGCCTACTGCTTCCCGAAACCGACCCTAACGAGCTGGCTCTTGTGACAGCGCCGTGCCTCTATAGCATTTGGATGTGGTACCGAGAGACGCAGGGCTACGACGACGACGGTCTGCCATCGTACGAGGCCGAGGCCGTATATAGCATGGTGACGGGTCTGGCACCAAACCTGAAAGAAGCACACTTGTTCCGGGAAGTTGGGCACACCATCGGCTATGGCGAGGAACCGGAGCCTCCCTGTCCGCCATGGAAGGGCTTCACCAATGTTGGCCAAGACTTCACCCGCATCCCGGCGCGGCTCGAATCTCTCACGCTAGGACTCAACCACTGCCTGCCCTTTTCTCGTTTTCTCCTGGATAAGGACGTTGTGGACGGCTGGATAACAAAGACGAATCTGTCCTCCCTCCGCGCCCTGAGGATAAGCCGCCTCGTCAGCCATGGGGCGCTCGAGAGTCTCATAGGAGCTAACAGCTTCCCGTGTTTGACAACGCTGTTGTTCACTTGCGCAGGACAACAAGACCATGCGTACTACGACGGCATTAAACAGTTCATACACGGTCTACCCCAACTCACCAGCCTAGAGATCATCGCGTGGCCACCCGATGAGTCTCTAAGCGCGGCTTTACCCCACGGTCTACGGGAGCTGTGGCTGCGAACACAGGACGTGCTGGGCCAGGGTTTGGACCAAGCAGCCATCCTTGAACTTGCGACCTGTTGCCCACGCATCGAAACGTTGGCCCTCAAAATCCGCAGGTCTCGAGGCAGCGCCGCCGAGGTTGCTCTATACCGAGCTCTCGGCCGCTTCGCGAACTCCCGCCGCCTCGTCCTCACCCTCGACGCGTCCCCTGCCCCGTGGTTTCCAGCCACGACCCCCCACGAAGAACGATCGGACGACTTTAACACGGGGGCTGTGACCTTCGACACTGCCGTCGACCCGTCCTTCGACGACTCCGACAAGGAGTATTTGGACGACGACCTGTTTCCGTACCGCCGCGGCCACATCCGCGACGTCTTCATCAACACGGCCGTCGACGAGACGCTCGCGCGGGCCATCTTCGACACGGTTTGCGCCGCCAAGGCCAGCGCCCACGGCCACGGCGCGGCCCTCGCCCTGGAGCGCGTGATGATTCAGGCCGAAGGAGGCCGGTCCTTCCCACACCGGGGCGGCATGATGCCAACGGCCTTTAACTTGATTCCTTATATGCAGGCTCTCGGTCGTTGCTGGCTGCTGGAACGAGACATGCGCGATGATGCCCGCCATGTGGTCCACGCGCGGGAAATCCACGGGGAACTGCGCCTCCGGATGCTGCGTCCGTATCGGGATGATGACGATGGTAGTTATGAAGATGAGAGTGTCTGCATGTCCATTTTCCGGCGGATCTGGCCTAAGAGGCCGGGCGGGGAGGCTCAGTGGTACAATGATTGGCACAGCTGGCCCCTGTCTGAGACAGCGTAGGGTTGCCAGGCAAGAAAACGGAAACCGACTGTGTCCGATGGGCCACGGTTGGTGGTGCTAGCTGTGAATGTGACCAATGGACTGCTCCATGGTTCCATTGTAAACTGTGTCATATTTAGGTACTGATACATAAACTGCCCCCCACATAAAAGCCCCAATTGTCAAGACATGGTCCACCCGGACAATACCAACCAACATCTCTACAAGCCCCGGATATCTCAAATCCCACCCCGTAGCCGGTAGTGCCCGGATTCGTTTCTCTCAGGCAGAGGATGTAGGGATAGCGTTGGAACTTGAAGTCCGAGTGCCGCCGGCAGTCACGGTCACAGTGATGTATGAATCGCAGAGTCCGTACTCGGATTGGCAACCGAGGTCGTCACGGCATTCATCGCTGGTCCAGCTGCAGAAACCGGCGGCTGAGCAGCAGTTGCCAAAGTAGAGGAGTGTGTCGGTGCACTTGTACTTGTTGGTGTAGCCACAAGTACCGTCAGGGCTGGGAAGATAAGGGGTGGGTGGTCCTGATGTTGGCGTGCTAAGGGGAGGACCGGTCTCGGTGATGGTGCTGCTCACGTCACCTCCTCCTGCGCAGGCTCCGGACTGGCAGTTTCCCGCTCCGCACTCGGCGCTCGTGCTTCCGCAGCTATGAAGTGAGGCCAAGGAGTTAGAAGTTAGAGCAGTCGAGACCTGACCTGGGTGGTTCGATTGGGAGGGAGGGGGTTGGGGTACGTTATTTGGGTACCGAGGTAAGGTACTGAGGAAGTCACTTACACACCGTCGTTGGAACAACAGTTTCCCCACGATCCACCGCACTCTAAGCCGTAAAACTGAGCGCCACAACGTCCATCAAACGTATACCCTGCCTCCTCACAATCACCAAATTGACAGTTTCCGATGCCACAATAGGCTGCGGTTGACCCACAACGGCCCTCGGAGCCACAACACTGCCCAAACTCTGATCCGACGCAGGTGATGGGGATTCCCGTCACATTTAAGCCGCAGGAACCATCCGTTGAGATTATATGGCTGTAAACTGCCATGTGTCAGTGGCACTTGCACATACAGAGAGCCATGTCGAACAGAAACAAAGCAGTGACTTACCAGCCGAGATGCAGTACGTTGCCCCAGGAACGAACCTGTAACAATCGGTGTCGACGGAGGGGTTCAAGTCATAGAAGTCGGACAGCTCAAGCCTGTAGCGGTCGATAAAGTGGCGACATGAGTCCCATGGGTTAGATTGAATCCACAATGTGCAGCTCTCCGGATCAAAAGGTCTGGCCCCGACCTTAGAAATCGCCGTGGCGTCGAGGTGGGCTTTGCTCGTGAGCATGCGGTGGTCAAGGCGGTAGCCATCCGTGAGGCGCAGAAGGGGAACCAGGCTCACGGCCATGAAAGCCAAAGATTTTCGGACCGCCATCTTTCGATTTGAAGAGTATGCCCGCTTCAAAAAAGGACAATACCAAGTCGGGGGATTGCCCAAACGACAGTCAGGGGAGGGTACCCTATCTTTCCTGGGGTTATGATACTACATGTTCCTCGGGGGTCGTCGGCTTTCTCTCGCGCTGGGAAGCGATATAGGCAGGTTAGATTCACTGGTCGGGGTGTAGCAAGGCTCCTGTCGTCCTGCGTCGCACCCCCGCCCAACTGTCCGGTACAAACGGGTACCTGCATGCATTCTCCCCGTGCCGTCATCCCTTCACGCACCAGTGCCTGCGGCATGCGGGTCAACCCCTCCTCTCCATCATATAAGGTGTGTTGGTCCTCTTCATCCTCGGTCGCTACCTACTCGTTCCATCATCCGCCACATTATCCATCCAACGACCCATCGCTATCCCACCCAAGGTTGCAGCCCTCCCGCAATGAAACCAATATTTCACGCACCGGAAATTATCATTCTCGTTTTCCAGTCCTCGAGCGCGGTTGGGGATGGGCTCTCGCTGGCGTCCACATGCAAGTTCCTTGCCTCTGTCTGGCGCATGCATACGGCAGCAATTCTCTACCGTCTCCTGGAGGCCAAGACACCCGCCTTCAACCAAGCACTGTTAGCGGTAAGTCGGACGTCGTCATCAGGCAAATATTCAGTGCCACTAACTGACATGACAGGTCCGAGCGACCAACTTGGTCTGCGATGCTTGCCGGGCCAATAAATCGCCCCCTCGTCCGTTCCCCCTGCATGAGTTAGGAGTCCAGGTCCGGAAGCCGGACATTGGCGAGCTCAAGCAGGTCCAAGACCTGCAGCATCTTGCCCGCTGCGTGGAGCACATGCATTTCCGCGGGAACCACCATGACCAGATGCACCGGTTGGATGACTATGACCTACCGGAAGAAGAGGGTATCCGTCTGGTTTATCGTTTCCACTGCGCCATGTACAGGGTTCTCTTCGCAGGCGCAGTCCTTGCACAGGCATATCTCGAGCCCTTATTCTTAGCTCCCTGCCAAGCACCCCCACGCCTCCTCCATCGCTTGACCACTCTGCGTGTGGACGAGGAGCAGGACCTCGACGGGCTCACCCAACAGGACATTGAGTACCTGGAGCGGTTTCCCGTTTACAACCTCGAAGCTGGCCAGGAAAGGTGGGAGCCAGCGTTCGGCGCCTTGGCGACTTGGCTCCTTGACGACATGGAGAGTACGTTCACAAAGGTTGAGCCGCCAAGGTCTTCCATCAGGTTCCAGGGTATGCGCGCGGAGGAACTGGGCCGCTTGCAAGAAGTCACTTTCTTCCTTGCTGCGTATCACCTCATAACGGACAAGCTGTTCAATAAAGACCGTTGCAACCCTGACGCCGACGATCTCGACATGGTGCCGCCCCCGTTCCCGGGCCGTGTGCGAAAGGTGCCAGTCGTGATGTTTGGAATCTTCCGGCCGGAGGAGGTATCCATGCCTGAGAGTGTTGAGGACTCATCAAGTTGTTACCTCGTCAACGAGCCTCTCATGCCAAAGGAACAGGAGACGCTGACGCCTGTAAACCAGGATAGGCAGGCTCTGGATTGCCCGTCTCCGTGGGCTGCCGATGTGTGGTGGGCGTTGGACATCCTGCATAGACAGTCCGGCCGTCCTAATCTACGGAATGGACGTCCCTCCCCAACCCCTCCTCTCCGGTTTATCGAGTTCATCTTGGCACAATTCTTTAATCAAAGGTTCCAAGACGGCCTGTTTGATGAGGAGTCACCGCATGATCACATGCAGGACTACCAACTTGGGTTTTTGAGCGACCCCGGTTTATTTCGGGACGGCTCTATCACGTTTACTACGTGGCTTTTTGCCCGGGACCAGGCCCAGAGCCTGGGTTACCGCCGGTTGTGGTAGTGACTTATTCCGCTCGGCTGGCTTACATGGTACTACCACACAGATGGCCTGGGTTCAATGTTATCATATCAAAGGTTCTCTCGACTGGACCGGGTTGCATGTAACGCCACGCAGGCCAACCCACATATGCGACCTCAAAACGCATGAGCCGTGTCATCCCGGTAGATCTCTATAGGTGCCTATGGAAAGTGTTACCAGATTCGTTCCAGCAAGCCAATGGTTCTCCCGCTTGTATGCACATGTGCCATGCGCGCTTTAATATCAAATAGGACCCTTCAATGACTGCACAAAGACTCCGTCGCCGAACTAGCTGTCCGATATTGGGTCATTGCTGAGACCGAGAGGGAGCCCGTCATGTCACTCCTTTCCCGGATTCTGTCTGTGGTTCTGGCCGTCAACGCCGTCCATTCGGCCTCCGACTGGCCTGGGCCGCGACAAGTTAGCACCGACGTTGACGGGAACGAGTATATCGATGCTGCCACTGTCGAGGGAGGTGAGAATATTCGGTATTATGGTATGTCCTCGTTCTGTCCTACCTCAGACCCAGCTCGAGCTCTGATGTGATCGAGATATACAGTTGCGAACTTTGCTGAGATGACCCCGACGGTTTTCTATAACTGCAAGTGGATGCCCACCCTGTGCCAGAACGCTGCTGCTTATCTGGGAGCTGGCAATAACGGACCGGTTGAGCTACACTACGACAGGAACGCAGGCCGGCGCAAAGAGCGTCGGCGCCACGCCTGCCCCGATCGCTGGGCCAATGTTCACTGTCTAAACCTCGTCGGACTACCAAACTGGTACACGACCAATGACAATGGTGCTAGGGACTACCCTGTAATGCAGAAATGCGACAAAGAGCCCAAGCGATATCACTACGAGAAGGTGAACGACTTCGACAAGGACGGCAACCCCAAAGTGGCCGCGACCGGTGTCATCGCGTCCTGCGACGAGTTTCCTGCGGCTTCATGGGTACAAGGTGGCTCCGGAGCTCAGACTATATGTGCACCGAACGGTAAAAAGAAAAATGGGGGTGTAAAGGCATGGATGACGGAACAGAACTGGCAGGGAAATATGTTTGGCAACCTCCCCGTAGGTGTTGCCACCTCCTTCTCATGACCCTCAGCGCCGCCATCAATGCTAACGCCTTGATTCGAACCTATAGGCCTGGTTCAGCAGGTTCACACCGAAAGACCGCCTGGGGGCTGAGGACGCCGACCGCATGTATTCGATTTTCAAGTTCAACTTCCAGATGGTTAACCAACCTTCGAACGTTGACATAACTTGGATCACGGCCAACGGCGTGAAGCGCTACTGCACGGGGATCCGCCCGACCAGCTGTAGTGCGACCCTTCGTCCAGGCGAACAGGATATCGTCGATGAAATCAACGAAGCAATTCTGCAGCTGGAGGAAGACGTGAACACAGCATCCCAGGCAAGGATTGCCAATAACACCGTGGCTCGCCATGGCAATGCAAAGCACCAGGAAAAGGCAGACGTGGGCAGTTTGGGAATGGTCATGGCGAGCTAGAGGCGAGTTCCGAGTTCACATACCTACCTCATCCATATTTCTTACTTTCCGATGTGTACCATAGTGGGATAATGAAGAGAGCCGTAGGCCTTACAAGCCTTACACAAGGCCTGTTAGGCTTACCAAGCAAATAAGCCTTACAGACTCAGTAAGCCTTGCAGCCACCCTACCAGATTCAGGGGCTCCGATTTGGCAAGCCGGTAACAACACCCTGGAAGATAGGCTATTAAAACAATACTGGCCTAGAAAAATGGTAGCGAGACCTGAACGCACTAGCGATAGCAACGACAGTGGTAACAGACAGGGCCAGGCTATTTCTATGGCCAGCGCCATTACCAGTGCCAGCCATTGCCATTGGTATTGCCATTGCCATTGCCGTGGCATCGCCAGTGCCGTGGCCAGAGGCATCGCCAGTGCCTTGTATTGCCAAGTGCTTCCCGCCCTGCGACTTCCTCGTAGAGCCCCGTTCCTATATAACGGTACAACCTCCTTCCTCGATTGAATAGCTTCTCTTGCCGTAGTTCAATTGTAAATACTCTCCTCCCTTTTTCGTGATATCCCATGTTCAATTCCAAGCCGTGACATCTTTCTTTAATTGCAGTGTTCAATGAAATGACAGTCTGGTTCAGAAGGTTAGGACAACAGGTCCTTCAGAAGGTCGGTAGCAATGGTTGTTTTTTTAGAGCCTTTTATAGTGGGCTGTAAGGCTTACTCAATCTGTAAGGCTTATTTTATCTGTAAGGCTTACAAAACAATTTGTCAAAACTTTCTTTGTAAGCCTTACAGGAACTGTAAGCCTAACAGCCCCCTATAGATTCCCGCTGCGGTACCTACCTACTTTGTTCCACCACCCAAGACCAGAAAGCGATATCTTGGCCATTCAGTAGACGTCACTCCACTTTACAAAGAAACACATTGTGGTTTTTAACACTACATGCAACTTGTATGTGCACATCCATGAGTAGCCGCGTGTAAGTCGTAATTGGGTTTTGGGGGAGGCACAACAATAGCGTATTCGATCCATGCGTTCTCCTCTCTGTCTCTTTTCGTCACACATAAAGGCCTACAAATCCCTCGCAGCAGCGCGGCGTGAGGAAACGCAGCCGATGCAAAGGTACTGCGTACCTAGGTATCCAACCTTTTGCAATTTCCCGGATGCAGGGACAACTGCAGAGAGGAGCCGAAGGGCGTATCCCGGCACGCTTATCCGCGGTATGCCACCCACGCCAGAACCAACCACCCGTCCTGCGACCTGTGGTGATTGTTGTGTCCTCGGCTCATTTGTCACGGAATCTCGGCCGGAATCAACTTGGTTGAACTCCGAAAGCTGCCCCCCTGATTCAGCGAGCCAAACTTTGCGCTATTTGCACACCCTTCTCGGTCCCGGCACGACCAGCCGGGTACTTGGGAGTACCAAAAAGGTCAACTCTGGTGTTAACACGGGGGGAAAAGGGGGGGGGGGGGGGGGGGTTGCAAGGCCTAGCCGGAATTGACGGATTGGCAACAGTTGAGCTTTGCGCGGGAGTGCCTTGATGTCTCCCAACTTTGTTTTCTTAAGACGACATCTTTCGAGGGCGATAATGTACCTACCCAATGCCAATATTTTCTGTTATCTCTCATCAGTCATACACCCAGCCTTTACGTTGCAAAGCCGCCCTTCCTTGTGGTCAAGAACCTTTAGGCGAACATCCACGCTTTTGATTCCATCTGACCTTCCATAACCACAATGGTTCTGAAAGGACCTAAGACCGGGCTTGGTGTCTACCAGATAATACCTGTCCTCACACTCGTTTTTGTTATCGCAGTAGCCATCTCGCAAGCAAGTTACCATGACGAAAACCGCCATGCTTCCTGGCATGCCCACTATCCGCCTGGGAATCGTTGGAAACGCCAGACCAGCCCCAACGTGACCTTTTCGGTGGATGACAATAACTCGACCGAAGCCAAGCGGATCGTGAAGGCGGCCCAAGCCGAAGCCGCAAAGCGCAACAAGTACCTCGTGGAGCATGTCCGTCGAAACCACTACACTTTTACGGCTAGCGCTAAAATCAGTTCCGCTGGGGGTGAGGTCAATGACACCCTTGCTACAGGATTCAACAACACTGTCACGGCGGCCGCGGCTGTCGTCGCCCAGAGCTTGTCGTCAGGCAACAAGACAACCACCGCCATCTTTGACAAGAGACAGGCCAGCTCATACTGGATGGCCAACATGGTCCAGAACGGTGTGTCGCCGTTTGCTCCGTCCGGCTACCGGGTCTGGCGAAACGTTAAGGACTTTGGTGCTGTCGGGGATGGCGTCACCGACGATACGGCTGCCATAAACCTCGCCATTTCTTCCGGTGGCCGCTGCGGGCTTGGGTGTGGCAGTACTTCGACCTTGTTTGCCGTCGTGTACTTCCCACCAGGGACGTATCTTGTCAGCAGCTCCATTATACAGTATTACATGACACAGCTCGTTGGCGATGCTGTCAACCGTCCTACCATCAAGGCATCGCCTGCTTTCGTAGGCCTGGGTATGATCTCCTCGGACGTGTATATTGAAGGCGGTGACGGTGCTGAATGGTATATAAACCAGGTCAGTCTCTCTCCCCTTTCGTAATTTCCGTATTCTTTTATTGACGGACAAGGGATAGAGCAACTTCTTCCGGCAGGTGCGCAACTTCGTCCTCGACATCACAACTGCGCCCTTACAAGCATACGTTGCTGCTATTCACTGGCAGATCGCGCAGGCCACCTCCCTGGAGAACATCAAATTCGTCATGTCCTCCTCGCCGGGCAACAACCAGCAGGGCATCTTCATGGAGAACGGCAGTGGTGGGCTTCTGAATGACCTCGAATTCGAAGGTGGTGCCCTCGGTGCATACCTCGGCAACCAGCAATTCACGGTGCGCAACCTCAAGTTCCGCGACCAGCTCGAGCGAGCCGTCGAAATCCATTGGGACTGGGGTTGGACCTGGAAGGGTGTGGATATTGCCAATGGTCCCATCGGCGTCATCATGTTGACTCCCGGAGTTCCCACCGAGGTTGGCTCGGCCATCTTCATCGACAGCGCCATGTCAAACGTGGCCCTCGGTTTTAAGGTCCAGCCGCCCATGGACGGCGCCAAGGTTTCCCTTAGTTTGTTTAGTCTCAGCCTCTCAAACGTACCGACTGTCGTCCAATACGATGGCGGTGCTACGCTCCTCACCGGGACATCTGGATCAACTACGATCGCTGCTTGGGGGCTGGGCAAGCGTTACGACACGACAGCGGGCGAGGATTCTGGGGTGTGGCAAGACGGCACGGCCTTCCCTCGAGCGCCGATCATCTCGTCGGGTTTGCTGAAAGACCCTGGCCTCCAGACATCTGGCTTCTTCGAGCGCTCCAAGCCGCAGTACGAGAGCTTGCCGGCATCGGCATTTGTCAACCTCAAGTCCGTCTTTGGCGCGGTGGGTAATGGCGTGGCGGACGATACATCGGCACTCAACACTGCCTTTGCCTCGGCCGCGTCCTCGGGTCTGATCCTGTGGATCCCGGCGGGTGTGTACATCGTGACAGACACCGTCCTTATACCGCCGGGGGTGAAGGTGGTTGGGCAGGTGTGGTCACAGATTATGGGGTCCGGCGGCTTGTTTTCCCATGCTGATGAGCCACGGCCAGTGGTCAAGGTGGGTAAACCGGGCGATGTTGGCAGCGTCGAAATTCAAGATTTGTTGTTCACCGTGCGCGGTGCAACAGCCGGGGCGGTTGTTCTACAATGGAATATTCGCGCGTCGTCTCCAGGGTCCGCCGCAATGTGGGGTGAGTCCCTCTGGAGCCAATGTGGGAAATGGCTGATAACCAATGCTAACTTGGTATCCCAATGCCATAGATGCGCACGTCCGGGTTGGGGGGGCTGCAGGGTCGGATCTGCAGGTCGGAGACTGCCCGAAGCTAACTGGCAGCGTGAACCCGAAGTGCGTCTCAGCATCGATGCTTGTCCATATCACCAAGGAGGCCTCGGCGTACTTTGAGAATACCTGGTTTTGGGTTGCCGACCATGTACGTATTATGCTGAGATGCTTGACGGCCAAGCCAGCCTGGGATGCTTACATCGGTATCAGGACCTCGATATTCCTGCTCAAACCCAGATTGATGTATATGTCGCCCGAGGTCAGTGTCCAATAACAGGTGCTTGGAGGCCAGACAATGTTTCTGATACTTCCCCAGGCTTCCTCATAGAAAGTACTCACCCTACATGGCTCTACGCCACCGCGAGTGAGCACTGTGTGCTGTATCAGTACCAAACCCTCAATGCCGCCAACGTTTTCATGGGCATGATCCAAACCGAAGCGCCATACTACCAAGTGGCGCCTCGTGCCCCTGCACCGTTCACCCCTGGAACCTTTGCGGCTGATCCAACTTTTGATTATTGTGACCCGGCGTCAACCAAATGTGCCGTCTCCTGGGGAGTTCGCTTCATCAATAGCGAAAGCATCTATCTATATGGCGCCGGCCTATACTCATGGTTTTCCGAATACAGTCAAGTCTGCGTCGCTCTGGAGAACTGCCAGGACCGAATCTTTGAGATCGACGGCACTAGTGACGTATGGATCTACAGTCTCATCACGAAAGCGTCCATCGAGATGGTCAGCCCTTACGAGGGCACCGCAGTCCTTGCTGCGGACAACAAGATCGGTTACTGCAGCATCGTCATGGCATGGCTGGGAGGTTCCGACACGAGCGAGGCCGGAGGAAAGAAGGGTGTGTCATACAAATCACCCATTTTGGCGACTGTAATTTCCTTCCCGGCTACGACGGTGCCCAAGTCTCAAACATTCACTCTGGGCGGTGCCGTATCCACTGATGTTGCCCAAACCCCCAATGGCGGGCATCAGAACACACCGGACGGCCCCAATGAGGACAGGTGTCTGAGGTGCGACCTAATGCGCCTCATTACATCCACCTGCTGTGGAGTTGGGGGAAGCATCGGAAACCCCGTCACGATTCAGCCGGGCGCCAGCATTCCCAGGCCCTTGATCCTACCACAAGGCTTTGCCCCCAACCAGCCAGTGACAGATGCGAACACGGGTATCACATACCCAGCAGGACAACCCCTAGAGGACGAGGTGACAATTGACGGGGGGACCACCTTCCCCTTCCCCTTTTCCATACCCGCGGGGCAGCCGTTTAGTGATACCTTTACGCCCGACGAGTTCAAAGACGACGACGACGACGACGAAGACAACAACATTCTGTATATCACCAGCGACTTTTGGGACCAACCGCATACCGTTTTCTGCCACTATCCCTGTACGCTGATCTTCCCGCCATGGACCATAACGACAACCTTCACCCCTCCTCCATTTACAACCACCGTCAGCGGGACCGTGTTTTCCACCACACCGCCCCCTCAGACCACCGAAAAGCTCAAGATCAAGAAGACAACGGTCCGTAGCACGGAGGGGTCATCCCCAACCCACGTCATCTCTCCCATCACTCGCCCAGATCCCATCTGCATCAGATTTACCATCCCCATACTTGGTATAACCATCCAGTTCGGTTTCTGCCCTCCCAAAGTCGAGCCACTCCCCCCGATCCCCCAGGTGACGATCAAGCCGCCGCCGCCAGGCACCAAGTCTGGTCCCATCAATATAAACAACGAGCCCACCTCGGAGCAATGGGAAGAGAGAGACGAAGACGAGGACGAGGACGAGGAAGAAATGTGCGACTATGGCCTGGATTACGACAACGGCGACCCGACGTCCGGAATGGACGGCTGGCCCGGCGGGCCCGACAACCCCAACATCCGCAACAACTGGGAATACGGCCCCATGGCCGACCCGCCTGCCGCAGGCATAGGCAACCCAACCACCAGTCGCGTCACCACTACAATATCAACCCCGCGACCCTCAAGCGATCAACCAGCCAATCCTACCAGCCCCAATCCCGACCCGCTCTTGACGCCCGTTCCAGTGCCCGACAGCCCCCCCAAGCCCAAGTACGACGCCGGCACCGAGACATCGCACTGCTACTACGACAAGCCGGGGCTCCTGGTCCGGCGCAGCCAGCTCGAGGTGGCCGTGGACCTCTTCTGCATCCGCTACGACGGCGTCACGATGCGCGACAACGAGTTCCACGCCATCGCCATCCCCATCTCGGGCCGGGTCCCCAACGCGCGGCTGACGCACGCGCCGGGTACGTTGCGGGTCGGCGTGTACGGGAGGAACAATGTTCAGTTTCGGCTCACGTACGGCGAGTGCAGCCGCGTGCTGAAACCCCTGACGCGGTGTTACACGCTCGCGCAGCCGACGCTGGGGTTTGGGGGCTCCGTCGAGGCGAATGCCGCTGTTTGGGTGCTAGAACCGAGTCGGACGATGATCAATTCGGATGAGGATTGTTCGATTTGGGTGTTGGAGGATGGTTCGTGCTATTGATGTTGGCCTGTAACTAGAATATAGTTGCTAGATGCACTGGTACTGCCACGACATGAGGCTACCGTTTTTCTCGGGAGAGGCAATCCAAGTTGAGTACCTACCTATCAAAAACGTACATGTAGGCGATCTCACTGCTCAGGTTTGCGTTTGTTGCTCTCCATTCGCCGGGGATAGCTTTGTCCCGCAAAACAGGAAATATTCCAAGTTAGGTATACTCCCCAGATGCCGAAATCCTAGAGCCTCATCCGAGCGACAAATTGTCGAAGCAAAGAAGCCATGGGAGAATGACTCGTGTGTGCTTCTCCAGTAGGCGGGTCCTCGGCGACGTCGTTCCGATGGCAAATCGGGACATGATCCGCAACACCCGCCACCTGGAACACGCCAAGAGGCCACACTTTGGAACCGCATCTGAACAGTTCGTTGGCACTCGATGAGGCTTACTCGGTTTCATTCACATGCCAATATCACATCACAACTCGGAACACAATCCAAGGTTTCTATCAATGGGAAATGGGGAGGCCGCTCACCAACACCCCGGGCTTCCTGGCTCGGCCACGTGGTGTGCTGCTCACTGTTTGTCTGATCAGTCTGGCCACCATCTGGTTATGCCGGCTTCCCAAGATGTGCCTGTACGGTGAAGGCTCCGCGGACCCCAGAGTCGGTCCACCAGCACACCAAACCGTCGACCTTTCCAAGGCGGACGCGCCGTTCATCAGCTGGCCGCTGGAGCGAGTGTGCAAGGAGAGCACCACATGGACCCCCGGAGTCGTTTTTGTCTGCGATAACAACTCGGGCGGTATTGGCAACATCCGCAACTACATCCTCACATGCGTCCGCTACGCCATTGATGCGGGGGCAACGGGCATCGTGCTTCCGCAGATCAGGACACGCTCAGAGAAGGACCTCGCAAACATCATGTTGGAGTACCAAGGATTCGACTACTTCTTTGACGAGGACCATTTCCGCCGGAGCCTGCAAACCGCCTGCCCTCAGATCACACTCTACGACTCCACGGACGACATCCCAAATGCTCCGGTACCTTACAGGGCCGAAAAGATCACCCCGCGTAATTTCGGCAGGCGAGGGGGCTGCGACAAACGCGAGCTGAACAAGCACACGGGTCGCTTCGACAAGCAGTTCTGGAACTATATCCGGAACTCCACGGAGCAATTCAAGCTGCCGCCACCCAGCTTCGAAACCCCCCGCATCATCCGGTTCACCTGGGGCGTGCAGTGGGACTGGCCCGTCTTCCGCGACGGACCGGAGTTTGTCGCCAGCTACGGCGGCCTGCTGCGGTTCCGACAGGACATTCTGGACTTGGGCCACCGGGCGGCGGGGTACATGCGGAAATTCTCTGCCGATCATGGGGGTTCCCGTGCGTTCGCGGGCCTCCATCTGCGGACCGAGAGCGATGCGCTCAGCCGGTGGCCCAAGTTCGACGACCAGACCGGTGCATACCTCGAGAGGGCCGGCGCCATGGACTTTAAGGCCGCGTACCTTGCTACGGGCAACAAGACGGAGGCGAGGAAGCTGACCACGGCCGCGCTGCAAGAGTATGGCATGGCGGTGATCACTAAGCATGATTTGTTGGCGGACTATCCTTCGGATCTGGCTGCGCTTGAGGCCCTTACGTGGGACCAGCAGGCGCTGATTGACTTTATTGTCTTGTTGGAGTGTGATTACTTCCTTGGAGTCAGTCCCAGCTCCTTCAGCATGAACGTGGCCGGAAAGCGGCACCTCAAGGCGGAGGGTCTGTACACACGCCCGTGGAGAATCGGTGGGGATGGGGACGGCCGGAGCTGGCTTGTTGGGAGCTATGAGAATTACTGGGAGGACTGGCTGTTTATGTTTGAGTCCCTGTGGCCATGACCTACCCATCCCCTGTTCCATTTTGGGTATCACCACCTGTTTCCTGGTTCTTTGTTATGGGGAGTCACTAGGGTTCAGAGAGTCAACCACGATTGTCACTAGTAGCCACGCCAGAGTAGGATCATAGAGTTGTATTTCCAATTCCAGGCCAGAGATGAGTCCATTTGGCTGATACCGTTCTAATATCCAAACCATTCATGACGAATCCGTCATCGAAGGTAGAGGTGACGATGATGGTAACACTGACGGGAGGATTAATTAGTGATAGTGGCGGTAAAACTGACAGCGGGAGAGATACATACCATATCCAGTGTCCAGGCTTGCACCGGGCCCTTGTTCTGTTTCGCTAGCCGAGGCCAACTTTTTACGACGACGTGCCATGAGGATGCCGTGACAGGACATGCAAAAGATGCCCTGTGATGTCCTGGCGTACCGAAGGTTTTCAATCCTGAGCTTGCAGTTCCGGCATCGGAAGCAGGAGGAGCAGAAGGCCAGGTCTCCGGTAAGGATGGCGAGGTCGTCGATCTTTTTGCCGCAGACATGACAGGGATACAGACAATCAGAACAAACGAGAGATCCGTCCCACAGGAGCAGAAGGTTCGAATCGGCGTCAAACAGCACATTGCACTCGCTGCATCGGAAGCAATCGAGATGCCAACGGTTCCCGGCTGCGAATCCTTGTAAGCTTGCCAATAACAATGATCGGCGCGAAATAGGGGGAACTCACCCAGCTCGAAGGCTTTGCCCTCCACCAGTATCTGTTCCCAATCCTTCGTCAGTAACGAGAGTCGTTGACGACGTTGTTATGTTACTCCATACCTCGCCGCAGCCCTTGCAAGGGAATATTTCGTCGTCTGACATATCGTCCGCTGGGCCCAAAGGCCAATCTTCGTCGAGAGGTACACCGCACTCACCGTCTTCACCCGAAGCATCGGGTAAACTCTTCCCTGCTTCAGCAACAGGCATTGACCCCTCCGCCGGGCCTGATTGGGGATCCGCGTCATCGTCGGTATATTTGGAGCCTGTTAGACCTGTCGAGACTGCATTCATGGCGGTCATATCGTCCGTTCTGTCATCTGGTAGGATAGTCTCCGACCCGATCACGTAGTATTGCCCATTGGCAACATCCAGGGTAGTCAGGGGCATAGCAATGACCGACATGACGGATATGTCTGCCAAACTGTAGCCCGAAAAGACCGACCAAGCATGCGAGCGTTGCGCAGTGCTAGCGAAGGAGCGGTCGCATTCTTGATATTGGTCCGTCTTGCGATAGACTCGGGACTGCTCGAGGATGTTCTCAAAGGCGAATTTGATGGCACTACCGCCAAAGGTGCTGAACCTGCTGCGGACTGTGTTGCTGCGCTGGACTCCCCTTATGGTTGAGGAATCATCATTGTTGTCGTCGCGGATTGTGGAATTTTCATCGTCCGGATGCCTCGTGGCTATGCTCTTCGCAGCAAACGAATCCTGGGATTGGGAAAGCTTTTGTCTGAGGCTTGTGTTCTCGTCTAATACCTTTTCGATTAGAATTTGTAATTTTTCCTGGTTCTGGTACGCCTCCACGTCGGAGTCGCTGCGGGCCATTCTTGTCAGCCAGCTCGCTCAGGTGGGTGTTGCGGATGTTACTCACCACTGCAGAATACTCACCATAAGTGTCAGCGACAATTTGTAGCGCTCAATCCTCGCTAGGTGCTCATCGAGCTGCTTCGAGTACTTGGTCCACGATATAGCCCCGCGGGCCCTGGCGCGTATGGCCAGCTGCTGCAACAATGTCTCGAAGGTGGAAAATGCCAACATAGCATCGGCCAGTGTGACACGCAGCTCGTCGACCTGTATCATTTCCCGCCGCGGACTGGCGGCTTCGACGCGGCGGAGGAGCCGCTGCATCGAGCGCAGGGCGACTTCGGTGTGCCGGACCTCATTCCGCGCATCTCTGATGGTTGTGGGAGAGTTCCGAACTGAGGACAACCACTCTAGCAAGCTGTTGATCTTGGCCGCTGCGGTGAGCAAGCCCACTATTGATGCCGTGATACTCAATGGGTCCATAGGTTGGACGAGATGGAACACGCAGCTCGCACGACAACTGAAGGACGAAAGCTGCCCCGCAGAGACAAGATTGACGACGGTCTCAGCTCCGCCCACATAAGCACAGCCTTCCCCCAGAATGCCGAGCGACTCGACTCAGCCCCTGTTGGGCGCCGAGGGCTGCATCCACGATTGGCCGGGCGTCAAGAGCACAAAGAGCCCCACAGCATCCTACGCCAGCTGCTGGTTTGAAGAGCGCAAGCGTTCAATTGGTTGTCACTCTCCCGCGGTGTGCGGAGGAAAGGGGACTTGCTTGCTTTAGGAACGCGAACATCTGGTAATTATCCTGAGGCATATAGGTTCGGCAAGGGGGTTGAATCGAAAGCATACCTAGGTAGGTAGGTAGGCTTCCACCCGTTGCACTACGGGACAAAGTTTCCCAACATGCAACAATGCGGAATTCGTCCAAAGCCGATTTGTCTCAAACGGCGGCTAACAAGAAGGGGACTCGGACCGAGTTCTACGGGACGGTGCATATAAAGGTTATGCACCGGTTCCGGTTGCCTTGGGGTCGCTTTCTTCTTCTTCCCACCATAGCAGTCCCTTCCTGTTGATCCACCTGCTACGGGAGCTACCGTGACGTGTATGCTGTATCGTGATGTTGGTAGGTGCACTCGTGTGACAAACTTTGCGGCCTTCACTTCCTCTGCATCATCCTATAGTCAACTGGCGAGAACCTTTTCAGACTAGACTTTCTAGCGGCCTCCCTTATGCGAATCCACCACACGTCCATGGAGGCATCCATCTTCAGGTCCCATGCTTCTCCGTTGTCGATCATATTCTAACCGCTGTCAATACTCCTGGCCGGATGATGAAACGCAGTTAATCAGAATAGAGCTTACCTCACTCAGGGTAAGAGTGATAAAACTAAGCAAAAAGGCGACCTAGGCAAGGGTGCCCTAGGAAGTCTGGAAACTGGGCCCCGCCCCTGAACTCGACCGTATCGCTATGCTTGTCGTCTGCGGAATGGATGTTCGCAAGCCCCACAACGCGTTTCTGCTCCCCTACATGAAGTCGCACAGCTTCCTCGCGGACTGGAGCGATTGTAGCTCGCTTGCGACGGACTGGAGCCAGGCGCGGTTCCGGCCGTTTTGTTGTAGCAGGAAGTTCAGTCGACATTGGCTGCCCTCGGAGTTGGGTTGGCAGTACTCATCTACTCGGCGCGTTTGGGGCAAGATGGTCGCTACGTATTTCTCGTATGCGGCCACGGCGAAGGTGATCCGCTTGTTCTTGGGTACCGTGAAACTCGCGTCTTCGTTCAGGGGGTAACATGCACGTGGCCGCCACGGGTGCTGCTAGATTGGACGTCTCCCAGGACTGTCATGGCCTCCCAGACGTTGCATATAGGTAACCTCGGTAAGACCATTGTTCGCCGTGAGCTTGGGCAAAAAAGCCTCCATCGACACTGCGGTCAAGTCTCAGCAGAGAAAACAGGTGTGTGCCATCGTCACCGATCAAGAGGATGCATTCTTACGTTCTTGGGTGTCCTGACCCCAACCTCTAAGTAGTTATGACCAGCTATATTGACTTGCCAGTGAGCAGTCCTACCCGTTGCGCGCCCTGGAATTCCAGCCGATTCCTTGAATCACAAACGAGTTAGCACTTGGTTGGTGCCCGGACTGACAGACAATTCCATCACGAACCTAAAGCCCTTTGTACAGTGACTTGCGCTGCACCACATTCACACCCCTCTTCTATTCCAAAGGACCTACCTATCTCTAGTCGGGGTGTTGGACGTTCAACACGAGGTAGGGTAAGCGAGGGGATGCGCTCTCGAGCAGCTTGACCCGCCGCCCTGACCAAACCGTTGCCCCTGACAACGACCCAAAGCATCTCGATCCACTGGGCACACACCCATCGGCTCACTTTGGGCACACCGGGAGCTCACCGCAGGCTCAGTCCCTTCTCTCTTTCTTCGTCCCTCAAATTCAGTGTGCTTACCACCAACCGTGATGTTGCAGCCCAACCCGGGGGGCACCAAAAACGATTGGCTGTTAGCTATTGCTGGGCGGGCGCCAGTCATGCTCCAGATGCCACATCGAGCGGAGGCTTGCGGTGAGTTGGCCCTTAGGTACTCCAAAAGAGGTCAAGAGTCTGCCTGCATGTGCGCCTTACTCTCCACAACATGTGTGATGCATCCACCACCATACCTGTAGTCTTGCAAACCGGGCGTTGGCCGTGGTGGAGATATTACTTCTGATTTAGTTGGTAGGTAACTGAGTTCTGGAATCAGCCGGTGGCTTAGACATTCCTCGCATTGCGTGAGGCGCTCTGCGATTGTCGGAAGCTGCGTTCCAAGACCCGAAAGCGCGACCTGAAACTTGGTTGGCATGTAGAACTTAACGCTGGCAAGTCTCATAGGATACCTGCCATTCCATCGGCCTGCCCCCCATGTCCGCTTGCTTTGCTGGCTTTTGGGCACCAGTATCGGCATGCCTTGGTATCAATGAACCAAGATTACCTCGTTTCTCTCCCGTCTTCAGGGTCCTCATCAGCGTTGCAACATCTTGCTAAACTTCCCCCTTGCCATACGCTTCCGTACGATCTCCAGTCGCTATAGCTACTCGTTAACATCTCTCCCTGTCCCCGACGCACGCGTCCTCTTGATATAAAGCGACTCTCTCGCCAGTTTTTAAAATCCTCCTCGATATGTCATTCGACCGCCTTACAAACGGGATTCCAAACGGGAACACCTACAGCTCTCCCAGTCAAGACGGGAATGAGAACTGGGTCAGGGTTCAAAACATCTCGTACAAATTCGTGCCGGACCCGCCTTCTCTCCTTCACATCCTCCAAAGGCGCTACGGAAGAGGGAACTTCTATGTTGAGGTTGGTGCCTACTATTATCTCTTGTGTCTTCGCTGCCAGGAACTTGACATCCTGGCCCATTTGTGGGGTGTTCTACTTGAGCTGTGCTAATATCTGGACTCTTGAACCCATTAAGCTGCGGAAAAATGTGTACATAGTCACCGCGAATGTGCCTTCTTGAGAGAAATTGGGTTTGGTGTTGTGAATGGGTGCCGTACTTGGCTGGATGGGTGCCGACGTATTTACAGCGGTCAGCTGTTGATTCGAACCAGGTAATTTATGGACTGTCGTGAGGGACCGGGTTCGAGCTGCGATCCGGGAGAGTGCGAAATCAGATGTTTGCTTTGGAAGAGTCTCGAGTCTCCTAAACTGTTAGGGGGGTACCCCGTCTGTCGGATACGAACCGTTGCCACTTAGGCGGCCTGACTGACACATATGCTGTGACCCATTTTTTCCGGGCCTGACGCCGTGCAAGGTCATTATTTCCAAAGCCCAACGTAGGTGGTCATTACCAATAGCAAACGGGGGCTTGTCGCGGGTGACACCAATCCCCACGTTCCACCTGTGGGCATCCACAAAACTCCCTGACGCGTGCCCCGAGTCATTGTCACTTTCCCCTTAGCCGCCCGGAGGGACTAGTAAGCCCTGGCATTCAAACATGTACCCGATTCAGACATGCATACGGTTGTGTACTGAGACACTCCGTGTTGATGGTCGGCGGTGAAGGAAAGTGGCGGTGAGTTGCGGTGAGCTGCGGTTTTGAGAAGACGGTGGCTGAGTCTTTCGGGTACCAGCAACCAGTCTGCATGTGGACTGCAAGTGAACGGCGCACCCCTTGACAAACGACCCGAGTCGGGTGGGATTGGAATCTAATCAATGCTAGGGACCTTGAGGGGAGGGAATACGCCTGTTTCGAACGCGCATCAAACAGGGCACGAATCCCCTTGTGACTTCCGCCTGTTCCGCTGACGAGACAGAATGAAATACCAAAAAAGCAGCAGGGTGATCATAGTGGAGCTGGCAGTCATCAGGAAATATATCCAGATCTCTGGGGAGACAGTAGGACCGGAGTTGTCACCAGCGCTGTCGCTGTCAGCGCCACCCTTCCAGTTGAAGAAGGTCATGGAGAACATGCTCTGCGATTTCGAACGGCGTTAGCCTGAACACCAATTTGGACGGGCATATGGGGTATTGGGTGCTTACGGCGAAAAAGGTCCCTGGGAGGAATATCATGGTGACCAGTGCGATAGACCGCATCTGACGCGAGTCCTCGCCGGTGGCCGTGGCGATTTCCATGTTTGTTTCTCCGTGGGACTGAAGTCAAGGCAAATTTAGCATCGTGGACTTTGCGTTGTGAGATAGGCAGACCTACCCATTGCGTTGCCATCGCCATACCATCGACTTCCATACTGCAGGCCCTGATCTTGTCGTCGTACTCCGCGATTATGGAAAGAAATCGATCTTCCATCCTCATACCCGCTTGTTGCAGGATGACTTGGTACGTCGCATCCGGGTCGCATGTGCTCTCAGGATTTGACGTCGTGAGCGTTTCCGAGACCGAGGACTCCGAGTCCAAGGACATCTGACTGCAAAATTGCCAGTTGCTGCTAGTCGAGGAGTGTGGCGTACCGGGTCGTAACCCCTTACAGGCGGAGTGGTCAGGGTCCTGGCGACGAAGATCGTGAGCTCCCCGCATCGTGGGATTCACCAACATCGCATACTCATCGAGATGCCGCCGCATGCTGAATAGTAAGGATTTAGTAGTCAGAAGGATGTTCCTCGAGAAGGCGGCGTCAAGCCAAGCTTTGGTCTTCTGCTTGTTCCTCTCGGCCGTGGTCTGCCGGCTGTGCTTCCAGCTGGTGAGGGTCTCGTTGTCGAGCTGGAAGATTTGCATCTCCAGCTCGTCAATCATCTCGTCTGCAATCTCCATTTGCCTCTTGCGTTCCAGCTCTGCGAGGATTCCTGGGAGAAGCATGGGGTGGGCCGTATCTGGCCCGGCTGTTCTAAGCCGTGCTAACACGCTCCTCTCCTGCCCTTCTGAGGCACCGAAGAGTAGCGCGAAAGTCAGTTTTTGCTCTGGAAAGTGTGTGACAGTCAGGGCCATGTCGTTTTCCCATTCGTTAGATGTTCGGCAATTATATACTATGGAGTGTTAGCATACCTAAACTTTTGGAAGCAGGCCACAAATCCACTCACTTATTGCCTTCTGACGAACCACACCTACGCCAGTACTCGTGTACAGTGGCATCTCGGTCAGCGTCCGTTCAAAGGCCGGTACATTGGCTCGACTTATAAGCCGACCAATCCAACTGTGAATAGACATCCTCTTCGCTACCAGCCGAAAGGTATCGAGTGTGAATGGCATGTTTCGTAGTTTTTTCCGATGATCACTACGCCGAGTGTGGGATTCGGAGTCGCTGGCGGGCCGGACTTCAGCTTTCTCGTTGGGAAGTGTGTCATCCTCCCATCTCATGAGAAAAGATGCTGCGGCGGGAAAAGCCCTACGACAGCGGCTAAGAAACCGTGAGATAAGTCCTTGATCCTTGAAATTCACGCCATTGGAACGGATACCCTCAACTAGAGTATCTGTATGTCTTGTCGTCCATTTTTCTGTCTCTTCGGGCCGCGCTATTCTATTCCACGGCTTAGCACTTAAAACTGGCTACTTCGGTACTATTCCGATTTGTGCGATGAGAGAGAAAGCGGACAACATACACCAAAAGGAGTTTCGGGCTTAGATTTTGGTCCGATTTAGGGATAACATCCGGTTTTGAGCCCTCGCTTTTGACTGATGGCAATACGTCTGCGAGAAGTTCTTCCCAGTCTTCACGATCTCGGAGCTTTCGCTGATCGACGTCCTAGAGTTCATGAGTGAGTTAAGGTAGAGCGTGAGACGGGAGGAGGTAGAGGTCCTATCCTCACGTCATCGTCCATTGGACTCCTAATCACAGTTGTTAGAGTGGTTCCAGTCCGATGCATCATCTCATCGACGGCAAACTCTCTATCTCCTTCTCGAGAATGACGAAACCCGAGAACTTTCCCAAGGTTCCGAGCCTCGCTCAATTCATCCATCGGCCGCTGCCCGTCCATAGCAAAGCGTGTTGGTGGACGCTTTCGATTTGTGAAAAATCCCGATTCTGCGATGAGAACGTACCTATCTGGGACAGGAGCCGATGCCTGAGGTGGGTTTTTAGATGTGCAGAAATTGGCGGGTCGCGTGGCTCGGCGATCGTCAGCAAACGGGCCCAGCCAAGCCCCCCATGCAGTGGAACACCAAACCTCCATCTGATTCGGAAATTGTTTCCTAGCGCGGTACAAAGTACCTCCCTACTTTCACCCACGTCGTTAATTCTTTCGGTTACCTCACCTCTACTTGGGGGGTTGTGTGGTACGGAAGCGGATAGCCGCCACTGGACACGACCCAGCTTAATTACCCAGCTTTTACAGCATTTAGACTTACACTACAAATTCCGAGTACACCCGTTCGCCGACGTGGCTTGCAGATGTTGGTACCTGTATATCAACACGCCCCTCCGACGTGCACCATCCGTCCACTTTTACTGGTGCCCGCCTCCACTTTCGTTCCGCCAAGGGATGATTCGGTGCTTCAAATTGTTTGAAGTAATCAGAATCGAGCTCGACAAAATCTGCCCTGCCGGCTGCAGCCACAATGCAATAGTAATTCGTTCTTTACCGTCTTTGTGTTCCGCATTTGTGTCCTCCCACACTTCACGGCCGCCTCATTGCATCTCTTTCACCGCTTATGGGTGCCCTTCAAGAGGGAAGATAGGTATCAACCTCGGTCAGCCCAGACTGCCAACCATCTCCAGTTGGTCGCCTGGTCCTGGTATGAGTGTGCATCGAGGCATTACCTTAGTGTGGGCATTTCATAGCGGGCGTTTGTGCAGAATCCCGCGACCCCGGGAGGCTCGATGCAACGGGGAGCAATTGGTCGCCCGCTTCACTAGCCCGATTCCTGATAGGGCAGCGCGGTTGGGTTGGGGGCAGGAGGCAGGGCATGTGCCAGGAGCATGCAGTGATGGCTGTGCAACTGAGTGAGTGCTGGGGATTGGATCATTGGACCAACCTGGACTTGGAAATTTCAGAGCCTCATTGCTAACAAAATGTGCGCCGGTGACCGGACTCTGAAGCCTGGCGGGGATTATGCCCTTCAAGTTCCTTGCCAGTGAGGAGGCTGATAAACAGTTTTATTATAAAGGTGTCAACTTGGACTTAAGTGACAACTCGCTCAACACAACTGTCTCGAACCATTCGACATAGGCCCTGTTTCATGGCGACGTGATCAACCTAAAATCAACCAAACGATCTTGGGTATTCATAAGGCACTTCTTACATGTACATTTCGTACATAAGGTGCCACACTGGGGATTTGATTGCAGCTGCTTCGCTCCACCCTAGCAGTCAGGCCGAAAGGTACCTACCTACTGTTGTCTCCTAGCCCGTAAACCAGGACAAAGATGGGTAAGTGCCGAGTTCAACTAGGTGATTTAGCTGCGTCCCCATAATTAATTCGCTATCTTCGGTAGCCAACCAACAAAACGTAGGCCTAATCGTCACGGTTCATGCTCCCAGCGATGGGGAGACCCCGGCAAGGCAACCTCTGGTACCGGTAGTGGTAGCTGCCACGGAACATCAAGCCACGTCTTATACGCCGCCCTCCCGAGAGCGTATTGCCGAAGTCGTGGAAGCGTGGGAAACTAAGCTCAAGAATGACCCAAAGTGCCCGAAGAGGGGGAGCTTTGTAGGTGTCTTGCTTAGAGCCGCATCCAGAGAACTGGAGCTGTACTGGGATGGCACAACCGACAGCAACAAGACTTTCTTCCCCCACGGCCTACTGGTGGAGGTGTTAACCGAGGACCGAATCCACGCGAGTTTATGCTTCGATTCGGAGGAGGCCAAGGGCTATACCCCCGAAGAGTGTTATCGACGGATTCGCGGCAGTGGCGTACCGAATGAACTCGGCGAGTATGCGCGGGTTTTTACGGTATTGCTCCTTTGCGACATGCCGCAGGACATCTTTGAGTTCTTCAACTCGAAGTATAACATAAACGACGATGCCTTCCCGTTCAAACTTGGGAAAGACGGCTCTAGCATCCGGTCTAAATCTTGGCGCGCCGACATCCCAAACTTTCAACCACCGTGGACATCCCAATACTACGAGTCGTTTGCCAGCCAGCAATGGAGGGTTTTTCTCCCGTGCTTTAAGGACACGGAAGAACATCAGAACTTTGACGGAGATACGGTCATGCCTTGGCATGACTATCACCCTCCGGTCAATAGTGGAAGCTCGACGAGTTCAAGCTACCGCGGCACGGATGCTCCGGCGGGCGGCAACAGTGTGGTGAGCCGAGTCTTCATCCATGACGGCCACTGGAGTTTCGATAGCCTCAATCCTGTAAGTGATCGGACCAACGCTTGTTTCTATTCGAACACGTCTGACATCACACGTATCAGGTGCCGGGGGATCAGCGAGTGGTGACCTTTGCTGTCAAAAAGCTAGTAAGCAACAAAGAAGAGGACTTCAAACGTGAAGTTGCCATGCTCCGCCAACTGGGCGGCAAGAAACCTCACACAGTCAAACTTCTCGCCACGTTTCGGCATGGCCGAACTTACTCCCTGCTTTTTCCATGGGCAGAGTGTGATCTCCTCGACTATTGGCGACGCGACTCTGGGTACCGAGAAAAGAGTCCGCCTTTGATTGTCTGGGTCGCTCATCAGTGCCATGGTCTTCTTGATGCACTACATTGGATCCACGACCCCAGCGGTACCGTCTTGGACCCGAAACAACAACCGCTTTACGGACGGCACGGCGACATCAAGCCGGAGAACATTCTCTGGTACAAGCAGAACGCGGATGGACCCCACCCGCTGGCATCTGGGGAGCTCGTCTTCACAGACTTTGGACTGAGTGCACTCAACCACAACCAAAGCCGGTCCAACGTCAAAAACGGGGATTTTCATCACACAACAACCTACGCACCTCCGGAGAGTGTTCTACCGGATAACGTCATTTCGAGATCTATTGATATCTGGGCGCTGGGGTGTGTCTACTTGGAATTCGTCACCTGGCTCGTCGGAGGCCCATCACTTGTGGGTGAATTCCAAGCGGCTCGGATGTCCCCCTTCCTGGGATCCCTGCATTCAAACGACATCTTCTGGGAGGTGCAGGAACTCGAAGCTCCCACGGCTGAAAATCAAAAGCATGTGACGGTTGTCAAGCCAAAGGTTGAAGAGGTATGCGCTCCACACACCGTTCGCTACGGTACCTACATGTAGGTACCTAGGTCGGTACTCCCTGTTTTGTTGGTCCAAATACTCATCACTTCGAACCCGTTTGCCCAGTGGATCAACAAGTTGCGCAAAAGGTCCGAAGCCACAAAGTTCATCCAAGACTTCCTCGACATCATCGCAAACGACATGTTGGTGATCGAGAAAAAGGACAGGGCAACGGTCGGTCAGCTACTGCCCAGATTCAGTGCCATGAAAACAAACTGTGATCGAGATGCTTCTTACTATATAGATTCATCAACAAGCAGTGGCAGCCCGACCGTCGCCCAAGTACCCGCTGCTAAAAGGCTCAGTATCCAGACCCAAGAAACAATCAGTAGGTGGTCGCGGGGGATCCCCCGATACACTGGCCGGGCGGAGGTGAGGCCGGAGCGGAGCGGAGCGACTCATCTCAAACCGTGAGGGATTTTGCCGGGGTATTTCATTACCTACCTACCTACCTACCCTCATTCATTCGAGTCCGTCGCATTTCTCATCAACCATATATTATATACCACATCATTTTTCTTCCATTTCCCCTCCACTTGATGTTGCTTACCAGAATCTCACTATGACTGGCAAGGACGCTCCGCAGATGTATTTAGAAATGACCGGGAGATTGTGTAAATTGTTTTGAAGTTGGTCCGGTAGTCTCATCAAGTATTCCCATTGTATCATCTTTCTTGAACCGATTGCCCTCTTTCAATCACATTATATAAACTACATGAATGTAGCTCTTCCGCCGTTTCAGGGAGCTTCATCTGCGTAGTGGTTCGCCTTTATAGCAGCCTTGATAGTCCTCGTCTCATCCTGTAGGGTGTTAGGACACTATTGCGAAGAAACTTGACGGATGTTTATGTGGCTTACATCCGTGAGCTCCCTCGGCGTGGTGCAGATAAAGCGGCCGCGCTGGTACTGGATGGGGTGTTAGGTGTTATTGTGTCCAGTTTGGGTTCCGATGGGGTCCGATGAAAGGTGCTTGCTTACGATGATGGTAATCCCAGTCACCATTGGGAATATCCGAGTGAGCTGCTCATGTATGGTGCCCTCGTCCGCATATCGAGCCGAGAATGATTTGGCGTAAGACATCTTGGCGAGGTACTGCGTGTGATAGAAAGAGGTGGAGATTAGATGGTGAGTGTGTTTTTGAGTCCGCTACAACTCCACTTGTGGGACGCGGGAGGTTGAGTTTGAATGACGGCCCTCGACAAAGTCAAAATGTAGGTAAGGGAAAGGAGCACGAACTACCTGGTAACTGTGCCCAGAGAGTCAGTTACGGATTGAGCCCAGCGCCCAACCTGACTGCCTTGGTACCTTGGCTGGCTTGTTGGGCTGAAGTGCTCGGGGGGCTGGGGGCTTCTCGACGTATCGCAGGGCGAGGCAAACCTCGGGCCGCGAATCGTTGTCGAGGTTCGTTGACAGGGTCGCACTTCGAAGAGCTAAGCCACCCTAAGCGTTACCGTTTCTGCAGGTTCGGCCTGCATGCAGGTCGGGCAGTGACTGCCAAACACTTTGTCAGACATGATTTTGAGTCAAGAACCAGACCCTGGTATGACCCGACCATGTTAATCGAACGAATTGTTTTATTGTACGTGGTTGTGTCGTACACCTTCTTGTCAGCTACTCGACAAACGCATCTAGGTGATGGACTTGCCTCAGGTGGAACTCCATCCCTCATGCCGTGTTCGGGCGAGCGGTTTCAAGGGGCGGATCATTCTTTAAGGCCCCATCAGTGTCATTCCCCCGAAGCTGCGAGGGGCTTGGCGAGACCTCTTCCGCGCTTTCGGTCGCGATGTCATAAAAGAAGGCGAATAAACTTCTACATCTGCCGTAGACATTTCCATTCCCGATGGCTACCTTATCCAACAACGCAAGGAACCTATCCTACAACGCAAGGAAAGCAACCCGAGACCATCATCCATGTACCTCAACCAACTTGACGGAACTGGACGAACCCGAGCCAACGTACCTAGGTACCTGGTGATTACCGAGGTACCTTACCTGACAAGAAAGGTGTCAAGCTAGAATTCAACCGCGATAGTAGCATACAACAGTGCCTGTATTCAAGCTAGAGAGGTATAAAAGTCCCACTTCAATGCCAAAACAACTTCTAAGGGTCTAACAAATGCCGACTGGGACGGCGACGAGTGCATGAGAATCCCGGCGTGGCTTGTGAGGTTTCGTTCTGCCAAACTCCTTATCACGGAGAATTCCAAGCGTAACGTAGGTATCTACTCGATCGTTGGTACGGCGGGGGCGAGGAGACGTTCCACCTGGGAGCTGTCAGTAAAAGCCTCGGAAAGCCCCATTTTCAGTGCAGGACACTCACGATCTTCCTCTGGTCCATGAGCTCCACAGAGTTGATGATGTACATGTTATGGCGCATCTCAATGGTAAAACATGGGCCATAAAGCTCCTCGAGAGTTGACTTCAACCGTTCGGGATCGTTGGCGCATCGGGAATGGACCTTCACGCGTCGAGAGGCACCCCCGCTCTCGACGGCAAGGGGTGTTCCCGCTTCTTCGATTTCGGCAGGCATCCGGTGGCGCCCCAGGGTACAAAAACTCTAGGACTTTATTGTCGGTCTTTTCGCGAACTCGGGGGACATTTGTCGGTATCAGCGACCCGATTCGGTTTCCGGAGTCGTGGTGGTATATGGAAAAGGGACCGGGCCGCTAGGGGGCACGTTCAGACGGCACCTGCGACTAATATCCATCCCCCAACACTCCGGGGAGCAAGATTTGTCGGACTCCCCGCCAGCCCGGGAGGGCGGGCTCCGTTTCAAGGTGGCGGTGGCTGAGTGAATCTTGGGGGGGACCGAATGGCCATGGGGCGAATGATTTCGCGCCTTAATTGGTCCGAGGCGGAGGGGCACGCAGTGGCAGAGACGTGAGACAGTGGCAGAGAATGGTGCACAAGGGGACTGACTGAGTGACGTGGGGGCCCAGCCCGCTCCGAGGTCCGCGCGGAGGCCGCGGCAACCAAAACCCCCTTTCCTCCAGAGCCTTGCCATTTGGCGTGCGCAGAAGCCTGGCCCGTCCGTACATCTATAGTATTCCCTGCCGGCGGCCCGTCTGCACGACATTCATCGTGCATAGACTCGCAACGGGTTGGCGAGATATTAGATTCGATCTTTCCGTCGTGTGACTGTACTTGCTAGGTAAGGTACATGTAGCTACTCATTCCGTCCTCTACCCCTGATGCCCATTGACGAGTTGCCTTTGGGGCATCACAATGCGGGCATGGAAGCGTAGGTAGCCAGACGGCCCTCCAAGCGCCCGGTGAATCAGCTGAGAACAGCCTCCAAGTGGCGTTTGGAGATTGCGACCGACCGGCTCGGGGTGGTGGCTTGCAGCAACAAGGCGCTTCGCCCCTCGCCGGTCTCCTCCATTGGCCGCTCACGCTGCTCGAGCTGTCCAGCGTCTGTGTTCCACACCTCCCCGTTCCACACCTACCCGACACTCACATCCACACAATCCACTCAGCTCGGAGGACTTAACCCGTAAAGGCAACAAATACCAAGATGAGCGTACATTTCCGGAGCCTCGCGTTACGCCACCGAGGAAAGTTGCACGGCCAGTGGATGGCGCTTCCGTGCCTCAACCTCCCTAGGTACCACCTAGTGCTGCAGCTCGAAGCCTGAGTCTTTTTCAAGTTCCAGTCCTCGCCCCAATGAAAACCCCGGGCTGGCTCCTCACGCCAGCTCCCGTCATTCATTAGGTAGCTTTCCGTGTTTCACCATTCATTCATTCTCTCCCGCACCCGACGGAAGCTAGACGACCCATCGATCGCCGACGATTGCTCCCTCGCACTGCCTATCACACGTCCGGTTCGGGGTTGCCGTCAGCGCCTTCCGTGAGTGGCACTGGCCAAGACAATGAATGCACGGCCGTCAGGACCAACACCAGGGCCAGTAGTACCACGGAGATGACTATCACCTATGGGGGATCGAAGAATTGTCTCGGTCCGAGCAACCACGAAAGTAGCAACGAATCGCCGGGTGTGAGTCCAATCTGCGAGTTGACGGGCGATGGAGCCACTGACTCCCATTGTCGTACCCGACAACTCGGCCCGAGATCGGCACTTGCTCACACATCTTTCTTAGCAGCAGAGCAACCTCAGGCTCAGTCTCGATATCGCTGTCACTCACCTGTCACCGGCATCACAGACCGATGACCCGGATGACGGGTCACGAAGCCCCAGTCGTCCTCGGACGCCCCGTGCGGTAAACGTCCAGGATCCCCACGGGAAAACGACAGCCATTTACCGGGACGACGATCCAGCAAGGGGTACGAATAGGCCTTCGTCCTACACAGGTATCTTGTTGACACTGCGACTAACGTCCATGTGGGAGACTAGAAGAAGCCACGGCCGGAAGGAATGCCTTTTATAACCATCCAGACAATGGAAGCGAAAACAGTTTTGCTAGCATCACGACTATCACTGATCTTGGGTTTGAGAGACAAGCACAGGTGAAGCCCACCGTTGACCAAGGCTCGGAATCTTTGCATTTGAGAAACCTTCGCAGCGAGAGCAGCGCCAGCTCGCTCCACTCCAACGATGAGACTGAGGGCTCCCATGCCCAAAAGCAGCTGGGCAGGCGCCTGCGGGCGGCCTACTGCAAGTCCACGGCGAGCGACAAGGATGCAGACTTCATTCCGATCAGCAAAATCGAAAGCATCCTCACACAAGAAACCGTGGAGGGCATCTTGAAGCAAGAGTTTCCGGAGCTGCAGAGTTCTGAGTCAAAACCGGAGCTCGACAAACTAACGCAAGACATTTGCCCGTCTCGGCGGCGACTGTTCGCGCTCCTGCTGTTGAACTTGAGCGCGAAATGTATCAAATGCTTCGTCGAATGCGGCGTCACCGACATGGATTTCCCGTTTGCCCAAGCTCCCGATTCCTCGGAGTCGGCTAGAGTCCATCCTAGGGGCGATGTTGAGTGTGAACGACCTGTCGACTGCTTTAGCGAGTGGAAGCCAAGCGAGGTGGAATGGTTTTTGCGCTGGCAGCATGTGGTGGCATCTCCGTTTTTCGACCTCGGACCAGGAAGCTTATACCTCTACACACTACCCAAAGACAGCGTACTACCATTCATCGAATCCGAGCCCGCAGGTGAGGGGGGTCACGCGAATGTCTGGAAGGTCTTGATTCATCCGGCTCATCATAACTTCCCAACTCAACTAGTAAGAAACGGACGTCCGAGAGGTCTCCAGGCATTCATTAATCATGGCAGGTATAGCTAACACGTTGTTCCATGTAATTAGGGCGCCAATAAACAATACTTCGCCGTCAAAACACTTCATACTAAACAGAGAGAAGAATATGAGAGAGAGGTCGAAGTTCTTCAACGATTCAGCGGCCGACACGAAGGTCACCCACACCTCATCCGGCTCCTCCTCACTTACCAGCACAAGGACAGCTACCATATGGTCTTCCCCTGGGCTAATGGAAACCTGCGCGACTTCTGGGAAAGCGTGAAGTCGCCACAAAGGACCCAGGACATGGCCCGTTGGATGCTTACCCAGTGTTTCGGCATTGCTGACGGCCTGCAAAAGATCCACGGCGACGGGGACGTCGCCGGGCTGAGCCCAAATGATAAGAACACAGGCCGACATGGCGACATCAAGCCCGAGAATATCCTGTGGCTCAAAAGGCATAACGACAGCGACAACCACCTGCTCATCTGCGACTTTGGCTTATGCAGGTTCCACAGCTACCAGTCGCAATCCGTAGACAAGCTTCCCGGCTGCTCGCCTAGCTATCGCCCGCCCGAGTGTGACCTCAATCGACTTAAGATCTCGGTGAAATACGACATATGGACGCTAGGCTGTCTGCTACTCGACTTTCTTACTTGGTATCTCCGCGGCTGGGAAGCTGTTGACACTCTATTTCCCGACGCTCGCCTGAAGGACGAAGGATGGGCTCCCTTCAACCTAGGATCCACACAGGACGAGAGGTGCTTGTACGAAGACAAGTTCTACCAGCAGAGCAACGATGGTAAATACGTGATGGCGCAGTTGAAACCATCGGTGATCGAGGTCAGGCCGCCGCAATCCCGTTCACTCTTTGGGTGTATGTCCTGTGCATGGAAGCGAGCTGACAACTCTTCACGGTAGCAGTGGATGGAGGAACTGCACAAGCTCGACTACTGCCCAGAGTTTGCACATGATCTACTCAAAATCATCCACAAAGGCCTGCTCCATCCCGACAAGAGGCAAAGGTGGGATTGTACCAGGATCGTAAATGAGCTCAATAGGGTCCGCGAAAGGTGCGACACCGGCAAGGCGTACTGCACCACACCCTCTCGTTGGAAGGGCGAGCGGTTGGAACCATTTACTGTGTCGGTATGTCACAAACTGCCATTCTTAGCTTTTTCTGAAACCATCATCGCTAAATCGTACATAACTAGTATCTTGTGACCCCAAACAGCATCAAAACCAATGCCCAACAGCAAACCGGGCCCCATAGCCCTAGGAGCCTAAGCCCTGCCAGCCGGGCCTCTCACGCCGGTACACCGCCACCGGAATTGCAGGATGCAGAGTCGCTGGCGGCCGACGACCTGGGTATAACCTGTGCAATATTACCGGGAAACCCCCTCTCAGTGGAAACGTTCAGTCCAGAAGAACCCCCAGGCCCGGTCCAAGACACTCCGGTGACGCAAGTCCCGCCTCCGCCTCCACCGCCCCCGGACACACACAGGCAGAGCGGATCGGAAATATATCTCGTTACCCCCGGTACTACCATGGACACCCGGAGGACTACAAATTCATCAAGACCCTTGCTCGCCCCGCCACCCGCTGGACAACCACGGCTCATCGGGAGGGGCAAGCATGCATGGGGAACTTGCAAGAAGTGCATGAAGACACTGGGGTGCTGCTTCATCTTTGGTTGAGCGTGAGTGGCGATGATGGAAAAAGGTTATTGATGTCCCGAATCATCAGGAGTGGCCGTTGTTTCTGTTCGGGCGTGGACTTTGTTTCTAGATATACCCCGGTTTTTAATACCCCAGTTTCCGTTTTGTTTCCTAACATTGGTACAAGTGATAGTAGTATATATTATCATGTATGGAGGAGCTTTCCCTGGAAAACGTGCGAGGAGTGAGTACTTCCTCCGGAAGGTTCCTCTTCAAGTTACCAAGAGAAACGGAACCCGAAGCCTTCTTAGGGCGACAATGTCAAGGCCCGATTAGGTACGCACCCAAGCACAATAGTATAAAGCAGCACGCCCCGAGTATAGGAAAACACGCCGTCAGCACATATGACCACAGCCACCACGCAGATAGGAGACCCTGCGGCCACCAACCCACTCACGGAGGTGGCAACTTTCAAGGTCGAGATTCGGAAAATGGGATGGCCTGTTATTGCTGTTGCAGAATCTTATGCAACCTCCGACCTCAGCGCGTCATATTGTACATACGTAAACATTTTGAGGAAGCACAGTACTCTCTGAAGCGATCGGCCAAACGGGAAGAGAGACGGTGAAAACACTCAAACGTTGTTTCAAATACCCGGCATGAAGGGTCCACTTGTTGCGCGTGTTGATGGAGAATGCGCAGTCAGACTCTTCCTACCGATTCCCGTTTCTATATGATAGAGCAATGGAAGAAATGGTTGAAGGGTATCTTACCCCGGTGATCTTCTCAAGATGGCCAAAGGACACAACCCCCTCGTTCGACCAAATGTTGGGACCGTCCCCAGCGGCAATTAAAGCACTGGCCGGCATCCGCCATGGGCTCACCGGTAGTGCGAATGACGGCGGTACCTGCAAGGGCTAAAAGAGCTACCGGGATGAGCCCGAACTTGAACTCAATGGGTCAAGAGCCTTCTGGGAGAGGCTTGGGTCCGAGTGGCAAGTAGCCAGGTATTGTAAAAGCTCCGAAGGCTCGGTGGTCCCTTTTTGTTTGCAATGTTTATAAGAGTAGGAGTTGTAGGGCAGTAATTAGTGTATACTAGCGTACAGGGTTTTCCTTTCTTCCAAACCAACGTTACCATCTTTTATAATTCTTGATACCATATTATTGGGTACCTAGGACCGTAACCGATCGCGATGGGGCCGCGCCGACTTTACAGATTATAGGGTTTCGAAAGCACACCAAACACTCAACTACCTAGGTATGCAAGCAGGTTCGCGCGGAAGACAGATTTTCTTAACACGTCATTTTACGTACAGGTAGGTACCTTCCACGAACCCCTTCAGCCAAGCTGCGATGTCCGGGCTCACGCTCCCTTAATAGCAACATTGATATTGTTGTTGGTGACACAGTACGCGCTGCCAGAAACAGTGTCGTCGGCACGCCAGCACCGGTCGAAAACCCTTCCGACAGTGCGGGCGATAGCATTGCTACCCGGAGACTTTTATTAGCATGCTGGAACATAACGAGAATGTCTCAGGCAGACGAAGGTACTACATACCAGTTGGCTCCCTGCTTATGAGCGAGACCGTGCTTGATGCCGACAACCTCGGCGTTCCGAATTTGACACATCTGGATCTCGAGCTTGTTCTTGGGGATCGTACACATAACCCCGTTGTTGCCCTTGCGGGCAAGGTCATCGACACAGGCGGTGGCATCACGACCCTGGATGGATTAGGTTGTTAGCGCCGGGTTTATATCAAGTGTCATGGGGTGCTGCAGGGTAAAGGGGGCGGGAGGAAATATACATTGGCACGAGTCCACCTGCTTGGGCCGCAAGTGGCCCTCTTCACCAGGCCACCAGCAGAACCGACCGCATCGGCAGCCTCAGCAGCGGCGAGGGCTTCGTCGACCGTCAGAGCCGTATCCGGGTGGGCGATTATGTCCTCTACCCACGCCTCGAAGGAGAAGGTGGTGCCGGAGACGGCTGGGGTGGCTCCGCCAGGGGCGGGCGCGGCAGCCACCGAGCCAGTCATGGCTAAGGCAACGAGAGAAAGGGCGAGTTTGACCATTTTGGCAGTTGTGCGACTGGCTGGGCGTTGTGTGCTTGGGACTTGATGCGGACCGAGGAAAAGGCTCGGATGGGGGAAGTTTCGCTCTCGATATATAGCATATTTTCGACTGTTACGTGGTCCGCCTGCCTGGCTGTAGTGATTAGGTAAAGTCAATGTTAACCCCGATGTCAACAGCGGCGGATGTTGAATGTAACACTATTACAACACAGCCCGAATCCCAGGATCACGGTTGGTTGACTGAGTCGATGATCTCTGGTATGCGTCATATCTGACAACAGCTCCCCTAGGTTCACGCCGTCGACGTCGCGTAGACCTATCTGCATAGTCAATGTGGGTGGCCAGAACCATGTGTTACACATCCCACACCCAAGCGCAAGCGAACTGTGGCTCCAGTCTCAATGCGGATTACCTTTGAGGTCTCGTTCTGAACTCAACAGAAATAAAATTAAAAGAGTCACAGAGCATACCGCTAATAGCCACCATTCCTGAAGGATTGTATGATATTGCTCCTACGAAATATTCAAGCTCAACTAGCGTGGTCCCGGCCGGTAAAACTGGAACAAATGGTTCCTTTGACATGGCGGTGAGAAGGGGCAAGGAGGAACAATGACGCGGCTTCCAACGATTACAGCAGTAGCGGAAGATAGGTATTCGATGACTAGACCCGAAGAGAGTGTAGGGCTCGCCAATTCGAAGGAGGAACACGAAATACGGGAAGCCCATTCGGCCCGCGCTAGTGGATGGCCCATAATCCTTCGACGCCCGGACCGATTAGGAGGCGGGAGTCATCATGCAGGGAAACTAGCGAGGCCCGGCCTTGGGAAGGCTTAGACCAGACGACCGCGAATAGGGTGACAGGAAATAGAGTAATAGGATTCTTCGAGTCCAGTGGTGTTCGGACGCTCAAAACAGAGACATGGGTCGCCGCCCTTGAACCTGCGCTTTACCACACAGGTGGCGGGGAGGAAGGATTGAGGGAACACCATCCACCACTGCGTGTTGTACGTGAATTGGAAGTGTGCGTGAGTTGGAAGGGGCATGGCATGAAGTTTAAGCCGGAGCGGAACCACCATGAACTTCAAACCATCGTTTGTCCCTAACTCTTGCTTGTGCTTATCTAAACCCATCCCTTTGCCGTGTAAACTCCACCAGGCGCCTTGCTTAGGTGTCCTCCATATCCTGCCAAAAGAAAGAAACACAAAAAACGCCCACCAGCTCTAGTTAGGCCACCCTCCGTCGTAAGGCATGTCGCTCAATGTCGAGCTCCACGAAAGAGACGGCGGACTGACCCGCCCATCCCTCTACTAAAGGAAGATAGCACCGAAACCCGCACCGGCCACGCCCGCAACAAGGGCGCCGAGGTTCAGGTTCATAACCGCGCTAGCGTCCGACGTCGTGTTCAGAATATCCTCGTCGCTCGTGAAGGAATGGCAATTCCTGCGGCAACCGCGCCTCCTCTTTTCCAGGCCGTGCCCATCGTCTCCGGCGCCGGTGCCGTGCTCGGCGTGGCCCTCGTCACGGGCAACGACGTCCACGGTGTCGGGGTTCGTGCTGGGCAGGTTGGCCGCTGTCGCGACGGCGAGGAAAGAGTAGAGGGCGATGGTGTACTTCATTTGATATTGCCTAAATGAGGTTTGTGTTGGTTTGATGCAGGTGGTGTTGGTTGATCTTGGTGTCTTGTGTGTTTGGTGAATGGTGCGTGGACGTTGCTTGGTTTGAGTTCGCGAATCCATTGGAGGGTGTCACGGCAATCTTATAGACCTCTCCCTCCAAAGCCCTCTGCCGACGTCGCCCCCAATGAAGATATGTAAGGGGTTCCGGCAAGCTTTTGTTTCACTAAAACAAGCCTTTGAACGGCCACCGGGACGCGCACCTAATTGTTGAAACGACCTATCTGCTGGCCAGGCCAAGAAAAACAATCCGATCAGCAATTCCGATAGGTTCCACAGTTAACCCAAAACTTTGTGCTACCACTCGTCGGGTTCGTTGGGCAGCCTCGAGGAGTGGCCGTTTCGAGTAATGCCCAGCGCCGGCCCGGGTCGGGGGCAATGACACCTGCCCGGCCAGTGGATAAGGTCGGAGGTCATGATTCATCCATCAAGTATCGTTAGCGTACATACACAACCTTATATTCACAGGAAATTAAGTCTGTTCCTATTATACCCGTGTGTCTACCAACCTTAAGTTCGACATTTTTGAAACCGGAACACAACCGGCGGTCACAGGTTGTATTCTAGCAAGCTCAGGGGGTAAACTCGAACGGAGCCGGGTCGCATGTGGGGCCGGTTGTTTGAGACCCACTTCGGCCTCCACCCGGCCGCCCGGGGCTTGCTCCGGGTCACGGTGAATGTGCAGGTCGAACCCCGACTGCCCAAGGCCATGGGCAAAGAAAGCCGACCTCTATGTACTGTGTACAGACGTCAACCGAACGTTGACTGTAGGAACGAAACGAAAGATATGCAAAAGAAACCGCAATCGCTCAATTTAATTTCTTATTTTCATGTCTTTGATTTCGCTTTTCGATTTAAAAATACAAGTCACGGCGATGGCCAAGAGTTCGAATAATGTTGCGGCATCTAGATGATGGCCTCGTTTCAATGTCACTTGCCCGCGCGCACTTGTAGCCACGCCCATTGCGGCCCCGACACCATAACCTGAACCCGAGTCCTCGGTTTTGCCGATATTGCCCTCAGTCATCATCCTAGTTGTACATAACCCCCAACGCGTATTGCCTTGCTAGAGAGACGCTACGTAGATACTTGATCATAGGTTATTGCGCTCACTATCAAGACTTTGGAGCTTAACGTGGGTTTTAAATCACAACTGTGCCTCGGCCACTACTTTACCTAGGTATCTAGCGAGCTCGCGATCCTGGCAAGCGGGCCACAACAAAGCCGGAGTCAGTCTCACGCTAAAATCGCCTACACATCCATAAACGTGATACAACAACACCCCTGAGATTATAGCTTTTGGGATGCCCCGTTCTTTCATTCCTTTCCATTGTCCTGTTTTTTGATCAAGGTTAAGACTAACGCCGCCATGAAGAACATTCTGTGCAACTGGTTGCTCCTCACATGCCCCTCTCGTTACCTACCTAGGTATGTAAGTTGATTTGAGCCATGTGCTCAGGAATAAAGCCACGAGCAGTACGATGCTGCGCCAAACCTTTGTATCCGACTACGGTTAAAATATGGACGATCAACGTCACAGCCTTCGCTCCATACTCCATTGATCATGAGTTTACTGATACTCCTCGCTAAGCCATCCCTACCTACGATAAGGATGTCAAGTCAACACGTGAAGGCCAGTATCAACTCTACAACGCAGGTTATCCGAACCACCAGAAGCCCTGGTTGGGATGACTGGCAGATATTGAGCATGGCTAGACACATGACAGGAACTCCGAGTGGATTGAGTTTATCTATAAAGGAGTCAACGGCACCCCAGTTTCACTCTAGAATTCTACAGAACGCATTGGCAGTCAACAAGCTACCACACATCACCAAATCAACACCTCCATTCTAACTCAACCCACTTATCATACATTATGGCAGGACAACACCGCAGTAAAGCATCGGGGGCTGTGTTGATCACGCCCACAGCCTGGTTCATATCAACGCTGAGATGATAGGTAGGGGAAAGGGGAGGGGGTTCATGAAATCTCTGAGGGATTGACTTTTCACTACTATCATAATTAAAGAAGCGGGATTCTTCCCATCATTTCGTGCAGTTTCGAGGATGAAGCGGCCCGTCACTGTCTCCCCGACTTGATCCCCCGGTTTGTGTTTCAATAATTACCTACCTCTCTTGTCGGACAAACAAACTCGACCAATAAGCACAGAGACTCGAGCCACCCAGCCAACTAACAGTTCGACTCATCACTCGAGAACTTTACCCGGGTCGTTCCAGAGGTTTTAGAGTTGCGTATTATTTTTGTTTCTTCCGTATGTTTTTTCGTCTCCCGCCCGGTTTTTCACGCGCATCATGCATGGCAGAAAGGTCAGGCATGGTTCAGTGCCGTGAAAATCCGAGTCAGACGCGGGATAATATTGCATCGAGAGACTGATAGTGGTTAGCCTCGCTAAACCAGGTCAGAATCGGGACTGGGAATGGCTTGGCGAGAATCCTCAATGTGTCATAACGTCTCGCCTTTAATACGAGCGAGCTATGCGCGCATCACAACATGAACTCGTGCGTCTATAAAAGGGAAGGCCCTGTACCACGTATCGTAACCCGAGGACCGCACAAGCCACTCGTTCAGATCACCGTCAGCATAGAACCATACCACTTACACTCAACTCGATCACCAACATGGCCATCTTCCGCACCGAGACCGATGGCGCCAGCCTCTTCTACCGTTATTACATCCCCTCCTCCACCCCCCACCGGCCCGCAGCCACCATCGCGCAGCAGCCGCTGACGCTGGTCTTCCTCCACGGCTGGCCCATGTCCTCGCGCATGTTCGACCAGCTGATCGTGCCGCTCGTCGAGACGCACCGCTTCCCCGTCATTGCCCCGGACCGCCGCGGCTTCGGCAACAGCGACTGGACGACGCCCACGACAGGCGAGGTCACCTTTGAGACCTTTGTCCGGGACGCCGTCGCTCTGCTCGAGAATGTCATGAAGCCGAACCCGGGCCCGTTCGTCTTTGTGGCAGCTAGCATGGGCAGCGTCGAGTCCGTCCTGGCGCGCGCCGCGAGCGGGTTCTTGCGCGAGCACTGCAAGGGCTTCGTGTGGTTGGGGCCCAACATGCCCTGCCCGGTTAGCTGCGAGGAGTCCCCCGGTGCACCAGGCCCCGAGGTCTGGGATGGGCTCATTCAGGGTTTGCGAGGGCCTGCCGCCAAGGACTTTATTGCCCAGTCGGTGCCGGGCCTGTTCCGCAACGACTTGGGGAACCAGGTCAGCCAAGACGCGATGCAGTTCTTTGAGAGGCTCATCCTCGAGGCCGATCCCGTGGCCGTCGAGCGGACGGCGGTGATCTTACAGAGATCGATGATAGAGGAGCTCAAGGAGTGGGCCGCGGCTGGTGCTGCCGATGAGAGGGAGAGGTTGGGAGTTTTAATACTCCATGGGGACTCGGACACGGGCATGCCGGTTGAGGCGAGCTCCGCTTTGATTCACAAAATTCTACCGTGGTCTCAACTCAAGGTGTACGAAAACGCGGGGCATGGTGAGTACTGAAGGTCGGAAAGGTGGTCCAAGGAATAGTTACTGACCTTAGTTCTAGGGATCTACTTGACACATGCGCAGCAGGTACTGGACGATATACTGGCCTTTCTTCAACCGATCATTTCTCAGCAACAACTTTAAACAGCCTAGACAACATAATCATCCGTAGAAATAGTATTGCATGAGACGGATCAAGGTCCCTTTCCAGTTTAGACGTGTTGCACTTTTACATACCTTGCAGCATTTACAAAGGGGGCCATGTCGCCTCTTAGGGTATTGCAGAGAGCGAGAGAGCAGTGACTTTAAGAGTATTTCAGACCAGTATAATCAGGCCACTGCTCTTGATAAGCAGCGGTTTGCATATAAATCTTGATTCCGTACCTCGATGACGATACCGATATACATGTAGACGTCCGTGGCAACGGCAAGGGACCGATCAATGTTGCCGACCCAGAGCTTGGCAAGCGTGCCGTACAACATTGAAGGCAGGCAAAAGCCGCCTAATTTCGGACAGCCACCTCATCTGGGGGAAGTGTTTGCCTCTAGCTCCTCGGTAAGTAAACTGCAGTGCTCATCTGCCAGCAAAGCGAAAGTAGAATGGTGTTGCACAGCCTCGTCATTCCGACAAGACGGACGGACAGCAATCGCTCTATGGCTCAGAAGTCCAGGCGATGCGCATGCATACATGAAATACATATTCAGGCATACGTGGCCATTGTTCAGCTCAATAGCCGACCATCCGCCCAGTATCCCCAACCGCCTTCCAACCAAATCTTGCTTCTTTCTCTCCACGACCGCCTCATAGCCTGCAGCAGCTTCGGTAGCTCGTGTGGAAGAAGTCTGCCGTTAAAAGTCCAGGAGCAATGCTCCACTCGTTCCATCACCTTTGCTGTTTCTCCCACGTAGCCGTCCCAGAAGACGTATCCCGCATCTCTCAGCAGGAGATTTGTACGGTCAAACACGGAAGCGTAAGGAACATTGGCGACTCTCCACAGTTGCGCTGGAAGCGTCGCTGCGTCATCAATCCCCTTCCAAGCGGCTTGGCCCTCAAGCCCCCGAAGGTCGTCGGCGTCCTCTACATTTGTGGCAGATCTCCGGACTACCGACTCGGTTAACGAACTTGCCATGGTGACGGTACGTTCATTGCCGCTCCACGTTCGGGACACGTCGGCCGAGTCCAGCAGGGATTTCCAGGTCTCGAACTCGTCGGACTGCCTCAGTCGGTAAGGAAGACCAAGACCGTTGAAGAGCTGTTGGCTGGTTAGGAGGTAAGTTTTGCCACGAGCAAGCCAATGCCGTCGTTCCAGAGAAAACAGCTAACTCACAAGGAACCGTCGATGGGGGATGGCGACACTCGGTTCGACCCAATCGACTTTCCGCCAACCCCATTCGACATCGTGGGCGGCTACGTCGTCGAAAAAGACCGAGATGACGGTCTCTAGGTACTCGAAAACACAGGCCAACTGCTCATTTGCCCAAGGATGCCAGGGCCAGAAAAAGCTTTCCAGCTCGCGCCGCATGTCCTCCAAACTCTTTCTCGGCAGTGTCGGCCTTGCCCAGTCTTCATCCTCACTCACCGGCGCCGTAAGGTTTGCCTGCCTCGCGCTCTTTATGGCCTTCCGTCCAAAGATGTTGCAATAAAGCTGAAAGCGGTAAAAGGCGCGCAAGATGCGGAGCTCCTCGGACGGCGAGCTGGTTGCAGGTCTTGTGGTCTCGAAGATGCGGCTGAATCGGGGTATTGCTTGCTGAGCAAAATCAGCGGTAAAGTATTCGACCATGAGGTGCACGCGCTCCATTGCCGCGACCATACGATGGGTGAGAGGCAATGGCGGCAGTCCCGGCGGCGGACTCGACGATTGAACTTGGCCAACATGAACCCGATCAAGAAGGCGCCGAATACGGTTCCAGTCCGAATAGTCCATTGACTCAGCCTCGTATGTAGCGAAGGATAGAGGCAATAGCCGTAGTGGAACCAAGCGGAGCAGGACTTCTTTGAGAATATGTTGTTGGAAGACTTGAAAAGTTGCATGGAACAGGGGATGTGCCAGAATTGCCGAGAGCAACGATCCCGAGTCGAGACAGGCTAGGATCTGGGCGACAACTTCGGCAGCCAAACCATGGATCGGATGGAGCCTCTCGTCCCGGGAGGCGCTGCGCAAATGGCAGAGGTTGTCTCTCGAGGGCGTAGTTTCTACCATTTTGATTCTCGAGGACGAAAAGATAGGTACGATCACGGATGTCCCGCTCACTCTGTAGGGGCCTGACGCGGGGTATAATTCAGCTGAGGCCGGCCAACCAAAAGCCCAGCTTGGGACGGCGGCCAACTGAATGGAAACCGGGCCGCGACCGATACGTCTGATATACAACCAACAGTTAGTACCGGCCAAGACCTCAGTTAGGGGCCGAGCGCGTTTGGCATGAGAGGACTATGGCCCTTTTAACCATGGAAACCGACCCCATATTGCTCTGTCCCTTTTGCCTGAGGAGCCTGCACCGCCGCCTTCATGTTGTTAAAGCTTTGCAGCTTCATGGTCATCGATCATGAAGACCTAACCAAGACCTGGCTTCTATTTTCTCAGCCAACCTTGGAGGTTTCGTAGTCTGGGTGAGACGAACGACGAGACACTGTTGGCCTAACGAGGAGGGCGGGTTTATCTTGTGGTTTGGGCAGCGGGCTTCGCTGTACTAGGGAAATAACTGTCTCAGTGCGGCGACCGGGTTGTGGCACTAAACAAGGCGATCCCAGAGTGGCCAGCCTCGAAAGACACGCCTGACAGTCCAATTGTTGTCGTAGACTGCTGGACTGGTTTTGATCCAAGTAGAGACACTGGAGATGGAGTCCATCCGAATAATCCGGGAAACGAGAAGTTGGGAAACTACTTGCGCGGACTGTTAAGGGCCACGATGTTGTATTGGGGGCGGAAGGACACCGGGCGCACTGAGTCACCGAGCCAGTTCCTCGGGCTGCGGGCACGGCGATGTCGTATTGTCGTGGTGAGTGTTTCAGTCGGGTTTGTTCAGGTAGTCGCTAACGTCCAAACTCCACTCACCTTGTCCCGACCATTACTTGGACGTGGAAAAGGGGGCACATCTGTTGATTGCATTGAGTGTTCTGCGCTGTGAGGTTGGGCTGGTACTGTGTGCCAGAAGTGCCTTCAAGACTGGTGCTCCGTTCCTCCAACAGAGGGCCAGGCACCACGTGGGCGAGCAGCGGGGGGAGGCTGTGCAAAAAAGGAGGCTGAGTATCCGTACATGGGTACATACCTACCTACAGGCGGGTGGTGTTTCTTGGCCTGCGGTCTGACTCATATCCCTAAATACCTAGGTAAGGTAGAAAGCACCAGAATCTCGCCCTCCTTAAAGCAAACCCGCTCGTTCATTACCTACTTTGGCTCACAGTTGATCGACAATTTGTAAACGCGAGTTAAAGGCTTCTCCCCTGTTGAGTCCTCCTCCCTTTGCGCAACACCAAGCGGTCGCTCAGAATGGCTCACCAAACATCAAACATTCCATGGAACATCTTGGCGTCAAACCTTCAATTTTCCCAAGCCAATCAGACCCATAATAGAAACCTCCATCTCCGACACAAGCCTGGCCAAGGCAAACGACTTCATTACTTCGTGGAAGCCTTAACCAACAATATCCACCAGCATTCCGCACAAACCCGTAAGAGATATCCCGAGCGATATGACGCACCACACTCTGACGACATCATCCTCGACGATGCTACTGTCAGAAAAGTCACCCCGACTGTCCACCGTTTGCGCTCCCACGCGTCTTGGAAAACAGAATACGAGCCATCCATCTTTCCGTCTCGCGGCGAGATCTGCCAACATAAAGGAGACACCGAATGTCGATGCCCAATCCCTTACGAGGAGAGAAAGGCTTCTTCGTTTTACCGGAGATATCGCCGGAATAAATGTTACCGGTTCCACGAGGACAACGGAGAGGCCTTCTTCAATCTTGAAGTTGTCAAGAGCTTGCTTTTGCATGGCGAAATGGACGTTATTTTCCGCGTGTGCGCTTACCCTGGGGTAGACCTGGGGACTTGGTGGGACATGTTTACGTGTTATTGCAATGTAAGAGAGAAACTCACCCGTCCCTGGCATTATCAGCACTTCAGTTTCATTGTTTCACCCCTTTTCCCCCTGTCAGTTGCCCCAAACTGACCCTTCTCAGCCGCACGACGTGGGTTGGGATACTCTCTGTACCAAAGCACTGCTGCCGTACATCGGCCTCAATGTCATTTTTTGCTTCCCGGAGACGTGGGACCCGGCATCTGGGATGACCGACGAAAAGGATTACCGCCAGATGAAAGTCTATCAGTATATGCTCCACCAATGCACCTTGTCAGGAATGACTTCCGAAGTCGCAACGCACCCACATCGACAGTTTTTCGGCATCGAGGATGGGCAGTTCCATAGTCACGGCGCGCTGGGAGGTCCACGTCCTCTCTACGGATCAGTGTCATTTGAACACTTCCTGAACTGTGAGACACCGACAGACAGCAGACCAGGACGATGCGATGTCCCTCAGGTTCAGGGGATTCTTTACAGCAAAGGATTGCCAATGGAGTTGGTCTTGGAGATCATGGATCTAGCAGAGTATACACCGAGAGGAAGGCTTTGGGTGCCGCATCACCCATTCCACCGAGGTAACTGGGATGAACTGGAAAAGTACTTGAAGTTCTGTTGGCAGGTGCTTGTCCGCTGCGACATGATGGCATCTGCTCTTGGCATGGTGATCCCTTGGCAAGAATTGGTATCCCAGACTCTCATTGAGCTCTTTGATTGTTGCACGGGACGATGGTGGACCCGAGACTGGGATACTCCAAAGGGCTACACGTTCTTGTGACTAAACTCCAACGCAGCTTTCGGATCCTGAAATCCTGAAAACATGGGAAAATCAAGATCCATTTCACAAATCTCAAGGCACAGGGCGAGATCTAGAAAACTTGGACTACGCAGAGTTCAATAACGTAACTAAACGGTGTTCAAGTAATGGAAAAAGGAAACCAGAGAACATGCCTAACCACAAATCTCCCCTCCATCTGGGGAAAAGCTGAGTCTTGTCAGAAATCAACTATCATGAAGACAAAGCGGCCATGTAGTGAGCTATCAGCTAAACTTGAGAAACACCGAACTAACCTCGCCGTCAACCAAGGACAAATAATCGGCAAGGGCGGACCCTACCACCTTTGAACGGGATAGCAGAAAAGGTTCGGCAACAAGGCATCCTCGGCATACTAGGCTACCACCCAAACGCCTCATCAACCAACACATACCGCCTTGCGGCGGGACCAAGTTGTGCGAAAGGCAAGATTTTGCATTGGGATGGCTCCGCAACCCCAGGCGTCCGTGTCAGACGTCAATTGTTTCCTGCTCAGAGCCAATCTAATGGGCTGGATTATCTGGGTATGGATGCGGCGGTGGCAGGATTCGGCTGACTGTGCCCAACTGGGCAGGTGACGGCGACGACGGCTGCACATGTGGGCTCGGGCCGATCTAAGTCGACGAGCTACGCATGCCGAGAACAGTTGACGACAATTCACTGTAGCTGTGTTACCCACCAACAAGAATGCCATTGCCCACTTCAGAAACTGAGCGACACTGCCTAATAGTTAGATGGATTAGAGAGGCCTGGAGCCCTTATTGTTTCCCCCACGTCCTCTGACTCCTCTCCATTAAGATGCGCGGTAGGCCACCAATGCGGCAGAAGTTTGTAACGACTCGTCCAAACTCAATGTCGATCCGTCTTACGTTGGATGTGGGATTTCCGAACACCGCAGCAGTCTGCAACACATCTCGATCACGATACACCAAGCACATGTCATGTCATGATGTTGTCACTCACTAGAAACTTGTATTATTGTAGCCTTGGCGGACCTTTTCAGCTCTGCTCGCTTCCCTTGAATTCTTCTGCACGGCATCGCTTTGGGCATCCAGCATCCATCCACACCTTTTGTCCCGGTTCTGGTATTCGTTGACACGACCAACCCCGCACCGGTAACATTGACTCCCCTTCAACCGATCCAATGTTTGTTATTTTGTGGGAGTGTGGACGAGCAAGAGGAAGAAGATTGGTTGTTCTATGGTGTTCGAATTGCATGATTGTCTTCGAGCCCGTGCCAATAGCAGTAGCCATTGCCGTGTGACAACGTCCTGAGGTAGCGACTTACCCTAAAAGTTCCCGCGTTAATGACGACAACCATAGAGAGCTTCTGGACTTCGCACGGCCGCTATCAGTTGAGGGCGAGGTGCAGAAAATGGGCGTGTCTGGCCCATGCTCAATCGGGATTGAATGTAGTAGACTGCGTCATGCATCGAATCGAGCGTTAGCTGTGGCTCCATCCTTCCTCGCTGCATGCTTTATTGTTTCAGGAAGAAAAGCAGGTTGATCCCTGGGTGATGGGGAGGCGAAACGTGTACATAAAGGCTCGGTATGTCCTGGCAAAACTCTAGGGATTAGCTAGAGTAATTTGCAGTTTCTCATCGACAACTTGCAACCAGTGACTCTCAAGATGGCCACCGAGGTTTATGTCATCACCGGCATCAAGGCAGGTGTTGTTGATAACAAGCCGCCACTTCGCTTCGAGGTAGACACTTGGTACCAGCCCGACCACAAGAAGCAGACGAAGGAGCAGTTGATCCAGAACAGTTTGTTCATCTGGGCTCTCAAAGCGTTCGAGGAGAAAGACCCCACGACGAAGCTCTCCTTTTTCTCGGTTGCCGGCATTCACGGATATCCCTATCAGCCATGGGATGAAGCAGACTACACGGCGGCGACAGCCGGTGCAGGTTACTGCACCCATGACAGTATCCTGTTCCCGTGCTGGCATCGTCCATACATCCTGCTTTACGAGGTATGTCTCTTGTAATGTCCTCGTTCTTCTCTTACTAATGATGTTTCCGCATCTAGCAAGCTTTGTATGAAATCATGATGAAAGAGCTCATTCCGGAGGTCCCAGGGACCGCGCAAGAGGAGTGGAAGGCTGCTGCGAACACGTGGCGGTTGCCGTATTGGGACTGGGCGCAGAAGAAGACTCGGCCGAGCGCCGACGGGTCCCAGACAAGACTCATCTATGATGTTCCGCTGATTGCCAAGTGGCCGAGAATCAGTGTGGTTGACTACAGGCAGGCGGACGTGGGGGTCATCGCCGAGATCGACAACCCCATGTACAAATTCACCATGCCCCTCGAAACGAAGATGGGCTCTTATGGTATCAACGACTTGCAAGACATGAACGCGGATAACCAACTACTCACTACTCCCGTGAGTGCATCTTCCCGACATACTCTGGTTTTAAGTTAACATGTGTGCAGTTTTCCAAGTCTCAAAGCTCGTCCCGTTGGGCGACCTTCGAACCCCAAGGGGAAGCAGTCTCGGCGAACTGGGTGGATGGCACCGTCAACAACGACCGTATTGCGGAAGCTCTCGAAGCTCACCCGTGGTACAACAACAACGCTGATGGGGTGCCACTCGCCGAGATGGTCTACCGGCTCTACGAGCCCGAGTACGTCAAGTCGTTCGCGCAGTTCGCGACCACCAGATTCCCCCAAGGCCAAGAGCCGGATCCCAAGGCATATCTAAATTTGGAATTCATCCATAACAACATCCACAACTGGACTGGTGGCCTCAGTGGTTTCACGGGCCACATGGGACAGGTCCCCGTCGCCGGGTTTGACCCCATATTTTTCATGCATCACTGCAATGTCGACCGACAGTTCGCCCTCTGGCAGGCTCTCAACGAACAGAACGCCGAAAACTGGTTCGATAACCTGCAGCCACCGTACGATGATGACGGGACGTGGAACATTCCTCCTGAGACTATCGACACACCTCAGACCGCCCTTGCGCCATTCCACAAGAATTCGCAGGGTGACTTTTTCAACTCGGACGATGTCAGAAAGTGGATTCCGCTGGGGTATTCCTATCCCGAGCTCCAGCCCTGGCTCGACAAGTACAAGGCGCCAGATGGAGCGTTTGACTACACCAAGTACGTCGAAGATATTCGCAATCAGCTGAAGGTCTTGTATCAGCCGCCCACGTCGCCCACTCTTCGCGAGTCGGTAAAGTCGGACATCATTGTCAACGTCACCTACGACCGGTATTTCTCTCCTTTCTTCCGCCCATATTCTAGAACCGCAATGATTAACAGGGATACAGCTTCGCCTTCAACGGTCTTCCCTACACCATTTACCTGTTCGTCGGCGACAAAGCCAAGTACGACAGCTACCGCGACGCCAACAACCAGCGGGTGCCGCCCCACAAGCACCCCCAGCACGTCGGATTCGTGTACACCTTCAGCAACCCCATCTTCGGCACTCGCACCGGCGGCCGCGGATGCAACAAGTGCCAGGCCAAGTCCCAACAGAACACACGCTGCCGCGGCCAGATCCCCATCACGGCCGCCTTGGTGGCCCGCGCCGGCCTGCTGCCGGGCACCGCGCCGCGCGAAGGGGGTGGGCCTGAGGGCATCCATCCCCTGCCCAACCTCGACAGAGACCAGGTTAACGAATACCTGCGCAGCTTCCTGCACTGGAATGTCAAGACGGTACGTCCCTACCTAACAAGTTTCCCCGCTGCGGAAACCGGGCCCCAGTGAGACAGGCCGAAGCTAATGCGAGCAACAGGCGGGCGGTACGGATGTTGCGGTTCCTGCTGAGGACGCGTTCATCGAGGTGGTGGCTTACCATCGCGCTGCCCGTTTGGATGATCGCTCGGTGGAGCCTTATCGGCCGCTGGAGGGGGCGACGCTGGGCAAACCTGGCGGTATCAGGTCGGGCGGCAGTTCTGTTTGAGCGCAAAGGGCTTTCGCGGGTTCGGTAAGTTTCACGGGAGCGGTTGGGTATGCCGCACAGAATGCACTTGTGTCTGGGTGAATTGTTAGTTACCTGGGTACCTACCTAGGTAGGTAGGTAGTTTGTGAGCCAGTTTGAAATTGATGCCAGCAGCTCTATCACGCTCTTTGTGCGTTCTTACATAACACGCATCCAAAGACTTGGCTTGAATGTTGAACGAGATGAACGGTGATCATCAGGTATGTCAGTCTCGTTTCTGGCCGAGGCGGTGTTGGGCGTGCTCTTGACGAAGAGGCGCGCGAGACTTCAGGGACTGAAAAGGTGTCCCAATTTACGAAGTATGTACATAGTACATACACTTTCTGCTTTTGGTTCGAAGCCTGCATCGGCAGGGTCACGCGAGCCAGCGAGCCACAAAACCGGGGAGTGCTCATGACAGCTCACCAAACTCACTCCCATTGGCGGGTGAGCCCGACCGCCGGAGCAGAGCCACTTCCTTCACTGATCTCCCCCGCGCTCACCCGGCCCGCTTTAAGCGGGCCGGTGGCGGGCCGGAGTTTTGGGTGTGGAGCCAACCGCGCGACCGTGAACCATTCTTCTGGGAATCCGCCCTCGACGTGGAGTGTAAGGTGGAGATCTCTGAAGATCTCACTCGTATAAGCTGTCGATCCTGCGAGGATACTTCATGCCGTCGCAGGCCCCGAATCCTGAGATTCCATGACAACAGACTTGTCGATGAATCAAGCCTGAATACGCGCTGGAAGGAATACGCTGAAGTGTAAGCTGCAGATCTCCAAGGATCCTACTCGTCCACGCTGTTGATCTCTCGAGGAGACTCTGTGTCGTGGCGGTCCCTGAATCCTGAGATGATGTAACAAGAGGCTTCTAGATGAAAGAAACCTGAATACGCGCTGGAAGGAAGACGTTCTGAAAGCTGAATACGGGCTGGAAGGAATACGCCTGCGTGTAAGCTGTAGATCTCTGAAGATCCTGCTCGTGTGAGGTGTTGATCTCTCGAGGAGGCTCCCGGTCGCAGGAGCCCCGGGATGCTCAGATTCTGTGACAAGCAAGAGGTTTGTCGATGAGAGTGCTACGACTGCGGATATATAAACCAACTTCACATCCAGTGAAAGGCATTTCTTCATTCACCAGAACCAAACAGTTCCCAACCTCATCCAAATCATTCTTTCGATCTTACTTTCAAGAAAGGCATTCTTGGTACACTTCAACGTCTTGAAAATGCATTTTTCCAAGGTCCTCATCACCGCCGCCGCCGTCTTCATTCAAGGCAGCCTTGCAGTCAAGGCCTTGGTCTACGCGGACTATGACTGCAAAGGCGAGGGCACCGATGTCAAGGTCGACAATAGCGCAGCCTGTGATGGAGATGTCCCCCGATTCAGGTCTTACAGGGAGAATGGATGGGGACCGGGCAACGGGCAGAGAATCGCCTTCTACCAATCCGGCTCATGCACCACCGACTCGTTTTTATACGACACATACTCACGCAATGGAGATTACTTCAAATCAAAGCAATGCTACAACATCAAGGGTCATTCGGTTTCGGACACCGCTGCGAGTATGAAACTCTCCTAGCTCGGTGTGTTGGTTTGGCTCAGGCTAGGGGCGTCGACTATGCGCATCGAGCACGCCATCAACCGCCTTTCTAGCTCCCGCGCGACCGGCATCGCCTCTTCGACCGCGGCCAAAAGTCCTGGAAAGGCTAGAAGATGAAGGCATTGTTACGGCACTGGCCCACGCGGCTGGGGAGGGGGATATCATGTGTGCAGTCATATGATGAAAGTTGGATCGTTTCAGAGGAGGCGTATAGACACGGGCTCTTCTATGTTTACTTCATTCTGTCGTTATCTTACTATGTTCTCAATCGAGATGTACTGCAGCTATGCCTCCTTTGACACTGTGCCTCTAGATTCAATCAATTCGAATGTCTTTACCAATCCTACCTTCACTGATCCCGTCCTCTCAATGGCTTCGGTAGAAACACAGTTTTTTCTCGCCACCTGACGCGGCTAAAAGCCGTCGCGGAGCTATATTCACGTTGAAGTAAGCAATATTTGCCGACACACCAAACTCATCACAGGATCCGAGCAACTTCAGGAACTTCTTCCATTCCGGTAAAGTAATATTTGGCGAGCATCAACGTCCTTCGCACCGACATACCCGCTGGTATTGGAGACGGCCCATGATCAGCCCGACCGGCATTGTATTGATCTCGACAGTACCGAGAAAAACCAGGAAACCGCCATACTTGAGCATGCTATACACGTGCTTCATTGTGTGTTTCCAATGAGTAATTATTAGGTGGCGTAGAAGCAGTGCGATGCCAAAGCCAAGTCGTATAGGTGCCCGTTGAAGCTTTGTTTTCCGCTCACGTACCTGTTGCCGCGGCCCTGTTTGCACTTGTCGTCGCACACGGGCGAGGGGGTGGTTGAGCTGGCTGGTGGAGTGGTGATTATGCCAGCGTTGGGGTCCTGGCGGTTCCTGAAGTCCGGCGGGATGCCGGCTAGTTCCGGGCTGCAGTTTCTAAAAGCCCGGGCAGAGTGAGCCGCTGCAGCGGTTTTCGTCTGCGCCGTAGGTCGGTGATGGCGTTGGGCCCGACTTGTAGTCGATGGATGTATCAGCGTCCGGTTGAAGGGGCAGCTAACTCCGCCGTGGCTTTGCCGTTTGTGCTGTTGCCGTTGGGCAGCGGTTGGCAGGCGCGTTACAGTCCACGGGCTCGCTAGGGCTGTCGGATAGACTGCTGCTGTCGTCCGAGACGCCCTGGCAGGCAGTCGCGGCGTCCCAGGTGGCGCGGGTGTCGTAGCGAATGAGGCGACTTTTGTCCTTGACCTGCCCATTCCAGATGACGGGCTTGCTGCGGCCGGAGGTGTCAAACCGCTTCTGGCGCTGGGCGTCCCAGAAGCCGTATCTGCTGTCAACGGTTGGATCAATCCCTTGCATGTAATTGTTCGCCGCCGCAACAAAGACGACACCCAACTCGTCGAGCTCGCCCAAGACCTAGCTTGTCATTCTTACGGCCGAGTCGGTGACTTTATTGCGATACAACAAAAACGTGGATGAACGGTGTACGGCATTAAAAGTGTAAGCACCCCAGCCCATCTATACTAGGTAAGGTACTCTAAAACACTTCTAGTTCTCAGTGGATCCCTGCTCTTCTCACACTATTAGTCGATCTCGAGATATCTGTAAAGAATAAGTCCAGCATCTATATCGTAGACTTGGATCTCATGCTACACCGGTATTGGTTCTCGACGAAGAGGTTTATATATATGAACGACTCCGCGTGAAGATAGTAGTAGTTCTCGTCATAGCCGGTGCAACTTCGACTCGGCCTGGAGCTCTTATCGGGTGTCTGTGCTACGAAGACGTAGAGTTTCATCTCTTCCGGCCTGTTCTCGGTAGTAGACGGACACGTGTTGGGCTAATTAGTGGTCAAACTAACGTAACCAAGATTAAGAGGTCTGCTGGCAAGTCAAGGCCAAAGAAGTACGGATTCTACGAAGAGGACACCCTCTTCTATAATTCTGTCTTGTACATAGAGAGTATTGCCTTTTCTGATATGGCATTTGAGGGCTTGAATGACCCGGGGGTCCGGCGGCTTCGGACACGCCCACACCACGGGCCGACGCCACCCGCTGACCGGGGGAGTCTCGTTCAACATTTCGTGCATGCTTCTCCGCGAGTGGAGGTCGATGTGAATTGTGCGTCGTGGAGAATCATCGCGCGGAGCTCGGGGGCGAGGTTGAAGACGAGGGATTGGGGTTGCCGCGAGGGTGGGCCTTTGGCGGCCGGAGCTGGTGGAGGCGAGAGCAAAGGCGGTTGTGGGTATACATAGGGTGAGATAGTACGTGTGTACACATGCTTATCGGCTGAAGCACATTTTTAGCGGTGGTTGATGGATGAGGAATAGGAACAATAACCAAAGCGTGAGAAAAGGGTGAAAAAAAGATTGGGAAAGAAAAGAGAATAGAAAACGTATGAAAAACAACGGTGAAACATGAGGCAAAAACGTATCTTGACAAAGACGAGATTCGAACTCGCGCGGTTTCCCACTAGAGAAAATCAAGGGATTTCCTAAATCTAGCGCCTTAACCACTCGGCCACTTTGCCATCCAGATGTTACTCGTAAAGCGCAGTTTAGGTAGGAGTATGCGCTGCCGACGATACCTTGTCTCGATAACAAACGAAAACGAACCCCTCGGGGGGGACCGCGACACGGACCCCTGAATCAGAATATTCCCCCTGCACCCGCCCAGCGGTATTTGACGCCGGCCTGGTCCGGTAAGAGAATGGCGGAAATCCGTCGTGTAGAGCAGCACGATTCGGCATTCTCGGCAGCTCCGGACGTCAAAGTCAAGTCCGTTTCTGGCAATGGGCCTTTGCTCGCCGAGAGGTGGGCCAACTGCCACCCACCCGGAGCGACGTCAACCCTGGAACCGAGCAGGGAATCTTGGGGTATGCAGCAGGTGTTGGGGGCGCCAAACGGTGGAATGTAACAGCACTACCGGGTCTTCCAATGACAGATCTCCAACCTTAAATGAGGATCCTAACGTAACCGCTTACAAACCCCGATGCGGGGGATGGGAAAGGGCTGGGGAACCGCAGGGGATGAGGTCAGACGGCAGCCAGAAACAAAAGGATTGCGGGCCGAGTCAAGGTCGAGGGGCAGCAAAGCCAGCAAAAGATGTGAGGACCAGAGGTCAGTGCAACCCATCTAGAGCTTAGCTTCACATTGGGTGGCAATTTACGCGCGAGTAGGGTTAATGACGGTTAATATCGACAAGGTCCCTTCTGGCAGCAGTGGGTGAACGAAAGAAGCAACTAGCCTGATCACCGGACTTCCGCACACGTGCCACACGGCGAGATGACAGATCGAGGAGGAGATATGGCTGTTGGTTGTGACGTTGTCAAATCCCAGTAACCGGGACATAACACACCTGCCTACCCCGGAACTAGTACCGTAAAACTCCGGGGGGGCATCCGTGGGACTAATCGGGCGATCCATGGACGGGGCCTCCGTGGAACGCCCGGAGGGACTTTCGGGACATTCAAGGAGGTGTGATAATGACGCGTTGGCATCCCGATGGCTGAGTATTTATCTGATTGATTACCGCCCTTTGGCGACGTGCCCATCTATAAAATCAAACCAAATCAACCTCGCACATCCTCCACCATCTCCCCTCCCTCACCTTACCCATAATCAAACCCAACACAACCCACCTCGATACCCATACCCACCCTCCACAACCTCCCTCCACCTTCAATCCAAGCAAGCCAACAACAACAACCACAAAAGACAACACCAACAATGCGTACCGCAACCCCCCTCCTCCTCGCCCTATCGGCACTCCTCCCCAGCACCCTCGCCAAGGACTTCACCGGCTTCGGCCAGCTGCGCACGCTGCACATCGGCAGCGACCACTCGGACCTGGGCTGCGTGACCAGCGCCGGCAAATGGACGACCGACGAGTCGCAGTGCGGCGTCTTCTCGGCCGAGCAGCTCGCCAACGGCCAGTTCCAGCTCTTCGCGCCGCAGGAGGCCGGCGGGTGTGGGATCGAGGTGGCCACGTTTAAGTGCGGGCGGGAGGTTAAGGGTGGCGTTTTTGGGGTGCGTATTTTACCTTGCCTTACTTTGCCTTGCCTTACTCGTCTCTTGCCCGGAAGGGGGTTGCTGCCGGTGTTGCCGGTTGAATGATTGTGGCTAATGTCTTGTGATTGATAGACTTTCGGGACAGCAGGGCCTATTCCCGGGCGTGAGGTGCTGAGGTATGCGCAGTACGGTGTCCTGGCCACCAATGCGCCCGACAGCCCGCCGTCGCCGAAGGATGCGCCGTTGGATATGCACTTCTACAGTGGGAGTGAGAAGGGCAAGTGGGTGTGGCTGGGGTGGAAGCCATTCTATGAGCACCAGGAGGCATGAGGTTCATCCCGGGTTGGGTCTCAACATGAATAATCCTTACGAACAGTCCAATTTGCATTCTCATAACATCGTTAAATAGTTGTCACATGAACATAAAACAATCTTCGGTTCCATCCTCCAAGCACCCCTCCGCACTTCCTCGAGTCCAGTTGAGATGCCTCCGCTAATCCCCCCTAACCCCTGAACGCCTTCTCCAAATCAGCAATCACCATCTTCCTCGAATGCATCATCACATCCGTCGCCCTCCCCGCCGCCGCTTTATCCTCACTCGCGAGCATCTCCTTCAGCGCGGTCGGCACAACCTGCCACGACACGCCGAACTTATCACCCAACCAACCGCACTGCTGCTTGGCTGGGTCGCCGCCCTCGCCCAGCTTGTCCCAGTAGTAGTCGACCTCGGCCTGGTCGGCGCAGTCGATCTGGAATGACACGGCCTCGTTGAACTTGAAGTGCGGCCCGCCGTTGAGCCCGACGAACCGGTGGCCGTCGAGCTCGAACTCGACAGTCAGAACGGTGCCGGGCTCGTGGCCGTGGAATTCTTTGCCATTCTCGAGGTAGTGCTGGGTGCTCACGACCTTGGAGTTGGGGAAGATGGAGGTGTAGAAGTTGGCGGCTTCCGAGGCTTGGCCGTCGAACCAGAGGCAGGTCGTGATTTGGAGTTTGTTGAGCGACATTCTGAGTTGGGATGGATGCGGTGAAAGCTACCTATATGATCTCGTTGAGCTTTGGTGATTGTTGCAGATTCCAATACTGAGGCCGGTGGAATGTTGGGGAAAGCAAGTGCTGGAGAATAGATCCCGATGCTCGAGACAAAGGGGCCCCTTTAAATCTTCAACAGTTCCTCCTGCTCCCCCTCGTCATCGAGTGACCCAAGCTCGATCCCCTCCTTTCTTGGCACGCCACTCCTTAGGCATCCATCACCACCACGATTAAAGAGGCACGAATGAGAGGACTAGCGGCAGGCAACGCGCTATGGTTTCCCGTCGCGTCAATGAAACGGGGAAATGGGCTGCATCTCGATGTCCTTGGCACGTAAGTGGCGCGCTATCAGGTGTGTTGATCAGTAATCAAGCCGGTTCTGGTTGAACTTGATTTATTTCCTGAAGCAACAGTTGTTGCACAATTTTTAGGCAGAGTTTTGGAGTTTGTGGGTGGAACTCGAATTCGGAATGCATCAGACCACTTGCGGCCATCTTGGCCCTTGATTTCGCCCACTGCTCCATCCAACCGTCCCTTTGTCATCATGGTTCCTCGTGCAGAAGGGAAGCAAGACTGGATTCAGTACCTCTGATGATTAACAAAGGATCTCTATTGACGTCCTCTTCTTATGACGCATCCCTGACCTGTGTGGCCACACAGGTGCTTCGCTGGGTATGTACCTAAAATACTCCTGACAGCATTTATTCAACGCCAACGCATACATAATGCCCAAGGTACAAGTACTCGCACTGACTGCCGTAGTTCGCGTTCCAGTGGTAAAAGTTCTCCCCGAGGTCGAACTTATCAATGATCACAGCGCAGGTGTCCCCCTCGGCAACCTCGTAATACTTGGTGCAGCCACAGATGAGCCCGGGCTGGGTCGGTGTCGGCGCCGTCGGGTTGCACGTCTCGGTCGGGCTCGCGCTGGTTGAGCTAGGGGTCGGCACCTCGGGCGCCTCAACGCAGTAGTACCACCCGGCCAACAGGTTGCTGCAGTCGGCCCTGACCGCCGGGTTCCAGAAGAGGAAATCGTCAAATGTGAAGGTTCCAAAGGAGCTGGCGATGTCGACGCAGATGTCACCGGTCTCGGCGCGGTAGAACTTGGTGCATGACTCGATCAGTCCGTACTGAGTCTGGGTGGGCTTAGGAGCTGCCGTGCTGCTGGGCGCGGCCGTGGTAGTGGCCGGAGGGGGGATGCCGTAGTTGACTTCGATGCAGTACGAGTTGCCGATCTTGATGCCGCTGCAGTCTGACTTCACGCTCGGGTTCTGGGAGAGTTAGAACGTGGTTCAAGTAGGGGGGATAGGTTGCTACTAATACTACACACCATTCTGACAAACTCTTCTTCCGAAATGCCCCACCACGATGCGAAGTGGGCGCAGTCGTCCGAGGCAGTTCTAGCGGTGTCGAAGTAGGTACAGTCCGCGGCAGTGTCGGGTTCGACTGGGCCTTCACGGCCATCTTCACCATCTTGTCGTTCGACCCTTCTGTGTCCTTGACGCAATCCAGCAGCTCCGGCGATCAACAACCCCTGAAGAAGGGCAAACGAGAGGTGCATGATGGGCAAGAAGACCAGGAACTTGAAAGTCTGTGGTGAAGTCTCCTCGTTGATCTTCGCTACCACTAGAGTTCCAAGAGTTTAGAAGGCGGGCAACGGCTGACTTTAACATGAAATGACTCCAACAAGGTTCAGTCTCTGCCCAGGCCGTATGCTGCATTGCCCTTGTGTTAGGGCTCACGCCCAGGCAGAAACCGACAGAATTGAGGCTCACAACCGCCGGGTTACGACTCAAGACGGCCGGGATGTTCTCGTGTAATATCAGTGACCAATTACCTTGGGGCAAGCTGACGGTGGTGGCGACCAAAACGCGGTTCTGGGGAGGAGATTGTGAACTCGTTTCGGTCGCACAGTGGCATTGGGATCGAAATCCCAGCATGCCAAGCAGCCTTTGACAAGAGTGTGACTCTGGGTTCGACCGCGAAGAAACCGACACGCCTTTCTCCGAGGTCAACGACTCAAAGCCTGGGAGTTGTAACCAGTTGGTGTCCCAGACCCCCTTCGTTAGCGACAGTCTTCAATGTTAGCATTTCTCTGCATGAAACCGAGCTAGGTGGCTCAACTGGCTCTCGAAACATGTGACTTCACGTAGGAGTAATATCCGTGACCGCCAACGATAAGTTGTGAATAATTACCTCACTCTTGCAGCCCTTGCGCTGGAACATCCGATCAAGCACACCTTTGCTGTCATCTAGATTTTGGATACGAACTTGCTCGTGCTTCACTCCCAAGCATCGCCACGGTTGGGTAAACCCCCTCTTCGCACAAGGCCCTAGCATTAGGAAATGATCAATAGGTACTTAGTTTCCAAATAATCGTCCACCCTACACATTCTAATGCACTGTTCTTGGCTTCGAGTTCGGTTGACGTCACAGTACGAGGCCGTATAACGAGTGCATCGTGGCGGGTCGTTCTTGCGAATACTCCGGGTGTAGGCAGAAAGGGGCAAAGGACGCGGCCGGGTCAGCTGCGTTTGGCTTTTGATAATCGGCCTGTTCAGGCTATTACAAGAATGCCATGTTTCCTAATCCTGGTACCTACCTACATAGGTAGATAGGCCGGCACAATCCAAGTTCGTTGCCGGCAAGCATCTGGGGACAGAACGTTAATAAAGCCCGCCATTGAACGGACTCGAAACTGACGTTTGGTAGCAACAAGGTGTTTGTTCACCCAAACACTTTGGTCAAGGCAAATAGAACAAGACGAATAAAACAAGGGACATATGGATTCCACGTAGCACTACTAGTACTTACTCCTAATGTGGCCGCCCCCGAAATTTCAAGCTTCCCTTCGGCTCATGTTCGACTCTCTCCCCTCGACTACGTTTAGATCTGCAGTAACCCGACAGCAACCCCAGAATGGGCTCCACACACCCGGTTACGGCATGTCAGAAACAATCATACACGAGTTAGCTTGCCTCCTGGAACTTTTATGGTACTGTATCCTCATATTCCTACCTGTCTTGGTCGCCTTTGGGATAGAGTCCTCTCCTTCGGTAATAGGGTCGTGTTTCGTCCTATCCTACCATCTAATGCACATTTTCACACCATGCCAGCTTTGCTGGGTCTACGCCATCACTGGCTGCACATGGTGGCTTTGGAGTGCGTACCGGAAATATCTGGATACCGTCCAGAACCTTCATGGAAGGCCAGTAATTACTTTTAAGGGCTGGTGCGCCCTCACAACTCTCACGGCCCTTGCCCAAGTCGATGTGCTCAAGCCTCCAAAGGTCAAACCCAGCGAATTCTCTAACCATGGGTATCTTCCTACCCTCCTTGAAAGACCAGGGAGGCGGCCAGCTGTCGAGCGCGCCGTTCCCACCGAGCAGCTTAACCAGCGCGCCTCGCGGGCAATGTTCTACGAGACCAAGACGCTTCTCGGCGCTTACGCGGCGACACACCCCGAGCACCTCCAGATCAAGCGGTCCTACCTAGAGCCCGAGAACGAGGCTCTTTGCTGGGATATCGGGCGCCGGCCCGCCGGAGCTATCCACCAGCGAGAGGAATGGGGCGGTGAGATCGCCCATGTCCACGGTGTGGATGGTTCCGTCCACGTTGTTTTGCACCCCGAAGATATTGCGGTGGTGATAGAAGCGGGGTGGGGTGAGAGGCATCCCCTGTGTGCAAATGACAAGCGGTGGTTCAGGTTATTGTTTCACGGGTTCATGGAGCAGCGGTTGCCGGTGCCCGAGGGGCTGGTTCTGGTCTATGCGCCGCGAGATGAAGGCGAGCTTCAGGTGCTGGATGCCATCTTGGAAGCGGCGGTTTGGTATGCCACGCGGGGTGAGCTGCCCCCGGTACGTTTCGGTGCCGAACACCCGAGGACCGAAAACCAGAACAGTGCCCGGTCAGGGGGCGAACCAAGGTGGCGTCAGTGCTGCATGTCCCCGCGGAACTGCACCGCGCTCCCGCCCCCATCAGGTTCGTGTGTCTGCACCTGTTCGTGTGCCGCCGCTGAAGAGTGGGCGGCTGCCACCAACGAGCTGCAGCTAATCACGTTGCCAGAGGCGGACCTGGCTCTCTTGAACCCCGATCGGGTATGGTCGACACCGGAGTCCGTCACACCGTGGGGGGCTGACCCGGAAACAAGCAGTCCGCCGCCCCCGTTCGAGCCCCTCAGCTTTCCGGGATACGCATGGCCGGGGTACGCATCCTTTGGACAAACCCGTTTCACATCAGACGAGCACAGAACTTTCGACAGAGACGACGTCAAGCAACAACAAGGCTCTTGCTCTTCCAAGTTTTCTCTCGGGCCCGACTCTGGCAGAAGCCTGGGTGGGCCGCCGGCTTCCCCGCCATCATGCAGTGACGTCTCGGAAGAAGAAGCGATCAGCCCGTCAGCCGGGGCGAGTGGCGGGTTGCATCCGGGGAGCGCGGAGGGACATTTCGCTGCGCTGGCGGTGGGACACCACTGGTCGCAGAACCAGGAACAAGGGGAACAAAAAGGCGAGGTGACGATGGCAGGTGAAGACGACTTTACAGAGGACGATTTCTTTTGAATGGCTGGATCACTGGAGTCATTTCTTTGGTGTCGAGAGATGCCTCCAGTTGCCGGTGGTGGAACATATCTACTCAGCCCCTTGGCTGCAAGTTCGCGATCTCAACCAAAGGCTAACTCAAAACGGTGTGACAGTTCCCGGTCGTTGGATTCCCGACTCCAAGTGTAAGTACAAACCCTCAATCCGACTCATAGAACGCTACATACTTAACCACCATCCCAGTATCAATGCCGGTTGACGTCTCGTCGTTTGTATTGCCGTTTTCGGGAAGGACTGCTCGGTTCCAAACGCGACGTTGAGTACCGGATAGTAAGCCTGCCATGCGATTGTCGCCCAAATGTCCTTGCTGGGATGGGAATATCGCTGCCTTTGACTTCGTTGTATTTGTTGTCGTCCATGAACCCTGTAGAAAGTCATTATCCGTTCATGAGTGTTAGGGTTAAGAAGAGTACGAACACTGCAACGTCTGCTTCGTCCAGTCCGGGTCGGTTCGATTAACCTTGATTGCCCATGTGTGGTATACTGGTTATACGCATCTGTATTATTCCTTTGCGTCTATTGATCCCATTACCTTTGCTGTTATACTAGCCGACCCCGGCGACGTTGCTCTTTATACTGAGTTTACTGGTCTAAAAAGCCGAGGTCTTCAGACGTGAGTTTGATTCGGTGTTGTTCACTTACTTATCCGTGAAAGGTAGTCGAGTAGAATGGTGCTAACCTGCCTTGCCACGCTCTTCAGTTGGATAGCAGTGGGGGGCTTTGACTTCAGCGACCCAGGAAAGGCAACACATGGGACATGGTATGCGCTCTCATATATTCGGTTCGGGACATTCTCGGCAGGACTTATATACTGACCTCTGTCTTCTCAGGAGCAAACTTGTCTCGACCGCCGCCAACCGCGCGGCCTTCATCGACTCGTTAAGGGAATTTATGAGCAAGTATGGATTCCAGGGAGTAGATCTCGACTGGGAGTATCCAGTCGACCCCAAAAGAGGAGGCGCCCCGGAAGATACGGAAAATCTAGTACTTCTTGTCCGGGAGATGCGTGCTGCGTTCGGCAGCGCGTATGGTATCAGCTTGACACTGGCGCCAGACTACTGGTATCTCCGATACTTTGACGCCAAGGCCATGGAGAGTTCGGTGGACTTTTTCGGTTTTATGGCTTATGATGAGTGGATGCTTGAGCTCCGTGCTTTTTGAGTGATTCCCATATCGCTTGATATTATTATGAAGCTGACCCTTGCCAACCCCCAAGACCACGGCTTTTGGGACCAGGACGTGAAAACGCTAGGTTCAATCGTCCGTGGCCAGGCCGATATTCGTGACATCGCAAACAATACGGTACCTTTGTGGTTTGCCGAGCTGGACCCCGCCAGAATCAACTTTAGGCTGGCGCTATACGGACGTGGGTATACGGTAGCAGACGCGAGGTGCAACGAACGCGCTCGGCTGCTCGTTCAAAGGTCCAAGTAAGCCAGCTGCCTGTACTAACAGCGACGGAGTAATGTCGTTAGTCGAGATTCAACAGCTCATCAAGGAAAAGGGGTTGACACCTAAACTCTTACCTGAAGCCACGATGAAGGAGATCACCTGGGATGATCAGTGGATTGGGTACGACGATGCCGACACCATCAAGCAAAAGAAGGCTTGGGCGGATAATCAGTGGTTTGGTGGCACGATGGCGTGGAGTATCGATTTCAACTCGGGAGCTGGAAGTGGCCTGACGCCCGTGAATACCACCAACGGGAGTTGTGGGAGGGGCAAAGGACAAACAGTGTGCGGAGACTGGCCAGATGGCGATTGCTGTTCCAGGCATGTCTAGCTCTAGCACCCCTTTCCGATTCCAAACTCCCTGCTAACAGCAATTGTTTGCCTAGTTCCGGCTGGTGTGGCAAGACGGAAGCCTTTTGTGGTAGCGGCTGTCAGTCGGGCAGTTGTATTCAAGGTGCCGACACGAATGACGGGACCTGCGGTGTCAACCACAAAGGAACAAAGTGCGGAGATTGGAAGGATGGCGGTTGTTGCAGTCTGGCTGGTTACTGCGGCGCTACCAGATACCACTGCGGTGTGGGCTGCCAGCAAAGTTACTCGGGAAGAAGATGCGGGTGGAGGGATTTCGGCAAGGAGCAGTACATTGACATTGAGGACGGTACGGTATAACGCGGCTATCAAGGGGAGGTGGCGACGGAACTGAACTTGAGGGTTGTACGCTGCGGACCTCGTGAAACTACAGAGAGCGAAAGGGGCCCGGATGGATGGAGGAGAAGGAGGATCACGGCCAGCAACGGGAGTCACCAACGCCAAGAGAAACACATGGCATCGCCATTGCCTGCATTTTCATCTCTCATCTCTCATCTCTCATAACGATACTTCACGGCTTGGAATTTGCCACCGTTGTTTGGAAGTTACCCGGGAGTCATGCCAGATTCAGTCAAACCCGGCCTTGACGGCAAACACACCGAAATCGGGATCCTCCCCGGGGATCGCTGCGTAACGGGCGGTGCAGATCGGGATGTGTTCACGGCTAGTCACTCGGCGCCGTGATGCTTAACGTGGAAGGTGGTAGACCAAAGCAAACAAGTTCTCCCAAGCCTCTCCCCGTTGCACTCAGTTGTCAGTTCCAAGCCAGGACCGACCTTCTAACTCGCCGCGAAGAGCCGCCGAAAGCCGGACCAGCGTACCGTGGCCTTGATCTGTTCGAGTCACCCCACTCTTCTTCCCCCGGACTTCCTCTTTTTGTGACTACGCCGAACCAACTCCATCCACCGCCCGTCATGAACAGAGCCTCGTGCTCAATATTTCCAGAACCGAGAGCAGTTTGCGTTTGACAGCTGGGACTCAGGAGCAGAATTTTACAACACACTTTTCCGTCACAGAAACAAAGTCGCACACAACGTGGCAGCCTCGGCTGAGTCGTGTTTCTCAGAACCACCAGACCTCCCGTTGTCATCCCGACTGGCCAACAATGACGACAGCCACTTTTCACCCATTTCCTCGTCTCCCATTCGAGCTCCGTTCTCGCATCTGGGGGCTGACGGTCGAGCCGCGGACTGTGCATGTTCGCGTCCGGCACAACGAGGCCCTTGTCACGAACGATGCACCGAACGGGAGGAGAACCCGGCGCAGGGGGAAACGCCCCAGCCACGTCATGGCTCAAGTCCCACGTCTAGTCACATCGACGCCGGTGCCAGCAACTCTGCAATTGAACTTGCCGAGAAACTCGGAACCTCGGCCTGTACCAACAGGCCTTCTCCGAACTGACCACACAGGAGACACGTTATGTCTGGCTGAATTTGGAGATCGATATGATTTTCATCGACACATTGTCCCGTTTGGAACACTTCAAACCGGTTGCACATCTGATCAAGCGACTGAAGATGGAGCGGGAAAATACAGACGAGAGTTTCTACTACTTCGAAGCAAACGAAATTCGCAGCTTTGCCAATGCCACGCAAATTCACGTCGTGTGTGGAGACGGGATAGAAGCATGGCATCAGGCATCATGGGAGCACCACTGGCCGTGTGGGAGGGAAAACCTTTTCCTCATTGACAAATTTGATGGTCGGATGATGAACAGTGTCGAGTTGGACGAAATGTGCGACCAGGAATTGAAGGAGTCAATGGCGGCGGAACGATACGATGATACGGAGACCGGTGAGCCTTTCAGTGAGGGCGAACGATAGAAATTACATGTCTGCTGCCAGATCATTCTACTCCTTTCATCTTCGATCCTTCAAACACCTTCCTACCTCGCCCGACACTTGACACTGGTATCTGCCACCCGCTTGTACGACTTGATGACCTGATAGTGCTCCCTCGCCGCCTTGGCCTCCGTGTCGTCCGCGCCATAAAACTTGCTGATGAAATCTTTAATCTTTCTTTTGGCCCTAGGGACGCCGCTGGCTTCGGCTTGCTTGGCCGTCTCACCCCAATCCACCGTGTACCACTCATCACCTGTCGCCGGATTCTTGCCCAGGTCCTGTTTGTAGACTGTCATCTCGCGGCCTAACTTGTCGTGTGCCGCTTTGTACCTAGAGCCTCTACGTACTGAGTTATCTACTAGGCTACGTATTAGACCGAAAGTTCCATCATTCGGCATACGAGGAGCTGCAGGCAATCTTTCTTAGCATCGCTTATCTTGTTTATAATGGGCAGTCGTTGTCGCAGCTACCCTTGGGTTGGCATTCTTGATCAAGATGATGCCGTGAATGTCCGCGCGAATGACAAGATCGAACTCGCCAACGCGGTCGTTCTTGGCCAAGGCACCCGCCATCTTTGATTCATACGTTCCTAGATATCTACCAGAGGACGCCGGATGTTACCCTTCAACTCGAGCATATTTTCTATGGCCATCTTGCTATTCGTCACCAGATAACTCGACTCAGTACGTTTATAGGCGGTAATAATAGTACCTCGAGCCGCGCTGCTCGAGCATGCAGTGATTTCAGTAGTCCTACTGCCATCGTCATGTGGTCTACCTACCCCGGCCGCCATCGTCGTCGTGGTGCGGATCAGCCGGGATGCGATACTCCCGGTTTCACTGGTCCCTATACTCGCGGCCCTACGTGATGCTGGACACGGTCCGTAGGGGCCCGGCGAACGGCATCGGAAAGCGCTACCAGTCGTAAAACATCATCCTGTTCATGTTAGCCATGTTCACAATTTAACGGACCCCCTTGTTAAACTTACATATATGAGATATTCCATGATGTAAAAGAAGTACTCAGTCTCTTCGTAGTCATAGCCCACCTCTTCGATAGCCTCGCGAATGATCAAATCCTTAGTGATCTCGGTCCAGATCTCGCGACGCTTCGAGGTCGGCGGCGGGTGATCAGGAGAGTCCCCGTCGTCGCGGCCGGGGATGAATCGACAGCGCCGCACGCCGCTGTATTTCTGCCAGGTGACTTGGGCCGAGGTACCGCCTGCACCGTCCAGGCGCACACGCTCTGTGCCGGGGGGCACGTCTATGATGACCCAGTCCCTTACAATGCTATGGCGAGTCTCGATGCCACGACGCGAGGTATATATGTTACTTTCCGCATCGCGCTCCCGCTTCTCGCCGCCGGGGTCAGAATTGCGCCGGGCATGGTTCAGTCCATCTTTGGGGCGCCCTTGGACATTCCCCGCAGCCTTCGTCGCTGGGATGTCGTCGAGCCACGACTGTTTGCGGCCCTCGACTTCGTCGGTTTGGTCATATAGCGACGCATGCAATTCTCCTAGCGTGGGCCGCCTTGAAAATCCGCTATCACTGCCTTCGTTGCTGTCGGAACGGGGGTAAGGTCCCACATTAGTGCCAGGATTCGCAAATATGCGGCCGCTCTCTCCGCCGCTAAGGGAGCTCTTGACATCAGAATTTCTGTTGTCGCTGTCAAAGCTGCCCGATTTGTCTTGACTGCCCACTTCTTTGTTGCTCTCGCTGTCGTCGCCATCGCTGTCCTCCCCTCCTGCACTCGTGCTAGGTAGAGGAAAGAGTGCGAGCTGCTCGAGGTGCGCTGCAACGTGTGAGGCGTAATGTTTGTCCGATGTGATCTTAAAGGCAAGACAGAGCGGGCACTCCGCCTTCGTTTTGGTCAGATCAAGCTGGCTACTCAGACTTTCGAGCGTATCCAAGCTTCGCGCCTCCCTTCCATGAGCTTCCTTGATATGCGCGCCAAACTCTAGTTTTGAGTGGAACGGGGGTAAGCAGTTGAAGGGACAGCTCCATGTCCTCCAGTGATCTTGCTTCATGTGGTCAATCCAATCGCTCCGTCGTAGGTACTGCTGCTCGGCTGTCGCACACGAACTGGACAAACAGATGTACGGCCGCAGATCTCGAAATACATGCTTCTTCCAGTCGTACCTTGTGTGAATCGAGACAATCATGCAGCAAAATGGGCATTTAAAGGGCCCTTGGGCATGCTCCTTTGGCAGGGGAGGTATACGAAGTAGACCTTCGTCAGCGGTGGATAGGGCGTATGAAGTCTTGGAGACGTTGGACTCGCTGTCGTCAAATCTGGCAATATCTTCCGTCGTCTCGAGTCCTTTGAGGTGGTTAGGGATCGAGGAGGCAATCGTTGTTGCCTTCTCTCGCTCGCCGCCCTCGCTAGCTTCCTCTACCGCCTCGCTAGCCTCTCCCACCCCTTCGTCCATCCCTTCGGCAAGTTTGTGGGCATGCTCCTCTCGGTACTTGAAGTACTGCCTTCTGCGCGATATGGCCTTCCCTAGCCTCTCGGCGATTGCAGGTTCCGCCTTTGGGAACTTCCCTCGGACGTGCCCGACATCCCAGGGTTCGTAGAGGTCGGCGAGTTCTGCCCCGGCTCTGGACTTGAAGTGATCATGCGGTGCAGGGTTTCGAATCGTTATCGACAGCCTCAGTAGACAATCAACAGTGTGCCCGATCTCGTCGAGGATATCGCCTAGTTCGGAAGCTCCGCGAGTATTGTCGTTCCGAAAATACTCCTCTAGTTCAGCGTCGGTCGAGTATCCAACTGCGTCTCCATCGTCTTTATTTAAAGGTGCCTTTACGCTTGTTTCGTTTGCCGCGGAGACTCCTAGGCAGGTCGGCATCTCCATTAGCAGCTACAAACAGAGTTTCAGGACTCGGAGGATCGCACATGCCTTCATCCACGGAATCGCATAAATCCTGCAGCAGCGAGATGACGTGGTTCCTGATTGACGACGCATCGCGAAGTCGGTATTCGAGAGAACGACTCCCAGAGAGACGATGGGCGCCCAAACTTCCGACCCATAGCTTGAACCGCGCGATATGAGAGACGACGGTTGCGCCCTCGGGAGCGCCGTCGTCCACAGCGGAAATGAGCGTCTCCAGTAGCGAAAGGACCCGAGAAACTAACGTAGCAATCCGAGGTTGAGACGCTACCAGGCCTTGTCCCATCATCGGTGCGATATTAACGACGCCAGTGGGCTTATGTTGTCAAAGCGAAAGCGGAGGAAGGTGCCATGTTTCTTACCCCGGCTTGCGGGGCCAAAGCAGCTCCCTCGAGTACCTACCTGGAGTAACCGAGACTCATTTTGCGCCATTTGTGCAACCGCACCTCCTCTCCGCTTGCGGGTCATCAACCAATCCCATCTAGCGCATCAGCGTTCTGCGACCCGGGGAATCTGACCTCGGAGCTGGACCGCGGGGTCGTTGGACCTCAATCCATCGTCGTCGAACAGCGAGCAGCCAACAGCCAGCCGGCGCGATTAAAGATGTCAGGGTTCGAAGTCGCCGGGGTCGTTCTCGGCGTTCTCCCATTAGCAATTGGGGCGGCCAAGGGGTACATGGGCATCCTCTCGTCAATGAGAGATGCCAAGCGAAACCTCAAAGCTCTGGTTCACGACCTCGAAACTGAGCAAATCCGGCTCGAGACGACGTGCGAGGTCCTCCTCGACGGCATCGTTCCCCCTTCCGCAGTAGACCGCATGATCCGTACCCCGCTTGGTTCCGAATGGAAGCTGTACAACGACCAGCTCAAGTTGCGTTTGTGGACGACGTCCAAGAAATTCGAGGAGCAAGTCACCGAGATGCAGAAGGCTGTTGAGGAATTGCGGGCTAAGCTCTGCATGGAGCGGGATGGCAGCGTACAAGCCCCCAGGTCTTTGCAGTCGTGACGTGTTGCTAACACTTGGATGACTTATTCCAGACGAAAATAACCGACCGCGTTACCATCATCCGAGAGCTGAAACAGAACGCAGCGTTTTCGTTAAAGAAGAAGGATTACGAGGACATTCTAAATAGGATCAAGACCGCCAACTCCATCCTCCACGACCTCACAGGTCAGAACTGTGGGCTCGGGCCAAGCCGAAAATACCGAAGCCAAGCTCGGCTCATCGGGTTGATCAGGGGCCTGGCCAGAGGAATCTTTAATGGCCTCTGTAGCGCAACTTCGACCTGCTGCTGTGCTAAGCCTCACGACGTCGGGCTCGAACTTGAGCCCCGGGATGCCGTCATCGTACCAACAGACACCGACGACGAGGTAGGGAAGAAATTCGACTTCCATGTGGCCTTCGGCTCGAAGAGAGCGCCGGAAAATGCGGGAACCGCATTGGTGACCGCCTGGGAGAGGATCTACGCTAGGCTCGCCGATGACATTGCGCTCGCACCGACTTGCAAAACGGCCACCGTACCCATCGCCGCGCCGCAAAAGACTACCCATGGCACGGGGTGGGCGAAATCTTTAAGTTTGAGATCAGCCAAAAACTCACTGTCCTTCTCGGCGGACACACAGACCCTGGTAGAGGTGTCACCAAGCCTGGCTGTGGCGCCCGTGACACCCGCGAACACTTCTTCCCCATATGCCCATCTCAAAATCTCCGAGCTATGTCAAGTCATCGTCCGGAGCCCGAAGGCGCCCGCGGTGGACGGATACGGCGTCATCACAAACGTTGAGCGCAACTTTCAGCTGCGACCGCCCGAAAATGCCTCGAGCGACAGTCACACCGCTATCACACTTCGGGAGGTGCTGTCCGCCGGAAAAGACACGACCTTACCACCGTTTGAATACCCTGATAAGCTCAGAATCGCTTTGGCTCTGGTCGTCAGTGTTCTCCATCTTTATAAAACGCCCTGGCTCCCGACTATCGTAACATTGGACGACGTCCTGTTCCTCAGGGAAGGAAACGCTCCGCAACTGTCCTGTATAGGGTACCGACCATTCGTAGCTAGGAACCTCAAAGATGGCCCGGAAGCTGCCCAAGCACCTAGAGGCCCGAGACCAATGAACATCACGGTGTTATCCCTCGGCGCTTTATTGATCCAGCTGATCGTCGGCAAGGTGTATGACTCCCTGGACATGAAGGGGAATATGGACATGGAGTCGATATTGTCCAAGTACGAAGCAGCAAGTCGGTTCAACGGCGAAGTTATGACAAGCGGGGGGATAAATTACGCGTCAGCAGTCAAGTGGTGCCTCGGGACTGTGCTGGAAGTGGCAGGGCTGGAAGACGACACCTTCTGTCAGAAGTTTTACGGCGCAGTTGTTGCGAAGTTGGAAGACGATGCGAAATTGCTCACACCGGCTTGACTTTTTGTTTTTTGGCCGCGTACGATACGATTTAGTTGGGGAGGTTACAAATGATCGGTACGGAGTAGATCGTCGAGTACAACCAAGAGGCCGCGCCTGGCCGCACCGCAGGTGAAGAACATCCAAAATGCGCCCGCGTTCTTCAAATCTCGCACCTCGTATGTTAACCGCCGATTGCCTCTCGCAGGTTTTTATTCTCCCTCCAAAGGCTTTCCAGCTCCGACTCAACACCTGCTCTCTGTCCTCCGGGCGAATCAGACTGGACGAACGCCCGTATCCTCAAACCCACCACCTGTCAAAACAGTTGAAGACTCGTCAGCAGCAGCCGCCCTAGTGTGCCTCGATCAGAACGTCCGGTTACGGTTCCGACAAATTTCACATCAGAGGGTTGGCCTAAACGATGTCTCCGGATCCCCCTGCACGAGGAGGATGAGGTCTGGTTCTTCGACGGGACTGTTGAGGGATACCCCATCGAGATATATTCATACTGGGCCACCCTACGGGCTTGCTCTTCTGGATCCCTTTCGTTGGTGAAGCCGCTGGCGCGGTTGGTCTGACCACCGCTCGCACGTCGCTTCGCCTAATCGGGTCGGTTGCCAGGGGAGGCGGGTATGGCGGTCCACGGCGTGGTCGAAGAGCCGGACAACGCGTTCATGTCGGTCTTTAGCTACCTGCTCGGTGCCGGGGTTGGGCGTGCTGGGTTCGGAAAGGTGGCCGCGTCGAAGCGGGCCATGGCAAGCAAGAAATTTGACGGCTTGGGGAATGTCAAGTGTGGATTGGTTGGGTTCGTCGATATCCGAGCACTGAGTTGCCGTGCCTCGAGCGTGCGTAAGCAAGTGGCGATGTCACGACCAGCGGTGGAGTTACCGGCACTAAGCTGCAGATGAGGTGTCAATTGGGAACTTTGCCTCTCCATGCTCCCAATCGGCTCCTTGCCTCGTCTAGCGTCCGATGTTGCATGCCGCTTGACACGACGCTTGACATGCCGCTTAAGATGCCGCTTAAGATGCCGCTTAACCGCAGCTCACGCGGGTTCCCGGAACGAGGAAACTTGTCGAGCTAACTGCGCGACAAACCTGTTTTAAAGGCCTTCGGACCCCGATGGGGTTCCCTGGGGGGCCGAGAACCAGATGCCGACAGTGGGGACATGCATATTTGGGTGGCATTACAGGGGCCGTCAGCCCCAATATCACAATGCCTGCATCACTTCACAAGCTGAATGCTTGGACCTTTGCGAGGTGCAGGTGACCCACCGGGTATGGCAGCGTTCGATGTGTCTTGGAAAATGCCGGATACTGGTCGAGGTGTGGGTGGGCGCGCGGGTTTATAAATGCCTGGGCAAGTAGAGAGATATATGAGTTCTGTCGTACGCGTTATAGCCCCCTTATGTTTTCTTGATACCCTTATGTTTTCTTAATACGGTATTCTATAATTAGCTCCTAGCCCGACGGACGGTCAGCCATCTCAACAAGCAATGGTCCACCTCTCGGCAGCACTGCTGGGTGCTTTGTTACTCACATGCAGTGTCACCGCTGATACCGACTACACCGCAGTCTGTCAAGACATTGCAAGCAATGTGTCTCAAGCAACTGATGTGGTCTACCCGAGTTAGTTATCCTCTCCCTCCTCACCCTTCGTGGACCCACCCCCCTCATTTTCTTGCCAGTCGAACTTGTGAGTTACAACGCCGCCACCCAACACTGGTTTCTCTCTTCGAACGGGGACGCAGCTTGCGCCGTTGAAGTGGGATCGGTCGAGGACGTTGCGCTAGTCTTGCAGATTGTTGGTGCCACCCGCACACCCTTTGCCGTGTACTCGGGCGGACACGCATCGAACCCTGGGTTCTCTAGCACATCTGGTGTGCACATCACGCTCAAGCGTTTCAACCAGATCGATCTGTCTGAGGATGGCAAGATTGTCACCCTCGGCTTTGGTCAGGGATGGACCGATGTCTATGATGCTCTCGAGGGCACCGGGGTAAACGTCGTTGGTGGAAGAGTCCCCGGGCCAGGTGTTGGCGGGTTCACGCTTGGTGGAGGGTATTCCTGGTGGGTCATTATGATTATTATGATCCAGTTTGAGAAGTGTATAAACAGTGCTGACTGACAGCGGACAGGAAAACAAACCAATATGGTTCGTTATTGTTCGTTTCCAGCGGACATGGTGGTGGCTAACCTCTTTGTCTAGGTCTGACTTCTGACACTGTCAAGTCTTTCAACGTGGTCCTTCCGGTCAGTCTATCTATGCATGGTGAAGCAAGCATAATCGCTGACAAGGAGCCTAGAATGGCACATTCACCAAGGCGTCGGATGGGCAGAACCCTGATCTGTTTTTCGCGCTCAAGGGAGGCCTGAACCGGTACGGGATCGTGACCTCGGCCGAGTTCTACACGCACCCGCAGCCCGCCCTAGTCTGGGTGAGTCGAAGCGTCCAGATCTCAACCAAGCATGTCATGGTAATTCTAATGTCATCAAGGGTGGCCTCCGCGCGTACTCTGCGAGCCAGGTTCCTGCATTCCTCAACGCAACCGAACGCTTCTTCTACGAGAACGAGGACCCAAAGGCAGGGCTGCTCACGACACTTCATGGTTCAGCCTTAGGTACAACTGCTCTGGGCCTCTTCTTTTATGACGGACCGGAAAAGCCCGAGATTTTCGACATGTTCGACGGGCTTCTGGCCACTCTCGATAGCACGGGTAGAAAGCCGTACAGATCGCTCATCGGCAGTTTCCCAGCCCAGCTCATCTTGAACCACCGGGGCACCTTCGCTACCTTTTCTACTACCAAACTTACAGCTCGCTTTATGGAAGCTGTTCGGCAAGAGGCAGAGGTATGTACACCCCCCACATTCGAGCCTGGCGAATGGGGAAAATAGTCAAGCACTGATATTCTCTGCTATCCAGGACATTGGAAAGGTCTCCGCTTTGCATGGCGGCTACATAGTTTCGTATGACATAGAACCGTTTACGAACTACGGCGAGCATGCAACACAAGGGGCGATCCCGCATGATGATTCACTTCTTCCGGTAACCCTCTATCCCCCCTTATGTTTTGGCTTATACTTTACTGTTGACACTAATTTCCAATAAAGCTCAACCTGCACTTTGCGTGGGTGAAACAAAGCGAAGATGAGTGGTGGTACGCTCGCATACGCCAATCGCTGGCGACATTGAAGCTCGTCGCCATGGGGGAAGGAATTTACCAAGCTACATTTCCGGAATACTCGAATTACGCCCTCTCTGACACCACCGCTGAGAGGCTATACGGGGAGAACGTCCATCGTTTGCGACAGATCAGGGACCGGATAGATCCCGACCGGGTAATGGAGTTGGCAGGGGGGTTCGTGATATGAACGGGTGGGGGGTAGTACATGTACGATGGTGATCGCCGTAGACTTTCGGGCTTGTCCCTTCTCCTGATCCTCTTCCGCTCCTTCGGGTAGCAGCTGCCCAATGAAACCGTGTATTAGAAGGGACGGCCGACGGGAGTGTTAATATGTGGGGAAGCGCTCACCATTCATCCGATTCCTGCATCCGACTGGAGGCCTGCATCACAACTCAGGCTCCGTGTCTCAACTTCCACGGCCACACACCACCGCAACACCGACGACAACAATACCAGACTCCCCTTGTACAGCACCAACTCAACATCCGCCCACGCTCCAAGCCCTCACAACCCCCCACAAAATGTTCTACCAACCCGGCAAAACCCCCCATAGCCTCCCCTCCGACCCCTTCAAAGCCTGCCTAATCCCGCGCCCCATCGGCTGGATCTCCACCACCTCCGCCATCCCACCGCCCACCCCCTCCCAACCCAACCCCCAACCACGCCACAACCTAGCCCCCTACAGCCAGTTCGCGCCCTTAACCTTCGACCCGCCCTACGTGCTCTTCGCGGCCAACCAGGACCCGCGCACGGGCGCCCGCAAGGATACCGTGCGCAACGTCGAGGCCACGGGCAAGTTTGTGTGGAACTTGGCGACGTATGAGCTCAGGGAGGCGGTCAATCAGACGGCGAGGCCGCTGCCGGAGGGGGAGGACGAGTTTGTGTGGGCGGGGTTGGAGAAGGAGTTTACGAGGGGGTTGCCGGGGGATGGTGGTGAAGATGGGGATGGGGATGGAGGTGGTGGTTGTGATGAGGGGGAAGGTAACGGGGGAGGGAACCCCGTGCCGATGGTCAAGGCGAGTCCGGTCAAGTTTGAGTGTGTGTATCACTCGACGGTGAGGCTGCCTGGGAATGGGCCCGTGGGGAGCGTGGATTTGGTGATTGGGAGGGTGGTAGGGGTGCATATTGCTGAGTGGGCGCTTGATGAGAGGGGCCGGTTGGATGTTAGGAAGACGCGGCCGATTGCGAGGTGTGGGTATTTTGAGTATGCGGTTATTGGGGGGGAGGGAACTATCTTTGAGATGGTTATCCCGGGGGCCGATGAAGTGATGCTGGCGGCGATGCAGGGTGATAAGCAAAGGGTGGATGAGGGGTGGGACAGGGTGAAGGCGAAGTTATAACGCACAGTCAAGACGGGGAGGAGGGTGTCGTTGGAGGGGGGTAGATGGGTATTCGGTGAGATCTTTTGTTGCATTTGTCACGACCTTCCCATGATCAGAAGCGAAGATGGCATTGGGTACCCAGGTAGATTCCGAGTAATTGAGGTTAAATCGGGCCTTTAGCATGGTCTAAAATGCATTCGAATGCGGGTATTCTTCTGTACTTCCCCCAGCTCAGCCACCGCTCACCGGTTCAGACCTAGGCCAAGCTGCGTCACTCAAGGCGGCCAGCTTCTCGACCTCAGCCCACTTCCCGTCCCGCTCCCAGTAAGAAACCTCCCCATCTTCTCCCTCGGTTACCATATGGATCTTCTGGTCAAAGCTCCCCTGAACCAACGCCCAAACATGCTTCACCCCGGTCCCAACCGTCTCGGTCAACTTCCATTTCCCCTGCTCGCCCTCCACCGGCACCTCCCGGTCGATATCGTCATTCAACCTTTCCCAGTACTGCACGCTGCCGTCGACAGCAACGGCAAGCTGGAAGCCACCAATGCTCGTTTCGTTGACCGTGTTGAGGTAGTCCTGGATCATAACCGGCGGCGTGTCCGGCGGGATTCCCGAGCCAAACACTTCACCGGCTGACCATTTCGCAGTATCCTCACCGCCGCGCCAGAACAATTGCAGTTTGCCATCGACACGAACGGCGACAGTGTACAGGTTGCCCCGCGAGACACTCTGCGGGTCGTAGATGTTGAGGGCAACGTTGGATTGGACGAGGGAGGGGCCGCTTTGGGCGATGTCGCTCGCGATGGGGGAGTTGGAGAGGGTCCATGTCGTGCTGTTTGGGGGTTGTTGCCACTGACATTGTTAGCACACTACTCTGACTTAGAACGATGGAAGGAGACCGGGCTTACTTCGTTCAGCGTTCCGTCGGCATGCTTAACCACCATGACCAACTGGGTGCCATCACTCTGGGCCAGACCAGGGAAACCGTCAATGCTCTCTCCCTCAATGGCGGAAACCTGCGACCATTCCTTTGCGGACTGGCTGTATTCCCATTGCCGCACCGTGTGACCCTCGTCAACCCCAACGGCGTGGAAGTCCCGGTTGAAGGATGTCCCCACAATCGCTGGTTGGCCGCTGAGGCTGCTCCCCTCGATGTCAAAGACCTTGCTCCATTGCGTAGTGTTGGAGTCGCGAGAAACGTGAGCAAAACCAGAGCCACCCGGCTCGCTGAGGAGTAGCTCAAAGTTGCGGTGCGTTGGGCCGTTGCCCGACTGCATCATACTGCCGCTTTGGTGCCGCTTGCGAGTCCAGGGATCCGGGTTGACGTTGGCAACGCCGTATTTGGTCCAGCTGTCAATATTGGCTTGGTTGTAGCTAAGTAGGTACTCTTAATGTTAGATTTCGTGGGGGAATCGTCAGTCAAATCAGGGGTGGTACTGACGCAAAGTAAACAAAGCCGTTCTCTCCCCAGCTGGGTCCCCACGAATTCTTCATGATCCATGCCTGCTTCTCATCGTCATACCCCACGACGATCGTGAGGTGATTCCCCGTTGACGCCGAGACCTCGTCCCACTTATACACGCTCCCCTCGGTCGTCGGGTTCCATGACCCAAAGTCCTTGTATAGGACAAACGTAACAATCAGCGGCCCGTACTCATCCAGCCACCTCTTCTGGTCCTCGATCATTCCCAAGGCCTGGTAATACGGGATATGTGTGGTCCTCCCTTCCCGGTCCGCACAATGCTCGTAGCCATGCAGCGTCGCCTCGTACGGGTCGCACGGCCAGTCGGCAATGCCGGGTCGCGCTTTTTCCGTGTCGTTTAGGAACTCGGTGCCCTGCCCGGCCACCCACGCAAGGGTTTCCTCGGCGTTGCCGACACTCTCGCATGCCGCCCCCGTCCCATCGTGCACATCGGCCTCGCTGCGCTTACTCCATACCCCGTGCTCGATGCGCACCATCGACTCGATCAGGGCCGCGGCCGCGAAGGCCCAGCAGCTATTGCAGACGCCTTGGTCTTGCGCCGTCGTAATGTAGTTGAGCCCATTGCGGTTTCGCCAGTCGACGGCCAGGGGAGGGGCGGATTCCGCGGCGGCTTTGACGGAAGCGAGTCTGTTGACGGATTGCCGTCGACTGAAGGCCGAAGGTTGTATCGTGGACCAGTCAAGCGGACCGACCGCAGATGCTGGGACTGGTTCTGGCCATGGTATCTGGCGTGGCCGTAGGATTGGGTTGCCGACTGCGCCAGTGGCCAAAAGCAGGCTTAATGACGCCCCGAGAAAGCCCATCTTAGCCAAGCTATACGGGAGACAGGGCTGAGCGCACAGGGGAACAAGAAGGGTGGCTGTTAAACGACGTCTTCCAAGGAAGCCCGCGAGTTCCTCACTCCCTCACTATATAATTTCATATCCCGCATCCTTTTCCGCATCAAACCAAGGCCCAGCGTTCTCTCCCGCGTGAACACGAAAGATCCCCACAAACGGCCCTGTTCCTGGTGCGTCCCCTATCCACACTTTCTACTTGAAAAGCAATCCTTCCTCCGAGACTGCCGAACCGAGTATGTCTCTATGGAGATCATCTATGATCAGCCCTGGCACCTGGCGCTCGCCAAGCATCAGCAACTTCCCACCAATTACCAGACCGCTTCCCAAGCATTGCGCCAGGTTAACCGCTTGTTGATCTCCCGAACTGCCGTCTGAAACAGAAAGGACCCACAAGCATACAGGTGCAATACCAAGGTAAATATGAGACCCTTTAGCCGCGGTCCCCCGCGCTAGGTTACATCGTCACGCGGAGCGCCGTTATCCCCCTTGCCGATTGAGCTTCCAGACCGTGGCAGACGTCATCCGGGTTCGATTGGGATTCTCTTTGGAACAGAAGGATGTTTGGTCGCATGTTGAAGTCTTCGTAGGTACCTACACAGGGAGAATTGGCCGGGTCGAGCCCACCAACCAAGTGTCAGCAGAAGGAAACCTCGCGAGAAACCCGGGCCGGTTCCTTTCGGTTGAATGATGCGTTGTACGACTGCCTCTCGCTTGTGCACAAAGCCCTCTCAAGAACGTGAACGGCCGGCCCTTCTGGTCGCGTACCCGGTCGGCAGTAACCCTGGAGACGCAGTGGCTGTGTTGACAACAGAGAGGAAAAGAATAGCTTATCAACCATGCGCATTTGGACTTACAAGCTGCGTAAGCTGGATGGCTTTGGCTATTTCGTGCAGCAGCAAGCCGCTCCCTGCCCAACCTGGACACCAAGGGGCGCTGTCGTGAGTGGTCGGCGGCCGAGCACCCGCCACGATGACTGGGGTGATGCCCTTTGCTACCCAATCACCTCCTGCGCCCAAAACAAATTGTCAATTTTTAGCTGTTCAGTAGGGGCTTGACACGATGCGCCTTGCTCGCCTTAGCCATCACGAACCAACGACGTCCCTCCCGACCCTTTCTTGTCGAGACACGTCACCCGTCAGCCCGAATCAAACTGACACAAGCGCCGATTGCAGTTTTTTTGGTGCCAGCAACCCACTGAAAATAAACGAGAGTCGCCTTGAAGTTTGTTCAGCCCAATGGTTGTCTCCACGTTGGATCCTCCTGCCAACAGGGGCATGATTGGGCGCGATGGCCGCGTCAAGTGCCTGATATACGGACCACCACCACCTCCCTCGCCGTGATCGGTTGTTGAGAGCATCGAGATGCGCCCAGCATGTTCCTGGTCTTCTATACACTGATTCTCTGTTCTCTGTTTGTACGATTAGCGCATTCCCAAGGTCTCATCATGGACTCCATGTCCTCCATCAAGACCACCACACACGACACCTCCTCGGCAGGTTTCCACATGGCCGACTTCTCGTCCTTCTTATCACAGCTCACAGACGCCGTATCTGCGGCATGGCCGGACCGGTTCGCGACGCGTTACAGGAAGGTCAAAGTCCTGCTCATGAGCTGGGATAAAGACGATCTTGGCCTTGAGACAGAAGTCAGGAACTTGGAATCGGTATTCAGGGGCTTGTACCATTACGATACCGAGTACTGGAAAATTCCATCAAGACGGTCGGCCGTTGAAGTATCCCGAAAGGTTGCCGATTTGGTGGATGCCCACGGCCAGGAAGGGAACCTCCTCATTTTGTACTATGGTGGCCATGCCCGCCCAAGTGAGCAACCCGGCGGCAGTCCCGTGTGGGCAGCCAAGTAAGTCTAGGGCTTCGTCTTCTTTATCGCCGTAACTAACCCAAGGCCAGTCGGAGCCGGGATTCCCCTACTGTACAGTCATCCATACTGCACTCGTTCCTCGGGGAGATCGACTGTGATGTCCTGCTCTTACAAGACTGTCTCTATACCCATGAGAACAGGGACACTTTCATCGGGAACGGGGTAGTGGAAACTCTGGCAGCAGGCGGCTTCGACTCGACCCAAGCTGACGGGGACCACGATTCCTTTACCGCCTCCCTTGTTCAGGAGCTCGCGCACGCCGCCCACACCACCGACTGGCTCTCTATGGTGGAGCTGCATAGAAGGCTCATCAACCGACTGCAAATCTGGACACCAGAGATCTCCTTTACCGACGACGCCTACTCCATCGTCCAGGTGGATCGCCGCACAGGACAACCGATGTTTGAACGACCACGCCGGCGAACCCCCGTCCACTCCTTCCTGTCAAGGAAGCCTAAGACGATCGTCCTCACCCCTCTGCCTCCACAAGCTCAAACACAATCCGAAGAGTCTCTGATCCAGCTGAACCCGCCGACAACTCAGCCCAACAATAACATCCCGGAAGGACCCGGGATCCTGGTGACTTGCCGGCTCCGCGATCAGCACATCGACGCCGAGAAGTGGAGACAATGGCTGCTCAACGCGCCGGAGGGGGCCAAGAACATTCAGATATCTGCAGTGTTTCCCAGCTTTGGGACAGTGTTGATGCTCGAGCTACCGCTGGCTGTCTGGGATCTCCTGCCGTCGTCTCCTGCTATCTCATTCATCGCGTACACCACTGGCGGCAACCACATCTCCGAGTTCCGGCGTGCTTTGCTGGGGTCGGACGTCGACGAACTCGAGGACACATTTGCGGAGGATTCAACCGACGATGAGACCGAATCCGAAGCCGGGAGGAGCCTCAGAAAAGCCAGCCGCAAGAGTAAACGATCTGTCCAAGATGCCAGAGAGACTTACATCGCTCCGTCGCTTTGGCCAAGGTCGTTCGAGAACAACCGTACGGGGAACGATGCGACCGAGAACATGCCGTACTGCCTGACCTTGGCTGAGATGCAGGGAGATGACAAGACCAGCAAAGCCGCGAGGATCGTTCGGGCCTTTGTGCAAGACGCGGACAGCCCGTCCATCCGGTACATGTACGACGAAATCCGGGACTTCTGCGCCCCGGCGAGTTTTGAAGCACTTTCTAGTGGCCAGGAGGTTGCCCCTGAAGTGGTTGCTATTCTCGACGAGCCGTCACCAATCGGTCCACACTCTCAGATGAATGGCATGCAGTTTCTTAGCCATGGTCAACTCTATGAAGCTTTAACCGCAGTACGTGACTCTTGTTTGATGGATGGACAGCGCTAACAAGACGAGCAGAGGGCTGTTCCTCAATTAATCGACACCGAGTCGAAGGACGACCTCTTGTCTCCCAAGAAGCGCCTCGTGTAAGAACCCTTCGCTACACTTTTGATGGACCTCACCTAACACTGTCAGCTACGTCACCAACCTTGACCCTGCCAGCACGCTGGCCCTTGCCTCAACAGTTTCCGAGAGACAAGCCCTGCCCCTCAGAGATTTTGTGTACAAACATTTGGACTTCCAGTCTGGGATGGATGTGAAGCTTCATGTATGGACTCCGCGACCTACCGTTTATTCCATGCCACTAACCCCTTGACAGCCCGGAAATCAGAGCTTCCACCTCTCCTTCCACCTGCCGTTCCTCGCATGGAGGCAGGGTGGAAAACCCTCCCTCGACACCCGATTCGGCGGGAATAACGGGCCGCTGAGGGACTCTAAAGACGTGGGCTTCCTAAACCAGTCGCGCGGTACCCAGGCATACGTCCACGAGGCACAGATTTCGTGCATGATTGTAGGCGTTGACAACACCCATTGGACCGCGTACGGCTTCTTCGACACGTACCACGATGGCGGCGAGAGCAGATACGACGTCCGGTCCTACCAGTCGACGCAAGGAGGGGCTGTCATGGATCCGTTGACCTGCGGCCGCCGCATGGCCGAGAGCTCTGCCTCAGACGCAAGGGGGTATTTCATGCAGGCGATGGAGTCTTGCGTGCTAGAGGTGAAGGAGGAATGGGAGAACGCTGTACGACAGGTTCTGAAGGCTCTGAAGACACAGGTCAGTTCCCAATCCCCACAAGCATACCCTTCCCCCATCAGAGCTGAACTGACCTCCCATACAGGTCCTGAACGGCAACAGCCGCCGGGCGCAACGGATCTCCGACCAAGCGGTGCAGACGCTCGAGCAGCTCACACAAGGCTTGGCTGGGACAATCTCGTCCTGGGAGCGGTTCAAGCAGACCGACCTCCCGTACTTTGATCTAGACAACATGCCCGCGGAAGCGCCATCCCCCATCCACAACATCGAAACCGCCATCCACGACCTACGCACCCTCCAGTCCTCCCTCCTCCACCAAACCGCCACTCTCCAGTCCGTCACCGCCCGCGTTAGTACCCCCTGCCCCTATTCCCACCCCCCATACCCTGCCCCCACCAACTCCCCATCACTAACCACCCCAACCAACAGCAAACCGCCCTCACAACCCACAGCACCACCCAAACCAGCAACGCCCTCCTCACCATCGCAGTCTCCTTCCTCCCCTTCACCCTCACCGCCCTCCTCCTGCACCCGATCACCCACGCCAGACACTCCACTTCCGAATCAGCAGTAGCAGCATCAGCAGCAGCTCAATCCCAGTCCACTTTCCCATTCGCATTCACCCCCGCCCGGTACATGCTCGTGTCCTCTGTGATCGCGGCTATTGCGGCGATGGTGTTTGTGGTGGTGGTGAATTGGGCGGCGGCGTGGGAGAGGGTTGGGGAGGTTGTGGATGGGGCGAGGGTACCGTTTCTTACTAAAGCGCGGTCAGGGGTTCCTGGGGTCGGTGGGAAGAGTGGGAAGTGGAAGGGGGCGGCGTGGTGGGGGGAGGGGGGTGGAGGAGTTGGGAGTGGCGGTGGTGGGAAGGGGGATCGGTATCAGAGGTTGGGGGAGGAAGGTGGAGAGTCGGAGGATGAGGGAAGGGGGAGGGGATTGCCGTTTTGAGGGTGGATGGGGGTGTGTTGACTGATAGGGAGAGGAAGGGGGAGAGGTTGATGGTGGGATGAGATACACTCTTTTAGGGTTTCCTTTGTTCTTAACACTTATTGTTTGCGGGTAGCATAGCGAGGCAAGGTTGGTTCTATTTCGGACACCATGCATAATAGGAATGTATTTTGGACATCGTGCCGTATTAACCTTCTCTATCTAAGTTGCATAGTCCATTGGATATCGTAAACTTTGGGTATGGGGCCGGCCAGAGATCAAGGCAGGGCCATGAACACTTCCTTCAACTTCTCGTAGTTCGGCGCCCCCAACCCCGTCACCGGATCCCACCCCTCAACCGCACTAAACCCGTTTGTGCCACAGCCTGGGTTCTTGCCCTCGACAACATCCTGGAACACCTCCGGGTGGGCATAGAGCACGGGGTTAATGAAGCCCACGGGCCCCTTGCCAACCTTCAGGCGCTCGCCGTTGATCAGCGTGATCATGGCACCAAAGGTGGGTGCAGATGCAGACGTGCCTGAGAAGGCCAGAAAGCCACCGTCAATGCCGGTAATATAGTCCTGCGAGGCCAGTGCAACGTCCGGGTAGCCGCGCACCTGCTGCGTGTTGTTGTAACGGGATGAGTTGTAGCCGGGGTCGTGCTGCGCGTAGTAACTGTTGATAGCATCTGCTTGATACGACGGGAGCGAGAACAGGTTGCTGAAGCCGCCACCGGATCCAAAGTTGTACGATGCGACTTCCGGGGTGGTGACGGGCTTGCCCGCGGGGAGGGCCGTACCACCGACCGAAGTGATCCAGGGGCAAGTGCCGGGAAACACTATCCCTTGTTAACTCTCACATAATCTCGTAGGGTAAGGAGTGGATGCATACTTGGGTTAAACTGGCCGTAGTCCGCGGCCACAGGCGTGTACGACCCGTCAGGGTTAACGCATTGGCTCCTAAGCCCGGCAACGCCAGTGTCGCCAGAGGAAAACAAGACAGTCACGCCCATTAGTCCGAGCTTCATGTACTCGGCACACTCACGCGCCCGATAGCTCGCTGGCCGGGCATTCTCGTTGCTGCCGTACGACACCGAGATGACCTTTGTCGCATTGTACACGCCGCACATGGGCTCGCCGGTGTACGCTCCGGGGGTGGAGGCGTCGTGCGGATATATGGCATCCCAGACCGGGTCGTCGCCGCCGTCGGTCGTGCAGTAGGACCCATCGACGGCGTCGAGGAAGTTGTTGTTAGTTGCCGGGTTCCACGCGACGCTGTCGCCGACTTGGTACAGCGTCACGTTCTGGGGATAGGTGAGCGACATGGCGTAGCACAGGTCGAGGTTGGACTCGCCGCGGATTCCGGAGCCGGACTCGGTGGACAGGTAGCCGCCGTCGATGCCGTTGAAGATTGGAGAAGTCCCGTTAGGAATATTGCCGTTACCATAAACGGAGAAGAAGGCGTTCAGGTCGTCCTGGTTGTAGCTCTGCGGAGCGAACTCGACGATGCCAAAGCTGTTGCCCTCGACGGGTTGAGCACCTTCAGGAATGCCATACCTGTTACAGTCAGCTTCGTAAAAGTACCCATGAAGCTGATTGCATACTTACAGAGCTCGCAAGCATTCCGGGGTCGTAACCTCGCTGCAGTCCTTCAACGGGTCGGCTCGCACATGCCCAGGTGGAAGCTTCTTGAACTTGGGTGCTATTGCTTCTTCGCGCTTCTTGGGTCCGCGGGTGGTGATGATGGCCTCTCTCTCATCAAACTGGATCGTGGGGGCAACCAGATCGATGTGTCCTTGGATGGCAGCCGGGATGCTGTACGACTCGCATGCGACGAGCCGAGCTCCAGCGGTATTCTCATAGACACTATAAGAGGTATTGAGCAGCGACTCGGCTTTACCCACGGTGGTGGTGACCTTGATCCAGTTGCGTCCGGTCGTCTTGGAAATATCGTCACTGGCAACACCCTCGCTGGTGAGCCACTGCTCGGTTTCGGTGATGGCGTCGTTGCTGGGGGCAAACACCTCGGCAACCTTCTCGGGCGACCAGTGCTGGCCGTAGGTCTCGGACCGGGGGTTTGAGATGGCGTGTATAAACTCTTCAGCACGCTCCAGGTTACGCTGCTTCAAGCCAATGCGCAAGGTCAGGGGCGTGTCTGCGCCGGCACGGCCAACCTTTGTCCACTCTCCATGAACGGTGTCCCGCTTCTCATGGGTCAACTTCGTGGGCGAAGTTGGATGAGCATGAACTGTTATGGCATAGGCCACAGCAGCAAAAAGGGTGGACGCCACCCGAGTAGAAACCATATTAGTGTGATCGGTCAGTGTAGATTTGGATGTCAAGGAACCAGGAGTTGAGATCCGAGTAGCGGTTTAACAATCGACTAAATACATCTTTCTAACCTCGTATTCTCTCTCAATCCTGGACTTGATTTGCTTGGTAGCTTATTCAGGGCTCGAAGTCGCGAAGTAATCGTAATCATCGCCGTCAGTTACACCATTTCGCCCCTTTCTGGTCACCTCAGCCCATGCTTTCGTATCTCAAAGGGTCCACGGCCCCGGGACCGTATTAATGGCAACAATAGGGTTGTAGGGTGGGACTCGGCCTAATACCCGGAAGTAGATCCTCGTGTTGGCCCCTGCCCTGGTGTGGTTGCTGATTCATACCCCGAGCTTAGCGCCTCATGGCTTTGGGCTTGTGAGTATCAGTAATCGAAATCGCCGTGCTGAGTACCTCGTAGGCTGCAAGCACCTATCCTAAACCTGGAAGAGGACGTAACGTTGTGAAGCCGATACCCGCCTGTTTGTATGTATGTATACCCCGGCTCACCCACTCCACCAAGGGGGGAGACCGCGAAGTTCTAAAGAGTCGTGAGCCCCGTTCATGGTTGATTTCACACTTTCATCTTGAAGAAGATGTATAACCACGCGTTCGAGAGCTTCATGGTCACCCATTTCTTACCCTCTCCTCTATCCATGCCCCCTCCTAGGATCACTAGGACGGCTGGGTAACGGGTCGATTTGCCAACGTCTTTTTGTTGGGAATACATTCATTATCTGACTCTTGCATCATCCCAAATCTGAGATGGCCTTTACCGCTCATGAGCAAGTGTCTTCTCTCATGTGATCTTACCTGGAATACCATAAAGGGGCAACTTGTAACTCGGGCAAAGTTAGGTCCTGCAGTTAATTAAATCGGGGCAGTAATTCAGGGATTGCTTTCTACAGTTATAAAAGCCATTAAAACTCTTCGGCCTCAGCGCGGAGATACGATATATTCGAACGACGACACGAACCCCTCACCTCTGAGCTTCGGTTGGTGGCTGCACCAGGGGGTCGTGGCAAGGGCGCGTGGTGGGACTCGGATAATCCCAAGGCCTCAGAGGGGTTTGGATTGAGCAGTCCACGGGCCTTCTTTCGCCCGCGACTCATGAATGAGTCAACCATGCGGTGACGTTTTGGGCAGATATCTTCTTAAAACCACGCCCGTAGACAAGCCGAGACGTTCTTCTCATCCCAAAACCCCTTTCATGGCCCATCCCATCACCGTTTAAACCACACCACCTGTCCATCATGTCCCCAACCGCCGCATCCCTCGCCATCCCGGCCAGCCCCCGCGTGCACGCCCTCCTCCAGCGGCTGCACGCGGCATCGGCAGCGCAAGAGCACACCCTCTCGCAGTCCTGGTTCTACCTCAAGCGGCTCATCGCCTTCCACCTCTTCTCCACCACCTGGGCCGCGGCGGCCGACGACCACATGCGCGACAAGTTCGTTGCGCTCGAGGAGGACAAGTGCCACTTCGTCTACCTGCTGGCCCGATCCTCGGGCGCCCTCAACATCGTCGAGGCCGGCACCAGCTTCGGCGTGTCTACCATCTATCCTGCCCTGGCTGTGGGCCAGAACGTGGCCGACCAGAAGGCGAGGGGCGCGAGTGTCAGTGGGCGGGTTGTGGCGACCGAGAAGGAACCGACGAAGGCGGCGCGCGCGAGGGAGCATTGGGCTGAGGCTGGTGACGAGATCGCCGGTGTGATTGACCTACGCGAAGGCGACTTGCTGGAGACGTTGAAGAGGGACGATATGCCGGAGCAAGTTGATTTTCTGCTGCTTGACAGTGGGTTTCTCCCTTTGTGAATATGTGTGGACTGTGACTAACACGCCGTAGTCTGGACCCCTATGGCGCTCCCTACACTCAAGATCGTCAAGCCCCGGTTGAAGAAGGGCGCGATAGTTCTTGCGGACAACACGAAGATGGCTCGCGCGCTCTACAAGGAGTATCTTGACTATCTCCACGATCCAGCAAACGGCTTCAAGACGACCGAGGTTCCATACTCTGGTGGCTTGCAGATGTCCGTCTATCTCCCGGATGAGAGTTCTTAGCTGAGCTTGGGTTTCGTGCGAGGGAGTACATAACAACGTGGTAATTCCTGCAAGCGTACCTACCTAGGTAGGTACCTAGGTAGGAATACACTGTGCCCGAGGTAGGAAGGACGGGGCGTTTTAGTTCAGCAGTGCATGATGCATAAAATCGTCGCATTCTCCTTTCCTTCGGCTAAATTGTTCCGAATGGGAAACGTCTCTTATATCTCCTCATATTTAAACCAGGACTATTATTAACTTGCAGTCGAGAATGGGTTGTTGAAGTACATCCCTCGGCGTTCATTTGTTTGACGTGAAAGCCCCCACGCAGCAATCCCACACCTCTACCAAGGTACCTACCCACACAATCAATCCAGCATCTCCTGGCCGGGAATATGAGTGACCCCTACCAGGCGGTTAGACAATCAACAGCACGACATGGGAAGAGGCATTTCACGTTGCAGGATGTCACTCACATCCATCGACATCGTCCTCGACAGTCTGCGGGATGGTGCACTTTATCGACTCCTCGAAGGTCTGGTGCTCCAAAACATCGCAAACGTCTCCCGTACAGCGGTAGTCCATGGCGCGTTGGAGGGAATCGTCCTTCCAGCCAAAGACGTAGTCACCGTGCTGCGTATAGCCGTCCCTGTGGGTCACTTGTTGTCAGAAACCACTCTTAAATTTGATGTCTGCATCGGTAAAAAAGGACTTACCGGTCGTTGGTGCTCCAGACAAACGGCTGCGAGCCATCCTCGGGCCAGAGCTCTTCGTCGTTGAAGGGGGTGGTCTGTGACCAAGTCAGCAAGTAAACCCAGCCAATGCCTTACTACTGTTGACAATGCTCGCATAGTGGCTGTCCAATTCATAAAGAGGCCAATATGCTTACATCCCAAATGGTTTCCAACATAACCTGCGGGATCTTAACCGGGTGAGTCTCCGGGCAGGGGCCACCATCAGCGTTGGAATCAAAGGTGCCCTCAGTCGGGTAGGCAACATGGCTCTTGTGATCCGGGGTGTCCGTGTTCACACCGTCCCAGCACGTGGGGAAAGTGATGACCGAGCGGATACCGCCCACACAGGGCTCGGCGGGCAGGGTCTGTGAGTCCGGAGCCGCGCAGTTCAGGTTGCTGTTGTCCCCCTCTTCCGGCATGCAGCGGTGGCAGACCTTCGGGTCCTGGCCGGGCTCGCTCAGAGCGGCGTCGCCCACGAGCATGCGGAAGCCGGGCTTGAAGGCCGTGACGTTGGTCGTGCCGTCGTGGGGCGGGATGTAGTAGATGGTGACGCCGCCGTTGCCGCCGAGGCCGAGGTTGGGGAGCTGGGGCACGCGCTTGTACGTTCCGTTTCGGGCTCGGAAATAGAGGACGGCGGTCCAGTAGTTGGAGAAGTCTTCGGTGAAGGTGCAGCTGGTGCATGTGGAGGACTTGACGAGATCGTGCGTGCTCGGGTCCATGGTCGCGTTGAATGAGTTGCCGCCGACGATCTGGTGCAGATGCGGCGACGGTATCGAACCGGGACTAACGAGAGGGTCTAGACGTTCGATGACGAGCTGCGAACACTGGAAACGTAACATGGCTGGTATCCCGTCAGGCACTGGGAACCCCTGGCCGAAGCCATGTTCGACCAGGAGAGCTAGGGCGAGAGCTTTCCACTGCATCGTTAGCAAAGCGTTTGAGATTTGTCGTTGCGTGAGAGAGAGATAGGTAGTTTGTCAACCCAGGTAGCAACTCGAACCATAAAGGCCTGGGGGATGGTTGGTTGCCTTTGAAAGGAAAGGCCTTATCATTAGCTGCCGCGTCCTATATGCCGTTGCTGCGGTGGTAACTCCCGGCGTCTATCTTATATTACACGCATATTGGCGCTCTGCCTGCTTCTACCATTGGACCTGTCTTCTCAAAGGTTGGTTGCAGATATCAGTAATCTCAGGCCAACTAAACGACTCCGACATATTGCATTCCCGTCCCGTACCTTATTTTACCGTGTTAATGGATATGTCGGTTCTTGTGCTCTTGCAAACCATTTGATCGGTTTTCCGCCCGCGGGGCAAAAGAATGGCCGGATGAGTGTTCCAGAAGCAAGAATGGGGGGTCAGCGTGTCGATCTCATTGATTGCATGATGATCCCGTACCCGGCTGCTGGACCTCGGTTTGTGACCTGGACAGGGTTAATATTCCGTCAATTCCGCTGCGTGGAAGCAGAACAAAACGAAGACTTGGTTGTTTGGGTTGGTTGTGGCCCCTGAATCCGCGTGGCTCACGGTTTGAGGTAACCAACCGTATAACCCGGTCCTGACCCGCGGCTTGTCTGTCACTCTTGTCACGTAACTTTACGGCAGGTCAAGTTCCCACCCCATGTATACTCTCTTGGTTTGACGTAGTAGTAAGTACTGGTGAACAACATGTTACCCATCCCCCCTTCTCCCATACTCCGAGACGCCGTGCCCCCGCATCTTGGCGTCCTCATGCTGCTCGAAGAAGCGGCGCCAATTCTCGTTGCCGCCGAGGCGCATGCGCTCGATCTCAGCGGCCTCGAAGGCGGCCATGGATATGGAGCACAAAGGAGATGTGGACGCCCAGGCCGCGGTGGACGCCGAAGCATCAACGATGTTCCATAACCACCGCCCTCATCCTGTTTTGATACTCATACAATTTTCCCATCGCCTCACCCGAGAGCATGCCCTTCTCCTCCATGACCTGCAGCAGCTCATCCTGGTGTTCCAGCGTCTGCCGCAGTCCAACCAGCGCCTTCCGCATCGCCTCCTTCTCGGCCCAGAGGGACTCATTCTCGTTGCGCAGGTCTGCCACCCGCTTCTTCAGCCGACAGATGCACTTCTGTGCAGGCCCACAGGAGCAAGCTAACGATAACTGCCCAACCTCGGCGGTACCCGTGAATTGGTACAAGCTGTCGCAGGCTGCTGCGGCTGGCACAGGGGTAGCCGGGAACGGGTCAGGCAGTGGTGGTGGGTTCAGATCTGTGGCGGCGGATCCGAGATCAAAGAATTGCTCCATGTCCTCCGCGCCAAAGTGCTGGGCCGTCGACGCCTGAACCAGCGGCTCCGGCAGGAAGTAACCTGGTGTCTGTGGCGCTGCGTGGCCGTTAGCCGGGTTCTCGCATCGGTAAGGGTCTGGATCCATCCCGGGCTCCGAGACCTCCTTGGGTCTCGGGCTGGCACCTCCGGGTCCTGGTTGATCACAGCACCCTGAAATCTGTTGATGAGGCGAAGGGTCCATGGATTGCGCAGATAGTCCTTCTACTGCCGGCGAAACGTTCTGGTTCCCGGACATAGGGGTCAACCCGGGAGGGTTTGTAGAGTCGCTCTCCGGAGTCCACGTGTTGTCTGGGCTCCTATAACAGCTTTGCTCCCTCGAGAGTAGCTTGAGATGGTCTGCACTGCTATAGACTGGTGGGTCGACATTGTTAGTGGCCCAGCTGTGTCTGGCTCCTGATGCTAACTCACATGGTGTGTGTTCGGCGCGGAAACTCTCCGGGTTATAGTCTTGCTCTTTGTCGAACAGCACATCGGCAATTCGATACCAGGCCTCATCGCTCTGGCTGGCGACCCTTTCGGCTTTGAGGTGCGCGATTTGTGATTTAGACAACCAATGCTTTGGTGGACTAGTTCGCTGCAAGCAGCTCCTCGTTTCGTGGCAGCCCTGGGCGTCTTGAACCTTCTTGTACGCTTTCCAACAGTTCCCGCAGTGATGGTCCAACCCGTGGCTTTCGAGAAGATGCTGCCTAGGTAGCAATAAATGCTGTTAACAAGCGAACCCCCTGGCCAACCAATAAGGAGATGGACGATGACAAGACAAAAAAGACGTACTTAACACGAGACACGCTATCCCAACCAAAATCACGTTTTGACCCGTGCGGCATCCCACAGAGGGGGCTTTCCCGGGGCTTACGCTTCTGGTATGGGCAGGCGTAGAATTTCCTCGCACCGGTATCGTTGTCTGGTGGTCCCCTGGCGTCCCGTCTTTTCGGAGGCGGGTCCTCCTCGCTGTCTCCATCGTCATTGCTTCTTTGTCTTTTGGTCGAATGCCCGCCAGATGGTTGACGGCCGGCATGCGTTGTCTGGCCGGTTGTTGAGCTCGCTCCCGTTGTTGTGGCGCCGGTACACTCCTGTCTATGATGCCCGTCGTCGTTGTCGGTGGGACACTGCCCCGTACCGAACTCGTCATCGATGGCCTCAGCGTCCCCAGGGTGGCTCAAACAATTGGCTATGACCTCGGCCGCAAATTGCTGAAGACCAAGCTCGCTGCCCCCTTCGTACCAGCGCTCTGGCCATGGGGTTGGTGCTCTGGAATGCCCATCCGCATCCATGTCTTCGTCGTCTGTGAGTACCGTTTCTTTGCCGCAGTCTGCAACATTCCCATAACAAGCCGCAACTCGGTCTCCTAGGGGCGTGGTCCCGGGCGCCTCGTTGATAGTTGGGACCTGGGCACGGACTTCTTGTCCCGTAACCAAAAAGCGCTCCCACTCATTCTCGGCTTCCTCCCACAGACTCAGCTGGCGATGAACCGGCACTTTGTCCCTAAAATCACCCCGTTAGCGCCATAATGCGACTTGAAACCAGACGCGGAGCATACGTTGTTATGGGCACATGGCCTTCTTCGAAGCTGATCTCGTCTTTCAACCCGTTGACAACCCAAGTATTGCTGGAAGAGGCATCTTCGTCGCACTCCAATTGAGCCCTGGCGTATGGTACGTCACAATATTCGACCAAGATACCGTCCCACAAGAAGACGGACGTTGGCGTGTTCAAGCTTTGGGGTGAGAAGGACAACGGAGCCACGTCGAGAAGTGACACATATCCGCTATCGGTGCTGTTGATCGAGAACACAGACGCTGGGGGACGAAAAGGGGTGCCAGGTTGGGCTCGGTGGCTCTGTTCATGCAGCTCTAGATGCGCCTTCAAGCTGCAGCTGTTGTTGAAAGGGGTATGGCACCCGTCGATCTCGCAGTTGAAGCTTTGGAACGCTGTCCTGCCACTCGGTGTAAGGCGCCACGACGGCTTTCGTGGCTGTGCCAAACATGAACGGTAATACCGCTGTTTGGTAGAATGTCTGGGCTCAACGGATTGATGTTTGGGGGTCCGTCCAGTTTCTGCCCAGCCGCTGGCGCTGACAGGCTCTTCAGTACAGTTACTGACTGAGAACGGGGTTTGTTCCGCAACTTCAACTGGTGACCACGGGAATGGTTCAGAGACATGGACCGGGTTGCCAGTCGGGAATCTGCCGTGCGATGTTCTATAAAGGGTCATTGGCGACTGTTCGGAGTCGTGGAGAGATGAAGTCGACCCCCATTCTGCCGACTGTGAAGTAAATTGAGGGTATTGTGGGGAGGTTGAGTTACCGGCCGTCTTAGACCGCAGTTCTCTGGCATCCGAATCAGCTACCGAGTTCAGATAGAAGCGGTCAACTGCCACGTCACGCTGCTCATACTGGGGAACAAGGAATGGAGGAAAAGAGGATAGTTGTAGTGAGAAACGTACGCATGCCGATAGGTCGACTGAGCTGCGGCATCGAGTGCCCACTCATTGGCGAGCTGAGAGGGACGACCCGGCTGTATACTTGGGAAGTGTCTTCCAGAATACAGGCGGGGACTTGGGATGGTAGGCCCCTGGGGCGCGTCTGAACCGCTCTGTTGTATCAGCTCGAGCTTTGTCAAAGGACCCAGGGGCAATTGTTGCTGGCGCTTGGCAGACGCACCCGGAGTGTTCTGTGGCATGCATCTTGCCTGAAGTGAGTCGCCGTGGAAACCTGACCGGGATGCCGCCATGACGGGTACTCAAGCTCGCTCGCAGTAGATACGATGGTCTTCAATGCGTGTAGACAAGGCAGCCCCCATCGCACTTGACGCCAATCTTCGGATTGAAAGAAGCCACCAGCTGGACGAATGCGGAGGAAGACGAGTGAACATTTGCTTTTGCAAGTGGATGAGGGTGAAGCGTTCCCCTATGCGCACGCAAAGCCCCTTATGCGGGCGCTAAGCCGAGTTGGTGACTGGTGTTGGCGCAGCCAAGGTTGACATCGACGTTGCACAGCAGTTAACTTTGCGGCATGCGGGCGCAGCCCCTGGGAAGCAGATCGAGCGAGTACAAGAAACAAGGTGCAGTACGAGGACAAGATGTTGCGTGCCATGGTCTAATTACATGTGAGGCTGTGAAATATGTGACGATGTACGAAGAACACTGAAGTTGTCAAAGTTTCTTTTGGATTAAATAATACTCTAACCATTCCTAACGTGACGAGGACTAGAGGCCAAGGTACCTACCTACCTACAATGGAGGGCCCAAGGGGCGGCCTTGAGATGATCCTATAAGTTAGGTAGGTATGCGAACGCATAGTTAGCGGGCGAGTCAACACGTAACGGAATTGCAAGGCACCTTATGCGCACGCACAAGTGAAACTAGTACCCGAATGATATATACAATCCATTCCGCTTCCTTCGCTTGCTATTATCCTGTTTTATCCCAACCTTTTGTCCAGTTCGTCCACCACCTTCACCGCGCAACGTCTCCTCAGCGAATGCAACTCCGTCTTAAAGCAACACAAAGTCCACTGGTCTTCTCTTCTGTACGCAGCGGGTTCCATATTATCAACCTCTAATTCTAGTGCGGGTCACCCACACAGTGAGCCTCCAGTACAATGGATGCCAGAGCGACCTCGGGGTACACGCCTAGGCTCCGCCTACGATACTGTAAGATCTGCATCCACATGCCAACCAACCGCCATCGCGTCAGAGGTTGACCTGAGCTTTTCAAGATGTTGATTCGGCCCCCTCACAGTCAGCTGCCGCAACTGTCGGGTCGGTCTCAAAGACAAACAGCGCCAAACCAAGCCAGGAGAAGCGTGTTGGTGCTGGGGTGACGCAGAGAGAGGTCGAGCTCGCTCATGTTGGCAGCCAGTTTTCCGATGGCCAAGGTAACCATGGACCGAACTACGGGGAGCTTGTAATTGAGGAATGAGGAGTATATACGGTCCATGTCCACTCGGCCGTGGAGGTCGTGTCCCGGAAACGTAGGTAGACACCTTATGGGCAAACATGGCATTCAGATGGAATCTCAGGACCTGGTCATCATTGCTGTCAACACGGTCGTACTTGTAAAAGCTTGCGATGTTGATATGGCATATTTAAGTGCGATGTCAGAATAATCCCACGTAAATGGGTAATATCCGCGATTGTGAGTCTACGTGACACTCTTTTTGCCCGCGCTCCGGGTGACCAGAACCTACTAACCAAGCAATGGACACTGTGGCCAGGTTCTTGTTGGTGTTGTCGGACCACGAGATTGAAAACTGATGACAAATACCGAGACGAGGCACACAGTCAAGGGGACTGTTGCCGAGAGACGTTGGATGGCGTCTCTATTGCACGCTTCTCGGGATTCACTGAAGGAAACACACCCGTCCCCCGTCGACTACGAACTGAATCTCGCAATATCAACCCAGGGGGCGGGTTAAGGAGTGAGTTAATATCGCGCACACAATGCCGAATCTCCTCGAGCCCTGAGCAGTCCAGCCGAAAAGGGGGCCATGCGCGCCAAGCATGGGGTGCTTGATTTGGCTCGCTTGATGGTACAATTTCAGCTGCATGTTGACGAAGCCAATAGCAGCCAGGGATACGCGCCATCCAAAACCAACAGGTGCATTCGACACGGTGATGCTACGCTAGAGCCCTGTAGGTGGGGGGGGGGAAGGGCGGGCCGGTAAAGTGATCGCCGACGCAACAATGGGCAGCGAGCCTTGTGGCGTTTTCGAAGTTCTCTCTCTTCCCCGTGGGTCTATCCTCCCGAGTCTTCAGGTTCTCAGTTCTGCATCAAGCATCATCAACTCCTACACGGCGCTACTTTGAAGCCCCTTTCCCCTGTTCGCGAACAATGGCATCTCCGCCGCCTTCGCGGTCGGCCGGACAAGATGAGGCCCATGACACGCCGGGGCCGCCACCGATGGAGCAGCAGTTGGGGTCGGGCCCGGACCTGGAGACAATGGACGCCAGCTTGGAAACGGGATCCGTCGACCCCAACCCGGGGAACATGCCTCACAGTAACCCCCCAAGTGAGCCATTTGGTGGACTTCAGGCCGAGCCAATAAAGCTAGACACAGCCAGCCTTGGTCTGGGCCCCGGGCAAGAACCGGACGCCCAGCCTCAGACCACTATCTCCCGTCGAGCGCAGCAACCACAGACGCCACTGACTCCGGTGGTTGGCCCCGGATTTGCTCCTGGATGGCGGAAACGCGTTATCAACGTCAAAAACAAGCTTGGGACCACGAAACAAAATCAAGCACCCACTTCGCAAAGGCCTGGAGCCTCAGGGCTGGACAGCAGCAAACCAAGTCACGTTGGCCAAGGAAAGGCAGCCAAGGCAGCCAAAGCAGAAGCCGCAACACATGACACCAACGAGCCCGAACTTCCCGCACTTGTGGATCTCTCTAACCTGGCGCCATCCCTGGTGCCCACCGCTGAAATCATCGCGATTCCCGACATTGGCCAGTCGTTGTCAACAGCATGGGCCTACATCCCCGAAAAGAATTTCGCAAAACGGCCTGCGGCACCAGCAAACACAGCTGTCGGACCTGCCCCACCCGGCCGTCAGGTTCCTTCGAAGGGCGCAGCAGCTTTCAGAGCTGGGCTGAAGGCGCTGGAAGAAATCGGGCGCGTGAAGGGAACCGTTAAGGACTGGACCGACTCCACGGGTCCCGCCGTTGCCACCCGTGGTTGGAAAGGGGAGCGGGGCGAACAGGCTCCAGGGACCCTCGCCAACGAACCGACGGCAACCCCAGTGGACAAGGCTAAGGGAAAGGCTGATGGCAACGACATGGGTATTTTGGAGGACGTGGAAAGAGGGCGCCGGCCCCCAACTCCGCAACAACCCAGGCTTTCCACCGCAGAGGAAACGGCCCGCGAAAAGAGGGCCGATGCCGATGACCGCACTTCACGTCATTCAAACCGCCCATCGTCTACTAGGGGCTCAAAGCCACCATCAGAGAAAGATAAGGCGTTGAAAGCTGGGAACTGGCTGACAGACCGCACGATGTTCGCCAGTGATGTTGACCGGGCACGAGTTTGGGGGTTTGCCTACAAGCCGCCCGAACAACCTCAGTCCGCCGACAACCCATCCAAGAAGCCTGATTACGACAAGTATTTGAATGAAACAGCGGAGGCCCTCCGGTCATGCCTGAAGATGAAACCAGAAAGCCGTTGCTCTTTGGTTTTCGTCGCCACAGGTTTTGGGTGCCTCATCGTCCAGAGGTTGCTGGCCCAGATCGCCCAGGTTCCCGACCACATGCCGAACGAGAGCATCGAAGTTCTGCTCCTGAGCGCGGCTGTACTCTTCCTTGATCCTCCGAGTCCCATCCCGAAAGAGAAGGCAAAGACAGAGAGAACGAAAACCGCACCCCTTCTAGCATTTCCGGCACCAACAAGCTCTACCCGTGCGAACAGGCTTAGGGGCATTCTGGAGTCAAAAACCATTGACGGCTGGGATATATGGGAAAGGTTTCACGCTGTGGTCATAAAAAGGGACCTGCCGGTGGTTTGGTTTTACACCCAAGCCCAGATACCGAACCGGAATGTTTGTGCTCATGGATGCCCCCCGTCCCCCTGACCGTACGCCTGAAACTGATACGTGCTAGGGAGGATCACTACGCGCAGCTGGCGTTGACTTTGTCATGCTATCAGACCCAGCCCCGGTCAAGCATACTACTAATAGCCGGGTGTCTTCAAGGTTCAGAGGACCGGGTGATCCCAATTACCGCTCCTTCGTGGACCAGGTCAGGCGGTTCCTCTTTCTCAGGGCCTCGGCCGTCCGGGACTGTGAAGAACTCCTCACGCAGTGTATTGACCAAGGGTACAATCTCGGTGTTAAAGACCACAAGAAACGCTGCGCCCTTCACCTAGCGGTCCAGTCTACTAATGATGCGGCCCTGATGCGCCTCGTTAGCGCTCGCCCTAGCCTCGTTATGGAGCAAGATAAAGACGGCGCGACACCCCTGCACGTGGCCATCATTGATGCCGGTCTCTATGGATCCTTCCGACGAGCCTCCTACCGGATGATGATAGAGAAGCTGCTCTTGGCTATGGCCGACAACAAATATGACGACGAGACAAGGGACTCCGAAAACAAGTCGGCATGGCATTACGCTTTGGAGGCCAATCATCGCTGGATTCTGGATCTGAAAAACAACCAATACCTTTTCAACGGTGCACGAGCGGCACAACCTGAGGCGATCGACGACTCGGAGCCGGTCTTCACCCCGGCAGAAATAAGTGCTTGCGTAACATTGAACGCCACCCTTGCCCAGTTCTACATTTCGAACGACGACACCAGTGACTATCTAGAATTTCAAAGACCGGATGTTTTCTCAGTGGTTTATGACCACGAAGACTACGGGATTGGAAAGTTGTTCGAAAGGAATCTCCGCCACGACGATGACAAGCGGGCAACATGTCGCTGGGTTCACCTTCCTGCCAATAATGTGAGTGAGGACTACCATGGGCCTGTCATAAACTGCAGAACCAAACAATCTAACACAATGATCCAGGAAAAATGGGTACATGTTAGTAGACGCTGTGACGAGATATTCATGCAAGAGTTATAGGAACTAACCCGAGGACACTTGTCATAGGACTTGTTTGCTAAACAGCTACGACGCATCGACAAATCCACCAGTACCAGGCGTCACATAGGTTCGTTTCATCCAGTCCCACCCCGCAAGCTTGCTTCTTCTGTGCATCGGTGAGTGCTGATTCCTGCCTCAGGGTCGACGCCGTTCGACCGGCACATTATCCCTGGCGCGGTTAGATACAAGCAGGTGGGTTCGATAGTCTGATACCCACCGTAGCCGCCATCGCTGACAGCCACAGACCTACGAACCCCTTCCTGGCGAAGTCTTCCCCTCCCCTTCCCCTCGGTACCCCTTCCCCTCGCCGTCGTCATTCAGCAACAAATCCGGTGATGGCCTCGGCATCCCCAAGAAAGCGGTAACGGCCCTGTTTGTAAGTTGGAACCGCTGCAAATCGAACCCGGCAGCAGTAGCTGATATATTGCGTCTGGAAAAGATACCAGTATTTGGGTTCGAAAAACACCGGAACCGCCAGAAGTTGAGCACGACGATGAAATTTGGGAATTTATCCAGCAATGATGAGACTTGTCTCTTGGTACGCGCCTACTTCGACAAGGACAAGCTTCCGTTGCACTGCCGCCGGACCCTGGATCAGTTCACTTATCACATGTTGGACGACACCGAGAGGCGTGACAACAGCCAGGTCATGTCCAGGTGGGGCAGGAGGGAGTCGGCCAAGAAGTACAAACTTGGCCAGGGGCCACGCCCGGGAAGAGGGGGTCGGCCAGTACTCATGATTGACCAGCTATGGCTGTGGGTTCTCGAAGATGAGCAGACTATAATCACGAGTCTTCCCAACACATGGGAACCGGCCGAGGATTACAACCTCATACGACACCTCATGCACAAGGAACTGAGGGATAATGACGACCGACCGCTGATTAAGGGGTGCACGGATCTCGCCAACGCCATCATCCGATGCAGTGTCGACTTTTTGCACCGGCAGGGCCCTCTGAAGGTCTCGCTTTACGAATGTTTTCAGTCGAGTATTACACTTGTTGTAAGTGGGCACGCATCCTCCTTCCTTTCCGTCCCCGGATGCAAACTCATGCGCGTACAGGCCGAGCGGCAAGCTCTACAGTTCGAGGAATTCGAATCTCTAGTCCATCGCCTGACACAAGGTGGAATCGATGTGCAAGAACGGGCAAACTTGACCAACAATCTTTTCCAACTGACCAAGGAGACACGCCTTTTGGCTGAAATCATCGACATACAAGACGAGCTCAAGACCATCCACGAGGTCTTCCTTCGGCAAAGGGATGCCCTCAAGAAATTCGCCAAGCTCATGTCCAATCAGGGCCAGAATCGAGACAGGGCAGACGATGAAAGTGACATTGTCGAGAACAATACCCCGGAGTCATCGCAATTTGGCTATCCGTTATTCGAAGACCATGACCACGAATCTCCCGATCACCATGGAGAGAGAAGACCTCTCCATTCGGCTATGTATAGGGAAGGCGGCAGGCCAAAGTTAGAACGCAACGTCCGGTTCGCCGATGAACGGACCCAGTACCAGAGACCAAAAGCCCGGAACCAGGCTGAAGAGAATCTTCATCTGGTCGAGACCAACATCCTCACGATCAAGGAGATGACCATGTACGCGGAGAAGGTTCGGGTGGAGGTGAGTCGTGCTTTGCGGTTCATGTGCTTTGTGTTTGGAAAGCAACAAAGAAGGAAGCCCTAGCTAAGCACACTCTCAGATCAACGGGCTACTCAGCCATCGACAGAAACAAGCCAATGCGTGGGAAGCTAGGTTCGCTCGCGAGGGATCAGAGCACACGCAGCGCCAGAGCAACGTAAGACCTTGTGGCATGATTTACACCGGAAGGGATGGCTGACGGAAAGCCCAACTATGCAGATTACCTTGGTCTTTACCGCAGTCACCGTCTTGTTTGTGAGTAATATCCCGGGCAAACCAAAAGAGCGTACTTGAAATGCCCAACACGACGCTTACACTCCGACAGCTGCCCCTATCATTCATGTCTAGCGTGTTTGCTATTCAAATCGACGCGTTCCCTCATAACCCAGAGACGGGGGAGGTGAACTGGCCCTTGCCAAACGTCATGGGCCTCCTCTGTGCGTCCCTCCTAGCTATCCCATTCCTCACCCCGGTCCCACCCAACCCACTAACCAGCTCCCACAGTCGGCCTCTCCCTCGGCACCATCTCCCTCGTAGCTTTGCTCGGCTTCTACATCAACCGCATCTCACGCCTCTACACCAAATACTTCGGCGACACCACCAACCAGCCCATCACCGCCACCGGACCAAACCACCACGGCCATTCCGACTCCGACTCCGATTCCGACTTCCACAGCACCACCACCGCTCGCCGCTCCCGCCACAGCAGCCACGACTTCCTATCCGAGCACTGGTCCCATCACTCCCACGCTACCAACCGCCCCAGGTACGCCCGGCTCTTCAGGCGCTGGACCTTCCACGAGCACATCCCCCTGGTGCGCAACCTCTGGCGGCTGCGCTTCTACCGGCGCTTCTACCGGCGCTATCGGCCCGCGGCGCCCGCCCCCCGGCCGCCGTCGCCGGCCGAGTCCTATGTGGGGTCCGATGACGACGGGGGCGGCGAGTTGGACGCAGACGGGTTTGACGGGGACCGGGACCGCCACCGCCACCGCCGGCGCGCCCCCAGCGTGCTCTCTTCGTCGAGCTGGGGCGTCAACGAGTGGGAGGAGGTGGAGGACTACCCCGTGCATCGCGCGCACGTGCTGATGGAGCGGTTTGTGGAGGAGCAATCTGTGCGGCTGCTGCGGAGGGTGGCGCCCGAGTGGCTGATGAGGAACGTGAGGCACCTGCGGGTAAAGGAGAAGGTGGAGGAGGGGGAGTGGGAGGGGAAGGAGGAGTATTATGGGGAAGGGGAGGAGGAAGCGGCGGAGGAAAATTCGATCCGTCCTAGTATGCAGCGGAGCAGTGTTGTCACGCGGTCGGAGGCTAGTTGGGATGTGCCGCCGGAGGGCCCGCTGCGCAGGCGGAGGACGGAGCAGCGGGAGGGGCGGCTTAGGGGCGCGAGTGTTCTCGTTGCTGGCCTGTTTCCGTGGCGATGGGGCGGGCCTGCCGATGGACAGCCGGTGACCGTTAGTTCGGAGAGTGGTGGAGGGAGCGTTGACGTCGCGCTGGATCCGGATGAGGATGACTCGGTACCAGGGGGTGATGGCGGTGAAGGGGGACGAGGCCCTGGTAAGAAGGGAATTGGGCTTGGGATACCGATGCCGTTGCAGATTCCGTTGCCGTCGTTTGGGAGGAAGAAGGTGAGGGAAGAAGACGTGGAAAGCAGCAATAGGGCTACAGCGTGGGCTCGCGATTCTGCGAGTGCTCCCAGCCGGGGCCCAAGACTTCCATAGGCTTTGGTTTGGTTAGCCCGAAGGTAGGTAGGTAGGTAGGTAGTTATTAGCTCAGGAAATACTAGTGGCGTTGATTCTACCATCCTCTCCAGCAAAATATTGTACTGTTCTAGGACCTTCTAGACAATGAGCGCAACTGCCAATCTCCCGGGTGGCGAAGTAGATGGAGTGTAACATTGCCCTAGCAAATAATAAAGAATGCAAAGCTATCCTGCTTCTCAGGCTGTACGTTGGATATTAAAATGTAGTTGGTAGTCAGGTCCGCGAATGAAGCAGTTTTCACTACAGTGTCTCGATAACTTGTCTGCAAAGACCCTTGTACAACATGTACACTAATCATCCTGGCGGTCGTCTGAAGCGGCGTCTGCATCGTCCCTCTGCCTGGTCGGCAATGGTATCAAATCTTCCGGGTACTCATCCAATGTTAGCAGGACCTTGTGGTTTCTAGCCTTGATCCTCATCTCTTCCATCGTCTTGGACCCTTCCAAGGCCCACCCCGTCGTCCGGCCCTGACGCAGCACCGCGAGAGAGCTGCTCTTCGATATCTGCACCGCCTCGGGCCTAGAGGAGTCTCTGACGGTCAACAGCCAGAACACAAGACCACCGGCTAGCATGATCGCATGAAACACTATCCAGCCCCATTCGATGCTATAATACGTCGTTGCGACACCGACTAATCCGTATTCGGGTTGATTGTAGCTGCCCAGGCCTATATGGCCATTCAGCGGGTCGAACCTGGAGACGCCATCTCCGTTTCTGCGCATGTCGTTGGTAATGCTCGCCCCGAGGGCCGCAAACTTGGTCGGAAGGTCGACATCTTGATTTGTCTCGAAGATGTGCCCCAACGCTTGCGGGTACGCCTTGTAGCCTACCCAAGCGCCATTGTAGCCGACGGCATGCTCGCCCAGCCGCTCCATAATAGCACGAGTTACATTGGTTGATCCTGTCATATTTGCTGTTAGAAGGGTCGGGAAGTAGGCGCTGATGGGCTTGACGCCGGTTTCGGATAAGGTATAAATGGGACCACTGGAGTTCTGCGGGTAGAACAAGGTCAGATCATCTCGTCGGATCGCAGAGTATCGTTCGTCCCACTCCAGGCTTGACATTTGGTCATCTGGCGGGATGTTTTCAGGAGCGTACTCTTCGTCCAGGGGTGAATCCTTTGGCTGCCAGGAATTTGGATCTCGCTTTGCATCAGTGTCCTCTGTGGTGTTTTCGTAGATGGTGTTTCCCTCAACTGTCGCGTTGATGATCTGAACGCAGTAGTACACTGCACATTCGCTGGCGTGAACAGGGACATCAGGCCACATGCGAGAACGTCCAAGTTGAACTGTATCTATGTAGATCATGCTGGTCGACCAGATCAAGGTGTCCACGTCCTGCATCCGGTTGGTCTTTTGCGGGTTCCCGCTTCCAAACGCGGTCATCGTGGGACTATCCACGATCCACGCGTTGCCTGAGTTCTGGTAGGTTCCTGCTATGATCCCGGCGATACTGGCAAACTGCCCATTGATACCCGCCATAAAGTGACCGTTGGGCAAGACGAAGGCCGAGCTATCGTTCGCCGCCATTGTGCCGGATGACAAAAGCAGAGGCCCCGCGACATCTCCAAAGTTGTCCACTCTCTTTAGATCTGAAGTGAGATTGTGGCATGTGTGGCAGACACCAAGGGTCTTGCAGGGTGGCCAGGTGCACCGGCTTGTTGGGCATGTGACATTAGCCTGCTGACGGATTTCGGCCAGCGAGCGAGAGAAGCCATTCAGGATGGACCCCTGCATCGACGGATCTATCATCGTCCGCGCCACAATTGCCTTGGGCCCTGATGGATTTATAGTCGAGTTGGTAGCGTTTCCATACACCACGTCGCCCTTGGTGTACTCCCGTGTTTTCGCACTTTGGGCATAGGCGTCGCCCAGCGAGTCAATAAACTCGGTTCCCTGCCGCAGCTGCACCAGCTGCTGCGAGAATGGGTCAAAGGCGATGGCGAGCAAGGTCAGAAAGGCACCGAGTCGGACGAATATTCTGAAAATCAGAATCCATTAGCCTCTGGAAATAGCAATCAGGGACGAACCGAGCTACTACTGCTGCTACTGCTGCTACTCACGATCTTCGAGTCTTCCAAAGAACGTTAATCCCCCCAAGCGGACCACGACTCGCCGAATCTATCCGCTCAAAGTCGATCAGCGGCCGCTCCTCGCGGGAGAACAGGATCCATTTCCACTGGCTGAGGCATTCGGCAATCGCATAGGTTAAAGCCGCTTTCATCGCGGCAGAAAGTATCGACACCAGAGTGTTGAGCGTCAACCCGTACCAGTCGAAAATGGGCCGGTCGTCAAAGGCGCTGAGCAGAGCCACCATCCCGGCGAAAGCCAGCCCTGATCCCCCGAGAGCCCAGAGCTCCGGCATCCAGGGCGCGTATGCTGCCTCACGGCGCTTTGTTGGCGTTGTGTCTTTCATTTCGAACAAAATGCAGGTGACTTCCGCGAATGCGTGCGTACAAAACTCCACGAAGCTCAGAGGAGTCAGAGCCTGGCGACATCCCCCAGCTTGACAATGGAGCTCACGTGAAGGTTCTACTTTTGAATTAATTGGCTTTCCCCTCGTGTGAGACAACCCAGCATCTTGGCTCCGCCACTCATGTCCGCATACGTCGCACCTCCATCTTTCCTGTGCGGCTGTGCGGCCGAGGCATCCCATGGGCCAACCGTCGAAGAAAATCAACAGGCACAGCCTCCCAAGCCCCCTGAACAGCCTGTCGGAGCTGTGGAAGGCTCAGACCCTCAATATCGTAGTGATCTTCAATCCATTTTTTCATCCAGGGCCAGACATTCTCAATAGGGCTGAAGTCTGGGCTCCGAGCTGGCCATTGTAAAACCTCGATTCCAAGAGCACCTAAAAGGGCCTTGGTTGACCGGGCTGAGTGGGCTAATGCATTGTCCTGTTGGAAAGTCACCACCGGATTCCTCCTGAAACGTATAAACCAAAGGTACCTATATTATACACAGTAATGTTAATACTTCTCAGCCCTAAGTGTTGCAATTAACCCATGCCGTGGTAAGCTTTTAAGAGCTTGGCGAACACGTAGTCGAGCCCTTTGTCCAGAGGTAAACACCTTTAGTCATGCATTCAAAAGGTTTCTAATTATACGGTAACAACGTCGTTGAAAAGTGGTGATCTTCGTATCTGTCTTGCTTGTCTCCCTCAAAAAGGGAGGCCCCGGGCGGCCCTATTACACAGTCGGAAAATGCAACGCGCAAACGGAAACGGAAAAGCAAGAGACATCCTCCCCCTGGATAGGCCTGTCCAGTCCCCCTTGCAAATGGGCGTTTTACCCCAGTTCAAAAGGTAACGAAGTGGTAAACAAGGCCCCCGTCCAACCCCCCACTCCCACTTCACTCCCTCTCAACCCCAGAACCCCCCGAGCACGTATGCACACACTCCTACGCATCAGGGTACGCACAAGCCCACCCCGTGCGCTCGCACCGCTCGCACCGCGGCCTGGCGCGCGAACACCTCACCTTGCGTCGGCGACACTCGAGACATGGGAGAGGAGCGGGTGGACCGCCCCGGTTGGCGGCTTTTGCCTTTTTGGCGGTGGAGGCTGGTTTCCGGTTTGTGATTGAGCTTGAGGCTAAGGCTGAGGCTGAGGCTGAGCTTGGGTTGATGACGGGGACGGGGACGGGAATGGGGGTTGGCTTGGTTCGGGGTCCGGGCCCGGGTGTTGGGGGTGCTGATGAGGATGATGATGCTGATGATAAGGGGGATGATGATTCGCGTGGTGGTGGTGGTGGTGGTGGCGGCGCAGTGGTAATGGTGATGGTATTGGCAGTCATAGCCGGTGTTGAGGTGGGTTGTGTGGTCTGCTTCCGGCGGCCGTCGGTTGGCAATGGCTTGCGGCTTGACACCTGCTGTGGCGTCCGAGATAGGGACCCGTTGGTCTTTTGTGCGGCAGAACCTACAGAGGGAGACGAGGATGAATCCAACGCGAGCTCGTCTGGCGACGGCGATCGTTTGGGGCGCTTGCGGGGTCGTGCCACCGAAGGAGAAGGAACCCGCTTGGGGGTGGGTGCGGGCGAGTAGCGGATACTCGACAACGGGGAGAATGACGGGGCTTCGGATGGAGTCCTATGATTGTTTGTAGTGGCGGTATGTGATGGTTTAAGAGGGTCTGTCTCTTCATCGGTAGTATCCCCGTGTGAAAAAAGTGGGCTTGGGTCAGGATAGAACCTGACAATAACCCCGGCGTCACCAAAGATCTCGCGGTCGACAACCCCTCGACAGGGCTTCGCGCAGGGATGAGTGTTGGGGACGCTGGGGAGGCGGGAAAGCTGTTCCAAACACTCGGTGTACCGGTCAACAAACAACTGGTCCCTCCTCTTGTAGTCCCTGACCAAGGCATGGAGCCGGTTGCTCATTGCTGCGCTCTCTTCGTCTCGTTGCAATTCTATTTCCTCCATTCTTGCTTTGAACTTGGCCACGAGGACCAAGTCGGAAGTTGCCGAAAGAGCGGGAGGTAAACGAGCACGAATGGATGATGCATCGAGATCGGGCTCGTTCTGACCTGGCGGGGATTCCATCGTGTCGCGTTGCGGAGCGGATTAGTTAACTAGTGTATAGAGTCGTGTATTCGCCGAGAGACAACCGAAAGACGCGAAATGGAGGAGGGTGAGATGCACCAAGCAAGTCGGTAACTCGCGATGGAGATGAAAAACGGGGCCGCGATCTCAAAAGCCCCGGAGGTCTGGTACCCGCCAAGTTGCCAAGAGAACCTTAAAGCTGAACCGAGCTCGCTGAGGCAGGTCTGTTTGTGCACGCCAATCGAATCGCAGGCAAAAATGAAAGCGAAAAGTCAAAGACAGCAAGGGCCAGTTGTAAACTTCAGCAAACGGCTTGATGGTGGAGGGGTTGGTGGAGCCGGCTGCTTTTGATGTTTTCGATGACCCCGGGAAACTGGGTTCCAGAGGACTTCGGAGGACTTGAGTGATGTTCCCATGGTATCCGTAACCCACCCACCCAAGTTCACGTCCACCCCCATTGCTTTTTGTGGCCGGTGCCAAGCCTCACGCGTGTGTGACGACGCGTGTGGCCGTTTGCTTTATGCCCTTTAAACTCTGAAGACTCAAATATCACAGCGGACGGCGTTGAACCTGCCTAACTTTGCACCGAGTCAGAATCACCAGCACGCCCGAAACCCACTTTTCATTAACCCAAACTTGGGACTCGCATCAGCAAGCACCGCTCTCTTCTTCCTCGTACCTTATCATTTCATTCCCTGCGAACACAAAAGATGCCTGTTGTCGGTTCGGTTCTCCAAAGCCAATTTGCCAATCAACATGATCAAAAGACTGCCGATGGTCCTCAGGACGCGTAAGTTTGACTGCCTTTCCTGTGTCGACCTAGGCAACATTCGGTATCGACTCCCTCATATCATATATGAGAAGACGATTAATACATTCGATTCTAACGTAACATCGACCCACAGTTGCCTGGGCATCGATATAGGGAGCCACCGGAGCCGCGTCTGTCTCTGGAAATTGGGCACCACGAAACCAATCGTTGTCGAGAACAAAGCCTACCACGGTCTCACGGGCCCTTACACGCCCTGTGACTTTCCATCGGCCCTCTACATCTTCGATGACGTCTCCCAGGACGTTTACTTCCTCGAGGACGAAGACCTAGGCCGGCAATGCGTGTCGGCAAAGTATGCTTTTTACCCTCTCGCGAACGCCTCCGACACACTGCTGGAGCAATATCCTTCGGTCCACCACCTTACCAGCAGAAAGGATGACCCAATGTTCCGTGCCCAGCTCCGCAGGGGTCTGATCGCATTGCTCTCCGGGCTCCGTGACGCCGCCAGCGCCGTGTGCTACGAACAGGGTCTCCGCATTGTCAGGATCGGCCTTACGATCCCGGTACAGTGGGGGCTCGAATTTGAGGATTTGTACCGTGGTCTTGTCATGGAGGTGTTTCGGATGCGTGACCTAGATCAGATCCACTTCTTCACCGAGACAGAGGCGCTATCGAGATACCTATACAAACACCACGCACACGAGCTTGATCCACGCGACCGCCACGATGCCATTCTCTTTCTTGACTTTGGGGGCCACAACATGGTAATACATCGCCGCTTTCCTCCTTCGCTACGAGTTGCGCCTGAGTTGTTGACATTTTATCTCAAAACAGAACGGCTGTCTCTTTGGCGTTGCCCGGGACCATGACCGTCCGGATGGGAATAGCTTTTTCCGAGTTGGGAGCCCTTTTGGTAAGAAGCGTGCCGCGCTATGCTCTTTGAATGACCCTGTGCTAACCAAGATCCCCGTGCAGGCGCCGGTGGGGGATCCGAGCAGTGGGAATACCACATCGTCCAATGGTTTTCCGACCGCTTCTCTCAAGACACAAAGGTCCCCGTACCTCCGAATGAGCTCGAGGATTTCCTCACCAGATTCCGGAGCCAAAAGAACAAGAGGGCGGCCTCGCGCAGGCCGATCACCACCAATTTCCCCATGCCCAACAGCATTGATACCTGGCGAGCGACCCTAACCGTGGAGGAGATAGAGCACGCCTGGAAGAGAGGCCTCCGTGGGCCGCTCCGTACTGCTGAACGGGAAATATCGCGCCTCGTCGAGAGGACGAAGCTGGGCGTGGTATCCCAGCCTCTCGTCGTCGTTTCGGGCGGCACAGCCCGCAACCCGGCAGTGAAATCACGCATAACGTCCTTATGTGATGCAAAGGGCGTATCCGTGGTTTTCACCGACGAGTTTAATGTGCGGATAGCATACGAGTCAGTGACTACCCGCCCCCCCCCCCCCGCCTCTCTTTTATGTTATCGCCCAGCAGGCCCCGCTCTAACATCAGCCACTCATATCACAGTTCCGCCAAGGTCGCAATGGCCGCAGCCTACGTGGTTAGCGAAACCCTCACAGTCGAGGAATTCTTCCAACGAGGGGCTGCCATCGGTTTGCAGATGCGCCAGGCCCGGGAGCAGGGCAAACCAAAGACAGAACCCAGGGAGTGGGATGACTGGGGAAGGGTGCTGTTGGATCTGGTGAGTTGAATACCTATAAAATTGCACCGTATTATCCAGGGTATTAAGAAAAGAAAAAAGAGGGAAACGCCTAATTAACGTTTTGCCTCCCACCCACACAGGACGGCCATCACACGGTCAAGTTCTCCGCGAGACGCACCGACGAGTTCCGCCTCATCTGCGACCCCTTCTTCTCAAGACTACCCCGCAACCAACGAGAACGGCTGCGGGTCCCGGTGAGCAGGACCTACGACCTTGTCTACCTTGGCAGGCTGAAACAAGGGTCCTGGACCTTCCGACCCTCGCTGCGCGGGTCCGGCGACGACATGCTGCTCGAGATCGAGCAGTTGTACAGGAGGAAGGACAATGCCCGGCTCCGTTTCCGAACCGACAAGACCCTGAAGCTGCCCCTCTACTTTGACAGGAACAGCAGCTGCATCCACGTCGGCGCCCGGAACTGCGACATCTCCGAGCTCGGGCTCGATCTCCCGCCGCAGCCTACGGACGAAGAGGGGGAGACGTCGTCAGATGACGACGACGATAGCGAGCTGGAATCGGATATGGACTCGGACTTTCACATGTAATCAATCCTTCATAATTGGAGTCTAGGGCAGATGTACATACATCTAGAAAAGGAAACAGAGTCGCCGTTGCATAATCTATCATTAGATAGATTCAATACGGTTGAGACCTTTATAATCTCGGTCTGAGGCTCGAACATAAAGGTGGTGGGTTACGGAAGTGCATGAACATACAGGAATGCTGCGAGCTTGTTGGTCAATGATGCAACACGCATGCTACATACCTGCGTGAATGGAACCAAGAAATCGGGCTGAGATGTTAGGCAGCACAGCCCCCGAGGCATTTTGCTCCCTCCTTTTAGGCGCAAAGGGGAACACTCCTAACCTTCAAGCGGTCTAACATCCAACACATTTCCATGGCACACAAAAGCTCCAGCAGCAAGACCACTGCACCCACACTACAACTGCTATATTAGTTACCTAATAAAGGAACACATTTCTCTCTTACACCACCTTCACCGCTCTCACTCTCCGCCCGCAGCTGCCATCATGCGACTTGTTAACACACGTACTCTCCGGCTGGAGGAGTTCTTCGACGCTTCTACTCCCGATTATGCCATCCTCTCGCACACTTGGGCGCAGGACGAGGTCATCTTTTCCGACATGACCGACCTCGGCAAGGCCCGCACAAAGATAGGCTTCGCCAAGCTGGAGGGTGCGTGTCGTCTCGCGGCAACGCAGAAGTACGACTACATTTGGATCGATACGTGCTGCATCGACAAGTCCAGCAGTGCCGAGCTGTCCGAGGCCATCAACTCCATGTACCGATGGTACGAAAAGGCCAAGGTCTGCTATGCGTACCTGTGTGACGTCAAGAATCCGACCCAGCTCGTTGGGTGCAAATGGTTCACTCGCGGTTGGACTCTGCAAGAGCTCCTCGCTCCCGACGACGTGGAGTTCTACACGCTGGACTGGGTCTATCTCGGAAATAAAAGGGATCCCAGCCTGATCCCAACTCTGTCACGCGCCAGCCTGGTCGACGCGCCCGTCTTAGCCCGTGTGATCCAGCCATGGGACGTTAGCGTGGCCAAGAGGATGTATTGGGCCTCGAGTCGGGAAACGACCCGGCGAGAGGATGAAGCCTACTGTATGATGGGACTCTTTCGCGTCAACATGCCGCTACTTTATGGCGAGGGAAGCAAAGCGTTCTTCCGTCTTCAGCAAGAGATCGCCAAAGATACGCATGACCAATCTATCCTGGCGTGGTATTGCGAGCCAAGGAGGGAGACTGAGTTGGCGCGACGGGTTGGGACGCGGTCCGAGATCGATTTCGGTTGCTGTGCGCCTTCACCTAGCTGTTTTGCCATGTCGGGAGATATCACGTCCTCATCCGCACCGAGCCCCGAAGGATCACTGGGACAAATAATCTTTACGGGGCCAGGGACTGAATTTTTAGCCCCCTTGAAAGGTGGGGATGAAAATTGGTCGCACGAAGATGACTGGAAAGCTGAGAACGAAACTTGGTGGGACGAACGCGAGATTATCCTCCGTTGCCAGGTCGGCCCGATCCCTGGAACGTTTCCAACCTTGGTGGTAGTTCAAGCCGCAAACCGCGGACAATACTACCGCCGAAATTTGACACACGGCATCGTCTCGAGTGTTTCTCTCTATACATTTCCATCCCATGTGGAGGAACCTAATAGGATCCGCTCTGCCCGACGTAATAAGATCGGCCTGCAGATATTTGCCCCTACCACGCCTGTTAATGGCTCTTCGGGTGTGGCAACCGTCGAGGGCGAGATGCGTACGTACCCATTTCATGGGTAGTAATGACTAGTTACCTACCTAGTGTATTCGTAAACTACAACGTGTACGGTTATTACCACAAAGCTAACATCAGAACTTAGGCCAAAAGGTCCGGGGCAAGGGCTTTCCTGTCCAACGTGTGACAATAATGCGGACTGTCATCTCTGCCCCTACCGAGACCAAGACTGGCGCCGGCCACTGGCAACCCCTAGCTCCCGCCACATTTTGGTTACTCCCGCTCGCCGCGGAACAACAAGGATCCAAGATTTTGGCCTCGGTCATGGACGTATTTCCCATCCACTCGTGGGATAGAAGCTCTCACCAGTTCTTCTGGGTACCCAAGCAGACCACGAACCATGGCGAGGGACTGCGGCCAATGCCTCTGGGTGGGCCAATAACGGTCGGGGTGGCTTGTATTCGAATCAACTTTCCTATTGAGGACCCGGGGGCTCGGACCGAAGGCCCACCGCGTACGGCAATTCTGATATTTGGATTACGAAAAGCGAAGCGCCAAAACGCCAATTATCCTCATGGTCTGCCTTGGTGCCACCTCATCCATGGCGGTGATGATGCAGGCGCAGGCCTTGAACGGTACTTGACCTCCCCAATTGCCGACGAGGACAGAACGCTGTGCGCATCACTTGCCATTGAAGATGGAGTGGCGCTCAAGGCCGCCATTAACGAAACGGTCATCTTCGGAAACCTGTGTTTCTTAACAAAACTTTGGATTGTAGTGCCAGGCAGCCAGAGCCGCATCACAGTCGTCGGATCCCCTCGCCAGATTCTTCTCGGCGGCGGAGAGCGGGCGGAGAGCTTGCATGGTGGCGGCGCAATGGCCTTGGCCTGATCTGGGCACCTAACTCTCGTGTTGGGCGAATGGGCTTCAGGAACTCTCTTTTATGTTAGTTGAAGGGACCAATGGACTATTATTTGGCTTCCAAGTCGTGCTGTCAACCCCTCGGTTGTGTAACAGCAGCCGTGCTGGGCCCATCCGGAAGGATAACCCGGCGTCATGATCTAAACTCAAAGAGCTTACTACCTTAGCTACGTAGGTAGGTACCTATATCTCATCTTCTTTAGCAGTAGGGAACAACGAGCGAGATTGGTTTATAGCGGGGGAGGTCGGCTCGAGTACTAGTAGGTATGGTATCCCAGCCGTTTGTTTATTACCACGTCTATCATGCCTGTTCTAGCGCCCTCTTAAACACCGCTATGAAACCCCAAACGTCCTCAAACCTACAATACATAGGCACCGGTGCGACCCGAATAACATCTGGCTTCCTCACATCCACCACAACCCCGCCATCAGCCAGTTCTCGACTCACCCTCTCCAACAACCCCCCTTTCAATAACAAACTCAGCTGCGACCCCCTCTCTCCGGGATTCCCAGGCGTGAGAACCCGAAACGCCACCTCCCCATCCCCCCCCCCTCCCCACCCCCTCCTCTAGCAGCCCCAACAACAACCACTCCAAATACCCCGTCAACACCACCGCCTTATCCCTCAGCGCCCGCATCCCCACCCGCCCAAACACCCCCAGGGCCGCCCGTACACACGCCAGATCCACCACGCTCGGATTCGACACCTGCCACCCCGCGGCACCCTCCGCAGGACGGAACACCTTCTCCATCTCAAACCGCACCTGTTTATCCGCCCCATACCAGCCCGCCAACCGATGCCGATACCCCAGCCCCGTCGCCTCTTCCACATCACCCACATTCCCACCCACATGATGATGATGATGATGCCGCTCATGCACAAACACCCCCCCCACCGCCCCCGGCCCGGCATTCAAATACTTATACGTACACCACACCGCAAAATCCACCCCCCACTCATGCAACTGCATCTCCACGTTCCCCACCGCATGCGCCAGGTCCCAGCCGACCACAATTCCCTTCGCACGCGCGTGCTGTGTGATGCGGGCGATGTCGAACAGCTGGCCGGTGTAGTACTGGATGCCCGGGAGGAGGAGCAGCGCGGTGCTGTCGGCGTGGGCGTCGATGAGGGAGAGGATGTGGGCTGTGGAAAGGGAGAGGCTGGTGGTGGGGTTGGGGGGGTGGATTTCGATTAGGGAGGTGGAGGGGCTGAGGCCGTGCCATTGCAGTTGGGAGGCGATTGCGTACTGTTGGGGGGGGGATGGGGGTTAGTGAGTGGTAGTGGTAGTGGTGGTGGTGGTGGTGGTTAGTGGTGGGTTAGGAAAGGGGGGAACGTACGGAATCGCTGGGGAAGGGCTTCCACTCGGCGATGATCTTGTGCCGCTTTGCGGTTGGGCGGTAGAAGCTGGCCATCATCAGGTGGAGGTTCACCGTGAGCGTGTTCATGTAGATGATCTCGCTGGCTGACTTGGCGCCGACGAGGTCGACCGACTCTGCTGCGCAGGCTGCCGCCATGTCTTGCCAAGAGGCCAGGGGCGAGTTATCGAAAGAGGTGAAGTGGCCGTTGACACCAATGGATGCCCACGTCTCTAGATGTGCGTCGATGTATTGCCGGATGCATTTTGGCTGGGCGCCGAGGGAGTTGCCGACGAAGTAAATGGAGGTTTCGTCCATCGAGTCACCATTCGTATGCTTAGTTCCGTTTTGCTTTGCAGCAGTGCTAACACCATTGAGCAATTTCTGTTGTTTTGCTTCCCCTGAAGCATGAATTAGACGGGGAAATGCAGCCTCGATATCGTCAGGGGATCACTTGCCGGCAGCATTCAGGGCCTTCTTCCGCAGCGAATCCTTGGTTGGGATGTTGAAGTCGTCTCGGAGATAACTCAACTTATCTTGAGCATCAAGTTGTCTTGCATACTCGATAGACTTTGCGTGAGCCGGAAACTCGGGCTTTTGCCCAGCCCGGAGGGTCTTGATGAAGGATTGGTATTCAACGTCCATTATGCGAAAGATTAGAGCGAGGATTGTGTGCCGTTCTCAAAGTTACTAGAATTCACACCCAGCCTGCAATCATCGAGATACTTTATAACATACCACCGCCGTCTGTTTACTACCCCTGAGCCCCCGAGCCCGACTCCGGTTTTCCTCCGAGGCCGCTCCGGGTGGGTCCCGGCTAATCCCGGGGACCCACTTTCCGCATCCGCCGACTTCCGTTCCGTCTTCCGTCTTCCGTTCTCCGTTCCGGCCGGCCCACACTGCGCCTTGTAAATCCACTCTTTTCGGCCGCCAACTTGGAAATAGGCAAGTCAATGATATCCAAGCCTATTATGTTACAGATACCATTCGGTGCCTTCCCGATCATGACTGGTAAGGTGGCCGTTGGAGTGGGTCATGAACTCTCTCCGGCTTTCCTTCAACGCTCGGCACGGTGGGCTTCAGGGGTAGAACAAACCCTTGTTCGGTAACCTCGTCCGTTTACGCTCCGTTCCAGTCACGTCCACGTGCGGATATGACATCAGGCGATGGCGGATGAGCCGCCCCAACATGGCGGTAAACAACGGAACACGAGGGCGTCACGGAGCGGATAGCTTGGCTGTGATGATGAATACTTCTAGCACCCGCGATCTAAGTTTCGCCTTGACATAGTTCCATGATCTTTTTGTTTGTGTAATTCTCAACTCCAACAAATCCATCACAAGCCAGTCTAGGATATCACACTTGGTCTCTTTACTCTTCTTAAGCCATCACAACTCGCCATGTCACCTTTAGAAACGCCAGTCTTCCCGAGCAAGGGCGTCCACACCGACACACCGCCCGTGTCACTAACAGACTACGGTATTACCTCCAACGGCTTCCTCCCCGAGGAGGCACCGCTAAGGAGGCTACCAGACCCCTACTACGCGCCGTGGGAGTCTCTAGTCGAATCTCTCTCTACATCCATCGCACAGCAAACACTACGCCACCAGGTCGACCAGCTGCCCATCCTCTCCACCGACCGCCTCACAACAGAACCAGAATGGCGACGAGCCTGCGTGGTCCTAGCCTTCCTCACACACGGCTACATCTGGGGCGGCGAGACCGCAGCCGAGGTATGCTCCCTTCCATACTCCACCCCCCCCCCCCCCCTCTTCCCCTTCGCTCAACCCAGCCGAAAAGACCAACCCAAAACAAACACAAAAGACGCCCCCTACTAACCCCCCTTCTCCCAACAGATCCTCCCACCCCCCCTAACCCTCCCCCTCCTCACCATCTCCCACCACCTGGGCATGCCCCCCGTCGCCACCTACGCCTGCGTCAACCTCTGGAACTTCCAGCACCCACCCACCTCCCTCCCAGCCAACCTCGACACCCTCCACGCCCAGCACACCTTCACCGGCACCCCCGACGAGTCCTGGTTCTACATGGTCTCGGTCGCCATGGAGGCGCGCGGCGCCTACCTGGTCCCGGCGATGCTGCGGGCGCTGGAGGCCGCGACAACGCGGCGGGATTGTGGGGCGGTGGCGGGTGGGTTGCGGGAGCTGGCGGCGGGGATTGGGGAGCTGGGTGGCTTGTTGGAGAGGATGGATGAGCGGTGTGATCCGGGCGTGTTTTATCATCGGATTAGGCCGTTTTTGGCGGGGAGTAAGAATATGGGGGCGGCGGGCCTGCCGAGGGGGGTGTTTTATGATGAAGGGCAGGGGGGGAAGGGGGAGTGGCGGCAGTTGAGGGGGGGGAGTAATGGGCAGAGCTCGCTGGTGCAGTTTTTGGATGTGGTGTTGGGGGTGGAGCATAAGGCGATGGGGAATAGCAGTCCGGATGGTGTTGGGTCGGGGCAGAAGGGGGGTGGGATGAGTTTTCACGAGGAGGTGAGGAGGTATATGCCGGAGCCGCATCGACGGTTTCTGGAGGATGTGGCGAGGAGGTATCCGGGGGGGATGAAGAAGGCGGTGGGGGATTTGTTGGCGGATGGGGGAGGGGCGTCGAGGGAGGAGCGGACGGCGGTGCGGGAGGCGTTTGAAGGGGCGACGAGGGCGCTAGCGGAGTTCAGGAACAAGCATTTGCAGATGGTGACGCGGTATATCATCATCCCGTCGAGGCAGCCAAACGGGAATCAGGGGGTAAATTTGGCGACGGCTTCATCGCGGTTGAAGGGTTTGCCCTCCTCGAAAGGAAAAGAGGCGGAGCCCACGGTCAAGGGAGAGCTAACGGGCACCGGAGGGACGGCATTGTTGCCGTTCTTGAAGCAATCGCGGGATGAAACGTTCCAGGCCGGGCAGCTACAAGTTCGGTGATAGTTGTGGATGGACGAATGAGGCTATAGTCATCTATAAGTTGCCGGCGCCTAAGGTTAGCAAATTAGAGAAGCATACAGCCACTCTCAGTTATCGCCAGGCATTCCATTGCCCTCGCCGCCGTGATGTCCCTCCACAAAATCTATCGTACATCCGTGGACAAAGGTAACCTCGCCATCCCCGGTTGGGACTGACTAACGGCTGTCAGATATTGAGGTCTCGGGACGTCTTGGTTGAGCCTCTGCAACTCGGTGGGTACGCTTTGTCCCCGTAGAACCTATCATTAATTGGATAAATCCTGAGGAGGGCCACCGCGGTCGGTACCTACGCTTCTCAAAGCAGAAGAATCACCTCTCGAGCTTCTCCTCGGCTTCTCGGTGCCGGGAGACGGAACGCCCGGCTGGCTCGTTACGCGTGGCTCTCGTCATCATGTCAACACCATGATGCCAGGAGCAGCTGTGTTGTTCGGCGTCTTGTCCTATTTCTTCGATGTCGTGTTCAGGCCGGATGCGCCGGGTCATGATCCCGCGCAGAAACCACAACCTCCAGAACACCAACTGCGTATTACTCGGCGCACAATAAGCAGTGATTATGTCAGGGATCGGGGAGATATCTGCTGTCGGGATTCCTGCTGTAACCCTTTTCCCTCGCGCCATTTCTCGCGTTTCGGCGTGCGGACTCTATGGAGCCACCATGCCGAGCATGCACCGTAACTGTTCCGCAAACCCCGACGAATCAGCGGCCCGATGAACTTCTGCATGCCTCAACCCAGGCTCAGATTGGTATTGGGATATTCCAAAGAGGTGAAAATAGCGAGAAAAAAGCGAGCGGTGAGTCGGAAATACAAACAAAAAAAGAACCCGTGAACATGAAGCTCCTCGGAAGTCCTTTCCCGCCGAAAAAGTCAAGCTTTTGTGGAGTGGAACTCATTTTTCTCACAGCTCTGGCGCAAGCGGCAGTGCGTCTCGAGTGCAGCCAACTCCGCATTTCCAAGCCCATGCTGCCATGGGAGCTTGCATCAGGATCGACGCGGGAAGGTGGGAAAGCAAGCAGGCCCGATCCGGCCGGCAATGTCGAGAAGTGCAAGAGCTCCCGAGAACTGGTGCTAAGTGGATCCCGCCCAGCAACCGGGAACGATCGCGATCTTGCATGCTCGTGCCTTCCAGAAGACCATCTCCAAGCCTCCTTTTTCCGCGCAACAACGACATGAAACGGTCAAAAAGAAGCGGCAGGTTTCTAAATTCGGTCCTCTCCGCGGAAATCCCCTCGCCTCACACAACCCAACCTTCCAGGGATCTCGGGACCCCAAGGTTCCTGGCGCTGCACGTTCCCGGCGCTATACCAGATCGGGAATTTCTCTTAGCAAATCTGACGTAAATCCTGGGGCTGCCGTTGGTTCACAGCTGCTAACCCTTTGTCACGAGTTTTGGCTGTTTCCCGGCACGCCTGGGCACACACCCTCAGACTTCGGAGCCACAGCAGCACCGACTGCCCATTTCTTCTGCCACTTCGATGCGGTCGTGCCACCGCGCCGCCGGATGGCAACATCCAAGGATGGCTTGGGCCATCATTCGGGATTAAATCGAGATGCCGGGGGCCAAGCCATATTTAAAAACCAATTTCCCATCTTTACTTAATTCCCATCTTCGGGGTTGTTTCCCTCTGGTGGAAGGGCAGAAACAGACGACTCGGGATCCAAACGACACTCGCTTCGCTTGAGCAAACAACACCCTCTCGACATTGGGTAACATTGCTCTTGCCGTAACTTGGCGTCAACGGCTTTAATTTAGGTTCTCTCGTACATATTTGGTGTTGATTGATTCGGCATTTCATCAGTCCGTCCCTCCGGAATCCCCATCCCGGCATCCATCTCAACATCCAACTCCCCCAACGCACTCTAATGTTCTGAACACACGTCATCGACATTTCCGAGGTCGTTCAGCACCATTGTCCATTGTTTTGGAAAACACCTTGGATACACAGCAAAAGGGGACGAAAACACGACAATGATACCGCCCAACCAGGCCCGCGGGGGGCCATCCCGGTGGCACTTCGACATCGACAAGCACATCAACCCCTTCTTCCCGCCGTCCGCTCTGCCCTTGATGCCCGCCCCCATCGCCCACTTCCTCGGGTACCGCACCCACCCGCCGGCGCACCCGTTGGGCAACCTGGCCATGATCTTCTGGGCCGTCATCGGCGTGTTTTCCAGCCTGGCCATCATCGGCGCCGTTGCGCTAGCCGTGCCGTCCTTCCAGGCCCAGGGCGTGCCCACCATCATCGGGAGTTTTGTACGTTTTCCCTGCGGTTTCTCTCCCCCCTCCCCCCGTCCATTTTCCAACCCCTCCATCCCCCGAAAGAAAAGAAACCACAACCCCCCCCCCTCTCAACGCTAACTAACAACCCCCCTCCCCCCTCACCACAGGGCGCGGCCGCCGTCCTCGACTTCTACGCCATCGAATCCCCGCTCGCCCAGCCCCGCAACGCCATCCTCGGCCAAGCCGTCTCCGCCCTCACCGGCATCGCCATCTGCAAGCTCCTCGCCTTATCCCCGCACTTCGAAGCCATCCGGTGGCTGGGCGCGTCCCTCGCCTGCGCGTGTGCCACCGCGCTCATGGCGCTCACGGGCACGGTGCACCCGCCGGCGGGCGCGACGGCGCTGATGGCGGTGCTGGATCCGCGGCTGGCGGATCTGGGGTGGTTTTTGTTCTTGCCGTTGTTGTTGGGGTGTTGTCTGATGGTGGCGGTGGCGATGCTGGTGAATAATGTGCAAAGGCGGTTTCCGTATTATTGGTGGAGTCCGAATGAGACGGGGGGGTATTGGCGGCGGCGGCGGCAGGAAGGGGGTGGTTGTGGGCAAGGGGGGTGTGGGGAGGGGGGTGCTGCTGGGGAGAAGGGTGGCGGGGTGGTACACGGCCAGGGGAAGCCGCGGGATGAGGAGTCGAGTGGGAGTTCCTCTGGCGGTGAGCCGGAGGTGGGTGGGGAGTTGATGCAGACGGTGTCGGTGATGAGTGGGCGTGGTGGGGAGATTGTGATCCGGCGTGGACGGGTGCAGATACCGGACGGGTTGAGCCTTAGACCAGAGGAGGTTTTGTCGCTGGAGATGCTTAGTGAGAGGTTGTGATAGAAGGGTAGACGCTAGTAGTAGAGTTTTAATGATTACGATGTTTATGATGCACTTTACGGTGCGATCTACTGTGCTGTGTTGTTGGACCCTGTGGTCGTGAGCAGCCCAGTCGACATCCGACATCCGACCTCCATCCCTTTCGGTCTTACCCAGATCCCTCCCACGATGTCAGCCATCCACCCCATCCACCCCTTCCCGACACTCGATCACCAGCCGCCTGCTGTACGACGTCACATGGCTTACCCACCCTCCAGCCACGCGCCAAAAGCAAACTCAAAAACTCTCCGCACCAAACAAAGCATCCCGCACCAGGAGGTGTGGCACACCACCACGCTTACGGGCACGACCCGGTATCACAGCACAACACACCTCCCGGTTCCGCGGGTCTGGGTTACCCGGGATGTATCCCACCACCATGCAACGCGGCCCGAAACAACACACGCGGCCGGGACGGGAGGGTAGCGTATATAGCTGTGCACCAGCTGTGTTAGGTCACAGCATATCAAACGATAGACCCGTGCCAAACCCGGATTTGCTGTTGATGGACAGTAGCAGCCAGTGTGACCCGACACTTTCTCTTTTCCGAGGGGAGCAAGATGTGACGATGATCACCTGACATGCGTGGTTCCGGTTGGGAGAGTGTAATTCCCGAGAGGGGTCGTCTTACCAGAACAGAACAAGATGGAAGGAGTGTGGTTGCCTATTCGGGGGCAGAGGAGGCGGGTGGGGCTTGAAATTTTACTGTGGGATCCCGAATGCCGAGGGAATGCCGGGCCGCCGAGGGCGAGGTTGGGCAGCGGCCGGTTAAGCAGCCCGCGCCGAAGAAGAAGTCGACAACGGCAAGCGGACGGCGGGGGCGGCAGAGAGGGGGACCGCTAAGGCGGAAGCGGGACAGCCAAGGCGACGAAGCGAAACAGGAAGTCGAAGTCGACAACACGAAACGGGGCGTCAATGACGACGCCAAAGACAACGCTAAATACAACGCTAAATACAACGCTACATACAACGCCGAAGCCAACCCCCCCCCCCCCCCCCCCCCCCTGGGCACTACGTCCCATGCCCATCCAACAACGCCAGCGCCTCGTCCGCCGAGATACGATCCCGGGGTCGAAACCGCATCAGCCCGCTAATAACAGGCAGAAGTGGCGCCAACCCCGGCTCTGTCACCTTCTTGGTGAATGTTTCCTCCAGCTTGGACTGCGCCGGCATCTGGGCTAGAGTCGTTCTCCCGTTAGATAGTCTGCCCTGCTGGGAAATATGACAATGGATCATACATACCTGGAATGTGGTCCCAGCTTCTCGTGGCGGCTTGCTTCATGCACTCCCATTGGGGTCGCCATTCGGCGGGCAGGTCCTCGACGAAATGAATCATCTGCCCTACCAACGCGTTCATGTCCCCAAGGTGGTTGAAGGGAATCAAGGCCATCACCAAGAAGTATATCTGTCGAGATCACGTTAGCTTCTGGTCGTACAACACTAGGTAGCTAGCACAACGAGCCCAGGGAACGTTACCGTGCAGCCGGCCCGCCACAGATCGACCCTGTGGTCGAATTTCCCGGTAAATATTCCCTCGGGGGACTGTAATCCCCACGGCTCCGCAAGCTTGGCAGGTGGTGTCGCATGAGGGAAGGATTCGCCAAGGTCGATAAGCCGGATGTCCTCCTCGTCTTCGTCGCTCCAGTCATCCCACCTGGCCTCTTGGACTAACTGCTCTGGGAGGCCAGGGGCGAGGGGCTCCCCGTCGCGGCGGACGAGCTTTTCCGTCTTGGGTGCCCCAATAACCTTGAGTAGATCGTCGAGGGACAGTGTGGCCAGCCGGCTAGTCGTGAAAGCCACGTTGGCACCGCTGATATCTGTTACGAGGGGGAAATGATAGTTAGTATGGAATTCCTTCCGTCCTGGATGCCCGGCGGGCGCGACGAACCTCCGTGTGCATAGCCTGCTCGGTGCATAGCCGATACCGCTTGCAGGAGCCGCCTGGTGATGCGAAGGATGGTATCTGCGTCCAGACGGTCTCCGCCGTGATGGTGGTCAAAGACCACGGAATCGACCGCCGGCCCAAGTAGCTCGAAGACTAGACATTGGTGGTCCCCGTTGGGTCCCTGGTGAAGGAACGCATCGAGAAGCTCGACGACGAGGTGGGCTGCGTGGGCTTGGCGTAACTTCTGATGGGCTGCCAGCTCTCGCGAGATCCCGATGTCCTTGGCCGCGGTGATCTTGATGGAGACCCACCGATTCAAACTGATGTCGGTGTCAATAGGTACATGTACTGTGGATGAGTTGAACTTGCACGGATAAGGACCAACGTAACATACTGTTGATCTCTCGCGAGCCACACGGTCGAGAAGCCGCCCCAACCCAATTTGTGACAGACCTCGTAGCGACCGCAATGGAAGGTGTCGCCGATCTTGACGGGATGGAAGCCGCCTGGTCGATAGCGTCCGATTTGTTCCTCCGAACGCAGGAGCTTGGACCGTTTGAAGCACGAAACGTCGACCATGGTAAGGATGATGGAATGATTGATATCTGTGAGGAAGTTGATGCGGAAAGGGCGTGTTCTTTGGCACACTGCAGTATTGCTTCACGTCTTCAGAGAGGTCGCAGAAGGTGTGGTGTGTGGTGTCAACTGCCCAGGCAAGCACGAAGGGCAGCGTCAAAAGACGTAGTAAGTGTCAAGGCATGAAGGGCAGTGGCAAATCGGACCTCGGGCTCGGTGAACGGCAATTCATGACGTGGACTTTGGGATCTAGAAGCATATGGAATGGGAGAATGATCCGGGCCGATATTGGCGATGGTTATTGGCGGTGGTTCCAGGCTTTTACTTGATCTTGACATACTCGGGAATACCCGTACAGATCTAGAACACACTACATAAGGTCGGGGTGTGCCTGCTTGGTAAAGAGTGGGGGGTCGATCCCAGCCCTACGCAAGGCCTGGCCCTGCGGACGGCAAGCACATCCATGTTGATATATGGATGTACATAGGAAGCAATGCCCCGCGAAAGGAAGGGGCAAAGCCAGTCGAGGAGGAGAGCCTGCCGCCCCTACATCAAACCCCAGTCCGCCGTAGACCACAGCGGGTCCATCTCCATAAACGCCAACCCGCCCTGTCCTGACATCATGTCCACAGCGTAGTCACCATCACCCGCCCCCACGAACGCCTGACCACCGGCGCTCTCCCCGACGCTCATCGATGGCATCATACCACCCGCCAACCCGCCATCCATCCCAGTCCGCACAACTTGAACCCCGCCACCGCTAGTACCGCCACCGCCAGTACCGCCACCCAACCGCCCCTCTGCCCGGATCAGCGCCATCTTCCCCTTCAGATCCCTCACAATCCGCGGCACCTCTCTCCCCTCACCCGCACCACCACCCCGCCTAACAACCGCCTCCCACGCCCTCAACACCACCCCCGCAAACAGCCCAAACACCGGCTCATACCCGCCCCCCCTAAAATCCGCATCCATCCCCCTCGCCTCGTAGTTCTCGCTCATCGCCTCCCACACCTCCGCCTCCCACTCCCTGTCCCTGTCCACCCCACCATCACCCTTACCCTTCCCCAGACCCCCACTCCCTGCAGCAGCGATGGCCCCCGCCGCAGCGATGTACGCCAGAAACGGAAAATGCGCGACCACATGCCAGCGGAACCCGTGCGTCAGCGGCGACGCCATCAGGCGCGTGTCGCAGCGCATCATCGCCAGCGCGTGCGTGATCACGGGCGGTTCGTCGCCGCCCCCCGGGGATTGGGCGGGTGGTGGTGGTGTCCTTTGCGAGGGTAGTCCGTGTGGTGGTGTGTGGGGGGTCTGTGCGGCGGCTCGTCGTGCGCAGTGCTCGAGCAGGCGGCCGCGGGCGAGAAAGGCGCGCGCCGTCCAGATGGTGGTGAAGTGTAGGGGGATGTTGGGGTCGCAGTGGCGGAGGGTTTGTTCGAGGGTTTGGTGCATTTTGTGGAGTGGGTCGCTTGCTTCCTTGTCGGGTTGGTTGGTGGTGCCGCTGCTGCCGTGGGTGGTGTCGGTGGTGTGGTGGTGCTTGGACTCGGTGAAAGTGGCGAGATAGGGGTCGGTGAAGTCGAGGTGGAAGGCGCAGTGGCGGATGAAATCGCTGAGTTGGCTGCGGGCGAGCACGAACAGCGCCTCGGTGGGCTTGTCGTGGACGACGGGGGCGGTTTTCATGTCCGGAAGGAGCTCAAAGTCGTTCAGGTTGAGCGGCGTGCTGCAGTTCCAGGTCGGGGCTAGGATACTGGTTCTGTAGTTGTACGTCTCGCAGGTGCGGCTGTTGAAGATCACTAGGGCCCACCATAGTCTACGGCGCATCTCGGCCTCGAGAACTGGGCGACCTTTGTTGATGGACTCCTTGTGATAGCCCATGCGTTGCGCCATGTGGATGGCGACGGCTAGCATGGAAGATAGAGACCGAGGGTGCACGCCTGGCTTCAGGGAAATCTGGCCGGGTGAATTAGAACATGGCCGAACAAGCTTCGCACGGGTCCCACGGGGCGGTTACCAGGTAAAGAAAGAATGCGGTAAGGCAATCATGGTCGTCTGACTGCAAAAGGTTGCAGTTGAGCAGTGCTTGTCGGCAAGCAAACTGGTATCCTGCTAAGAGATCCTTCTTCAACGACCCAAATAGGCTTTGACAGTGGTCCTCGTCTAGGCTCAGGATAGCAGCACAGTAGACACCGAAGAGTAGGGCCTCCAACTGTGGGGTGACGGTTGAAAGATCGCTGATGGCGTCAATAATGCGCCCCTGAAGGCTGGGCGTGTGGGTGACTTTCAACAGAGGGTTCACGTTGTCCAGGTAGATCTGCCAGAGCCGGAAAATCTTGCCCTGGTCGGGATGCAACGTAGTTAGGGCAATTGTGTTCACCGGCGAGCCAAAGAGGAGATGGTGACTGCTTTCGGAGACGTTGTTGTAGGTGCGATCCCACACATTCTTGATGACGTCGCCCATATCATCGTCGTCACGTAGAAATCGACCGTCCCTCTCGTCATCGTCCGGATCGTTCTCACTACCACCGTCCAGCTCGGAGTTCTTTAGACGGACATCAGCCTATTGCATACTGCACATAAGGTTGGGTGGCGGCCTGGATGCGCTTACGTCTTGACTCAGGGCATGCCACAGATTCCTGGAGACAGTCAGCCACTAATTCGGTTAAGCTAGCTGTAAGGGGGGAGGCTAGTGTGACAAACGTCGTTCTTGGTTTAGTGGCCTTCTCCTGGGTGGCCGCGTCCGACTGAGTGGTGCGCGGAGTGTCAGGGGTGCTAGTATCCATGCGAGACAGGTCGTCTGTGGTCTCGCTAGTGACACTGTTGACTGCAGGCGGGTGCAACGGATCGAATGGAACATTGTGTTGACGAAGCAGTGTTTCATAATGGCGGATGCGAGCGAGTAGTTCCCTCTCGGGGAACCTGCGTCGTCGTTGACGTGGGACGAGGGTAGCGGGGGCACAAGGGGTGCCTGCGCGGGTGCAGTTTGCGCAAGGGAACTTTCGGTCGCACTTGACCTTGCGCTGCTGGCACAGTTGGCAAGCCAACACACGCTGTGATTTTCCCGCCATGCGTTCCCGTTCTGGTGCGGTCCGGTGATCTATCGGCATGCTTTCGATGTCATCGGTTGAGGGTTTGTCGTTCCCGAGGGACTTGGCAAAGCTTGACTCGGCCCCGGAGTGATGAGTGGTCCAATAAGGGGCAAGCTCACCCCACGCGCGGTCGTGACCGTGGAACTTGTAAGTGGACTCCTAACTCTATCACGACGTCGTACATACACCCTGAGAATGAACGTATCCGGGTTAATTACTTGAGTCGGGTTGGTCAAGCACGGCAAACAAAAAACAATACCTTAGTCGAAGAGTTGAATCATCAAACCAGGGGTATTGATCTGACTGTGTTTTGCGTACGTCGTTCGTTCGGGACTTAGCTTTCCCCGAGCAACCCCCGGCTCAGCCCCGGACGTTAGCAACTCCCGACAACCAACACCATTCCCAATTTCGTGTTTACAAAAGCCCGAATATTGAAAATGACTAGTAGCGGAAGGACCGAGTCATGTCTCCGGCACAGCCTTAAAACAGCCAGAGCCAAGTCCAATGCCATCAGCGAGCAAAGAGCCCAACCACCTCTCGTTCCTGTACCGGTATTCATAACGGAGTACTACTAATCTCATACGGAACAACTAAAGCTACCTACCTAAGCAACCCAATATTTGCTGTGTAAAGAGGAAACACACACCTGTCACTCACCATGGCACCTCACCCTTCCGTGGCCACGCCCAGCGACGCCGACCCCAAGACTGAGGAGTCGTCGGATTCAGGACAGGCCCAGGATACATCCGATGTTCCCAACCCGGATCCCTCAAAATCGGATGACGATGAGCTGATAGAGATGGACAAGACCACCAAGGTCCTTTTAATAACCTCTGTACTGCTGAGCATGTTTCTCGTTGCTCTCGACAGGACCATCATCTCAACGGTACGACTACCTACCTTCATCGCTCGCGATACCTTTATTTATCAGATTGATGCTAACAATACACTTTCAACCAGGCCATACCCGCCATCTCCGATGAGTTCAACTCGCTCAACGACGTCGGCTGGTATGGCAGCTCATACTTACTCACATCCTGCGCCTTCCAGCTGCTGTTCGGCAAGGTCTACACTGTCTTCTCCGTCAGGGCTGTCTTCCTCGCTAGCACGCTGCTCTTCGAAATTGGGTCCGCCATCTGCGGTGCGGCCCCCAACTCGGTGGTGTTTATCGTCGGCCGAGCCATCTGTGGAGTTGGAGCTGCAGGTCTCTTCGCCGGAACCGTGAGTCTTCCCCTCCAGAAACGTTCTCTGCCCATACTACGTAGGTACCTTAGGCTTACCGAGGTATTCCAGATCGTCTCCATCATCTACATCGTCCCACTTCACCAGCGTCCCAAGTTCCAGGGCATGTTCGGCGCCCTTTTTGGCATCGCCTCCATCGTGGGCCCACTAATCGGGGGTGCTTTTACCTCCAACGTTACCTGGAGGTGGTGTTTCTACATCAACCTCCCCATTGGTGGCGTGACCATGGTGGTGGTTGCCTTGTTCCTCAAGGTCCCCGACCGTGAGTCGACAAAGCTACCCCTGACCAAAAAGATCTTGCAGCTCGATCTCCTCGGGACATCGGTCCTCGTACCGGGTGTGGTGTGTCTCCTGCTGGCACTTCAGTGGGGTGGTCCAACATACCCTGTAAGTTAAGCATCCAGCTTCCCCCCCCCTTCTTTCCCTTACCACTCCCCCCAACAACACAACACTAACAGTCCCCCCCCTCCCCGGCCCAGTGGAACGACAGCCGCATCATCGCGCTCCTCACGCTCACCGCCGTCCTCACCATCGGCTACATCACCATCCAAGCGACCCTCCCCGCCACCGCCACCATCCCAGGCCGCATCATCCGCCAACGCAGCGTCATCTCCGCCCTCTGGGCCACGGTATGCATCAACTCGGGCAACTACATCCTGATCTACTTCCTGCCCATCTGGTTCCAGGCCGTCAACGGCGTCTCCGCCGTCGACTCGGGCATCCGCCTGCTGCCCGTCATGCTAGCCATCGTCGTCGGGTCGGTCGTGGGCGGGTTCGTCAACGCCCGCGTCGGCTACTACACGCCGCTGGCGATCGTGGGCACCTGCGTGGCCGCCGTGGGCGCGGGGATGCTCACGACGCTGCGGGTCGGGTCGGGTCCGGGGGAGTGGATCGGCTATCAGGTGCTGTATGGCCTGGGGCTGGGCACGTGTTTCCAGGCGCCGAATCTGGCGGTGCAGGCGGCGCTGCCGAGGGATGATGTGCCCATGGGCATGGCGCTGATGTTCTTTGGTTCGCTTGTTGGGTCGACTGTTTTTGTGTCGGTTGGGCAGAACGTGTTTACCAACCAGCTCGTGCAGCGCCTGCATGGGTTTCCGGGGTTTAATGTTGGGCTTGTTACGTCGGGGGGCGTCACGGCGCTGCTCGAGGCGCTGCCTGTGGAGGTGCGTGGTGAGGCGCTGGTTGAGTATAACGAGGCGCTGCGGCAGGTGTTTATGGTCGGGATGATCGTGACGTGTTTGACTATCCTGGGCACGGGTACGCTGGAGTGGTTGAGCGTGAAGAAGCCGCAGGTGGGATCGGATGAAACCGGGGATTCAGCCGAGGAAAAGAAGGTCGGGGTCGCGGAATAGTTTGATTAGACTGACCGGGTTGAAGAGTAGAAAGCGACTAGGGGGGGTGCTATGAACCGTGGATTGCTTAGGAGTTGGGAAACGGGTTAGCATGTACAGCTACTAATGGATAGAAATAAATTTTATGTAGAGTAGAATACCCGCTGATAGTTACAAAGCACTTAGGTACAACACTCCGCCCCTTTCTCAGTGTTCAACGTGGGATGGTTGTGTCTACCGTGACCTGTCCCTGCCGTGGTCTGACATGCACTGAAACTTGAAGACGATTTCGGCTTGATCGGACGATCTCAACTGTCAAACCATAGTTTGTAGCACTCAAGTATGAGGGTTGCCAAGCCTAGTCCTACTGGGCCAACCTTCCGTGTGATGGAAAGAAAAAAGGACTCTGCAGCGATGGTGACACTTCAGGTGCGTTGTCTTACTTCGTGTTCGTCGTTCACTGATGTTCCTGGCACTTACTCGTTCGGTGTAGACCGATCAACGCACTTGCTTCAAAGCCTCGCGATATCGAGAGAAATGCCAGTTTAGCATGCCAAACTTCCCGTAAATTAGTTAACGAATACCTGAATCACGCAGCTGAAGAACCCGCCCCTTTCCACAGACTCAACATTGAACGATAGACCCCTTTTCACCACCTCACCACCACCAAAAGCTAACGCAGCAAATAAGCTCGTAACTCCGTATATGTACAAACCCTTCCTCCTGCCTACCAAGTAACCTCAAAAATCGCATTCGCAGTGCAAACCCTCCCCAGCCCGCCCGCACCAACCAGGACCAGGACCATCGGGCCGACTCCCTCCCTCACAAAACTCACAAGCGCACCAAATGAAATAAAACCCGCACCAACTCCGAGCAAGCCAGCCTGAGGCACGCCCGCCCCTACGCCAGCCGCCCACAGCCGCCCAAGCGAGCGACCGAGCCAGCCCAATCGCCCGGTCCCAAGACGTGACATCCAGCCCCACACCCCCTTTCTGCAGGAAAAGGGGGTGTGTGTGTGGTCGGTTACCACGTTACACATCCCTTTTAATCGGGCCACATAACGCCCACGCCGTTTTTTTTGCGCGTGGTCGCACAACACAGATCTGGCCCGGCACATTTGCGGCCGGCAAAGACCCGGGATTACAGGGTTGCGTCCGAAAGGATTGAACCGTGCCAGCGGGAAGGATGAGCAGGTCCGGCAACTGCCGTGGTTTTGTATCACCGGATCGACTAAGTCTGTACTACCATACCACTCTGATATGAACCGAAGGCGAAAATGGGGGTGAGAGAAAACAGAACCAAGATTCACCATCGGCCCTTCCGTCTCGGGTCTGATGATCCGGGAGAGCCGAACCAGGAACGCAACGACATATGCAGGTAGGTATGCAGTATCTATGATGTACAATATGCACATGTAGGACCCCGGACGTCGAAACATCCGTCCCGCTCTAACAACCGTTTCAAGTATCGTGTTTCGTACCCACTTGTCTTTCTTCTTTCATTGCTTTTTCTCAGTCTCAGATTCAGATCCTTGTTGGATTTATCATTACCAGTGATGCTATGTGAAATCTATTACATGGTAGAGAATATTACACGCCGGTGACCGGGCTATGGCAACTGGGAAGCCATGTCAAAAACAACGCCGCCCGGTGCTTTTCCAAGTATCCAATAACCAATGATACACTATCCAAACGCGCTTAATACGCGTACCGGAACTTCTTGTTCTCCTTGTCTGTCAAGGTGGACCACGCCTCGGGTGACATGTAGGCGTCCTCCTGCTCGCCCTCAGAGGTGCGCTTCTTGTTCTGCCAGACATAGTACAGGAAGAGGAGGAAGGTGGTCAAGGCGCAGCCCGCCTGGGTGCCCATAACAGCAATCTTGGCGGGGCGGTACTCCGGTGCATCCTTGGCCTGGAAGGTCTGGGGACCAATGATGTTGCCGAGGGAGAATGAACCGCTGATGAGGGCGGCGGCGAAGGCACGCTTGGTGCCGCCTCCAATGTTGGCAACGGTCCACTGCGAAAGAGGTTAATGACTGAAATCCCGCTGAAACAAACAAGGGAGTACCCACGTTGTAGAAAATGGCCAGCGGCGCGACGACGGCGTTAACAAGGTAGATGCCAGCCAAGCAACCGGCCCTGTTGGTGACGGGGAGGAAGGACATCAACGCGCCGCCAATGATTCTGGTGTGTCAAGTCAGTCGACGAGCCCCGTGGAGGTGTGCTGCTCAAGTCTGCCACTTACGCAGGGATGATGCAGGCAATGATGAAAGCCCAGCGATGGGATTGCATGCGAATACCGAAGCCGACAAAGAGGGTGAAGAAAATGCTGACGGCGCCCGACGGGGTGTTCATCAGGGCAGATTGCTTCGAATCATACTGAAGTCCACGGATAAGGGTGGCGGAATACGTCGTGATGACACCGCTAGAAACGGACAGCTAAAGAAAGATACCAGTCAGCAAGCCGCAGAAACTTGGCCGTTTGTAGCCGAGCACTTACCAGAATAACAGAGAGAAGCAAGAGGTAGATCTGGGGGTCTATTAGGGCCTCGACAATCTCCTTGGCGCGGAACTTGCGGTTCTCGATACCGGTCTGGTTGACGCTGACGTGCTTCAGCAGTGCCACCTTTTCGTTGCTAGAGAGCCACTTCGCCTTCATCGGTGTGTCGGGAAGGAAGAGCACAACGCAGGAACCCACGACCACGGTGACCACTCCGAGAACGACAAACATGATCCGCCAACCGGCAAGTTGGGCACCTTCACCAATGTGCTGGAAGCCATACGACACCAAGCCACCGACGATCTGCCCGATTCCCAAGCCGGTGTACCAGAACGAGAAGCGAGGAGCCTGCTCAGACTTGGTATACCACTGGCTGCTAATCAGCATCAGCGACGGGGCAATGGTGGCCTCGAAGATACCCAAGAAGACACGAGAGACAAGAAGCGTCTGATAGCTGGTGGCAGCAGCACCGCAAGCAGTGGCCGTGCCCCAAAGGATGACATTCAGACCAAGCCATTTGGCGGCAGGGACGGCCTGGAGGAAGTAGACTGGAGCAGGAAGGGTCAGCACCACGGTGATACCATCCTCATGGAATCGACGGTTATCTTACTGTTGGGGATCTCAAAAACCAGGAGACCGACGAAGAGGAATGTTGCGACATTCGAGAAGTCGTTGCCCCCCATATTCAGGTCCTTCTGCAGGCCCATCACATTGGCATACTGCGTGCAGGTGGTACTGTATTAGCCGCCGCCCGGTGGGGGGGGGGGGGGGATGGGGAACCAGCCTCTTACGTTGAGGATGACCTTGTCGAGAAACTGCAGCGTGTAACACAGGAACATCAAGGGCACGATATGCCAATCGATCTTGCGGCGCAAGGCCGTGAGATCAATTGGCTCGCCGGTGTCAGCATCCCGATTGGCGTCGAGATACTTCCAGGCAGTATCCAACTCGCCCGAAGCATCAACGGACACCGTCTCATTGACGTCAACCCGGTCCTTTGCGCTGTTTTTGTCCGAAGTCGACGACATGGCGGGCGGCTGAAAGATTAGGAACCGAAAGAGCGCAATGACCTCGCGGGAGGAAGCCAACAATTAATTTTTTAAGACAAGATGGACGGGAAGGAAGGGTGAGGACGAGGGTGTGGGAGCCGGGGGGGCACAGCAAGAAGGAGATCTCGGTCAGACAAAACCAAAGATGAACGGACGGAACCCGGGGGACGGCTGGGGGAGATCGGCAGAGTTGGCCAGGTGCCACGGGGTTGCAGTGCCGGAGAGAACACGGGAGAAACGAAGGAAAAATTCAGAAAGGAAGGAGAAGATCAACCACCAACATAAAGTGCCAGATGAAACGTGGACCGACGCCCAGAGCAGCGCAAGTTTAAAGGAGGAACTTAAGGCAAAGATGCCGAGGCGACGCGCATATGCGGTTGGTTCTTGCCATGCGAGCGAGCCCACGGTGATTTCGGCGGGCTCGGCCAGGGTCGGGGGCCACTTTCCTAACTGACAACACAAAGTACCAGGAGAGAACCCTGCGATGCAACGAACTCGATAAACGGGACAGATCTGGAAATGGCTGTAACCAAAACACAAATCATGTGCCCGGGGCCTGGTGCAAGATCAGGACACACAGACAGTGTGAAGAGGGCAAGGGGCGTTGCAGGTTCAGGTTGAACGACAGGGGTGTACGATGGTGCAACCCCACTCACCTCTCAACCCTTGCATGCTCTTTCCTTCCAGGGTGTTCCCGACCCCTACCTCTGCCCCCACTCAGACCACCACCACAGGAAGCCGCGAGACTGGCTCACACCTTTTCTCCCTTCCCTTGTCGGAAGGCATCCCCGTCCGGGCGCGCCTGCTGCGCCCAGACGGCACAGCGCAACATGGAAGATATCGGGCCTGCAATGACAAGGTCCCGAATATGGCCGTCCGGTGCCAATCATCTCCGAGAGAAGTTCCCTCTCGAACTCCAAGCCGACGGCCCATGAGACGGCGCTCCTTGGGTGCTTGGCTTTTTGGGCCCTGCGGTGACCTCGTGCGGAACGCACAGTACGCAGGATGGATACGCCCCGGCATTGAGCGAACCGGCGTAGGCCAAACTGGGAACAATCTGATCCAAGTGATCCAAGGGGTCTCTCGTTGCTATCAATGCAGCCACTCGAACCTCGAGATCGACATTCAGACCCAGGGGCAACGGAGGGATGAAAGTGGAGGCGGACGATACTGGTTCTGCTATTGGTTTCCCTCGCCTCGGCACAGAGCATGCAGCAAGCAGCAAGGGCAGGCGGGCGTGCGCGCCCAGCTTCGATGGAACGATGCTGAGAACATTTTTCCATTTTTCCCGCAGGCTCGGTGTTGTTGTCAGGGTCCCCACGGGTCGGTCTCCTTCCTGTCTCATCACACATCCCATCAACCCCTGGTGGTTGGATGACACGATGGAACCTTTGATTCTCTTTTTCTGGTTGCTCGTGGGTATTCCAGTTTGTCGAACGGCAACAAGGCAAGATTGGGGCCTGAACCCCCAGGTTTAGACTTAATGAATTCGGTATCCACGTTGACGCGCAGTGTTGATCTCCCGCCAAATCCATTCGCATCCATTCGCACTTTTTCCCTCCACGCCCGCCCACCCTCGAGCTGCGGTGTTTGCCGATCAGTTCCTGAGTTTCCTTTTTCCCCGGTCGTTCCCCCAGGCCCCCCCTTCCCGAACGCATCTCCCACTCGATTCTGCACCTAAGAAGATCCACCGCACCACACACTCGGGTCTTCTCACGACCGCATCGATTTATCGCTCGACCCGACGGGAGTCGCCAACATGGTTTGGGTCGACAACGCAACGGCCGAGGTTGACGCCATCTCGGAATGGCGCACCATTGTCGCCATTTCCAGTGTTCTCTCGGCATTTTCTATCGCCATCGTGATGGCACGGGTCTGGATCAGGCACAAGAATCATGGGTTGGCGGCCGATGACTGGATGGCGATATTGTCTATGGTGTTTGCACTGATCTACTCGATTTTGTGCATCGTCCGTATGTGCATACCGCCCCCAATCTCACTACCGATACGGCACCCGCTCCGAACCCGGCTTTAACTAATCGATTATTCAACTCCAGAAACGAAATATGGCCTGGGACTCCCGCTTAAGTTGCGGCCGCCAGAGAACCTCCTCCCTTACACCCGAACCAACTTCGCCGGCCGACCGATTTACCAGATAGGCATCAGCTTCTTCAAGGTGGCATTGTTGATCAGTTACCTGCGGCTCTTCAAGGGAACCAACCACCTCGTCTACCGCCGAGTGGTTTGGGTCGCCATTATCGCCGTCGTGGCCGGGCACTTGGGATGCGCGTTGACCCTGATCCTGGCGTGTACTCCGGTAAGTGGGAGCCCGAGACGCCATGCTCCCGTCGTATCGCATCAGCTTGGCCGGCTGCTCACATTGTACAACGTTTAGGTACACAGATCGTGGGAGCCATCGACACCCGGCACGTGCCTTCCACCCGGTCCGTCATTCACAGCATATGCCATCGTGACGATCGTGTCCGACGTGGTGGTGGCTGTCATCCCGATCCCCGTGCTGCTGCAGCTCAGGGTCAACTTGGGCAAGAAGATTGGTCTCATTGTCATTTTCCTGTTGGGTCTTTTCACGACCCTGTGCTCCGTCTTCCGGTATCTGCAGATCGACAGGATCCAATACGGCGACGGCAACTCGACCATGCTCATTCTGTGGGGTGTGATTGAGTTCAACGTCGGGGTAAGTTCCGCTTTTCTGTCTCAGAACCCCCGCTCTCATCTGGTCACAATGTCTCACACTTACGCTCCGCCTCCAGAACGTGGTCTCGTCGCTACCATTCCTCGCGCCGATCTTCCTGCGCAAGGCCAAGCAGTACACGACCAAATACTCGGGGAGCGGGAACAACTACGGCAGCGGGGCGCGCAAAATCGGCAAGTCGAGCGAGGCGTACAAGCTGAGCAGCCTCTCCAGCCAGCACAAGGGCACCTTCGTCACCGCGCAGGGGCAGAGCAACGGCAGCGAGGAAAACATACTCAAGGCGAGCACCGAGAATGCGCCCGAGAACACCATCATGAAGTCGGTCACGTATAGCGTGCGAGTCGACTGAGACAGTGTCATCCAGGGCGGCATGCAGGCGCTTGGCTTGGCGTTCTCATTACACATCGAATAGATTCCAATTACACACGGCGTGACAGAAGGGCGGCGGCGTCAACGGACTGGACTGGCTGGGCTTACAGGGTGGGGTTCTGCTTTTCTTGGGGTTTTTTTCTTGGGCCGGGCACCCAGAAATATGTATATACCTATTTACGACCTTGTGCGATACTCTTTTGACGATGATGCGACAAACAAAAACAATCGAGACAAATCCAGATTAATCGCTTGGCTTGCCTGACGTTCAACCGCTTGGACCCTGAAGCGAAAACAAGCTCTGACCAAGTGGACGAAGGTGCGGAAGCGATCGGCCTTAAATTCTTCTTTGCCCAGTCCCCTTCGAGTAAGGCGGCCTGGTTAAAGTACACCCCTGTCCTGGATGACCCTCCACCCCCCGATCGCCGCTCCCCAGCGTCCCGACACTCCGTCGCGGCGCCGCCGATCCCTCCCTCTTTGCTCTTCCCTCCCTCCCACGCTTCCCACGCACGCAGGCAACGGTCCCAGCGCTCCGGGACTAAACTCCTTCCCGGCCATCCCAGGCCGATCCCCATCCACAGCAACCAGCCATTACCAGCAACCAGCCATCACCAGCCATCACCATCCACCAGCAGCAGCCGCATCCGGCGGCACATCCATATCCGCCTCGTCGAACGCGAGGTCCATGGCGCGCCGGGTCAGCAGCGGGCTCGAGTCGGTGATGCGGGCCCAGCGGTGCGCGTCCAGGCACGCCTGGCGCGACGCCAAGACCGCGGGGCGGCTTCGGCCCACCGCCCTGTCCTCGTAACGGTCCAGCGCGGCCCGGAGGTCCACCACCACCGCCGAGTCGGAGGAGGAGGAGGAGGAGGAGGAGGAGGAGGAGTCTCGGGGGCCCGCGAACTGCGGCATGACGAGTTCGGCTAGGTCGAGCACGTCGACGATGGCGTGGTTGGCGCCCTCGCCGCGATCTGTGGTTTTTTTTTTTTTTTTTAGTATTTTTTGGGGGGTTCGGTAAACAGTAAATTTAGGTAGGGAGGGATGTTTGGTGTGGAATGGTTAGAACTTACACATCGCCATCGGGTGCAGCGCATCCCCGGCCAGGGCCACATGGCCTTTGGTGCGCAGCCCCTTGGGCGGTGGCCAGTCGTAGAGCTCGAGCGACTTCACTTCGGTATCGACCGGGATGCTGAGGGCGAGAGACCGGAACGGCTCAGCCCATGTTTCGGCGAACGTTTTGATCAATGCAATGCCGCCTTCGCTGGTCTCCGGGAAAGCGATCGGCGCCGCCTGGTTGAAGAAGCCCTCCCGGATCGGCCATGAAACGACCATCTGGCAGGTGTATTTTCCACCATTCCCCTCCGGCGTGTTGTTGGGAGCATCGAGAACTTCGAGTTCCCATCGTTGCATGTCAGCTTTTCGCGGGTGCACAGGAGAGCAGGTGCATGGAATCCATGATGAGACTCACCACTGAAATACACAAACGAGTCGTTCTCGGATGCCGCTCCCTGGAGGAAGAAGGGGTCTAGTTGTCGCAGCGGCTCAATTTCCTCTGGAGTGCAGTTGATCTTGACGCCCATCAACCTCACGGGGATTTGGAACTTTTGGTGTTCCGGAAACAGCAGCGCGCGGATGCGGGAGCTGCCACCATCGCAGGCCACAACGAGGCTGCCCTCATAGGACGTGCCATCGTCGAAGCTGGCTGTGACAGTACCGTCCTGAGCAGTCTCGACGTTGTTGACTGCCTTACCCCACTGTTGCAACGCAAAGTAACCGAGGGAAGGTCAGCTCACCCTTGTTTCACTTGCACGACACAACGAGGGTCACATGCCTGAATATCAAGCCCCGTGGCCAGCAACCGCCGCAACCGATCGCGCGTCACTCTAATGCGCTGCGACACGGCGGCGTTGGGGGTCTTGGCCTTGAGCTCGCCCGTGCTGATGTCGAAGAAGGGAAAGGTGGACGGCCGGCCCTCCTCGACGGCAGCCCGGTCGACGTAGGCTTCCGGCAGCCGGTTAAACAATTCGTCTGGCAGCAGGGACCGCAGCGCGGGGAGGGACCAGTGCAGGGTCAGCCCCCAGCCGAGCCCGCGGGTGGTCAGGTCGGCATCCCGCTCGAAGACGAGGACGGGCACGCTGCTGCCGGTCTTGCGCAGGTACTGGGCCAGGAGAAGGCCGCTGAGACCGGCGCCGATGATGAGGATCGGTTTCTGGTTCGGGCCTCCCATGTTCGGTCGCGTCTCGGCGGGTTCAGTTTCGTCGTCGGATTGGTCGCACAGGGACTTGTCAACGCTTAACTGGACGCGGTGAAACGTGCAGTGCCCTGTTTATGCTCTTATGTCGCTGTATAAATTAAATGGAGACCTCTATCCACCCATCGCGTGCACTGAGCACTGAGGGAGAATGGCGCGCCATTCCGGGGCCGGTACACGCCGAAGCGTGGCCCATCCACGGCCGACGAAACTTCCATTGATGTCACCAAGAAGCCCTGGAAATAACCTGGAAATGCAACCACTGGCGGGGTCAATCCCCTTTCGGCTCGCAAGAAACTCCCAACAACCAACAACCGAAGAGTCTACTCAGTATCATCATGCCATGTTCCCCCACCAGAACCAGAGAAATGCAAAATGCCCAGAACGATATCAATACGAACCTAAGCATCGGTTAGCTTCCAAGTGGCCTGCCCTCGTACTGCATGTGAATGCCACTCGGTCGACGCCTCTGGCAGGTGCCCGGTGGCACGGGCTTGAAGATGTACCTATGTACCTTACCTAAGGGAGGTCTTGCCGCGCACGAACTGCGTGCCGGCGCGATTAGGGTTTGGCTCCCGCTGATGCCCGTGTGCCCTCCTACACTAAAAAGTACCGAGGGGCAATCGGCCCGCCAAGCGGGCAAAGGTCTCCGCCATGGCGCTACTTGTGTAGTCACCTACCTAAGTTTTACAATCTTCTGTCGATCAGCTTCGAAAGCGAACGGAGCCCGAGTCAAGGGAACCGTCCCAATTCTGCTGCCTGTGCACTACCAAAACTCCGAACTTGGACTCCGAGTCCGAACCTCGGATTTCCAGCTTCCAGACGCCGAACCTCCCCGAGCTTTTGCCAGCCTTTCATGCATGACTACAAGTACCTGACCTGAGTTAACGCAGTTGACCGAAAGGGGAAAAAAAAGCAAAAAACAAGAGTTCCATCCCCCCTCCCAAGACACGGCATCATCCACAGTATGTATGTACATATGTACATATATGGGTGGAAATGCCCGGGGGCGCTACCAAACTATTCTCCGTCGTCTTGTTTCGAGAACTTCCTTCCCCTCCTCCATCCCTGCGTCTCTGGATCCTGCCCCCCACACGTCTGTGCCAGTCTCCAGTCAAAGGCCCTCGGACCTCGATCGCTCGATCTGGACCAGGGTCGAGGCAAAGCGGCCCCCTGTGGCTGGCCGTTCATCTGAACCGACTAGGGTCCCCGCCAAACCCTGACCCTGTCCGGCATAACGCTCTTCTGTGAACGCCAGTCGGTGGGTTTTGGCTTTTTTAGTTTCGAGTGTGGGCGGCTGAGCAAACACTGTGTGGCTGGCAGTGGCAGGCTGACCTTCGATCCCCGGATCCATTCTTGCTCCTTCGTCCGGCCCAATCTTAATGCCGGCTTGGCCAGAAATGCTTGTCTGCCAAGTCTGGACATGTTTCCACATCCGTGCTCCACGACACAAGAGTTACACTCCACTGCCTGATGAGTGTCAATGGACGACCACAATGTGTGGGAGCCGAGGAGGGCACTCACCTGGAACGCCATGGCAATAGCTGATGCCCAGCACCCTTGACTCGGGAGACAGACCTCCCTTGCTTGTGATAATAATACCTCTAGTTTAACTCAGCTTGGGTTGGCTTCAACTGCTTTCATCGCACGGCATGTGGCGCCGTCGAAGCCGAGCTGAACCGACGGGCCGGAGCTGAGCGAGCGAAAGGGGGCATGAACGGCGCGGATCGAATCCCATCGCCGCAGCCAGGAACAAAGTCATATCCGCGTAAAATCCGTGATCCGAACTAGTTAATGGAATTTCCACTTGGAGCGTCACGTCACAAAAAGCAATAATCTCCGGGGGGGGTTTTCCCTTTTGGCGAGCCTTATCTCAACGACTATTGTCGAGGATGGGGGTGACTCCCACCGTGTATCCGTACAGTGGACTCACTCGATGGTCCAAAACACGAGCAGGTGAGCCGACGGCCCAGTGATTCCACCCTCTCACCTCTTGCGTCAGACAACCGATAAACTCGTGGAATTGGATGCATACCGTCGTCCGGATGCTGTCTCATAAGGATGCCGTGACTCCTTTACCCACGTTGCGGAGTATTTGAGAAACTGAAACGGGGCTCATGTTCACCTGTCGGCAGTCCAAGTTACCACGCCGTTCCTGACCCGGTGGCTTGGAGAGGGGGGGGGGGGTGGGGGGGGGGGAGTAGACCTAGGAGGGAGGGGAGATGCCCGTGGGGGCGAAACCTCACCCACCATACTTTGCTTGTCTGGCCCTACTGTCTTCGTTCCCCTTCCAGCGAATTCTATTGTGTTCTCACATGTGCATCCACTATCTGTCATATTGCTGCTGGGTACGTCATGTAATATCTGTATTGTTCTACTGTAACAAGTATCTCGCCTGCAAGATGGTGAGGCTTGAGTGCCTCTGAACTTTGGCTACAAAAGAAGTAAGGAGGCCTGAGGCTGTTCGCCCGCCAAGGGGTCACTGTGGTCGCCTGCCAAGGGGGTGCGGTGAGGAGAAATTGACTCTCCCCTTCGCTACCTTAGATCCTCTCCCAGGTATTCCTGACCAGCCAAAACTCCTCGGCGACCATCTCCCGGCCCGGCTGAAGGAGGGATTTGGTTCGCTGGTTGGTGGGGTCATTCATAAGCTGCGGGAGGAACCTGCCTGTATTCGGGTCTCGGACCTGAATGATATAGATGTGGCCGCCCACTAGTATCCTTCCGGCATGTTCGCCCATCCACACCGTCATGTGGTTGTCGGAGGCGGTAGTGGCGGTCCGAAGTATGCCATCATCTCCACGGAACGTGTTGCGCCTGCCGTACCTATCGAAGGTGCATGCTCTTCCGTGCATTTCCTTACGGATGAGGATGCACCGGAATTTGTTGGCCTTTGCAACTCTACGGGCAATGTTAGACTGAGCCTCGCGGATCTCATCATCAATTCCCCATTCCGCCTGAAGCCAGGCAACGCTCGGGTCTTCGAAAGTGCCACTACCCGTTACGTGGTAGAGGGCTGACTTCATGTCTCTGTGGATGTCAATTCCACAACCTTCGATTCTCATCCCTCGGACAAACACAGTCCTAGGGTTGATCATCCCGGATGGGTCGACGTTCTCTACGGATGAGCTGCCATTGCCAATCGTGAGTCGGGAGGTGCGCCTGTTCTGGGTACGGCCGTGGGTCCTGGGGGAGTTGCCCGGGCCGTTGCCCCAATAGGTTTTAGAGTTTCGACTAGCAGTAGACATTGTGCCAACTGCTATGCTGCTTGTGCTAGCACGGGTCGAGGAATACAGCACACTAGAGCGTTGTGAGCGGCTGTTACAGAAGAGCTGGGGGTATGTCGAAGTGTGGTCACTGGTTGTTGACAGCGTGTGATAGGTAATGTCGTCGCAAGGCTGTATAGGGGTAGCAATCGAAAGGCTGGGGGCAGAGGTTATCCTATATGCATCCGTGAAAGCGACGATCACTTTCCAACAATCCATACATCCTCCCACACATTTGTTAACCTTTTGTCGTACATTGCCATAGATTTTAGACAATGTCTTTGTGTGAGGACGCATCGAGACAAGTGACCTATTCGATTGTCCGGGCTGGTTTGTCTGCATTCGAAACATGCTTCGAATGAATGCCGCCTTCTACTTTTAGCGCAACCATTCAATGGGCATGAAAGCAGTCGGAGATAAAGACACCGAGAAGAAAGGGGTGGCAATTTCAGAAGACAGTATTTCTTTCATACTCCCTCCCTGAACGCTAAACATTTTGCTTTCTCTTGAGAATTAGCCTGTCTATTCAGAAATCAAGATCTACAATTCATGGAATGAAAATAAATATAAATTGAATCTTGATAGGTGTCTCATAGTTCTCTTTCCGACTACAACCTTGTCATAACTATAGCTACCTCGACAGATCGACAAGCACATTCGGGCTACTTCTGAACTAGGGGCTCTCTAGGTTACCGCTTCTTCACACACAACCGGAATCCCATCAAGACCAAAATGGACAGCCGCACGACGACAAACATCACTTCTAAATCCGACCCGGTATCCAGCCCCGCCGACAACACCATAGTAGCTAATAGCACGACGAAGAGCGGCACGACGACAAGCAGCACTTCTAAGTCCGACTTGGCATCTGGAACCGCCGACAAGAGCTTGACAGACCGAACCCAGGACTCTGGTTCTCATGGCAGCACTTCTAAGCCCGCCTTGGCATCTGGAACCGCCGACAAGAGCTTGACAAACCGAACCCAAGACCCTGGTTCTCATAATTATGTCCCGGACCCCTACTTGGACAAGCTCTTGGGGTTCTGCGACTGGGGGAATACCGAGTACGCTGATTACTATCGCCACGGCGGTTTCCACCCCGTCGATCTCGGAGATGTCTTGGGCGAAGATGGGCGATTCCGCGTGGTCCACAAACTCGGGTACGGCGGGCAGGGAACCGTTTGGCTCTGCCGCGACAACGTCTCCAAGAAGTGGCGCGCCGTCAAGATCATGGCGGCGCACTCGTCCACCGCCGACTGTTCCCACATGAAGGCCCTCGAACTCTTCGACGGCGCCAGCCCGGATGAATTGGAGGCTAACGGCATCCAATTGCCACTAGAACACTTCTGGATCGAAGGGCCAAACGGGCGCCATCTTTGCTTCGTGCTACCCTGGCTCGGCCCCGAGATCCTGGATGTCCCTAGATATTATTGTCATGTGCCTGAGCTCGTGAAGGACGTTTGCTTCCGGCTGGTCATGGCTTTGAAATTTATCCACTCACGGGGTCTTTGTCACGGTGACTTCCGGCCTGCCAACGTCCTGTTCCGACTGGTTGACGGGGTCGACGAATGGGAGGAGGAGGCCATCCTGAAGCTGCTAGGCGAGCCCGTCCTCGTCCCGGTCGAGCGAATCATTGGGCCGGGCGTTCCACGCTATCTTGTCCAGCCCGCCGAGATCAAATACACAGCGGGAGTCTGCTCATCCAAAATCGCCGTCATCGACTTTGGGGTTTCATACTCCGCCTCCCAGCCTCAGGCCGACGGTACCGGCATCCCGATGGCATACGCGTCACCCGAGCTGCTCTTCAACCGGCACGACGCCCTGGGATTTCACAGCGACGTTTGGGCTCTAGGCGTCACCCTGCTCCAGGTTCGGGTAGGCATGCAGCCCTTCGACCAGCACGATGAGGAGGACCCACTCGAAGTACTGGAGTGTATGGAACGCACCGTGGGCCCGATTCAGGAGCCCTACCGGAGCATCTGGAGAGGGATGGATGGCAAGTTCGTCAACTCGCGGGACGAGAACGGCGAGCCCCTAGACGACGACAGCTGGAAAGACGAGTCGCTCATGGCCACGGTCTCCACCGAAGACGAGGAGCGATACCGCCGGACCATTTTCAGGGAGTGCGGCAGTTCCAACATGCTCCACTACTGCATGCGAATGCCGAACCCCATGAGTCTCATCAAGGAGGAAGCCGCCGAGATCACGAACAAGGCAGCCGCCGACCCCGGCCGGATGCCCGGGTGGGAGGACCGAAAGAAGAGCACCCCGGACTCCCGCCCAAAGGGAGTCCAGCATGTCATTCCGAAAGAGGAGGTCGACCAGCTGTTCGATCTCCTCCTCAAGATCTTCCGGTGGCAGACGGCGGAGCGGGCCACGCTCGACGAGATCGCCAACCACGAGTGGTTTGGGGGCCGCAACTGGTCCCAGGGGCACGTCGAGCGCCCGCGCGAGGAGGCGCACGACTCCGGGGCCATCAGGACGGTCTGGGAATCTTGGACTTTCTGCCGGGGGTGGATGGCGCTTGGACTCCGCACGGGAGCATCCCGGGTGATGGCGTTTCTCTTCTGGGGCCTGGGGGAGATCGGAAAGACTATTTCGGCGGTGGTCATTGCCATGAGGGGGCGGGATGCTTGAAGGGAATATATATAGTGGTGTGGAATATTATGGAGGTTGACTTTACTAGGCAAGATTAGAAAGACTCTGTCAAAGGTGATGATTGCTGGAAGAGGGCGAGATGTTTGAGGGGATAGATATGTTGCGAAGGATAATAGCTAGGGAGGTTGACTCTATCTTTGTCACATAGCAGGTAAGAACGGTAAATTAATTGTAAGAGATTGAATCGCGCATAACAAGTCATGATTCAGTGAAGGAGTAACTCTTTTGCCCACCGGATGTGCATGACGGTATATTACAACCGTCAGGCATGCTCGAGTCCAAAGGAACAAGACAGAACAGAAGACTAGAACAAAGAGCAATGAATGGGGGCTGGAGGGGAATTTATGCACCTGGCTGCAGCCATGTTCCCAGTTTCCTGACACTCTCCCATCAAGACGAGCTCCCTCTTTTGTCACGACATCCGAACTGGGAAGTGAACTGCAACAGACGACTGACGGCTACCCCAACCTTTCCACCTCAAAGATGGCCGTCAAATCCTGCGGCACATCGAATTCGACTTGCTGGCGTGCATTCAAGCGCGGCTTGAGCTGCAACTCCTCGATTTGGTAGAGAAGATCGGGGCGCTTGCATCTGATCTGGCAGGGGTTCCTGGTCTTCATGCCGTCGATGCTCTGGATACGCTTCGTTTTACGCCCGCACTTGAGTATCGGAACACAGGGTAGGTCACGGTCGATCTTTGCCTGGAAAGCGGCCCTCGGCAGAACGATAGGGGGGGCGAGAGTCGGCCTCCATATCGTCATACTGAACTGGCCAACGCAGCATGAATTAGCAGAGAGTTGTGGAAGAGGAAACCGAGTTGTGACACGAAGGCGGATGCCGTGCACCCCCGCCCCCTTCCGGAGCAGATAAAACTAGACGCACCTTGTTGATGAACCATTGCACAAGGTCCTTCGGCCCGGTGCCCATCCAAGCGCCGTAGCTTTGTCGTGCAATGCGGGAGGTGACGCGAGTGGGCTCTTCACCTGAAGCAGTCCCCTGGCTTGCGACACTTTGGCTGGCAACAGTCTGGCTGGCAGCAATTTCCCTCGCAAACTTTGTGACTCCGTGCAGGGCTGCGCCATGCTTCACCGCGAGTTGTCTGTGAACGACGCCAGCGTAAGCGAGAAGAACACCTGTCAAACCTATCGCCAAAGCACCCCGGCTTGGGATGGTGATGTTTGGAGATTGGACCTACCCTCCCCCCTCTGTAAAGAAGACGAAGTCGTTGCCAAAGTGATTTCGCAGTTCGACCTGGAGGAATTTGTTGCGGCCAAACCCACCGACAACGACCATGAGCTGGACGTTGTAACAGTGTTAGGTCAAACCAAAAAGAGCCGGGGGGGGGGGTTATGATCTTAGACAAGGCGTACCCGAGGCTGCCCCATCCCGTCTTCTTCCTGACGTTGGCCACTTGGCTCTGTGCGAGCTCTACAATGCCGTTGGTGATGGACCGGAAAGTCTCCACGATGTCAATGCTGTGGCGTGGTTGCCATGGTTCGTTAATTCGACGGCAAGGATGATAGACATGCGAGGATGGACTCACCCGTGGACGTGGAAAGAAGCCATCACGGCGCCATCTTGTCGCTCGGCTAGGACCTCGATCGACCAGTCGGCCAAGTCCAAGGCCCCGCCTTGCAAGAGAGTCGCGTTGGTCCATACCTTGTCCACTTGAGCTTGGAACCTGTGCTGGTTGAAGTTCGCAATGTCGACGCCGAGCCGCGCTTCAGCCTCCGCCTTGATCAGGGATTGCAAAGCGCTTTTCATGAACATGTCACCAAGGAGTCGGCCTTTGCCTGAAACGCACTCATTGACCTCGAGTGGCGTATCGGAGGAGACCGTGTAGGAGATAAAGTCCTGATAAAAAGTTAGGATAACGACACCAAATCCACTCGGATAAAGCCAAAGGATGCTGCAGCCCGGGGGCATCTTGGAGACAGACTTACCATGGTGCCTCCACCAAGGTCAGCAATCACAACGGTTTCATCCTTCTGTCGCACCAACGCGTTAGCATCAGGGCCCTGAACGCCTTAACGAGTGCCAAGGGGGCTTCGGTGGACGTGGTTAAAAATGGAGGGCCAAGGGCACGTACCTGCAACAAATGCTTCTGGACAAAGTAAGGGAGGACGGCCAAGGCAGCGGCCTCGGGCTCAAAAACCAGGTCCGTGAAGTAAGCACCGCCGGTCATGCCAGACCTGGCGATGGCCTGCTCCATCCGCCCGGCGGTTTGCTCCTCCCAAACAGCCGGAATGCCGAACACGAAGCCTATCTTTAGAGAGCCGGGGACCATATTGGCGCAATCGTCTTCTATGTTCCTCAGCAGCTGGTCCTTGGCGACCGCCCACATTCTCTTCATGTACTCTGTGAGAACCGTGACCCCATTATAACCAGCGTCGGTGATCTTGGAAAGCTCTTCTTGGACAGCCCTGAGGTGGTCCGGGTGCTGTGCATCATCTTGCAGTTCGTCCTCAAGGAGTGCAAGCTTGAGCAGCGTCAGCTTGTCCGCCTCGGATTCGACGGCCGTGCCCCAGTTCTCGGGTCCACTGATCTTCCCCAGGACTGATGGTTGTAAAGGTGCTCGCTCGTTGCAGAGGAGCACCGAGGCTGGCGGTCCGAAGAGCCCGCCGGAGGGGCCCACGAGGCAGTATGAGATTCCACTCGTTCTAGATATCACGGGAACGTGGTTAGAAAGGAGCACGCTGTAAATGGCAACTGCTGGGGTGAAAGATTCAAGGTTGGTTGGGCGTGACGTGTCTGCATGGGTTGGACTTACGACACCCCAATATCGACACCAATCGCGATAGCAACGGGGCGAACCCTATCCTGGGAGGACATGGTGGCCAAGCAGAATTCCGGTGACCGGTCGCGAGAAGGAACGATGCGCGGACGAGGAAGGAGGAAAAGGAAGTCTAGTTTGAGGACAAGGCGCCGAGAGATCTGGCTGGGCGGTCAACGCACTGGCGAACTGCAAGATGTTGAACTTGAATGATATCCCCAAGTTTGTTCTGCTCGGCCCAAAGAAAGGGACAAGGAGGGAGGATGCGGGTGCTGTCTGCTTGTCGGAATTTGGTCAAACGAGGTCCTGAGGTGTCCCCTCCCTATTGACATATCGCCGCCACCCGGCACCTTGCTGCCGGGGCATTCCGATTGATTGTGTAGTCAATCAACCCCTGGCACTGAAGCGCGATCATGCTGACGTGTCGACTGTCAACGCGGGGGCGCCCGGGAGGTGACAGATGCGTGATGCCGTAGGCGAGGCAAACGTTGTATTAGACGGAGGAGAAAGGGTGGATATATTGCTGCGGAGTACTGCAGTTTCTCGCACAGGTACAGAAATACATCTCCTTGTACATGCAAAACTTGTTTACGGCAGCCACAGCTTTGGTGTTGGACTGGGCGGACACGACAGACCAATGTACACACAGGCACCAGGGGCGTACGTTACTAACCTGTAGAGCCCTACGTACACCCCAGCGCTCCCCTGGAAATCCCTAAGTGGTAATTCCGTTTATCAGAAACGGAGAGCCCTAAAGGCCGGATGCGGTGGCGGAACGCCCCATTTTCCTGTGCTTTGTGCGGTGTCTTGTACCACAGGCCCCAACCTCGCTCGCACCTTTATTCCCCTGCAGTTTCAGCATGCCGGCCTAGCGAAATAAGATCCCACATACCTTGATCTCGCAGGAAGCCCCCGACCGTAGTATAGCATCCTCTTTCCCCTCAGACTTGACACTTTTGGCACTTGGCCAACATCACCTCCCAATTATCATTAACCACTCACCCCAAGCCTACAATGTCTCAGACCAAGCGTCAAAAGCGCAGGACGCCTTCACCGGACAGTTCCGGGAGTGAAGATTCTCTACCAACTCCACCGAGGGGTCTCTCGCCCCCCCCGGGTCCTCACGTGGACTGCGCCGCCTACTGTTGCAAGAGGGGCGAGGACTGGGTTAGCCGGCAGTTCATTACAGAGACGTACACCAACGGACCTTCTGAAGACCTCTTGGACACGGGGGGTTGCTGGAAACTCTTACGGGTGCAGGTGGGCCTGATGGGGGAACACCTCCGAAAATGGGGCCTCATACCGTGGCAAAACCTGGACCCCGAGGTCCAAAGCCGGTTTAGTAGCTGGTCCCCGGTTGCGAAGGAGCTCTGGGAGTCCGACTTCCTCGCTCATCCGGAAGCCATGGTTCAGGCCTGGATCTGGCACTATCTCGACGATTACCTGTTCTCCTTTGCCGGAAACCAACAGGATGGCGCACTCAAGCTCCGTTCCCCGGTGTGGGAGCACGTCCGGGCCCTACGACGGGACCTCGATGGCGAGTCTTTGGCCATTCCTTGGAGTCCTACATGCCATACTAACACGATGTCTAGTGTTACGTGCCCGCCAGGCTAACTTCCACGACGTCGTCTACCGCCACCAGTTCCAAGTCTGGAGTCGCCTGACCGAGCACCTTGTCCGGGGTGGGCTTGATGACATGGACGTCTTCGATCCGGAAGAGCTAGCGACGCACTTTAAACGATCTCTCCGCCGCATCGCCGCTCGACGAGATGAGATTCCGGACGGCGCCTACGATGGAGGTCTGTGCAAGAATGGCGACATACACGACCCCGCCGACCGCTTCGACTCGTCCATTAGAAGCTTGCTTCAATCTGCATGCCGGGCGCAGTATTTTATCCACGGCATGGAAGGAGGCTATGCGCTGAGGTTCACCCCCGTCGGTGACCATGCGGGCAAGATGTTCGACATCCCGTTCAACCCAATCTGGATGGAGGAGAACAACCCGATCGAGGTTCCAACCAAGAGGCCAAACGACCCCGTATACCCGCGTGTTCAACTTGTCACCCAGCCCATGCTCGCTGCTAACAGCAAGAAGAGCCCCAGCGAAAACACAACATTCACTCTGCTGACCCCAATGCGCGTCGTCACGCCTTGGACGTTTGGGGGGGAGGGGGCGCGACCGCATGTTTTGCCTGGGTTGGAGAAAGGTTGGCACCTGCGGATGGAGAACCAGCGGAAGTTGTTGCAAATGAAGTACCGGGAAGAGCAGCAAAAGGAGCAGCAAAAGCTACTCACCAAGTGGAGCAAAGACGGCGAGTCGCAAGCCAAAGACGGCCATGCCATCGCCGACTCGAAGGAAGATACTCCGTGCGAATGATTCACAGTGCCCTTGCCGTCTTTCGTTGATACAACGTACCTACATAGCCTCCATAGCAGTAAAAAGAGACCACTGAGCGCCGCCCTTCTTCCTTGTGCACATCTCTCTGCGACCTCCCATGAATCCCATCCACCGCTCCAGTCGGCGGATAATCCGCGCAATCACGTCGCACATTCAGCATGCCATTCTGTTGCATCCCCTGTCCTTCTCGTCTCCGTTTACCAAAAACTGACCGAGAAACAGAGGGCGGCGTGTTGAGTCACCGGGGAAGTTTCCCCCGCCCCCAGCCTTCTTCCCCCCGGGAAGAGACTCATCACATCCCACCAATTCCAGTCCCTCCACTCTAAGCCGAAAACGGACGGGCATTGATGGGAGAGAGGCAAACCGTGACAGCGCAGGGTTCTGGGCCGTGATAACGAATGCGGCAGACCGGACTGTGCAACGCGACCCCCTCAGCCTCCCGAGACGTCGCGTATCACAGACGGCATGAGAGCGCCACCTCGCTCTGCAGAATCTGCACAAGCCCGGCAAAATCAGGAATCCGGATTCACCGGCAAGCGAATCAAGCCGCGCCCGCCGCGCGGTCACCGTCTGGTCATGACAGCCCTTGGTGGCAAGCCGGCCCGCGCGCGGCGGTAGTACTGACTACTGACTCCTGAGCGTGTCGGGGCCTGGAGTCAGGCCGGGAACGCGCAGAGATGGAAACGCACGGCGCCGCGCCGCGCCGGCGAGGGGGGGAGAGAGGGGCGAGACCTCTCCTCACGCAAAGAGCTATCGACATCACCCCCGTGCTCAATGACGGCGATCTGCAGGACCTCGTATTGGGTGATCCCGTGTAGGGCGCCAGTGGCCGTTTGCAGCTGAGGAATCAAAGCGATGGGTGGGTGTTGGAAATGGTGATGGCGGAGGGAGAAGCACACCGCCGCCGGGCTTGACCAGACGGGGGCAAGACGGGGAGCTGCAGCCATTAGGCCCGCGAGAGGGCGTCTCTCGGAGAGCATCAGCAAGTTTGCCACCTCGCCGGTTTACCCATTCGATTGAGAGGGGCTGGTCTCTGCATGGTGGATATCAATATCACAGGCAGGAGAAGAGGGGGGGAAGAAGAGCAACTCGCCAACCCGCACCGGCCAGCCACCGGCTTCTCATGTGACGAAAGTACACGTCAAAAAAACAATCTAATCACGCGCCCACGCAGGCGGGGATCGACCGGACAGACTTCTCAGCATGTCGCCGTAGCTATGTGATGAGGTACAGATGTGCACGATTATGCATTCATGATTATGCATTCTGCACGCCTGCAGGAGGCGGCTCAACTTGCGGTGCAAAGGGGCGTTGTGTCGGCAGCATGACCCCAGGATCGGCAAGGGACAACGACCGGGAGAGATCTGGACCTGTTGTGTTCCGATCAGCTTGCAAAGAAGTCGTATGTACCTACATATGTACTGTGGGGGCCTCCGATTGATAGGCTTGCCGTTCCCAGCCTTTCCAAGTTGCCCCCCAAGGACCCCAACTCCTCGCGGTATTTGGGGCGGCGTGGTGGAGCAATCGACGTGAGCAACATGAAGTCTCATGATCAATGATCGTTAGTCGGCCCGTCGCATGTGGCAGTCGGTTTGTGCACGACACTGGGTCCAATCCCTCTGCAGAGGGGGGATGAGTTCAAATTTCCAAGTTCGAAGTGGAAGTCTGGCATGTCGAGACACCATCCAAACGGGGAATTGACCGTGTGATATGCGCAGTGCACGCCCAAGTTGTGCAAGAGTTGTGCGTGGTGAGTGGTCTCGTGTCGGGGTTAGGGCTGAATTTAAAACTGATGTGTTGATGAGCTCACAGCATGGCAACGCGGACATGTGACTTCGCGATGTGGTTCACCAGGGTTAGGGCTGGTCAATGCTCTGAGCGCCCCACGTGCGCCCCTCCCTCCATTCACTGCTGTTGCCTGTGCTCCACCGACGCGTTCACCAAACCAGGCCAACTCGTCGGATGCCCGCGACCTGTGAGGTATGGGTGGGGGGCCACCAACGATTGACGAAACCGACATTTCCATCGACCAACTTGAGCAACCTCATGCCGGCCGGCACACAAACCCCGATCCCGCCGCCGAATAAGACCACTTAAGAAGAAGAAAGACCACCCAACAAGATCACCCAACGAAACACACACAAACCCGAGCAGCAGCAACATCCGCAAAAAACAACGGCAACAATGCCGCCATGGCCCCCCGCCAGCAGCAGCACACCTTCACCACGGTGCCCAACCCGCTGGGGATGCAGGGCCTCATGGCGCGGCCGACCGACGGCCCGCAGAGCAAGCCGCCGATGACGTCCAAGCAGGCGCAGAAGCTGTACCGGGAGGCGACGCGGGGCCCGCGCCTGTCGCGCGCCGAGCAGCGCCGCGTCGAGCGCGAGGAGCAGGACCGCATCCGCCGCGAGCTCGACCGCGACCGCCAGACCACCCGCGCCCGCGCCCTCCGCGACCGCCAGCGCGACAAGGACCGCCGCGCCCGCGACGACAGGAAGCGCAAGGGCCTGCCCCTCGTCGAGCCCCGCGCCAGTCAGGGTACCATTTCGCGGTTTTTGAGGGGGAATGGGGCTGGCAGGAAGCGTGATGCGGTGGGGGAGGCGGTGGGCGTGGCGGTGGGCTTGCCGCCCGTGCGGGAGGAGGTTGAGGTTGAGGTTGCTGGGGATAGCCGATCGTCTACCGAGGACGGGGTGGGTGGGGGGAATACACTGGCCGGAGAGGCAGCGGGGATAATAAGTGAGGGCAAGAGGCGGCGGTTGGGGGATGGGTTGGAGGAGGGTAATGATGATACAGAAAAGACGACAGAGATCAAGGGGGTGGAGGTCAAGGGGGTGGGGATACCTGCCAAAGGGGTTGAGCGTCCTGGGGGCGAGGATCTCACTGCCAACGGACCACAGCCGACACCCAGTGGCCCTGGTCCCGCACCTCTGGGGAAAAGAGCCGACAAGGGAGTGACCCGAGGCGAGGGCAAAGGGGATCTGATGTCCGAGAAGGGGAACCCCTTGGAGACACCAAGGTCGAAAGAGCCGAAAGGGCCCAGAACGGAAACGACACCTGGGAGGAAGACAAGCCCGGAGGACACAAAACCTTGTCCGGCATCAAACAGCACAGGGAACACGGCGCACACCGAAAACGCAAAGACTACTGGTGACGTGGTTACCATGAAGGCGCTTGCAAAACCCCCGGTTTCCCGTCCCTCCAGGCTTGGAACACCTGATCAGCCCACGTCGGGTCGTGAGAAGGGCATGTTGGGAACAACACCCGACCCGGCGCCAAAAAAGACCCCCTTGAACAAGCCAGCGCAAACACCAAACCCCCAGTCTCATACTGCCCGCCCACCGCAGCAACAGCGTCCTCCGAAACCTGCACCAGTTCAGCCCCCACCGACTCGAAAAGTGTTGCAAGAGACAACCAATACCCCGAATCGAATTCGGCCACCACCTGGTTCGGACAGCGCTTCCAAGTTCGCTTTGCCCTCCAAACCGTCCCGCGCCACTCAGCGCCAGTCACCAGCCGCAGTTCCCGCGTTTAAGCAACCCAGGCCGCGGACCCCAGGCATAGGAGGGCATAAGCCGCAGTTTCTTCCTCCGCATGTTCGCAATTCGACTACGTCTTCTCGGTCAACCACCCCCAGCCCCCCCGCGAAGGACGACTTTTACTCGGCACCTCCCACGAGTACCCAGCTCTTTATCATGTCACATATAGACGACCTCTGCCCAAGCCCGACGCAGGAAGCAAGAGAGCTACGAGGTGATCCACCTACGGCTGTCCAACCAGTGAAGCCTGCCCCTAGACAACAACCGCAGATCCCCAGTTTCAAGGGCGACCGTCCACGGCAACCAACGCGGCAAGTCGCTCGCGTTCAGACAACAATGCCACCGCCTCCGCGTCCTACGGTACCTGCGGAACCGGCCCGTGGGAGACCAGTCAAAGTCGAACCGACTACAGCCACGAAGCCGTGCGATGTTCCCGCAATCCCTTTTATCTCTACCCAAGATCTCCTCTTTTCCTCCCAGGACCTGCGAGACGTCGAGGAGCCCACGACAACCCCCAGCAGGACTGGAGGCACCAAGACCAGCAACAAACCACCCCCATTCCAGCGCCGCTCTGCGGCTGTGCAGCGACCATCGCCGTTGTCGGATTATTCTCCACGCGCCCCAGCTCAGCCGCATACGACGCCTCGATCTCGCACCAAGCCTGCCACCGTCGGAGCAAAACAGCTCCTAGCCCCTGTTAGTGCGGACAGATCGTCGGGGGCGGTGTGTGGGAAAAAGGGTGACTGTTTGGAGCCCAAATATTTGTTTGCGAAGAAGCAATCACGGCAAGAGAGCAGGTCTGGAACACCTCAGTGTCCGGCCATACTGGAAGCAAAGGACGCGGCACCTGCAGATGCCCAACGACGCCCTCCTCCGCGAGAGAAGCCGAGGTTTTTTGGTTCGAGCGACGAGTTGGCGGTGGCGCTGGCACTCGACCGGAGCAAGAAGACTCACGATGAAGAAGAAAGGAGGCGTCACGGCGGACGAGGACTACCGCAGAATGCGGGCCGAGAAGGGATGGTCAACCCAACAGACACAGCTTCTCAGGAGACCGACTACGGCGACCCGGAGCTTGACTCGATAGACTTTGAGGACCTGGTCACAGCCATGAGCTAAGATGTTATGCATACATGATGAACGAGTACGAGATAGACTTTTACAGCGGCTGGGATCGATGGTCAGGACTGGTTTGCATATTCTTGGGGCCTTGTTTGCTTAATGCAGCCCTAACCCTGAGATAATAGGATATCACCAACCCCTGAATCTGCCCGACTATCTTTGGGTGACTGACTCCCTACCTGCAGTTCGTCTACCAAAGTTAACCCACAACATGCGGATCTCAAATAGGAGACACATTCACCCAAGACACAATACCCATAATAAGTAAAACCCCGCTCTCCGAGACCCGTGGCCATGTCGCTCTGTGCTCCCCAAGTCTGCCTCACCCAACCACGCCGCTGCACAACGTTTGGGTGCCAAGCACCCTCGATTGGGCAGAAATGCCCCCCTGAAGACAAGACGCGCATGGTGGTAATGCGGCCGACCGTGGCTTGGGATCTGTGGCCCAACGAACCCCTGCCGGCCTGAAATGCAGTGCGGAAATCTCAGGCGAGCGGGACGGACGGGAATCCAGGGCGAAAGCTGTCATTCCCATTGTGCGTCAGCCCCAGACTCTGGAGGCCTAACGGTTTCCCCCGCCCCCATAATCTGGAATCAGCCCGCGTTCCTGCTTCTCACACACGAGACACTTTAGAGTGCCTCTTCCACCCTGCAGACGCAGTCGTCCGTCTGCCTCCCCGCATTCCAGATTTATCCCTGTCCTCTGAGCAACGGTAACACCGCTTTTGCCTGTTTTTTTGTTCTTTTTTTTTTTTTTTGTAGCAGTCAGGCAGAGGCAGAAAGCAGGACACGAGGCCATCCGGACCCGGTGGAGCAGCCGAAGCTGAGAGAGCCTGAAATGAGCCGCTTCGACCGCCCTCGCCACGCCTACGACCACGACTATGACTACACGGGCGGCCGCAGCTTCTGGGACACGCGCACCTTCATCGGGATCGACGACGATGGCGGCCACGACGACGACGATGCCGAGACAGACCGCTACTCGCGCGTCACCCTCGGGCACCCCCGCCGGCGGTCCGCAGCCCCGGCCAGCGTGATCGGCTATGGCGACCTCGAGTTCCGCCCCTGGTCAACGGCAACAACAACAACCACAACCGCCCGGCCCCTCATCACTTACGACTGGGACGCTCCCCACCACCGAGAGAGCCCCCCGAGCCGCAGCAGCCACCGCGAGCGCGTCCGCATCCGGCCCCCCCGCCAGCGCGACGCAACCCTCCCCCCGCACCACTACTCGCCCTACTCCTCCCCGCACGCCCACGCCCACCCCCTGCACCCGCACCCCCTCCGACCCAGCCTCAAACCCTCTCACTCCGCCGGCCTGCCCGACCTCGAGCGCGAATCCCTCAAGCAGCGTCTCTGCCTCGACCGTCCCAGCGCCAGCGACCTGCACTACCCACGCCCCCACCACAACCACCACAACAACCACCACAGCCACCACTTACGCGCCCGCTCCCTCTCTCTTTCACGGCTTGCCAACGGCAGCGGCGCATTCTCCGACTCCTCCTCCTACGAACCGGACCCCGAATCCGACGGAGCCCCCTCGGAAGACGACGAGGCATGGCGCGGCATCCCCCCGCGCGTCCCCGGCGCACCCCCACCACCCAACCATCATGATCACCAGCATCATCACCACCACCGCGACCGTGACCGGGACCGCGACCGTGACCACCACCACCGCCACCACCGCCATGACCGCCATGACCGCCACCACCGCGACCACCATCGCCACAACCGCCACCATGACCGCCACCAAAGTTCCGGCGGCGGCGGCGGCGGCGGTGACGGTGGGTATTACCGGCACGAGCGGCTGAGCCTGTCGAGTCCGCGCGTGGTGTTGGATGGCGCGGGGTGGCCGGTTGTGGGGCCGTCGCGGCCGGGGTCGGTGTCACGGGCGGGGTCGCCTGAGAGGGAAAGGGAGAGGGAAAGAGAGAGGGAAAGAGAGAGGGTTGGGGGTGGGGGTGGTTCGGTTGCTGGTGCTGGTGTTGGTGGGGGTGCTGGTGTGGAGGAGTTGAGTGGGGGGAGGGATCGGGATCGGGATCGGTATGAGAGGGGGTATCAGGTTGTGCCGGTTGAGGTTGATGGACGGCAGGGGGGTGTTGCCGCTGCTGCTGCTGGGCTTGACGTTGGTGTTGGGGGTGGGGAGGGGGAGTTGAGGTTTATTGGTGGCGGGAGTGGCAGGGAGAGGGACAGGGAGAGGGATAGGGAGAGGTTGCCGAATCCGAGGGTGCCGTCGGGGCATCGGCGGAGGAGGCGGAGTGAGAGTTGGGAGAGGGTTAAGAGCAAGACGGCTAATCATGCGGCGGGCGGGAGAACGGTTTCGTGAGTTGCTTTATTTTACTTCGGTCGCCAGTCACCAGCTTGGGGGCGGGGAGGGGGGTTGTTTGGTTTGGGATGGGTATCTAACAGCACCAGCAAATTCCGCAACCCCAAACCCCAGTACAACCAAGTCCACGCCCTAATCATCACCTGGTCATTCCACGACCTCCGAGCCGAGGACTACACAGCGCCGCCGGCAGAGGACTACGTCTCGCTGGAGGAAGAAACGGCCCGGCTGCGGGCAACGCTGGAGAGCTACGGGTACACGGTGCACGAGTTCCTGATCCCAATGCACCGGTCCGTGGAGAGCCTCAAGGCGAAGCTGAAGCAGTTCTGCCGGTACGCGGCCGACGACACGCTGCTAATGGTGTACTACCACGGCCACGGGGCGATGGACGACGACAACGAGCTGGTGTTTAGCAGGTGTGTGCTCTTTGCGGGTGGCTCACGGGCTGCTATTAACAGACGAACAGCCACGACCACCCAGAGAACGCCGAGTGGTCCAAGGCCGCCGCGGCCGAGCTTTACGCAGCTCTTCTCAGCGGCGACGCCTGCACCACGCACGGCCGGCGAGACAAATACCAGGAACTGCTCAAGAAATAGTGCGTTCCCCTCCCCCCCCCTTCCATTTTCACTCCCCTTTCCGACTCCACCACCCCTCCCCTCCCCCTTCTCCTCTCTCCAGCTCCCCCTCCACCCTCAACCCCTCAAACCCCCACCTCAAACCCACCCACTAACACCCCCAAGCGAGCGCTACCGCCCCGTCTCCACCCTAAAATGGGACGCCATCCGCACGCCCATCCTCTCGGCCCCCTGCGACGTCCTTTTGGTGTTAGACTGCTGCGCCGCGGGCGGCGCCGGCCTGCGCCACCTCTCCTGGCAACCCCCGGCCGGCGCCGAGGCGTACACCAAGCACCTGTTTGCGGCGTGCGGGTTCGAGTCCAGCACCAGCGACGACATGACGGCGGCGCTGTGCGAGGTTTTGGATGAATGGGTGCCCCCCATCCCGGCGGGGGCGGTGGTGCCGGGGTTGGTGACGGCTAAGAGTGAGGTGGGGGTGATGGCGACGGCGGGGAGGGCCGGGTCCGGGTCGAGGTCGAGGTCGAGGGCGGCGTCGGCGGATGCGGCAGCGGCTGCTGCTGTTAGGGATGTGGGTGTTGGAGGGGAGGCGGGGAAGGGGGTGGTTGGTGGCGGGGCGGGCGGGCCGGTGGGAGGGGGGCAGTTCTTGACGACGAAGCGGCTGCATCAGTTGATGGAGGATAAGTTGCAGAAGCGGTCGGTTGGATCGCAGCCTATTTTTAAGCAGCTGCTGCCGCAGGACCCGGAGCAGTACATCACGCTGCCGAACTTGAGAAACAGGGATGCTGGTGGGGAGCTGAAGATGGGGGAGAGGCGCGGGAGGAGGGGGTATATCATCGCTTGATGTCAACCAGGCCGTGAGCTTGAGCGAGGTCGCGGGTACGGCGGTCTACTAGTGGAAACGTCGGGGTCCACGAAGCGGGCACGCAGGGTATTTCTTTGGGTTAGGGAGGTTGGTATACGGCGTTTCTCTTTCACGGGCCATCATGGAAGCACGTACAGCACGCGCAAATCAAGGACGGGGCCGATGCAATGCAATATAACTTCATGCCAGACCGCATCAGCGGTCAGCTTATCTTAACGAACCGGGTATCCCTATGCCGCTGTCCAGATCGTCCTATAAACACCCAGAACCACCACGTTCTCCGAGTATTCCCAAGCCAGTCACCAGTCTTCATGTGCCGACCCAACCCATGCGCGTCACTGGCGTATCGTCCCACGCCCAGATTTGCTCGAGAACGAAGACCAGCTAAAGGCAAAAGACTCATTCGGGCCAGTGGAAGAAAGGATAACAAACGGGAAATGGTACAGAATAAACACGTCTACGGAAGAAAAAACGCCTCTACGTTTCCGTCCATGCATTCCCATCCCATTGCCACCCAACCCAGCCAACGCAACCAACGCCCAGCCATGCCGTAATGAAATCTGAACGCGTCCTAACGCATCCCAATGCGGCTCCATGCAAAAGATCACGCTTCCAATGTGCAACATGAGCTGGCAACCGTCGGAAAAGTAAAGAAGAAGAAAGCCAGGGCTCCAGTGATGCCGCAAAAAGGACCTGTTCTCATCTTCCAGACGCAACTGGTGGCCCCGGTACCGAAATAGCCACCCAATGCTCGAATGTGCAGCCTTTGTGGGAGGCAAGGAAGGAAAAACAGGTACCGAGCGACTCAAAGGAACAGGCCGACCCAGTTTGACTTGTTGTTTGCCTCGGTCGAGCAGTCCTCCACAGCGCAGAGATTCTTGCGGGCGTTCTCAGGATCGCGGCGAAAGTGTGCTGACGGGGTCTTGGCAGTTCCCTTGCGGAGGTGACGGCTCTCGTAGCAATTCCTGCAGTAGACCTTTGACGGAGAAGTTAGCAAAAAAGTACAGGCGATCAAAAGCAAGGCAAGGCTATCAAATCAAACTTACATGTCCGCAATCCTTGAGAGCCCAGAAGTGGTGCTCTTCGTGGTCCTTCCTGGTGCGAGGCTTCTTCATGGGGCGCATGGCATCATCGCCGGCGTCGGGGTCGTACTTCAATTCCTGCTCGCAGCCGGCGCAGATGATAACATCGTCGTCGTTACCGGTGTCGCGAGTAAAACCCTCACGTGGCGGGGGAGGCGGGACATGGTCGGGCTTGGGAGCGGCAGCATTGCCGTTGACGCGATAATCGAGGTTGGGAATATTGCCTCCGAGTGGATTATCCATGTTGAGGTGACCACCACCAATGACTTGAACCTCGACGTCGTGCGGGCGACCGAAACCGAGGCGCTGGATCAAATCGAAACTCAAAAAGTCTCTCCTGAATAAACCAGCGAACCTAGCACCAATTCCTTCTTCGTGGTCGAGTTCGACGGGGGGACCGCGCGGGGGTTGGCGACGGCGATGATGGTGGTGTTGGTTACGGTGGTGGTGGGGTGGATTGTCGGGATTGTTGCGACGAGGCAGTGGCAGTGGCAGCGGTGGGGGAGCCGGGGCCGGAGAATCGTCTAAAGTGAGGTCGATGACATTGGCCTGGTTTCCGAGGAGGCTGCCATCACTTCGTGCAAGAGAAGGCGTGCGCTGGTTCAATGACGCTCTGCGCCGCGGGTTCCTTCCCGGCATATGAACCTGAGACCCGTTTGATGCACGCGCCCTGGGAGGCACAACGGTACGCGACTCTTCTGGCGAATCTGGCTCCCCGGTCAAGTCAATGACTTCTGGCTGCGCGCGGGCCCCGAGCGAAGATCGATTGCGGCGCATTGCTGGCGGCGATGCGCGCAGCTCGACCTCAACTATTTCATCGGGCAAGTGACGGCCATTCCGGGGCTGGTTCATCCTAACACGCGCCACGCCCACGTCGTCGGCTGCGGTGTACGGGTTATAGTGACGGTTCTCGCGTGCGCTGCGAGATGCCCTTCCCTGGCTGAGATTGCGGACCTCGGAGTGCAGTTCGGAAACCAGATTGATAGCCCGAGCGTGGTTTCGTCTGACGTTGGAGAGGATCGCTTCGAAAGGCTGCAGCAAATCGGGGTCTTGGTCGACAAAAAGCCCCTCTTCCTCCTCGTGGCGGGGGTGGTAGTTGGCAAGAAGGTCCACGATTTGTTGGTGGTCGCCATGGGGAGCGGGGGAGAGTTGGTTGTCGGACATTTCTTCATCCGAATCTTCCACAGAACCCCGGGCGTCAAATCCAAACTCAAGGCCACCCTCAAAATCGCCCTCAAAATCGCCCTCAAAATCGCCCGCTTCCCCTCCCTCCTCATCCCCCAAAACGGATTGGGACGCGTCCTCGTCCAATTCCTCATCGGTCTCGGCGTCTTCCTCGTCGTCCCCGTAATCCTCTCCGCTTTGCCCAGAATAGTCTTCCTCCTCGTGGTTCTCGGAGACCGCCTCGCTCTCCATGTCGGAGTCCTCCATCCCCTCCTCGCCACCTGGGCCTGGCGAAGACTCGGCAGGCCAGCTCGAAAAGTCGCTCGCCGGGTGGGGCGGTTCAAGGTCGATATCTTCGGTGTCAGAAGCATCGGAAGGCAAGCCCTCTTCTACCTCGATTGAGTCGCTCTCGTAATTGTCCATCCCTGCGTCCCTCGGCAGTGGGTCGATCTCTTCGGGATCGAAGGCATCGGAAGGCAACCCTTGTTCCACCTCGATGGAATCGCTCTCGTAGTCGTCCATCTCTGCCTCCCACCGTGGTGGGTCGAAATCGTGGGGTTCGAAAGCATCAGAAGGCAAGCCTTCTACCTCGATAGAGTCGCTCTCGTAGGGATCCATTTGTGCGTCTCTCGGTCGAGCTGTAATCGTTGCTTACTGCCGGGAGATCCGAGGGCAAACTGCACCACCCGCGCGAGAGGGGAGGTAATTATCGGGGGGAGAAGAGTCGTGACGTCCTCTCCACTGCTTTTCCGGGGAGCTCCAGCAGTCAGTGTTTGTTGTTGGGTGTGCTCGTGGCGAGCGGGATATAGTTTCGGTGTTGGTATTTTCGTTTTCGGGGAGCCTCGTTCGATTCGTTGTCGTGCACGGGAACTAACTCGAGGCTGCGCGGGTTGAATGCAGCAAGTTCTGGAAAGAGACCGAAGGGGGCAACATGGACCGCGTAATCTGTCTTGCGAACAGACCACCGCGACGAGTCACTCGGGCGCCCTGTGCAGCCTTTGAAGAAAGTGACGTTTTTTCGGGTTTGTAAAGGCCCGGGCGACGGGGCGAGTCGAGGGACGTTGGCGCTGTGGCCTCGGGCGTTCGGTGAGGTGCGGGATTCGCCGCTTCCGCTCTGGCAAATCGCCAATTCACACACCAGACGGCGTCAGTGCACGCACGCACAATGGCAAACAGCCGCTGCAGAGGAACCCGCTTTGGGACGGCCGCCTGAGCCCCGCCCCAGCGGCTGCCAGCAGCATGCAAATGTTCCGAGGCGCACGAGGTCCACGAGGGAGAGTCGCCACCCGTTAACAGCTGGTGCTGCCTGCGTCAATACTGCAAATCGTTGGCATCCATGCCAACAGAACATTCGCCAAAACATCCCTGAGTCACCGAAATTGATGCAATAATAAATAAAAACAAACACAGCTTCTGCCTGTGGCCGGACCGCACAACAAGCCAAACACGGATGAGAGCCCCACCGGATCCTCTCTGAAAACCTCAGGCTTCTGCCAATGCAGGTATCACATTTTCGGGCGCCAGCAGAAAGACATCTATGATACAGTCTCGCTCGGACCCATTCCGAATCCGCCCCGTTCACACAGTCCCCACGTCATTCCTTAGCCCCAAGCACCGACACCACGCCCTCCTTGCTCACCGTGACCAGCGACTTGGCCTCGGGTCCCCACCTGATGGCGGCAGCGGGCGTGCTGGTCCGAAGCGGCTCGGACCACGACTTGGAGCTCTTGGAGTACATCTGCACCGTGACACCCATCGATCCAGCCGTCGCCAGGTACTGGCCCGTGTAGTCCCATGCCAGGGCCTGGGCGTCACCCGTTTGCAGCTCCTTGACCTGGGCCGCGGGACCCGATTTCCGCAAGTCGAAAATGGTGGTCGTCGACTGGCCCTTGCCCGCCGCAGCAAACCAGAAGCCGTTCTCGGAAAAGACGAGCGTTTGCACTGGCGTGCCGAGGTTGAAGCTTTCTGCCTGCTCACCGGTATCGGACTGGAAAACCTTGATATCCCCTGATTGTGTCCCGGCACCAAAGAGCTTGCCGTCGGGGTGGAATGCGCAGGCGGTGAGAGCTGAAACGGTTAGCATATGCAGAATGGCGGTGGATGTGGGAAAAGGGGAAAAGGACGTACAAGCATCAGTATAGCACCGAGATACCTGCTCCAGCGACTCCAGATCGTAAAAGACGAAGCTCTTGTCCACACCGACAGACGCAAGGATCCGCCCGCCCGGATGTACCGAGAGGCCCGTCGCCGCACCCGCGTGCGCCTGGAACGAGGCCGTCTCGCTACCGTTGTCAAACACCTTGACGGACCCCCTCGCCGTGGCCAGGACGACCTTGCTCCCCGTCCAGGCCGTGGCCGTCACCGGCTCGCCAATGTCAAGTGTCCTCTCCACCGTGTTACCCTGGATCGAGTAGATATCGAGCTTCCCGTCCAGGCCGCCAATGGCCGCGTACTCGGATTCGGTATCGAGGGACGACGCTTGTGAGACGGTCAGGTCGGTGTACGAGACTTGCTGGAGGTTGGCCACGTCGTCCGAGTTTGCCCAGCCTTTGGGGATGGGGCGCTTCTTGCGGCCCTTTGTTAATCTGCAGGATGTGTCAGCGCCGGGTTGTAGTCAGGGTGAATTCCAGGCCACATACTGTTGCTGCAACTCGTTGACATGTTCCACCAGGTTCTCCGGCAGGCTCTCGTTGTCAACAGCCATCGCATCACCGTTTGCAGGCCCCGCCGCTGCCTGGGCAACGGTGACGTTGGACAGAGCCTCGCGGGCCTCGTCCCGCTCCCTGGTTAGCCGTGCAATGACACGGACCGCTGCATCGTGCTGATAGAGAGCTGTCGCGAGTTCCTCCCTCGTCCGGGAGAGTTGTTCCCTTGTATTGTATGTCTCGAGCACCAGCGCATCCCATTCATCCTGAAAAGCCTTGAGCAGCGACGGCAGGGATGTGAAGTTCGGTGGGCGCGGCCGGACCACGCGACTGGTCTTGACGGACAACAGGTCTTCGGGGTCGAGCTCCTCGTCGGTGCCGGGTTCCTTCCCGTTCTCTTCGATGTACTTTAGAATCAGCCGCTTCTCGAACACGGTGCCTAGGAGCTAAGTTAGTACGACAATAAGGGACTCCCCGTTTGCGATTTGCCATGGGCGACGGGAGATGGGTGAATGCGACGGACCTGTCTTCCGCGACACGACGGGCTCCTCGGGGACCTCGCCTGAAACTGCATCAATTGTTAGCATACCTGCCACCTAATACATTACTGGGTAAAATATCAACATACGTGCGCACAACATCTCGACGTCTTGTGCTGTTCCTCTGAAGAAGTAGTTTGATGGGTCTGTTGTTGAATGCGACTTCCACACGAGCTCCCCAACTTTTTGGCGGCTGGCAGCTCTGCCGCGCTTCAAGGCACGAGCCAGCCTGGTGGTCCCACAGGCCCAAAAACAGCCAATCATTTCTCGACTGCCCTCTGGCCTCACTTCCTTCCCAAGCAGGAAGTTGAAGCCAGACTCAATTCAGTTTCTCTCTCAAAAATACAAAATGCAGAATTCCACAAACTGGCCGAGTCTGTGGTTCAGAGGCAATCAATTGATGAGACTATCCAGTCAACATCCCCGCCCAACTTCACAACATCATCACTTATCGAGATCACCGACTCATTTGCACTCCGAGTTCCTGCCCGCTGTCAAGGATGCGTCGTCGTTTTCATGATCACTCAAGTGACTCATTACCTTACACTGGGAGACTCCCGTTCATCACAACCACGGCCGTTCCACCAAGATGAAGTTCCTTGATGCCGACCGCCCCCGATGAACCGACACGCTGAACAGTGGCATCAATATAAATCTCACTCCGCCTCCCCATCTCCACGCCTTGCGTAATCGCAAAAGACGCCCCCTTTTCCACCGCCCCCCGTTGGCAGGCCAGATAGCTTGACAGCGTGCACGCCGCGCTGCCGGTAGCAGGATCCTCGAACCCAGATCGCAGCAGCCTCGTCCGGATGTTGGTCCTCTCATTGCCCCCTGCAGACGCCTCATCCCCCCCCAGAACATAATAGTACCGCACAACGAGACTCTCTTTCCACGCCCCCTCATCAAGCAAACCGATCTTGTCAAAATCGATATCGGCCGCCGGCGGCGCACGCGCGAGCTGCTCCAGATTCTCCAGGCGCACCAAGACAAAAGTCATGCCGCGGACGATGCTCACGACGGGCGCGCTCAGCTCGGCCGCGCGGATATCCGCGTGCGGCGACAGGCCCTGCTCGATGGCGCTCGCCGTGGCCGGCTCCGTGGACGGGGCGCTGAGCAGGCTGCCCAGCGAGTGCTGGTGGATGCGCACCGCGTGCGGGATCGCCGCCCGGATGCGGCCCGCTGCCTGGCCTGCGAGCGCCTCGATACGGATCGGCCCGGCTTTGGTCTGCAGCGTGTCGACGTGGCCCCAGCCGAAGTGGTGCAGGATCAGGTAGGCCGAGCCGACGGTTGGGTGGCCGGCGAAAGGAAGCTCCTTCCTCGGGGTGAAGATGTCGATTTCGCGGGTGCTGGAGCCCGTGCTGGGCTCGTTCTCGAGCGTGTGCAGGAACACTGTCTCGGAGAGGTTGAACTCGCGCGCGATGCGCTGCTTGGTCTCCTGGTCGAGGCGGTTCCGGACAGTCGCCGGGACGAAGACCACCGCGAGCGGGTTGCCCAGGAACCGGGTGTCAGTGAAGACATCGAGGGTGACGAAGTCAAGCTTCAGGTCTGCCATTTTCAGGGGTTCTTGGAACTGTCGGGGCAATGACAGGTCAAGATCAGGCTCCGCGCTGCAGATTCTTTGATCGAACAGAGGCAGGAGGTAAGCAGAGATGCGTTGCGTGAGACTGCTTTATAAGCCAGCTTGATGCAGTCATTGAGTCACCTCATCGTCCCCGCTCGCCAGAAGTGGGGTTACCCTCGTTGACTCAAGGGCGCCGTATGTGCAGTTGCGTATGCGCATTGAGCTTGAGCTACCTTATCACAGCTCACATTTTGTAAGTGGGTATGGTATATTCCCCAGCTTCACCACATGTATCAAGTCTGTATCAAGTCTTATTTTCTCTAACCTCCTCATCACCACCCCTTTCCGCCCCTCCTCACTCCACATCCTCATCCTCACACGTCCCCGACACACACACCATCTCGATCAACTCCTGCTTGACCAACACGGGCGAATCCTCCTCCTTCAACCCCCAATTACACACACTACTCCCCCCACACGAGCCCGCCATATTCCCCCCAACCCTAAACGCCGCCTCCCCCTGAAACCTCAGCTTCACCACGCTCCCCTGCGCCAGCGTAACCGCCTCCTCCAGCGCAACCCGCACCCCAAAATCCGTCGTCACCCCGCCCTCCCCGGTCCCCTCCACCACCTCAAACATCCACTTCCCCTGCAACCCCCCGCCGCCCGCCGCCGTCTCCCCGCAGGTATTCATCCACCCGCCCTCGCGCGGGTCGGCCTCGTACGACATCCACCACACCGTGCAGTTGGCCGACGTCGGGGTGAAGTCGGCGTCGCCGAAGTTGGTCGTCCCGAGCACGATGGTGTTGGGGTCGTGGATGGTGAAGCGCAGGCGGGAGTAGGGGTGTCCGCCGGGGTAGCCGGAGGGGGAGTGTGTGGAGAGGCGGGTGATTTGCCACGGCTCGAGGAGGGTGGGGGCGCGGAGGGCGGTGGTGAGGGTGAGTGTTGTGGTGAGGGTGGTGAGGAGGGTTAGGGGGTTGCGGAGGGGGTTGAGCATTGTGGTGGTGGTGGTGGTGGTGGTGGTGATGGTGGCGGGGAGGTGTGTGTGAGTGGATGTTGGGGTTGGGTTCCGGTGTGGTTGGGAGGCTGGCTGGCTTGGCTGAGATGCTGCCTTGGCTGGTTGAGATGCTGGGGAGACTTGTGGATATAGGCCGGTTGAAGCTTAGATGGCTCTGGTTCGAGATGGTATGACTGAGCAGATATATAAAGGAAGATCATGGCCACGGTTTGCCGCTCTCCGGCGGCTAAAGACCTGAGTAGTACAATGCTACCTCGTATCTGCCACGCAACGTTGCCGCTTATATTGACAGCTACGGCGTGAACCAAGATGAAGCTTCTGTATTCGACAACTTCAAATGCTATATATGAGTTTTAGGCGGGCAACCCGCGTGGCCTGCTGTGCCACGCGGCAGTGAATCTCGTTACGTCCGCTTTCCCTTCTAGTGATTACGACTACCGTCCCCCCGGGTCACATGCCGTCTTCATCCGCAAGTGGGATGTCACCATCCTCATCCTCGGGTTTAATGGTCTTCCGATTTATAGTAAATGGAAGTGCAAAAAAAACACGGAAATGGTACGATCCATTCTCCTCAAGGTTACTTGTGTCCTACATCCGCGGACGGTAACGTGGCCCAGAGCCCTTTCTGTGTAACTATTACTACCCGCGGCCCCTTGAATGCGATTCGGTTACCACGCCACAGTTACCGATGGCGTGGGTGAGCTTGTTCATAGAAGGGAGCTCGGGACGAACCGTCTAGGTACATTGGGCTCCCCAATCCATATCCCTATTCGTAATAGCAAGCAACATCCTTAAACCAAGCATCGAAGCAGTACGGTGGCGGAAACCATGTAGTCTTGAATTCCCGGGCAGTTACCACGCAAAACTATAGTCTAAAAATCTAAATGTCATCCATGGGCCATGGCTTGCTAGCCACCCCCATTGTCTTCTTTGCGATCTGGGCCCTAGTGTTAATGTTGCACAAAGTCTGGAGGCAGTGAAATGACCGAAAGCTTTCCTCCGGACGCCAAATCTAACTGTACCTTTTTGCTGAGTATGGCTTGGATGGATTCCCCGTCCAGGTCATGATGGCGGGTGGCCTCCCTTCCTTAAACCAGATGAATCTCGACCCTCGCACGAACAAGCGACTGAAATCGGGTGTCAGCCCGCAGCGGCTAATTTCCGTCTGTGTAACCACGGCGCGAGTTATTGAAAAAAGAAAGAATTGTTTCAGGAATAACCGCGCCTCTCTGTAGCTGGGACCCAAGAGAGCGTCAGCCAGGGACAGTTCCATGATCAAACATCCGCGCCGTCTGAGAGCAGAAGGCTCTGGAGGGTCTCCGTGGAATGTTGCATTCAACTTCGTGGTGCTGTCCCCCAGCCGCCAGGGCTGAGGAGAAGCGGGATATTAATGGCCCCGGTGAGCCTGGGTGGTCAGAGGGATCGAATCGGGTCTTCGTTGGGGGCCATAATGCGGGTAACTGGGTTTCTCAGGATTCAACCCCCTGTCAGATCCCCTGGCTTCTCGAGTCCAACCCCTCCCCATTGGCGCTGTAGGACGGGGCTCATCTCCCCCCCCTGACAAATTCGTGCATGGAACAAACGATCGTGGCTACCCCCAGCCCTCTCAAAACCAATTTACTCGCCAACTCCACCGGAATTCCGTGATCTTGACCTCGGCCTCACTCACAGTGACCGACACGGCAATACGGCACTTCTCGAACGGACTTCTGCGGGTGGAATTCCTTACCACGGGCAATGGATCGCCACCACTACTCGCCCAGCCCTCAAGAGCAGCCTGGGCTGGAGGTAATGGACCAACCGGATCTTGAGGTCGCCAGCTCCCACTATGGTTACTATGGTCAACCCCTTCCCGAGGTTGCAGCCAGCGAGTATATCCATAGCGGAAAGGAGGCGACCACGCCTTCATACGCCTACTCGGCAGACCCGGAGCACTACCCACCACCGGCGTCACATCTGCATTCGACGCCTTCCACGCCCGCCGCCGGTTCGGGGAGGAAGCGGATGTGGTTAATTATCGGAGGAGTCATTGCCATCCTTGTTATTATTGGCGCCGTCTTGGGGGGTGTATTAGGGAGCAGAGCTGCAAACTCGTCATCAGGGGACTCATCAGCATCACAGGGGGGCGAGGACTCGGCAAGCTCTGGGGATGACGCGGGAGGTTCAGGGGATGCAGACCCTCCAGCCGACGACACGAACAGTACGGCCAACTCAACACCGATACGGCAGGGCTCAGGGCTCGCCGTGACGGGCTGGAGAAAGCCGGATGGCAGTGCCGAAACGTACCTCTTCTTCCAAGATGAAAAGGACGAGCTGCAATACGTACGATGCGACAAGAGCCTTGCGTCGGACAAGGACACGTGCTGGTCGGAGCCCGTCAGCATAAACTCGTATGCCATAGCCGGCAGTCGCCTGGCGGCCTCGACGATTATCTGGGGCGATTACTTTCAGGTTAGTTTCTCCCCTCCGACCCATCAACCCCCGGCACTCTAACACCCTCCCAGCCCATGATCGAGCTCTTCTACACGGGTGTCAAGTCCCGTCTGCTCGGCGTCAGCTTGAACGAACTCGACACCCCCAGCACCAAGGAAGATAGCGTCAACAACCGCGATATCTACACAGGCCTCGGCAGCGGCCTGGGAGCCTACTGGCCGTGGATCCTCTTCCAAGACGGCGCCGGCTCCCTCCACCACGTGCGCAACCTCCTAACCGGTGGCAAGGACTTCCGGCCGTCCGCATCGTGGGACAACAACGACCTCAAATTCACGCCGCAGGCGGGCACCCGGCTGGCCGTCGTCCCCACCGCAACCGACTTCAACACCATCGCCGTCAAGCCCGGGTACGCCGTCTTCCACCAAGACAAGGACTCCAAACTCGCGGTCCTGATCCAGGACCTCAACTCGCCCAACCGATCCGCCAGCTTCCGGCAACCCTGGCCGACCACCCTGCCGGACATCACCCTGCCCAGCAAGCAGGCGCCGATCGCGGCCTTCTCGGTCGCGCGCGGCGGCGGCGACACGGGCCGCCGCGTCGACACGGGCCGCCGCGTCGACACCTACGTGCTGCACCCGGACGCCGACGGCAACATCCTCGTGCTATACACGGACGGCGGCGCGGCAGACCCGGACTCCGGCGAGGCGCCGTGGAGGACGGCCGCGCCCGATGCGCTCAAGGGCGCTGATAAGGATACTGATATTGCTTGTCTGACGCTGGGCTCGTCGCCGTCGAATGCGGCGGGGAAGGCTGTGCCGGTGGAGGAGGCGGAGGATGAGAGGCGGTGTTACTTTCAGAGGGGTGGGAAGGTGGTGGAGGTGAAGTTGGATGGGGAAGGGGGGGATTGGGTGGTTGTGGGGGACGTGCCGATACCTTCGTGATTTAATGGGGGGGCTAGTAGTGGTATTTTTATTGGATCTTGCTGTATCATAGTTGGAAGGGTTTGGGATTGTTTGCATGGGCAGGGGGGGTCATCTATCGGCGTTGGAGGTAGCAATGTAAAACTGCCAGGTACATACATACATACACATACCTATCGAGGGCAAGACTTGGGGTTCATTGTCTCGAGTACCCCGGTAACTTGATAACTTGAATGAATTCATTGTGGGCTGACAATGAGTTATTTCTGGTGTATCAGCAAAGCGTCCAAATTCAGGTGCTTAAAAAACAATCCCATTGTCCCGGGCCAGCAAAGAAATCAACCAAAGAACAAGATGAATTTATATAGCCTACCCCTGCCGCTGAGGACCGCCCAACCCGGTCTTATCTTCAGAACACGAACTCATAAACGGAGTCTTGAATTTAATTACACCAACAAAGTACATGCGGCAATATTCACCTAATGTTCTCCCAAGCCCTCCTGGATGAGGTGATAGAAACACTACTCCTCATCATATTAGCCTCGGATCCCCTGGTAAGAAAGTGCCTAGTCTTGGCCTACGTATACGGAATGCAGGCCGCATCCAAGCCGATCGTGCGGCGGTTGCTAGGGGCCTTCGTCCTCTTGGCCTTCTTCCTCCTTGCCGTCCTAACAATCCCCACGGACCTGGTCCTCGACCCCAAGGCTACCACCCCTTACGACATCCTCGGGGTCAAAACCACGTCATCGGCCGGAACCATCACGTCGGTCTACAACAACCTCGTACGCGAGACCAAAGAGAACGTCTTTATCAGTACTCTCGCCACCCCCAAGCTTGAGACCTACCGGGTGGCGCATGAGACCCTAACGAACCCGCTGCAGCGGTGTGTCTACCACCGGGACAACAAAGTCCCCGACTGGTACGGCGTCCCACAGCTCTGCTGGGGCGAGCTCGTCGTCGACAAACTACATGCCGCCAAGACCGCTATCCGCGGCCCGGTCGACGCGAAGGAGTCGAAGGGCTCGTCCGATAGCGGCCAGGAGCCGGCACCGCAGCTGGCGAAGAAAACAAAACCAGCAAAGTCAACAAAAGAGTCAGTACCAACGGAGAGTTACCGGGCTGGCATGTCGGAGACCAAGCTGACTGGGGTGCGGCAGTGTCTGAACTGGTCTAAGAACACAATACTCGCTGTTCCCTCCAAGACCAAGCAGTATCTGGACTTGGTGGTTAGACTAGTTCAACTATCAATACTCGTCGTTCTCCCCGCCACAGTACGGCGGTGCTTTGGCCGGCTCAAGGCAATCCTAGAATTTGCCTCTGATAAAACCACAAAATCGTTGAAGGGGATATCCCTGGGGAAGTCCTTGGCTCGGTTATGGGATACGGTGCTTAGCAGCACGAAGGAGTTCCTCGCCTGGATCAAAATGTTGCAATTCCTGATCAATCTTCCGACCAGGATGCGAGAATACTTCCACTGGGTCAAGACAGCATTAAGCCACGTCACTCGAAAAACAACAAAGGCTCTGAAGAGGATTTGGCCGGTTAAGTTCTGGGCCCGTTCGTGGAATGCCCTCTCCACCCAAACCTGGCATATCCTGAGCTGGCTCTGGAGAATGGCTAGTATCGCCGTCGCAGCGTGCATGCACCTACCATTAACAGATCTCGACCTGTGGACTACCCGCCCTGCCCCCGGCTTTCCATGTTTCGGCAGTATGTTAATCTTCTATACACTCATCCTGCTCAGCATCTTCGTCGACATCAACCCCATCTTGATACTTATCACAGGGGCGATCTACGCCTTCTTGGCGGCCACGGGGTCCATCAATATGGCTTGGAATACGATAAGAAGATGGAAAGAGACTACTGCGTAGCTTAGTCTGTTGGATAGTTCGAGGTGGAAATGGCGTTTAAAGGTTATACGGGGTAATTAAGAATATATTATTGGATGGGTTGATCTGAATAGCCCGGTAATGTAATAGCGTTAAGCCATCGAATTTGAATCAAGTTTTTGTTTTTGTGTATAAAATTAATGACATGCAGTTGTGAGACAACACTATATTGACGAGACTACAGCGGTGCTCAAGGTGCCCTATCAGTCAGGTTCACTGTCATCGAAACCTAGTATCGTCAACTACCTATCCTAAGCAATCTGTCCCTCCCCTTCCAACCGAACCTCAACCCCCTCTCCCACTTCACACTTCACTCAAACATAAATATAACAAAACTCCCCTCCCAACCCCCCCATCTGCTCATTCAAATCCACCAATTTCACCGGCGGCGCCGTCCACCCCAGATCCACCACCGCGTCCTGGATATCCGCCCGCTTATTTTTCATACCAGCCATGACGGTGCCCATGTCGGTGTCCATGGCCAGCGCCATGTTCATGCTCGACCCGCTGGCGCCGGGGACGGCGTCGACCCGGTTGTCGGGGTCCTGCATCTGCCAGATCCACCACACGCGGTCGAGCATGCCGTGGTGGAAGTAGAAGGCGGGATCGCCGGGGGAGCAGTAGAAATCCTGTTGTGTTGGGAGGGGCGGAGGTTAGTGGAAGGGTTTGTAGAGTTGGTTGTTTGTTTGAGGGGTGGAGATGGGGGACGGGAAAGGGGTAAGGAAGGGTAAGGGGGTAAGTAGCATGGGAAAGGGGGAAATAATAAGGGGGAAGAGGGAATAGCAGAAAGAGAAACTTACTCCGCCCGGGTCGCCGCCGATGATGTAGTGCCCCGCGCTGTGGATGCCCCAGGGGTTGACGTCGCCCTTGAGCTGCGGCATGCCCAGGTACCGGTTGTAGAAGCTGTCGATCTCGGGGTTGTCCATGATGGCGCTGTACGTGTAGTTGGCCCGGGCGCCCGCCGCCGAGAACTTGTTGACGTCGCGCCGCAGGCACCGCGGGTTACTGCCCAAGCCGTCGGCCTGCGGGTTGGCGGGGATGTTGCTCACGATGGTGGATTTGGGGCCGAGCGAGACGACCATGCTGTGTTACGGATGGCTCGTCAGTGGTGCTACGCTGAAGGGGTGAGATGGAAAAAGGGGGACGGACTCCTTGAACGGGCCCTCCGTGACACAGCCGCCGCCGCCGGCGGATGGTATCTTGTTGTACGGCCTCGGGAACGGCTGGGCAACGCCCGAGTACTCGCTCGGGGCGCCGTTGCCTCCCATGCTGGTCTCGCTGCCGTCGAACATGGGCGAGTTGATCGGGTCCTCGACGTAGCGGTCATAGTTCATGTACTAACGACGTCAACAAGTTTTTCTATCGCTTCATGAGACTGGGAGGCAAATTACCGGCTGGTAGCCCTTGTACCCACACTCTTCACGCAGAGCCTTCTCATAGGCATAGATGAAGTATCGGTGGGCGGCAAACAGGTTGTTTGGGCTGTGCAGCATACCCGCCATGGTCATATGGGTCGCGACGAAGTCGTCGAACCTGCTCAGGGCACCGGGGACCTTGTCCTTGGGCGCCTTGGCTGGCTTGGACTGGAGGCAGAGAACGGCGCTGATGTACTCCTTGCGCTCCTCCGCCGAGAGGTCGCTCCTGTTGGTCGTCAGCGCCCCCCTCCTGGGCGTATGAGACACCGAGTCAAGTTCACATACCACTCCCGCCTGACAGCGGCATTCTCGAGTGTACAATTGTTGGACTGGCCGGCCCGCTTAACCATCCAGGACTCGACGTTGGGCATGATGGACTCCTCGAGCTTGTCGACGACGTCGAGGGGGTAATCCGGGTTGCGAGGCCTAGGGTTATTAGGTATGACTTGGAGAGACGACGTGCATGTGTTTCTTACGCGTTGGGCGCCCATCTCTTCTGAACAGGCCCAGCCAAAGCCCCGACAAGCAGGGACAGGCCCACGGCGTTCTGGATTCCTCGCATATCGAGATTGCGGCCGAGGCTAGGCTGCGATTTGAAGTTTCGGGGTGTCTACAGACGAAGAGGAGCTAGAGACGCACGCTTCACCATTCAACCCGGGTCAGGCACGGCTTTCTATCTAAATGACCTTCTCGAAGCTAACATCAAATTCAACCTAGATTGGCCCCCCACCCTAGTCATGATACCAAGCCCGGCCCAACTGCCGTCGAAGTTGTAACGTCAGCTTCGAGATATTGAATAGTCGACACACAACCAATCACAGAATTCCGTTTTCCGCGCGGCACTTAAAAGGAGGATTCGTTTAGGTCTGGGGTGGACGTCGTTTCTCTCTCTGCATAGACTGCTGACGCGTTGGCCAATGGTTAAGGACGGTGTCACTCGAAGGGGGAATGTGCTCGCGATGATCAGCATGTGTACTATATAGGGCATGTAGGAGGGATATTAATGGCAGTTGAGAGCCGCGGCCAATAACGGCCGTGGATAATGCAGACTCGGCCATTTGAGCCGAGACAATGGCACATTTGGCCGTTACCTAGACCCCGCTATACTGCGGCATATCTTAGGCGATGCCGGCAATTGTGTGGCATGAGCCAAGGGGCGGGTGACGGCTCGCACTCCGATCTTGCGCTCTAGTGGACTCCTCGGACATCTGGTAGTGGGGTTAATCTTGGTGGTGAGGGTTTCTATACTTCAAGCTGGGCTGTTAGATTGGTCTTTTTTTCTTGCTCATCTAAAGTTGGATGTTAACTCATAGAGCTCGGGTGCGGTACCAAGCAAGCCAGCCCTTTTCTTCGTTGTCCGGGAGCCAAGGGTAAAAAGTTGAATATCCATGAGCCGGGGTGATTAGGTAGGGAGGCAAAGCAGACACGAAGAGGGAAGAGGGTGATGGGAAAAGAAAAGAAAAAGAAAAAGAGACACAGATAAGGAATGACCAAAAGATTAACTTTGTCTTCGACGTGGACCTGATTCGAACAGACGCTCCCGAAGGAACAAGATTTCTAGTCTTGCGCATTAGACCACTCTGCCACCACGCCTTGAGGTTAGTCCAGTGGACAAAGACCCTTAACCATTCTACACAACCGGGAGGACGTCGATCGATCGCATGAGATGAAACAGCTTTGTCTCTCTTACGTGCTTGTGTACTTTTGGAGTCTTTAGGGCTGGTCTTTGTTTGATGGGAAAATTGGGGAGTCAGCTCAGGGGAGGAACCTGGAAAAGGGGGCATCGAGGGGGCCAAATTATATTTTTAGCCGTGTTTTTTTCTTCTTGCATTTTGCTGCAGCATTTGACAACACGAAATGGAAGGACGTGATCGTCGCGACGCCCTGCAACTCAGGCAGGTGCGGAGGAAACTGGAAACAGCCAGCTCCGCGAAAATCAAGGCAGTGCAACCGTCGCCAGCTGGTTGCCAGTCGGCCGCCAGGCCACAACCGCTAATCATGCCCAGACGGTCTGGCCCAGGGGTGCCAAGAATGTACGTACCGCTTTAGGTGGCATAATCTCTGGCACCGATAATTCTGCTGCTGGGAATCCAGCGTTCCAACGGAACCGAGACCAAGACGAAGAAGCATTGGCTGGATCCGGTAAATTTGTGCACTTGCTTGCAGTTTCCAAAGTTCACCCTTTCCCGATCTCGATTTCCGAACGGGTTGAATTCCTCACAACACCAACACCAACTCATCATCTCGTCCATGTCGCCCAGCCCAAGCCGTCCTGGTTTGGTCTTCGCCTGACACGGTTCGACCGTTTCGACTGTTCGGGTTCGGCCGTTCGAAGACGCAGGCGGTCTCGGCCCACTCGAGTCTCGCCCCCGTGTCCCCATCCTGCTGCGGGTTTGCTTGCTTGCTTGCTTTGGCTTGCCTTGCTCTGCTTGCTTGCTTCACCCAACGCGTGACGGAACGGAAGGTCCCAGCGACGACAGACAGAGCCTTGCATCCAGGCCTTGCATCCAAAGGGAGAGATTCCTTTCCCTGCCGCTCGCTTTCCGCGTCGATGCCTTAAGCCCAATTGCTTTCGAAGGATCCGGGGTTTTTATTGCATACAACCTTTCTAATCGACGAGCGAAACGAAGCGAAACGGCCTGGCTTTTTGCCATAGTCAGCGACGCCACGAAACGACACGCGGCGACAGCGGATGATTCCACTGTCCATCAATAATAATACCGGCATCCGCCATCGCAACAATAGATAGATTTGCATTGGCCGACTAAACAGTCCGGCACCACCTGGCTCCCCGCCGGAATCCATCACGATGGATCTCCTCCGCCGAGCTGGGAGATTCATCCCGGCCAGGCGTCCTCCTCTCCCCTTCTCAGACGACAAGGACAAGCTGCGGCCGCGGAGGACCCTCGCATCGCGCTTCGCCTACCTCAGGCGCCCGCTGAGGTTGAGGGGCAACTCGACCATCTCGGTGCCGCTGGGGGTGGTCATTCTCTTTCCCTGCATCGTTGTCATCCTTATTCTGGTGCTGTTTGTCCGGCACCCCAGTTCATCGGGGAGGATACTAATGCCCGCTGGCGCACCGCCCGCGATAAGGTGCGTTTGTCCCTATGCACGCCGCTGCGCACCACCCGTGCTGACACAAGACCCTGCAGAAAAATTAGTGAGAAACACGACAAAGTCTTCGTCACGGGCTGCCTCGAGCCCGACACCAGCAAGCCCCGCGCCAATGCCGCCTTCGTCGTTCTCGCCCGCAACAAGGAACTTGATGGCGTGATTCAGTCCATGAAGTCGATCGAGCGCCACTTCAACCGCTGGTACAACTACCCCTATGTCTTCCTCAACGATGGGGACTTCAACCAGACCTTCATCGACACTGTTAAGAACTACACGTCCGCCACCGTCGAGTTCGGCAAGGTCGGTCCGGACATGTGGGGATACCCCGACTGGATCGACCCCAAGATCGCCAAGGAGGGCATTAACAAGCAAGGCGACAACGCCATCATGTACGGCGGCATGGAAAGCTACCATTTCATGTGCCGCTTCTACTCGGGGTATGCCGTCCAAACTCTCCCGTGCTGAGCCGGATACTAACTAGCACAGTTTCTTTTACAAGCACCCGCTTCTGGCCAAATACGAGTGGTACTGGCGGTTGGAGCCCGAGATCAAGTACTTCTGCGACATCACCTAGTACGAACCCCTTTCCCCCTCTCTGATCCCCGTTCGCGCACTGACCTCCCCTCAGCGACCCCTTCCTCCAGATGATGGAGCACAACAAGACGTACGGCTTCACCATCGCCGTCAAGGAACTGCGCGAGACCGTCCCCAACATCTTCCGCTACGCCGCGGCCTACAAGCGCCTTAACAACATCTCATCGCAGGGCCTGTGGGAGATGTTTGTCGAGCCGCAGCCTGAGAAGAAGAAGGAGAAGGAACCCGAGAGCGAGCCGGCCCGCCTGCCCAACGTCGACCCGGAGGGCATGGAGGGTGAATCGTACAACATGTGCCACTTCTGGTCCAACTTTGAGATTGCTCGCCTCGACTTCTTCCGGAGCAAGGAGTACGAGGATTTCTTCCAGATGATGGACCGCAGCGGCGGTTTCTGGATGGAGCGGGTAAGTTTTGATCCGTTCCCCTCATCCCCAATCTGTGAGTCGCCAATAAATACTAACAGCGCCCTTGACAGTGGGGAGACGCGCCGATCCACTCGCTCGCGGCGGGCGCGCTCCTGGCGCCGCGCGACATCCACTACTTCCGCGACTTTGGCTACCGCCACACCACCATCCAGCACTGCCCGGCCAACGCGCCGACGCGCCAGCTGCCGCGCCAGCCCTTCCTCGAGAAGACGACGCTCAACGACCGCGAGCGCCTCGAGGAGGACCAGTACTGGGAGGAGTACGACGCCCCCAAGGAGAACGGCGTCGGCTGCCGCTGCCGCTGCGACACCGATATCGTCGACGTCGAGGGGAAAGACGGCAGCTGCCTCGCCGAGTGGGTCGATGTCGCCGGCGGCTGGGCCAGTCCTTGAGATTGGATAGACCGGCTCCGGCTCCTCCCAATACGTACAAATCATGGTTTGATGTGGGCGAGAGTATACGAAAACGGATGGGATAGGATAGGATGGGATAGGATATCACACCCCTGTCCTGGCGTTGCGTGCGGCGCCGGTGCTGTTGGTAATAGCTTGCTTGGGGGTTGGTATTCAAGGCGGCGTGCGTGTTGGTGGCCGTGTCGTCGTCAATGTGCTTGTGTGTATGGGTGGCGCGTACCGGGGATATTGCCATTATCATTGTCGCTTGTCATGATCAGAGAAGGGTTTTAGTGAGGTTGGGAATAGATGGATACGGATACGTATGGGTTTTTAATCCCCCTCCCGGCTGCTGTTGCTTGCTGTTCTTTGGGTTTGGTTCTAGTTTGGTACTATATCGGGGTTGCTCTTGCTGTGCTCCAGAGCTCTCTTCGTCGGTTGTCGCGTGCGGGTGTTCCTGTATGTTTGCCTTGTTGTCCTCCCCGGTATTTCAGACGGCGGGAGCGTGCGTGCGTGCTGCTGATGGAGTTCCCTGGAATGCCTCACATCTCAGCCGCCAACACCCAACACAACAAACACATGGTCTTGAAAAAGCAAAACTGCGGCTCTAATGCTCGTCCAATCTAGTGTATCTGCGCTGAGCCGTTCCCACCGTTCCCAAGCCGAACCCCGTCTATCGCCGCCATCCACCAACCATGTAATCCATTTATTTATAATATTTTATGCAGACCCCAGGCCTGTTCCCCCGCCCCCTTTTTTTTCTGTTTTGCTCATTTTTTGTTTACCAAGACGAACTCACTCGCTCACCCTCCCCGCCCGCACCCACGTTCACGATCACCTCACCTCACCTCCCCTTACCACGCCGACCCACCGACGTCAGTCACAGCGCCGTGGCTCGCATCGCCGACCAGCCGCGCGTACTTGGCCAGCACGCCGCGCATGGGCTTCATCTTGGGCGGGGTCCACACCTTCCGACGGCGGTCCAGCTCCTTCTCGACCGCCTCGGCGCCGGCACCGACGCCGGGGATCTCGACCACGTCGATGCGGTTGGCGACGGCGTCGATCGTAACGACGTCGCCGTCCTCGACCAGCGCGATGGGCCCGCCGACGGCGGCCTCGGGCACGACGTGGCCGACGATGAAGCCGTGGCTGGCGCCGCTGTAGCGGCCGTCGGTGACGAGGGCGACGTTGGTCAGCCCCGCGCCCATGATGGCCGCGCTGGCCTTGAGCTGCTCGGGCATGCCGGGCCCGCCCTTGGGGCCCTCGTACCGCACCACCAGCACGAGGTTGCCGGCGTCGGGCCGGATCGCCTCGCGCGCGAGCGCGTCGCTGAGCGCCTGCTCCTTGTTGAAGACGCGCACGGCGCCCGTGAAGGAGAGGCCCTCCTTGCCCGTGATCTTGGCGACGGCGCCGCCGGGCGAGAAGTTGCCCTTGAGCACGCGGATGTGGCCCGTCTTCTTGATGGGGTCCGACAGCGGGCGGAGGATGTTTTGCCCTTCGGGCAAGGACGGCCAGTCCCGCACGTTCTCGGCGAGCGTCTTGCCGGTGACGGTGGGGATGGAGCCGTCGATGAGGCCGTTGGCGACCAGCATCTTCAGTACGGCGGGGGTGCCACCGATATCGTAGAGGTCTTCCATGTAGTAACGCCCCGAGGGAGCGAGATTGGCGAGGAAAGGCGTGCGGTTGGAGGCGCGGTCGATGTCTTCGAGGGTGAGCGGGACGTCGGCCGAGTTGGCCATGGCGAGAAAGTGGAGTACAGCGTTGGTGCTGCCACCGAGGACAATCGTTACAACAAGGGCGTTCTCGAAGGCCCTGCGGGTCATGAGGTCGCGAGCCCGGATGTCCTTTTCCATACAAGTGCGGATGGCCTCGGCGGCCCGCTCGCACTCGCGGTGTTTCTCGGGGGATGTGGCTGGGAAAGAGGAGGATCCGGGTAAAGACAAGCCCATGGCCTCGATGGCTGTGGCCATAGTGTTGGCCGTGTACATGCCACCGCAAGCGCCTGCACCAGGGCATGCATGTCTCTCGATGTCCTCCATCACGTCGCTCGGGGTGGCGTTGGCGCCTGAGGGCTTCTTGCACTTGGCCTCCAGGCGGTTGTAAGCGAAGGCGCCAGAGGCTTCATAACACGTCGAGATGTTGATCTCCTTGTCGAGGAGGGTAGAGTGGCCCTTGCGGATGGTGCCGCCGTAAATCATGAGGAACGGCCGGTTGTGGCGCGCAGCCGCCATCACGACACCGGGCATGTTCTTGTCGCAGCCCGGGATGCTGATGTTGGCATCGTGGCGCTGAGCACAAGTCACTGTTTCAATGCTATCGGCGATGATTTCCCTCGACTGGAGTGAGAATTTCATGCCTGGCCAGAGGTAAGCAACAATACGAGAAAGCCATACCCCTGCTCAGGGGTAAGGGGGGGTTGTTTACTCACCGTCTCCGCCCATCGTGATACCATCGGAAACACCGATGGTGTTATACTGCCATGCCAGCATTTTCTCCTTCTCGACGGACTTTTTAACGATGTTGCCGAGCTCGAGCACTAACTCCTGTCTTCAGCAAATGCCCCCAAAACAACAATGGGACGCCATCGCTCACAGTGAGTGCTAGTGGTTTGTCAGGTTTTAGCTGATGATAGAGCGGAAGAGTAGCGGTACTCACTTGCACGGGTTCCCCTCCCACCACACAGTTGCGATACCCACATGGGGTGCGTTCTTCATCATGTCTCTATTGGGGACACCGGCGGCGTAAAGCATGGCCTAAAAGACGTGCCATAATTGTCAGCTCGTCGCTCAGCCCGGCCCAACAACGCCGCAAAAGCCCTCCTCTGCGATCTACCCCAGAGAGAGTCTCGGTAGGCTATCATCACCACCGCTGGGAGCTCCTGGGGCACCATCGCCTCTGCTCGGCTCGATCAAACCTGGGATTTGTCCGTCCAATAATAAGATGCCTACCTGGGCGCCGGGGAAGTCATGTCCTCTCGTCAAGACGTGTGACCAGCGGTTGAGTGCACCGCCGGACGGGAGGCACTCGAATTGGAGGTACTCGCCAGGTTTGGGCTGGTTTCGGTCACCATCATGACCGTTGCCGTACTCATTCTCATGGCTGTCATTGCTCGCCGGGGTTTCGTCCGCGTGAGGCGCCATGGCGATAATGTGTTGTGGGCTAAATCTGTGGCCTGTGTTTTTTGAGGGTCGGTGTTCGTGGGCAGATCTGCCACCTGTGTTGCTCTAGCACCTGTGTTTATAGGCAGGTACGCCAAACAAAGGTGAGTGACGACAAAGCCCGATGTAAGCCCGATGTAAGCCGTTGGGATGAAAGTGGAAAAGTTGGCAGCTGTCTTAAATGCGGCGGCAGATATACCACAGCCGGGGATACCGCAAGAATTCCCTCTGGGCGACGCTGATGTCTGCACTCCGAGTGGCTTCGTCTCCTCACATGGTAGGAAGTGGAGGGCGACGCTTGACCAGGAACCGCTAGCAAGAGTCCCCTCATCACAACCGAGCCCCGGATGACGAGCTCCATCAGTTTCTCGGGCTCATGTTTCGGTGAGCAAACCCTGACGACACACGGAACCTTGACCGCTGTCCGTCACCGCAATCGTTTTACCGGGATTGGCTGTCCAGCTTTGTGGAGGCCGCTAGAATCCGGCTGGAAATCGAGCAATCCCTGTGGAAGTCCCACTTGGGGCCAACGCAAATAATGGGCGCCGGTAACGGTCCGATCAGAGTGTCAGCTGCTGGTGACAACTTGGTGATCGACTCTGTTTGACTCTCCCCGCGGCAGGCCGGAAAGGCCCAGGTTGCAGGGCGAGGGGCGCGAGGGGGGCGAGGAACGGGACGGGGAATACGTCGGTCGTGGGAATCTTTGCCCAAACTCCGAGACGGACCAGGCGGAATGCGCCGGGTGGCCGGCGTCGGCCGTGCGCTGCAGCTGCTGCAGCATTGCCCAAGCGGAAGCCGAACCAGCAGCTTCATCACAGTGGGCAAGATTGAGCTGCAGTGGAAGAAGAGCCAGCGATGGATGCAAGCCCATATGCACCACACGTGGTAGGCAAGGGGCAAGCTCGGCCTGCAGAGAGAGTGCATTGGTGGTGGAGTTGGTGGACGTCAAAGTCTTTTAGCTTTATCAAGCAGTCCCTGGAAGGGTGTCACTGCAGGGCCGGGTGCTGTTGCATCTTGCTTGGCCCGGGTTGGCCGTTTCCATCGTCACCACACCTCGCCTGGTGGGAGGAACCTGGAATCGAGACGGGACACCCAGGGGAACCCAACTCCAGCTGCCAATTGGGGGCTGCGGGGTAACTTGAAAAGCTGAAGAGATCTTCAAGTTCCGAATCCATTGATTCCGCAACCTGGAAGCCCAATGGCGGAAGATCGTGCTGGGTATCGAGTGCCAACGCAGCGTGCTCGGGCTGTCGAGCCCTGAAGAGGACGAAGTACGGCTAAGAAAAGATCTGGTCGGGGCGGGACGGGAATGGGTCCGGTTATTCTCACAAGCGGGCCCAAGGAGCGGGAGCCGAGCCATAGTGCATCATTATTTGCACAGCGGGAGAAATGCGACATGGGGCTGTTGTTTAAAGCATTCAGTGCAGTGTTGTCGGCATCTGAGCCTAAGTTTGTCGAGAAGTCCCATTCCCACCAAAAGAGGATCAGAAAGGAACCTTGACGGTCAACAAAGATGGGCACGACTCGGGACATTCCAAGTTAGGCAGCAGTCCGTTTTGCATTTTTTTCGGGGAAGCCGAGCCTGTCTGCAACTTGAGGTTTCTGAGGAGGAGCGGCCCAGCCCGGCTGTTTCCTGCAACTGCGCACCTTCCGAGTGGACAAGAAAAGCCACCATCTGCAACTTCTGTTTCCGAACCGGGATACGCTGCCTTCGCAGATATGGGCCGCGGATGCAGGGAGCAATGCGTCATAGCTGCATGCAGAGTATTTCCAGTGTGCAGTGAGGGAGTGATCAGATACTGCACCCTCGCGCCATCTGCCATCTGCCATCTGTGATTCCAACCGAGCTGCAGGAAAAAAGTAACCTCAACCGGCCCGGGAGATATCATGCGCTGTGGGAAATGGTATTGCTATCAACCACGCAAGTCTAGGTAGCACGCTATATCCCTGATCCACCACGACGATGCCGCCCCCCCATGTCCGCCCCGACCGCCTGCCTGCCCAGGTACCATCCGAAATGCTGTTCCAATCCTCCAAGGCCGAAACCCCCCATTGCCAAAAAAAACATGTGATTGTGACCTTCCGACTACCGAGAGAGGAGAGGGGAAAGGGCATGAACCACGATCTGCAACACCATGCCCGGCTGTGCTCATGTGTTGTCGTTCATTTCCACTTGTTGATGTCGTGACTTCATCCATCATCCCATCCCGCCCGGTCCTCCACCAGCCGACAGCAAAAGCAAGGGGTAACAAAACTCAACAGCAACAAGAGGGGGTAAACTTTGCATACAGCGAAGTGTGAACAAAAAAGACACAACAGGGGTACGATAAACACCAAAACATAAGCCAAGAAGAAAACAAAAAACAAAAATATCAGAAAACGTCACCAAAAAGAAACCAAACCCTTCATCTCCATCATTTTGACACCCATCGCGGGTGCAAAGACATCACATCACTTCCATTGTGTTCCCCCATCCCACCCCACCCCACCAGCCAAACCCAAGCCGAACCGCAAACCACCACTCAGGTAAATCTCAAAACCACAAACGATTGACAAGAAGAGAACACGGCACAACCACAACACAAACCCCAGGCAGGCGAGAGAAGCAACCAACCCAACACAAAACCCCAAGCCCATCCATCAGACCAACAGCCAGACCAGAAACAAATCAAGCCATCCCCACACCCACAGCCCCCCTCTCCTCCTCAATCCGCCTCACCATCTCCCTCTCACTCGGGCTCCTCGGGTTGGCATCAATCCCCAGAATGGCGCTAATCCGCGTCTTATCCGGCTTGCCATGCGCGCCGCCCAAGCCGCCATGCCCACCCAATCCATGGTGGATATGTTGACCATGCCCAGCAGCAGCAGCAGCATGGTGGTGAGGATGAACGGCGCTGCCGCCGGCCGAGTAGATCTGGTCGTCGGGGCTCCCGACGGGGGTGATGGGGGTCTGTGCGGCGATGCCCATGCTGGCGGCGGCGCTGGCGCCGGACGGGGTGCAGCCGGCCGAGGTGCCGCGCCAGGCCTGCTCGAGGACGAGGGGGTTGGCGCCGGGGCCGTAGTCGGCGGCGATGGCGGCCCAGAAGGAGGCGCGGTGCGCGTTGTAGACGGCCGTCAGGCGCGCCATGTCGACGGGGTGGCTTGCCGCGAAGCCTGGCGGGGCGGGGAGGCCGCTTGCGGTGGGGGGCGGTGGGAGCGCGGAGCAGTCGAGTCGGAGGGGGCCGGGACCGGGGCCGTGATGGTGGGGGTTTGTGTTGGGACCACGCGCCGGGGGGTTGGGGGCGCCGCGGTACCCAGTCGATGTCATGGGAGCCATGTTGGGCGGGCGGGTGTCGTGGAGAGGGGTGGGGTAGCCGCGAGATGTGGTCGGGGAGCCAGTGTTGCTGGAACCGGAACCGTTCATCGACGACATAGCCAGGCTCATGGAAGAGGGTTTGGGCAGGATGGTCGGGAGGCGCGGAGAGGTGCTGGTGGAAGCGGTTGCTGACATGATGCTGGGGAGCTGGATGCCGCCCGGACTTGTCGCCCCGTATACTGAATCGGGAGGGGAAACAGACCGGCTGGGCGCGCCGCCATGCTCGTGGATAGGCGAGGGCATCGAGGTGTGCAAGACCGGAGAGTGGCTGTTTGAGGATCCCGACGACATGGAAGTGGTGCGCTTGCGCCGGTTGCTGCCGTGGCTGAGTTGGTGGTAATGAAGGCGACATGCGAGCTCTGTCTTCTTGAGGTAAGCGGCGATATGTTTGTACGGCATCTTTTGCATTCGTGTTTGGAGAAGATAAGCTTCCTATACGCGGCGGCTGTTAACCCTCACATTCCTCTCACGACGCGATGCTCAACAAGGTGGCCGACTGCTTACCTCGTCTTCACTCCACGCTCGTCCACCACCCGTGGAGGCTGGTTTCCTGTTCTTGGTAATACCATAATCGTGACGATCCATAGCGTCGGATCGTGGGGTGTATGGGGCGTGCTGCCCTGTCATCTGCATAGCTGGAGACATTCTGACCCAATTTCCAGGTGTCTGTCGTCCCGACTACTTGTTCAGAAATAGCTATCGATCGAAAGAAAGGAAGGCGTGAAAATATTGTGTTCGTAAAAAGAACAAGCAGAGCTAGCTGCTAAGAATCGAAGTCGTCTCGTTTTGGTGTGGGCCGTGGAAGAGATAGAGAGCTCGGGGTGGCAACCTTTCAAGGACGCTGGATCGGATGGCGTGAGCGTACGTTGGGAAGGAAGCGAGAGACTTGTCGTCGAGGAACGGAGCCAAACACACAAAACGAGTCGAGATGTTTCGAGGGGGTACTCGGTGAAAGTTCGACCAAGCGAATAAGAGAAGTATAATAGACCAGATTATACGGTTCAAGAATAGAAGTATTTCTCCCCTAAAAGAATGTGGGCAGCCAAGCTAGTTGGTAATAGTTGTAAAGAGTGACAACGTTAGCTGCGAGAAGAGAAATAAGAAAAAGAAAGGGACACACGCAACAGCGTAGTGATGGGCAAAGGATATCCACAGATGACCTTGGTGGATAGGTAGGGAAGATAGAGTAGAAGAGGCGAAAAAAGGGCCTCGGTGGGGGAGGGAAGAGAGACAATGGATAATAATGCAGTTATTGTTGCATGACGTCCGGCTTGAGGCTCATCCAGTCCCGCAGGGCGGACCAGGGGGGTGGGCACACCCCGGGCCTGCGGCCTGTTACAGACCTCTGTGGAGACGCTTTTGGGGGGAGGGGGCCGGGATGGTGGTTACACTGGAGTGTTGAGTTGTGCAGGGGAGGGGTGCCACGGCCCGCGGAACGGCCCTGTCAGGCCAGGTCAGGCCGGTTCTGAGCACGCAAGGCGCTCTGGAAAACAAGAGGCTTTTCGGTTGGCAGAGTCCAGGCGTGATGCTATGCTGGTGAGCAGGTTAGCAGATTGGTAGGTTGGCAAGCGAGTCTACGCGTAGACGGTTTGCTCAGTGTTGGTTGTGAATCGCAGATGGAGACGGAGCCGCGATCATCCCAACAACAGACGACAGTTCTGGACAATCGAAACGGACATGCACCATCGCGCTCGGCCCCTGTCAACCCACCAGCCAAGGCAGAGGTGCCCGGTTGAGAGCAGTTCCGGACGATAGGGGTCTGACACAAGTCATGCTCTTGCCCAGAATGGATAGAACAAAACTTCTGGACATCTCCCGCAGCGGTACAAGGGCAACGCTTGTTGCCAGGAACGAGTCTCGTCGAGATCTGCCCGTTTCCGTACTGGAGCACGAGCCGGCATGTCGAGGGCTGACTCGAGGCAGACACGGAGGACTCCAGCCGACAGTATTTTTCAACGATTATTGGAAGCAGTTGGCCATTCGTCCATCCCCGAAAGGCGCTCTTGTTATTGTTGTTGTGACTCGAGTGTCTGTATGGGGGCTGCATCAGGCCGGATTTGGCCAGGTTCGAGGCGGTCTCGCCACACGCGGGGGATGATTATCGAGGAGCGCGTCCGGGCCGAGAATTCTCGTTTGCCGCCTTGGGGGTCCATCGACTGTAATCATGGGTCGAATGCAGAGAGAGGGAACTGCAGGAAGGGATCGCGAACATTGGGGAGGCAAGGTTGGGAGGGACAAGCAAGCGACTTCTGGGTACGCATTCCTCCACTGAAAATCGCCACGGTGTTCTGCGAAAAAAGTATCGAGTTCGTGATTTGCCCGAGTCGCGTCGAGGTAGTTTCGAGGTCGTTTCGAGGTACAGGTTTCAGTCATTTTTCGTTGTGGAAAAGAGGTCTGTGTCCGACGTTTGACACGAGGTCCATTGCTGGTCGCCCCTGCCAAGTGTAACAGAACCGCCCTGATGCTTGCACGCCGTCCTTCATTGGCCATAAATGTCCATGATGCCCCACTCTTGAAGCCTGAGGCTCTGGCAGGGACCCGCTGCCCCGCGCTTGATCCCTTTTCCTCAGTGGACTCGAGCAACTTGTGAATCCACTCCCATTCGTTTGGTTTGACATCTCGCGGTTGAAACACGGCGATGTTTCTACCCAATTGTCGAGACGAACAATCGGTAAGCGACAACAACACCAAAAAAATCTCTGCGCATACAACAGGAATCCCGTCCCGCCCGAGAAACCCGGCAGTTCGCTTGTGGGGTTGTTGAGTCGCGAACTTGCAGACATGCCCGTGGAGACGCCTCGCCTCGGGTCGGCGCGTGTGGCCGGCGGCTCCATGCGCTTCGTTAAGCGGCCACGCAAAATGCCTTCAAGAACGGCGCAGCAAACCTTCATCATGCAGACACCACCAGTTACGACCGCAGCGACCCCTTCGGGCCTGCTAACCGAACCCACCCCTAGATCGAGAAGTCGTAGAAGTGGGCGCATGTGGTCACAGGACTTACGCGACAAAACTCCAAACTCAGGTAGCCCTCCGATCGAAAAACGCACCAACGACAGCAGCAGCGCTGGTAGTTACAGAGTTGAAAAACAAGTCCAGCCGACCAACAATGCGAGGATTCCGTTGCAGGGAACATGCCCCTGCACTGCCCCTGCTTCAAGGCTTCGATCTGTTCCGGCCGTGGTGGAGGGCCCCTAAAACTCGCCAACCGTTGGCCATCCTCAGCCGTGTCTCAGGCCTTGCCAAATCGGGCCTCCCCACACCAAGTCCAGGCCACACCCCACACCCACCCCACCACAACCACCCCCGAGGACGACGCTGGACGATGATGCTGTGCCCTGCGGGCCACATTGTTCGCCTGTGTTCACCAGGCCCAGCGGCGAGACCCGGCCAACCAACGCCGGCCCAGCAAACAAACGGCCGAAACATCCCTCAAGTGAAAGATTGCCCGACGAGACGATGCAACGGAACCTTATATTCGGGCATCAGACGACACGAGCCCGCGTCTCTGCTCGTCTTTGAGGAGAGAGTGCTGCAGTTAATTTCTGCCGCTTTCAAAGCCGAAATTTTCACTCCGGCGGTGCCGCAGATGTTTGGTTTGAAGATGTGCTTCATCCGATCCTCCCAAAAACAGGATTGCTCTCTGAGCCGTTCTGGGGAACGGGACGATGGCGGGAATGAGGACGGCAAAACTTCCTTACAAACGCCCAGGGGCGGCAGGAATGGATGGGATCCTTCGTCACCAGTTCCCCGTTCCCTAGACAGCCTTGACGGTTACAAAACAGTGTCGCCACTGTCCAGCATGTCCGGTGCTTTACCGTGACCTGTCGCATTCAGATTTTACGGTCCAGGCGCGTAATGGAACTCAACCGACCCCCACTTGGCCCCAACTGCGGCCTTTGGTAAAGAGGGTAGCACGGGCAGAGTCGCTGGGCAGACCGACGCCCTCACTCTCACCGGAGTCGAGGGTCGGATCCCGCCTAACGTTATGTGCGTCTTCGGCAATGGGGTCAACCGCGAGTGCCCGGCCGTTGGAGCCTAGTCCTTGTGGAACAAAGCCGCTCTTCCCAACCAGCCCTGCGGCGCCTGTCTTCCCGAGGTATGTACTCGAAGTCAACACCATCCCAAGTCTCGTGATCCGCGCAGCATCGCATTGACTCAACCCGGGTCACTCTGGCACCGATCAGCTATCCATCCGGAAGTCCGCTGTTCTTTGCCGGGAGAAGTCTTCTAGATGACCATCATAGGCCCATCTCTTCACCACTGGGCCCACCATCCGAACAAGGCCGATTCTGTTGAATCCTTGTGCTCTGCGCAGGATCGCTCGGCGGATCAGGGGCGTCGTCCGAAGAGCGCGCATCATCAGCATTGACGCGATCAGTGGATCGCTTGCCGGTCATGTCCGAGATGACACTCACCGGTTTCGATCTTATCTTTTGAACGGACGGATACCTGCTTCACAAGGGCGACACCAAACCACTGGTACCCTCAACGGAGGATAGAACTTTTCGCGAGCCTCGAACCCTCTTTCCAGGGACCAGGTTTTCGGCAATGCCAATGCCTGGGCTGGGAGACGCACCGCGCAGTGCGTCCTTCTGACATCAGTAGGTACCTAAAGCTGCCCATGAGCGTTTTCTTTTTACTCGTTTGACTTGTTCGGCGCAAACTCGGCAACCCTTCAATGAGCTGCCATACCAGTGATATTAACACCGCTATGCACGGATCTCGATTCTTTCTTTACTACTTTTCCCACTGGTTCATCTCACCTATCAAGCAAGGCGGACCACTCCCGTCAAGATGCCCTTGGCGAATATGGAAACGGAGATTTTCCGCTCGTGGTTTTCCTCGAACCTGTTTGCCGTTGGGATCACGCGCGTACAAGCAACGAAACGGTCGGAACAGTAAGAAGGAGATCGCCTCACAAAACGCCGAATGCCCACGGCAATACGGAGTATTGCGGCTGTGCCGCACGCTCCTCCAAGTTTTAACCTCTGCAAGCGGAAGTCGAAGCCCAGACAAGCCTCGTCGGTTTCCGCTTCGCGTTCCCACTCAACCTTTTGGTTGCATCGAACCGTCAACTATCATCGAACGGACCACTCCCTTCTGGAACGACTTTAAGTCTAATGGTTGCGATGAGCGGCACGATGAACCACAAACCATACGAGCGCCGCTTCCGACGATTTTCAGCGTCGCATAAAGCGCAGCACATCTTTCAAACCGACTGATCATCGCCTTGTGGGTACATAGGTGTCGGTATGGACATGTGCCTGTAAATGTTCCGGTACCCCTACGTCGACATCTTAATACAGGCATCAGTGCGGGGCGATTCGGAACCTCGACCCGCCGTAAACACACAAAGTAAGTAAAAACGCAGCGCAAGGGGTGCGTTCCGTCCGTACTTCCTGTATTTTCAACGATTGCCAAATAGCCACATTGAGGGTAGGTGGTGTGGTCGAGAGCCGCCAAGCCCCCACAGGGGAGAGGGAGGGCCCAGATCCGGGGAAGCCACCGAGGAACCAGGGTTCGGATGACTCCGATAAGCGAACGAGCCAGCCCGGCCGAAGTGGGTGAGCCGCAGGACACACAGACGCAGGCCGCACCATCTTTTTTTGCAAGAGCCGCGCCCATCTCAAACTCAATGTTGACATGCTGGAACTTGTGCCGTTTCAGGCAAAAGTTCCCCGCCATCTGGCTTGGTAAGACAGCATGAAGATGCTGCGTCATCGAGCGGTTGCTGGCGCGTCGTGCGTGTGTGTTTGGACAAATTGGTCAAACAAGCCATCGAAAAGGGAAATTCTCCACGCACTGGGGAAGTCTGGCTTCCTCCGTCGGGGTGGATGGTGTCTCACGATTTCTCTTTTTGATAGAACCATGAGGCGGTCCAAATCTCGCTTTCCCTTCGGAAGGACGAAGGGATAGGCGCCAAGGGTCAGTGCCAGTGCCCTGCAACGTCTTACCGCTGACAATTTTCTCTCCGAGAGCATCACGGATCTGGGGTGAAGGCAGGAGGAGAATGCCAACGGCGGCATATGCTTTCCACCAGTCAACGCATGGGATTGAGGACTCCCTTGTCCCGGCAATGTCCTCTGCCGGGCCGGTCATCTATACGAAGTACCCGAGTTGCTTTCCGAGATGTGCGTCAACAAGCATGTCCTCAACCTGGTTTTCTGGCGGTCCAAACGAATCGCGCCTGCTGTTTGGAGTTTGTGTTCGCCTGTAATTATCATCCTCAGGCTCTGCACAACACCCAAACCGGAACGAAATTTCTCTCCCGGGTACGGATAGGGTGAAGCCGCGCGCTAGACCATACATGTGGCGCCCTCAGCAGACTCGGTTACGATTGTCAAACGGCCATCGGATGGGGGCACCACCTCACCAACAAGGTCTGTCCAGCCTCCATAAACTACCGAGAAGCAAGCAAATAGTAGCTCGGGGCTAAAGTACCTACCTAGTCTGTCTACATCCGCGATTTTTACCTTGCCTGGGTTTCTTCGACAAGCCTCACAGATTTTGTTCATATCGAGTAGTCGTATTTTGTCGGCCCGGGGTGTTTCTGGCCCCAAGACCGAGTAACTTAGGTATACACAGTGCTTAACTACCTCGAGCCTGCAGCTCGACTCCATGCGGTCTCTGTGAGCCCGCCCGCATTCCAGGTTGTATACTGACTCTGCCCTTGCCGACCTTGCCGGCCGAGAGAGCGCGGTCGAGCTGCAGGTCGATTAACGCGATGCACTCAACCTGTATGTAGCCAGGCGCGATACATCAGTAAGCCGCTCGAATCAGGTACCTCGGTAGTAATTGTGTTTGCTGATGTCCCGTTCCACGGGCCAATGGCTCGGTTGGGTCTTGCATTTGAGCGGGAAGTCAGAGTCACCACCAACGGCCAGGTTATTTCAACCAGTGCACTTCTCTTATCGCTACTACCTTAGTACTGAGCGGCTGGCTGATTTCGACGTTTTGCTGAGGTTGCTGCCCATCGACCCCGCTAATGCCGATGCGGGGCACGGTGCAGTACCCGAGCCCAGTGCAACGGCAAGACCAGCCACAAAAAGGCACGGTATCTCCGAAGTATCTGGGTCCTCCGCTTTTGGTTTGGTAGAATTAGATACCACCTATATTACAGGCCATAAATGTCAAGCGTTGTCTGAGAAAGCACAACAATGGAGGGCGTTTGAAGAATACCCTTTGAAAGAAAACTTCTTTTTGGTCTCCTTGAGCCCTTGGGATGGATTGGTGATATCGTCCAAATGCGGGTGACAACCTGAGGGCTCCCCGCCTGAGCTAACTGGATCGGAGCAAGCCGCACTAAACTTGCCCCACCAAAGATGGAGCACAACCATTCAGCCAAGACTTGACGTGACTTTCGAGGCAAGTACAGATTACATCCCACGAAACCAAGAAGGCATCAAAGGGTCAGCATGGAATGACTGATTCGTAGTCGTCCATCTACTCGCTTTCAAACCCTTCGAGTCCACCTCTTTCATCCACCCGTTTTCGCCATTTTTTCGAGGACGGTCACCGCCTCAAAGGAACAGCGTGGCTGCGATTGGAGAAAGACGTCGGCGCACGCATGACGCCTCCCCGCCATCTGCTTGTAGCCGTCCAATCTTTGCGACGGCAATCACAAACGCGAGTGCCACTCTGAGGGCTGACGGCGTCGCCAAGGCTTGTGCAGGTTTGTCGGCCTCTGCATCGACTCGCGCAGCTCTGAATCATCCCGAAGAAGCAAGATTTAACAGCAAGAACAGGCATTCGGAGGTCCAACGGTCACAGTCGGTTGGCTGGTGACACAAAGCAGCGACAAACTTGCCCATCAAAGACGCGTTGGCGGTCCGTCAACAGTGCTGTCGGCCCGGAGGCGAGATTTCGGCACCCGCATGTGGCTTGCAGCCCTGGTCCAGTGACAAAGGGTTTTTGGCTGCGAAGTCACGATCCCCGCTCTGGTCTTCGCACAAAACCCGATCCACCCCAGGCCCGCGCTGCGCTCTGAGGTCACAGAATCCTCCCAGGTTCTCTCCACCCCAGCCCCAGCCCCCGATTCCCCGACACCATTTCCGCCGCTGGTCAAGGTACTTGTGCCCGCATGTCCTGACGCTGCGTCCCGAGTCGCCGCCCGCGGGTCACTCACGAGTACTTTTTCTACCACCACAACAAAACCGTGTTGCTGCTTAGGATTGATGCATCCGTGAGTTTCGCTCAACCGGCCCGTAAGTACCACCTACCTCGTATCGTTCGTCCCATCTTTCCCCAGCATCACCTCGTCATCGAATCTCGCAAACCACCGATGCGCGACGCATGGGCTCGACTCGACGCGTGCTTGCTGCATGAGACACGCAGTCGACTGCTTTGCCCGCTGCAGCGCAAACCGCTCACACACAACCGGTCAAGCCGGCGGCCTGTCGCGCGGCTGAAGGATTGACGGGTACCGCGTACCAAACACAACTCAATCCTCGCCACACGGGCCGGTCGAGGCGTCGTGAACATGCACTTTCGTTATTTCTTTGTCGCATTGTTCCCATCACCGCTTTATACACCCTGGGTCGAGGAGGTATTTAATCCTCGGGACGGTAATTGCTAACAGCTTTTTTGGCGCACACGTCTAGACCATGCATCAGTGGACGATTTCCCCTATGCAGGAGTACCTCTACTCCAACTCCACCAACCACCCGACCGACCTCCAGTAAGTACCTTGTTCCCTTGTACCTTTTCGTATCTGGGCGCCCACTTCGACGCTTCCCGTCCCAACCCCTCCCGCGTTTATGTACCCGATGTACTCCTCCCTCCCCAGCATGTCCTGCACACTTGGACCCAGAGCAGATCTACCACGTGGGGAGAATTCGAGAACAACATCAGAGACCCAAAACATCGACTCGTCTTTTCTTTAGCCTCGCAGCCCGTCCGCCTTCCATCAATTTGCGCAAGGGTTCGCTCGGCTGTCGTCGTTCCACCCTGGTGCTTGACGCCCAGGCAGTTCCCGACACGGGCAAGGCTCTGTGATGAAGAAACAGCGGGCAGCAAACGGCCTTCAATCATGGCGTCCACTACAGACGACATCGATGCCATCGCTGCAACACCAGCAGCCACCTGCGCCGCCCAACTCGTTCGCTAACCATACCGCGTGGTACAGTCAATCGCCTTACGCCGCTCAACAGCAGCAGCAACAGCAACAGCAGCAGCAGCAGCAGCCGCCGCCGCCACCGCAACAACAGCAACCTCAACAGCAAACGCAGCAACCCGACATGGCTCGGCGCGACCAGCCTGTGGATTATCGAGCGTACCCCACACAGCCACCCCAGGCGTCGCAGCCACAGCACCCGCACCAGCAGCAGCAGCAGCAGCAGCATGCTCAACAGCAGCACCACGCCGCCCCGCCAGTGCAGCCTCATGCCCAGCAGGCCCATGCTCAGCAGGCTCAGGCTCAGGCCCCACCGCCCCCAAAACAGCAAGCGCCGGCTCCAGCGCCCGTGCAGTCGGGAAGGCGGAAGCGTCCGGCACCGGGTGCTCATCCGCCCACTCATACTCCACAGCATACACCGCAGCATGCTCCTCAGCATCAACCTCAGCACGCTCCTCAGCACGTCCCCCAGCATGCCGCTCAACATGCCGCTCAACTGGCCCCTCAGCACGCACCCCAACACCCTCCTCAGCACCCCCAGCACGCTCCCCAACACCCGTCCCAGCACACCCCACAGCATATGACGGCTCATCAACCTGGCCAACCGCAGCAGCAACCGCAGCAACAAGCTGCACAGGCTGCGCCTATGGCACCTTCTCAGGTCGTTCAAGCTCCTGCTCAGCAACAGCAGCAGCAGCAACAGCAGCCGCAACCACAACAGCAACACCAGCAGCACCAGCAACCGGCGCATCACCCACAGCATGCCCAACACCCCCAGCACCCCCAGCATTCACAGCACCCGCAGCATCCGCAGCATTCACAACAGCAACAAGCCCCCCCGCAGCAGTCCGTTCCGGTTCCGGCCCCCGCTCCGGCCCCAGCACCACCAGCTGCCGTGCCGGCGCTGTCGACTCCTGGTGACGATGCACCTGCTCAGCCTCCGGCGAAGAAGAGCAGGACAAACACTCCCTGGACACCCGCCGAGGAGCTGCGGTTGAAGCAAATGCGCGATGCGGGCAACAGCTGGGCCGAGATTGCAAAGGTAAGCGCTTGTTTTGACGAGTATTTGAACTAGGAGCTAACAGGGTTTTTAGACGTTCCCGGCCCGTACCGAGGGCAGTGTGAAGAAGCACTGGTATAAAGACATGCATTACGCCGAGTTTGCCGAAGACGAAGTATGTACCCCCCCCCTTCACCCCTGGCCCGCCTTCCCTACCACCCCACCTCACGAGCTAACCCACGACCTAGAAAGCGGCCTTGTTCTCTGCCATCAAGGACTACGAAAATAACAAGTGGAAGACCATTGGGCAGAAGGTTGGCAAACCGGCCAAGGCCTGCGAGCAGTTTGCGAAGGAGCATTTCCCAGGTAAGTAAATTTGGTACCATGTGGTGAACCCAACGGTGGAAGCTGACCAACCCTGTCTAGATTTGTTCCCCGCCCAGAAAGGCAGATGATGTCCCTGCCCGGCCCGCCCCTGTTGCTTCGTCTTGTGAGGGTTACCCAAATGGCGTACGATACCTTTGCTGCGACCGCACTTCGAGTTTCGAGTACCTTGCTTTGAACTTCTAGCGGGGGTGGTTGTCCTTCTTTGCCGCCATGGAGCGGTTGTACATTCGCTGCTGCGCCTACGCATAGCTTGACTTAGCTGGGTCCCTTGATGTGGAAGCCAAAGTTGGGTCGTGTATTTTCTCATCTCGTGGACTTTAATGCCCGGATGGTTCCGGCCGGGGCTTTGTTCTCGGTCATGATTTCCATCCTCTCTGGATTCGTTTTTCATTCCCGATTTTCACAGTCTGGGTAGTTCCCCGAGAGTTCGGTTCCGAGCAAGCCCCCCTACCGCGAAAGAAGCACGAATCAGTTAACAAGAGGGCGGCGTTCCTTTTCCTTCTGACGACTGGACTCATGGTCTATTTGGGCGTCGGCTACTCGGTTCATCAAGCCGGCTGGGTCTGATACCCTAGCCATAGCTTACGAGGAAACGGCAGGGACTTGTCGGTGGTAGTCATTATTGTAGGGTTTCGTCAGAGGTTGTTTATGAAACCTTCCCGTCGCAAGACAGAACTTGGAGAATTCTTTCCATCACCCTAGGAAGCGTGTGTTTTGCTAGGTTAGGGGTAAGGTAGCGGGATAATATGAAGCAGCCGCCGAAGGTCCAGGCGGGCTGAGATTGATGTCTGTGTGTCTTTCTACCCAACTCCAGGACCCCCGTTTGATCGTGACCGACCTGTCCACGTTGAGCAATGTGTCATCCTGTGTAACAACCGTGGCAACGGCCCTGCATAACTACTTTGGTATCCGCACCTCTGTCATATTCTGTCAAAATCGGTATCCGCCCCTCCCACCCCGCAGGGAGAATGATAAGGACGGCCGAGATAACTCGGAGGACGGATATCCGGGCAAACAGAGTTTTTGCCAGCACGTCTCTCTTTGGTTGTGATCCGCGGTCAGCAGGGCAAGAAGAAAAAATTGCCCAAAGAAGATACCGTCTTAATTTTTGGTAAGTATCCCTAGAACAGCTCAAAGCAGCGGCAAGAATACGAGAGGGGTTTATGCAAAAAGATGTAAGGCATCATTTTTATCTTGACACGAGCCACGAAGGAAGGATTGGGGCGCTGTGTTCGGGCTGGAACGGCAAAGGCTGGGCAAGTGGTGCCCCGCATGTTCGTTCTATCGCCCCCCGAAGAGGAAAGGCGTGACGGGGCAATCTGGGGAAAAGAACAGCTGGAAACTCCCGAGTTAGCAGCTAAAGAAACGGCGCTTCATTTTCCGTGGAACGTGCGCAAGCTTTGAAGGTGCTGAACAAAATATATCCATTGTCATACGAAGATTGATGCAGTGCGATCGCTGGGTGCAGGTGGCTTGCGGGAACCCGCACGACAGGCAACCGTCAAGATTTCTGGAGGATTCGAGGCGCAACGACCCCTTCTTGCGTTGATTGTCCTGTGGCGTCGAGTTGCGAATTGCAACACGAGAAAAGGAGGTTGTAATCCCCACTCTTTTGCGTCTCGGCGTGGCAGCCGTTTTCCTGATTTTAGCCAAGAGCCGCGGCCCCGAACGGCCCAAATACCCCAGGACCCTGGGCTGGTGGTGTGTGGTTTCCGTTTTGGGACATTGACTGCTCCCCACCCCGGCTTGTGCCCAGCAAGGAGAGAGCTCCATCTGCTAAAATTGACCCCCCCCTCGTCAATCGCGCCGCTTCCTCCGTGCTTTCTTCCTCCTTTCCTTCAACGCGACCATTCGACATCAGGGCCTTGTCAGGAGCCCACTCTCCCCGGGAGCAACCTTCGTTATACCGTGCCAGTCTTTTGTCAGGATCCTTCGCCTCGTTCAGAGGGACCTGAAAAGCTGGCTTATCCATTCGTTTTTATAAAATAATTGGGAGAAGAAACGCGCAGCAGCTGCAGTGACACGCATAACGTTGACTAGCTCTGTCCACCAGTAACACGACCCCATCGTTTCAACCTCGAGAACCCATTCGACGCATCCTCCCGGCCGATTCAGTAGACTCGATAGGGGAAGTCGAATAACGGGATTTAGTTATTAATAAACCCGGCTCCTTTTACCGACCCGACCTCTGCATTCCAACCCAAATCAACCGAACCTGCAACCGGAAGAGTGAATCAGACCCGGTCTCACCCTTCGTTGAGCCTCCAGGACGTAAGTTCTGAGTGCGCAAAACCGACTTGACTTAGACGCCTCTTCGATCCCAAGTCACCATGGTTCGCGCTCTCTTGTCATTGGGCGCTGCCCTCCTCGGCGCGACCACCGTGCTGGCCGTCGACCCTCCGTCGTGCTCCCTCGACAAGAAATGCCCCAAGGAAGCACCCTGCTGCTCTCGTGAGTAACCTCAAGCTGCAAGCACTGTCCTACCTACCTACCGAAACCCCATCGCTGACACCGGAAACCTGCAGAGTACAACCAATGCGGTGTTGGCGCCTTCTGCCTCGGCGGCTGCGACCCGCGCATGTCCTTCTCGCTTGACTCGTGTGTGCCGGCCCCGGTATGCGAGGACAAGGTCTACAAGATGGATTCCCTCGACCGGTACAAGGACATCAGCGAGTACCTCGGCGACCCGAGCAAGGCGGACTGGGTCGGCCAGGGCGAGCCGCTCCTGTACGGCGACAACATTCTGCTGACCATGCCGCCCAAGTCGGTCGGCACCGTCCTGGCCACAACCACCTACATGTGGTACGGCAAGGTCAAGGCACGGATGAAGACGTCCCGGGGCGCCGGTGTGGTGACAGCCTTTATTCTGTTCAGCGATGTCAAGGACGAGATCGACTACGAGTGGGTGGGTGTTGATCTGGATACCGCGCAGACCAACTACTACTTCCAGGGCATCCCCGACTGTGAGATTCCCCGCCGTCCTCTGCTCGCATCTTGTGCTGACCCTACTTAGACGTCAATGGCGGCAACATCACTCTGGACGGCAACTCATATGACGAATTCCACGACTACGAAATTGAGTGGACCCCCGACGAGATCAAGTGGATCGTGGATGGCAAGCTCGGACGCACCAAGAAAAGGTCCGAGACATGGAACGCCACATCCAACCAGTGGGCGTACCCGCAGACCCCGTCGCGTGTGCAGATCTCCATCTGGCCCGGCGGTCTCGAAACCAATGCCAAGGGCACCGTCGACTGGGCCGGCGGGCCGATCGACTGGAACGGCGACGAGATCAAGGAGTTCGGCTACTACTTTGCCACCTTCGCCGAGATCTCGGTCGAGTGCTGGAAGACGGACAGCCCGCCCGGCACCAACAAGGGCCGGTCGTACTACTACAACGACATCGCGGCCACCAACGACACGGTCGTTGACAGCAACAAGCCCACCATCCTCAAGAGCTTCCTCGGCACGGGCACCAACATGAACAAGGGCGACGGCACCTCCTCCAGCGACCCCTCCGAGTCCTCCTCGGCCCACTCCATCCCCGGCGGCGGCGCCAACCCGCCCAACCAGGTACCCGGCGGCGGAAACCCGGGCTCGGGCGCAGGCAACCACGGCGGGGAAGGGGGCGGCGACGGCGGCTCTGGCACGGGCTCCGCCCCCGGGTGTGAGGCGACCGGCTTCTCGCAGCACTGCGGCTCGCAGGGCGCGAACGATAATAACGCCAACAATGGCGTCCGCGTCGTTGATCGGACCCTGGGTGGGAGTGCGTTTGCGGTTGTTGTCGGGTTTGCGGGGTTGCTTTTGTTGTGAGGTGTGTGTGAGTTGGTGAGTTGGTGAGTGTGAGGTTGAGTGACTTCCGGGTGGATGCATATGTGCATTTTTGGAACCGGTCCATCTACCGGTTTGATCTGGTGATTATATCTGTGTTGGGTTGATCTGATCCGATCTGGCGTGCGTTCGGTCTGATCTATTGGGGGTAATGGCCTAATGTCGGTCGGGTATGCCTTCTTGAGCGGGAGCTGGCGCAACAAACCTACACCTAATGTCTTTTTTTTTGGATTGTGTTTTTTTGGAGCTTCTTGTATGCACTTTGATACCATACCATACCGCACTATAGTCGCTGGGTACTTTTCAGTTGTTTGTGCTTGGTGCCTGTTTGTGTAGCTGGGCATCCACGTCCGTTATGTCTGCTCTGTCCTGCTTTAGGGGCCTGCTGTTTGGGGTGGGGCGAAGCACATACCTAGTCGATGAGCTCAGACTTGCCTCCAGTGTTTTGTTGCTGCTGGTGACGGCTTGAGTGAGCGGTGGACTTGATTGTGTGCTGTGTTGTCTGGTCAGTACGTCGAGTTCTTCGGGAGGTTCATTAAGGCGAGTCTTGCTAGCCAAGTAGACTCGCGACTGTGCACACGAGAAACTGGGGGTGGCCCAGGGCACGACATATATCAACATATACTGCGTGAGATCCGAGCTTTGTGTAGAAAACTCCGTACATGTTTTCTTTTGTCTTTAGGGGGCAAGGGTGGTGGGAATGATTCGTGGCAGGTGGCTCGGTTCCTTAGGCAACGGCAAGTCCTGGAAATGCCCCCTGGTGTTTTCCCCGAACCAACAAGACGCGCTTAGTTTGTCAGAGAGTCATCAACAAGCAAAGCCCATAAACTCACCCTCAAGTGGGCCCGGCTTCTTTTGCTTAACTTGGACTTATAAGGTCTTCTAACTCCTTCTTTGGGCGTTATAGTCGCGCCCCGGATCGCATCTCATCGCATATCACAGCCGTGATTTCACAGCTCACTTTATGGATGAGATGCCCTCACCGACTTCGTCATCAATTGCCTTGGTGACTCCTACAGCAACTAATCCTCCGGGTCCTCATGCCACGCCCACCATCCCGGTCATGCTTCCACGACAATTCCCGCCCTCAGAATTTTACCCACGTTTTTGGAGTCCCCCACCGGATCCGGACAAGCCAGCCTGTCCCTACCTGGCGGGCTTTGCCGTGGAAATCAAGCGTCACACGCCGCCTCCACCCTTTGGTGACCCCCATTATGGCCCAGGAGCATGGAAAGAACGAAGTGACGTGGACATTAAGTCAGTTACCCAGACTGAGCTTGTTCTGGCATACCCCCCTCTTGAATGCCAAAACACCGCCATATCCTCGTCTCCCGCCACCACGGCCACCCTTACCGTCCTCAAGACCCTAGCTGTGGAAGATGGCCGGGGCGCTCAGCTGGTCCTATGCTCGGTCACTCCAAGCCCTTGGCCTCAAGGGCCTGACGAGGTTGTCGCGAAGATCTTCGATCCGCTTTACTATTCCTTCGAGTCTCCGCATGCATCACACGAGGCCGACGATGTTGCTTGGTTCGCCGATGTCCACTATACCCACGAAGCCGCCGCACTCCATCATCTCGACGAAATGCGCAAGGGTGGCCGAACCGGCTTGTCCGCTCCAGAGTACTTTGGTTCTTGGACCTTTACCTTGCCCATCACCCACGCGGGACAGCGGGTACATCGATCTGTCCGCCTAGTGCTGATGGAGAATATCGAGGGTTGCAGTATGCGGGACGTTTGTGATGACCCAGCCCTTGTCTCACAATACAGCGAACCGGACCGGCTCGACGTTCTCGCCATGATACTGGATAGTAGTGTGAGACAGCGGCACGCAGGCCTTGACCAGCGGGATCTAGCCCCGCGCAACATCATTCTACGGCCCCTTTCAACTACATTGCCGTCAGGGTCAAACGAACGGCCTCTGTCACGGCCTGTCATCGTTGACTACAATATAGCTGTGGTATTCGAGCTCTCTCGCCATGGCAAGCGTCCATACCAACTAGAAAACCTTCCCCCAAATCCTATGAAAATCTTCTGGGGCACGAGCTTCGGCGAATTCGAGGGCTGGGTACCGTCCGAGTGGAATAGCAGTTATAATGCTGGCCAGCGGTGGCTGAAAGAGCGATTTGGAGGGGAGGCTGCCTCACAGTATGCGCCTGTCGACACCGAGCTAGAATTCTCAGAGTATTAGCTTCAAGCAGAGAGGAGGCGAAGTGCGCAAAAGTCCCATTAAATGCTTCTGATGGCTCATCCACGTTCGAATGTGGCTTTCCCTTGTTGCTGCTGACCAGGTTGCGGCTCAGTTCTACATCGATTATTTCTTCGTCACCGCTCCGAGTATTTTCGTAGCGCACGGCACAAACAGTGCCAGATGTCGTTGCTGCAACCGGCGGCTTGCCTGTGCCAACGCTCCGACCGAGGGTGTGTCTGGGAAGGAGGTCGGGCCGCTGCCGAAGCTGTCACTGGGGTTCGAGGTGCGGTGCCCTATTCAGATGGTGGTGGGGAAGAATATGTGACGACGGCATCTTGTGTATGTTGGGGGATAAGTGGTATGCGGAAGGTATGTATGTACATACCCGGTTAGCAGGCACAGGGACTTATTCCATAAGGTACCTTAGTTATAGAGCTTCAGACTGACACAGCAAATCGCCAAGACATTGTAAATACGATTACACAGACGGGGTCAGAACAAAGGTGGTTTGCCGTGTGTTTGCTCAAACAACACCGACCCACAGCCACATTCCATGTATGTACTATGTAAGTTCTTTCCCACCCTTGATTCGCTCGAGCAACGAAAAGCAAACGCCGGCGTCCTTTGAGTGCTTGAACAACTGCGCGAGCGACTGGAACCAAGTTGGAAAACTCACTTCAGGACCGGTCAGCCTTCGCACGGCAACAACATCGCGTCACACAGATCCAATTTGACAGGAGAGATCCGAGAGAAACATCAACGCCATGTCCTCGTATTCCAGCGCCGATGAAGCCTACGACTCGGATGAGCCGCCCGAGCTTGAGCTCAACCTCGGGAGGCTGATGGACCATGCCAGCCGCGCTCTCAACGCCAAATGCATCGGTGCCAAAAAGCTGACCCGGGGAGCGAGCCACGAGATCTTCACCCTTCAGTTTCAGGAGGCTGCCGAAGCTCCCGCATCTCTCGCGCAGGCGGGCTTCTACTGCGTTGCACGATTCACGCGCGGTGATAGCAACTCGGCCAAGTCACTTAGCGAGATCGCCACGGCCAGATACCTCAAGCGCTTCACAGAGATTCCAGTCCCCGAAATCTACTACCACGATCTGGATGTGGACAATGATGTCGGCGCGCCCTTCGTGCTCATGGAGAAGATTCCTGGACGCCGTCTTCACAGCCTATGGGACGACCTATCACTGGAAAACAAGAAATCGGCTCTCTCGCAGATCGCTTCGGTTCTTGCCCAGCTTGCTGCACTCCAATTTGACCAGATCGGATCTTTAGACGACTCGGAGCATGGTATTGGGCCCGTCATCAGCCCCTGTCTCGAGCAGCCGAAGGGCCCGTTTCAGTCGACAGGTGAATACCTGCGATCGTTCGTATCGACCGAATCAGCCGAGTCGCCGGAGCTCAAGAATCTCTTCCATCAAACTCAAGAAAGTATCGACCAGTTCCTTACCCGCAATGACCACGCCGCATACCTCCAGCCACCCTTTTGCCTGATCCACGCCGATTTCGACGCACAAAACATGCTCTTCCTCGAGCTGGAAGTTGGCTCGGGCCCCAGACTCGTCGGTCTAATCGACTTCGAGTATGCTTACACGGGACCTCTCCACTTCCTTTACGAGTACCCAATCTTCATCCAGGATGTGTCTTGGTCCAAGGAACTATACGCCGAGAACGCCGTCCTGCGTGCTCATTTCGTCCGCGCCATCTATGAAGCACTACCCACCCCCGATGCACGGTCGACATTCATCGCGTCAATGAACGAAAAGAGTTTCGCCATGAGCGCGTTCAGCAATTCATTCATGACGATGAAATGCTCAGAGAAGACCCTCATCAATTCTGTGACCAATTACATAAAGGACCTCCGGGACGGCACAGGGCTTCCATACTCTGGTCGGCTCGATTACACCCCCGAACTGTACTCCCACGAGGGCTACCCCCTGCCCACCGATACAACCGCCAAAAGAGAAACACAAGATAGCGCTGGCGACGGAATTCGGCTGGGAGAATCGTCTCCGTTGGGGGACCTTGGCATGGATGAGGATGGAGACTTGTCGAAATGATTGGAAATGATGGAACTCGGGTTTGGTAGCGGCGGGAGCGAAGGGGAGGGAAAGGAAGGGGAGGGAAGGGGAGGAAAGGGAAGGAAAGGGAAGGAAAGGGAAGGAAAGGAAGGGGTTGGGGGGTTACTGTTTCTCGTTTGTCAGCCTCTCATTATGTACCGCGAAGTCTTTTTCTCTCCTTTTCTCGCTCCGAGATAGTCGACTTACACTCAGATCGCACCCGTAGCAGTTGACACCCTCCTCATATTCCATTCCACATAGCTGGCACGGTTCGTTCTTGTATTGAACCCAATGTGTGTGACCATTGTAGTGGCAGGTCCACTAGTGCTTTGTGCAATGTCCCGCCCTCGACATTCTCTTTGGCGTTTTGTCGCATCTCCGGCAGTGGTGTTTGGAAGGGTACGGCGGCATTCTGCTTGTCGATGATGTGCTCTTCAATGATGGTGCTGGATACTTGTTGTTTTATTCGTCTCGTTCAAAAGGAGGAAGTGAGGTGATGTTGACTCTGCAATGTCTGAAGCCTACCTAACTGGAACGAAGACAACCGTTCCTTTATACAATTCACGACATGCCTTGACTTGATCGAGCCTTCAACATCCGAGTTCCCACCCCTTGAGGCCTCAACAAAAGAAGCCCGCGTCCCTCCATCCGCACTGTGGCCAAAGATGGCCCAGTAGGGAAGGCTGGTCGCTAACTGGAATGAACTCTGCTTGTTCTCCTTGTCTGTTGAATCCGCCGAGACCTTCCCCAGATGACCGAAGGCTGTCGGAAGTATTTGACGGGTTTCCCCTTTGAATTGCCTTGGAATGCTAGCACCGTATAATTAGATCTGTAGCGGGGCATCAAAGGATCAAATAATGGCGTCGTCAAGACGATGCTATAGGTAGATGCTGGTTAGTGCACCAGCTGGCGGCCAAATATACATTGTACAACACCCGTTTCCTCACTTCTTGAACTGTGGCGCAAACCCGTTTTTGATGACAATGGATACGACGAGTTGTATCAGTAGTATAATTCTCCTTAAAGCTTTTCACCCCGCAAGAATAACCATCCGGCCTAGCATCGAATGGATCGCGCATTACCTATCTAAGCAATTAGCTGCAGATACTCGCTCGTCAGGGTACGAGGCACGGCTCAGACCACGAGACGGACCACATCGTTGTAGCGTTTCCATCATCACTTGTGTCGACCAGACCCATGACAATATTCGAGACGGAGGTGATATCAATCTGCCTAGAGATAATGACCTTCAACGCAGTGACCAGCCCATTCAGCATCGACTTCCCCTGCACACTGCCCACACGAGCATCCTCGCCCATCTGCTGGACCGAAACAATCTCCGGCGCTACACCACCAATCCGGTCAACAAGCCGCGCCAAAATACCCTCGTTTAGTAACATCCCAACTGACGTGCCTGGAACTAGGACCTCGATAACCACACCACCCAAGTAGAATCCCCCAATCCGCTGCAGACACCAGCTTGTCTGAAAGCCTAGGTTGGCAGGGTGCTTCAGAGGATAAAGTGTAAACTGCAGCAAAGCGGTATAGAGCGGTGGTGTTGGTCGCCTTGTTTGTAATATGAAGACCTCTATTAACCAACAAGTGTTACGGATTCCAGGCGGAGGATACGGAGGAACCGTATTAGAGCATTGGTTGAGCCGGTTCAGTTGTTGATACCACGCACTTGTGCTTCCTGGAAATGGGCCACGTTGGTTGGGTACTCTTTTATTGATGTTAAGATATCTCTCCGTTTCTCCATTGTCCAAAATCTGCTTTGTCCCCTTGTCAACGCCGCCTGTTCACGGCCATTATTTGCCCCTGGACAATTTCCCGATTAGGCAATAAGTAAACACGGCATCCCGGCTGTTCAGTCACCCCAAAGGCCTCTGAACAAGATGAATTAATTGAACATGCTCTTCCATCCATGGTACAGTTACATATAAATCCACTATCCTTTTCCAACCCCCCTGTTATCATTCCCTGTTCTGTTACCTATCTTTCCCTGTCTTGTAACGCAACCCCCCCCCCCAAAGCCAAGATGACGACCGCACTAACCACCCACTCCCAACTCACCAGCCAGGGCCTCCTCCAGTCCACCCCCTCCACCGCCACCCTGCCCTCCCGCACCCCCGCCCAAGCCGCCATCACAGCCTACGACCCGGCCCTGCACACCCTGCGGTTCGACATGCTCGCCGTGCTGCACAGCATCCAGCACCCCACGCCCACCCTCTGCCAGCCCTGCCAACACTGGCTCTACCTCGAAGTGCACAGCGCCTACGTGGTCCTGCTGACCAAGCCCCCACCCCGGGAAGCCCCGGGGTCACGCATCTCCCGCGCCGCCATCCACGCCCCCTCGGGCTTGATGGACTTCACCACCACCTCCCAACCCACCCCGACCCTCGTCAAAGACGCGACCGCCATCCTGCACTTCCACGACCCCACCGCCCGCGACGCCACCCTCGACCGCCTCTTCGAAGTCCTCTACCGCCCGCACGACGACACCCTCAACCTAATCCAGACCCAAATCTGGCACTGCTTCGCCGGGCGGTACACCGTCTACGACGCCGTCGCGGGCCGGTCGTTCACCGAGTTCGCGCGCACGCACATGCAGCTGCTGACGAACCTGACGGGCGGGCGGGCGCGGGGATCGGGGCGGGTCCCCGGCTGCCTGACGGGCCCCGGGGAGGGGTGTTTCGGCGGGCCGGTGGAGTGTGAGTACCCGTTCAAGGGCGTCGTCGGGTCGCAGACGGGGAGCGCGCTGGAGGCGGCGGAGCGGCACACGGACGCGGCGGTGTGGGACGTGGTGCAGGCGGAGCTGGGGGATAAGGACGGGTGGCCGGAGGGGTTGCGGGGCGAGGAGGATTGGTTGGTGGTGCTGGGGGTGCTGGAGCAGACGGAGCGGTTCCGCGCCGCGATGCGCGTGCTGGCGAGGACGGGGCCGTACCGCTGCCGGGCGAGGTGGTGTGCGAGGATGGCGGAGACGTGGAGGACGGGACCGGAGGCGCGGCGCGCGGCGGAGCTGGCGGGGATGGAGACGGAGGTGGATGATCTGGAGGGGACCAAGAATTTGCTGGATGGTATTTCGGGGCAGCTTCTAACGCGGCAGTGGCTCGAACACAATCAAACGCTTGAGTATGGCGATGACATGGAGACCGACTGACCTTGTGCTGCTCTAGGTGGAGCACTGAGCTGCTCGAAGAACCTGGTCCCATGGTGTTTCATATACCACTTGGTCAAAATAGGAAAAACACCAAAAGTTAAAGCAAAAACATACAACACTGGGGATTCGCTGGTCGTCACCGACCCAACTACTGGTCCAGCGGTCGCTAGTTTATCTAGGGGAGAGCGGACGGGATCCCGAGCTTTCTAGCACCTATGGTCGTATGTGATTGTCAGGTGTGGTTGTTGTCCTTAAAAAAGGGGTGGATGCTTGAGGCTCTGTCCTTGGCCTCGACGTCCCCTGATCTCCTCTAGGCTCCGTCGGCAGTCAACAACACTAATCAAATGCAGATAGTTCTATCAAGGCACTGTTGAAATTCTGGAGGAGTACTTCGGTTAAGTTATGATAAAACGGATGGAAATGGTTGACATATGGAAACAAGGAAAAGGAGTTTGGGTTGTATTTTCATAGCGCTCCTTTGACCTGGGTATAGCTGTTGTAAGACAAGCACCAATCGAGTATAGCGTAAGCAAAACAATTAGAGATTCGGACTAATAGAAATCTATCAACGAGTGTGTGCTTAACAAAAGAAATCCATCCATGATTGGCCCCCAAACGGTTTCCACTTTCTTCGCCACTTGGCTCGGCAGTCTGCCTCGAATCCCACCCCGTGAAAAAGAAATGAGTTAAACGAGCGTTATTTGTAATCTGTTTCATTATTTAGTATCGGTTGTTCTGTGGGCGGGGGGTTGGAAGCGTACCTCGATGCCGCAATATTATTATGGTTTCTCATCTGTCACTACACCGAGACGGAGTAGTAAAACACCGAAACTTGGGGGCGACGCCTTCTTCTCATACGGCACGGTGGTAAGCTGCACGGCTACCTAGTTGTCTTGAGGCGCGGTCACGTCCTGAAAGACGAGTTTTCATGTCGGGGTGGGTGTCCCGACTCTTGTCGGCTCGCGCCTTCAAGCCCCGGCGGCACGAGAGCCCTCCGAGTCAAGCTGCGTCACGGCACGCCGCAGAAACTCGACAACACCAGACTTGCGCCTCTGTCTGGCTAGCATGAGCAGCCGGTCCAACACGTCGTGGCCCATTTCCCGGCATAGCCGCACTATTTCCTCGGCAATGAGCATCTCGCCAGACCCATGGCGGCGCTCCCGCAAGTTCCTTTGCCCACCCCCAGCCTGGAGATGGCCCGCGGCAATATTCTTGCTGGCCAGCTTCAGGATGTGGGAGATGTCGCGTTTGTATGATACGGCGGGATCGGCTAGCAATAGCAGGCGGACCAATTCCCGGTGGCTATTCATAGCCGCGTACTTGAGTGCCGTGTGGTTGGCGTGGTCTCGCAGATCGGGCTGCGCCCATCGTCGGAGTAGCTTGGTCGCAGTCTTTTGAAAGCCAGCCCCCGCGGCGACCATGAGCGGGGTTACGCCGTCCTTGTCGGGCTTGTCCAGGCTGCTGCGTAGATGCACCCAACGAGTTGGACATTCAAAGAGCGCATCAATAGTCCGTGATGTGCTTTCGTCCGTGTGTGGGCCACTCTCTGTCGTTGTTGGAGTGCCATAAATCATATCGCTGCTACCCAACTGTCCCTGGCCGCAAACAGCGAAGAAAAGGACGGATTGGTCCTTGTCTGTCGTGGCCTCGAGGTTTGCTCCATAGCTTATCAGCAGCTTGACCATGTCGACATTCTTCCGGTAGGCGGCGCAGTGAAGGGGGGTGACGCCGCCGCGGGCCGCGCCATTTGGGTTCACCCCATTGTGCAAGAGGGCTCTGGCGCTGTTGATATCGTTACCGGTAACGGCACTGTGCAGTGGCAAGTATTCCAGACCACCCGACCCCGCTTGAGAAATTCCGATGGTTGTCTGGCTCGGGATTGCATTATCGAACCGAGCATTATCGATCACTCTATAGCCCACGGGCGTGCTGAGGTTGTTCGGAAACGCCAACGCAGTAGAGCCTAGATTGAGTGAGTGCATAGCCAGCTGCAGCGGCTGTGGCTGTTGTGGCGGTTGTGGGTGTGAAGCCCAAGGGGTCCCATATGCGGGACCCTGGTATGGATGAGACGGAGGTTCGGTGGGACCTACCCATGGTTGGGAACCGAATGCGGAGCTCGCGTTGGGTTGCGAGAAGCTGCCCAGTGCATACGACTGCTGATGCCCGGAGAATGTGTTCTGGGGGAACTCAGCAGCCATGTTGGTCTGTTCGGCGCCTGGGTAGGGGCCACCACCGAGCCCAGAGAAGGGCTCCGGGGATACCTCCCCCGGGATGGTACTGGCTTGAGGACTTCCATCTCCGCCGAAACAATACGACCCAGTGGAATCGCCCACAGATGTCTGTTCCCCTTCGCTTGTTGCTTCTTGGTCAGGACAGCCCAGGACCGCTGGCGGGAGTGCGTAGTAGTTTGAGGAATCGGGCTCTGGCGTCCCGTACGCGACGTCGGGAGGAGTTGCCGCTGGTGAGCCTGCGCGTCAGCTCATCTAGTCAGAGGAACAGGTTGGTCGACGGAGCATACCTCTCATGTCAGGCGAAAAGTTGGGGCACTTCTCCCGCTTGTACCGCTTGTAAAAACGACGGAGCTTCGTTGGCTTGACGAGCTTGCCGTAGTGCTTGAATGCCGTGTTTTTGTTCTCTCGGTGCCTTCTCCGCCTGGCGATCCCAAGCATTGCTTTCGCATGCTCTGTGCTGAGATTTTTACCCAAGCCCCAGAGTTTGAAATGTTTCTTGTAAGCCTTCTCGCTTCATAAAAGGTCAGCCAACAACTCCCAAGGATAAAGTAGTAGTAGGAAGAGAGCCTACTTTGCGACAAAGTTATACTTGTCTTCCATTATCTTCATGACTTCCGGAAGTTCTTTTCGATCTTTCCAGTACAGCTTCGTAATCTTGCCTCGGTGGCCAGCCCAGTCAAGATGCGGCTTTGCCGGGGTCGGCATGGTGCTCAGAGACACAGGGTACAATTTTGGGCGGCAGATGTGAGTGGCACGACAGGCTCGTGATGTAGAGGTAATTGCGAAAAGGTATGTGAGAAGGTAGGAACCGGCTAGACAGACAAGTTCACGGTTGAGGACCTGAGTGTGAAAGTTGAGCAGTCGGTCCTCCAACGGGGGTATTTTATGTTCCTTATAATCATGATCGGGAAGCTGGCGAGCCAAGGCATCCGCAACGTGAACATGGCGGCTGACGCCATCCGGATCCTCCTCCGCCCGATATCTCGGCTTAATGGAGGTGAGCGTTGAAAGACACGGAAAGGTATGAGAAGACTGCGGCCACCGTGGCAAGGCGTGCCACGCGATATCCAATCGTGGAGCAACACACAAAAGCCAACTTGCAAGGCGAGAAGTTATTTGGAGCCTGTGTGACTCGGGTACCTAGCCGAGACCGGGAAGTCAACCAGCAAGAACAGGTGGAGAGGCTCTGTTCCAGCGGTTCGAGCAGCCGTTTGCGAAACCCCCCTGTCGCCGTTCACTCACCGCTAGAACTTGGGGTTTGGAGGACTGGTGCAAGTCGAGGTGTCACGACGGTTGGGGGCTGGCGGGGAGGGGTTCCGCGGTTGTGAAGGGGGGTGGCCTCTCGACAAGACTGGCCGCGCTCGCGACTCTCTGACGCCCGACCCCTCGAGAGGGGCAGGACAGCGGAAAGCGGCCGAGGGAGCTGCGCCCGGTCGCATGGGGCATGCCGAACCACTCGGCCCTAGCCGACGGATCCCGTCGCCGGGTATCTTTCATCATCTGAGATCAATGTCGACTGATATGCAGCTCCAGGACAGGGCTCCCCGCCGTTGAAATGACGAGTGACCCGACAAGCTGGGACATGGCGTGCCGGGCAGACCCTGCTCGACAAGGGCCCCGTCTGCAGGTCACATCTTCCGCGACTGGTGTCGATTCTTGACGGAAGTCGTGAACCGTCGCGGGGGTCATCCGGTTGGTTGGCTGTTGTTCATCCATTCAAGGAACCCGATGAACGGGTCACACGCGGCGGGTTGACGATCCATCCCGCGCAGCCCCGAGTTATTTTTTTGCTGGTCTTGTTATCGCTGTATCCGGCTGTGTTGCCTTGGGGCTTTTGTTCGCGAAGACAAAAGGCCCTGTCTGAGCTACGGGATGCAATTGGCAGAGGTTGTGACAAGAATAACAGGAGACATCCATCCATCACAGCGCTAATACCGGTGAAGCCCAGCTGCAGGGATTCAGGTCTACGTTGGCCATTGAGGCTCTTAACGGCAGCGTGTTTGTGAACTGGTTGGTGAGGTGGTTGATAAGGCTGGCGGGAAACGCGCAAGAAAAGAAAAAAAAAATGGTGATGGAGTGGCCGAGGAAAACGGCCGCGTGAAGTGGCAGTTACTGCTCAGAGGTCCTTCCCAGGCCCTGAAAATGCGGTCTGGGATTTCAAAAGAAGAAGGACCTAAGTGGGAAAACACGCCTACGAACGGGGAAAGAGAGATGGTGGGGTGAGTCTGCTAGTTCGTTCGATTTAGAAGGTGCGTCCACAGGACTGCATCTGCTTCGGTTCTTGAGACGGCGCCGGCACAATGACGCACAGGGAACCTCGATGGAAGATGCAACCTCAGGCGCATGCAGCCAGAGCTCCCACCCCAGCTGGTGGAATTCGCGGTTCTGCTTGGTCAGCCCGGCCCCACTTGCCGGCCAGTCTTTCGTTGCATCTTCTTTTCTCCCGACATCTCGTGCTTGGTACTGCGCGCGGCATGCACATGTGAACAATCGCAGCTTTGCCCATACCATACCAAAAACAACCTAATCACTCGATCGACAAGCTTCCCCGCCAAATCCAGGGCCACAGCGCGCCCTGTGGTGCACGAACTACGCCGGGGCACCGCCTTCCGCCTTCCGGTCGGGCGCTTCCTTGCCCTGAACACACACTCGAACCTCGGAATTCCCAATCTCTACCCAAACCAACGGCCGGGAACAACCAAGTACTCCACACAAGCCACCCAACATGTCGCAGAAGATCTCGGCAAAGAACCTGCAGTACAACTCGACCCTGCCGCCCTTCCTCGCCCGCCTGCGCGGGGAAAACCCATCCGGAGCCGACCGCGACGGTCCCGATCCAATCCTCGCGGGGAGGCGCCGGGCCGTCAAACCGCGTTCTGGCAGTGCCGAAGCCGAGGACGCGCCGCTAGTGGTAGACGACCACGGAAATGCCGTCGACGTCACGGTCGGTGCCGACGGCAGCGTCCAGGAGAAGGAGTCGGCATCCGGGGAGCAGCCACAGCCAGACGCCAGCCCTGCCCAAGACACAGTAGCCGCCGACGCGGGCGCCAAGACAGAGAAATTGGCGGATATCGGCGGCCAGCGCAAGAAGAGGAAAATTGGGAAAATAGTTGGCGCCGAGGCTGAGGAGGAGGATGCAGAGGATAAGAGCGGCAAGGACCGTAAGGCCGGACGGCCAAAAGGCGGCAACGCAACTACATCGGAGGACGCCGAACGGAAGGATGAGCCGGCCGCTGTCGCAAAGACGAAGCCGAAAAAGAAGGCCAAGAAGGTCAAGCTCAGCTTTGGTGACGACGAGGGCTGAGAGCCCACATTCGCCCAACTTGGATCACTGAGATTCACTACACCCGGCTGATCAGTCGAGCCGCTGGGGGACGAAGAGCTCAACATGGGTGCTCCAAGGGCGTTCACCCAGTGTCTCATCATGACGGCTCCGCCGCGAGCAAACCATTGCTGGGCGCATCATAGCAACTGCCATCCTGCACCCGAGTCCTCATGTCGGGGATTTGGCCAAACGCCGGAACTACCCACGGTATGATGTCGTCACGGTGTGGGACAAGCTCTGCCGTTAAGTAGTCGGGGCCTTCCCGGGTTGGCCGGCGGCCCAACAACAGCGCGACGCCTAGGTTGTTTCCAAGGCACGGACCCTAGGTCCCTAGCTTATCTGGGCAGTTCACTTCAGTCGGGCATGCTAGATGCCGCTAATCGGGCAACTGCATCAAGGTCAAGAGACATAGAAAAGTCCTCTATACAACCTCCTCATTTGCTGTCCGCATATGCTACAAGCCCAGCCCTGTTCCAGCCCCTTGTATCTCGTCCCCCCTTCGCCCCTGTGCATATCGCTGTTTACCAGTACTCGGGCTTGACGTAGTTGGCAAAGGTCTTGGGCTCCTCGAGGCCGTGGGGGTTGTGGTAGTGGTGGTGGTCGTCCTCGGGACCAACATACTCCATCTTGTAGACGCTGCCGCACTCGGGGCACCGCTCGACGGGGCGTTCGCGGCTCATCTGCAGGGTGCGTTGTACTGTTAGCGGCTCCTTCTTTCCGGGGCAAGAGATCCCATGGTGGGGCCGGATTAACTGACCGTAAGCCAGATGACGTTGTGGGAGTCGGCAGGGACACCGGTGCAGCCGGCGTACTGCTCATCACCGGCGGAGCGGACCATCACGGGGTTCTGAAGTGTGCCTGCCCCTCTTGTTAGGTGACCCCGCTTCTTGACCCCGGGGTGACGGTTTCCTTACCGAGGCGCGAGGCATCCAGCGGCCGCATGTCGAAGACGTCGACACCCTCCATCTTGCCGAGAATTTCGAGACGCTCGAGACCGGTGGCCTGCTCGATGTCGGTGGGGACGGTGCCGATGCGGGCGCCGGGGCCGACAAGGTCCTCCTCCGACTTGATCTCTGTGACAACCGTCAGCAGTCTGTCCCCGTAATCCAACCATAACTTCCCCCGCGACTGCCCTGTCATCCAACCCCCTTCTATCCCATCACGCTCAACCCCAACCATGAATGACTGACGTCAGAACCCCCCTCGACCCATGACGCAACACCCACCCCCCCAAACAGAGATATCCTTACCGCTGAGAGTCTTGATCTTGGGCTGGTCGGGAACGGCATTACCTGCGCATCCAAGTCGGTCAGTCCATGGGTCGGTAGCGGGCCGGAGCTCAATTGGGGGGCGTGGGGACGCAGCAAGGCAGCTCTCGGCTGCGACATTTTGGAGCTCCCCCTGCCTGCCCGCTTGGCCCAGCCGGGGATGTTTTTTTGTGCCAAACAGCAGCACACTTACGGCGCACGGCGGTGGTGGCGATGCTGCGACGGAGCGCGGGGGCGGACACGGCGGCGCGGCGCGCGGCGGCCACGGCAGAGCGCTGCAGGAACATGGTGTCGGTCGTCGGGGTGGTCAATTGGTCGGGGTGGTTTGCGGAAGGGGTTCAGGCCGGTTCGACGGGTTTTGAGAAATGGTCTGACTTGGCCCAGCCCGAAGCACAGAGCAGCCGAGCTGCAGGTGCTTGCCGTTTTGGGCTAGGTGGCATGTGATATCGCACGTGACTCTGTTCTTCAACTTCGAACCACCAGCAAGATCGATATGAAGTCGCAGGATTATCGTCTTTACGCCTTCAATAATGGACGTGTAATTCCTATTGTAATATTTCTGTAACAATGGGATTCCTTTCATTCTGCTCGTCTCGATTCACCTGGTGCGCAAACAATATGCTAAGCTTGAGCCCTAACCCTGTTCTACGACAGGAGTCGGCAACCCTGGGACAACCTCAGTTTGGAGATCCTTCCCACGCACGCGAGAACGTTCATTGTGAGGTTATGGTAAGCGTTAACGTATACTCTATGTACGTAGCCTAGCAACAAATACGATACGTCTACCGCGTACATAAAAGGTATTGGCTCTAACCGGCCCTCAACTCCGACCCCCGTCAGCTCACTGGCAACCCCTTATCCCGAGTCTATTGCTGTATTAAATGCAGGAACATGCACCCACCCATTCCCCCATTCCCATAACTTACACACCCACTCAAACCCCCTTAAGCTTACAACTTCCCCAGCCCCATCCCCTGCATTAACCCATCCTGATACTCGGTCGCAACATGCACACCACTCGGACTCCAGATCTTGCTCTCCACCACCCCCCGCCCCGCCGCCGCGCGCGGGAACCCCATCTCCTGCACCCACCACTGGTCCTCCCCCTCGCGCATGACCGCCTCCTCCCCATTCACATGCACCACAAAACTATAGCTCAAACTCGCCGCCCGCCCAAACGCATGCCCAAACCCGACATGGTTCCCCGCCACCAGCAACCCATTCCGATCCGCCACGTACGCATGCGCCGCCACATGCGCGCTCGCATCCCCATCCCTTTCCCCCTTCCCCTTCCCCGGCAATGGCTCCCACAGCTTGTACAACAACAGCTCCCGCCGCTCATGCACCGGCCTGCCAGCATTATACCCACTCATATCCACCTTCCGCATAGCCGCAACCGGAAACCGCCCCGGCTGGTGCTCCCCCACCAGCTCCACCACAGCCGCGATATCAACAGGCGGCGCAGGCGGCCAGGCCGCTGGCGGGCGCTCGGCGAGGATCGCGGCGAAGCGCTGCTGCGGGGGCGGTTCCTGGACCGAGACGCCGCGGCTGTGGGGCTCGGGCAGCTTGAAGGAGCAGAGCGCGGTGAAGCAGGGCGGGGAGAGCGGGAGGGTTGCATCGGATAGCGGGAAGTGGTCGCCCGCCGGGTTGGTGCTGGGTTGGGAGGGCTGGTGGGCCGTCACGGAGAGGGTGCTGAAGGTGCGCGAGGCTGTGAGGGGGGTTACGGTGTAGAGGAAGGGCCGGGTCGGGATGCCGGCGCGGGTGAAGTAGCCGTGGATTGTCTGGGGATGGGGTGGTTAGTATTGGGGGTGGGGGGTGGGGGGTTTGGGTGGGGATGGGATAAGTGGTATGTATGTACACCTACGTGAAGATCTAGCCTCTCGGCCGGCTTCGTCCCCTTTTCGTCTTCCACCTCCCTCCACGCCCGAGCGGCCGCCATCGCGGCCTGGGCGTATACGTGACCGCCAAACGCAGCCTTGTGAAAGGTGGGCGACTCCCCATCCACCATAAAGTCGGAACCTGGGAGATATGCGGCTCTCGTCCCTATGAACCGCCGGGCTTCGCCCGTCGACGGGAGCTTGATGAAGTCCAACGCCTCCTGTAAGGGCAGTGGCGGGTCCATATCTAAGGGCATTGTGGTTGTGTGGTTATGCGCACGGGGCAATAACGTGCCTTTCGAGGTCTACGGTGGTTTGTGTTGATCGAATTGGTCTTCCCGATGAGTCTTCCCGATGAGTGCCTCACTCGAGATAGCCCCTGAGTTTCCGGTTGATGATTGTCTAGGTACCCATGTACCCAACTCACGCGTGTCCAAAGAGTGAATACCCAGTAACGACCGACTGAGTGAGGTGCAGCGTGTGGTAACTTCGAGAGGGAAACAAAGTGTCAATTGCCGAGTACATCGGCCCGGGTCACTTCACCCGGCCGGGAGCCGACAACGATGGTTGTTGAGGAGCTGTTGAGGTCGTGAGCCGGAACGGGGATCCACTTCGGTATTCCCGGCTATGGGCGGTACCGAGTTCATCGTGTGCCGAGGCACCCACGTGATGAACGCGGTCGTGCAACGCCAGCAACTGTGAAGCAACCATATTCGTACTCCTCGGCGAAGGATGTACAATTCCGAGAACTCGCACTTGCCAGCCCTCCCCTTGTTGCGGCCGACTCAGCAACTATGCCCGGCAAGTGAAGACGGCGATCCCCGTCTCTTGGAGTCCTGCATGATTCTGGAGCCAGGCGGCATCCGCGATATCGGAGCCGTGATTTCGCTTTGCAGCAGCATGAAACTTTTTTTCCAGGGCTACAGTCGCTATTTTAAGTCCAATGAAGCTCCTCGAGGTTGGCGAAGCTTGCTTTTTTGTTTGAGCCAAGCTGCATCTCGTGTGGTGGGTCTTAGTGGGGTATTCACCCCCACGGCCGGCCCACCCATCTCCCTCCACCACAGATCCTGACAATGGGGGTCAGTTTGGTGTTTCCCCAGACGTGGAACCCCCCCACCCCGCGGCCAGCCTGAAATGCAAGCCGATATCCGAGAGGGGGCGGGTTGGATGGACAGCTGCAACAGGAAACCCCTGAGTCCTGAGTGGTGGAAAATGTGAGCCTCAACCAAACTCTAAACAATGTGCTTGGTTGGAGAAACACGGGACGTCGCTCTTTTAATGGAACGTTGTCACGCTTTTCTGGTCAGCCAGTTACAGAGACTACTCAAACTCGACGGCTGCAACGGTGTGTGGGGGTCGGCCCTCACTGCAGCCGACCCCCATTCAAGCCGTGCCATCCCTGGTTTTAACTTTTCTGGTTCCCGGCAGTCTCGGGATGCCATCGTGTGGGATCATCGCGGCTGGTGTTAACTATTCTTGTCCCTCATCAATGCTTGCTTGGCCCAGAACCAGACGATCAAAAAGTTTCAGCTTCAGGTCAAAAGCATGAATAACGGACTATGACCCCAATGTTTCGGCGCTTTTAGCGATGCTGATACGACCGAGTGCACAACATGTTTCAACGGAGCTAAATCAAGGAGCGAACATGTGAAACAACCCATCTCAAATTTCTTGATTGGGATTCTTTTGTATTGGTTCTCGGCGGTTTGGTGACAATCATCGACACATTCGGGGGAGACAGCAGCGTTGATTATTCAATCGCGAGGGAACCCTGGAGCCCGGATCTTCGAGTTTGCTCAAACCACGCGAAGTATTCTGTACTTCGTATTAGTCTCAGCTACAGCCCACGTGGTTTTGACACACCGATATGATGACATACCATGCGGTATTGAGACACTACCTATCCAAATTATTTGGAATCGAGTCTTCGCACGACTTAACAAAACTACGTTGTTTCTTCTCGTTCCAATGAAAACACGCAAAACCTGATGTAACGGTCCGGATATGCGCTCCTCGTTCGTTAACCCCCCCCCCCCCCCCCCCCTTCGTTTCCTTTGAGTCCTCACTGGCGAACCAAAGGACCGCCCGAAGCTTGAAGGTCACTCACCATCCTCGCAGTGTCTCACGGCAAGACGCTGCCCAATGGTGACTGTGGCGTGAAAATCCACAATCCAGCCATTCATGCAGTCTTCCATTGAGTCTCGAGCTGTCGTTCCCAAATTATGATGGAACGACGCCACAGCACCAAGCGAATTCTAGCGCTCTGAAACATTGAGTGACAATTGCTGCCCGACGGCAATCGGGTGCAGCAATTGCCGCAAAGACGGTTGGCGAGCCAGGCCCCTTCGTTCTGCGGTCGTGCCGTTTGGAAGTTGTCTGACGAGGGTGCTGCGTATTCGGGGTCACGCGGCCCTCGACCATCGAATAGGCGGCGTCTGGTGAGTGGCCGATTTTAGCGAGTGTGTGACCACCGGCCTCGAATCGGCATATATCGAGGAAGGGAATTGGCTCTGCAACCCGATTTTTATTTTATCCAAGTTGGGCTTGACCGGTCTCGGCCATATTTGCGCCTTCTCGCAGCCATGAGAGCCGTCGCAACCCGCAGCTGTCACCCGGCAGGCAAGATGCGTCAATCGGCAGCCTTCGCTGCACTGCAGAACGCAACATGTCGGGGGCCTGTGGTCCGAGCTCTGATTCCAGCTCCGCGGAGGCCCTGCAATGTTGCTTGTGGGGTCCAGCTGCGGTCCCTTGCTGGTCTTTTCCCCGCAACGCTCGAGCCGAGCAGATCTGGGGACAAATTCATCAGGGGGCGGAAAGCTCCGCGCAACATTTCAACACAGCACGAAAGCGAACCCAACGTTCTGGTTCGGCCGGAAATAACGCGATCCACGTGCCGCTGAACGGTGTTGGCAGGGGTGGGTGGTGAAGGCTGCTCGGAAACAGCCTGCAGTCAGCCACCACACGAGTTCCGCTGGGAAGCCAAAGGCTCTCAAGGTGAGGAAGGAGCTGAAAAGGGGAAGTTCCTCGTCGCAAAAAGATGCAGAGGTGAATTTGTGACAATTTGAGCGTCGTGCATGGGCCAAGCAGTTCCAGGTTTAGGGCGGTTTGCGGGTCGGAGCAAGGGCCCTTGGGTGCAGGGATCCGGGCTGTTCCTGCCAGAAGCGCACCACTGCACACGAGGCTTTTTCGAAGCCTGAGAGAGCAGAAAAGCAAAGAATTGGCCTTGGGATTACGCCAAGCAAATCCGATGAGTGGTTGCTTCCCTTTCTCGGTGTCCTTTCTGGCCAACTGTTGCCGCTCATTTGTTAATGATTCTTTCCAATTTGCTGTTTTTGTGGCCATGAAACACTGTCCTTCGTGACATTGGATTGCGGCCCTTCCACAAACACCGTCATCTGCCATCATCCGCCGTCGTCCGCCATTGTTTCTGCCGAATCCGCGTGGCTGCAAGTCTTTGTGACGATCCCAGTGAGGCTCTCAATCTGCTCTGCCGGCTTGGCGTCTTCTCTCTCCGCATTTCGGCCCCCTTCCAGCTTCGATCATCCGACGCCCGCTGCTGCCCGCTGTCCGTTGTTCGCTGTCTCGACCAGTCCCGAACCTGCACTGTCATCGCCCTCACTGGATGAGAAACTGGTTGCGAATGCCTGCCCCCGGCGTCCAGCTCCTCCAGCGCCACCACCCCGCCAACCAGTCACCAGAGTCCTTCCTCGCCTTCGACCCCAGAAAGTTCCCACCTCTCATCCCCAGGATTTCCGTTCTTGGGACCAGCTGCCATGCAACCCTGCCTCTGACTGGGCACCCTTGGACGTCACCCACGCTAGCGCCTTGCTAGTGGCCCTTGTTGGAGGAGCGTTCTCCCCCAGGTTCCGCCCTTCAAACCAGATCGTGGTCTTCTCCACTTGACACCGGCCGGCTGGTTCCCCATCCCAATAAATACATGCTGGGCTGAGAACACGCGCTCCTTTCCCATCCCACTCTGCTTGCCTCTTTCCTCCACACGCCCGTTCCCGACTGCCCGGAACCCCCGCGTCCTCTGCCGATCGAGACGTGGGTAACAAGCCTCTTCGAGGACACTCCCCCCAACCAACGCCCTTTGTGGGAATCATCGAGCCTCTCTTCTACGGCTTCTATCGAGTTGACCGACGGTCCGCTCACCTCTTTTCAACCTCCCGTCTGGAGCAGCGTTACCAATCAACTTCGGCATGCTGCACTCACCCCTGCCTTCCCGTCTCCTGAGGAATCTTTCCGCTCTGGACTTCTCACCCCACTGCCCGGTTTTTGGCCTCCAGAGCCGGTCGACTATGCGCTAAGCCGACACTAAAAGCTACCCCAGTATCAGGAGGATTTTGACTGGGTTTCTGCTTGACTGACAGGCAAGGAGTTGACTGACATGGGTGTCCAACTTGAACATCTCGGCCAGAGTATCGAGCAGTACGGACCATGGCACTTTGGGGATACCCGATTCGAAGACGGCCGCCGTGCTGATCTCGAAGCGGCCCTCTTGCAGACGGCCACCATTTCTGGCTTGGGTGATAGACTGTTGGAGTTTTCGAAAGGGAGCAGAGTGGAGTGTCAAAGCCCAGCTCGCCCCGAGTTGAAGCTATCGGTGTCAAAGGTGAAGCCCACGCCTCCGGGCTCCCCGGCGCGGACCGGATCTGGGGAATCTACCCCGGTCACTCCGGCGAAGACGGACCTGTTTCTGTTCCCATCGACACTCGACCCATCCCTAGCTTTCACTGAACTCGTCTCCTCGGGAGAGGCGATTGTGACTTTCCCACTCTCTCCACTCCCCAGGCCATGCCTTAAACGCCGCCGACCGGATACGGATATCGATGGCCCCGGGACGTCGTCAACGACGTACAAGAAGCGCCGGCTCCTCCGCCACCTCATCACCTCGCGCCTCTCGCAGCCCTTCTCCCTCCCCGCGACCCACATCCTCAACCGGGAGACGGTAGCTTCTGGCGACAAGCGCTTCCTCAAACTGACGGCCATCATGTCGGCCCGGCGCCTCAACAGCGCCGTGGTCGCCCAGCCTCAGGCGCCGTCCCCTCCGCAGCAGCCCAACCCGTCGACCTGGCTCCATCGCGCAGCCCTGCTCAACAGCCTCCGCAGCCGGGTATACGCCACAGCCGCGGAGCGCGCCAACATGCCCGTCCCGGACCTCGCTGCTAAAACGGCCGTCTTCCAACAGAGCCACGGGTCGACCACGGCGTTTGTCGGCGGCCGCTACCTCATCACCTCGGCCAACCCAAACAGCCACCATGCCCAGGCGCCACCCCATCGGAAACCAACACCTCCGGGATCCCCACAGCAACACCCCCCCGGTAACGTCAACAGCAACGGTCACGGCCCAATTCACATCCACGTCCCTGGCCACCACCCCACCCACTCCGGCCCTGCAAACGGACACGTCCCGCACAAGACCCGCCTGCGCATCCCCTCTCCCAAGCTGCGGCCGCTCCGCTCGCCCGAGCTGCGCGTCACTAGGCCGCTAATCCCGCTGGAAGACATCGAGCCCCTCTACGACGAGAACTCGCTGCTTTCGGACGACTGCATGGCCTTCCCCACGTCGGAGCTCGAGAGCCGGTACGGGTATGACGACGATGACGACGATGCGGAGGGCGGGGGTGGGGTGTACGCCGACTTTAGTGTCATCTTTGGAGGCGGTGGTAATGATGGTGAGGTGGGGGATGGGGAGGGAGAGGGCGAGGATGACTTGGAAGGGGATTGTTTTGAGGATTATATGGATGATTTGGATGGGATTCCGTGGGGGGGTGGGGGTTGAAGCTAGATTGGGAGATTAGGTTGGGCTGGACAGGGGACTGTTTTTGGGCCTCGGTGGTTGAGTTGAACATGCAGCCATGTGGCGGAAAATAATGGGCGGGGGTATATTTATAGGGACGGGATTCGCGGGAAGGATATCTGTTGGGAGGGTATTTGCTGAAGCGTATTTGCGAGGATATTGGCTGGTTCGTGGATGGGATGAAGCGCCCTGTCTTATCGGGTTGGAGTTTCACGGCATCTGGGCAGCGATTGGGAGGATATCTACTTATCTGAGCGGCATCACGGCGGATGGAGGCAATCTGATTTTTCGCGTTTTTGGTTTGCACTAGGAGGGTATTCCTTGTTGAATGGCGTCTTGTACCTGGGAGGTATCAAAGGGAAGACGATAGCATCGAGAAGCAGAGCACACGCGGTCAAAAATATCATTGTTGTAGTGTGCCCAAGCGCCCAAGCTGTGTAACATGGAGCTGGTTCTCTCTGCCCTGCTCGAATTCGGGTTCAGGGGTCGACGTCACCCTGCATCCCTGGCGGGGCTTGCAGGAACACCCCACAACCCCAAGCGACCCCTCGAGAGTTTAAGACGACGCCATCATCCCAGCTCCAGCTCATTCCAACAACTGTCCATTTAATTTGCGCGTTTTCTTGACCGGCTTCCCAACTCGACAGACACACAACCCGACAGACACAACTCGACAGACACAAACCGACCCTCACCATGACCTCCCAACCCACCACCACCCCCGCGACCGACGCGCCCCCCACAACATCATCAGCACCACCCCAACAACAACCCCCAACCCCAACCACCTCAACCCTCAACCCAACAGCAACCCCCTTCCTCCCCGCCATCGCCTCCCTCCCCACCCTCGCCCCCACCGCCCAGGCCGCCACCCTCGACCTGCTCTTCGAGCCCTCTCCGGACCTGCACGCCCTCGCCCTGCCCACCATGCGCGCCCTCTCCTTCGCCTCCTACGACGACCTCATCGCGACGCTGCGCAAGCAGTTGTTGGAGATTGCGGAGGTTGTGGTGGGGGATGAGGAGGGGAGGGGCAGGTTGTATGGGGTTTTGGGGAGTCATCCTAGGTTGGGGGAGAAGAGGCCCGGGGTGGTGGTGGGGGGGTTGAGTCGGGGGGAGCAGGCGCATCTTCAGGGAGAGGAGGAGGAGTTGGGGAGGTTGAATAAAGAGTATGAGGAGAGGTTTCCGGGGTTGAGGTATGTGCTGTGGGTGAATGGGCGGGCGAGGGGGGAGGTGTTGAGGGATATGCGGGCGAGGATTGAGAGGGGGGATGTGAGGGCCGAGGAGAGGGCTGTTATTGAGGTGAGACTTTTGACGTTCTTTATTTCTTTTGCATCCGGGTTTTGTTCTCTCTGTGCGGTCTGGGGGTGGGAAACTAATATGCTGTCAATGTCTAGGCCATGTGCGATATCGCTGCGGATCGGGCGCGCAAGTTGCTGCAGAAGTCGGCCGAGGAGGCAGTGGAGAATACCAAGAGCTGAGGGTGCTGGCTAGTATAACCGAGTAAGGCGTGTTGAGTGGGCGCAAGGGATAAGTCGTGCAACGGTGGCGAGACATGGTCTCATGCTGTTTCACCGTCACGTAACCATTTGTACTACCAACGTGTAGTTTTTCCCTTTTTTCCCTATCTCAGTGATAATCAAAGAAAGATATTTCAGCATTTATACGCAGGGATAGCCACCCCACATATAGTCTTTTATATCAACTGCTAATCAATACCCTAGGTAGTCTTTGTGTGTTTATGTTAACTACCTAGATAGGAACTAACTAAAATATAATAAGATACCGAAAACAATCAATGAAATGGAAGCAAGAGCTCACTGGCTAGCGCCCCGAAGCGGGGTACATAGCCAGCTACGAAACCCATATGGGTTTGCACAATGTTAGGGTGGGGAGGGGGGCTAGAGGGGACGGGCTGGAGGGAAAGGGCTGGAGGGAAGGAGGTGGCCGAACCTTTTCGGATTCTAGGGCGACCCAGGTATTGCTCGAACCCGAGACCTCACGCGGTCGGGTACCCGAGTCACCGTGGGTGGAGGACTGCCGCCAGTGCCCATTAAGCCACTGCGTGAGGCCGACAGTCCTCGTGGAAAACATGTTTCGCAGCCGTAGTATAAGACGAGCTCACAGGCTGGCAATCAACACCTTTGAGCTCAACAACGCATCAGTCAGAAAGCAAAGCTGGAGCATTATGCCTACCAAAGCCACGGCTCATCCTTTTGTCTTGCTATTACCTCAAACCAAGGAAGCCTTCATTTGGCCAACATACTCGTCCCGCCCCCCCCCCATAAAAGCAGCCTTGTACACACGACATTCGATCCCAACGAGCTGGAGCATTAATTCACCGCCTCTTTGCGCGTCCTCATAGCCAAGATACCTATGCGCCCTTAAGAGCCACCCTAAACCCACCGTCGCGCCAGGCCCAACCAGCGGCAGACTACCTAACCAACCCCAACCCAGCAACCTCGAGACACCCCTCCCTCAACATCCCCCAGCCCAGTCGGCACCACCACCACACTCCACCACCACACCCTCGCCCCCAGCACCCGCAAGCTACCGTGCCCACCGACTACCGCGCAACACGTAGAACCCCATCCCAATCCCCATCTAGATCCTCGATATATCCCGTCCTTTCTCCCCAGATGGCGCCCGGAATCAGACCGCCAGACCGCCAGACCGCCCTCAAAAGGCCACCCCGCCGTCCGCAGCGCGGCAGACAGCCACGGCGGGTGCAGCCGCCATCCAAACGGCAGCGACAGGTAGATTAGTAACACGGCGGGTTCGATGTTGCTGGGATGGTTGGTTGTGTTGTTGTTTGGGTCGGTTGGTTTCGGTTTTCGTGTTGGGTTTGATGTTGGCGGACTGTCCGGCGGGGAAGCCGCGTAGTGCGCGAAGCAGGAGAGCACTGACGCTGGGCTGATACCCGGCGGTTGGATTGGCGTGGTAAAGAGGTTGGGCCTGGGTGGCGGGTTAGTATCTATATTGTCATGGTAGAGAGGTGGGATACGGCGTCTAGAATGGGGGAGGGCGTGTACCATCGGGAGGGGGTCCATCTCGCCGCGTGGCGGGTGGACTCAAAGATCCAGATTGTGAGGAAGATGGCGTCGTCTGTCAGAAAAGAACTGAGATGTCGGCGGGGGGTGAGTCGGCGTTGTAGACGGAGGGCAAGAAGAAGATGTTGGCGACGAGGGGGGAATTATCGAGGCTGGTGAGATTGTAGAAGGAGGTTAGGACGCGAACGAAGCCGGGGGGCAGCACCAAGTTAGCACCACTTTGGCCCAGGGACTAGTCCATTCCCCGGCAGGTTCCACGTTTATTGTTTGCGTGGCCGAGGAGCGGCAGAGCTTAAATTGCACGCTTTAATTTGCTATCTCTTAGGCCGCCACCCTGAGATTTAGCCTCGGCCACAGTGTCGGCACTGGGCTGGGAATGGCTGCTTTCAGAGGCCCTCTGACATTGAGTCGGCCAGTGTGAGGGATGGGTTACAGCGGTGTAGTGTGAAGAGAAACAGCGGATTCCTATCAGATGTGCACTAGATAACTACTCGGCAACTTGGTCAACTATGACTCGAGGGTTGCTGTTGTGGCGGGGTGAGCAATAGCTGAAAAAGAACGAGAATGGCCAAGTGAGAAACATGACGAGACATGGATCGGCATAAACACGCTCGGAGTTGCTTAGCTGCTCTCAGAGTCAAATCACGACTGACTGACACCTCGCCCAATGTCTCGCAACTCGGAAACCGCGCAAGCTAAACCTCCAATCCTCATCCGTGATGGCTTCCATCCAGAATCCTGTTTCCACGTCTGCTGCTTGAAAACAAACCAGGGCTAGTAATATTTTATCGGTATCAGTACCGGTCTATCGTTCCAATCTCGTTCACTGCTGAGAAGGGAAAGGTCCAGGCCCTCATCAAGGCTGAGCCCAAGTCGGCGCCTAGTCTGGCAGAGCTGATGACTGGCAACACTCTGGGTGCACTCCTAGACTGGGAAGCGGAGACAACGCCGCCGCGCAACACGGCCTCCGCGCCTACCTGCACCGCCCGCTGCCTCTGCCTGTTTTGGCCGGCGCTGAGAAAAGGGGGTAGGGGGGATCGGGCCAGGCTGCTACCCCCGCTCGATGAGCTGGTCAGCATCACCCGCCGGATTGGCTCGCGGCCGGATTTGTCTGTTATTGACGATATGTGGATGCCACGCCCGTGGAGAAGGTGGCTGAGGATGTGAGTGAGGGTGGGACGGAGGACGCGGCGGTGGTACAGGCTGTGAAAGACGAAGCGCAGAACCGGCTCCCTATGGCGGAATCTGGGCAGGTGGAGGAGGGGGATGACCTGCTGCGGGCGTTGCCGACTATGGACACGTTGGTTTGGTTTGGGGAGGCGAAGAACGCTGGGTTTGGTCAGTTTATGACTGCTCAGGGCTATGTTATTAGCTCACGGGAGGGGGGGATTGCCAACAGGCGTTGACTTTGGGGTCTGCTCGGGGGCTGGGAGGTCACGGTGTTGGAAGGTAAGAAATGAGCAAGGGGAGTTTTCTTGCTGCCACCCCGACAGTGGAAAGACGAACGCCCCGAGCCATTCCCTCCCGTACTGCACGCGAGCCTGGCTGCTAGGACTGGCTCATCGCAAGGCCCTTGACCCGAGTTGCCCCAATACGCCTCTACACAATACGGAGGGCGGGTCTCGCCACCTCCTTTCCGTCTGCGACATATCCGCGCTCCTCCGAACACAGGTTGAAAAGGACCTCGATGACGGTTGCCGGTACCTTGATATGTACGGCATGTTCGGCGCTATCGGGGCCTTGTTCAAGATGACTTTGGCGGGGTACGGGTACACATTCGTCGCCAAAGGCGTTCAAGAGGTTGATAACGATGCTCTCAAAAGAGAATCTGAGGTATATCCTGGATTCATTCATTTTCAGGGGCGCTTCATACCGGTATACCTGGGCATGATGGACCTCGTTCAGCCGTACGGGCTCACCAGCGGCGCCATGTAACCAGAATGATGCTCATGTCATGGGCCGGTTGGAGCTTACGTGGGCGCAAGCCAGAGGGGGTGGACGTGTATACGGCGGTGCACAAGGCTGTGTCAACGTTGGAAGGAGCTGGGTTGCACCACGATGACATTCGGCCGGCCAACCATGTCTGGAACGAGGAAGTTGGAGGCGTGATGGTGATCGATTTTTATACAGCGTTTGTTATACCGAAGAGATCGGCGGATTCAGGTCTGGAACAAGAGACGAAGAGAGTCCGGTGTTAGTTTAGCATCAAAGTAATTGTCACTTCCCAAATCTCTTTCAAGCCGACGACCGTCCCAGTTAATACACGCCCCGATCAACACCCTATAGCGGGGGCGTATCGTTAAACTCATCCAGCAACCCCGGCGGCACCCGGATACCGGCGATGCCCACCTCCTCAAGCCACTCCCTTACCTCCCTCTCTTCCTCCGCGCTCACATCAACATGCGCTGCGCCCACATTCTCCTCCAAATACCTAACATTCTTCGTCCCCGGAATCGGAATCACATCACCCCCCTGCGCCATCAGCCAGGCAATAGTCAGCTGCCCCGGCGTGCACCCCTTGCGCGCAGCCATCTCCTTAAATCGATCGACGAGCAGCAAATTCTTCGCGAAGTTCTCGCTGTTGAAGCGCGGCAACAGCCGGCGGATGTCGGCCGGCTCGAAGTCGTCGGGCGACCGGAGCTGGCCGGTCATGATGCCGCGGCCGAGCGGCGCGTACGCAAAGACCGAGATGCCCAGCTCGCGGCAGGTCTGCAGCGCGTCGTCGCTCTCGGGCCCTTCGATCTCGAGCGCCCAGGGTGAGTACTCTACTTGGTAGGCGGCTATGGGGGCGATGGCGCATGCGCGGCGGAGGGTGGCGGCGGAGCAGGCGGATATGCCGATGTGCTTGATCTTGCCTTCTCTGTGCGGGTTTGGTGTTGGTTTCAGGTTGGTTAGGAAGAGAGAGGAAGGGGGGGCACATACTGCTGCAGCTTGACTAGCTCCGCCATGGTCTTCTCGATGGGCGTCTTGCTGTCCACGCGGTGGATGTAATACAGATCGATGCACGCCACCCCCAATCTCTTCAGACTCTTCTCGCACTGCCCCCGGCAGTACTCGGGCGAGCCGTCGATCAGTATACCGCGGCTCCCATCTTCACGGACCCCCAACGTGAGCCCGAACTTGGTGGCCAGGAAAATATCGGCGCGGCGGTCCGGGTGGCGCGCGAACCACTTGCCGAGCAGGTCCTCGCTGTCGCCGTACATGTCGGCCGAGTCCCAGTTGGTGCAGCCCAGCTCCCAGGCCCGGTCCAGCAGCTTGAACCGGTCTTCGTCGGAGCTGTGAGGTGAATAGGTCAGCTAATGTCACATGGGCGAAGAGAGTGCAGGTCTTGCTCGCTCACCCAACCGAGCCGTACGCCGTGCTTAGGCCCATCAACCCGAAGCCGATGGCCGTGACCTCGGGCCCATTCTTGCCCAGCTTACGGGTCGGGAGCTTTACAGGTGGCGCCATCTTTCTTTTACTGCCTAGATAGGTATTGTGAAAGTCGACACGTCAAGGAGGCGGAGGCGACAAGGCCAGCGGTTTATAAGAAGCTCGGAAGCAAATCTACGTGTGTTGTTCGGATAAGCATATCCCAAGACACCGGTTAATTCGGTATCATCCCTGGGACCGCCCATTCCAGCCACTAATATGCGCCCATGTTGCGGTCCGGGTGCGGGGGCGGCGCTAGACGTTTAGAACAAACTCCGCATGAACGCCTCTTACCAGAGTGTTCAAGTTGTTGAGACACTAACTATGGAGTACCCTGCATCCAGTGCTTGACGCGGTTGACAAGGGGCAGTGGTCCAAGGTTCAGCAAGCGCCACTGCGCCAGTTGCGGTCAGTTTCCATGAACGGAACACTCTGCGTTGATCGGGGTTCAGGTATGTCGTTATGTCAGACATCATGTCCGTCATTCAACCCGGCAGGATTTGTATGGTGGTCAGATCAAGGGCTCAGTTCGCTGACTGCGTGTTCTGACAATCAACCTGAGCAGGGCGAAGTCTCTGTGAGCGGATCTGTGGGCAGATCTGTACGACTTTCCCAATCAGATCCTCGTGCTCCATTCCCATGTAACCTTGCCGTCACCCGGGCCTCCGTCATTGGCCATCACATTGCCTGAGCACAGCACAGGCAGACTCTCTCCCAGCAGCCACGATGCCATCCGTTTGGCTCTCGATTTTCGACATTTTCTTTGGCTTGGCTCGCCAAGAGCTGAAGCCGACTGTCTAATCCCAATGAGCCCCTAGCGTGACGCGTTGTCGATCTCGCCAGCCTTTTATCTCAGCCCCGAGTGATGAGTTAGCCGGAGTCATACTGGCGCCGAGTTTACCGCTGACGACCTGCAGAAGGGCGGTCATGAGGCGGCCAACGAGGCAGCGAGAAGGCTTGACGCATGCCATTTAAGACCAACGGCCTTCGCTTGTCGACCCGCATTGTTCTTGTCGTCTGTACCTTGTTTTAACCGAGGGGCAAAGACACGACGACGATCGAGGAACGAAAACTTCGACGGCCCAACCTTCACAATGGCAACCCCCTTGGACCCACAGCATCCCCATGCAGCCCGGCATGGTCTGCCAAAGCGTCTTGTTCTGTGCTGCGATGGGACCTGGATGGACTCCTTGGGCATAAAAGGGTGAGTGATTTCTTTGCAGGTTAACCTGACCACCTCAAACTGACAAAACAAAGCGAGCCACCATCCAACGTCACCCGCATTTCGCGCGTTTTTCGTCGGACCTGCAGCGATGGCACACACCAGGTCATCAACTACTTCCCCGGTGTCGGCACTGCCAACCCCATCGACCGTTTTATGGGCGGCGCGTTCGGTATGGGCCTCGACCAGGTGCGTCTCTCCCCCCTCGTGCGCCTCGTCTAGAACGACGGCTAATGGCCGCAGGACATTCGCGAGGTGTACAACTTTATTTGCGCCAACTACGTCGACGGCGATGATATTATATTGATAGGATTCTCCCGCGGCGCGTTTACGGCCCGCTCTGTTGCTGATTTGATCGCTTCCATCGGCTTGCTTACCCCTGAGGGTTTGGATCATTTCCCTGCCATCTTTGACGACTACGAGAACATGGCCAACACGGGCCGCGATGGAGACTATTACGTTGTTCCCAGACTGCCCGAGTATGATGGCTCGCACGGGCAAGCCAAGATCGACTGGGAGGCAGCCCGTATGCGCAAGTACAAGCGTGGCTTGAGAGAGGTTGGTTTCCGCGTCCGTGGAAGAGGCGCATATGCTAAACCAGCGCAGTTGAAATACACACGCGACACATACCATGACGGTGTGACCGAGATCAAGATCAAAGCTCTCGCCGTCTGGGATACGGTGGGCACACTCGGGATACCGCCTGCCCCTGTGATAGGTGTCCGTGGATCGGCCGACCAATAAGTGCCCCTACCCCTGAGATGCGAAAGGGTAAACACTAACAACTTTGCACATGGACGTTCACCAATACACAAATCTCCAACATGGTGGAGAACGCGTTCCAAGCGCTCGCCCTCGACGAACCGCGGTATGCCTTCCGCCCATCTCTGTGGGAGCGCCTCCCCGGGAGTGCCACCAACTTGAAGCAGGTCTGGTTCCCCGGGAACCACGGCAACGTCGGTGGCGGTTGGCACGACCAGCAGATCTCCGACATCACCCTGGCTTGTTTGTTTCTCCCCCGTCCTCTTGTTCCCGGCCTATAGCCCCCTAACCAAGTTTCACACTCCCAGGGATGTGCGACCAGCTCTCCACCCTCGGCCTCGAGTTCAACTACACCCGCCTGACCACCCTCTTCCACGAGACCCTCCGCTTCTCCGCCGCCCACCCCTTCCCCTACGCCCCCGGCGGCAGCGGCAACGGCCGGTCCCTTCTACCCTCCATCCCCAAACTCCCCGTCGACTCCCTCAAACGCTCCCTCAGCAAGCTCCTCCGCGGCAGCAGCAGCAAACGCAACCCTACCACCTCCGCCAAACCCCCCACCACAACTACCACCAGCACCACCAACGGCCCTCTCCCCTGGGCCCACCCCCCCATCTTCAACCCCCCCAACCCCTACCCCACCACCCGCGACAGCACCGAATGCACCCTGCGCGTCGGCCCCTCCCACCCGCTCGCCTGCTTCTCCCCCACCCACACCCACACCCCCTCCAGTCCGCCCCACCACCACAACCCCCACCACAACCCCCTCCCCAACCCACTAACCCTCCTACAGCACGGCGCCCGCCCCTGGTCCTTGGGAACCATCCGCGCGCCCACCAGCACGCTGACCACCATGGCGGGCAAGACGGTCCGGCGCCCGGGCCGCGTGCTGCGCGTGGACGAGACGACCAACGAGGACACGTCCGAGCCGCTGGTGGGTACCTGCGAGCGGGTGCATGCCTGTGTGCGGGTCAGGCTGGTTTGTGGCGGGTTGGGGTTGGATGAGGGGGCGGTGTGGGGGTGTGAGGCGTTGACGGGGCGGGGGGATGGGGTGGCTCTCTCTAATGGTGCTGGTATTGGTAAGGGGAGGGGGAAGGTCGGGGGGTTGTGGAGGTTGGAGAGGGGGGGTGCGCTTGGGGAGAGGGAGGAGAAGGCTGTTAGGGAGGGGTTGCAGAGGGGGCCGAGGGAGGTTAGGTTGGGACGGCGGAGGGATGGGAGTGCTGCTGGTGCTGGGGGGGCTGGGAAGGAGTATCCCGTGGATGTGCTGTATCCGGTGGGGGAGGAGGATCATTTGTGGCGGTGGGCGTGGGAGGGCAAGGTGGAGGGGGAGGGGCAGACGCGGGTGCCGCAGGTGTTGGCGCTGCCGGAGGAGCCGTTGGTGGGATACTGGGAGCGGTATCTGTTGAAGCTGATGATTGGGGAGGTGGATGTGTGGAAGTTTGCGCAGCGAGGGCTTCAGGGGTACTAGTAATCAGGAGGTGGGAGAGGTTAACTAGAGTTGTTGTTCCGGGCGTGAGCTCTATGAGGGGTGCAAGTGGAATAATGCTAATATTGACGTGGGAAAGTCGACCTTAGAATGTTCTATAGACTCAGCCGAATATCTACTGCGGTATGGGCAGTGTAAATAAGCTGCTAGTTATTACCTAGTCTATCCCACGGCGTACGACTTCAAACTGCTACCACTTGGGCCTAGATACAGATATTTGCTTTCTCATCAAGCTGGACAAGTGACGGCCACTCTCCTCTCATATTGCTGGACATACTGTAACCTGGGTCTTGGTTGTACATACACCTGTGTTCTTTTATCGTGAGAAAGAAAAGGGTCGGGGGTTGTTCGAATGCCAACAATGATATTGTACCACCACAAAACCACGACTCACGTAGTATATAACACATCTAAAGGGCTTAAAGAGCGCGTACTTAGGTAGCCGTCGCCATAACTCCATTTACTGCCCCCCAGTACGCTCCAAACGCACCCACCGCAAATATGAATGACCGAAACCAGAACCCCTTAGACGACTGGTCTAGTGATTTCTATTTCTCGCCGCCCGGCTCACCAAGCTCATTCCGCTCTGCCAAAGAGTGCTTGGGCTCGGAACCCAACCCGGACGAGGTGACCTTCAACTACGTAACATACAACATTGAAGACCTCAAGCGCAACAAGCCCACCCCCTCAAAGGCTGACCCCCTCTCAGGGAGTTTTGACCCCGACGCGGCCCGGCTGATTATCTCTCCCGCCACTTTCGAGGACTCCCCGCGGGATCCCACACGGCACACAACCGCCGGCCCGGCAGTCGTGGGCAAAGAACCCGAATGGGAATGGATCTCCACGCCCGACGGTCGGAGCGGGGAGGGTCTGGGGAGCGAGGAGTGGGAAGTGCGGGACGTGACGCCCCGAGAGAGCTGGGAGCTGCGGACCCTACATCCCGCGACGAGAACGCGCTATCGCCGGCGGTCTTTCGAGCTCGATTACGGCGTTGGGGAGGTAAGATGCAAGACGCCCGAGGAAGTGGAAGACGACTACGTTGTCCCGCGGGGCATCGAGTCCGATGCGGTTGGGCACCCGCGTGCGTCTATCTCGGGGAGGAGGCTGCCGCTGGTGATCAACACGGGAGTGATCAGCACGACCCCTCCCGGTAGCCCTCCGAATGTTAAAAAGGAGTGGTGGCTGCAGTAGTCGACTTGGGGTGGGTATATTTGAACCGCATCGGCTTCTTCCCGGGCTGCAACGTATCTCTGACCCGCAGGGCGTATTCGAGCCTGCTCAAGTTATCCCGCCTGACAAAATGAAACGTAATCTATTTCTTTTGAACATGAAAACCGTGAGTTGTAGTGTGAAATGTGTGTCGATCGCCCGGTCTCATGAGTCTAAGGGCAGAGATGAGTACTGGTCTGGACTGTAAGCCCGCCATCACCACATGGTGTTTTTAGTAATTATGGTTGCGGACTTCGGGCCGAGTAATAACAAAAGAAGGGGATCAGGAGGCTATTGGGCTAGTCATAACCAACCGTTGAGCTCATGCTAGCGCTATTAAAGTTGGTCCGTGGTGTGACAGAACGCAGGCCAACCTGGTCGCCACAACACCATACCCCTGTGAGTCCGGGGAGACCGAGACATGGAATACAACTATCGGGCCGAACCACCATCGTCTTACACCGAATGAGGTTGAAAGCAAACAAACGACGAGTGAACTGGAGAACTCGATGCGGACACGCCGAGAAGAAGGCTTGCCTGGGCGGCGTTGGCCGTCGAATGAGTTATAGCCCGATATTCTTCGGAGGTTCCCGCTTCTGGAGATGTAGTTTGACGGCCGGTCGATCATGTTTGCTTGTCCGAAGCCAAGGAGGCTGACCGGTTCGGGGCTCGCGGTCAACGGCTTGGTAGCGAGCTAGAACTAATAACTCGAACCGTCAGAAGCCAAGAACCGCCCATGGATCAATAACTATGGCCGTCGGCATACTTAGGGGGTAGTTATTGAATCCGAGACATGAGCGGCGCACTGTAAACATGCAATGTGCCCCATGTGGGACCATATCCAAGACCATGGCCACGGTACATGTAACGGCCAAGACAAACGGATGATGTTCATGAGCAGTACAATACTAAGAAACGGTAAGCGAGGACATGGTTTCACTTCCAAGGTTCGTAGACGGCTGTCCAACAGGACGGTGCCCGACGATGATTTTAGAAAAAGTGTTCTATCAACGCAGACCTCTATTTTCCCATCCGTCCCGTGTCTATCCATCCGTTTTTCTATCGCCGTGACATTACCACCCTCCCAAGGCTCCGAACCCCCGCGCCCACTAGTAATCCTTTCAATATCCTACACGAACCAGTCTGGATACAAAACCTAAGCAAGAACGGCGGCGACACCAGCCACCAGGGCAAGCAGGCTGCCGCCCTGGACAACCATGCCAGTGGGGGCAGCCCCGGCGTCGCTGGTGCTAGAGGTGGCAGACTCGGTCTCGGTGCCGGTGCTCTCAGCGGCAGTGCCAGTAGAGGTGGTCAAGGTGGTGCCAGTTGAGGTGACAGTGGTGTCGGAGCCGGTGCTGGTAAAGGTCTGAGTCAAGGTCTTGACGGTGGTGGTGAGGGCCGCAGACGATGACACCGAAACCGATGTGGCGGAGGAAGCCGAAGAAGACGTCTTCTCGTCATCGTCCTCATCGTCGCTGTCCGAGGCCGAGGCCTTGACCTCGAACTGCTCCGACTGGGCGAGGATGCCTGTGTTCTGGGTCTCGGTGCTCGCAAAGTTGAACTGGTAGCCGGCATCGGAGGGGACGTCCTTCTCCGAGACCTTGAAGCTGCCGGCAGACAAGTCGATCTCGCCGAGGTCCTTGCTGAAGGGGGTGTGGCCGGAGGCCATGTTGACCAGCACGAGGTGGGCCTTGGACGGGTCGGTGTTGACGGTGGACCACTTGACAGTGACGCCCTCGGAGGGATCAACAACGTCGTTCTTGGACGGAGAGGTGATCTTGATGGCGTAGAGCGGGGCGGCAAGGGCCAGGAGGGTAACGAATTGGGCACGCATTTTGGCGGTTTCTTTTCTGGTGGCTTAAGCAAAGTTTGATATTTTCGAGTAACGACTGATATGTCCGATTTGACGATGAGCGAGTGACAAGAAGCGAGTGTGATTGTGACGAGGCCAAGATGAGAGGACCGGCGTAAAGAGTGCGAACAAGCTTTATGAAGGAAACGGGCAAAACCCAATACGAGATCCGTGTCCCGGCGGTCCGGCATGAAGCGTTGCGACTCCACCATCGCCATGCGAGAAAAGCCAAACATCTCCACCGCCGCAGCGTTCCAGCCCTGGCCACGATACTTGCCCGCCTTGACCGATGGCTACGCGACAACACATGGGAGAGGTCGGCACACAGGTAGCAGCGACCCGGCACCATGCTAGTAATTACCGTCTCATGGGCGAAGCTTCACTCCATTTTGGGTTCCTGCAGGAATCGTTGAGATGGTTGACTTGGCTCTGATGGCGCGCGAGTCAACGCCCCCGAGTCGCGCCGTGCCCGGCGGGTTTCACATGGTGCATGCTTGTTCTGGTGGCGCTCGCGTGCGGATGCGATGACCTTTGCCGTATGGCGTGGAATCGGCCTCGTATCTGGGAAACAGGGGACAACTATCTGCTCCCTAAGAGGCAAATGCGTCATGCCAGAACCCAGTTGGGATACCAGCACACTCAGCCCGGCATGATGGGACTCCACCAGCCCAAACCGGGAACTGGTCACCCGTTCGTGTTTGCTTGACGAATGACGAGACCCTCACCCTCAGCCCTCGAATGTTCACAGTTTAACGTTCAACGTCCAGCCTTTGAACCCCAACTGTCAACCGTCAACGTTGGCTCTTTGTATTACCGATTTGTCTGTTCACCATGTCGTGTTACGCACCGAACAGTTCGGGGTGTCATGTCGGAACGGGAGCCGAGTGGCAATAGAAAAGGTGGCTTGCAGGAGTTCTCAAGTCTGGGACAAACCATAAGACGACGGCGTCGGCTCTGCTAGTTAGCGCGAAGATATCGTTTCGTTCTTCACCCCCCGAATGCGCCCGTGGTGTGGTTAACGCCGTGGCTTTGGTTATTATCTGTGCCAGTGACACCGACGAATGAGGAGTATTTTGTTCAGGGGTGGGGGTGTTGAGATCGTCAGGACGTAGGGAGGTATGGATGGAGTAAGACGGAACTTTAAAAAGTCTTCAAATTCCTCCCACAGAACTTCCAGGTCCAAGTTGTCTCAAACTGAAGCACTGGCATGCACAATTCATGCACCGGCGCAGGCCGAGAGAAAAAACGGCAAGAAGGTACCATCGTGAAGCAGATCCGCTTGGCATCTGTCGGCTGCCGGCAGCAGCTGTCCCCACAAGCCCACACTCCTGGAAGCAGAAAGAGGGCAGGAGGGCTCCCAACGCACAAACGATCGGGAGGATCCGAGATGATGGAGAAAATGGGACAATCGGCGCTGATCCGGCCGCCCAGAAACCCAGAAAACGAAAGAAAGAACAAAAATCCCCGAATAGCGTTGCAACTTGTTCTGCTGCTGGGGATATCATGCGGGTCATTCAGTCTCCAAGACGTTAGCCGCAGTGGTGAGAACCAAAAGATGCTGCTTTTGCCGAGGATCGGGCCATGCCAAAAGGGGACCAAGAATGGGCAGAAGCTGCAGAACGGGCCAATGCAAGAGATCGGGTGCGTTGCGCTCAGGCGATGTGGGGCGCAGCAATGCAGTGTGGTGGTTATGATTGGATAGTCTGTGCAGCGGAGCCCTGGCAAGAGCTCCATCGGGCAGCTGGCAGGACCCTGGTTGTGTTGAGGGCTTGCCGAGCACCACCCTCTTGTTTTCCCTCCTTCATCTCCAGCCTGGAAGGGTGAGAAGGGGTCCGTCGGTTGCCATCCGCGAGAGCGAGCGGGCTCGCCGTCATGCTCCCTCGCCAGTTTGCACCATTCTCGGTTACCCTAGCGCGCGTTGAGCACCTTCCGCGGGGCACTGGGCGGGGATGGGATGGACCCCCTTCCTGTCCTGCCTTTTTCCATGTGCTGCTGGATCCGGCACGGGAGCAAGGGAGTGTTTGGTTGACAGCCCCGAATGGTCCCGGCAGTTGTCCCCATTCCCGGTCTCAACCAGCCGGTGAGAGATGGAATCACTAACAAACCATGTTCGGATGTACGCAGTCGGGCATTCCCCGATAGGATACGGGCGGGAGGAGAGGCAAAGTACACTCACTGTCCATGCCCATTTCATGTTCCCCGGTGATGCCTCCGGCATGCTCAGGTTCCATTCCTTTCTTGACGATGGCCGCCCACCTCTTTCGAACGAAGCATGTATTCCGCACAAAGTACAACGAGTTGATGGCCGCCCGCTCGGACCGTCACGGGACGGGAGCGAAATCGAGCTCGCCAGGGCTTGTTCATCCGTTTTGCATGGAAATTGCGACCCAGGGTCTGGGGATTGCTTCCGGGGTAGGCGAGTCGGAGGAGCGAGTGGGAGCCGGTTGAAGCGGGTTGCCTGGTGCCTGGCGATTGGCCGCAGACACCTTCTAGAACCAATTGGGGAAGGCGACGGCCCCCGCGAAAAGAAGCCAGCCAAACCAAGCCAGACCAGTGAAACCGCTGTTTGGCCCCGGAGCTGACCTCTTAAAACAGCTGCCGCTCCCGAAAGCCTCACGTCAACCCGCAGCCAGGCCATGCCACCATGCCACCACCACGCAGTCGCCGAGAATAATAATCACCATCGATAATAATATCACCACCAACATCCGACGAGTCCTTGAATGGCCGCTCGTCGACAAAAAACAAATGCCTGTCGCACATCCGCCGACGCCCTCCAGGAGTTGCCCGCGCCGCTGCGAAACCCCCCTTTGACACGACGACCCGAATCGAGTAGAGACGAGCCGTTGTCTGCCCTCCGCATTGTCGGGGTGGACTGAGATCTGATGATGGAACTCGTGGCCACCACCAGCAGTGCTGTTTCACCGCCTGCTCCCCGGCGGGGGAGACGCGAGAAACCATGGCCGCCCGGAAAACAAAAGAAGTTGCTGCGCCTTTACGTCTGCACCCAGAGCGAACGCCTACCCCTTGTCCGCATCCTTGAACGCCTCAAAGATGGCTCCTTCGATCCAAGGTGCGCAAGCTCCTCCCCCACGACGGCGCACATAGCGTCCGCCCCCCTATTTCCACGTGTCGCCGCTACGGTTGCTGATTGATTTGACACGAGCACAGGCAGCGCAACTCGCACAAGCACTTGAAGAACCTTCTCCCCGACCGCAGGATCGATGATTGGAGGCCGCGGGATCTCGCGACCATGCTGGTGCGCGTGCGCTTCTTGAGGTCGCTGAGGGCGGAGCGGAGGATTAAGAACCGGAAAGTCCGTCGCCGACTCGAGACACAGCCGCGGAGTCGGTTCGGGCATGATTTCCTCGATGTGCCGGGGACTCGCATGTCCATCGACCAACCCCACATCGAACAACACCCCGTGTTATACGCCCACAGCCCGAGCACCGACAGCCCATCCACGGTCAAGCAGTCAGAGTCTGCCGGATCAACCCCGCAGGCTATCAGCACCGACTCCTCTGACACCTACCTCCGGGACAAGTCACCCTCCCGGGCATCCTCGACGACACCGTCAACAAAATCCGCCAAGCGCAGGTCATGGGCCTCGGTGCTCTCCAGTATCTCATCCGGAATCTCCAGTCTGGCACGGTCTTCTTCCTCGGCGTCTTCCAAGGGCGCCAATGTCAACGCATCCGGCGCCAACACGGCGCTCAGCAAGATGACGCGGGAGGAGTTCTTGACCATGCTCCAAGAGAAGCCGCGCAAGCCGAACAAGGGGAACGGCACGCCGGTTATGGGCGGCCTGTTCAAGTCCAAATATTCAACTGTGAACCCCACCACGGAGGACCTGAATGGGGCTCTGGTCCGGATGTGTTGCGCTGCCCATGTTGGTCGCGGTCCGCCAGGGTGCGTCCACGAACGGTTGTCCAAGGCTATCGACGCCCAAAAGACGGACGGCCACGACTTTACCCACTTCCGCGTCACGGAAGAGGAGGCTAACATGGTTGACAAGTACGGCAACTCGCTGCTCCATGTGGCGGCGAGATGGGGTGCCCGCGTCTCCATTTTGCTTATGATCCTCAAGCGCACCGATGAGGTCCAACTCGTCAACCACCGCGGCGAGACATTCCTCCACGTCTTTGACCCGCCTGAGAACCCGCACATGCGGCCGGTATCATTCCTGAACCTTATCCGGACCCTGCGTTCACGCGGGTTCGATTTCTGTCACAGGGACGTGGATAAGCACACGTTCCTCCACCATTTCGTCGCAAAGAAGGAGTTCCCCATCGAGACACTGTATTATGTGTTTAGGGAGGTCGGTTACGGCGCCGCCCGGTTCCTCGTCGCGAACAAGTCGGCCAACGGGGAGCGGCTGTGGCACAGCATCCGGCGCAACCTGGAAAAGTCGGCACCGAAGCTTCATCGCATCTTCGGTGACGAAGTCGAGTTCATCCGCCGCTACCTCCCCGAGTTCTCCCCCGACGGAAAGGCCCCCTCCACCGCCGACACGTCCACCATCGGCTCCGACAGCTCCATGTCCATCCACCCGACCGAAGTCCCGGCCCTCGGTCTTGCCGCCGTAGACCCCAACGATAGCAGCGCCCAAAGCGTCCGCCGCACGCCCGTCATGAAGCTCCTCCGGCGCGCTGCCGCGGGGAGGGCGGGCCTATCAGACACGGAACTAACCGCCAAGCTGGAAACCATCTTCGACGCCGCCGCCAAGGTGACGGATTTCGACATGCAGGGCTACCTGGGGAAGCGCGACACCGAGGGCAACACGGCGCTCCACTACGCATCCGAGTTCGGGCTCGTGCCGGCGGTGCAGTACCTCTGCGCCAAGGGCGCGTCGGTCAACGTGTTCAACAACTGCGGCAACACGCCGCTGCAGCTCGTCAAGTTCGCCATCCAGCGCACCGACGTCCGCTCCGACATCCACATGGAGGCCCGCTACCTGCGCTGCGCCGTCCTCCTGCTCGAGCAGGGCGCCTTCGACCAGAGCAAGCTGGTCAGCGAGCGCTCCGTCATCTTCCCCTACGACGTCTTCGACGGCAGCGAGCGCTCCATCAACAACCTCGTCAGCCAAGGGGTCGCCTCCCAGTGCCGCGGCCTGCACCTGCTGACCTCGTCCGTGCGGCACCACAGCCCGGGCTATCTGGAGGGGCTGGAGCGGGAGTACTGCTCGCACGGGCATCACCATGGGCATCACGGGTATGATGGCGCGGGCGGCAGCGGGATGGGCATGGGCATGTCGTTGACGTTCCAGACGTCGGTGCTGAATTCGCAAGAGATGGCTTCTTGAGGGGTTGCTGTTGCTGTTGCTTTCTTAGGTCGAACGGTTGTCTCTCCCATTTGTTAGGATTGGTTTCTCTGTGTACAAATACCATTTTTGGGATAGCGGCGGCGGTGCATCGGGAGAGCGTTCTTTTTCAGGGCCTGTTCCCCTTTTTTTGTTTTCTGTTTTGGGGTTTGTCTTTTTTTTTGGTGGTTTCTCCAAGCAGGCGTTCAGAGTTCCGGTTCATTCTTGGGGCGGGGTCGCCAAAGCAAAACGCTGTTGTTGACTTACAACCGCCATCTTCGTTCTGTATTTATGACCATATATCCGAAAAGGGGCGCCTGATTTTGGCGTGTTTACTTCATCTGCTCGTCCCATCCCCATCCTGCCAACGAACGCTCAACGGTGGAATTGCACTCTCGTTGTCTCCCCCCCTTGTCTCCTCGGCTCTTCGGAACCTTGTTTTCCTCGCACACACCGCCAAGGTGACACAGCGTGCGGGACTTGCCCGATCTGGAGGGCCCTGCGAGGTTGCGGCAAGGGGGGGTTGGTCGGGAATGCTGAACTTGCGAAAAGGTCGGGAGAGGATGGGTGCTGATTCGAGCGGCTGTTGCACCCGGAGCTTGCGTCTTTCTGGTTCGGCTCAGTTGTCGAAGCCCTTCTTGGTTCCCCTCAACAGGCTCGCCTTTTTTTTCTCTTTTTCTTTTTTTTGGTGTGTGCTTCGTTCTCAGGCACACTGAGCTTGGATCATCGACCTTCCAGTTTTGTGGGTGGGATTTGAGACAAAGGTGACTGGAAGTGGACCGTTGACCAAGACCATTTTCCAATCGCTCGAGTGGTGGTGGGAAGACGGGAACACATGCATATTTGTAACGTCACGAACTGCCAGCCCGTGGCAGAGATCGACGGCTCCCCGATTTCGTGCTCTCGTCAGCCCGGTGCATTCGACGACCACTGGCTCTCGGGAGGAATGAAACTCAAAACATTATCCAATGTTCGTTCTCTGTTGACGGGTTTGACAGGAGGAAGTCTGGTTTCGGAACCAACCCACGCCCAGGCTTCGGAAAACACTGCCGTTGAACGTTGCATCATGGAGACCCTTGCATGGAAGGGATCTCATCCCACACGAGATTGGTGGAGTGTTGTGAGGCTGGGGCTACTCTAACCGTCCGCGCCACCCGGGCGAATTTCTCGAAAAGGATAATGGATTGACGCCGCCACAGACAACGCTGCTGCGTCTCGTATGTGTGCCGCCTCCTCTTGCAGGTAGCAAACAAGCTGAAACTATGTTTCACAGCATTCACTGACAAGATACAGTCCTAACTGGTCCATCTAAAAAGAGACCGGCCAAACCCGCCCCGTGTTCCCGTTCCCGCATCCCACGCCACGAGACAAGGGAATCCTCGACCCCCGCGAACTCTATTTCTGGTCTTCACTCCCCTGGCGCCCCTGCCAGTGTCCACAGTTCCGGACGCGAATGCCATATTTACCCTCGTCGAAATACGGTCAACGCAGAATGCTTCCGGTTCTGCGAGCCTACGATCCCTAATTTCTTTTCTATGCATGAACCACACACACAATTGAGTCAGCAGCCAACTCAGGAGAGGTAGATTTAATCATGGAGGCCCGCGCAGGGTGGTCATCCTTCCGTCACAGTCTCACCCGCCTGGGCTTGCTCTTCCTGCTGCAGAGCTTCCTCGTCAGCCATGCGCTGGCGCAAACACCAGCATCAGATGGCCCGGCCAATTACCAGGGTCTCTACCTGAACCCAACCGGAACCAGTACGTCATGACAACCTCGCCAAAGCCCGGCAGCCCACGATCGCCGGACCCCCTCCCCCCCCCCCCCCGCCCAACCCCCCAACCCACCAACCCAAAACCTCCCACGCACTCTGACCCCCATACCACCACCCAGTCGAAACCCTCACCTGCGACACGAGCTCCATCTTCGCGCTCCAGGGCACCTTCGCCGGGTGCTGCAGCATCGGCGGCAACTGCAACTTTCCGACGGCGTGCACCAAGGCGAGGCCGACCAACCGGCTCGGCGGCAAATGGTCGTGCGGCCAGGACCGCGACTGCTACACCATGACCGTCTTCGACGCCTACCCGCAGGCCACCGAGAGCTGGGTCGTCCACAACTGCGCCAAGTCATGGTCCGCCAGCACTCTCTATCGGAATATCCCGCGCTGGATGACCACCAGTACGGCGCCGCCGTCGACGGGGACGGGGACGGATGGGGGTGGTGGTGTTACGCCGCCTGTGAGCGGGCCGCCGGCGGTGAGGACGTCGGAGGGAGCGGGGGAGCCGCCGCGGGAAGAGGAGAGTTCGGGGTCGAAGGCGTGGATCGCGGGTGTTGTCATCGGGGGTGTGGTGGGTGCGGCGGGGCTGGGCGCGCTGGGGTTCTGGTTGGGGAGGCGGCACCGGAGGGCGGAGGCTGGGGCTGGGGAGGAGGAGCCCGGCAACAACGGCACGGGGTTCAGGCTGCACTCGTCGACGCTGCTGCGGTCGGGCGGCCGGCGGAACTGGCCGGCGTACCCCTCGCCGGGGTTCAAGGGCCACGTCGGTGCGGTTTCGGTGGCCCAGGGCGTCGAGATAGAGGGCTATACACCGGAGAAGAGCCCGACGAGCCCGCAGGAGATGTCAAACACGATGCATGCAGAGCTACCCGCAGTGGAGAGCGACCACGGGCGGCACAAACATACGTATATATAGGGGCGGATAATGCATAATGGGTCGTCTCTGGCTTTGAGAGCCGGCAGCGCAGTACAAAGGAAAGGTCAACACGAGTATCATGATATTCTTACCCTTGAGTCCGAGTCCGCAATGAAAGCGACGTCCAACCCAGAGTCACCCCTGGGAACTGGCACTCACGGAACTGTGCGCGCCCGAACAGTGCGCGAGGATATCGGGAAGAGTTAGGTCACAGGGCGTGAGTATTCAGTGATTAACGGTGGTCAGGCACGAACAACATGGACCAACACAGCTTGGATGGCCGTATTCTCCTCTGACAAGCATGCATATACAATCCATCGTAATCGATCTTCTCTTCGCACCTCAAAAGGTTCGAACCTCGCGCTTACTCCCCTCCAGTCAGTGGACGAAGTCTATCCCACGATGCCAGGCAAGCCCGCATGACATCAAATTTAGCTGGCTCGTCCTTCCTTCGGCTTTCTCACTGCCGACATGGCTCCACAAACCACGTTTCTTTCGATAGTCGTCGGAAACAAGGGGACCAGGCGATCCCCGCAGTCGGACTACATTACTGGCCCCGGAATATAACGTCCTCGGATAGAGCCGCCCTGGTCTCTTGCCCCATTCGGCCGTAGAGAGCAGCGTTTGTGATTAGCCAGATTGCTAACCAGGGGCAACCCCAAATCAGCAGTCTTCACCACCAACGGAGTATTTAGGCGCGGCCACTCTAATTTCTCGCCGAGGAGACGCCAAGAAGTATTTATACCACCATCCGGCGTCATCCGTAGTGAAGCCATCACGGCAGGGGCTATCACTTTGGGTCCTTAGCTGGGGTTAGCTGTTGAAAAGGGCGCCATGGCTTCTTCAGAACTCAAACGGCGGGGTTTTAGCTTGAGTATCCCTACCTATCGTCTTCTTTTGCCTTCCTAGCAACTCCAACACCACCAAAATCGACGCGATGCTGTTCGTCCTCCCCTTCCTGGCCGCCCTGGCCAACGGCGCCGCCATCGCCCCCCGGCAGGGCGCTACGCAAGTCGTCCGGCTCAGCTCGGTCGAGAACGTCGCGGTCCGGTCCAACGGCCAGATCCTCGCCACCAACATGAACTCGGCGAACCTCTACTCGATCGACCCCGTGGCCAAGACGTCCACCACCGCGCTCAGCGTCTCGGGCGCCACCGGCCTGTCGGGCATCGGCGAGTACGCGCCCGACATCTTCGCCGTCATCGGCGGCAAGGGCATCTACAAGGTCGACTTCACGTCGACGCCGCCCAAGTCGACGCTCATCAAGACCATCACGGAAGCCAACAACCTCAACGGCCTGGCCGTGTTCGACGAGTCGTCGGTGCTCGTGGCGGACGCGGGCAAGGGCGCCGTGTTCAAGCTGGACGTCAACACGGGCGACTACGCCATCGTGCTGCAGGACGCGACCATGGCGCCGTCGGGCGGCATCCCCTTCGGCATCGACGGCATCAAGTACCGCGACGGCACCGTCTGGTACACCAACATCTTCCGCAACAGCTTCCACAAGGTCGCCGTCGACCCGGCCACCGCCGAGGCCGTGGGCGCCTACGAGACGCTGTGGACCAACCTCATGGGCGACGACCTCTGCTTCGGGCCCAACGGCAAGATTTATATTGCCACCAACGGCCGGAACTCGCTGGTCGAGGTCGACCCGGCCGTCGGCACGCCCACTAGCATCGGCACCATAACGGGCTCGACGTCGTGTGCCTTTGGGCGCGCCGAGGGCGATCAGAATGTGGCCTACGTCGGGGCCGGTCAGGGTGTGTTTGCTGTCACGATCAAGGCGTAGGTGTTGGGAGAGATGGCAAAGGTAAGGCAAGGAAGAGCGGGACGGGCGGTTGGGTATAAAACGAGATAATGCGACCGGTTGCAAAATCTAAAAGCTGCTGGGACAACGATGCGCTTATCCCTCTGCCCCATTCCGGGTCCGGGTCGTGATACAAAAGGAGAATACAACACGTTTCCTCAACAACCGCGCCTCGTGCTCTTTACTGGACGGTGAACGTCATCCAAGCACGTATGATTTGTTCAGCGCTTTGACATTTGATTCCTTGCCCCCAAGTCCGAGCCCGCAATGACCGTGACCTATGCTCGACTCGGAGCGTCACCGAATTCCTATGAGTCACCGAGGAGGGCCGTGTGCTTGGAGCAGTTACGCAACCTGACAGCTGCCCAATCCGGAATTCCAGTATGCGAAGTTGGGGACACAACTTTGGACTTTCTTACACTTCCAGGTTACCATTGAAACACATCGACAATCACAATGGAAGACCAAGTTGTACCATGGACCATCATCGAGCAGCATCCCATTGCGGGTAGCCTTGAAGCATTCCGCACTTCGTACAAATCAATTTGCCAAAGAAGCGAGCTGCCGTGCACCGTAGATACGTTCGCCAAACGAAGTTGGGTTGAAGTTGGACTAGAGGCACTAGTCACCTTAAGTGGTCACCAGTAGTGACTCGCTCAAACATTTAAGTAGATCTAAATTGAATATAGTGTTTATCCATTTGGCTGGGAGGCCGACATAGTTAGATTTGTTTTGAATTTGTTTTGATTTACGTAAATGTATTTGAATTTTGGCCAGCCTTGATCAAAGTTGGGCCGCCTCGGTTCCAAATTCCATGTTCTTCCGGAAAACACCACCTCTAATACATACCTAGAGTCCTACCGACAGACAACCTGTACGTGCCCTTCCTAGTTTCTTCACCGATACCATACCGGCGGAGCCTGATCGGGATTTACTGTCACCGAACGTTGTAAACCTCATGAGATGTTTCCGTCAGAGAAGTGATTACTCGCATTTTCTAGTGTGGTTTTGGTAAGTGTGAATATTAACAACGTACTGTATCCTAAATTACAAGACAAACAAACATGTTAAGCACCGAGTCGGGAAATGTGGTTGGAGAGGACATTTGGATCTCCCAACCACCTCCTTTCCCTGGATGCCTGGCCAACCCTTCTCAACTCCAGCAACTTAACTCGTACCTCAACTATCCACACACAGCAACCTTTGAATAGCCACACAACAACGCGCCCGGTAATTATCCAAATCAATTCAACCACATTTTAATCCCATGGAAGCATCCTACGAACCCCGTCTGAAACTCGCCTCTTCCCACGGGTCCGCGCCCCCACCTCCTCCTCCGCCGCCGCCGCCGCCGCCGCCGCCGCCCCTCCCGTCCTCCCGAAATCCTCCAACAAACAAGTTAGCGGCAGCCCCAGAGCAGCCGAAGGAACAAGCCGCTCCAACTTCGGACACCACCGACCCCCCTCCTTTCGATCCCGTCTACTATTTCTTCTACGGCACGCTCATGAAACCGGACATCCTCCGAGGCGTGTTAGGCCTAGACTCCGAGCCCAGCCTGCGGGCTGCCAAAATACACGGCTACGAGCTCGCACACTGGGGCCAATACCGGACGCTGGTCGACAGCGACCCGGGCGCCGTAGTCGACGGCTACGCATACAAGGTCGAATCAGCTGAAGGCGAATACAAACTCGCCTACTACGAGACCAACGCGTATGCTCTGACGAGTTGCAAGATCCACTTCACTGATGGAGGCGACAGTTCTCCGGTGGATGGGAAAACGTTCAAGTATGCCGGGGACGCGGTGGCCCTCAAGGAAGGACGGTTCGATCGGGCGCTTTGGGAGAGACAGATGGGCCAGCGGTTGCCGCCGAGGCAGCAGAAAGGGTGAGGTGCAGAGCACATAAAGGGACAGCGCTGAGAGCGCTGTTCCGGGGTGAAATTCTCACGACGCCAACAGCCCGATGTTTGAGAATATGAGGGCGCGATGTGGCGTTGTCGCCGTGGGCAGGCGCGATATGGAACACGGGAGGCGGGCTCGAAAGCAGAAGGTTGTGCAGAGGGGCAGGTCCTCTGCCACATAGGCGCGGTTATGATTGGTGATAACGGGGCGGAGAACGGGAACTTAGGGTTAGAGATAGGAGCGCCGGAAAGGGGTGTTCGATATCGGGCTTTCACCCAGGGTTCCGGAGAGCCACAATAGGGGCTGGCTATCACTTCGACGTTACTAAGAGATATGCTAGTTGCTGATTCTGGACGGAAAGAATGAGTTGCATAGGTCTTGAGAAGCGGCGGGTCCGCCTGTGAGATGATTGCGCTCCCGCGGCCCAAAGTCTACATAAATAGTAATATGCTAGGTACCTAGTTTGCGTCCCTCGAAGTTGCCATTTGCCGCTGAACCACGAAGCTGTCGGTGACCGCCTTGGTCCGGGGGCTTCACCAAGGATCGCTCCGGCCTGAATCCTCCGATGCGCCTGGGACATGTTTGGGGTCGCCGGTAGGAACTGGACCAGATGACAGTCAGGATAGGGATAGCGTTTCGGAAGGTTGACAGTTTACAGCGAACTCTTCACCGCCGAGAGCCTTCTGCCTTTTGGTCAACGGCTCTCTACTATCCACTTCGGCATCCCCGGTCCGGTCGCGCTTGACGCCCTCGGTGTCCGCAGCCGCCTCCTGCTTCATTTTGGCCTGGATTAGAGGTATTTGATCGGCGATCCAGCCCAGCTGCGCGTCTCTCAGCTGGTGCTCAGGAGGATCCCACTTCTCTATGTTACGCATGACGAAGCACGTGTAAGGTAGCAAGCGTATTCAATCCAGTCCGCGAGCCTGTCCTGTCGGGCCCAGTCCTCCTGAAGTTCAAACGGCGGCGGCGTTATTGAGTATTTTGCCAGCAATCTTGACATCCACCTCTGATACCAGGCCATCTTCCCTTTTCACCCATCTCTGTTTGCTTTCTGAAAGTCACGGAAAAGTTTCCATCTTACGTTTTGGGTCGAGAAGATCTGCCAGAAGTGTACGGACGGCTCGCGCCAGTAGCGTAGGATCTCCTCGTACTGCTCGGGATGGCGAGAAAGTCCTGGGAGCAGCTCGATGGGGTAAAAGGGCCGGCCTCCGTCTTTGACGAGTTCGTAGTAGCCCTTTTCTTCTTCTTGGAAGCTTTCTTGGAATAATTCTTCCGAGTTTACCGAGCATGACGTCGAAGAGCTTGAGGTTGAATGGGAGCGAGGGCGTGTCGACTCTGGCTGGAGGAAGGCGGACGGACGCGGTCCCTGGTTTTTTGGCTCGGAATTAGTCAAACCCAGCATGCAACGAAGGTAGATGGATCCCGGCTTACCGCAGGCGCTGGATAAAAGACTCGGGAAGATTGTCCGGGTCCTCGACTTCGACCATGCGGTCGCCATTCGGCAAGCGACCTGCTTCGAGGTACTGGTCAAGCTCGGTATCCGTGAATGCGGCAACCTCGCTCGCAAGTAACAGCTTGGGGGGCATGATGCTTGCTGCAAATGGAATCTTTCTTGTTTTTGCTGCCTGTCTCCTTTTCTGGGGATGCTTTCGCCAACGGTTCGTGAGATGGATTGGATGATGCGGCAGAGTTGGCGCTTGGTAGACACGTCACAAGCAGAGAAGGACGGTGTGGTGACGTGATCGTATTTATCACTTTGGTGGTAGGTTGAACACGGTGGTGCTGAGAACAGTGGTGCCACGTTCATGCAAGTCACGTTCACGAACCAAGAAGCGGAATACTGACCACCAGAGAAGATAAACAAGTAATATGAGACGGAAGACAGAAGAGAGAGCAATACTCAAAATAATTCATTACATTTCAGTTTGTCGAATCCGGGGTTGATCTGACCGAGAAACATCGTATCAACACAGTTGTAAGTCGTTTGGTCCAGTCTGACATTCCCAAATTTCCTCCCTTTGCTGGGGCCATGATGGACGATCCCAATACGATCGTCACTCTGTACCCCATCAATAACGGCAACAAGACCCAATATCCCTATCATTTAAAAAGCCCAATACCTCGGAGGCAATGAACCGGGCCGACCCCACCGCCGCCAACAACAGGGGAAGAAAAGGGAGAGACAGCACTATCCCGTTTCCCAGCATGAGTGTGACGATGTGACGTCGAATTCTGCTCTGTGCCGTGCCATGCCACACCTCAAAACTTCTGTCACTGATAACGTTGGGCCGGCCATCACGGCGGCCGCCGTCGCGGGCCCATCCTACAGTGTGGGCCATGCTGGGTCATCCGGAGTGTTTGCACGGGGGTCGAAGGAACGGGGGCCACAAGGTGCTGGCTTGGTATTGCTGCCCGCTGTTCGTGATTATGGGGATATCGTGTGACTCTGGGGAGGGGTAGGATGCAGTTAGGATGGTGCTGAAGTTCCATCCTAGGTACTCCGCCTCGCTGCCCGTGATTTGGGTTGCTGCGGTTTCTGTTTTTGGCGAAGCTGGAGTTCAGCCAGCCCCACCTCACGGCCCTCATGGCTGATACTTCATGGAAGAACCCCTCGTATGGTCGTAATTGTGGAATGTTCTTTCCTTCTTCCCCGTGTTGTTCCTATTGCTTGGCTCGCTGAGCTGGCGACGTGGACGCCTGCAAGATTCCCTTTTCGGGAACTCGTGAGGGGACGCCCTGCATCCCCCTCCATCACATGTCGGCCATCGGGCTTCCAAAGGACCGCTTTGCTGGGAATGTCTCGGCAGTGCCGAGATCTTCTTGTCTGCCGCTGGTGGTGGTGGTGATCAGTGATCAGCTCGGTTTCGGCGCTTATACAGGGTTTAAGCGCATAAGCGCCATTGGGTTGTTGGGATAGACAAACATGTCGACCGGCACAACTCACAGTGCATATTGAAATACGGCTTCCAAACCGGCCGCCCTAGCCAAACCACCGGCCGCACACCATACGTGTATGTGGTGGCAATGAGGCTCGAGATGACCCGAAAGGGCTTTCAGGGATCAACGTTTGACTCTTGACCACCATTTCAGCCGTCCCGCCCTGCGGCTGTTCGCTAGTTAGGCGAAACTGAGGTTGATGTTGGGGCGCGGCACAGGCGGCTTCGGAAGTGTCTCGTCTCGGCACCCTGCTGGCCCTCTGACGGGCCCTGGGGTGACTGATTGGCCATGTTGCCGCATGCGGCCTTCGGTAATTCTGGCTTGGTCACCACCTTACGTACTGCCGCCGTTGGACCCTGTTTGGGAAATACCGCTTCCTCTAGATGATCTGATTTATTATCTTATAGAGCATCATGGCATTGATTATCCAGGGAAAACGCCGAAAGGAAAGCCGAAACCCTCCGGGGTGATCACCCGGGTCCGGCGCTGTGCTCCGAAGGATCCACTTTTCCCGGGCGGGGCCGGTCCCTAATCCTTGTCTCCGGGGGGCGCCGAAAAAACCTTGTTGGTCCGAGCTGAGATTCCGACATGCAATACCTGAATGGCGAGTTTGGCAGGAAAATCGCATGTAGGATAGGTAGGCGGGTTGTCTTTCCTAACAATGTTGCTAGGAAGAATGCTCCAGCCATCGGACGTCGTGGGGTTCGGAGAAAAGAGACGAGCACGTCGCGGTAATCATGACGAGATGGTTGGCTGTGGTAATAAGTAACAGGTAATATCCCTATCTATTGTGGCAAGAAGCGAAAGTCTATCGAACATAACACACCAAGTGTACAAAAACCGAAATCCAACTGAAATCCAATCCACATCATCCCCCTCCCCATAGTGCAGTGATGCTGGCCAAATCTAACCCCCGAATCACCCAGTGTATGCCGTTGTGTTCGTGGTCATTGTGAAATCTATCGTACCCTCTCCATAAAAGCAAACAGACAATAAAAAGAAACCGAAGATCGCCCCAAAAGCTATGCCCAGTGCTGAAAGCACCGAGCTTCCTCCTCTATCCGTGTGGTGTTCAACGTCACGCCCTGATAATCATCGCGTACTAATACATGTCGGCGCCTATCGGTGAGACAGTCAGTAAGACGTGGTAAATATCGGTCTGGATGTCCGGGGATGTTTACCGCGTGGAAGTGTGTACAAGTCGAGGTCGTCGAGGTGGTGGGTTGTATGCCGTGCGGACGGCGTGGCAAGGTTCCAAGTCTTAGTCGAAGTTGACGTACTGGAATATCGCGTTGCACTCGTCGCACATCCCGCTGGAGTGGTATTGGGAAACTCGGCGGCGGTCATAGCGCTCGTCGAACTCGCAGAAGCCATAGACGTAACGCCTGTAGACATCACACGAGTACTTGGTCCTGCGCAGCTTGCTGTGTCTGCGGTCGCAGGTGTAGATGATCTCTTCCCAGCCACACATTGTGATGACGATCGAGTCTTTGTTGAGGTGTATTGAGAGTTCAAAGGGGATGGGGGTGGAAGCGATGTTGTGTGGGCAGGTTGATCTGTGGAGTGGTTGCTCTGATGGACTGTGGTGACATGAGAGAAGGTCGACTTGGTTGAAGGATGAGTCCGCTTTATAACCCAATATCACCACGGACAGGATACCGTCTGAGTCAAGACAGCGAAGAAAAAGAATGCCTCGGCCGACCAAGGCGGCGAAGCCTTAGACAAGTGACCAACTGGCTGTGATACGAAGACGGAACAGACCGACAGAGAGCGACAGCTGACTGTCCCCGAGCTGTGGATGGGCGCCTTCTGGAGGGGGGCCGTGCAATCAGCAATGCCCCTAACCTTTGAACCACACTACCGGGACGGGGTCCTGGAGGTTCCTCGATACCCCGGTCAAGGGCACAGGGAAGACGGCATCGTACCGCTTCCACTCAACCCCAGTGATGCCGCGTCGGTCCGCGGGCATGTGAAAGGTAAGGGATGGTATCCATCATCCACCCATTACCCTATGGGAACAAGCACTGCCGACCTTTCTCCTGCGACCGGAGCAGGGGGGTAGTGGTGTGCCCGTTGGCACTAGGAAGTAAGAAGTTTAGATCAACATCTGCCAACATGGCAGGGTACATACTGACCACCGGAAGTCGGAAGGCCTCCTCGTTGCCGACCTAGACCGGGCACCCTGTGCCAGGCCCACATTGGACGGCCGTGTGTTGGCTGCGAGGTCAACAGACGCCGTGCGTCTAATAACCGCCGACCCCGGTGATTGGCACACACCCGACGCTGCACTGCCAAAAGTTGTTCTAGAAGAGTTTGACCCATGACGATGAAGTTAAACCTCGTCTGTCCATCATTCTCTAATACGTGGTGGCCATGGGCTGCATATTTGCGGCTTTTCCCCGGTTTCCCCCATCCCTCCCCCCCAATCCCCCCCCCTACCCCTCGGAATCGGCCGCCATCTACTGTCGCCTTGCACTCGAGGCACCCAGTACCTACTCCGCCTCCCCCAAGATGCCTCGAACGGCACATCGGTTCTAATAGGAATTGACCAATGGTTCTCTCGTTTCTGCGATGCCAACCCCCGGGGTCTCCAACAAACCATGCGTCGATCGTCCCATGTTCAGCCCTATCCTCTCTCTCACTCTATCATATGTACCTGAAATGTGGGTAACATGGAGGAGCATCAGACCGCTCAGCAGCCAAGCCTGCTCAAGTCTTGCATTTATGAACGCCACCCATGCTGTGTCTGCCGCCGGTCCGCATGTGCATACCCGTCCGTGTTTCGCACGGATCCCCAATGCACTGTCTTCACATATGTTATGCAGATGCAGGAACGGTAAATCGTACCCGTGCCCTCTTCCACACTCTCAAACTATAACATGACCGAGAACACATCATTGCTCTCGACTCTCGACCGGGAGCTTCGGACTTGACCGATGGGTGAGGGAACTCATGACCACCCCAACACCAACCTAGATTAGGCTCACTCACTGTCGGTCGGTCGGTCCTCAAGAACAGAGGGTCGATATACTGCCTCTTCACTCTGCCTAGGCCCATTTTCGAGGCACTGTGGGCGCTGTTGGCCTTCTTGCAGCCAGAGATCGCTGAGTCGGGCTGCGCCTTCGCCTAACAGAGTCACCGCGGAGCTGCAACGTCCAAGATCCGGGTCTGTTGGCCAAAGTTTGACCAGTCTGTGTCCGCTTCTCCGTGGTGTTGGCGCGGGCCTCTTCGGCGGGCCGCATACGGTCCCCGGCTTCCGGACGCTCACTGCCAATGAAACGGTGAACGATGTGGCTGTGTTCCTCATTCTCGTTGAGTTTTGCTGGGGTAAACAGCCACTTGAGCTCCCTCCGGTCTCAATCCGCACTCGAAATGTTGGATTCAGAACATTTCAGTTTGGATGAAGAAGATGGAGAAAAACGACTAACGGCAATAAAACAGTCACCCCGGAGTTCGGTGGTGGTGGTTGCGGCCGTGTCGTTGCGAATATCAGTCCCCGGATTGGTCCATTAACCGCCGACGACCAACCAACCGCCATGGCACTGCAAATGCAACTGCCGGCGATTTGTGATGAACTGCAGCCCCATCCCGCCCCAAAGACGAAGACATCGGTGAGGAGAGGGTCGCTTGTTGCACGCTGCACGCGAGATATGACGGGAGCAGGAGGTCCGGTCAACACGCTCAGGGGTCAGGGGTATCTCCTCCGGCGACCACTCGCCCCGGCCACCGATCCTCACCGATCGCCTCCGCATCACGCGCCGACGACCGTATTAGGTAGTATTCCAGAAACTCCAGAAACCCACGAACATTCTCAAGCCGCCGTGGCGTCCTGTATCCCTCGGGCGAACCCAATCACGACTGAAACGCCTGCAGATGTATTGCCGATCATCCTCATTGCACACGCTTGCCGCTAATATCTGGATAATACTGCAGGGTCGGAGCCCATGGTCTCCGGCGCCGGGTGGGACGCACAGCATGCGAGCTACCGGCGGGGTCGCGGGGGACAATATGCGAGACCCGACGGCAGATGTGGACGCTAGAAGGCCAGAAGGTCTTCGAGAAACGCGCGTCCGGCGCTAGAAAGGTACAAGATCCGCAATCTCTTGCCGCGAGCACCCTTTCTAGAAGGCGCTTGTTTCTGTTAGTCGCCGTCTCCAAGACACGCGAGCCCAACGCCAGCAACAACAGGAGGACCACGTGCCCGAGGTGTGGCCACCGTGCGAGACCATCACAACACAACAACGACCACAACGACTATCACCACTTCCACACCGCAACAACCTATCCAACCACCTCACGACCCTCACCGCCAGTAGCACCAGCAGCAGCACCCTCCGCTTCGCTCCCAACCCCCCCGAACAACAATGCACCGCCTCATCACGCCCCTCACCCTCCCCCTCCTCATCCTCCTCCTCCACCCCCTCCCCACCCACGCCCAACAACAACAGCGCTGCCAATGGGCGACCCTCCGCTCGGCAACCGACTCGGTCCTCGAAACCCTCCAGACCGGCCTCCGCTCCACCACCACCCTCCCAGCCATCTTCTCCTCCCCCGACCTGGCGTACACCTACAACGGCACCCCCCTCCCCCTTCCCCTAGCGGGTTCGGGTTCCGCGGCCAACAGTAGTGGCAGCGGCAGCAGCGTGCTAGCCGCGCCACTAGCAATATCCGTCGCGCATAGCGTCGTGGACCAAGACCGGTGCGCGGCGTTTATCAAGGCCGTGGGGTATCCCGCAGAGGAAGCCCAGACTGCAGGGGGGGTGGTCGTCGTCGGGGCGCAGGTCTGGTACAACTACACGGCCAGCGTGGGCGCGACGGTGCGGCGCATGGATGTGGTGGTTGCTGCGGAGGGGGGCTGGAACATGCCGGTTGGGCTTGATGGCGAAGTGTTGGTGGGGTTGGTGGAGGGGGAGGATTGGGGTGCGTTGAGTAGAGCGGTTCAGGATGGGAGGGCGGTTTTGGAGGGGGTTGCGGGGGGGTATTTGGATTTGTTGGGCGGTGGAAGTGGTGGTGATGGTGATGGTGGTGGGAATGGGACGGGGGTGGTTTGGGGACGGCCGTGCGCGAGGTTGGAGGGGAGTGTGTACACGGCTGTTGGGGAGACGGAGAGTTGTGAGATGGGACTGGAGATAAGTGAGAATGGGGAGGGGATTACAGAGAGGCAGTTTGTGGTGGACGAATCGGTTGGGTCTGTGAGTGTGCTGGCTAGGGATGGGAGACACGGGGGCTCGCCGACTCTGTTTGAGTTCAGGGTTGTGAAGGGGGCGTTGAGATATGTGCATCAGTTTGCAGCCAAGGCGTTAGCAGAGACAGATGATTAAGTTGACCTGCCCAGGTTCCATATACTAGCTAGCTAGTAGTGCTTGAGTTGATCCCTAATCCAACAAGTCCTGTTGCTGCCTCACGAAGACGCGAACTCACTGAACCCTTGAAATAGTTCGACGTGCCCAACTTCGGATGGCTCCAGCTCCTCCAGCTTAATCTCGGTGTCACCTGTAGCTCGCCAGACGCGCCAATACCACGAGTACAGCCTGATGTAGCGGAGACGCGGTGCCGCCCCGGCAAGCCTGAGAACGACCTTGTTCGCTTCTTCGGGTCCGACACGCTTTTGACCGTACATGTTGACGGCGAGCTGGGTAAGATTGGCAAGTTTCCCAAGGGCATCAACGAGAAGGTCCATTTCCTCAAACCCAATCTTGAGCCCCGGAGTCTCGGTCAAGTTGACTGCAAGCCCTTCTAGTGTGCCATCGTCTCCCGTCACCAGGTTCTCAAGCATCAACGCGGCAGACGGAATGTCCCAGTAGTTTACGTCGCGGCCATCGTTATCGAATAGGCGGACCTCATCGCGCCGCAGTTCCATCTCGAGCATCCGCAGGTGTAGCGGGAGGGAGGGGTAGATCGGGTTGTATCGGAGGAGAGCCGCTGGCTCATAGCCCATGGACATGTCTAGACACGAGACAGCCAGCCTGCGCGCCGAGGGAGGATCTAGAGTAGCCAGGAAATGGTGGACGTCACTTTGGTAACCGGCCACGCTGAAACGGCGCAGATTGGGGCTGTTGGCGGGCCCGAATGCGTCGAAGATGATCCTGCTCCCATCGTTGTCGTACATGCTGATGATGACGCCGCCATGCCACACCCCGACGTTCTCGACATGAACATCTTCGAGGAAGCGGAGGTCGGTAAGCTTTCGCAGAGAGGCAAGCCTGTACGGGTACACGGCGTTGCCCAGATGCAGTTTCCGGAGGCGCAGCGGCGAGGCTTCCGTTTCGCCGTAGTCATCACATAACTGGTCAAAGAAGCCTTCAAACTTGTCCCTCTCGCCCTTTGTGTTGTAGTGCTCCAGCGTCTGATTCGCGAGCGACAGTGTCAGCATCTGGAGACGCGGCGAGTTCCGGAACACCAGGGCGAGCTGGGCTCTCCACCAAGGCAACTCTTCGTAGAGATTATTCAGTGTTAGCTCCTCGAGGCACGAGAACACGGTTAGATCCGGCTTCTCGTAGAGCCTGCGCTGCTCTAGCTGCACCTCCGGTGACGGGGGAAAGTCGCTGTAGCCTAGTCTCTGGCCCATGTCATCCGGGAAGTCGATGTGAATGACCTTAATGGCCGGACTTGATTTGTGGAGAGTGCTGAGGACATCCGCCGCCAACGGGCCGGAACTGCCACGCCATCTGTATTACCTTAAGATTAGCCCTCAACCACTGACCTCAGCGGGTGCTGGGGTGACTTGCGTGAATCTCTCTAGGCGCGAGAGGCTAGGCAATAGCTGCGGCAGAAACCCATGGAAGGGGGAACTTGCGCGGTTGCCGGAACCGCGGACAAGAAGGTCTCGGACATGAACGCATTTCTTCTTGTCGGCAAATGCGAGCTGCAGGCTGGCGGCGCGAGGTCCGGCGCTCCCGCGGTTGGTGACGTGCCGGTATAAGACAGGTGTGACTGCGGCGTTGAATGTCTTGTTGACAAGGCAGAGCGTCATAAGCTCCAGGGTGCTAAGGGTCTAGAGACGGTGATAAGAGATCAGTCAACATGATTCGGTGAAAGGTATTACCACTACGTGTCCGGACACGTACCTGTTCTGCCAAACACCGCACGAGTTCGGGTAGGCTGGCAAATACCGCGGACGGCGACGGTGCAGACATGTTGAAACCGATGCTCGCCACGTAATGTCCACGGGCTCGGACTAAAGTAAAGGAAACCTGCTGGCGGAGGATCAAGTGATCCTATTGTGGTCTGGTGTCGTCGGATGACTCCGGAGGTGGTGTCAGCTCACCATCTCGATACCACCTCATGCAACCTAACTTGACAAACATGCAGTGACAGCGGGGTTGCTTGGCAAAATAGCAGCTCCCCCTGGCAACCAAGCCCCGGTCTTCTTCCGGAAATCGGAGGCGCTGGCCTGCATCAAATATTGTGGAGGATCCGGGGGTGACCTGGGTAGGATCCTTCTGCTACCCCCCTGCAAGCCGGCATGACGTTCACTGATGATCCGGCAAGCTGATGGTCTTGAACAAATGCCTCTCCCCAAATAATCTGCGGAACTCGGGACCAATCCGTGTTTATTTGGCATTGATTGGGAGAGGGAGTAAGCAGAGGGAGTAAGGAAATGCAGAGAGGGTTTGTGGATGGTGGACGGAGATTGACCGATGATACACTTAATCAATCCACTTGATGAATTATTTATGTTAAGGTTTCAGTCGAGTATTATTAGTGATAGATGCCAATGAATAGCGCCCTTTGATTTCCGTTTTCCTTTGCCACCCCAAGGATAATCTGTGGGATCAGTTCTAGTTGACTACCTAACATCCATGGGAAATGGACCATGGCTCGGTGACAATAACTCGAAGTGCATTGAAATTCAGCTACTCTACTTGATCTAAATACAGAGCGGACTTTGTAATATACTAACTCGATGCCCAAGGTTCCAGTCACAACCTCTCTTTCAACTTGAAGTCACTCAAGCACTGTCGAGTGTATTCATCATGTCAGATCAATATCCTATCTAGTAAGGTACCTATCTGAGTAAGGTGTCTTGCGACAGCGTTTCCTTCTACTGACAGTGGAAGTGATTAATGATGTGAACCAGCCGGTGCCATGCAGGTAGAAAAGAAAAGAAAAGAGTCCCGCAGCCAAAGGAAGACGACGAGGGAAGCCACCCCAATATTAAGTCTGCTTGTCGCCGGTGAACCCGAATACTCTAAGCGACCCTTTACCCGTACTCGGCTCTATAATCTTGCGGAACTTTCTTAAATCAATATCCTCCAAGGCTGTGTAAATCCTAGGCCTCGGGAGCTCTCCGGTGGCCTGATCAACATTGCCCTGATCGACAGCAAAGTCCTGTAACTCCTGTCGCAGCTTTAGAATCCCGCCATCGTCAGACCCCGGCCTGGAGGGGTGAGCGGCCAGGCCGTGGAAGACAGAACCGAGCCCAGCTGCCCACATACGTCGGATGTGGTCGTCGTCTGTTTCGCGGTGATAATGGGGGCTGAGAGTCCGGATTTGTACAACTCGGACGGGTCTGTCAAGCGGTCGCGGCTGGCTCTTAGCGCCGTTACTCCCCTGAGCGACTCGGGAGACTGAGAAATGGGCTCGCTCCAACAGGTCGACGAAATGATACGGCTCGATGGCGTACCCAGCCGCCATCCTCAACTTGAGAGCTAGGCCCATGGTCATGGCATGCTCGCCGGCGTTGCCCGTGGTAATAAAGTTGCCGGTTTTGCCGTCTGCTCCATGCCCATCGCCCGAAGCAAACAATTTGTTAAGCCAGGAGTTGACGATCCTGGAGCATCTGCCCTCTTTAACGAGCTCGACACGTCCATTATCGCGCAGCTTCGGCTTGGAAGCCCACTTCAGCCGGACCATGGTGTCTTCTCGGTCGCGGGACGGAGACATGGCGAAACCGGCGGCAAAGGCTAGGCAGTACTCATTCACCGACCCTGCACGGAAGTTGTCGGCGTCGACGAACCCGATGTAGCGCCGGCCCGGACACAAGGCCGCTGCAAGGGCAACGCCGAGAATTATGCCCTCCCCCTTGCCATCGCGTATTGTCCCGTCCGGACCGCACAACTCGGCCATGCCGGATTCTCTAAAAGCGGCGGCCGCGGCGGCGTCCTTCTGGTGGATGGCTAGCAACTGTCTCCTCTCGCCGCCAAACGCCTTGACCATTGCTACCTGCTGCGCGTACTCGTCGTCCGCGCTCCTCTGGCAGTTTGAGACTAGGATGACAAGACAAGGGGCTGGGATGGCAGAGATGACGCCCCTGATGACCGAAAGCTCCTCGTCCTTGCAGGGGACCACGATGACCATTTCCGACAAGATGGTGTCGAGGGTCCCTCCGGAGTAACACTCCATCCCGGCCTCGCCGGCGCCCGTCTGGCCGCCATCTCCGCTGGTCCGCCCCTGTTCGGAAACATGATGAACCTCGCCGGCAACGTGCAGCAAGCCGAACCTCCGGGCCTCGGAGGGGCGTGTCAGCCTCATGCTGCTACTTTTGTGTGGTGTATGCTTGGTCTGACTCCCTTCGAGTGCGCTGAGGGTTCTGAGGGTGGCGGTCGCGAGGCTGGGGATTTGTAAGAATGGTGGTTCCGGCCATGTAAGTGAGTGATAGAGCACCCGAGGCTGCGAGCTGAGGACGGTGACCGACATTATATGGCTGGTTACCAGGGGTTGTTGAGAGGCATGGAAGTTGACACCGTTACCGTGACGGCGGCCGCGTATTCTCGGAGGATTCCCTTGGTTTTGAAGTCCAAAGGTAAGAAGAGACCGTCATGGTTGTTTGTCGCCTGCATGACTGCGGCGCAAGGAAGACGCGGGTAGAAGAAAGCGAACCTTGGCGCAGGTGTGCAGTGTGAGCTGAAGTCGTACAAAGGAAGCCCCCAACACCATCCGACAGTCACGGTATGGGCCGGGCGCTTTATCCCCCCACGCAGAGGCGTACATGTATTATACGTACATAGCTGGACCCGTGGGAGTGGTACACATGAACGTGATCAAAATTGGCAATTTCCCCGGCACAAGAATGAGACATGGTGATTGGCACGAGGACTATTTGGAGGTGTGATTTGGGGTTCGAGACTCCGAGGTTAGCCTCATGCAAGCGATAGCACTGCCGGCCGTACTATCGATCCAACCACCCGTGATGGGCCTCACTGGAATGGTGGTGGTACTTCGTAACGACGAGAATAGCACGGTGGCTTTGGATGAGGAGTCCCTAAAATGGCCTTCGATTATGATCAGCCATCCCAACTCCATAACACACTGCAACCGCATATTATTCACGCACTCACACTCGGCCACTCGACGCAAGAATGACGTGATTCGTGCAATCGCCGTTGAGAGTACAGATAGTCATCCACATGCACGTTGTACCATCCCATCTCCAAATCTCCTCTCGAACAACCAGAGACCCCCCCGGAGCTAGGACGCCAGATCTTGTCACCGTGTCCGTTGGCCGAAACTTGACGCAACAAACCTCCAAGTTTCCGGTTTCAGGGTCCTGACTCCCGAACCGGCGAGCACTGCGGATCCGTGGCTGCGTGGGCCGTTATCTCGAGTGCCACGGCATCCCGAGCATAGCCTCATGACCCACCTCACTTGCCGAGGAGATCTGTGGGATGATTGGCGGGGAACAGATTGGTGCCACAGCACCGCAGACTCATCTTATCTGACATGGGCGGCGGCATGAACATCGGCATGGACAACATCACACACCCAAGCTGCCGGAACCGAGCGTGGTTTGCCAACCTGGGTCCAACGCGCAGAGTGGCTTGCCAGCTTGCCCCCGTTGGTGACATGGGCGGAGAGGGGCACGCAGTGAGAGAGGGGCCAGAGCACACGCCCGCGGGGAGTCGGGCACGCATCTTGACATGGGGTGATGGGCCAGGCGTGCCAGGCGAGCCGGGGCACATCCCACCATGCCATCCATCAGGACCATCACCCCTCCGGCTCCATGTCGTGAGTCGCATGCTGCAGGGGTCGTCTGCGGGAAGGCCAAAGAGGCAATCCACTTTCCTGCATAGGGCTGGACGGCCGGTTCTGGAGTCCAAGAGGTCCGGGATGGGTGCTGTTGGTCTTCGAAGGGCTCCGCGTGAGGATTCCGGGCGGCGAATCAAAGTGGCTGGGGGAGATTTGACTGGAGCAAACACGGTCGGATGCAGAAAATGCCCACTCGCGGAATCTCTGCCGCCCGCCGCCTAAGCATTTGCTCGGAGAAGCGAGAATCATGCCAACAAGAGCGTCCCAAAAAGGGGGTCAGGGGTGAGTCTGTCTTGAAGCATCAGGGTTAGGGGAGCACGGGAGGGGGGGCCATCAGGAGATCAGGAAGACGCAGGGGATCTCTGGGACCCGGACAACCCCTGCCCCTGGGAGCCTGGGCGGGATCGATTGCGTGCGTGTCCCGCAGATCCTTTGGTCCTGGTGGCGTCTGCCAAGTCGGCCCCGGAAAGACCATGGCGTCCAATAGCTGTCTCGAGAGAAAGCCACAGTGGGTATGGCCGGGGGCACGCGGAGGAACTCCTTGGCGAGGCGCCGACTCGGACTGTGTCACGGAGGGACTCCGAAAGGTTCGGGGGGTCAACTCGGGGGAAACTTTGACCAAGGCGGCTGCCATCGAACCGGCGGCGCCGTGGAATGGATAGGATTTCGTGAATAATGCTCCGATACGCGTCACCACAGACGACGCTGAGGATGGTCTTTAAAAGGGGTCCTCCTGCCCCGAGGGGGAGTCAGTTTGGAGGGGACCCGGCCTGAACTCTGAAATCACACCAGCAGCAGTAAATAAAATAGCAACAACACCAAAAAGAAAAGCATCCATCACCACCAACAGCACCAAAAACAGAAACATCTCTGCGCCAACAACACCCCACGTCCCAACCAACCAGGATAACCACCCAACAGAGCAGGCATCTACCCGGAACACAACCACCCATCAACCACCACACCATGACCACCATGACCACCCCCACCCCCCCAAACCAAAACGCAAAGAAAACAATCCTCTTCCTCGGCGCCACCGGCGGCGTCGCCCTCTCCGCGCTCCGCCGCTCCCTCGCCGCAGGGCACACCTGCATCGCGCTCTGCCGGACCCCAGCCAACCTCACCGCCCAGCTCGATCACACCACGTGGTCCAACCTACACATCATCCAGGGCGACGCGCACGACGCTTCCACACTACACGCCTGCCTGCGCACGCCCGCAACTGAGGACGGTAAGGAGGGTGGACGGGTGGTGGACACGATCGTGTCGTCGCTCGGCGCGAAACCGACGTGGAAGGGCATCTCGGACGCGCACGTCTGCGAGAAGGGGATGGTGGCGCTGCTGGAGGCGCTGAGGCGGCGGCGGGCCGAGGATGGGGATGGGGATGGGGATGGGGATGCGGCCCGAGGGAAGAAGGTGGTGGTGCCGCGGCTGGTGGCGGTGACCAGCACGGGCATCTCGGACGTGGCGCGCGACGTGCCGCTGCCGCTGATGATGCTGTACCGGGCGCTGCTGCACACGCCGCACGCGGATAAGAAGGCGATGGAGGGGTTGGCGGTGGCGGCGGGCAAGGCTGGGGAGGTGGAGTGGACGTTTGTGAGGGGCAGTTTGTATACGAATGGGCCCGAGACGGAGGGGCTGGTGCGTGTTGGTGTCGAGGATCCGGTGAAGGGGGTTGTGGAGAAGGAGGCGATGGGGTATACCATCAGTCGGGAGGACGTGGGGAAGTGGGTGTTTGAGGAGTGTCTGGAAGGGGATGGGAGGCAGTGGGTTGGGAAGGCGGCTATTCTGACGTATTAAGGGAGGCTGGGTGTGCATGTGTAGGACTTGGAGCTTTTTGCAGGATGCTGGCGTTGAGGTTGGCTCAGACAGTGTGGGATTAATAGATAATGCTGAACGACAATGAACGCTAGGTAGACTATTGACATGATTACGCCCCTCAACATTGCGAGACCCTCCCGATATGAACGTACGGACGCACCTACACCACAGGCGGTAACAACGCCCCTCCATCCCCCTCTGCTCGCTCACACAACCTGACACTAACGCCCCCCTCCCTCCCGGTCCCGTCGCACTGACAAAGCAGGCTAACCCTCTCTACTCCCTGGCCCTTCAACACCTTGACCCTGTCCCGGACGACCTTCAGTAGGTCGGCGAGCTTCCGCAGTGTCGCCTGCTGATCTTGCTCCCAAAGTTGCAGCTTCTGCTCCATGTCCTGGACGACAAGCTCTGGCCCCGGACTGAACAAGCCGTGGTCGTGGCGGGCAAGGTAGAGCTTGGTCCGCTGAGAAAAGTACAGCTGTGCTTCGTCGGTGGAGAGCGCAGGCGAGCGGGCGTTTCTCGTCTTGATTTCGATCAGACAAGGGGCGGGGATGCTGCGGCGGGTGTGGTGGACGCACAGGGTCGGACTGGGGTGGGTGATGGGGCTGGCGGGTGTGAAACCGGGACTGTCGCCTGGGTCATCGAGGGCTAGGGCAGCGAAGGCGATGGACGGAGAGGCTCGGGCCGATGGCTTGGACGAGTTGCGTCGGTGACGCCGGCCTGGGGACAGTGGACCGGGGTCTGAGTGTCGTTTCGCCTTTCCGGGGGTAACGGAAACAAGTTCGGGCGACGGCGTATCGTGGTCGCACTCGCAGTGGTAGGCATCAACTTCGGCTTGTACCACTAGCTGCAAGTCCGCGAAGCGGTACGACAGCACACGGTGGTGGCTCAGGCTTCGTTGCAACACTGGGTCTTCCTCAGGGGGGGTAACGACACGTCTCCTTTTCGAATCCGGCTCCACAACCGAGACTCAACGACAAGTTTGGATCTCCATTCCAGCGCGAGAGAAGTAGGGTGTTTCCCCTGATATCGACGTCGTACCGATCGGTGCCCCAGGCTCTGTTGGAGATGACATCGAAGAGCTTACGGAGGTTGCTCACGTTGCTGATTACGTCGGTCGCACCAAACACATCCACGTTCGGTTGCATCACTTGGACAGATCGTAGCAGGGGCTCGAAGATGTATGCGTATTGTGGGTAGCGGGAGGGAATGGCTTCGTTGTTCGAGTCGGCCTGCATTCGCAACGGCTGCGTCAGCGGTGTGAACCGTGGAGGAGCACCTGCATCACGAGCGGTCAGTGGTGTGCTTCACCTCCATCCCCGACAAAGGAACACGGACCTGGAACGGCAATCTCGCCATCGGCGACCTTGTTGAAGCTCGCGAGTTCTTTAACCTGTGCAATGCTGAACGGCTCAACACCGAGACCGAGAGACAGAATATCCAGCGACTCTCCTTGAGCGAGACCGCTGGACACCTCGGTAGTCCGCTGCTGGCGCAGCCTAGCCACTGACGCCCGGTCCTTTGCTGTGTGAAACCATAGGCAGCTGCCAGTGAAGAGGTATGAGCAGTTGGCACCATGGCCGCATCGTTCCTGTCCCGCAGTCATCTTCCACCACCGGATGGCTGACATTTTATGCGAGTATGGGCAACCTTTGCCCTGGTCGTGGCATACTCTGTCGTTGAGGAGCATCGGGCACACCCCCTTTTTGGGAGCCATGGTGATTCGGGCAGTTGTTACTAGACTTTCAGCAGGCGGATAACTGTTCACAACGAATGCTACAAGATAGGTTGCTCAAGTTCTCGGGAATCTGGGTATCTATGTATGTATAACATTAGAATCGGGGGAAGATTGAACGACGAGGCTTCGTGGGGATTAATTACATGTAACCATGTGATTGTTCTGCCTCCGTTTGCGAGGCCCACCGCCGACTGTTGCCTTCGAGTCGTCAGCCTCGACGACAGCCTCCGTTCAGCGGGAACCAACAGTTGGGCTGTGTAACCTTTGTTCGCCCCAATCGGTGCATTCGTAGGCCTCCGTAGGCGACCAACGTGGCCGGCGCCAAGAGGACAGACAAGACAAGGCGGCCTCGTTGGTCGGCACTGAGGCTGGCGGCAGACGCGACCATGCGGATGGATGAATATGGATGATTTCTACCCGCGTGGCAAGAAGTTCAGTCCAGCCGCCGTCTGCGCAATAATTGAATGCGTCAACACCCTCTGAGGGCGCCGTTCCGTTGAGCGTTGGTCAAAAGCCCCCAGCCCCGTGTTCCCGTCCACCACCCCCCCAGCGGATTCGAACCAAAGGCCAAACCGAGGATACTTATTCAAGTCCTAGGTAGTTACTTTCGAGGTTGTAGACAAGTAGTTAAAACTTTGATTAGACCTATTGGCTAGAACCCGCGACGCTTCACAATGAGTGACGCCGTTGATAATGTGGTTGTTACAATGGAAGTAATACCTACAACTGTGAGCTGCGGCAGAGCTAAACAAGGCACACTCTTCATAAGGGAAAACTAGAAACGGGGCAAAAGGAACTAGGTAAAAGAAATAGGTAAATAGAAGAAAGATAATTAGTAAAAGGAAGCGAATTCGAAAGAAAGGAAAAAGAAAAGGAGAAAAGAAAAGAAAGAAAGAAAAGAGGGAAGACAAGTTTAAAAAGGACACAGAGAACATCCGGTTGCCAACAACTGACCCTAGTCAGCTTGGAGAAATAACCACCATTGTTATTCATTCTGTAATTAAATAGCATATTGTGAAACAACAAATTAAGAGAATACATGCACAGAATCACAAGTCACAACCTACATGTAAAGGTTGCCGATGTCAATGTTGACATCGGCAAGATTATCCTCCACAATTTGCCCCAAGCTCTTTGACGCCGACCATTTTACCGCACTGAGACCCATGGCTTCCGCGGTTTCGGTTGCGCATCTGAATAGGTTCTCCTACAGGGCAGTCAGCATCAGACCGCTTAGCAGGAAGGGGGGGGGGGGGGGGGTAGGGTAACTCACAAAGGCATCCTCCATGTCGAAGACGGCGTCCTCGTTCCACGTGAGATAGAGCCTGTATCTCTCATCGATCTCCAAATACCGAACCCTCGGAAGGGCGTCTCGCCTGGCCCAGAGTTCGAACTGTCCGATCCTGTCGCTGTGACGACAGACGAGTTGTAAGAGACATATCTCGGCGAACTCGTCCTGTCCCTTGTGGAGATGATTCTTGAAGAGCTCCCCGACAAAAGCAGAGGCATAATAGAACCAAAATGATTCTTGCCGGCGCGGGGCATAATGCGGCGTGTTGGTTGGCCGAGGGACTATGCTGCCGCCGCTCTGAGAAGCAGCAGAAGCACCATCAGTAGCAGAGCCGTGGCGCTTGCGCCTGTCTGCCTCACGGGCCGCCCTGTGCGAATGGTGCCCTTGCTGGTAGGAGTGAGCGTATGGTTCGTAGCGGCGTGCTTTCGAGAGACCCTGGGACGGGGGTTGGCCTTTGCGTCGGGCCGGTGCCTGCGTTGGCACATGCACTACGCCGTTGGCCTCGTCACTTGTGACCTGTATGTAGACGGGGTAGTTAGTTGGAGGGATGCTGCCGGCCAGCCTCTGTGGGTTCGGGCGCACCATGGTTACACCCTGGTAAAACTCAGCTCTGGCCTTGTTCGAATGTTCGCGGCGGTAATTCCATCGGCAGGTCGGTGTGGAAGACGTGAGCTTGTCGCTTTCTTTTCTTAAGCATGGAAACGAACCGCGGTGTTTTCGGGCGGACAATCGCGCTCTTCATATAATTGTCTGGCAGCCATGAAACCAATGGATCGGCCACACAAGCAAGTTGATACGGGAGAGACCAGGGCAACTCGCCTCTACCCCGGTTTGGGATCTGTTGCCACTGACCCTCGGAATAGAACATCGTTAGTGCAGAAGTGGGATATTAGATCCTCTGTCCCTGGCCGGCCGAGACAAAACCCCCTCATCTTGTCCGAGTTCCCAGCTCCGGGTGCTGATCGAGGAGTGGCCACTGGAAACTACGGAGTTGCTTGGGACTGGTATGGATGCGATTGGTCATGGAGTTCCAAGAACGGGATGAGGGTTCTGCATAAGGTACTCATACAGAGGGCGCCATGCCAGACATATTGATGCGCCTACCTGCTTGACTCGGGTTGACAGAAAGCAAAACTGATTCTGCCAGACCCCTGTCAGGTAGCTCTGTGCCTCTACTCGCATGGGAGTTTACTGCAGCCCAGCGGCCGGTCAAGGCCGGGAGGCAGAGCAGAGCTTCCGACTGGTGTCTCAGTCGGACGCTACGTTAACACCCCTCCAGGGTTGGGTCCAATCAACGCTACCTTCACGGCTCATGCTACCTTTCCCTTCTAGCTACCATTTATTCTCAGTTAGCTTTTCTCCGTTTCGTCCCCTTTCAGGTCTCCTCTCCTCTTTTCTTTTGCCCTTCCGTTCCTCTCCTCCAAGTAATACGAATCTCTCAAAGCTGCCTTCCCCCTCCTGCTACACTTTCAAATATGGACAAGTTTCGTGCTTCCGTCGACAATCTGTTGTCCCTTCTGTGGGCTCCGGATGTTGCAACCGCGGCCGCTGGTCCCGGCGATGAATTCTGGGATCTGCTGCGGACCATCGAAGGCCATGCCGCCGCCCGCCTGCTGTACGGCAAAGGCCTTGACCAACCTCTCGCCGATCGCGAGCTAGTGCGAGTTCTTCGCTTTTTGAACGACATCAACGATGAAAGAAAAGGCATGAAGAACTGGCCCTAGAAACGAAGTTACCTTCAGGGTTTGGATGGCAAGTCGCTCGCTATTGCCGCAGTTGTTTGTAGCAGGCGAAACGTCCTCGCTAGTGCAATGAACACCATACGGGCGCTCTGTGAAGGAGCAGAGGAGATAGCAGAATGGTCCAAGTGGCCCGACGACCCGTTGCTGCAAACACGTGCCCGGGAGTGCCAACCGCCGGCTACCGCGCCGGCTGTTGACGCTTCTAACACCGGGTCGCCGACCCCCGGGTCATCGACCAGCGCTACCTCGGCAGATACTCGATCTAGAGTCAAGAAGTTACGCCTTCTAGTCCAAAGCCACGGCGGTGAGTCTCCCTACCTAATTCATGCCCCCCTCACTCAGGGTGTTAACACGTCTTCTTGGATACCTAGGCGCATCACCAAGTCCGCCGATTCCGACGACAACTCCCTCCGCCATCCCGCCAGGTGTAGCACCACCGACCTGCCCCCGTGCCCTAGAGCCTGCCACCCCTACCACCTCCGGTGACGTTACAAAAGAGCGGTTCGAAACGGCGCAGGCCGCCTCTCCAGCTGACGCCACGCCGAAAGCAGTGCTACCTTTGGACACGGGAGGCCCGCTGAGGGCCACGCTCACAGGTCCCGAAGCCTCGGAGCCGAAGCGTGGCGCATCGGGTACGAGAGAAAGAAAACGACCGCGAGTAGAGTCAGACTCTGAGGGTTCAGTCGAGGGTAGGTGACCTGCCTGTGCTGCTGCTTCCACAAACTGACACGTCATGTCCCATCCAGACTATCCACCCGAACCGGAGTGCACCGCACATTCTGCTCGGGCTGGGACACCAGCGGCTCGTACTTTGGGCATCAGGGGGATCCCGCCGAGCGAACCCGACTCTGTCCTTCGGCCGGCCCCGAATCCCGCCCCCTCCTCGCAAGCAGGGTCATCTGGACAGGCGGACGGGGACCGCCTCGATTTAGGCCGAGCCGGCGGCACACTCTCTAGCCAACGTGCCCCTGCGCCGGGAAAGCTATTTGTAGGGTTTACTAACATCAGAATTGGGAAGGCGGTTGCCCTTCTCGGGCATATCGACGGCATTGTAGACGCAATGAGGTCGACCGAGTACCTAATGCACCGTGCCATGGTGTCTACCAGTATGAGGTTGCACGTGCTGCCCAACTGGGACATTGAGATTCTGGTGGACCTAGGTGGCGGTGACCAAGACGGTGTTCAGGAAGCGGGCTACGATGTCCCGGCCGCCCTGGGCGAGTTTGGGCGAGCGACTGTCGAGATACAACAAGTGCGTCAGATGAGTATAAATGTATCGATTGGGGATAGGGAGACGGCGAACCGCCTGGTAGGTGAACTAGTCTGACAGTTCCTCAACTTTGACTTCCATGCGAAGCACCATAACGTCTTTCCCCGCGGGAACAATGGCCGATTCTCCTTCCTTTCGTAATGTTTCTAGTGGAATGTCCTCTCCTCCGATCTTGATCCATGCATCGACAAAGGGGGATGCAGCTTTCCACCTTATTTTCCTATCTCTGTCCGCGGCCGGAAACGAGCCGAACACCATAGCTTCGTATGGCCCGGTCTGGGCAGGGTCGCCCTTCTAAAGAATTAGCACCCCTATGCGCCGATGGAGAGCCGAGTACGTACATACCGTATCCATCCTTAGGGTATCCGAATAGCCCTCTTCTGGCGCACGGCTAGGGACGGCGCGGTTGATGTGGGTAAAACTTCGGACAGTTGCGACGGCGCGCGCCTAACGGAGTTCTCGCGCGACGCATTTCGACGTTTCGACGCGGGGCATCGGTGAGCCGGATGCGGGGCAGGGCCGAATAACCCCCAATGAGGCGGGCGGTCAGGAAAAGCTCGCTCGCTTGTCAGGTGACACCGTGGCACCTCTCAGCCGGAAACCGAGCCTGGAGGCTCATGGCCCAGCGGCCTGGCCGGGGAAAATGGAAATGCGATTCGGGGGGGCATGAAAAAAAGGCGGAAAGAAGGCTCAGAGAGAAATGTGTGGGTCAAACGGAGGGATGGGACTTCGAGATCTTAAAGTCAGGTCGAGTGCCGTGTCACTGCGAGATGGCCAGGGACAAACCCACGGCTCAGGAATAGGTCAGATCAGCTGCAGGTTGCCTTACCCGGAGGGGGGTTACTGGACAACCTCACCTGGACTCTCCCTGTACGGAGCATGTACTGAGGTACCTTACCTCGGTACCCGGCAGGTATTATTGCTTGCAACTACCTAAAATGGAAGCGCCTCTTGGCACCAAAAGTCCAAACTGAAACCACCGCGACGGGCGGGAAAAGATAGCAAAGGTTCATGGCTAGCACGGACTAGTTAAACGGCCACAATTCTTCCCTTCTTCCCCGGGGCTAGCTCGGCCACAGCAGCTACAGGTAGGTACATGTAGCTAGCAACCAAGCAAATTACACAACTGTCTATCTTTTGCCCGATGCCACCTTAGTAGAGACACTCGAAGCCCCCCTCACTGTCACATACTGCACCGAGATTCAGCTCTTGAACCCGCAACAAAAATCCGAAGTCCAAATCTTACATGCGGTAAGAGCAGGTCAACCCAGGTATACTGTCCCCTGGCCGAGGTGGCGTCGGCTTTCGGTGTCCCTTGTACTACCGACTTGTCTTCCTCCAGCTCCCACCCACACACCTCATAAACCACACCCGGAGGTGTGCCCTCGGCCAGGACGTTTCGGTCGATGAAAGTTGGGGCGCGGCTGCAACTCAGGGCGACGGCATGTTCATTGGCGACGTCCATCTGTGTTGGGTTCGAGTGGCCTGAGAGCGTTGCAGCCCGGCGGGCGCGGGCCACAACGGTGGAGTAGACGACCTTAGATGTGCACTTGGTGCCGATGATGGCGGGCCGTTTGTCGAGCATGTTTTGGGCTTTTGTGTCGAGTGGTTCGAGTCGGTCGTTTGAGTCTCATGCAGGCCTCGTTGAAAGGGCTTGCTCGCTCAGGCCTCGTCCAGACGGCCCATGGGTTTGTTTATCAACTGATTTAACTGCCATCGTGCAGAGCACACACAGTCAAGAATCTAGCGTCGGGTGCTTCTGGATGCGGCGGCAGGCCCAGGACATCTCATCCTTGCACGGAATACATGTGAGCTTGCACGCGTTGGCCATTCGCCTGGGAGGGGGTGTTATGGTCCACACGGTAGGCGTACTCCCACACGGTCCGGAGGCGAGTCGCCGGTGAAGCTAAAGCAAATGCACAACAGCCCACGGGGGATGTACATATAAGTACATGTACTTACCACGCAAGATCTCCCCCTAATCCATTCCGGGCCGGCGATTATCGAATACTCACGCCAGGGGGGCGATCGTGGTTCATCTAATTACACCTTTCCTCAACTCGCTAGCAACGCGAGACGAAGCCAATCCTGGCACACTTGGGCAGTGATCTACTGGTACACGGTGTTGAATCCATCGCGAGCAAATAAAATGATGTGGGGAATCTCCAGTCATCCCTCGGTACCTTAGGTAGGTAAGCCACGAGAAACTTGTTGGCCTGCAAACTAAAGCAACATGATGCGATTCAAGCCACCTGACCAGGCCGATGGACCACTCTGCCGTTGCCCTCGAGCGCTGATCCGTTAACAGTTGAGATGCGGTTGTCCGATTAAAATCATGCAAGATCAGTTGGTCGGGGCGTTTACAAAGGCCGCTTTCCTCCTGATGGCACTCAGTCGGTCCCCGTGTTTTCTCGTTCTCGCAGCCCCCCGTATTGCGACACATTTATTATGATTTTTCCATCATTCTAATCCCCCATGGATAACGTCGCACCGGAGACAAATGGGCCTAGCTCTGAGAGAAACCTGCTTGCAAACCCCAAGGACCTTGCCCCCATCGCCGTAAGCTAGGCCACCACCCGGTCTTCTTGGACACCGGAGACAATAAACTGACGTTTATTTCAGTGCTATCTTAGGCATTGTACCATGACACACGATGGAGTTGCCCTCTCCACTCAGGACCTGACGTCGGCGACTGGTTTAGGTGCAAGCCCCGCGGCGCCGCACACCTCCCTGGCTCCCAGCACGGAACGGCTTCAAGTCCACGCCCTACTACAACCTCTTCCAACCCTCCCCACGCCCAATTGGGGGCTGTCCGCGGAGAAACGGCAAGACTTTGCTTCGCCGCCGTTTACCACAGGGACAGCCTCGCCGTCACCAGCTTTGCAAATACCACAACCGGCCATCGGGCTGCCTTCAACACCCGTCGGTGAGCCCTTTCAGAGGCTTTTCCGCGACGAGGGCGACGAGGAGCACATGGGACAAGGTGTGGGCCGGAAGCGGCTGCGGCGGTGGTCCGAAACCAGCACCTCCCCGTCTTCGGCTCGAGAGGTAGATCCTGTGCACATGGAGACAGCCAAGCTATCCCTTGGCTCCGAGTACGGGCAGCTGAGTTGTCCATACCGCAAGAGGAACAAGGCCCGGTTCAATCTCCGCAACTATCCGAAATGTTCCAAGCCGTTCCGGAACATCGGTCTGCTCAAGTCTGTCTGCCCGCGGATTGTGCGGCTCACGGGAACCATGTTAACACGCTGACTTTAACGTTCTATAGGTTCCATGTCCGGGAGTCCCACGCGGAAAAGATTGTGTATTCGTGGTACGCACGCAGCCCTCAGGCCCGAGCTGCTCTCCCGATAAGCGCCCTGCTAATCGAACCGCAGTCCTCGATGTTGGCTACGGTTCGGGTCCCACACAGATATGAAGAGGCACCAGGCGGACCAGTCCTGTGTTGCCCGCCCCTGGCCTCAATGGCACGCCCGGTCCAGGGATGTCGAAGATGGGATTGATACGAGGACAGCCAGCCTGCTGATAGAGAGGAAGAGTCCTTACAAAGTCTCCACCTGGGAAGAGCTCTGGCGAACCTTATTCCCAGATGACGCAGAAGTACCATCGCCGAGTACGTATTCCGCTCTTCTAGAGTAGTGTTCTGCCCTGGACTATACCTGACCCGTGCCGGATAAAATGCTAGATTGCGAACCATGTGTCGAAGCCTGCGAGTTCATCAGTGTCAGTCGGGAAGCATTGCTCCTGGCCCAGGAAAGGCTCCCGGAGCCGATTACCGGAATACTAGAAAAGAACCGCTGTCTTGTCGTCAAACCGAGCAATCTTACCTCGCAACTTGTCGAAGTTATGGGCTCAGTCCTTGAAGACTGTCTCGCCCAGGCTCTCGGCGACTTTGAGCACGCGATATCACTTGGGCTGCCCCCCAAGGTCCGCCCGAGAGCATCCCCTCCTCCAGCCGACCGCTCAGAGCCGCCTCGGCTAGGCACGCACGACTCCCCGCCGCGTTCAGCTCACGTCCTCCGTGCCTCGGCCCGGCGAATCTCCTCGCCACAATCTTCTCCGGGACAAGCACAGCAAAAACGAGCGAAAGTACCCCTCCAAGCTCTTGCGCGTGCTCCCCGATATCCTTCCCGGCGAAGAGGACGGGGCTGAGGGTGCGTCGTTGGTCACCGGCGAAACCAAGCGAAGAGGGGATAGCAGTGGCGGGACAAGGCGGATAAGCAAGGCCGACGTGCTTGACCGGGCCATAGGGGCTATCCAGAGGTATTTGAGTCACACTGGACCACAATAGAGCCAATGCACTCCAGGGATCAACGCCTGTTATGTGACCTCTGCCGCATCCGTTGGCTGCCTTGGTGGGCCTCGCGTATACCTAGGTACATAGATAGGTACGTAGCTTGGTCTAGCAGTCGCCTTGCGTCGAGCCATTGGAAAATGGTGTGCCTGCCTGCAGTGCCTTGCATTGCCGCTTTGAGTCTTTGACGTGTGTGTGGCCGTGTTGCAGTGCGATGGGAGGTCAGTCAGTATCGTTGGCATCTGCGAGGACTGCGTGCACTGGGTACCAGAACCATGCACAAGGGCCAGGAATGGAAGTTGGTTGAAATGAGGTTAGATATAAAATGTGTGACTCCCTTAACTTCAGCTGGAAAATGTGGTTGCATCGTCAAAAGAAACACAACCTGAACTTGAAGCACCGCACAGGCTACAGCCAAGGAGGGCTCTTGCCCGGCACCTGGCACCTGGCACCCTGGGGGAAAACATGCGGATGACCTTAGGTGGTTGGTGGGGCACGTGGCCTGCTGTGCCTGCACAATGAAAGCGCGTCAGATGGACAGTGGACTTGCCAGTTATAATTTCATTCGCCCGAGATTCCTCAACCCACCATCACTCTCCAGAGGGTTATCATCATGGCTACCCGCCTCCTCATGCAGTGTCGTTCCGAAAACATTCCCGGTAAGCCTAGAGAACGGCGGACAACAATGGCAAATATCATCTGCCAACACAAGTGGCACAGGCCATTTGACCAAGATCAGGACCGTCTCCGGTCCGTTGGCCAGTACCACTACGATGGGAACCGGGTTTACATCCTGGTGGATAACGGACCACCCAACTCACAGGATGTATCCACGTTCATTTATAGATGGGACGGAGAACGGTTGTTAGTCTATCCTACGCTTCCAGGTGTCTTTCTCCGCCTTGCTAATGTAGGTCCAGTATCGAGATGCCACTCAACCCGATATTCGCAACCTTCCTCCAACAGTACCCGTTCAATGCTGCACGTACCTCATCGGGCTATACCGACGAAGAGTACAGGAATACCTTTGGGGAAGAGAAATACCAAGCAATGCTCATTCAGCGGATTAGACAGAGACGGAAGTGGGGACAAGACCTGCCATCGCAGGAGAAGGCTTTCCTCCAAGATCATCCCGAGCTTTCCTCACAGCTTTGACACCTCTCAGAAATTGGGTAGGGACTACATTGAAATACAAAGATATAATGGCGATCGGCATCACCACGCCCGCTTCCTAGTACTACTGCACGCGCCCCCCCCCCAACGTCATCCACGACCGGAAAGACAGGGTTGAGGGTACTTGTTTTACCTAATGCCATCTTGCAACTTGTCCCTCTACTAGCCTTCTGCTTCCCACGCTTGTGCAATTTCCGTCGGATTTTTCTTGAAGCCAAACTCGACATCAAAATTCAGGAAGATCCGAGTTGACACACCCATGGACCTCCTTCCGGTGGGCGTTTCTCTGGGGCCAATCCTCAAAGTTGGTCTCGTCGCAGCGGTCGCAACGCATATCCGACTACACTCAGGCCATCGAACGGTTAACTAGTAGTCTAGTTACCTTGTAGGTAGGCAGCGGGCCGAATAAGTTGGTACTCACCTTGCGTGGATATAGCCTCAGCGGGAAATCCCTCTCGGTCATAACAATGAACAAGGCTATGGTCGGGTCCTCTTGTTCTTCCTCCAACCGCTTAACCTGCAAGGCTTCTTCGTCCCCATCGTTGGCATAGCCCAGGATCTCGCGGCGCAGGTCCGCAAAGCCGGGCGGAGCTCGGTCCGGCAAGTCCTTGGGCAAGTCGATTTGACGCTGAGCGTAGGCCACGACCCAGGCGTATGCGATGTAGGCATACGTCGATTGTATCTCTCCCTCTTTTTGAGGTATAAACATTTGGGTTTTGGTTTGGCTTGCGACGGCATCTACTTTTGCGCGCAGGAATTTGGACGCGGGATCCAGTTCGCTCTGGCTGTAAAAGGGCGGGTAGCCATACGTCGGTTCAACGTTGTTCGCCTCGAGAAAGCGGTCGAGAATTGCGACGGGGATTTTGAAGCCGCGCAGAATCGTGGTGAGTCCCATTGCTAACACTGATTTGCACCGGTAAGGCTTGAGCATTTAGGTCAGATTCATGACCGGGAGGCTAGCAGGGTTGACATCGTTGGGCATCCCGTGAACTGAATCGAGGGACTGCCGGTTTTACCGTTTTTGTAAACATACATACTGTGTCATGGGCGAGTGGCTGCCTGGCATGGATTTGTGCGTGACAAGTGCTCTGATGCGTCAAACACGAAAATCTTAACCCCCCTTTGTGGTTGGCCGATCGTCGGCGAGCTTTTTAAAATTCACGTCCTTCTGACTCTCAATTTACCAATCCGCGGGAATGTCTAGCATACCAAATCGTTCACAATTGTTCGTGGCGTCTCTCGCGCGGGGTCTCAACACGGCGCAGGTTCCCTGCGTCTTGTGGGGCCACTGCCTGCTCGGTCTCCACGGCGTGCCTTCCATCGTGGCCGCAAGTAACACCCCACCTGAAAATTTAAAAAGGCCCAAGAACTGACTGTGTACAAGTCGATCGACTTCGTCATTCCAGATGACTGTTTAGAAGCCGGGGCGCGAGCCCTCGCTCAATGCGACGGCCTCGTGCCTTGTCCGGACCCTTCATCGTGCCCCGCCACCTCAAAGGGACGGCACACGCAGCCGCCAATATTCCACGCCCATCTCGACGACAACCTGGAAGTCACGGCTGGTCTCTATCTCCAATCCGATACTCTCTGGTTTCTTCCGCCGTTGGACCACTCAGTGCTGTTTCCTAGCAGCTCTCTCGACCTTCCACCCTACTTTGCCCTTGCGTCGGATCCAACCGTGTTCCCCCCCTGGCGCCCAGGCCGAGGCGCCGGTGTTTTCAAGTCGGCCGCGGATGCCGTCGTCGCTCCCAGGTCTCACATTCTCTTGGAGGCTTACATGCGTATCCATGCACGGGATCAGGGGAAGCGTGTAGGTTCCTTTGGCATCGCCATGATCGCCTACATGCAGCTTTACGTCGACGCTGACGGGTTTTTGGACGCCGACCTCCTTCCGGAGCCACTCAAGACGTCCTACAAAGAACTCCAGGAGGACAAGAAGCCGATGCGCCAGTGGATGCTAGAGTTGAAGGCCGCTCTTGGAGTTGCTGAGGAGGATCCCCAGAGTGATGACGGGTACTAAAGTGGAATAGAGTCATCGGTTCCGAACTCGGTTTCGTGCGCCTTGTTCACATCTCACGGATCCTTAATGTCATTAAGCAATATGTGCCATTTTCAAAGCAATTTCTATCTTGTCACTTGTGGTGGGTGACTGCATTGGCTTCAACTTAATATTCAGCCCTTCCCATACAATTCTCCACACAAAAGTCCGAAAAAAAGTGATGGGCTATTTGACTGCAGCAGCCAGACGACGTACCAACCATTGCGACGTCAAATGGTTGCCAGATAGCGACGACAAATATGTGGCTCATGAACTGCCTCCGAACCATCGTCGAAGAGAGCCGTTGTTGGAACAGCTGCGGCGTGGTCAAGATGAGCGAGGACGAACACATGCGGATCAATCTCATCGATAACTGGCACAAACAAAAGGTCAGTGGGCATGTGTACCCCCTTGGAATCGAAGACCGCGATATCGTCGACGAGACCTGTGATGGCATGCACAGGGACGGCAAACTGGACTGGATGTTGCGCCCCACGCCATTCGGATGTCCGGTGTTCGTCACCTGGCGTGTCGTCAACGGCGTCAGAAAAGGAAGAATGGCGGTGGACCTTCGTCCATTGAATAGTGCCACCATTCCGGACGCTTATCCTCTGCCGAATCAGGAGGAAATCTTCTGACCCCGATTGTAGGTACCCAACAAGGTTGGCACTCGGGCATGCGTTCGAGACCAGGCACCAGGCCTTGGGCAAACTCGGATACGGCGCAGACTCTACAACCTGAATATGCCAAGATATTCTATGGGTGGTTGCGTACGACCAAGTCAAGAATGGTGAAGAATTATCAATTAGCGAACTATGTCCAACAATTAACACCCAAACTAGAACCAACATGGACGTCGTTGTCAAGAGCACGTCAGTTGTGTACGCTGGATTTCCTATTAGCCACAGTGAGACTCGGAACCTGAGATGTTAGAAGGAAAAAGGAGGGAGAGAAAGAAAACCGCAAACGGGAAAGCACCTACCCAGGTGAATACTAGTGAAATGACGGGGGATTATCGCCAGGGAAATTGGTGTTCTGGACATGACGCAGACACCTTTCCAGAAGCTGCATTGCAAAGGCGTTCAGGGGTCGCTGCTCGGATTGGATTTGGGGTTCGGGGGTGAAGAAGTCGAGCGAATAAGGCCAAGCTCGTGTCCACGATATCCATCTGTCCGAGAGACTGGCCAGCTACCGCAGGCTCGTATTGGTACTGTGGCCTCAAGGTCCAAGTTACGTCGTCGTGATGGTGTGCCCGGACCTGGAGCGGCGCTCCCGGGGTTGTTAATGGGTCCCATTTGAAGAACATCCACTTCAACCCGATGGCGAGGATAACGTATAGCATACGATTCGGGTGCGCCGCGTTGACCTGAGTACCGGCTTGCTCCATGAGCTCCTTCCAGCCGCCGGGCGTGTCCTCGCATGGGGCCTTGCAGTGAACCCAAAGGATGTCCCGCGTTGGGTCCGATACGTTTGGGTCGGGGAGGCCCTGTGGGTTGGCCGCCGGGGTAGGCACAGGCGCCATCTGGACGACAATAACATTGGCCCTGCGACCCGGCGCGCTGGTTGTCGGCCCAATTTCACCACGGTAAGCCTCCTTCCGAACACCGTACAGTCGGCCGTTCGTCGCGTAGGGAGGGAAGTATATAAAGAGAAGCTGCAGCCACGCATGCCACACTACATCTTCCTCTCGATAATCCTTCCCGACGCGTGCGATCCTGAGGACGTCACGGTGGCATGATGTCCTTGGGTCCCAATAGTTACTACGCAATAGTGACGTTAAAGATACAGGTACGTCTCTAAAGAGGAGCAGGCAAGACTCGTATGACTTACGTGGGTGGTGCGGCCATTGTGTTGTTACTTGTTTGCTTTGTGGAAGACAAAACTGGGCTTGAGATGGCCTTTGCGCTGAGGATTTGGAGTTTTGGATGTAATAGTCCGGGCTTCAACGGCAGCCCTCTCGCTGTTGGCACGAATCTTGCAAGCCGACAGGTGGTTCTTCGGTTGGTTGGTTCCCGACACAATTGGAGTGCGGGAACGCCCACAGGCCAGGCAATGCCAACGCCCACAGGCCAGGCAATTCCAACGCCTACAGGCCGGGCAATGCCAACAGGGCCGGGCAATGCCAACAGGGCCGGGCAATGCCAACAGGGCCGGGCAATGCCAACAGGGCCGGGCAATGCCAACAGGGCCGGGCAATGCCAACAGGGCCGGGCAATGCCAACAGGGCCGGGCAATGCCAACAGGGCCGGGCAATGCCAACAGGGCCGGCATGGCAATGGAAGTAAGGTCTTAAGGTGCCGGTGCCGCGCGTGGCCTTCCCGCCCTGCACCTTCCTCACAGAGTTCCTGGCATTGATAACGATAGGAAATAACCTCCTTCCTTAATTGAATTCTCTTGCCATAGCTCAATTGTAAAATACTCTCCTCCTTTTTTCGTGATTCCTGTGTTCAATTCCCTGTCGTGACCATCTTTCTTCAAATGCAATGTTCAGACCAAATGAAGGTCCAGTTGATAAAGGCCGGTAGAGTGGGCCGTTTAGAAGGTCCGGTACAGTGGTTCGGTTTTTTTGGGCCCTGCAGTCTGTGCGCAACAACCGTACTTTTCAGAGCAACCGTACTTTTGAGAGCAACCGTACTTCTCAGAACTGTCAAACTTTATAGAACTACCTACCGTAACCCACTAAGAGTACGGTAGTTGCCCCCCACAGAGCCCCGCTGCGGTACCTACGGAAACAACAGTAAGGCCAAACCCAATCTTGACTAGGTACCTAGGTACCTCGGTACTAAACTAAACCCCCATCCGGTCAGTCCTCGGTATCCGCGTCCGGTTTATCGAAGAAATGACGTCTCTTCCGACTGTCAATGCTGGCCGCATCCTAGCAAAGCCGATACGCGGCCGTATCCATATTCACTACGACGGCGATGATGACTGCGTCGTTTTCATTCGCTGCAATGGCCGAGAATTTCAGATCGAGTTGTCGCCTTTCTTCCTTTGCAATTCGCCTGTCATCACCTCTCGGTACCACAAGTTCGTCGCCGCGGTCAGGGACAGGGGTGAGATGGACGCAGAGGAAGAAGGCGACTCGGACGAGGAAGAAGATCCGGAAGAGATCCAAACCCACTTCTATGACTGGATCATCAGTGTGTTCGAGCCAATCTTCTCAAAAGTAGCCCCAGATGTCCCGTCGTCCTTTGATCCCGACATGATTCGAACGGGGGAAGCGAAGCCGTTGCTGTCCGAGTATCTTTCCCCCGAGACACACCGATGCCGGCTCGAATCAGAAAACGACAAACCCATCCCGATTCATATGCCGGACGAGGAGAGTCAGTTTATGGAGCCTCTTTGCCATATCGATCCAGACCTCGCAAGAGAGCTCCAAGAATATGTCAAGTTTTTCGATCCGTCCGCGGTCGAAGTTTCGTTCGGGCGCCCAGAACGGGCGCTGGATGAAAGCCCGACTCGAGTCTTGGTCGACTTTGGTAGTTCGGGTGAGAAGATAGCTTGCTTCTTCAAGGGGTTCGGGGCTGGGGCTTTTATCTCTCTTGAGAGAGAACTGGAAGCTCATCGCCGACTCCTCAAGTCCAACGTGGTGCCCGAGGCGCGCGTGGTCCGTCTGCTTGGCGTTGTAGCAGCAGAGGATGGCAGGGTAGCGGGCTTGCTGCTTCCTTATGTTGACTGCCGCCGCGAGGACGGCGGGGTTCTAGACGACATCTATCTACGTCGCACGCCAACCCCGCTAAGGGAACGTTGGGCGACACAGGTCAAAGAAGCGGTCCAGCAGCTCCACGAAGGAGGCGTTGTCTGGGGCGATGCGAAGGCCGACAACATTTTGATCGATAAGGAGAACAACGCTTGGTTGATCGGCTTCCGGGTTGGTTCAAGTTATACTGAAGCCTGGGTCGACGAGGAGAAGGGCGACACAACGGAGGGCGATTGGCAGGGGGTGGAGAGAATTGTCGAATATCTGTTTAGCGAGCGGTATGATCCTGACTCAGCGTCAGGTTCCGAATTTGACGCGGTGGAGGAATAGGCGGTTTAAGAGGATGGATCATTCCACGGATCCTGGGTAACGTGGGTAGGTAAATGATATATCTAGGTAGGTTGCACCTCCATTCTAGCGGCACTGCCTTATAATTATGTGTACTATGGGTATAATACCGTGCGGTCACTGTTAACGCCTAGAGGGACATGTGTCCACCGAAGATGAAACCACCGCGTATAGAGGCAGCAAGAAGTACGGAAACTAGAGCCTACTAGCCTAAGAATAACAATCCAAACCACGCTATATAGTATTGTCCAGGTGGAAAGCCAACCAAATAGCAGGCTCTATTACTAAAGCTATACAGAAACCTAAATGAGGCTATTTTATATTCTATTTACTTTTTCTTTGGCTCCGTTTTTCCTTTCTTCTTTTCTTCTTCTTTTCTTCTTCTTTTCTTCTTCTTTTCTTCTTCTTTTCTTCTTCTTTTCTTCTTCTTTTCTTCTTTTTTTTTGTTTAGTTCTTTTTTCATACCATTTCTTTCTCCCGTTGATTTTGCTCAGTTTCTTATTTTCCTCTAGAGCGTGGCTTTTTTAGGTCTGCTGACACTCAAATCTGTTGGTATTAAACTACCTAGCGCCCGAAAGGGGTGTTCCAAATGCCATGAGTGGTCTCTAATGCATTCCATGCCCGTGGGAATGTGTGAAAATGGTCTGCTTTATAGAACTTGAGTGTGTTACAACGCTTCCGTTTCTTCGTGTAGTCCTACAACCGAGCTGAGGGGGTATTATCTTCTATCACTTCTCTCGTCTCTAGCTTTACGACGAAGGAGCTTTCCCATTACCATTCGCCACCTCAACAGTGCCTTCAGCAGCCTTAGCAGCCTGAGCATCGACGTCCTTCTCAATCACGGCCCGTGCCTCGTTCATCCCATCCTTTACCATATTCGCCACTCCCCAAACGTCAAACGCCACGGCCAGGGCCTTGTAGCCCTGCTGAAGCAAGATCGGAATCATGGCCGGGCCTTGCGCAGCACTTTGGAACGGTCAGCGGGGGGGGAAATTCATCACTCTCCTTCGCAACCGAAAGAGATAAAAAAGAAAAAGAAAAAACTCACCCAAACAGCGGCTTGTTATACTTGTGGGCCGTGGCCACAAACTTGCCCATGGCATCCAGGAATTCCTGCGGGGGCGGGGCGCTGAGGGTGAAGTTGATGCCAGCGTCGGCGCTGAAGTCGCCGGGGCCGAACATGAGCGCGTCGACCTCGGGCATGGCCGCGATCTCCTCGATGTTCTCCAAGCCCTTGACGCTCTCGATCTGCGCGATAATGCAGATGTGGTTGTTCGAGTTCTTCATGTTCCACTCATCGTTCGCGTAGAGCGACTGGTTGGAGATACCGGGAGTGAAGGTCCACGGGCTGAAGGAGCGTTGGCCGATGGGGGCTGTGGTTGTTAGAAAAGGCAACACGCTGGATTGGAAAGGGGGTGCATGCTTACGGTAGAAGGCGTCCTTAACTTTGTCTCGGATGTCCTGGGCCGTTTCGGTGTGGGGGATCACGAGACCGGCGGCACCGGCGTCGAGGGCGGTGGTCAGGCTGATCTCATCGTGCTTGGGGATGCGGCAGACGACCATCGTCTTGCCTTCGGAGTGGTGTTGGGCGGCATGGATGCAGCTAGGCGGGTCAGAAATTTCCAACAATTTCATCCGAAGCGATAGGAGACTTGCTCGTAGAGGGTCGAGCGGTCAAAGACGGCGTGCTCAACGTCCATCCAGATGAAGTCGGGCTTGGCCGAGGCCATGACCTGCAGTTGTCAGTTGGTGGCTTCCTGGGGCACAAGGTAGAGAGGGGCCGAACCTTTGTGAGAAAGACGCTGGGGATGCCCTGAGCGACACCCAGCAGCGTCTTCTTGGGATCCTCCCCGGCCTGACGGATAGCTTCGCGGAAATTCCCAGGATAAGTCAGCACCGCAGCGCGAAACTCGGCCGTGGTGTGCAGCTGGGGCTGCTGAGGGAAGGGCTTGTCGGACATGATGAAGGTTGGAGTCTGTTGGGTGAGAAATGTTGTGGATAGGGTATTGTTGCAGTGTTGAGAAAGATGAGAAACATCAGATATGGCCAAGCTATGGGCTGGCTTGGGTTTTATATCAATGATGGCGTTATGGAGAAGACGCGATGCCACGTCGAGTTCCTCCGATCGCATTAGCAATGCGCCGTGGAAAAGGGGATGGGGTCGACCAACCGTTGCGGAGTTCGGCTGACAGTTGCGCCGCTTGAAAGCAACCATCTGTCGACAACCCGTTTCTCTTCCAATACATTGCTATCAGAAGATCCACCAGGCTGGATGTACCCGGTCTTCATGCAGAAACTCCCCGGCGACGTAACTACGGCTCACTTGGCGCGTGGCGGACGTAAGCTGACAGGATCGGAATTAAGAATAGGCAAGGCCCGAATCCCCGGGAACTTGGAAGTCGTGGACTGAAATGGAACATTACATTAGAAGAGGCTGATCAAGCAAGCTGATGAAATCACACTGGGAAACCCAGTTCGCTGCGGGGTTTTACCCGCATTCAAGTCAGTGGGATACTCGAGGTGCTTTGCATCCGTCCCTCGGTCAGGTACCTTACCTATCTCATGTAGGACAGGCGGGGTGTGTGGCCCGTCTGTCTGGGGTGGTAATACCCCCTGGACCCCCCCTTTCTGGTGGAAATCCGCACTTAATGCCGCTCAGCAGGCCAAGCAAGAACTCCAGCACTCCAGGTAGCTCGCCATTGGCCCCTAACAAGTGCGCGTTGAGGCAATGATGTGCCGCATTGGGAACTCAGCCTCCGCCATGCGCAAGGTGACCAACGTCCGTCAGAATTTACACGTGTGTGCTTCTTCGTATTATGGCACTTCATAAAGATTAGGCAGAAGCGGAATTGGGGCCAACAAAACGCAAAGATGCCGTAGCTTGGCTACGAGAGGAAAGGATCGGCAAATTATGATATCAGGGACGGGCCTTGAGACAAAACTCAAATCATTGCCCGGCTCGCGCTCGCCCTGTTCTTGAAATGACTCGAAAAGGAAATACGAAGTAAGGTAGTTCGCCACAATTTAGATATAGTTCTGAACTAAAAAGCCGTCAAAAAACACCTGTATCGACTCAACCTCGCCCAAAGCAGCGACCTTTGCAACATCTAAAGGCAAAGTTAGTCCAGATAGATCGTCAACGTGAAGTGAAGAGAAGAGCCGACTCACAGTGATCCGGCCGCACAACAACCAGCGCCCCTTCTTCGGGGTTCACTCCGTAAGCCTCATATGCGTGTCCATGCCCGGAGTTGTAACTCTCCTCGTCGGCATACACCTTCGTTAGACCTAACCACGGGCCAGTCAATGGTCAACTCCATATCAGTTGTCAGAGAAGCATCGAGAAACTTACATTTCATCCCCCTTTGGCCCGTCACAGGGGTGAAGAAGGCCGGGATCTCCTCCTGCTCGACGCTTGTCCTGTTCGATGCGATGACCAAAACACGGTCGATCACGCTATCCGGGTAGGCCCCTGTCGGTGTGAACCGGTGAGCGGTTTGTTCCAGTGATCGAGACACCTAGTACCGTTAACCGGAAGGTCGTTGACTGTGCATGATAAACACTCACCTTATTCAGTCGCGCCGCTATCTCTGGTTTCGCTACATCACCCGCAAACACCACAATGTACCACCTCCCGTTCGCCGGCAGTCCCTTGACCAGCTGCATGGCTTTGGCGTCGCAGAACCGCACCACCTGCGCACTCGGGAACGCCATGCCGACTGTCACATTGGACATAACCTCCTTGTCGTATTCGCCAACCGCGGTTACGACTGAAGGATCGTAGTGAACCGCCTGCCCTGCCGTATACCTCCCCGCCTTGACGAACTGCTGGGCGACCTGCTGTGGCGAGACGTGGTTCTCCTCGCGGTACTTGGAGTTGAACAGCTTGGTGAACCCACGATCAAATTCGATCAGCTCGGTAGCCGTGCGCTCACGCTCGAGGACATACGTCTCAACCAGCTCCGGTCGCGCCAGCCCCCTGAGCACCATACCCAGCTTCCAGCCAATGTTGTGCCCGTCCTGCAAACTGACGTTCATCCCCTGGCCGGCCTTGGGCGAGTGCGTGTGGCAGGCGTCGCCCGTCAAAAAGACGCGGTGGTCGCGGTGGAAGAAATCGGCTCTCCGCTGGCCGATGGCGTACGCGGACCACCAGAAAGTCTCGACAAAGTCCATCGTGTAGGGGCTGAAGACCTTGCGTGCGTGGTTTTGCAGGCTCTCGAGGCTGATGTCGCCTACCTTGGTGCTCTCGGGCAGCTCGGTGTAGAAGCGGACCATGGCGTCGCCCTCGCGCGGCACGATGAGGATGCTACCCGCGGCCGAGTTGATGACGCACTTCTTGCGGATGTCGGGGAAGTCGGTGCGCGGGTAGATGTCCATGACGCCCCAGACGGCGTCGGTGCTGTCGCCGACCATCTTGAAGCCGAGCGACTTGCGGATGATGCTGTGCGCGCCGTCGCAGCCCTGGGGGGTGTGAGCAAGGGCGAGTTCAGGGACGAATAGGGGCGATAGGGGCACCTACCAAAACGTATTTGGCCTCATAAATCTTTTCTTTCCCTTCCTTTACAGCGCTTACCCTCACAGGGTACGAATCCGCATCCTTTGCCGCAGCGCTGTCCACCTCCAACCCCTTAACCTCGCACTGATACTCCACCGGCGGCGCTGCCCCCAACGTCCCCATCATCAATGCGTTCAACCTCGCCTGGTTTAAAATGACATGCGGTTGATGACTGACGGCCGTCTCCTTGTCCGCTGCATACCTCGTCCTCCTGATCCCCCCAGTATCCGGGTCGGGCGACCAAAAGGCGACTTCCAGCACATGGTACGCCTCCTTGAGGAGGTCCTCAGCAATACCGAAACTGTCAAAGATCTCAACCGTCCGGGTCTGCACGCCATCGGCCTGGCCAATCTTAAGCGGACCGTCTCGGCGCTCGAGGACTTTGTAGTTGATGCCGAAACGGGCGAGCCAGACGGCGGCACAGAGGCCGGCCGAGCCGCTGCCGCAGATGAGGACGTCGACTTTCTCGGCTTCGGGGGTCATGGTGTTGGGGTTATGGGGTGATGTGATGCCGAAATGGGGGTTGTGGAGATATCAGGAACCTCGCGGTCACTCGCCGCTTCTTAAGGTCCATCTGTCGCCGTCGTTGTTGCTGACTCAGGGACTCGCGAGTCGCGATTCACATGGACCCGACACGGCCGGGCCCGTCCCGGAATACGAATACACAGATCTGCCCCGTCCCCGGTGAATCAAGCTCAGCGCAGGTCTGGGGGAGTGGAACGCCGGGGTTTCCGGCCCCGTTTCCCCGCATCTCCTTGTCCTCGGCTTTGGAGTCGGAATGGTGGGTTTTCTTATTCCCTCGCTCCGCCGGTAGTTCTGGTAACACGTTAAATACCAGGAAAGCTGGGCAGTGGCAATACGGCGGGTCGAGCGCGGACACAACTGTTTAACAAACTGTCGGACAATACGATAACGCATTCGAATAGCTTCAGTACAATGACGTTTCTCAACCTTTCACCCCCTGTTACCACCCACCCCCCCCCCCCCCCAGCAACCTGCCATGCATGCCTCCGTCCCGGGTTACACTTGCACGCTGTTATGGTTGCGCCTACTCATATGATTCTCCAGAACATCCATCACCGCCTGCAGCTCCTCCAAGTCCCGCTCGTCCCTCTCCCGCCGCTTGGCGTCAGTGTCCTTCTCTCCGGCAATGTCGTTGATCATATTATCACTCTCAAGCATGACAATGTCAGGGGTGAAGATTGCCGTGGGCAGCTCGCGCAAGATGCCACTTTCGACAACCAAAGCGTTGACATAACCCACGAAGGAAACGAGACTCGTCTGTCAATATTGATGTAATCAGCAACAGCCACCTCGACAAGGAGAGTGAAAAAAGGGTTCAAGGACTCACCTCGTAATTCTCCTCGACATGTTGGATGACTCGGCCGGCAGTGGTACTGGCCCGCTTCGGCACCTCGGAAGCAGGATCAACAATGCTCGAGGCGTCAGTATCCGTAGCACTATTATCACCAAAAGTCGTTTGTATCGCCCCCCTCACGGCCTGCGAAACAAGAGACCGGACCGGACTAAGAATCACGGGGCTCAATGGGGACGAGACACCCGACAGGTGTTGGAATACGGCATCTCCGATCATATCGGGTAGTCCATCAAAGACGGGATTCCCTTTCTTCCCTGCTTCGGACGCACCCGAGCTCTCTGGGACAGCATCAACCTCTGGCTTCCGCCTCGCCGCCCTCGCATCGATGATCGCGTCGTAGAATCCCGTCCCGCCGTGCCGGTGGCAGTGGAGCAGGTCGTTCAGCGTGCGGTGGGACTTTTTCTTCAAGGTTCTGAGGCCAGTGTTGACGAGGCGCTTCTCGAGGGCGTCGCGCAGGTCCGGGTAGGGACAGGCAGCGGCCAGAGCCAAATCCACGAAGCGCAGAACAGACTCCCACACGGCTTCCAGGTGTCGACCGGCAATTTCTGGCCAGTTCTTGGACTCGTCCATGAATAGCTGGTGATAGGCGGCTTCGCTGGCCTCGCCGGTGGGTTCTTTGGCGCTCCATTTTGGAATCAGGGCATCCACCCAGTCCTCGAACGCGACCAGGACGACCGGTTCAGGCTTGGTGTGTGTGTAGTACTTGCTGGTGGTGGTTGCGGGTGGGAACGCCGTGCGCGAGTCGGTCGGGTTGGCCAGGTCTGCAGGCACGGCTGGCCCGCCACGGGCTGGCTCCGTTTTGGGGGACGAGAGGACCTCGGTCGTCTTGCCGTACGCAAGCATGGCGGAGCTGAAGGACTTGTTCAACGCCCTAATGTTGGCTCGGAGCTTCATGTCCTGGGCCTTGCGGAAGAATGGCTCGCACTCTTGGCAAGTGACCCCGACCTCGTGCAGCTCCTTGCAATGCCCGTCCTCATACACACCCGAGCAGGCCTTGTCGGCGAGGGCGCGGAACTTGGAGGCTATGCTGACGAGCAGCCGTCGGCGGCCCTTGTCCGTAGACCGGGACGAGCCCACGTCGCTGAGCCTACGGTCAATGCTGGAGATCTTGGCCCTGATCTCAGATATGAGACGGGGAAGTGTAGTCAGAGTGTGCTCCCGGAAGGCTTCCCTGAGCGTCGCATTGAGCGCTGCAATGCCCTTTTGGTCGCCGGGTACCTCTCCCCACATGTCACTCGTGGCAAAGAATTGCGCCTCCCTGCGGTCCCTCTGCACCAATGTCTCTTTAGATCTCTGTGTTTGATCTTGGTTTTTGACAAGGTGCCACTTGCACCCCAGAATGTCGGAGGAATGGCGTCCGAGCAGGAGGCCCAAGGTCTCCCTTACCGACAAAGAATGATCCGGATTGGTAATGACCCCGACGACACGGTCCATGAGGCTGGCATCCTCCTGGGCGATGCGTTGCACCATACCGAGCCCGCTGTGGTTGTATACTGTGTTTCGAGCGCTGATGACGAGTAGGATGAAGTTCTGCTGGGACCTGACGTAGTCTTGGACCATCTCAAAGACCATCTCCCGGCTGGTTTCGTCTTGCCCGTCCATGTCAGTGGCCCGGAAGACGCCGGGCAGATCGACCAGGTTGACCATAGGGAGGCCAGGTCCATGCTTCTCTATCACGAGAACGTCGTCAGTAAATTGCCGGGGGGCACTACCGGCCACTCTGAGGCCAGTGTCGCCATCGGTCGCTGGGGATACGCCGAGCACCACGGTGGCCCTCCGTATCCACTCGCTCAGCACGGCGGACTCGGTCACAAGGCCCCCGAATTGCTGGAGTATGAAGCGGTCGTTTGCCGTCCGTGAAGTTCCAGGCTCAATGAAGACTCGCTCATGCTCTTGTGCGGATCGACGGAGGATGAGCTTGGTCGGGAAACGTGTACTGTGACGGGGGGAAAGATATCAGAGCGGTGTTTACAAAGAGAGAGGAGCAGAATCATGACGTACCAGAGCAGGTCGGACACGGGGAAACGGAAACGGCCGATAGCCTCGAGCACGGAACTCTTGCCGCAGGACTGGTCGCCCACAACGACCAACTGGGGGTACTCAATATCGCTGGCGAGCGCCAACCTCCCCAGCTTATCAATGGCATCAAACAAGGTCACCTGTCTGAGGTCGATCAAGTCCTGGGCTTCTTCTCCCTCCGAGGGGTTTCCGTTGGGAGTGTTGCTGGATGCCCAGGAGGGCCACGACATGAGACTTGCCATGGGCGGGACGCAAGACAGCGTTGTTGGAAAGGTAGTATGGCAATGCGTAAAGGAGAAGAGGATGTCGGATAGAAGTTGAAGTCGGAGAGATGGGAAAGCCCTAAGCCAAAGCATTGCCCCTACTATATATACCGAAGTCTTCTCTGAGCTATGGTGTCCCGTCTGCGACTTTGCACTCATGAATGGTCCGACAGAAGTTGGCATGCCTTGTACCTCAGATCTGGGTCACGTTGCCTCGGGTTGATACCCTAGAACAAGTCCCAACCTTCAGCTTCCGCCAGCTTCCCAGGTTCCCCTCTACCACAAGTAACGTTGTGCATCCGAGTAGACTCGTACCATGTATCCGGGCTGATATTCTCGAGCATGAGCAGCCCAAGAGGGCTCGAGGGATCTGCATATACACGAACCTATCAGCGAAGGGAGCGGGGCCGCATCTGCATCACGTCCAAAACGAACCTATCGTGTTGTAGAGGACACATGCAAGATGTCAAGTAAGTTAGGGTTTCGACCAGTGATCATGGCCCGGCAAGTGGAGCCTCTGTTGTCGACCACTCTGCAGCGGAACTGACCTCTCGGGTTTGAACACAGCTGCTCGGGGTTGGAAGCCTAGCGGAAGCCGGGAACCCAGAAGGCTGTCCTCTTTCCATGTCATACGGCATCTAAGTCTCATTCATCTTGGGCCGCGAGCATCGTCTCCCCTTCCTCGCTTCCTTTTCTTTCCATCACCAACCGCCGTCACATCGATGATCACCGAGTCCTTCCCAACTCTTTTCACGGAGCACTACAACATTGCCTCTTAACTTACCATGACTTCTCGAGGGGATGACTTGGCGCCACCACATTGGTATGCCGGTTTTGGTCCAATTCAAGGTCTTGACCTCTTTGGCCACGTGCAGACCACTGGCTCTGCCATCCCCTTGGGGCTTCCCGGCGGCCACGGAGAATCATGCCCTCTTCTCATGGCTTCCAATGGAAACACCGTAGCGAGTGACGAAACCCACACAGCCCCCCTGAGCTCTGGCTCCTACTGGGTTGATCACACGCCGGAGCTCGGTATGAATGAAGGCATCGCCTTCCCCAACCAAGGTTATGGGGCCGACTGGCTCGCAAACACCAGCCATATTGTTACCGCGCCGGCATTCAATGCCGCAGGTTACCCGTGTATGGGCGGACCAGATGGTAATCCCAGTTTCGGACACAACATCCAACATACGGCAGCCTTTATTCCTGTCGAGTTCATTCCCACTCGTCCTGGTCGCCAAAAGCGAACTCCGGGGAAAACACCGAACGCAACTCGGCCCCACGATACACGGGTCGTGCCCCGGGCGAAGAAGATCATCAATTGGGAAGCGTGGAAGGGTCATTTCGAGCACCTCAGTGTGACCCTGCAGCACACGCAAAAGGAGATAGCGTTTGAGATGAGCCTTGTCTATAACATGCAAGTGGCGTGAGTGAGAGATCCAAGAAACAAGCCTCTCTTTCCACAGGCTAACACGAGGAAGCGAAAGCACACTCGCGAATGCATTCGGGAAGTGGGAGGGATTTGCAAAGAACAGAAAACAAGGGGAGCCCGCGCCCAAACCGTCGCCCAAACCGTTGCCCAACCCGTCGTCTGAGCCGCCGCCCAACTCCCGTGTACGCATAGCCCAATCTCTGCCCGTGGCAAAACACGCAAAACACTCAAAACACTCAAAACAAGCAAAAAACGCAAAATACGCCGATCTTTTTGCATTCAAGAAGCACCCATATCTCCCCTCTGCATACGGAGACCCGAGGGCGATTCCATCGATCCTTGCAGAGCCGTACGCCCATCAGTACAAGATGTTGCACTTCATCGAGGTCTTGACCGCGGCCATTTCACGCGCTAAGCGCTCCGGGGCCCTCCCTGATGGGGGCTTCGTCTGGCAGCTTGCGTCAGACAGATGCCGTGGAATTACCTCCCTTTTCGAGTCACGGCGAGAGCCAATCGCCGGCTTTCTGTTCGATCGACTTGTCGATGGCCTAGCCAGCAGCGTTCGGCCTGAAGACCCCATGTTTTTGGTTCAGATGTGGCAACTTTGCGTCTCACTGTCCAGAATTCACTTCCACCAGCGCGAAATCGCCGAACGTCTCATGTTTCTCCGCCTTTTTCTTCACCGGATGCGCCAAAGGCTACTACCATTCACCCCTAGTCAGGAACATCCCGTTCTGGCAATTCTGGGCGCACTTGAGAGCATCTTGGTCAAGTCTCCAAAGTCGCTCAAGTGGACCCTGGCCATCGGCTGTTGGAAATCCAAGGCTATGCTCGACCGGGTGTTTGGACAGATGACCGACCACGTATCGCTAGAGAATGGTGCGTTTTGCGTCCAAAATTGGCGTTCCAGCTTTGAGCTAGACTTTCGAGAGCTCGAGGCGAGATACCATCCTCTGGTTGACAACTTTGGCCCTCACCCCTTGACGGAAGACAAGATTGCCATCTTGTACTGCTATACGAGCGCCCTGGCTCGTATCGTTCCTTTGAATAACGACGCGACCCCCTTGTTCCTGGGCCACCTCGCGGTTCTTCTCGATCAATCGTCGAGACACGTTCGCCACGAAGCGGAAGCTGGCTCCCTAGCATACGGGGGAGTGGTAAGCGCTTTTGTATTCTCGACCGAGCTGGTTGCAAAATACCTGCTAGAAGGTGGCAAGTACAAGCATGTGCTGCGGGAAAGGCTGAGCCCTAGTCAGCCATACGATGTTTACCTGAGCGAGGCGATCGAGATCCTCCGCTCTGGTGATGTGGACTGCCAGGTAAGAGCTGCTGAGCTGTCCAGGCGTCTCGGCACCTGGCTTAAAGCATACTGCTTGGGTGAGAAGAACAAAGAAAAGGGCCAGAAGGGGGAAGGTAAAAGAGGGAAGCGGTCACGGGGGAGAGATCGAACCCCAGACTTCAAACGGGAAAAGCATCGGTTTTCCCAGATACTCAACCGGATCTTCCAGACGCCGCACGAGCTCCGGTTCAAGATGAACACGAACAGGGAAGGATGGCAGAAAGACCTCCGCCACAAACGGAACGAGAGTAGGGAGTTGGTCCTGGTCCCGCTGTCCCGTGAGGCGGGAGTCACCCACGATAAGGTTCCGCCCCCTGAACGCCGCACCTGCCGTACCTGCGATGTAACATTTCCCTCCCGGCGGGACATGTTCATCCATTTTCAATACCTCAAGCATCGCTGTGGTAAACAACCGACGCCTCAAAGCAATCCCTGGAGGCAACCGGTCGAGATCGGGCCGACAATTGAACCAAGGGCCCTGGAGGCTCGACCTTGAGCCTTGTGGGTTTGATACAAGATGAACAGTTGGGTTCAGTGGTGGACACTTCAAAACTAAGAGGTTGTCCCAAGTTTGTGCGGGTGATGAGTTACTCCAGGAGAACACGAGGCTGGACGTTTCTTTTCGATTCGTTCCCTGGGATCCTGCTAGGTGGCCATGCTTTGCAAATAGACACGACGGTGCCCCAAACCACCTAGAACGCAATGCTAATACATTTGCAAAGAGGGCCGTAGAAGGCAGTATGGTTGGTTGTGTGCGCCAGTTGCCGGCTTTTTTGCAAGTTTGTTACATTTAACTGTACTGTGTCCAGTCTGCCCCGTCCCTGGGAGAGCCGAAACCCATAACCCCTGAATTGTTTTCGTGCCCTCCATAACAAGAACCACATACGCTTTTTGCACTTACACATATCCCAACATAGTAAATCACTGACATCTTACAGCACGAATACCCTCACACCAAGTTAGTCTTCCCTCTCAGGCGCCCTCAAATCCCCTCCCTTCTCCATCAGCCTATGTCGCTCCCCATCCTCAACCAGCTCCGCGCCGACCACATCCTTCCTCTCCTGCGCATCCACCCTCACCCCAGCACACCTCGCCACAAACTCACACAGCATCTCCTCCGCCTCCTCCGCATGCTTGCTCAACGAGTGATTATCCCCCTCAAACACCTCCAGCATCCTGTCCCCCGCGCCATACATATGGAACAGCCTCTGCGAGCAGCCCACATCCAGGGTATTATCCCCACTGCCATGCAGCAACAGCACCGGCCGCGGCCTCAACCTCCCAATCCCCTCCGCCCCGGCAGTCTGGCTCGCCACCGTGGCACACCCCACCACCCGCTCATCCGCCTCGGCCGCAGTAAACACCACCGCGCCGCCAAACGACCACCCCACCAGCACGAACCGGTCCAATCCATACATATCTCTCAGGTAAGCCATCGCGGCGCGCGCGTCGGCGGTGCAAGGGGCCGTCTGGCCCGGGTAGCGGTAATCCAGCCGCAGCGCGGGGATGCCGCGGCCGAGGGTGGCCAGCTTGCAGGCGAGGGAGAGGTAGATGGAGCTGGGCCCGGCGAGGCCGCCGCCGGCGCCGGAGAGGAGGAGCGCGGCGGTGCGGTGGTGGTGCGGCGGGAGGGTGGCGGCGGGGCGGGCGGTTCGAGGGGTGGAGGGGTCGGTTGTCTCGGCCGCCGGTGGGTTGGTGAAGAAATCGGGGGGCAGGTGCAGGAAGCCGGGCACGAAGCCGCCTTGGGCGTCGTCGACGTCGATGCTGAGCGGTTCGACGTGGCCGGTTTTGTGGGTCGTGGCTTCGAGCCGGGAGAGGTGAGGGGGTCGGGCGAGCCCGGCGTACTCGTGGATGGAGTGCGGTGCTTGGGCGTGATGGGGGAGGAGTGTGGCGGCCATTTTGATGGTTTTGGAGTTGAAGGTTGTTGTACTGCAGTTACGTTAAACAAGAGGCTAGAGTAACGGCGAGTGTATCATGGTAGGTCGAGGGGGTGAGAGGTAAGCAATGGTGAGCTTCTTTGGTCCTGATCTGACACGGGAGGGGCATGATGTCACTCGGGGGCGTTCTCGTCATCGGCGATGATCACCACACAAAGAGCGCGAGATCACGCCACTGTGACGAATAATAATCGAGGAAGATCAACTGAGGCTTCGCCATTGCCATGCTGGATGTACACAGTACTGCTCTTCCTCGCAGTTGTGTGTTGTGGTGCTAGACGTGAAGTAATTCAGGGGTAATGGCTTGAAAGTGTCCTGTATCACAACAGTGCACTGTATATTACCAAACCACCTTGCCAGACAGCAAGTTGATTATCGTAAGGTTGCTACCGAATGGCAACAATTCTATGTTAATCGAGGTCAGCCAGGAACCCCAGTAATAATTACCCAAGAAAAGCCAAACCCATCCCATATTCACCCCCAGCCCTCTAACCTTGACCGTGTCTACGCCACTCAAATATCACTTTGGGCCCACATCTGGTCCCAAGTCGCCTCCATCCCCTTGCGACGCTCCTCCTCCTCTAGCGTTCCCTCCAGGTGCAGGGCAGCAGCCGCGCGGCACTCAGCGACCCGCGACGCATCATACGGGCCGGGGTCACACCTCCTATCCAACTCCCTCAGCACTGGGGCAATGAACGTCACGATATGCCGGTCCTCCATAGCCGCGAATCTCTTCCTCGCATACCGCCTCTTAGCATTGAACCCCTCGGGCTCCACAAACTGCACCTTATCGGCGCTCTCCCTGCGGCCCTTGTTCTGGTCCTCGACGTTCCGCCGGACCAGCTCGTCATACAAGTCGGTGCACAACTCGCGTAGACGCCGGGGCTTGAGATTCTGGAGCGCCTCTGTCTCTGCGGATTGGGGTCCGGTGTGGGGGAATCTCCCGTTTGCGAACTGGGCGGCGAAGCGCGAGACCTCGAGGGCGCGGTGGAAGAAGTCGAGCACGATTTTGTCGGTGATATCGGGGAGCCGGAAGACGGCCTCGGCGGAAAGAGCCTTGTTGGGGGTGCGCTGCGGTAGCGAGGTATCGATGTCTTCGGGGAGCGGGGACATTTCGACACCGGCGGTCGAGACTGTCAGGACTCGGAGGGATCTCGAGTCGAAGATGGGTGGGGGTTGCAAGTCTGTATCGATGCCATATCCTGCTACCCTACGGGCATGCGGTTTCATGGACATTGCGACCGGCACGCGCACGACGCCAGGGTTGATGACGGGAGCTAAGGACAGCTGGTAGCCCAGTTCCGGCCCTTCTTCGTCTGGCTCCGAGAGGGGAAACTCGGAAGATGTAGGAGTGAGCATATCGGCCTCAGAATCGGAGTCGGAGTTGTCGCTGTCGTCGATATCGGAGATGATGATCGCGTTGTCAGACAGACGAGCAGGGCGGGGGATCAGATCACCGCTGCCGGGTCCGAATGTATCTCGCCCGAGAGACGATCCCTCGATGGTTGAGACGCCGGGTATCTCCAAACGGCTCGCACGTGGATTCAGACCCGGGTATAACCTGTTGATCTCCTTCGACAGATCATTCTCTTTGCAAAGAATATCAGCCACCGCCGTCCACAGGTTCGCCTGGCCCGTTGCGGCCTCATCGTCGGATGGACTACCACACCGTCAGTATCATCCCGCACGCCAACCCATCTCTTCACACGACGAGCTCACCTCTCAAAAATAGTCATCACCGACCAAACCGCCGTCCCAAAATCCTTCACCCCCTTCATCAAATCCCACACCTCCGCCCTCCTCTCATGCCTCATCCACCTCACCACATCCACATCCCTCTCCCTCACCCCCTTCCCCTTCCCCTTCCCCTCCCCAACACCAACACCAACCCCAACCCCGACATCCACCCCCTTCCTAATCCCCTCCTCCACCTCATACAACCTAACCAACTCCCGCAACGCCCCCTCCAAACAATACAGCACCAGCGCCCCAGCACCCAAGACAGCCGCGACCTGGCGCATCTCGATCAGGCGCTTGCGGCAGTGCGGGACGCCGGTCCACGCGCCGCCGCCGCTGTCGCTGTCGCCGTCGCAGAAGACGCGGCGCAGCTGCTCCAGCAGCGAGCGCGCGTGGTTCAGGTCGTAGCGCACGCGCACGACGCGCTTGTGGCCGCGGTCCTCGCGGCTGCTGCTGGGGGTGGTGTTCCCGCCGCCATCTTCGGGTCCGGGGGTGTCAGTGTTGTTTTCCTGGTTGTGGTTGTGGTTGTGATGTTGCTGCGAGGCTGGCGGCGCGAGGCCGAAGGCGGGCTGGACGAGGGCGGACACGCGGGTGGTGGACTCGAGGAGGTGGTTGAGGGCGTCGGGGAGGGGGGTCGGGTCGAGGTGCATGGTCGGAGGGTGGAGGGCGCGAAGGGGGGGATTGTGCGGTCGGTTCGGTTCGATCGCTGGCGGGTCGAAGGATCGGTTTGGGAGGAGCGGATTCGATGGGTCGAGTCTTCGTGGCGCTCGCTGTGCCGTGGATGGGAGGGCCGGGATGGGGGTTGTTGTGGAGTGCACGAGGGGGATGGACGGGCGAGGTCCGAGAGAGTTAATCTGTGAATCAGGGGATGGGGATTTCCGTCGCCCAGGAATCCACAGACACACGAGCGTGCACAAGTTGCTTGCACAATCCCGCACGGGGATCCAACCGCGTTAGTTATGATAAGCAGAGGGGGGAATATTGGCTGATGTTCTCCTGCTCCCTCTTGTCTTTCCCACTTCCCGATTCAGAACAACGGCATCGGGAATTCAGCCCTGCCGCCTTCATCTCCACCCACCGCAGCTATTTTGATCTTTCCAGCGGCCGGTGCCTGCACCCGGATGCAACGGTGGCGGTCGTTGGTGTCAGGCGGAGGCCGGGTTGGCTGCTGCAAAGCAATCTTACTGGCTGGGGTTGCGATGGTTGGGCGATCAGGGGGGTTTGCAGCGTCGGTTCACCGGGAATTTCAGTTGGCACGGTTGGCTCTCCCAACGCCTTGGAGGAGGTTCCAAACCTTCACTGGGCTGGCTTACTGGACTTCGTTCTTGAATTGTCCCGAGCCTCCCGTCAACTGCACAAGGCACACACACAGCAGTTCTTAACTCACCAACCGTCAGCAGCGATGTGGCGTGTGATATCGCAGGCCGTAGCTATTCCTGGGTCTTTCCAGGCGTGACTAATTCACATGCCCGTCACACTGTTGTGGCCGTGTCCCCATTCTATCGGCGCCCCAGCGTGATGTCTCCCTTCCAAAACATGCTTTGAAACATAAATGACGAATGCACTGGTGCTCACCACATTTCGTCCCGATCGATTCATCATTTCGACTATTGCATCCTTCTCCTTTGAACGGCAGACAACACAGGCCTTCTCACAAGCCAGTAATTTCTCATGGGGGAGCGTCAGGGACGCGGTGATGTTGAGTCTCAGGTGAGAATCACACACCGGCGAAAGGCCGCAGAAGATATCCTGGACCGAAGTAATGCTCCTTGAAAGACTCGACTCGCTACCCCAAGTCCCCAGTACTTGATCAAAACTGCCAGCTTGTACAGCGCCAGCGATTCGGTCTCCAGGCTGCGAAGTCTCGTCCACAAGGTGAAGGCACCGATCCTGAATCCCCAACAACCGCGACAGTGCTCGGATAGCACTGCTTGGATCGATCAAGCGGGAATGCTGCTTTGTCCGAACCCGAAGCCACAGCTCGTAGCGACTTTTCTCTTCTGGGACCAGAATCATGTCCGTCTCCAGAGTCGTGTGGGGATCACTGGGGGCAACACACTCAGGGGTTGCCCCTTCAGTGCTCCCTTGTACTCTGTCACCCTGTGACTCAATCGCCTCGGTGTGTCGAGATTCGATCATCGCAAAGCTGCCCTCGACGCTCTGTATGGAAACCCCTCCCGCCTCCGACGTGCCATCGCCTCGCAGCACGCCGATACGGCCCTTCACCCTCTGCATGGAAAACGGTTTGATGGATCGGAGGTCCGCCGACATATCCAACCACGGCGCAAGTGTAGCCAGCCCACCATACTGGATCGCTAGTCGGGGGCGTTGGTATGCGTCCTCGGGGCTTTGAGTTTCGATCAGGTCGGGGCAGCCGAGAAACACGCGCGATGCGACGGCGAACCAGTCGTTCCATATCACGACCCCATGAATCACGGCCGAAAGAATATCAAGCACGCCCAAATCCTCGGCGTCGGGCGGCAATGGCGAGGCATCCTCGCAGCCGAAGCAGTCGGCAATGGCGTGGGCGACCAATTGCAAGACTCCCATAAAGACTTTCCTCCGGAGGCACCCCTTGTCAAAGATGGCGCGGCCAACAAGCCTCGAGTCGGGGTTTCGACGGCGGCACCACATGCATTTGCAGACCTCCCTGACAGAGTCCGCCAGGTCCTTGAGGATGGGATAGCAACACAGGGATGCTTCCACGTCGGTGGTGCTAAAATGCTCTCTGCGTTGAGTTGGCAATTCGGGCACGCGTGCTCCGTTGATGTAGAACGCTCCCCCTCTTCTTCCCCTCGGAGGCGCTTCGAAGACAGCGGCAGTGTTCTTTTCAGGGCAGTCCCATCCCATGTTGAGTATTGACGGCGACCGTGTCACAAGATCCATTACTCGAAGCGTCCGTCTTGACTCCCTGGGGCCTTTTTTGTCCTCCGGTTTCACCTGAACTGCGAAGGCAAGGCTCGGGAGACGGTTAAAGGTTCCGGAAACGGGGAGATCCAAAAGCCTTGAGACTATGATAACCGCTGTGGCGCGAGTTCTAATACCGAGAGTTTCGTAGTCCACCGATGGAATCTCTCGATCGCGGCGCCGAGTGAAAGGGACGTCATAGAGCTCGGTCCGGACAGCAGCACCCCGATCCCAAAGTAACGGGTCCCCGCAGTTGTAGGTGGTAGTTTCGAACAAGTCCTGGGCTTTACCGGCCACGGCCACACGCACTCTGACGATATTCTCAGAGGAACGGGGGTCGGCGAGTGTATCGCAAGTTCCGCGGGGGCAGCTCTTCCTAATGCGGACCTCGATACGGCTCAGAGCTACTCCCTCCGCGGACTCTCCCGGTTTGTCCTCCAGGATTTTCCCGCCGACCACGACTGTGAGGTTGCCTGTAAAATGATACCACAGCCACCATATCAAGTCCTTAATCAGATACATGCTCTCGATCACAATCTCTCCTCCGTTTTGAACAGCCGTCCTGATCCGAGCCAGGCAGCTTCCAAGCTCGAATGCCTTCAGGTAATGGCCGTTCTCGCAGACGTCGTCAAGGCCATTTGGCAGAGGCAAGACGTTGGAAATCCCTGACCTTGCCGTGGCTGAGTTGACCACGTAGAACCAGACGCTATCCACTAGCTTCCGGAGGACCCGTTTCATGGTGACCCCACGGGTGTCGTGCTTGGCCTTGGTCTCCGAGAGTAGCTCTCCCGGATTCTGGTTGGCTTGGATGATGAAGGCCAGAATGGTAGCGTGGATAAAGTGCTCGCTGTGGAACTGAAACAGGCCGGCCACAGTTGAAGTGAGCCATCGTAAGTGCGGGTGCGCCGCCATCTGCCCACCAAGAGACCCAGATGTGCCCTGAGAAACGAAGTCTTTGGCGATTTTGGTGATGGGCGGTTGAAGAGTGACTGTCTTGTAAAAGTCTTCACAGTTGTCGTTGCCGTAGACCAGTCCCGCGGACTGCTCCAGGCACAATCCAAGCTCTTCCTCATCCACTCCCTCCCTGCCCAACCAACGGGCAATATTCGCTACCACACGACTGCCGGGGCTATTGAAGATGGCGGTCAGCAAATCCATCCCCCGGGCGGCAACCTCCACTTGGGATAACTGATTATTGGCCATCACAAGTGGTGTTTAGAAGTATTGTTCTGGTCAGGGCGCTCCTTTGTATTGAAGGCAGTGAGCCGATACTATCGAGTCCAAACTGCGGGCCCTGAACGTATTTGTGTTTCACGTTCTCATCGAGGAGGGGTTTGGACACTTGTGGTAACGCAAGCGTCGAATGCATTGATGCCTAGCCCGGACAAGCCACTGCCGAAATCAAGGCTGTGCTGCCGTTGGCGTCTCCTGGGCCAATGGGGGAAATCATCACCGGCGGGATGCATGCGGAGGGTCCTCGGCGTGAGTGAGGAGCAGCCCAAGTTCTGCCATCTTTTACTTTGATCCAATTAACATCAATCCAATTGAGGCTGAGTACCTACCTATGCGAGCTCATGACAACGCTCTAAAGGCGGTGCAGTGTAAAGCAAAGCCTTGTATGCCACAGCAGAAAGTTGTCCGCGCGCGTTGCTTCAAAAGCTGTGGGTGATAAATCAACTTGTCTATGTCATAATATCCCGATAAATGTAAACAACTAATAACATATTGACCGCATCAACTGACCGGGCCCCCATTCTCCCCAACCGCCGTCCGTCTCTGAAATCACAATCCCAATTCTATCATTATCGCCAGCAGCCCTGCTTATAAAGGCGATGGTTCTGTTAACCAGACGATGCAAAACATCTAGAAATCAACCCCTAATATATCCTCTCTCACGAGGACATCAGAGACGTAGTCGATAGTCATACTGCGCTCGGCCCATAGGCCCGCTTCTCTGGCCCAGAAATGCTCTGATACCAGGGCTGACTGGGGTGAACCCCAATGTTCCCAACGTGAGTCTGCTCTGGTCAAAGGGGGCTCAACCTCGGGGATCACCATTGCCCACGTGTTGGAACCCGTCCTGTAATGCTTCCAACGCTGCCCACACGGCGCCAAGCAGCCAAAGCTCCTGACTCGATCCTGTAATCCTTCGGGTTGCAACCGACTCGAGTCAACAACTCCATGACCAATCACATCTGGGCTTGCTGACCCGAAGCGAGTACGAGCCCGCGATTTCCCGATGGAACCAACACTGAAGTGACGGGAATGTGACCGATGTCATATATAAATCTGACACGGTTTCACCTTGCATGGTTGAATTCCAGTCCTCGAGCTTCACACAGCACATGATCAGAACTCAAACACTTGATTCTCCGTATTCAACACCCGATACAATGACTTCTCAAGATAATACGCCAACCCAGGCTGCACAGCCCAAGATCACGCTTTACTGGTCAGTGCCAGGCTTGCCAGCATCAACCAGACTTCCGACACTGACATGGCACATCTAGGCTCGATCAGTCTCGCGCACAGCGGATCGCCTGGCTGCTCGAGGAGCTCAACCTCCAGTACGATGTTGAGATCTTTCACCGCAATGCAGACATGCAGGCCCCTCCAGAACTCGAAAAGCTTCACCCGCTGGGAAAAGCCCCCCTCATCGGCATTACGCTCCCAGATCCCGCAGACCCAACCAAGGAAAAGCGAATCATCCTCGCCGAGAGCGGCGTGATCGCACAGTATCTAACGGAGCACTTTGGCCGCGGGACATCCCTTGCGCCGAAGCGGTACCTCGACGGGCACGAGGGCCAGGTCGGGGCCGAGACAGACGAGTGGCTGCGTTACCAGTACTTTCTGCAGTACCCCGAGGGCAGTTTGATGCCGCCTATCTTGGTGGGCCTCATTTTGTCGAGTAAGTCAGACCAGTTCTCCGGCAAAGCAACCGTGGCTTGCTAACGGATGCATGCTGTAGTCCTCAAAAGCCCCAAGATCCCTTTCTTCATCCGCCCCATCACATCGAGCGTTGTCGACAATCTGTTTGCCGCCTATCTGATTCCGGAAATGGTCAAGCAATTCTCTTTTCTTGAGTCGCAGCTAGAATCGTCTCCCCAAAATGGTCAGTATCTCTGTGGTTCGCACCTGACGGCCGGCGATATCCTCATGAGCTTTCCCCTGCAGCTCTCGCGAGAGAGAATCGGTGGGCTCAGCGCGGGCAAAGACGAGGGCAAAATCGAGGACAAGTTCCCCAAGCTGTGGGCATATCTGAAACGCCTGGAGGAGGAGCCCGGTTTCAAGCGAGCTGCGGCCAAAACTGAAGAGTGGGAAAAGAAGGCGTTGGGGAAAAAGAACTGAGTTGAAATTCCGGTAGACGCCTTTTGGAATTACCAGGGTTTGTATGATACCCCCCTCTCACAATCTTCAGCCCTATGTGTGTCCTGTACTACTTTTACAAATAATCATTCTGTTCCTTTGCAACCACCACTCCGAGTTCTTTTTTACCTCTTTACAGGCGTGAGGCGAAGGAAGAGCTCCGTCTTCTTCCAGATGGTGTACACCCTGGCCTCCTTCAGCCAGTTGTTGCTCCGCTCTGCGAGCTCCATGTCGAAATCATACACCATACGCGCCATGACAAGTCTCATCTCGGCATAGGCGAGGCTATTCGAGTCAGTATGGTCTCATTCCACGGGAAAGGGGGTTGGTAATGGATGCAACTCACTTCCTCCCGACGCAGTTCCTCGGCCCAACGCTGAACGTCTGCATGGCCTCGAGCCGGTCTCCGTCGATATCCTTCTCGTCCCGCTCCTTAGCTTCCCCGAGGTCGGCGTCGATCTTGTTCAACCACCGCTCTGGCTTGAAGGCGAAGGGGTCGCTCCAGTGCTGGGAGTTGTGGTTGATGGCGTACTGCTGGATCTCGACGATGGTCTAGTGGCCATTTTGTCAGCATCACGCCGTCGTGCAAAGTTGCGGATGGCTACTCACGTTCTCGCTAACCCACTCGCCCGCGATCATCTCACCACCTTCGTGCACATCACGGGGGAGATTGCTGACGGCCGGGGGGGTAACGGCGCAGCCCCTCGTTGAGGCAGGCCAGCAGGTAGGGCAGCCGGTTAACTGCGGCGATGGTGATGTCGTCGGAGGTTTTGAACGCGGACCGTACCTCGTCGTTCAGCTTCTTGAGCTTGTCAGGGTTCTTCAGAAGGTGGAAGGTGACGCCCGCCAGCAAACTAGCTGTCGTCTCGGATCCGGCAGCGGCGATGATAGTGGCGTTGGATTGCAGGCGTTGGAGATCGAGGTTCTGTCAAGTCTCGGGTCAGTCCAATATCCTTTTCTGACCGCCAGGCCAAGGTAAGGTAGGGAAGCGAGCACTCACCCATTCCTCGCGCTTGCTCATCAGCCCCTCGAACAAGTCATTCCGTTCCTGCCCCATATCCAACCGATGCTGCAGCTTGTTCGACATCATGATCATCATCTGCTTGAACGAGTCCCAAGCAGCGAACTTGATGACCTTGTTCAGCGCCCACTTGAACCCAGGAACCTTCCCCAACCCGGCATACTTCATCGCCACGAACGCAGCCGCCTCGGAGGTCGAACCAGTAACCATGTCGACAAACGGATGGGTCTTCTCGTCCTCGAGACAGCCAAACGACTCTGCAAAGACCAGATCCCCGATAACATCAAACGTGGTCCAGTTATACCACTTGACCATATCGACCTCCTCGCCCATCTCCGTCCGCCTGTGCAACCCCCTCATCAACTGGTTCACACACCTCACAATCACCCCCTCATGCTCCCTCATCGACCGATCACTGAAACCCGCCGCGACCGCCCTCCTCAACCTCCCATGCTCCTCGCGATCAGCATCCAAAATATTCGGCGCATCCATGCCATCGCGATCAATCAGCTGGCGCCTATAAAACATATCACTCTTGGGGTTCTCCTTCAGCGAGATATGGTCCCCCGCGCGGTGGCCAAAGATGTCCTTCCACGCGCGCGGGTCGGTGTAGGAGAGGTGGCGCGGGCCGAGGCGCACCACGGGGCCATACTTCTCGTGCAGGGCATGCACCTCGAACGGGCCCTTGCCGGAGGCGATGCGCAGGGCTTGGGGGATGGGCAGGGCGCGGGAGAGGAGAGGGCCCGGGTAGTTGCGGAGGGGGTGCAGGAAGAGGTTGTAGAAGGCGAGGAGGACGAGGTAGGCGGTTGTCTGTGGGTGGGGTTAGTGAGTGTGTCTTTGTGTGTGTCTTAAGCTATTATCACGGGGTATGATGCGTGGGTTTGTTTGTTTGGCGGGGGCCTGCGAGGTATAGAGTGGGGGTAGGGGGTGAGGGACACGACTGGAGTCAACGTACGAGGAGGGGGATGGCGAAGAGGAGGGTCCGGAGGACCGAGGGCAGGTGCTCGACTACCGTATCGAGCAGCATGATGGGCGATCTTGTTGAAACAGAGGATCGGGTTATTCAAGTGCGGTTGTTACTGGTGCTTCAGGTCGCAGAAGCAGACTGCTGAACTGAAAAGAAGGACCTTGGAGAGGGGATTCGAAGAAGGGGGTCAGTCGTGCGCTTTATAAATAGGTGCGCAGCAAGCAGCCCTATCCGCCACGCGGCCACACTTCCGTCGTTGGTAATCTGTACATAGTACCAAGTAACCAATCTGCATGTTACATTCACATAAACTACCGGGGTTCTGTGAAGGCCGAGAGCCCGCCAATGACACCGCGTAGGGGACTTGAAACCGGGCGAAGTCCGAAAATACAGAGGATCAAAGCTTCACTGCCCTCCCCTGCCACCTGTAACGGGGGCACGGGCGGACCACGGAGACTTTCACCAATGCCGGCTGGCGGATTTGAAGGTGCAATGTAACCGAACTGCTTAACCGCTGGGGGGGGGGCAAACAGGGTTTGTCAACTGACGATAGGCAGACGCTGTTGGTTGTGGGAAGACCCTGTTGATTCATAATTCATCGGTCCGCTCTTTGGGTGCTTGGCCATAACAAAGGTGTGGACTAATGCAGGCTTCGCGCAACTAAGTTTCCGGTATCCGACCAGAACTTCCCCGAAGCCCCTCCCCCTCAAGGCCCCCTGTCTGGCACAGCCTTCAGAATTCAAGAAGGACGGGCAAACTCGGCTACAAATGGATAAACTCCCCACCACAATGTAACCAGGCGGTCCAGGCGGCAGGCCGTCATCTGATAGATCGAGAAAACCTCGACCCTCCGTGGGGTTGCTCAGAATGACCTCATTGCGTGGCACCACGTCAACGGCTGCACGGGAATGCACAGTTATGGGGCGAGAGAGCGAGCACTTGGTTAGCCACCGGGGTGTGGGATGACCCGCCTTCCCGTTCCCCCGATGCCTTCCAGGATGCCCCATGTATTAGTTGTGGTATTTTATGAAATATATGGACGGAATGAGTGAAGTGGATGTGTAATCGGTAGTTATTGGCGCAGTCCTGGTTGGCTGATTGTGGCTGGCAAGTTCTGACAAGATATTCCTTCGTCCATGCCCCATTCCTTCACTTTCTTCACATTCGCTCGTTGTGTTTACTTTGTGTCACTTAGTGCTTACAGAACGAGGGGGCCATGTCGGGTAACTGGGGGGTGAGCATGGTCTTGAACCAATAGTTAGGTTGCTCGTCTGACGTGGGCAGACCATACTTGCAACGGTGATTGTGCTTCCTTGAGAATTGAGACCTGATCGGGGAACAACGATGCGCATATGTACGTACAAAGGGTGCAAATATAGTATGTACACCACGAAAGTTTGCCATAGCCACCATTCCTGTGCAATTGGAAGTCTTGCCGATCGATGCTTGCTCGTGTGAAGAGTGAGCTGCTGGACTGTATCCCTCGATCAAACACCGTCTCCTCCCCTTCCCGGTGGCAACGCGCAAATATCTCCTGGACTGTGCTTGGTGCTTGCAGTTGGTAATATCTACTGCTACCGCTTGAGCTACTTAATATACATACATCAGGGACTGTAATGACTGCGCTTATTACCCCCTAGAACGCACCTATGAGGGCCGGGACGCGCGGTTCCCGTTTTCCTTCAACCCCGAGTAAGGATTGAGCGTCTCCAACCACTTGAGTGCGGACATAAGGCCCGCCCGTTTTCCCTCCGCCTCCGCTCTGGCGCCGGCGTCGGACTGATCCGGCACCCGTTCCGCGTTATACTCTTTGCGAAGCCTGGAGATGAACCCCTGGTTGGCATTGCGCTCTTCGATTGCCTTGCGCCTCCTCGCCTCCCGCGTTAGGAGCGTTTCCCACGCACGCTTTGTGTCGCTTTGTGCTCGGCGCCAGTCGTCTCTGGCAAACCAGAAAATCACGAACGAGTCCCACGCCTGCCACTGTGTGAAGCCGGGCCAGGCGTAAAGCGCAGCAGCATACTCAGCAATGGATATGTCTTCGTCCGGCAGTAGTGTGGTCATCCAGTTCCCGATTCCGCCCATCGTGGTAACCTTTATCTTCTCAAGAATATCCTGCTCTCTGGTTTTGCCCTCGTGGTAAGCCTGGGCCTGTTTTACCTCGGCATCGAGCTGTGATATTTCCAACTGCATCCTCGACTCCAACAGCTCATGCACGTGCATCTGGGCCGCAATCTTTGCGTCGTATTTCTGGCGGCTTGCCGGGTGGCTTAGGATCGCGTGGGCGTGCTGAACCTATGATTGAAATCAAGACGGCGAGCGGTGAGCATATGCTTGCTAACAACAACTAGAACGGGGGAATATGTTTATTGTTAATGGGCATACCTGGAAAAAAGCCAAAGTTATGTCCCCTGTAGCGCTTGCCGAGGGTTCGAGCGCTAACCAAGACTGGTAGGTTTGGAAGATGTCCTTCTGGGTTGCGCTAGGTTGTACCCCTAGAGTCGCGTAGGCAGGAAACCAGTCGATGGTCCATAACGGAGTAGGGTCTCTTGGGGACACCACGTCATTGTCGTGTACTGCTGACGGGGACATGCTCGCGTAGCGTGCCGAGGAACCGCGACTTGAGATGTTCGGAGGAACCGGGTGTGAGAAACGCTGCGTTAGGTTAGGCATTGAAGGAAATGGTATATCCGATAATGAATGGGCGAGGCGGGACTGGGCAGGTCAGAAGACAAATTGAATGTCTGTTAGTGGACGAGGAGGGCGGGCGAGGGAAAGAACTTGACACGCCGTCAACCAACTGGAAGAACTTAGACTCGAGTAGGAACGATGCCCCCATGAGCCAGAACAACCCGGTACTTAAACTTGGCTTAGAAATATCAATGCCGGAAGCTACTACCCGCTACCTACTTAACGTACTTTCTGAAGTGCCTGACCATTCACCTGCTCAACACCGCCGACCACTCTTGCCGTGCCAAAGACTCCTCCACGGTCAGCATGGGGCAATCAATACCCGCCTAGAAGCGGAACACGACAAATTAGTACACATGACAAACTCGGGTTCTACGTGAGAGGGAACTCACCTTGCGCAGGTCTTCGGCCTTCAAGACGTCCATTCCGCCGTCATAGCCCGGCTCCGAGCTGTAGTCGAACATCAAAGCAATCTCGACGCCGAGATCTCGGTCCCGCTCGGCCACCTGGTTCACCATTTCGTCGAAGCTGATCTCCCTATAGCGAATGGTGGCGCCCGTAACCTTGGCCCAGACCTTTGTGAAGTCGGACCAGCTGAGGTACTCGCCGGCCATGTAGTCCTTGCCCGGGGGCATCTGGTGCACGGCGTAGACAAAGTTGCCCGTGTCCGCGTTGACGTCCAGGTGCGGGATGAGCTTGTCTGGGTTGCAGGGAAAGCACGTCTCAAAGGTACCGTCGTCGAGCTAAGTAGGGGTAGCTCAAGTCAGCAACTGGACACCTTCTTCCCTATCCAAGCGTCTCCGAGTTGGGAACTCACCTTTCTGAAATATCCCTCCGGCAGGATGCGGTGGCTCGTCGTGAAGAAGCCCGTGTGGATGCAGGACATCTTCGCTGCCAGCTGGGGATGCGCCGCCGCAACGTAGTCCGGGAAGATATCGGCCTTCGCATCGTAGTGGTACAAGTCCTTGAACTTGCCGTTGCTGCACTTGCCAGCGTGGCTCAGCGTTGACGCCAGGAGACCGTTCTCCTCCAGGGAGTCCACGACCGTCGCCGCGGCGTCGGCAATGTTCTTCCCCTGTCGGTACTCGACATCATAGGCATACCGTCTGCAGGTGATGCCGAGCTCCTCTGCTTTGGCCCGGCAGTCGGGCCGGAAGAAGGGCTCCCAGTAGTTGGTGACGCTGAAAATGATGTTGGCGCCCGTGAAGGCCGCCTTGAGCGAATCGACGTCGTCGAGATCGGCGCGCACCACCTCCACCCCGAGTGCCGCAAGTTCCTTGGCCGCCGCAGACGTGGAGTCGCGCGTCAGGCCGCGGACTGCGTACCGAGAGTCTTGGACAAAGCGCCGGGCCACGGAGCCGCCCTGGTTACCGGTCGCTCCCACCACTACGACGAGTTTCTTGGTGGCATCGGTGCTGGCGGCGGTGGTGTTGCCGTTGGTGTTGTCGTCGGTGTTGTGGAATGGCGACGCCATGCTTATAGATTTCGCTGTGAGACGATGCACGTTGTTCTTGTTCCAGTTAGATTACGCAGGTTGAAACGTGCATGCATGCAATCACCAGCCCGGGTCCTACCAAAGAACAAAGAACGTGCTACGCGGAGGGAAGTGGGAAAGCGCACCTCGACGCTCATCTCATCCCATGGTAGTTAAACTGACTTTCACCCTTGAACCATCCCCCTTACCCCCACGAAAAACACCCCCCTTTCCCTCGGTGCCTAGCTCCGACCCGGTGAGGTGGGAAAGATTCCACCCTCCAATCCCACCGGCTTTTACGTTCCTTGGGGAGGAGTCACAAGGTCGGGTGGCCCGCCGGGGAGAATGGGACCCGGAACACGTTCCTTGTTCGGGTATGGCGGGTGGGACAGTACCAAGGTGGGACCACATGGCCCTCGGGACTCGGATCGTTCTGGTTTAGCGAGCGACTCGAGCCTGGCATTGGTTCGGATGGGGACCCAGCGGCTTGGTTTTGCCCCCCCGGCTCGCCGGTCCCGAACCCATATCAACTGGGTCCAACCCACTTCCGACCCTGTAAAGCGAGACGTGACTTGGTAAAGGGATTTTGACCAGTAATTACCCGGGGTGGTCAAACACAAAAACCATGGCATCATCCCGCAACCCCAACCCCACGATGAGCGAAGCTCATCAATCCCCTTGGGGGGCGCCATCAACTGGACCGGAATCAGGGGTAGTAGCACAGGGACAGGAACACGAAGAACAATTTCACGCACTAGATCAAGGACAGCAGCAGCAAGAGCAATGGCATGGAGGAGTAACCGGGCAACAGGAGGAACTCATCCCCGCTCCACTGCAGGTCGACGTAGGTGTTGAACCCCCTCAAGCCACCACGAACCAAACCCACCTGCACAGTTCCCGAGACATCATCCCACTAAACAAAGGGCCCCACCCCCGCAACAGGACGACATCGATCTCGATGACAACTCAGACCGCGACTCGGCCTACGGCTCGCTCGCGGGGTCGACGCGCACGGATTCAATCACGTCCTCCATCACCAACTACGTCTACGAGAACGGGCGGCGGTACCACGCCTTCCGGTCGGGCCAGTACGTGCTGCCCAACGACGACGCCGAGCAGGAGCGGCTAGACCTGCAGCACCACATCTGGCGCCTGCTCCTCGGGGGCGCGCTCTACACCGCGCCGCTGCGCATCCCCCAACCGGGGGAGCTCCTCCCCACCGCCAGCAGCGGCGGGAGCATCAGCACCAGCAGCAGCGGCGGGTCGGACTTCCGCATCCTGGACCTCGGGTGCGGGACGGGGATCTGGGCGATCGACATGGCGGACGAGTTCCCGCGGGCGTCGGTGTTCGGGGTGGACCTGTCGCCGATCCAGCCCGAGTGGGTGCCGGGCAACTGCCGCTTCCACGTGGACGACTACGAGGACGAGTGGACCTACCGCGACGACGAGGCCTTCGACTACATCCACGGCCGCGCCATCTCGGGCACCGTCGCCGACTGGCCCAACTTCTACCGCCAGGTGCGCCAGAACCTGAAGCCCGGCGGCTGGTGCGAGATGCAGGAGTACGATGCCTGGATCTATAGCGATGATGATAGCCTCGAGCGGGCGCCTTGGACCAAGACGTGGTCCGAGAAGCTGCATGCGGCGAGCACCATGTTTGGGAAGACCATCAATGTGGCCAAGGACCACAAGCAGTGGATGATCGATGCCGGGTTTGAGGATGTCGTCGAGAAGATAGTCCGGGTGAGTTCAGTTGTGGTCTCTTTTCTTTTCGATTTTCGACAAGGAGCGTTCGGCTTACAGATGTACATATCTACTGACCGACTACACTCACAGATTCCCATCGGCCCCTGGGCCAAGGACCCGGCGCTCAAGGAGCTGGGCCGGTTTGAGCAGCTGCACATGCAAATGTCGGTTGCATCGCACGTCCCGGCCCTTTTCACCAGAGTGTTCTCCTACTCGGAACAGCAGGTTCAGTTGTTGATCGAGGGCGTCAAACGCGAGTTTCGAAGCAGGGACTTGAGGTTAATCACATGCTACCGCTTCGTCGTCGGGAGGAGCCCTGGCCCTCCTCCCTTCATGGGATGAATCGGTCTACGAGACATGGTATTATTATTATAGTATTAATTTAATGACTTATGCTGCCGTAACGTCCTGTGGTCGTAAGCGCAGCTTGGTGCCGTCTCTTTGAGAAACACATGTGATTCCCATCCCTCCGCTTCTGAATGTACTTCAGGGATCGTTCAAGTCGTTCAAGGCCTTGCAAATTACCCTCGACCGTTCCCTCTTTGTCAGAATAAACCCATCCGTAACTTACGCCGCCGCCCATAAGCTCGATCGCCCATACATCGCCATGAACCTCCATGCGAACCTGGTCAGCTTTGCCGCCTCTCCGTATAATGCTGGCTAGGCGCAAGGCAGCCAATCTAGGTATCCTCGAGTCGTTCCGTCCATAGATCCCTTATAACACAATTTTTTAAAATAGACATATTGCTGGCCAATACCGACCCGTGTAGGAGCCGAGCCAAAGGCATGGGTCTTTTCATCAAAGATCACTACAATCCCGACGGGGCGGAATGACGGCAGAGAGTAGTCCAGGCGTCCTCGGAACTTGGGAAGCCTGGCTGAAGGGACTTGCATGTCCGTCTGGGCACGGTTAATGCTTCCTGGAGCCAAGATGTCGTCGTGGGCGGTGAGATGGTACTCCAAATACGTGTCGACAAGAAAGTGATATAGGGTGAGCTGTCCACTCTCGGGCGGTAGAGCGGGCGTCGAAATCGCCGAGACATACGATCACTGCCCAGTCGAAGTAATCGAAAATTCCTCGTACTCATCATCCCCGTTTTCGTCCGAGTCATGGCGCTTGGTGTTCTCGGAGCGTAAAAGTGCGTCGTACTTTTGAAACTCGCCGGACCGGACGGGCGAATTGTAAAAGCCCGACGCCGACACGATGATTCTAAAGCGAGTCGTGTGAAGCTGGATCTGAACCCTGAACCATTGGCATTACTCGCCCTCGTTGGAGGTTGTGAAACTGAGCTGACGATATCTTGAGCTCGTCATGATCACGGATGGGACCTGGTTGAAGGTTGCTGGAAATGGATGAAGTTAAACAACAAGGTCGGGAAAGAAGTGCGTGAGGGCGGTTGCCACCGACAGATAGCAGCTTCTACTTAGTTTAATCCAGGGAACTACTTATAGTGCCGGTGTAGTCGTGAACGCCACCAACGCCATCAGCATGGATAATTAGAGCGAAATTGAAAAGTCATCAAACTTTATCATGGGATACGCCTCCCTGGTTTCATGAATGACACTCTGGGACATGGATAACTGCCCCATGGAGTTTCCAAATTACTGTAGATAGCGTTCAGATTTTTTCCGGCCTGCTTGTGTTATTGCCTGGTTGGGTGAAGTTGTTACTTGAGGGAGAGAGGGAGGATGTTGTTTTGGAGGTACCTTGTGCGTGGGGAGAGGATTGTGGGGGAACGACCCCTCTTAGTCAGCAGACCTCAAGCTCGGTCCAATGCGTGCGACGGCGCGAACTAAATTTTGATGGAGCGGCACCTCGGCCCTGGACTGTGAGCGACCCTCCCAACCACAAAACCCAACGATGCCCCCAAGATTACCACTTGCGCAGGCGGCGCGATGCTGCGCTGCGGCGATTGAGGCCCCTGCGAGGCCGGCGAGCCTGGTCTCCCTCTTCGCCGCTCTCTCGGTGCAGACACGGAGCGCATCGATCCTCGCCAGCATCTCCGACAATAAGGGCGCCTACAACAAGCGCATTCGGAAGGGTCGCGGTCCCTCGTCCGGCTACGGAAAGACGTCTGGTCGTGGTCACAAGGGTACGGGGCAGCGTGGAAAACTCAACCCGTGGTTTCAGGGTGGCCAGACTGCCCTCATTTTCAGCCATGGCAAGATGGGCTTCGTCAACCAGTACGTGTCCCATGCTGGCTCTGGGGCTCGCCAATGACGCGAAATGAACCACTTTACTCACACGTTGTGACAGTCGTGCACCTGAAATGATGGAGCTGAACCTCGACCGACTTCAGGCCTGGATCGACGCCGGCCGTCTCGACCCGAAGAAACCCATCACGCCCCGCGAGATCATCAGATCGGGCGTCATTGGTGGTAGCATCAAGGACGGGATAAAGCTACTGGCCCGCGGCGGAGAAACGCTGAAGACGCCAATTGACATCATGGTGTCCCGGGCGTCGGCCTCTGCTATTAAGGCGATCGAGGATGCCGGCGGCAAGATCACAACGAGGTTCTACACGAAAGAGTCGCTCAAGCGGTTGGTCAAAGGTCACAGTGTCAACACGGAAAAGCCGCTCCCTTTTGGGCCCGAGCATGTCGAGGCCGTGCTGGAGCAGGCGAGGACGACCAAGAAACACTTCTACCGCTTGCCCGACCCGACAGGTCGTGAGGATATCGAGTACTACCGGGACCCGGCCCACAGGGGATATCTGAGCCACACTCTGCAGCCGGGAGAGTCGCCCAGTTTGTATTTCAAGGTCCCCGGCACGGCGGCCATCACGGGCAAGCCCAAGAACAAGGAGAAGGCCGCCGAGCAAGCCGCGAGGTTGTTCTAGATGAATACACCTTGTTCTCTGTGTTTGCACTTGTATTTTACTCTGGCAGCAATGTAAAATTCATCCTGTATCAATTCCCCAAGAAGTTCGCAGCAGGTTGCCCGAATCCTCAACTTTGTGCAAGTTCCTCTCTAACCCTCTACTCTCTAACAAGCACCATGTGGTTGATATGGATGGTCCGAGCGCATCTTCTCCAATTGCAAGCTACCCCTGTCTGTTGGGGTCGAGCTGTGCCTCCGCCCTCCAGCCCCCTTCGCCTCCGGGCAGTTGCTTTTGCCGCCTCTTGCGCTGACGACATCTCCTGCGACTCCCAAGGCTGAAGCTTTTGGCCGTCTTGTCTCATGTGTCCATGAACCCCGAACCGCTTCCTTCATCCCTTTTGTCCCCGTCACTTCCTGTTTCGTGGCGTTCACAAACCAGCGCATCGTTGCGACAGCTGCCTTGCCTACAGATTACAGAGAGAGTGCCTTGCCTGACTTCACAAGCCCTTGGATAGCCGCTGCTCCAACCCCCGCTGTGTCGCGCGAAACGGCACATCGCGACGATCGTTTCAACTCAGCCAGGCCTGCTCGCCTCGACCAAACTCCAAAAACTTCCAATCGCTAATTGATAATATCTATCATGTCGCTGTCGCTTTTCGGCAGCTCCCCGTCGGATGGTTCACCCGAACTGCCGAATAACTTCGACAACAGCAGATCCTCACTGTTCGAAGACGAACCGCCAATGACCAAGTCCACCACCTCGGCATTGTTCGCCGACGATGAGGCCGGCTCCGACTCGCCGTGGGACATGCCGACGCCCCGAAAACAACAAACCCGCGCCGACCTTATTCGAACCCTCCTCCCCGCTTCCGAGGTGCCCGACAGCTACATTGAGGCCTTTGACAAGGTCGTCGCGGAAGATGGCAGCGGAGGCCGCATCATCGCGGGCGGAGTTGCGAGGACCCTGGCCGCCGCAAAGCTCGGCGCCGACGCCCAAGCGCGAATAATGTCCATTGTTGCACCAGGCGGCAGCCGTGAAGAAGTGTCTCTGGACAGGAACCAATTCAATGTGTTACTGGCCCTGATTGGCCTCGCGCAAGAAGGCGAAGGGGTTAGTCTCGATGGGGTAGACGAGCGACGCCGAGGTGAGTAAACCCAACAAACGTCTCTTCCACGCCCTCATCCATCCATTTCATCTCGAGTCCCATGCGCCTGTTCGCATTGCGCAAGGCAATCTTATCGGAACCACCGGCAAAGCTCGCTCGCTCATCGGCTTCAAGGTCCCGCCGTGCGTGCGCGAGTGGGCCCATGTTTTGCACCTGTCACCTTATCGGAGCTAACCCAACTGCGCCAATCCCCAGATCTCCCCCAGCCGACCCTTCACGGCCTTGTCGAGAACACACCAGCCCTACCGCAAGTAGAGGAACTGGCCGCGAAGTCGCCACAACGAACAGCGACACCCCCGAGAGCCCCCGAGCCCGCCTCCCCAGCACGGCACCGCAGCATCAGAAAGCCACCATCGATGGACTACCCCGAAGACCCGTGGAACAGCCCCGACCTGCATAGGGGCCACAACCACGGCCCCGAGATGCCGCGCCCAAATGGCCATGACAGGTCTGTATCGGCCGGCCCCCTAAACGGGGGTGGCTTCGGGACCAGCCCACAGGCGACTCTGCCCCGCCGTACCACGTCCACATTTACGACTAGCGTCCCTCCCTCGGGTGCTGGTTCGGTTACGGAAGGACCGGCTGCGTGGGGATTTTTAGACTCCAACGCGCCTGCCGCCGGGCAGTTCAACGAGCCGCCGGCGAATCCCATCGCTCAGGCTCCGTTTGGCGGCGTTGCCGCTACCGCTGTCCCGCAGGAGGCGGCTAGTGTCCAGCCCCCGACGCCAGCCATCAACAGGACCATCGGTGGAGGTCGGAACGGGGCAGGTGTGGAAGAACACATCCTGGTGACATTAATGCCGGAGAAGGAGGGCGTGTTCTTCTTCCAACATCACAACTACGAGGTAACCAGTTCGAGGAGAGGAAGCAAGGTGGTTCGCCGGTACAGCGATTTCGTGTGGCTGCTGGACTGCCTGCACAAACGATACCCTTTCCGAGTCCTGCCGCTCTTGCCGCCTAAGAGAGTCGCAGGTGGGTTCACTCCTGTCCTAGCATGCATAACCTCCTTCTAACAACACGTTCTAGTCAACGGAAACCACCTATCCAATGATGGCGCCTTCATAGAAAAAAGGCGCCGCGGCCTTGCTCGGTTCCTGAACACGCTGGTCCGCCACCCCGTGCTCGGCCAGGAACAGCTGGTCATTATGTTCCTTACAGTCCCGACGGTAAGTGGATCCGCTCAAGCTCGAGATGCAGCGGCTGACAAACTACGCTTCTAGGAACTCGCCGTATGGCGCAAACAGGCCACCATCTCGGTGCAAGACGAATTTGCCGGCCGGCCCCTGCCCCCCGGCCTCGAAGACTCCCTACCGCCCACGCTCGAAGAGCTTTTCGCCCGCACCCGCTCCGGCGTTAAGCGGAGCGCCGAACTGTACATCACCATTTGCAACCTCATGGATCGGCTGGTCAAGCGGTCCGAGGGCGTGGCGGCCGATCACGCGCGCGTCGCCCTCTCGCTCGTCTCATTAACCGAAGCAAGCGCCGACACCTATGCGACCGACACCAACGACGTGCCGCTGCTCAACGACGGGCTGCAGGCCATGAGCCGCCACCTCCGCACCGCGCAGAGCTTGATCGAGGACGAGGCGCGCGTCTGGGAGGGCGGCGTGCTGGAGGACCTCAAGCGGCAGCGGGACGCCCTTGTCAGCTTGAGGGACCTCTTCGACCGCCGGGAGAGGCTCGACAAGGACAACATCCCCTCTCTCGAGAAGCGTATCGCGGCGAACGAGACGAGGCTGTCGGCGCTGCGGGCGAAGCCCGAGGGCATGGTGAAGCCGGGGGAGGTGGAGAAGGTCGTCGAGGCGGTTATCAAGGTAGGACCAGACCCCGCCCCCTATCCTTCCACACTTCACTGCGTCCCTAATTACCATTTATACTAACGCTGTAAACCCACAAAACAGGACAAGGAGTCGATCGTCGACCAGCACAACCGGTCTGTCTTCGTCCAGGAGTGCGTGCGGGATGAGTTGAGCTACTTCCAGCACACGCAGTACAACGTCTCGCGGTGGAATCAAGACTGGGCCCAGGAGCGCGTCAAGTACTCGGAGCTGCTGGCCGACAACTGGCGCCGCCTGCTGGATGGGCTCGAGGGGATGCCGCTGGGTGATTAGGGCCCGAAGCGGGATTCTCGAGAGGGAGAGACCGCGTGGTAATAATACTGCGGTCGGTGGCGCGTGTCGATGAGGTGGCAGGATGTTTCTTCCGACAGGGAATACAGGGATACATTTGGGATTCCATATCATCATCGGCGGCGTTTCTTTTCCATTTCTTCTATTCAAGTTGTACTGTGCATAGGAGTCGATACCTTTGGTAGCTGGATGTTTGAGATTGCGATACCCTGGGTAACAAGCCGTTCACTTTACCATCTAGTTAGTCCTGTTGTCATCATTGTGCCACCATGCTGTTGTTGGTGTCTTTTCCAAGACATTTTGCCTTGTCACAAAACCGTGTAACAGCCAAGTGAATGAATAGTTGCAGTACTTCGTCGTTAAAACATCAAAACCCCTCGACTTTCGCATCCCCTGGCGCCAAGCCTGCCCCTCGGTCTCCAACTCTGGCCCACGGCCCCCAGGCCCGTCCAGATGCGCTGCAACCCCCGCCATGACGTTTTTCAGCCTCGCGCGCCTGCCTGGCCTCGTCCAGCTGCAGAATCTTCTTCAGTTGGTCAGTCGGAGGAATTCTGTGACCAACCATTACCCCCGACCAAACGATTAAAAGGACCCAACCCTCAACAAACTCGCACGCGAGGCTGTCGACCTCGTTTCGCGTCCCTCCGCCTCGCCCCGCTCCAACCCAACAACAGCCCCGCGCAAACAGCACCTGGCCCGCTATCGCGTGTCCCGCAACCCGATTCGACCGCAACACCGACCCTTCTTCTGCCCAAGGAGCCAGCCTTGGCAAGAACCTGAAGTCGAACAAACGACCTGATCTTGCGAGCCACAAGAACCGGCCGCGACCGAACCCAACCCGTTGCGACCGAACCCCTCGCGACCGTGCAAAGCTGCACTTTCAAGAGCGCCCATACCGTACGACCCGACGCGGCATCCACAAACGCGCGCAACTACCCTACCATCTCCCGTCCTCGCCCTCTCCTTTTCCTTTAGCGACATCGTCCCAGGGGCTGCCTGGCCCTGCCGTCGTTTGTAGGAACCGTCAAAATGCCGGCGACCTCGACGAGGCGGACCCAAGCCGCCGAGCAGTTTGTAGCGGTAACAAAAGCGACGAGGGAGAGCGCGCAGGCGGTGGGTTTTGCTTCCCCTTTTTATTTTCTTGTCTCCCTTTTTCTTTTGTCTGCCCCGCGCGCTGCTGTCATCCCGAATACCACTACCGTCGCGCTCTCTCGCACCGCATGGCCGATGGGGTGCTCTTTCGGCCCGATACCGATGGGCCTTCGATCCTTGCCTTGCATGACACGCGCTGACTGTTGGACGAAATGCGACAGTACCTGAGGAACAATAATTACAATCTCGATGCCGCGCTGAACCAGTAAGTTGGTATTTTCCCGCTCGTTTCCTGCCCTTTCGTAGCTCCCTCCTCCGCCCTTTCGAGAGAGTGCCTTCCTCCCCCACACCCCGAGTGGGCCGCCGGCGCTTGGACGGGGTGTCTCCGGCCGAACCATCTCCGGGCGCCTGTGTCCCGCACATCCCAGGCGGAAGACCCGTGGTGGAAGCGTTCTGGAAGATGAGATCGGCATTACGACACCATGTCTCATATAGCACGTCGGGGCCAAAGCCAAACATCCCTTGCTTCCCTCGGCTACCTTTTCGACTCTTTCAACTCGGCTTCTCCTGTTTCTGGAAGCTACCTAGGCTTTTTGTTTCCTCAATTGCCTTCCAAACAAACAGCCTCCTAGTGGAACCATATTGCCATCTCGTTTATCCGTCCGTACCTTCCTGGTTTCCGTTGAGCTCATTACTCATTTCGTCTGATCAATCTTGGATATCGCTCCTTCCGTTTTTTGTTTTGTTTTGTTTTCTTCATTTTTTTCCCTTCCCATATGACCGCACGGGATGCAGCACCTTCCCCGGCGAGCATGATGCGCCGCTTCTTCCATTCTTGCTTCAACAAACGACCAGAGTCAACGCCACCCCACACCCAAGGGTCGACCGAGACAGATAGCAGTGACGCAACACTCGTTCCTCCGCATCCACCACCACATTCTTCCGGGCTCACAATACGAGACCGTATGAGAGCCACAGGCAAGGGAAAGGGCGGATTAGAAGCAGAGTCATCTACCGCCAAGACACCGACCATGCCAAAAGCTGCAAAGGAGAAGAAGGCGACCAAGGCGGCGAAGGACCGGAAACCCTACTCAAAGGCGGCAAGGTCCGACCCCGCGTCGCTCACTATTTACTCACGCGCGCTGCTTGGTGCTTCTTCGGCTTGAGGCGGATCGGAAAGCTGACGGCGGTGCTCTTTGCAGGTATTACAACGACAATCAGAACCATGGCGGCAATAATAAGGCGGACGCAGCAGCGAGGGCGCAGCTGAACCAGTTCTTCGATGACCTCATTCCAGGTAGGCCCCGCCAGGTCACCTTTCGGCAACGAAGACCAGCAAACTGACCAACTACCAGAGGAGGAGAAGGCGCGAAGCTCAGAACCGATTTCCGAGATCGGCGCCGAGCAGTCCATGGCCTACCTCGAGCGCCTCGAGGTCAACATGGCCAGCTACGAGCTCTTCGTAGTGCTCGAAATCGTCAAGGCCGAGTCCATCGGCACCATCACGCGCTCGGGCTTCGTCGACGGCTGGGCGCGCGTCATCGCGGAGACGAGCAACCACGCTAACAGCAACATGCGCATCACGCCCGACTGGGCCGGCCAGCAGCGCCACGTGCGGGGGCGCATCGCCCAAGTCATAGTCGATGACGACTACTTCAAGACCCTCTACGACTTTGCCTTCCAGGTCGGCCGGGAACCCCCGCAGAAGGCCATCGGGATGGCGGTCGCCGTCGGGTTCTGGGAGGGCCTGTACGAGCCCAACTCCAACCCGTGGCGGTCGGCGCACGTCAACTGGCTCGAGAACTGGACGACGTACCTGCGGGAGAAGTACGGCGTCGTCAAGGTGAACGAGGACGGCGAGGAGGAGGTCGAGTACAAGCGGACCGTCAGCAAGGACCTCTGGACGCAGACCCGCCTGTTCGCCATGAAGACGATGAAGGACGAGACGCTAGGGTTCTGGTCCGAGGAGCAGGCCTGGCCGGGCGTCATCGACGACTTTGTGCTGTGGTGCAAGGAGAAGGGCATCGTGGAGGAGAAGAAGGCCGAGGACGCCATGGACGCGGAATAAGCCGGCACAGTTTGCCATGTTGCCCGCATGCCTTCTGCAGACGGCCCATACATAGATGGCGGATGCTGCGACGGACGGCATGGGGAATAACGACGGAGGCACGCCCCTCCATTGCGGGAGGCCGGGTTGCCCGGGTGGCATACACATAACGGTTCACAGCGACGGCTTCGGGGCATGCATACACAGTACAGAACTGGTATAGAATAAGACTTGTTCATGCAATTATGTAGCCCCCTTGCTTATGACCTGACCAGTGCCGAGATGTTGAATCTGCGATCGACGGCCCTATTGGCGGGGGTGCTGAACTGCCGTGAGAGCGATACCACGTTACGTCAGGGGGTCCCGGCGAGGTCACGCCCAACCAAGCCTGGGCTGAACATGGGAGAGCTGGTCGGTCGGGAGTGGTCCGTTTCGTCGTGTCCAGGAATCGGACCGGTGCGGCATTGGCACGCTAAATAAGGCCGAGATCTCGTATCATCCGTTGGGAGTGTTGTGTTGATGCAACTCAGAAACGAACCAGTACCAAAGCTGTCAATGTATGTATGGAGGTAGTGGTGGAAAATGTCTTTGTTTTACATCCCGCTGTGCTCCTCCATGCGAGAGCCGAGTGGTCATGTCTCAGCTGCGCATGTCTATGGTATGCATGCATGTACATGTGTGTACATACAGCGTATATCGTACAGTTTCGTGTCTTCGCCCTGGCGCCTGCGGTGTGGTTGCGGCATCCAGCAACCCACTGCCATGGCGTGGACGCCGTCTTGTGTCTATTCCCGCGCGCAGTCACTTCCCCTGCGACAGTGGCTTCCGTATAATTCTTCGCCGAGGGCGACCATGGTGAGTGCCTTCCGCGCTGTGTCGGCCCGCTGCTCTCTTTCTGCTGTGTCGCCCCGCCGCCCATCGCCCATCGCCCGTCTCCTCCCAGCCACCACCCAAGTACGTGTCAACCATCTCCAACCCCCATCCCATCCCACCCCATCCCTCCAGCATAAAGTCAACAACCATTCACTCCAAATTCTTCCACTGCACCGCCCCGAACCGGCTCAGCGTCTCCAGCTTCCCATCCCCCAACTTGACCCCCCCAGACCGGATAACGCGCGGGTCGACGCGCAGGGTGCGGGCGACGTCCTGGTGTGTGGCGACGCCCGCGTCGTAGCGCAGCACAAAGTAGTGCCCGCGCACGTGGCGGGTCTGGTTGAGCGAGACGGCGCGCGGCAGGTGGAAGACGCCCCAGTTGGCGACGTCGCGGATGACGCCGCCCTGGCGCAGGATCAGTTGGCCGGCGGTGAGGACGATTCTGGATGGGGGGGGGGCGTCGTGGTTAGTCGTGGGGGGAAGGGTAAGAAGGGCGGGAGGTGGGGAGGGGGGGGAGGCGCTTCTTACTCCTTCACCTCTTTGAGGTTGCCCGGGCGGACCTGGTGTGGTGTTAGCGGTGGTTTTGTTTCGTTATTCGCTTGCTGGCTCGAGGATTGGGAGGTGAGCACGCACAATGCCAATCATCTCGTACAGCATCTTGGTGGTGGGCGACGTCGGGCTGCCGTTGCCGTGGTGTGGAATGTCGCGGGTCTGGCTTTCTTGGTGGGTGACAAGAGTCGCTGCCTGCACAATCGAGGTTGTCAACTGAACGCTGGAAATTTTGGCGGCATCTTCCGGGATTCTGCCGGGGCATTCCCCACACCGCCTTTTTTCACTCGTGCCAAGCCAACGCATTCGTCGACTGTCGAGCTGCCTTCTGAAAGCCCCTGGAATTCCAGTGGGTGGCACTAAAACTCCAGCAGTACGTCTTGCCCCAAGCATCTCCATCCATGTCTGCCCGGGTGGTCGGCTGTTATCAAGAGGGCGCCGGGTCATAAACGCGCATTATTTGCACCCTACAAATTAAGTCAAGTCCACCGACAAAACGATTGCTCGTCCGAGGCCTCCAGTGATAATAACAAATGACGCCAACCCGACATACTTTCCCTAAATCAGCAAACGAAAACCAGAGGCCTCCTTTTCTCAACTCCCAGTGAAGGAAAGTAAGTAAGGGAGTGAAAACAAACCGAGGCACTGCTCGTCCCAGGCCTCAGCAACAGGTATCAAGAAGAAAGTTACAAAGGAAAACATGCAGAGGAAAACTGGTTGTGTCAACCTCGAAATGAAACCATGACCACCTCATCGAACGCACCGCATCGTTATCTCCACCCCCCCCCCCCCCCCCCGGCCACACGCAGTCTGAAGCGCTCTCAGTCTTGAAGCACACCAAACCTCAGTTCCCATAAAAGTTCCCATCATTCTCCCCATCCTGCTCCTCCAAGCTTAGACGCTCAATCCGAGTCCGGACCGGGGAGGGTCTCGGGGGAGAGCGAGTCCCACATGACTTCCATCTCCTCTCTGTCATCACCCATCCACTGTTAGCAAACACGTCCCAGAGCCAGCTTAAGATGTAGCTCGGAGCACAGTGAAAAATAATGGAGGGTACTTACACATCCACCTCACCGACCCTGACGCCCCTCTCGCGGCTCAAAAAGGTCAAAAACCGACGCTTGGTGCGGTCGCGCTTGAACTGGGCCATGACAGTGCCGCGCTGGCCGAGGTCACGCCCATCACGGCCTTTCTTGTGCGCGACCGCAACCTTGGTGGAGTGGCGGGCGAAGGAGACCTCCTGGATGTCGCCGAGCTTGAGGTGGAAGTTGTAGGGCTTCTTGAAGACGGACCACTTGATGGGCTGGACCGACTCGAGCACCTGGTGCTCGATCACCTTCTTGTCCCCCTGCTTCTCCGTCACCCAGTGCCAGTACTGCGTCACCCCCGGGTGCGTCGCGAACGACCGCGTCTTGACCTGGTGCAGCCGCCAGTCGTTGGGATGCAGCCGGTCGTCGCTGATCGAGTCGCTCGACGTGTACCCGTCGTAGTCGAGCCCCGTCGATTCTTCGTCTTCTTCTCCCTCCTCTTCTTCTTCTTCCATCGCTCGCTTCGTCTCGGCTGTCGCCGACGGCGGGAACGGGCTGTTGAGTATGATCTTGGGCTTGCCGGATGACGGGCTCTCACCAGTTTCCGCCTTGGGCTTGTCGGGTTGGCTCGTGATGATCTTGATCCTCTTCGGCTTCTGTTGTCCAGATGCTGACGCTGATGATGCTGCTGCTGCCGCCGCTGCCGCCTCTGCTTCCGCTGCCGCCGCTGCTGCTGCTGCTGCTGCTGTCGAGGCCGAAGCTGACGCTGCGGATGCCGCTGGTGATGCTTGGGTCGGCGATACCGGTGGCTTGCTCGCGCTGGGCACCTTCAACTTGATCGGCGTCGATTCCGGCGTCTGGTGCGGGTCCTTGCGCTTGAGCGACCGCGGCGGCTTCTTTGTGCTGCTGCCGGGCTCTCCGTTCTTCGTCGCGTGTGCCGGGGGTCGGCCGACGCGGGGGAAGCCGTTCTTTTCGCGGAGCTGCTCAATCTTCCGATCGTGGTACGCCTTTCCTATCCAGCTAGCCACGTCGAACTTGTCGCCTTTCTCCATGTACAGCTCATGCAGCCGGTGGCGCAGCCATTCCGACGGAGTGACGTCCAGGCCCATCCTGGGAAGCTCTTCCGTAAGCAGCTGCGCGAGCCGAAACAGCGTGTCGTAGTTCGTGATCCTGTAGTTGATCCACTTCTTGCCGACGAGCTGGTACGGGTGCAGCTCACCGTCCTCTAGAAACTTGAGGACAATGCGGCCTCGCTTTGCATCCCGGTTTGCCAAATGCTTATCACGGTGTGTTGAGCCCGCCTGGTCGAGTTGGTCGTATTTCTCTTGGTGTTTCTGCCGGAGCGGCTCAACGAGCTCTTCGATCGGTTTCCAGTCGGGCTCCCAGTACGGGTGCTCCGGAGAGATCTTGGCCAGGGGCACGCCGCGCATCATAGGCGGGTCTGTAAAGACAACGCCGTCGTGCTTGAGGCAAAGCACCTTCTTGTTAATTTCGGGAAGCTCATCGGATTCTACCTGGGGAGCTTTGACCGAGGGCGTCGAGGGCGCCGTCGCCTTCCGGCCGCCTGGGAGAGACTTCCTCGGGCCTTTCTTGACCGGGGGCTCCTTTCTGGCCCTTTCTCCGTCAGAGTCGGCCGCGGTTCCAGCTTTCCCTTCATCCTCGTGGCTCGCCGATGCCTTGTTTGCAGCCGTGAAGCTGGTGCCGGGTGTCTGGGTCTTGCCTGGCGACTTGGTAGGGGATTTGATCGAGTTGCTATACCGCGAACTAGTGGGACGCTCCAAGCTGCCGCCGTGGCAACCTCGTTTATTCCACTCGCAGTTACCGCAGCGGGCAAAGTCCGGGTCGCCGCCAACCATAATACAGCCCTGGTACGGGCCATAGTTCGAAGAGCAGTCATTGCACGGCCGCCCTTGCAGATCGCCCATGGCCTGGATGAAGAAACTCAAAAACTTGTTCGGCCGAGCATCGCCGGGCGGGGGGCGGGGAAGGGCGTCGAGGTCGTGAGCAGTGAACTTCCGGCCGGGGCGGATCTGGGCCGGCCGCTTGATTGGCAGCAGCGAGAAACGGTCCATGACGGAATTTCCGGTGCCAGACGCCCGGAGCCGCCCTATCAAATCGCCTGCCTCACCCAGCACGTCGACGAAGTTTGAGGCGGTGGTTTCGCCTGGCGTTGCCGGCGGGCTTACGTCCCTGGCCATGGATACGGGAGTGCCCAGCTCTGGGGTAGTGTCGCGCGAGCTCAGATCAGATGATGACGAGGGAGATGCGGGCGCTGGTTGAGCAATCGGCAACGAGGGCTCAAGTCCCCTGTTGGCCTCAGTCGCGGCGGTGGCGGTCGATGGTTGGACATCGGACATCTCAACGTCCTCCTCGGTGGGCCTCGGCTCGGCGGTCTCGTTGTTGGACATGTCGACTTGTGCAGCGGGCTGTTGGATGTCGCCAGTGCCGCTCCCTTCGTGGCTTGCCGTCGGTGCTGGAGTGTGGGTTTGTTGGCCTGGCTTAGGCAACTCGGTGGCGGGGTCGTGGTCAGCTGTCGGTACCCGCTCGTCCTCCGGCTGCTCATTGGGTTCAGGTCCAACGCCGCCCATCTCCGTGTCGCCGTCAGTGGGTGCCGTCTTCGCCACGTTGTTATCCGGGGCGGGGACTTTCTCCTGCTCGTTGCTGACGAGCGTGCCCGTAGCCGGCGCGTCTTTCTCGACGACTTGGGGCTCCCTTTGCTGCCCATTGGCGAGGGGCGCCGTGCTCGGTGCGCTGCTCTTGTCGGCCGCCCGTGATTCCCCAAGCTGTTCGATCTGACGTTCGTTGGCGGGTTCCGCGGCCACCATAGTCTCAACAGCCGGGGCGTACGGGGTCTGGTGTGTTTGGGCGACGTGGTAGTTCACCTGGCCATTGTGGTCGCTGTTGGCGGGTCTCCCTTCATCTGCGGGCTGCTGGCGCTGATTTGCATCGCCTTCATCATTGCGGTCGCTCCCATTGCGTGTCCCACTCTCCTCCCGTCTCTCGTAGCCCTCACCCTCATCAAGCCTCTCCCTCTCATCGGGTGCCCGACCCTCCCGCCCATCCCGCCTCTCATCCTCACCACCCTCACCACCCCTTCCATCACCCCCCTCATCCCCCCCCTCATTCTCCCCCCCTCCCCCCCGATAAGCCAGCCCCCCCCGCCGATACCTCTCAAACCACCTCCCCCGCTCCTCATCCTCCCTCGCCCGCCTCCCCACCCTCTCCCGTTCCTCCCTCTCAAACTCCGCCTCCAACCCCCCCAAAACCCGCTGCTGCTCCTCGTACTCGGCACGCAGCACACCCAGGCGGCGCAGCAGGTCCTCCTGGGCGCGGAAGTTGTCGAGCAGGCGCTGGCGCAGCGGGGCGGCGCGGGCGCGGTGGGCGGCGGCGAGGGCGGCGTCCTCGCGCGCGCGGTGCTGCCGCATCGACGTGTAGTAGTTTTGCTCGATGCGCGGCCAGGGCGAGGGGTCGTCGTCGGATAGTCCTGCTTGGGCGGGGGCGGTGGCGAAGGATGGTGTTGCCGAGGATGGGGTTGGGGTTGCTGTGGTGGTGATGGTTGTTGCCGATGTGGGGGTTGGGGTGGCGGTCGCGGTCGCGGTCGCGGTGGGTGTGACTGTGGGTTTAGGTTTGGGGTTGAATGCAGGCTCTGCTGCTGCCGCCCCCGCTGCTGGCGCGGGCAATAATGGTTTCGGTGGCATGGTGGCGAAAGGCCGGATGGCGACTCGATGATAGCTACCTTACCTTGGGCAGAAATAGTCGGGTAGCGGAAATGAAGTGAGATAGGTAGGGTAGGTGAGGGATGATAAGTGAGATGACGGGTTGATGCCGCGCGGATAGACCGGTACTCTTTCAGGTAAGCTCGGCGTCACGGTCAGCGACGGATCGGGGGACCGAAGTCTGAAGTAAGATGATGATGCATCAAAAAAGATGGCTGTGTTCCCGAGAACTCTCAGTCAGCGCGGGGTTCCATAGGTCCAAGGAAAAGCTTGACTGCCGAGAAAATAGGGACCGACCTAGTGCCACCGACGGAGATTTGATTCGGTGCGCTCGGCAGGTGCCCAGGCAGGTGCGAAGGGCATAAGAGAGGCCACGTCTCGGGTTAAAAAAAAAGGGCGCGATTCAAGTACTGATAGAGTAATAGTAAGGCAATTGAAGAGGCGGTGAATCAACACGAAAGTGACGCGCGATTAGTTAGTTAGACTCGGATCGGAGTTGATGAGCGATGACTCGTCGCGGCTGAGTGAAGTGACGTGACGGAAGGTCGACCTGCTGAAACCCGGGTGGTGCCGGGAATGCTAGGGAGGGCTTTTGAGTACACGTGGTATCGCGATGGTAGCCCGGATAGGTGGGATTGGATTGAATACTTACTTTGGAGAGAGCAGCTCAATGGTAGCCGTGGCGCTGGCGCAGATAGTCCGTCCTCTCACAATCGATAAATCAAGTCGCGTGTTCCAAGGTGGCCCTGTCACGATCAGCAGGTGGCTAATTAAAAAATCGACGGCGGCGAATGCTCAAATCAAAAGGAACAGAAAATGCGAAAGACCTACCCCGGCCGACGTTTGTAACTAATGTTTCAGTTCCCAGGTCGAGTTTACTGAACGAAAACTTGGCTCAACTAAAATTCATGACGCGTCACTAGGTACCTTGGTCAATGAAAGCAAACACTAGGTACCGGTTGGTTGCTTTGGTGCACAAAGGAGCGAAAGGGGATAACACAGCTATGTCCGTAGATGCGGCCTGTGATGTTTGGTGTCGGGAATTCAGTTGGTGTCCCCGGTCGACGCCCACCCGGGAAAGGATGTGAGCTGAGAAGGGCCCAGACCGGTGGATTTCGGACTATTTGCGAGCCCACCTTGGAGGTAACAAAAACGCCGAGACATGTCCCGACCTAGGTAGGTTGGGTGCAGAAACACAAGGAGAGGCTGAGCAAACCTAGTTGGGTACGGACATATGGGGTTGCACAGAATATCAATTTTCAGCGGCACCGAGTTCCCCCTCTTCCAATGAGGAGGCATCATGTTTGAATTGAATGTGAGGACCAGACCAGACTGATTTCAGTTGGTTACATCTAACAGCGCCTCCATGGATGCCGTTGGGGTCGGAAAGTGGAACTTGATCCCAGAAGTTCCTTGCTTGAACTGCGGTCAAAAATAGGGGCATCCAACTGGAAAACTACCTAAGGTAGGTACTTCGCATAAGGTAGCACGCAAAATAAGTAGCAGACCCGATCCTGCGAGGATCTTTTTCCCATGCAGTGATTTTCAAACCGCTCCATTTATGAATAGTATCGCTGCACCGCCAGCCCACACAGCCAGAACCCGTTCAACGCAATAGCAGAAATATTAGTGTAAGCTAACTAGCGTATACGGCTATACAATAGAAGGATGGGAAGATGCGTCCAAAGCAGTGTATTACCGAATGTCATTGATTATCGAGGCCCACGCCCTCGACCGCCCGCTGATGGCCGTCACTCTTTTTCGAGTCCGTTTATTTCCCCTTTCAAACAGCCAACCCAACGCCAGAAAAGAAGCGCCCAACTCGCTGATGCCGAATGAGACAAAATAAGAAGTATCATGGCACTGCACCGCATCCTACCACCAACAGACTGCGGCACAGGCTTCGGCCCCCACGCTACCCACCACCACCGCCCGCCAACGAACGGGGTTCGGTGCTCGTGCCGGTGACGCCGCCCCCCGAACCCTTGGCATTGTTTCAGCACTCAATACCTGGAATGCCGGTTCGGGGTGGGCGAGTACGAGTTGTCGTACGCCGTCGACTGGCCGTATGGGTCATCGTGATACACGGTGGCCCGGCGGTCCTCCTCGGGCAGCAGGTCCTTAACCTCCCAGTTGTTCATGCGCGTGCCGACCGAGAACTCCAGATCCTCCTTGGTGATCGAGTCCCAGTACTTGTACACCATCATGACGGCGAGCAGGTTGCACGTCGTGGCGAAGAACAGACCGTCCAGGTAGTGGCTGATGGCCTTGCAGATGGGCGCGCTGGCGGCGTACAGGATGACCTGGCCGGCGACGAAGAAGAACATGCCAAAGGCGATGTCGCCGAGCGGCCACCGGTCGTGCAGCGTGCGCATCACCAGCAGGATCTGCAGAACCACGTAGACGAGCAGCTGCACCGCGTTGAGCAGGTACAGCACCACGAAGAGCCCGATGGTGTTGGTGGGTCCCAGCCCGGCCCATGTCTTAAAGGTGGCTAGGGCGACGAGGAACGAGATGACGAAGGCGGCAGCCGAGCAGAGCCGCATCATCCAAAGCGAGAGCGGCGTGCCGTCCTCGTAAAGCTGGAACCCGACGAAGCCGTTGATCATCAGGCACGTCACTGTGGCCGAGGCGAGGCCGGCTTGTACGGCGACGAAGTAGGGGTAGGGTGCCGACCCTGGTGGTACTACGCCGGCGTCGACGCAGAGCGAGAGGAAGGTGAGGAGCATGTAGAGGTAGAAGAAGGTAGTGATCTCCTTTCGGCCTAGAGAGACGAGTCCTTGTCAGTGGTCCCTCCTCCACAACTGGTAAGTCCCTTCTAGAGCCAGCAAGACGTACCAACTGCCGTAAACTTCCCCCGCACATGCAAGATCATGATCACCGTCATGACCAGCGCAATGATGTGCATGGCACTCGCGGCGCCCTGGAAAATGATGGTGTTGGCCAGTTCAATGTTCCGCGCATAGCAATCCGGCTCTATCCCCACGCCGCTCGCGATCGATGTTATCGGGCCCACGGACGAGCAGAGGGGTAGCGGTGCCATGCGGCAGAGGCCGGTGAAGTCGCCGAAGCCCATGGTTGTAGAGGGTGAGGCGGTCTAGCCCCGCCGTCGAAAGATTGGGAAAATTCGAGGGGCCGAGGACTACCCTTCGTAGGGCGATAATCGGTGGTGTTGCGGCCCGGAGTAGGGAAATGGCGACCTGGCGAACCCAGGCGTCGAGCAACGAGCAAGTCCGATGATGCGATAGTTTAGCGATACGAAGGAAGACGGACGAGTGTGTCGCGCCGACCGAGAATAATAATTGGTATTCAGCGAAGGTGGGGTTCAACGAAAGTGGCATGCATCAACGAGGGCTGGCTGGAAACAACAACTTCGTCATCAAAGCTCAGGGCTGTTTGGCCATGATCCCGGGCCTGTCGTCTGGCTGGTTGCTCGGCTGTTGGTGTGCGACGGAACGAGGCTTGGGGACGACAGAGGGATGCGTTGCTGTGGAAAAAGGAGAGCGGCGGAGCCGCCCAGCCAAAGGTCCCGAGTTGGCACAGCGCGAGCCACTCAGCGCCTTCCCGTGCCCCACCGTCTGCGGGACAGGCTCACAAGCTCACAGGCTCAGAGGTCGGCACGCCAGGCAGGGATCAAACAGGGTCATCGAAACTGTCTCGCCTAAATAGCCTGATGCGGCATAGCTGATCACCATTGGATTGAATTTGTTTTGATGCGACTTTGCAACACCCAAGTTGTTTCCATCTTTGCAAGCCGAATTGGGGAGCAGAAAATAATGTGTAAGCTGACAGAACTGATCTCTCGGTGTTTCTGGTTTTCTTCACGCCCAGGTCTCTTCCGTCTGCTTCAATACGACCCTCTCTCGCCTGATTCCGCCGCTCCCTCGGTAACAATGAATGGACCGTACTCGTAATTTGCGCAACAATTTCTTTGTTCGGTACGAAGTACTCGCCTTGATACACACCCTGACCATAGAAACCTCGAGTCCCCGACCGTAGGAACGAAACGAAAGCCATCTCGAAGCCCAGAGAACTTGGATTTACTGCATTGACTGCTCTTTTACACAGTACCTGGTTCCGCTCGCTTTCTTGATTCCTTGGGGACTTGAAGGTGAAAGTCCAGTACGAAGTACGGGAGAAAAGAAAAGCAAAATACGAGATTTGGCTTGGCGAGACCCGGTGTCCGAAATCACGAGCGGCAGGGGACTCTGAAAATCACTCGAGCGCACCACCCTCTGACCAAACAAACCGAACTCGAAAGGAAAACAAGACTTGGCTAACGAGGTCGGGCCCGCATCAACCTCTACAAGGGTTCTCCAGCTCTTGTTCTTCGTAGAATGGAGCTTGTCCTGATGTTTCCGCTGCTTAGACATAACAAACGCCTAAGTCGGCTCTCCTTTATGGTCGAAGCGTGGCTACCTACCTACCTGGGTACACAGCCTTGATAGCATGCAGACCGAGCAGTTGAGGGGAGCCCGTGGGTTGTCGGCCTCAATGAACCTGTGGCAACATCAGCAGGTAAAAGTCATAGAACGGCGGCTGCTTCTAAACAACCCAAAGGAGCAAGGGCTTAACTACCTAGGCAACGGCAGTGTGTTGGCAATATTGCGATGCCAATGGCGGAGGGTGAAATAGAGAATGCTCCAGAAGTTCCGCTGTGGCAAACACCAGAGCAATGCATACTTACCCAACTCAGCAACTGTGTCCATGTACTTGCGCACAGGCACCAGCCAGTTTACGAGGCCTGGGCCTTGCGGTGACTATTTTTTTTTACTCCGGACATGGTGTTGGTGTCCGAAATAGGCTGAGACATGGTGATTACATAGCTCGGGAGATGTTTCATCCCCAATCGAAAGAGACACTCCATCAATCTTCACTAGAGGGGATTACTCCTGTTGCATAGCGTTGTCCCAATATTGCTGTGATCACTTAATCAACAAAAAATAGAGAGTGATTATTAATATTGAAACTCCATGATAACTTGATAATCGAGAGGCATTGCTACTCTAACCGGTGTAAGTGGACCGGCGGCTGAGTAAGAGACCGCATCAAACTTCTTGCCACTGGCTGTGACGTCTTCGATCCGCCAACTTTGGATTAGGCGAGGGCCCCTTACCGGAAATCGACAACATCGTCGTCGTCGCGCGAGCCGTCATTGGTTCATCAACTTGGCACTTGTCCTAAACCATGTGTGTCTTGCTACCGGGTGCCCATCTTCTTGGAGGAGGCACCGGAGACCCCTCCACAAAGAACTACCCTCGAGCAACTGAACGCGGAACTTTGACTAACTGATGGCCACATCGAGTGTTTATTCATTGGCTCCCAAGGTGTTACAGAAAGTTAAATAGAACCTCAACCCCAGAGCTATCCTGAGCTTAATTCCTTCAACACCACCAGTTTAAACTTACCTATTATATCCCCCTTCAGCAACCAACCTCCCCAGCAGAAATACCATGTCCTCGCTCCCAAAGACGTTCAAGAAGGCCGCCTTCACAGACCAGGGGTCTCGCCTCAGCATCGGAGAAGCCCCCTTGCAGCTCCCCGGCAAGAATGAGGTGCTTGTGAAGGTTGAGGCCTGCGGTGTCTGCCACTCCGACACCTTTGTCCAGGGGAACGCCTATGGTATCGGTTTGTGAGTGCCATCTTTCTCCAATGGCCTAGGGCCCAAGGAGATATGCATTACTAATAAAAGTCTCTCGTTAGCCCCTTGACTCCCGGTCACGAGGTCATTGGCCGTGTTGCGGCCGTTGGCGAGGATGTCAAGGCGTGGAAGGTCGGCGACCGTATCGGAGGGGGCTGGCACGGCGGTCACGATGGTGGGTTTTGGATTCCTTCCATGATATGGCATTACCATAGCCGACTAACGTTGCGATGAAGGCACCTGCGGGGCTTGCAAGAAGAGTCTCTTCCAGATGTGCGAGAACGAGGCCATCAACGGGGTAACTAGGAACGGCGGATGTGAGTTGCACACGCACACACCCCTCACTCACATAACCAACGGCACCCGCTAATCAACCACAGACGCGGAATACGTGCTCATCCGGTCGGAAGCGGGCGTCAAAGTGCCAGACGACGTCGACGCGGCCAGCTACGCGCCGCTGCTCTGCGCGGGCGTGACCGTGTTCAACTCGATGCGGCAGATGGACGTGGCCCCCGGCGAGACGGTGGCCATCCAGGGGCTGGGCGGCCTGGGCCACCTCGGCGTGCAGTACGCCAACAAGTTCGGCTACCGCACCGTGGCCGTCTCCCGCGGCGCCGACAAGGAGGCCTTCGCCCGCCAGCTGGGCGCCCACGAGTACGTCGACACCACCAAGGTCAAGGCCGGCGCCGCGCTCAAGGAGCTTGGTGGCGCCGCCATGATCGTGACGACGAACCCGCATGCCGAGCAGATCCCTGAGCTATTGCAGGGGCTTGGGCCGAGGGGCAAGCTGCTGATTGTGTCCCGTGAGTTTATGACTGATGTCCCTGGTGGGATGGTGGCATGGAAGGTATTTACTGACGGCCGATGACAGTTCCCGGCGAGGTGCCCTTCGATATCACTCCGATGGCGGGTGCCCCTTACCTACTACAGCGTCTAGGAGGGAGGTTATTATGTGCTAACGCTCTTACAGATCCAGAAAGGACTGTCCATCCACGCCTGGCCCTCGGGACACGCGACCGATATGGAAGACGCTATTGAGTTCGCCCAGCTGCAGGACATCGGTTGCATGATCGAGAAGTTCCCGCTGGAGAAAGCGAACGAGGCTTACGGTGAGTGTTTGTCGATGCATTCAATGTAGTCTATATTCTAATTTTAATATCTGTAGATGCTATGCTTAGCGGCAAGGTCCGCTTCCGGGCAGTCCTAACCTTTGAGTGAGGGTTCAGGGGGCGGTTTCGAATCTTCGGTTCGGGTTGGATACGTCGTACGGGAATGTACTGTGATGGGGAGCAGGGCCGAGATGCACATGGAGTGTCCACTGGCACGGAACCTCATACATAGTGATCAATGTTGACCCTGATTATACGTCAATTTGCTGTTAGCTTTACCACTGTCTGTCTCGCCCACTCAACTCGCCCGGTATCGGCGTAAAAGTGTCACGGGAGTTCAACGAGTATCCTCGTGCTACCACTTTCAACTAAAAGTTCATGTAGCATGAGGTGAGCGAGACGGAAGAGCACCTCAACCAGCTGCTGAAGGAGTCGAGGCTGTTTAGCCAAGTCGACGAGAAGCAAAGGATAGGTACCTACATGTAAGCATCCTCGAGTGGGACTACGACTATTTTCAAGGGCCCCGATACGTTAAATAGCCCGATATAATATGGTGAAGACGTGGAAGAGTTGCAACAGACACAGGGCCGCGATATATGCTACCTAGTACAAGTAGTATAATGTTATAAGAAACCTTTTCAAAGGGCACGTACCTACCTCGTCTGTGACTCAGAGAGTGGGCTCGCCACGCATATCTACCAGTATAGGCATTGCAATTTCCTATTGGGGGAAACCCTATCGAAGGGCACGTACCCCGTAAGTGACTCACAGAATAGACTCGCCACCCTCGTGTCTGGTAAAACTGCGGTGTTTCCTGTTGCGGGAAACCAAATAGTCCAAACCGACGATTGCGCCAACACATAGCCCCAAGTAGTAGGTACTCAACACTGCCCAGGTGCTTAGTGACGCAAAATCTACACAAACTCGCCATGGCTCCACCCGCAAATGTACAGAAGAGTACCAACACCCGCGTTGACGCGTCGGGGGAGGCCATCAACGCCTACGTCGATGCCCTCCAAATGTACATAGATAACCCGGTCGCTCAAGCTGATACGGAAGAGGGGGGCACAAACACCCACAAAGGCGTGCTGCAAACCTACATCGATAGACGAGTAGCAGAGATCGATGCTAAATTAAACGAGACGCAGGCTACAGGCTCTTAAAGCCTAGAAGGGGCCGTTCTCCTCGTCGAGTACCTAAGCATCTCCGAGGCTGATGACGGGCAAGGCGCGCCGCAAAATAAATATATTTATGTGAACCCAATCTAATCCCGATTAAATCAAACCAAATTGGACTTCTAGTCACATAAATAAGACCTCATATTTGACTTGGATTTATTGAACATTGTTTGCTGCCCCTCCCCCTCCGGGACTACCTCTGTACGCAACTTCATCGCCGTGTCCGTGACCCCATCGCTACGTGACCCCATCGTTGTGTTCGTGACCCCAACGCTATGCAAGTTCAAGTTGTGCCAGGTTCCTTGTATTCGGATCATAGTCGTCGATAGACCGCCGCGCCTGGTATAAGGAGGGCATTAACTAACCTCGGATACCTACCCGGATCCCAGCGAGGCAGTGCCCAGGAGTACTCCGTACGGGCACGTACCTTATAGAGGTAGACCGTAAGCGAGCAGGCTAGGGTTACCTAAGGTTTAGGGCTAGACACGAGGGGACCTCGGGCCTCCACCGTTCAAGGGAGCCGGGGATGTACTCAATACGCTGTAGCCACTCCAATAAAATACAATCTACTATGCTAGATTAGTTAGGTAGTGGATATATAACTATCCTTCAGTGGCGAGCAGAGAGCCCCCCAAACTCAATCTCTCCATCTCGCAGCCATACCCCTCGCCCCAACCACCCAGCTACTCCCTCGGCGGCGTATCCTTCACCAGCCCACCCATCATCGCCTCAGGGTACCTCGTCCCCCAAACCTCCGCCTTCTCGACCGCCTCCCGAATCTCCCTCTCCTCCTCCCGCGTCATCCCCGCAAACACCGCATTCGCCCCGAGATTCTCCTCCAAAAACGCCACCCTCTTCGTCCCCGGGATCGGAAACACGCCCTCCTGCCGCATCAGCCACGCGAGCGTCAGCTGCGCAGATGAACACCCCTTCCGCGCCGCCACCCGCTCCATATCCCGCACCAGCGCCATGTTGCGCGGGAAGTTGTCGGGCGAGAAGCGCGGCACGGCCCGGCGGAAGTCGCCCGCGGCGAAGTCGTCGGGGGAGGTGTACCGGCCTGTTAGCATGCCCCGCCCGAGCGGGCAGTAGGCGACTACGGCGATGCCCAGGTCCCGGCAGGTTTGGAGGAGGCTGGTTCCGTCGTCGTTGTTGTTGTTGTTGTTGTTGTTGTTGCTGCCGGGTGGGGGTGGCTGTTCGATGTCCATTGAGAAGGGGCTGTACTCGATCTGGTAGGCGCGGATGGGGAGGATTGCTGCGGCGCGTCGGAGGGTGTCGGCGCCGCATTCGGAGAGGCCGATGGAGCGGACTTGGCCGGAGCTGTGGGGGGGTTGTTAGCTAGGGGGGTTGGGTCGATGGTTGTTTAGGGATAGAGGGACACGTACTCGACGAACTCCTTGAGCGTTTCGATCACGTCTTCGATGGGAGTCTTGCCGCTAATACGGTGGCTGGGTTGAGTTCCGTCAGTATGTTGTTGTTTCTGAAAGAAGCTGATGCTGGCCGACGCCAACGGTCAACCCTTGGAATGGTGACTTACCAGTATAGCAAATCAATGTAGCCCGTTTTTAGGCGCCCCAAAGCCTCTTTCACGGCACCGCGGATGAATTCGGGATCGTTTCTGAACTCGCGACCGCCGTCGGGCCTGACGTAGTTACCGAACTTGGTGGCTAGGAAGATCTGTAAGTTTATTAGTTTAACGCTGGTGCTCAGGACCCAGGTCACCCAGGGCACACATACATCCTCCCGCTTTCCGGTTCGCTCAAACCACCTGCCCAGAAGGTCCTCGCTGTCCCCATACAGGGCGGCTGAATCCCAGTGCACACAGCCGAGCTCGTGAGCCCGGTCGAGGAGCTTGAAGCGTTCCTCATCGGGAGGGGGTGTCCCGTAGAAAGCTAGAAGACGTTTTAATGGTGATGGTATAGATATGTTCCGGGGGGGCACCCACAGCTCAGACCCATGAGGCCGAGGCCCAAGATAGGGATGGTTGGGCCATCTCGGCCGAGTTGGCGGGTGGGGATGTTGGGTGGTGTTGACATGGCTTAATCGGTGGGTGTTCAATATTTACGCTACACACAATAGCAGTTCAAGTGAAGGCTTTGTTAGAGATCTCAACGAAGACAGAAAACATCATTTATCTCTTTGGCCCCGTCTTGTAGAGTTGTCGGGCACCTGGTGGGCCGGCCCAGGGAGATCTACGGGGGCCACCGGAGAACGACTCCCGTACGCCCGCCCTGACCTCGCGACCCGAAGAGCATAATGTGTCCCTGCCTATCTGTTGCGCTGCTGGGACCCTCGATACAAGCCTTTTGGGCAACGAATAGCCTTGTTGGGAGGGTTAGAGCCAAGAACCTGGAATACCAGAGCTAGTGCCGGTGCGAGTGCCGGTGCCCCCCGTGTGTGGAACCCGGGTTGCCGGTCGGTAACCAAGGGGCTCGGACCAACCCCTAGGCCAACTAAAAGTTCTACGTGCAAGACCATATATCTGCCGGCTCCCTTTGATGTTTCTTTCACTGGCTCCAGGGAGGGTCTGCCCAAGAGTAGCAGCTCTCCGCTTATTGGGCACCATCGTATATGCGGCGCGGCATTGACGGTGATACAGGTATCTCTTTAGCCGTCTCGTTTGATCGCAGTCTTGAATCGAGCTCAAACACAGATTGGAGGATATAAGGCGGCGTTACCGAGACAATATTTAGGTCACAGGTCACCTGTGAATTGGGGATTCTCCTGAAGTCCCGCCCTTGAATCCTGCGGTTGCTGTATGCGGGTTGGGCGATCTCCGCGGCCATTTGAACACAAACCCATATTGTTCCTGGCACGCCAATTCGTTAGGTCCAGAAGTTTCGAAGAATCGGGATATTTCATGACTCGGAAACTCGGAGTGGGCGGTGAGGCGGTGATTCAAAAACTTGAAGTGAAAAGGAGCAAGCCCCGCCTATGACGTGTTTTGTCCACTGTCTTTTTTTGCCGAGCTTGCCCCGCAGCCCCGCGGTTCCCTCAGCGCGAGGGTTTTGCTGTTTTGCACTGGTCCAACACATCCTCTCACATGCGATTGTAGTGTATTGAGAAACCCGACTGCTATGTAGGACGGTGTATACTTTCTACCAATAGTAAAGAAGAGAGATTTCCGTCACGGCTGATCCGGAAACGCCACAGGACAAAAGCGTGTTCTGGATTGCCACCGTGGTCATGCATGCAGAAGGGTCCTCCTGGCAGCCACGCCCACAGCTCACGCGCGGATTCGGTTAACGGTCCTGTCGCACTTGGGTCGGCGTTACGGCGAAGCCGGAAGAGAGCCCTTGAAAAGAGGCCAACGGTGCGTTAATTGAAACAGCATGATTCGCCCGGAACTGGATCTCGGCGGGCACGTGGAGAACTTGGCGCTCTTGCTGTGCCTTGAAGTTGGTGCACCTCAAAAAGGCTGACGGCGTTTCGCTCAGGGCCGGATCAAGCAGCCAGCGCTTCTTTTGCGGCGCAGTTGAAGCAGCAATCCGTATTTCGCATGTTTCATCGAGCAAAGAGAAGAATGTCTGTACACAGTATACGCTATTTCACCATTTCCCGATTTGCTCGGCGAGCCCGGCTGGCTGGGACAAACATCAGAGCAACTTTCCGAGGGCAAGGATAGGTCCTGGATGTTCGGCATTGGCCGCCACTGATGAGATGGACTCGCGGTTGAGTGGCTCTGTGGGAAGGCGGTCTCGAGGCCGAATCGTCACGAGACGACCTGCGATTGGCTGCCCCTCGATCCCCCGCCATGGAACTGCCAGAACGTGCAGGGGGCCGCTGTCGGGGAAGGAGGGAAGACATCATCATTCCCTGCAGCTGCAGATCACAGCACCCGGACTGCCATTTCCTGCCATTTCCTCACTGCGGATAGGTCCCTGCCTTTGGAGTGACGGCCAGCATTTTGACCTCGATCTCATCATGACTACTTGAGATTTTCAGCCTGCCGCATTGGCTACGAGCAACACCAACGACTTAGTTCCCAACTTAGCGCATTCCGCAAACGTTTGCTCCATCCAACATTGCAACCAGCTCCGGAGAATACCCAAAGACTCCAACCAGACGAAAGCATTCTTCGATATCACCGCCGAGTGAAAGACAAGCCGAGCTCGACATCCCCGAGATTCCGCGAATCCGACACGCCGCACGCGGAATCAAGCTCAATCCAGATCTCCCGTGCCGCATCGAGCTGGCACAGTAAAACGACCCGACCCGTAATCTCGACCACCTCGACGTTGGTTCTTTGATATATCTCTCGACCTCCCCACCAACACGCCGCACATTCCACTCTCGTGTGTTCTAGACCCAACCTTCCATACCACGACACCTTCGAGGCCCTGGTGCTCCCGAGACACAAAGCCAGGTACCAAAACACCACAAAGCGAACCACACAACACAGCCCATATCTCGAGATTGGAAGGATAATAATAATGGGGCTGATATGATTCAAGCGCTCAAGGTGCGTGCTCCCGGACCGCATCCATTATTCCCCCCGCTCGCCGTTTCCATCTCAACCCGTCCCCCAACCTCCATGTTCCCTCCCGAGTTGGTCTCGACACCCCGTATCCCCGTCCGCCATGCCCTTGCCCATGTCCATACCCATGCCCCATTGACGCAACCGCAACTGCCACCATGCCTGTTCGTCATGGCTCTGCATTGGGGAGCGTCACCAACCTGGCCCACCAAGCGCACACTAGCATAGATGGGTACCTATCCTCATCAACGATCCTGGCCGCATTGCCTTTCATTTTCTCGCCAACATGAGAACCTCGCCGGCCACACGCTCCAGCCAGTCTCCGTCTTCAGCGCTGTCACCGGACTCGGCCTGGCCGACGCTGAAGACACCCCCAATCCCTTTATGCATGGCTGCTGTGTGTGCTGCGCGGTTGCTTTCCCCCCCAATCCGTCCCATTATCTACCTAATTTCCATCCTTTCTCGCCCTTGTCTACCCATGTGGTCCCGTGCTGCCCTACCCATCCCTAACTCACTGAAACCATTGTCACCCGCATGCCAGTCTTGTCGGGATCCCGTTCTGACCCGGCCGCCATGTCCCTTGTAGGTCCAGTATACGACCTTCTACGACCCCAGGCACAACCACTTTACTGCTCGATCGACGGCTCCGTTTACTACGAGCCGCGCCGACAGCCCGAGCGCGGGTTCCCAGGTCCATTGATCGAGCCCCGCCGCTGCCGCCCACACTCGATCAATATCGTCTCATACCCGTCCGGCTTTGTGCCGCACGAGCTCCGACCGCCCAGACCGTGTAACGACACAACTACGAGGCACGAGAAACGACGGGATAGGAAGAGGAAGAGGGAGGAAGCCAAAGCGAGGAAAAGAGAAGAGAGGGTGAGAAGGAGAGAGGAAGCGCGGCGCAGTGAGAAGCAGGAGAAGAGGCGATCTCTACGATCTCTGTCATCCCTCCCACCGGGCACCGAGAAAGTCGGCAGGGCCATCGACAAAATATTCGCCGCCTTCTCCATCACCCCGAAACCGGCACCCACCGTCTCCGCAACCCCAACCCGAACCCCAAGGACAGAGTCCCGGCCATCCAGCTTCATTAGCTTCGCACGGAGGCTATCCCGGCTCGAATCAACACCTTTGGAACCGGTCGTTGCCGAGGAACCAGCCGCCGAGCCGCCCATCAGCATGACTGGCGTCGCAGTCCCCCGGCCCCGCGCCGCAAGCACGGGCGTCACGTCGACGAGCCGGGCCAACATGATGTCAATACGGTCCGCAAAGACCATGATCAGCTCATCCGTCTCCGAGGTCCAAAAGCCAGTTGCATCAGGCAGCGGCGTCACCTGTTCTATCCTCCTGGCCGAGCCCAACGTCTTCCTGACCGGCTTCGAGCACGATGGCCAAACGCGCCGCGGAGCCCAGACCACCAGCGCCCTGCTTCGCGGGAAGCTGCAACTGAACGTGTCCAAAAATGTCAAGATCAAGTCCATCACGTTGAAACTAGTCGGCAAGGCCAGGACGAATTGGCCCGAGGGCATCCCACCAGCAAAGGCGGAACTGTTCGAGGAGCAGACCCTCCGGACTCAATCCTTGGTCTTCTTCCAGGCCATGCATCAAGAGATGTGGGATACTGAGTACGGCAGCCAGTGTAGCTATGTCCACAAGTCCTCAGGCCTTATGGGCGCTCTGCAGCCGACTGCCTCCAGCGGAGCCCTCCCGGTCATTGGCAAAGGCCGTAACAGTACTCTGACCGCTAAAGAGTACAAAAAGCTTTCGCTGCAGTCAGTCAACTCGCGGAGTTTCGGCAAGGGCGATTCTCCCCATATCAACCCGGTCCAAGCCAAAGGGTACAAAGTGTTCCGCCCCGGCACCTACGAGTACTCCTTCGAGCTTCCGTTGGACCACAGCCAGTTGGAGACAGCAAAACTGCCGTATGGGTCGGTACGTTGGGATCTCGAGGCCGCCGTGGAGCGCGCGGGTGCCTTCAAGCCCAACCTCCACGGTGCAAAAGAGGTGTCGGTTGTTCGTTTGCCCGATCAGATGTCGCTTGAGACAGTCGAGCCGATCTCGATTAGCCGGCACTGGGAGGACCAGCTACACTACGACATCATCATCTCCGGCAAAAGCTTCCCCATCGGAGGGAGGATACCCATCGCCTTCAAACTCACCCCGCTGGCCAAGGTCCAGGTCCACAAGCTCAAGGTGTATGCGACGGAAAGCATCGAGTACTGGACCAACAATCGCCATGTGACCCGTAAAGACGCCGGTCGCAAGATACTACTGCTCGAAAAGGCAGCCGGCAAGCCGCTCGATAAGCAGTACTCGGAGAGCGACATCCGCGTGGTCAGCGGCGGCGAGCTCGCCCCCGATCAGCGAGCCGACGCTCGGCGGACGGCAGCACGCCGCAGGGTTAGAGAGGCTTCTCGGAACCGCGGCGTCGTCGAGCCGTTACCCGAACCCAGCGACAACCTTCTGGGCGACCTCGACCTCGGGCTCGAGAGCTTCTGGGGGAGCACAGAGATCGAGATGAACGTTCAACTCCCGACCTGCGAGATGATGACGCGCGACAAGATGCTCCGTCTGCATCCTGACTGCAGTTGGAAGAATGTCAACGTCTTCCATTGGATTAAGGTAGGCCCACGCGCGCAATGACTCTTGTACGCCCGACGCTGACCATCCTAGCTCGTCATGCGCATCTCTCGCGCAGACCCCGACGATCCGACAGGGAAGAAGCGCCGGCATTTCGAGATCAGCATCGACAGCCCGTTCACCGTTCTCGACTGCCGCGCCACCCAGGCGAACACGGCACTCCCGCGGTACAGCGGTAGCGACCGGCCCATCCCCGAGCAACGACAGCAGATGTCGTGCGGCTGCCCCGACGCCCACCCACTAGACCCGAGCTCGGCACCGTTGTCACGTCCCCTGACTATGGTCGAAGAGGATACCATCAACCTCAACGGGCACCGCCTACGTCTCAACTGCCCCCTCCCGAATCTGCCGCAAGCCGCCCACCTCCAAGCCGCCGCCGTCGCCGCTGCGGGAGCCAACGGGCGACAAAGCGGCTCAACCGGCGCCCGCCCAGAGACATCCCGCACGCCCGTCGACCGAGAACGCCCGATCCACCTAATCCGCCACCCCTCACACAACCCTCCCGCTTTCGACGCCGACCAACCACCACCCGCACTGCCGCTCCAAACACCACCACCCCACTACGACATCATCGTCGGCACCCCCAGCGTCGACGGCCTCGCAGACTATTTCGCCCGCCTCGCCGCCTACGAAAAGGACGACAACGGCGAAAACGACGGCGACGGCGACGCGGACAGCACCGGGCTGGGAATCACACCCCCAGCCAGCGGCGGCGGCGCCGCCGTCACCGCCACAGGCGAAACAGCCCAGACCCAGACCCAGGCGCAGGAGGTCGTCCCCCGCGGCGCAGACAGCGACGACAGCGACACCAACACCATCGGCCCGGACACCGAGACCACGGAGCCCACCCCGGCGTCGGACCCCCCTTCGGTCGGTGCCGCTACAGTGGCGGATGCGTACGGTGCGGAGGTGGATCCGTTTAGTACACTGCGCTTTCCGGAGGCGGGGGGTGAGGTTGGGGCTGGTGCTGGAACTGGGGCTGGTGTGGGAGTGGGAGTGGCAGGAGGGAGTGGGGATAATGAGGCGGATAGCGTGGAGGAGGAGGAGGAGGAGGATGATGAGGAGGATGAGGAGGAGGAGGATGGGCGTGCCAGGCTGCATCGCGGCGGGCGGGTTAACGTGGCTAACCCGCGTACCCCCGGTGGTCGGTTGGTGCCGAGCCGGAGTTTGGAGATTGAACGGCCGATGGTGAGGTTGGATATGACGGGTGTGTTGATGAGGAGGGGTGGGCAGTGAGTGGGTGCTTTTCTGGGGCGTTAGTGTGAGGGGAGTGTGTGCTCCTTGAGGGATTGGTTGATGTTTCTGCTTCTTGTTAGGCGGGGCAAGTTGGGGGGTTGTGCATGTCATGTCAAGTCATATATGCATTCGGGGAGGTGAGGGTATATGGGATGAGATGAAGGGAAGGGGGCGTTTTGCGTTGCTTTTCGGGCCGGCGGCTGGGTGGTAATGATCTATCATGTCAATGTCATGTCATGTCATGGGTTTGGTGACGGAGTTGGGTGGCTCAGTTGGGGATACATGGCGCGCGCTGCAAACAGGGGGTTTCAACAGGTTTGATGATCGACGACAGCATTTTGTGAGGCATCTATATACATGGCATGGCATCTGTGGCATATAGCGTTGGGTTGGTTAGCTGGGTTGGATGAATGCATGGTTGGATTGTCGATGTATGGTGTATGGTGTGTGGTGTGATGTGTATATATACCCGACAGGCAGATCAGAAACGGATTGAACTTTGATGGGAGCAGAGTCTTGGTAGCAGCTTGCAGGCCGGCTACTGTGAACAAACTCAAAAGTCGGCGTCAAACGACTCGGGGTATCCAATCCTGCCATGCTGCGAGACATGGCCATGAGCCATGAGCCATGTGGCGGTAACTGAACCACTGCTTCATGACATGTGCTTCACATGTCATCAGTTTAGTCGTGTAAACGACAGAACACCCGTCAACACAACTCACCAAACTCAAAATCACGAGGAGAGAAAACGGGATGTTAACTTCGAAGAAGACCCCCTTTCTCCATCCTCTGCTCCCCTCCCACCCAACCACTCAGCACAACCCGTCTGTATCCCAACCCCTGGACAAACATCTCCCAAAAATGGTTTCTATTCCCACCGCAGAAACGGGAACTTTTGCGAACAAAGATTCGGGGGCGGTTTCGGCGCCGGCCCAAACGCAAGGTAAAGGAAGAAGGATGCGGCGGGGCGAAGCCATGCATGTTTGTGCACCCGCAAGCATCTCGTACGAGAGACGCCACGGCCGGGGCGGAGGGGTTGGAACGGGATGCGGGAACAGCGGTCTGGGACCAAACGACCAAGCTTCCGTTCCCAATCCTGGGGGGCTCTGTTTCATGTGCTCCCCGCCTGCCGTGCTAGACGACCGGAAACGTGAGGTCCTTTTTCGTCTGGGGCTGTTTGCATACAAGGCGCCAGTCCGGTTCAGGGTTGACCGACGGATGGACGATGCGGCGTAGGAAGCTGTGAATGAGCACGGCACGGTTTGGTAACATGCGGGTCGAGGTGAGGGGGGTTGAGCATCAAGGTGGCATTATCCCGTTGTTGCTTCCCTCACTAAGATGCAATTGGAACTGCGTAAACGAGGGTAGGATGGACCAATTGAGGTTGATGATGCTACTCAAGCACACATCCTCAGTAGCATTTTGTAACTTTCCATCTCGCTATTATCACACCGAACGCGATCCCATCCCTTCGACTCCAAGTCCGCTCTCGAACGTCTGGCTCAACTTCAGCTCATTCGGAGCAATCCGAGGCCCTTAACTCCTCCCGCCTTGAACGCAGGCCCCTCTGTTCAGGAGCAAACAAGAACTCAAAACCCGAAGCCCCTACAGCCATAGCTACCGACGGTGGGACAACCCTCCCCGTCTTCTTCGAAATGAGAATGCAACGTGCCCTGTATCCCCCATCCCTTCGCGGGACACCAAACGCCACTGACCCATGAGCCCCATGTGGATAATACAATTGACACCTCCCAAAGGTCGAGTCAAACCCCATATTAAACGCCATGATATGCAGATGCATCGCAAAAATTCGCAAAACTTTAATAGTACAAAACCAAGTCTCGAGACGAGAAAACAAAAGGGAACAATTCGGAGGAGGCTGTTGAGGCCTAGTACTGCCCGGGATACGGAGCCCCGGGCCGCGTGGTGAATGGCAGCTGATACTGTCCCCGGGGCTGGTGGGCGTGCGGGTGCGGATTCGGCAGCATTTGCGGCACGGTGTAGCCGGCGAGCCGGTGAGCGCCATCCAAAAATTCGGGGACGATACCGGTGCGATACTCGTTGCGCTTCCCGAGCGGCTGGTAATGCATCTGGTTAGGCAACACCGGGTTCGGCAGGTGGTATTGTTGTAGGAAAGCCGATGGCGGCGGGTAGAGCAACGTATTGACGTGCCGCACGGGCTTGTACGGGCTGTTACGCTGCTGGAGGTAAATGGAGGGCGAGTGCGAGATGGGCGTGTGCAGCCCGCTGGCGCCACCGTTGCCCACGACGAGCGGAGAAGAACCGGGGTAGGCGAGCAGCGCGTTTTGAGGCGACAGCCGCTTCGTCGGGGTTCCGTAGTTCAGAGGCGGGAAACTCGCTGTCGGGGTCATCGCCCCGCACGTGGCAGGAACAGATGTTGGCGGGGCATAAGTGGTGGTCGGGAAGACCATCGACATGGCCCGAACGCCGGAAGCGAGAGGCGGCAATGAGAGCGGGGCCTGCTGCGGTGCGTAGGTCGAAGAGGTGTAAGCTTGGGGCTGCGTGACCGGCATATCGGTGGCCTGGCCCGTGTTCAGCGTCAAGCTGGGCACATGCTGCCGGCCGTGATCCGAGGGCAGGCCAGATACCGGCCGCGACTGCATAGGAGCCACATTGCCGACACTGGGGCGACTGAATTGCGCTTGGGAAGCCGTGTACTGCACTGGCGCGTGAGACGGGAGCTGCCCCTGTCCGACAACGGCCCGATTCGCGCGCTTGGCCGGGTGCTCGACCGAGTCTTCTTCGGGAAAGCTCCGCTTCCGGTGCAGGTGTGGTTGGGGCTTCAATGGCGAGATTGCATTGTTGTTACCATACGAGACTGGCCAGTTCTGGCCGCCGTTCGTCATGGGAGCCAAGTTCGGCGACTGCAACGCGAACGAATGGGTCGTCGACTGCAAGCCCGAGGCCAGCGCCGCGGTTGGTGAGTGCAGGGGCGAGACAAAGTTCCGGGTCGGCGACGGGATCAGGAGCGGAGATGGCGTGGGAGACACATGCTGCGCCAGCTCCAGGTACGACCAGAACTGGGTTAGTTTGTCGAGCCACTGCTCCCACTCCTCGGCCGAGACCAGGAGGCTGTACCGCATGTTACTCAGGAACTCGACCTCCATGACGTGGATTTCGTTGACCGAGATGTTGGACACGTCCGCCCAAGTCTTGTTCGTGTAGGTGTTATCGTCCAGGAACTTGTTGCCGAGCATCAGGGCTACCGTCAACAACCGGTACTCGCTTCCCGGGCGGCCCCTAACCGTGGGGTTCGCCTTCTTCAGTCGGTGGATGTAGAGCAGGGCGAGAATAACGACGTTCTGTGTGACCTGGGTCGTCGCCAGTACTGTCGAAACCCACTTCTTGAAATGCTGGCTCGCGGCCGCCGTGGGCGCGAGCGCTGGTACCGGCGTGCCTGGAGCCACCTTGTCCAACCCTTCGACCTTCTCCAGCAGTTTCGTCGACTCAAACCAGAACAGCGCCGCCAGCTCGGCCATGAAATCCGAAATGCTGCCCCCGCTTGCGCTTATCCGCTCCGGAATGCACATGCTGTGCTGTGTCATCTTCGCGCTCGCGGTGCTATTCGCGGGCGAGGTTCCTATGGGCGGCGTCGGGTGTTGAGGTTGCCGGGCCTTGTCTTGCGGCTGGGTATATTCTGGCGCTGTCGCCGAGCGAACCGTAGCGGACGAGCTGGTTGGCGCGGCGGCTGACCGGGAGAAGTTTGCTGCTTTAGTAGTGTGGATTTGGCTGGCGAGAGGTGCGGGGCATCGCGAGCTTGGGTTGAAGAGCTGCTCGTTCGGAACTGGTCGCTCATTCAAAGCCGGTCGCCGCCGGTCAGCCTGCGGCATTGTTGAGTTGTAAGCGGAGGAGGGGTGGTGGAGGAGGTAGTTCTCGCACGATGGCATGTGCGGTACTTCATACGTGGTCGCCATGTTTTTGTTGGGAAGGCGGCGTGTGGACGCTGTGATGTGAGGAAGAGGACTGAAGTTCAAGTCATGGAAGACGGTTTGTTTCGAGTGTAATTAAGCGGCCTTAATTGAGGTTGGTGTCAAGGTGCAGATCGAAGGGCTGGTGACGGGAGCTTCCGAATGACTGACGATGACGACGTCAATTGCCAATTTTCGGTCAGTCGCTGGTCAAGGCAGGTGATGCCGGAACCTGAACGTCACTGGTCGTCACTTCCGTGAATTCCAGATGGGCAAAAGTTGGCGAGACCCTCCTCGTTCCTTCCCGCACTGGAACAGCTGCCCACAACTTGCACGTTGTTGAGGTGCTTCAAAAGCTTGGGCCCAAAATCCGATATCGTTCTTTCTTTCCACATTCCCAGCTTCCCATGTGCGGTTTCGGTGGGGAGAGACGGCAACGGAGTTCGACTTCGAGAGAGGTGGTGGATGGTCCCAGCTTCCACACCGGTAACAATGATGAAGCTCGCAGGCTTCTAGGAACCTTCTCGTCCTCGATGGGCTTTGTTGTCTTTGTCAAGAATGGGGGCCGACGCAACCTGGGCTGAGATGTCGTATCGTATCAGGGTGGTCTCCGCCTGGGACCCGTCAATGGGGCACGTAACGGGGGTGGTGGCCACGAGGGGTCAAGGAGGGAAGAGGCTCCACGGCGAGATCGGATCGTTGAGGTCACCAAGGGAGGAGGGGAGGGGGGTGGCGGGCAACACGGCGAAGAGGTGGACGATGACGATGGCGACGGCGAGAGAGAGTAAGGGCAGCGGTGGCAGGAGTCATGAAAAGTCATGAATGGGGAGGAAGATCCCCAGGCAGTGAAAACATCCATAGCGATGGCCATCCATGTGAGGCGGTTGCGGAGGGTGTGTTGCTGCGTCTTAGTCCCGGTCGCCGCAAATGCTGCTAATTTACTTTGTCCCTGGTCGATGTCGTTGTCTGGGTGCGGTGCAAGGGGGGGTCACCGTGCCGCCGCGGCCATCGTGTTGCTGCAAGACGGTACCTGGGACGGAGGGACGTGCAGGATTGCCGGCCTCCCAGATGCACCAACCCGACCCACACAGGGCCTCGCCAGCCAATGAATTCTTGGCTGACTGCGCAGCAGTCTCTTTGCGGGGCCTTCCTGTCCTTCCTGTGATTCCTCTTCAAGGTTGAGCGGGCACGGGCGGCCATGCGAGCCAGCACATTTCCGGCCTAGCTCCGTTTTCTTTTTATCTCGGCCGCCTCCTGTGCGCCTCTCTCTAGGATCCCAGGGATTGGCACAGCTCGCCACTGAATTTGGTGGGCACGGTGGGCTTGGGTGCTTGGCCGGGGCAGGCGAGCCTTTCCTTCCTTGTGCCACCGCCGAGAATGTGAGCGACCTTCACAGCCAAGAACAGCCCGGGATTCGGCTGGAGCAAAGCGCCTTTCTCAACTGTCCCCAGAGGGCGTTCCAGAACCCCATTCCCATTCCCCGACAAGCAAGCAGCCTGCCAGCCCCGCACCCACCTTCGTCAAGGGCAGCTTTGTCGTCACCGCCGCATCGCACTTTCATTGCCACAAAACACGCACGCTTCATTCTTCCAACAAACTGCGCCGAAACAGGTGACGCCGGGGCGGCCCTAGACAAGACCAGGACGGACTGCAAGGTCACTTTGCTGCCGTGTGGCCTATTCTGAACAAAGTCCCCTCCTCCCTCCCTCCCCGCCGCAGTTGCCGAAGGTCCTGTGTAAAACACTGTCCCCATTTTTTATGGCTTGGGTCGGCGTTCGCCATCCATCAGTGGGACCTTTTCAAGGGGCAACAAGTTGCAAAGCAACCTCTGAGCAGTGTGAGATTGTGAGATTGTCCCGAGTAAGAAAATGGCCCGGCAGGGATTAGGAACCCAAACCCTTTTGTCGCTCAAAAAACGGAGCAATTACAGGGGTGCTATGCTGCACAGTGTTGCGTACATTGATTCCATAGTGCGCCTAAAAAGTGATGGTTTGCGTCGTGGGGTTGGATTTGTCCATTTTCTTTTCCCTCTTTCCAAGGTACTGTGGTAGGTCGGCTGGTCGGTACCTTGGGATCTTGGCCCTCTCTGACCTCCTCTCCCTCCTCCCACCCAACACAAACAACCAAAGAGTCAATTATTGTCAGCCGCCCCCCTCATGGATCCGGCCGCGGGGCGCCCGCCAATCCGCGTCGTCTCGGGCTTGGCTGCCCTGGTTGATGTCTCTGCCGTCCATCCCTTGGAGCGGCGGGAAAGGGGGGCCAAAGAATGGGAACGGGAACCGCGGGCGTCTCATTGCTGAGACCGACCTGCCTGCGCCCAATGCGGTTTGGGAAAGCCAACCAGTGAGAAGAAGTTCGGTTCCTTGTTGGAAGCTGATCCCGCCGAGATAGTGCAGCTTGCGAAACTATGTTTGGTTTGGCCTGGGCTTGGGCGGCCTTGGGAAGGTCGCAACGGAACAAGGCGCCGCATGGCTGACACTAACGATTGCACAGCAATCCCGCCGGCCGTGGGATGCTGCAGGGCGCAGGCTCCGCTCCCTTGAGACTGTTTCCGGCCCCGAAGTGGATTGGATCATGCCGCACAGTGCGCCGTGCTTCGTGCTTCTTTTCTTTCGCTACCCAGCGAGACGGCATTGAAGAGCTCGACAAACGCAGACCCCTAACTCTCTTTGCCCAATCCATTTCGCCTAGCCCGGAGCGGAGGGTTTGCTGTGCACGACGTTTCCGCCTTTCCGCCCACCCGTGGTTTGACAAGGCCGGCTACGATCAAAAACAGGCTTCACCTCCGGGGTTCGTGATGGTGTCTCCTTGAGCGCCGCCTCTGGCGGCCGCTCTCGGTTGCAAGAGAAAGAAAGGGGCTGACAAAAAAAGGACAGTGCGGGGAAGCGCTCCCGAAACGGTAATTCAAAAAGCTCTCGGAAAAAGTCGTCGTCAGTGTATGGAGCGACTCGTGATCTCGGTTGTGTCGTCGGAAACACCTCGCATCGGGCGGTCACCTGAAACCCATCTCATGCCTGAGCCGGATTGTCCTCAGCGCGATGATCAACCAACTGTTTGCCACGAGAAACAAACTGACACGGACTTGGTCGATCCAGCTGGGAGAGAACGAATGATACGGACGTACGCAGGACGGGCATGGGTGGCCCAAGCCCTCACCAAGCTGAGACGACACGGTACGCCAGGAGTCCGGTGGCTGTCCCTCAAACCACCCCGGCCGCTCTCGCTCGTTAACTCGTTACGGGTCGTGACTATGTGTGCTTCGTAAGAACAAATCGTCTCCTCTGCCCTGACTGTAGCACCTCAACCGTCCCAGCAGGAGGGGTCGGATCAACCTCGCCGGCCAACGATCCCGTCATCTCTCGCGAATGTGACCCAGGTCAGAAAGTGTAAAGCCACGGGGTGACGCTTCCATGTGTGGCAAAAGGTTGCGCTGACTCGGGGATGTCATCGACCCCGCTCCTCTCTGTTGGTTTTCGGCTCGGGAGCCTGGTGAGGAACACACCATCAAAAAGATGGCGTGGAAAACATGCAGTCAAGCGGGTCAGTCGTGTGAGAGGCCAAAGGCGCAACTTCGCAAGCTGTCCAAATCCGCTGTGGATCCCCGGAGCCTGAGGCGGAAGCACCGGGAACGTTATGGCGTTTGCCCCGGCGGCCCTTCGTCACCCGGGCGTCGTACTGCAAACCCCTGCCTTCGTCGTGCGAAGACCGTCGTGATCGTTCTCCATGTCGGCCAGCTTGATGAGAGTGTCGGACTCGGGCGCACCTTGGGCCCACCACACCAACCATTTCGTGTGGGACAGCCCAAACCGCCTATCCCCATTCCAAGGCGCCCCGTCAGGAATCCAGCAGCAAAAGACGGGGGGCACAGTGCGAAACCCGACAAACACGACCTCCCAGCCCAGCCGCTTCTTCAGGGATGTCTCTCTCATGCGGTTGGCCAGGCTCGAGCCCAGGTCTCGTTCACCCGTTAACTTGTTCACGAGCCTCTGATTTCCCAGCGATGCCGCCCGCAAACCCAAGATCCATCATGTCTCTCTGTGCGGTTCGGCTTACACTCTGTATGGACAGGCTTCCACACTTGAAATGCGAAAGAGACGCCACAAATCCAAAGAACGATGTTCGAGCAAGGATAAGGTTTGCGGAACACACGGCATGCGAAATCACTCGACATGGAATCTGCGCCGCTGGGACAAACGAAGCTCCGAAGATGCTCCCTCGGGCCCTGGTCCCAAACAGGCTGTGAGTTGCACGCTGTCGTCGCGGACGCCGCAAACTCGCAACCAATCACGAATCGGGGTTCGCCGTGGGGCAACGCCATGTGCGCAGCGCCAGAGCAAGGCTCAGGCTTCGTGGGCTTTCAGGTCTCGGCCGGCCTTGGGGTGCTCGCTTGGTGCGGAGCTTGCCCACTTGCTGGCCCCGCCCTCGGGGCGTTGATTGGGTTCGGTTTGCGGTTCAGGGGCCGGCCTTTGCGGCGGCTGAGATTGAAAAACCAGTTCTGGAACATCGAGGCTCGAGAAACGACAAGAAAAGAAAATGGCTCGCTGGAGTGACATGCCCAGTGTGCCAGTCTCCTTCGAGCATGTGTCGTGCGTCGATCGACCAAGGGGAAAAGCGTACTAACGTTAGTGCTGCTCGTGCAGGAAAATACGACTGCTGAGAGTGGTCCTGTCCCTTTTGCAGGAAGAAAGAACACCGTCGGTGACAAACTGGTGGTACAGATGTCAAACAGCAGACCACCGTCTCGCAATGGTGCCACGCCCCCCACCCGTTGAGCGCCCTCGACCGATCACCAACTGGCTTGCATCCTCACCTCCTCTTCCCTTGAGAACCCCCTTCAACCTCGCGAGCCTGTTTGGCTGATTGGCTGGCTGGCTGACTGGCTGGCTCGTTGACTGCTGAAGTTCAGGCGTTCAAGCGTCACCGTCCACGCGCCACAATGGAACCCGCCGCGTCGAGACTTGATTCCTGCTGCAACCCGCGTCCATCCCATCACCTGGCGGAGTGCATGTCGCAAAGATAGGCAGTCCGCAATGCCTTCCGTCCCGGTATTCTGAGGAAACACAGGAGACAGCCGAACGTATCGAACAAGTTACCGACAGCGCTGGGCAACGGAAGGTGGCCCGAAGCGGGCGCGGCTTCTCAGAGCCTGCAACGGTGGGAATACCACTGCTATTTTTTGCGTCGTCACATCCGCGTTGCGAGCGACCGAAAATGTGCGATTGGAAAAAAACATCGGTGCCTTTCCTGATCGAGAAACGAGTGTCCAGAGTTTTGCCGGGATTGGCACGTCGTCGGAATTAAACCAGATTGCTGCATGGCTTGTCCCAGCGTCATCAATCCAGCAACGCTCCAGGCTGTGTTGACTGGAGCTTTTGCGTGATGCGCGGCAAGCAACTTGAAGCACACACCCATTGGGTGGGAAACCGGGGCATGTCCCAAGCGAGTGAGCTCCAGGACATGGAAGGGAAAGCTTGCCGAGGCTGATGAGGCGCAGAATCGTGACGCTGTCATCTCCACGCGTCTGCACTCTGACATCTTGCTTATCCGACTGATGAGAACTTGAAGCGAACAGCGGCGCGGAAGGACGCATTTGAAATTTCTGGCCGTTGATCTCCCAAGCCCGCTCCGATCGAGATATTGCAGTTGGAGGGGCCGCTGCCTGCAAGAAGGCGCGCGAGTGAGCCTTCAGAAGACCGAGACTTGTAAACGGAGCCCGCCCCACCAACAGAATTCACGCCAATCAGGGCAGGAACCAACCATCGCTGAACCCGGCTCCACACAAACGCCGACCGCCGTTTGGCCGAGTGGGTGTTCGACTTTCCAATCTTGAACGGGGCTCACCTCCAACGATATCCGATCCACAGCCTGGAATGTCTCCAGCTCCTCCTCGACTCCATCATTCCTTCACCGCAGCTGCAAGTGATATTTCTCAACTGTATCTCATCACCGCTCCTTTTTGCGTGCTTTGAACAGGCTGTACTATAACCAAGGGCACACCTGTTATCGGAAACGGAAACATGCTGCTGCTTGCCTCCGTTTCCACTTTCAAAGATTCCACGGGACACCGCACAGTGCCAAAATAGACAGTCGAACCCGGTGCCCTGCTCGGCGAGCCCAGAAGCGCACGAGCCGTCCCTGATTGGAACCCACAGGGTGTTCTTGCGGGCCAATGAGACACAGTTAATACCAAAAACCGACGGGTTGCCTGAGACGCCCTGATCCCTCCACACATGCCGCCCAGACGGGCCAACAAAACCACAAACCAAACCCCAACTGCTGACAGACCGCCGTGACAGCCCACGCAGCCCTGACCGACACCGTCGCAGCACGAAAATCAATGAAAAGCGCGATGGCTGTTGCGCCCGCGCCCCCCGCTCCGAGTCACGAACAGGCAGTCTTCCACACGGCTGGCCGCCTTCTCCATTTTATTTGACAAACGAAAGCGAATCATGGGTCGCGAGACACGACGCACCCTCTCCGATCCGCGGGGATGCCCTCGGTTGCCTGTATCGCCGTCACCCCATGGCTGCAACCTTTGTGCTTCTCCGCCATCACCCGCCACTCTCGCTCTGACGACCCGTCGGGTGATCAGCTTTCCCATCGTCGCCCGCCCCATTTGCATGGAGGAACCGGACAGACAGCTCTGGGGAGCCACGGGAGCCTCGCAACTTTCGACTGGTAACTCGCTGATAGCTGAACACCAAACATGAGTTAACTGTTGGCTACCGGCCTGCCTAGGGAGGTCGTTAATTGCTTCTGAGACGTCTCACTGCTTGCCGTTTTTAGAGGAGCTTGGGGTGATGCACATGCAGCACCACGGCACAGCGACCCCATGAAAATCCGCCCGCGGACGTCATCACCAACTGCGTCCTTTGTACATATCAAGATGCTTGTACACACATCATCCCAGCGTGAGCAGCCATCCCATGATATTTTTGCCGTGCTGTGCCTGCCCCTCCCACCACCACCACACGGCCAGAAACGAGCCACCAAATGAAGACTGCGCGGCGCCCCACCCACGGCCCCGGCATCATTCCGGCTGAGTTCGGAGGGCGGATTCGGAATCCCACGGCAGCCTATGTCCGGAGAACCGAGAACCACCAGAAGGCTTCCATCTCCCCGGGGCCGATGAGTCCGGCCACCCACAAGAGGCGCCTCGGCCAACCATGCAATTATCCCATGCCGCCTGACAGCCTCGAAACCAAGTCGCCGCCAACAACAACAAAAAAAACCCGTTGGTCGCGAACCCGAAACAGCTCGCCTGCGCTCAGCCGCCGAGTCTGTCGCACATTCACAAACTCCGGGCCCGCGGTACCATCGTCTCGCAGTCGCATCCCATTCCGTGCCAGCCCCCCGCCAAGCCACCCATGCTTCGGCATCCTCTAATATCCCAACCACTAACGTCACCCCGTCCGAAACGCTGAGACGCTTTTTCGTTATGTCGATCTGAGTTATCTTGTACTTCCTCGCAGCCCTTGTCCCGGCCCCCGCCGCCGCTCCTTGCTCTCAGGCTTAGTTATCCATATCTTATGTGACCTTTCCCGGAGCCAATCACCTGAACAAAAAAAAAAAGCCGAACTCCAAGCGCAAATGTCGACAATGGAAACTTGGAGTCCTCGACTATAGGAACAGAACAAAGCTATCCTGAAACCCAAAGAGACAGTATTTACTCCATTTACTTTTCTTTTGGCCCCATCTTTTATTTAATTTATTTTTCTATTTGTTTTGTTCTTGCTTGATTTCTTGCTTTCCTTTCTTTCCAGTTCGTCTTTTTTTGGCCAGAGGGTGCCAATGAACAACCAACGCCCAGCTTTCTTGCATCCTCAAGTCAGCCCATCAATGCAGCCGATGTCAAGCCGAACCGCCGGCATCTCCCTGCAATCTTTAGACCACCGGCGTTGTGAAGGCACGGCTCACGACCTTCCAGGACCTTCCGGGGACCGTCTGGCCGCCGCCTTGGCGAATCGGAATGCTTCCATCTCGTCCAATGCATTGCTCTCAACCTCGTGGCTAAGCTCATGTGGATTTTACGCCTTGTCCTCTCCTTGTTTATTCGCGTATTCGTATCCATGAGACACATCAACTGGCGATACAGGTAAGAAACCGGAGCAGAGCTTTGAACAGGCAAGATGTGCATAGTCTCGGCAGACAAGCTGTGTCGTCGCGGTTGTGCATAGTAGAGTTGTTCTCTCACCACCGCCTTCGGTGAGCTCGCCATCTTGATAGTACGCTTTCTCGCCCGCTAATGGGCGCCTGAGAATTCAGGTGAGACCGGATAGTTTCGGTCAAGGCTCGATCGATCACCTCACTCCGTGCTATGGTTTATGGCCTGCCATAACTGGCTTCGGAACTGTTGCTTATGAGATATCATGATGGAGATCGCTCTTTGCACAATCCGTAGACGGGATTTTATGCAGAGCTGGTTGGGCCTCGTATCAGTCGTTCATAACCATGGCGCCATGAGTTCCAGTTTGCCTGATGTAGTGGCTTCGTCCTTCACGCCCACCGTTGCGATGTTGCCAACGCCCGTTCACGGTCACGAAGCCACCCACCTCCTCCCCCCCAGCTGTGCCGGCTACGGCCGTACCCATTCGCGTACGAGCGTAAATTGGAGGTGTCATTAAAAGATCTAATGGCCTTGAGAACCTTTAACGGAGACTGAATAAATCTGTCAGCAGGACGTATCATATATGCCCTCATTCTCGTCATGTTGCGTATTCGGGAAGAAGGGTGCCGACCTAGATCCGAAGGTCTTGATAGGATCCTGGAACACAACACAGACGCTGTATCTGACGCATGCCAAACAAGGTCGAAGGTCAGGTTGCGGGAGCATGGGATCCGTAGAGTCGGGTTCGTGAGCGCCTCGGTAAAGCCATGTAGCCATACCAACTGAGTTTATTTAGTTCCCCAGTGTTAAATGTGAATAATTTCGGGCTCCTCATTCGTCTCTGAGTCGATACGGGCAAACATGGGGCTATTGATTCTTAAAGTACATTCCCTCGTTCCACAAGTCCAAACTATTACACTACGGTAAGTAGGTTGGCAGTTATGGTGAACTAGTATGTGCTGAGGAATTACGATGGCCCTGACTTTAGAGGAAATCAGTGTGCTTGTGGTTCATCCGAAGAGTACTTTGAAAAGTAGAAAGTCGCTTCCTGAAAAGCTTTGAGTCAGAGAAATACCTCCGGTTTACTTTCGATGGAGGGTTGGTTAGCAACCAAGTGAAGGGGTCATGTTTTCTCATCAACACTCGCATCGTGAGCATGACGAGAACCGCCCAAATCTTCTTTCCCACGTCCGACCATTATGTCACAATCAATAACCAAGCTTCACCTGCAACCCCTTACCTTAGCCCGCGATACCGTGCCTCCTCTACCCCTACTGAACGACGTCCCGCCGGCCAACTTGGAACCCTCATCTACGTTAGAGGAGTGTTGGCAGCATCTCCAAAGACGCAGCTGGGCCATGTTTGCAGCTTGAAAGAAATCCTAGTGGGCATAGATGGTGCAGTCCTTTCCGAGTCAGATGTCGAGGCTCTTCATGTTCGGAAACTCGCACCTCTTGACGCCGACGAAGCCGCTGTCGATGTCGGCCCCCTGTATTTCCGAAAACGCTTCTTGTGGGACGAGCTGGACCAGATCATAGACGACAAGAGTAGCAAAGACAAGCCCTGCAGAACTAAATGCCGCGTAAGAGACTACCCGGAACCAGCGTACCCTGACGGAATGCTCCCGCTGTGCAGTGCAGAAGCAGAGGCCGCTCATAACCTGGACTGGTGTCTTGCGCGCGGAGAATGTCAGAGGTGTGGGATCCAAGGAGCTCTTCGCAGATCGTATTGAGATGTCTCTAGGAGGCCATTTTACCTGCCATGCTGCACGGAATCACTGAGAGGTAGCTCTGGCTATGGGCGCGCCTACACCTATTTTCCGGCTCATCCATTTGCTTCCAAAGAGGAAGCGAGAGGTCGTCCACATATCGCCAGCGGCGTCACGGACTCGGAGGATCCCGTGGATGACAGCGTCCTACGAAGTGAGCTTCACGTCGCAATAGGCGTATTCCAGCATCAACTTCGCCATGGACAATATCGCAACCACCACACATTACGCGTGAGACGCCCGACTGCCTAGTCTCATTGCTGCGCTACTTTCTGGGGGTTTGCTAGTCTAGGCTCCTCAACTTTGGACCCGTCTCAGATACTCTCCTGATGATACGTTGGATGACCGCAATCCCAATTGGAGATACCGAATATAAGACTCCGGAGTCCTCAAGGCTTCGAGGAGGCTACACAGTCGAACCAGGCCACTGGACGGGCGGGATATGTTCATGTCGCAGGGAATAACAAGCAGCGCTCTTCGGCGCGCCGGGTTTATTTGCCAACACCTGTAGCGTATCATTGTTTGTTCCGGGTATCATGGGCACCACTTGTGCTATTGGACATTCCTTGATGCAACTGGCGTCTTCAGCCCGTGGCTTTCGTGGAAGCCGCCAAATATAGTGAGGCATGACAGCTCGGACTGCGATTCGAAAAACGAACGCGATAGTAGTTGGCTGGAAATCGAAGCATTGACAGAGACCCAACGCATAGACTCCAGGATTCAAAACAGCAGTAGCCACCTAATGTATGATTACCTTCTGAGCTGATGACTTTCGACGGCTGTTGCGCGGTCAGTCTCTCGGACGAGATGACTTGTAAATGTCTCGCAGCCCCGAGAAGGATCGGCTTTACGTGGCCGACAAACGAACCGTTATATCGACTCCCAGGTACATTACTCAGAAAACCTCGCGATGGATTGAAAGTTCTCAACTCATCAAACTCTCCGCCATGCATGGTTGATAGGGGGCCGGGCTGCGGGGTTGCCTCAGGACGGAGGGAGTCTGGAACGACTACGCAGTACACCACTCACACCGGTCGAATCCTTCCGAGATCAACAAAGGTTGACAACACACAACTACCGTCAAGGGCTGGGCGGTCTAATAATGAACTGTCAAACCTCCGGGGTTACCTCGACAGTTTGATATTGAAGCTTCCTGAGTCTCGGCCGCCGAAGAGCGTGACCGCTGTCCGGTGTTACAATCTCGGCGGAATAAACCGAGACAGACCGAGTGCAATAGCCGGCCGAAGGACTTGTCTAGATGCGGGAGATTGCTTTCGCCTGGGATACGTGTTGTGGTTTCCACTCGATCATGATACTTCCGCCGGGTTGGTATTGGTGGAGAAAGAAACAACCCGAACGGCAACGGCGGGGACACATTCGCAACAGACAAACCTGAGGCATTCTGCCTTGGAGAGCGTGACACGCTCCATAACAAGATTCGGCTCGGCCACCTGTGGCTCTGTGAGCAGCCACCTTTACGAGGCGTTGACAGTGTCTCATCCAAGCCACCGGAGAGCCGAGGACACGGTCCTGTGACACAAAATGCCACCGCCTTCGAGTGGTGTGCTGGCATAGAGAGCATGGAATCTACCCAACACCATCTCGCATCTCGCGATAGGCTCATCAGAGATCCTGATCGATCGTCGGACCATGCACCACATCCACCGCTAGTGTAGCCCTACATGTGGCTGTCCCTGATCTGACACAGTGACCGGTCAAGAAGCCCCTCACTTCGTCGCGTCATCCATAGGCTCCTGCTCCCAGCCATCCGTCTTTGAGCCGCACGGAAAACGCTGACGTGATTTTGCCACTCCACCAGGAAGCGGTTTGACTCGACCGAACTGGCGATGTGTCCACGTAGTCCGCCCTGACTCCATCCGACTCTCCCTGCCCGTGTTTATGCGGCTATGCGTCCGAGCCAAGCCGTACTGGTCTCGGTTTGCGGATAAATCGACCCTTCCTGACGAGAGCTTGCAGGAAGATGCGGCGGGGCGCAGGTAGCGGGGGGTCTCGGTCCAAACACGAGAGACGCAAGCAATCTGTTGAGGGGGCGGGGGCCTATTATACGTGTCTGGAGGAGACAGATGGAACCAAGGCCTTCACCGCCCAAGGGGTGGAGACAGGGGCCTGACTATTGTGAGCGACCCCAGGATTCGATTTGTTGCGCTCCATGCTGGGAGCAAAATGCCCACCCTATGAGATCCAAAACAAAGTGCTCAACAACCCACTGGCTTCCTATTCTAGGCTGCTGCAGGTATGGCGGATGCCAACGTCCGAATAGAACGGCAGCCGTCCCTGGTGGCCAACCGTCGACTAGGACAATGTTTGAAATCTGACTTGCAGCACAAACAGCAACGGGGACGGAGGAGTAGCTAACGGCGGTATGACCTTGCGTTCGCTATGAAGGTGGGGACTCGACCTGCACGTCCGGAAGAAGTAAGTTCGAGACTCTTCCAGCGAGGGGGGGCAGGTAAGGGCCGGCCCGCTGGGATTGTCCCGTGAGTGGACTGCCAAGGTCGGACGAGTCCGGCACCGGTTGACCGATGTGGCCCGGGGTTGGGAGTGTCTTTACCAAACGCGTCTCGGAGCCGGAGGGTTCGGTTACCCCTCAGCGCGCGGCCCGGGGGCTTTGCAAGCTTGGGCAGCAACTACGGGTAACACGATGGCGCAAAAAGACAAAGCACGGCGGAGTGCGTCGTCGGCCGAGGCTGTTTATGACTGACCGTGTCTGACCATGTCTAGCCGCCACCTCCGAATGCGATTGCGCGTTCCGCTCCTGACTGGCTCGGCCAAAGTGACCTCTGACTTGTCTCTCACCGGGGCCCACCGTGTCTCAGCGAGCGGTCGACCTCCGTGCCTTACTTCGGTGCTTCCCAACGCTGCTGGTTGTTTCTCGCAAGAATGACGAGATGGACATGCGAGTCGTGCATTGGCGGCGGCCCCCAGGAACGGCTTCGATAACCGCGAGTCTGGACCTGTTCCCAGTTCTGAAGCTGGTGATGGTGCCCAGCCCGGGCCATTGGGCGACTTGGAGTGGGCGGAATGGGCGAAATGGGCGTGTCGGGATTGTCTCAGCAGTTGGGCCCCCAATGAAAGTGCAGCTGAGGAGGTGTGCAACTCCAGGTGCCAATTGCCTCGCCGTGGCTTGAGGAGGAGAAATTTCCAGCAAATGGCAAGAGCGCGTGACTGTTGCACGCTCCAGTCGTCTGCGGGACAGGGCTTTGGGAAGGCACGAAGTTGGAAATCGCGAATTGAGCAAGACCACGTCGAGGGATGTCGTGGCCTAACGATGCCCGAAAGCGGGGTCGCTGTCACCTAAAAACCCCTCTCATTGGCTTGGCCGGCGGCCCCGTTCCTTCCCGCGCTCAAACGCGCGGAGCCGCTGACGCTTATTTCGGGTCGTGATGGACGGAAGGAGCCATCGCCAGCCAACGCCCGGGTCCGGGCCTCACTGAGAGCGCCTCCCCGGTTTGACGGACCTGGCGGTTTGAAGAGAATTCTGATTGCCAGCCTGGGCCGGGCAGCCTTGGTCGTCGCCCCTGTCAATCCTTTCAATCGCCACTTCTTCTCTGGATTCAGGCGCTACGAATGAGGACTCGAACACGCGAGGCAACCAGCCACAAGCCAACCACCTCACCCAACCTGTAACTCATGGAAGTTGCTCGTCAGACCCGACGACCCTGCCACTGGTGATTTGGCAATCGGTGGCAACTGAACCTTCAATCACCTCAAGCACACGCGCGTGCCGAGTGCACGCAATGCCCCTGCGAACGAACGCCTGATTCCCGGCTTGTCCTGCTGAGTCCTTTCCCTCCGAGCACATCAGGCGCATTAGGTCTCGCTTGAGTGGCCCGCTTGGCCTGCCCTGCCCTGCCCTGCCCTGTTTTTCCAATGAGGCGCCCTGCAAGTTGCCAGTGCAAAACACAAAAAAACGCGCTCCGAAGCCCGACCCGATTCGACGTCTCACCGTGTCCATGCCCAATGCCAGCCCTTCAATTTTTCCCCATTCAGCACTTCGCGAGGCTGTCTAGCCACATTCAGAGTGACTCATGCCATTGCAGGGCCGGCCAAGACGGTGAGGTCACACACGAGCGAGACGCCCAGTCCCCCCGAGCCCTGGCCAGAGCCACTCAGTGCCAGTCCCGGTGTTGCTCTCCTGCGGCTCTCCCCACTGTATGCCCCCCGTTCGTGCTGCCATCAAAACCATGCTCTCCTGCACGCCCTAGCCCGCTTTGTCTCGTTGAGTTCCCGAACTGCATCACACGCCCTGTCCGTTCGTCTCGTGCGCACAACAAATACCATTCTCGTCCTAAAGCTCGAGAATTCCACCCGAAATGCCCTCCCGTGACAACATTATTCCAAACCCACACCACTACCACAACCCGATAGCGACTTGAAAGTCCCAAGAAGAACCTAAAAGAGAACCCGAGAGAGAGAGAGAGAACGCACAGACGACATCTGGACTCGAAAGACGTCACAGCACAACATCACCAACACATATCACTCCATCACAGTCCTGCCTCCATGGAGAGGGAACGACAATACCTTCGCCCGAGGGTAGGGGGCACCGTGACCCCAAGCTCCGACACCCGCTCCTCCGGGCGCCCCGCCGAATGGCCCCAGTGGGAGCCGGAGAGGCAACGTGAGCATGATAGCGAGAGGGAGCAACCCGCCAAATCCATCTTGAGGAAGACACTTCGCCCTTCGACAAGGCCACGCCGCAACTCTGACACCTCTGTCACATCATCCAGCTTCCACGGTGGAGGGGGTGACTCCGAGCTGGGGTCGGAGTCTGTTGTATCGTCATCTATCGTATCGTCGTCTGTTGTATCGTCGTCTGTTGCATCGTCATCTGCTGCATCGTCGTCATTGCCACAGCCCGTCCCCTCCAGCTCGAGTGCCCTGCCTAGGAAGGTCCTCAAGGCCAAATTTCCAGGAATTCCCGCAGAGCGTCAAGGTGTCGTCAGCCTGAGGCCGTCGAGGGGTTCCTCACCCAACATTCCATCTGTGTACCGTGTGCCCCCAGTCCGCTCAGTCCTGGGCTCTCAGTATACCTCCAACAACAGGCCCCAGGGGCGCAATGGCCGTCGCGGGTCGTACGACCGCCATGACAAGCTCTACCACAGCACGGACCCCGAGACCGAGTCCGCCGTATCGGAGACATCTGACTTGTCCTCCACCACGGAAGCAACAACCATCATCTCGTCGCCCTCGGATTCCGGAGCCAGCGATGTGACCCCTACCGAGACCGTCGCCAAGCCGACACCCTCGGTCCGCTTCACCCCCAGCGTCATCGGCTCCGAGAGCGTCGCCAGCTCAGTATCAGCAACCCCTGTCCGCAAAGCCAAGCCGCGTCTCAGTATCCGTGGACAGTCAGCCTCCGAAGGGGACCGCACTGTTGTCAAGAGCGGCAGCCGGTCAGTCCAGATCAAGATGCTCCCCCTCACTGCCGAGACCCCCGAGTCCCGGTACACCCGCGAGCTCGAGCGCTACCAGCAGGAGATGGAGCGTAGTCTGATGTACAAGATCGAGGTGCTCGAGACCGAGAGGGAGACGTTGCGTGAGAGCGAGGCCAAGTTGAGGAGGGAGCTTGACGACAACTCCTCTCGCCTCACCACGCTCGACAAGGAGAAGGCGGCGCTCGAGAAGGAACGCAACACCGAGCGGAGAAGCAGGGATCAGGTACTCGGCATGCTGGAGAAGCAAAAGGCTGTCTTTGACGAGTTCCGCAGCAACTTTGACCTGCAAAAGACCATGCTCGATGAGGTCGAGAAGGAGCGGGATGCCGAGCGCGCCAGCAAAAAGGACCTTCAAGCGAAGCTCGAGGCCACTCGTCAAGTCTTTGACGAGTACAAGTCCACGATGGAGCTGCAGAAGGCCATGATCGAGGAGACCGAGAAGGACCGCGACGAGTCCCAGGCCTCCAGGGACAAGGTCGGGGAGCGGTTTGCGGCGCTGGAGAAGGACTACAAGAAGCTCCAGGGTGACCGCAAGGACCAGGAGGAGCTTCTGACCCACCAGATTGCCGCCCTCGAAACCAGCAGGGACGCCCTCCAGGAGCAGCGCGACAACAAGGACAAGGAGATTGCTGACTTGCTTGCCAACCGTGAGAAGCTGCAGACGAAGATGGAGACTCTGACTGCTCGTGTGACTGCCGCCAAGGATGAACTGAAGGCTGCCGAGGAGCAGCAGCAGAAGATCAGGGATGCCGCCAAGCACGAGAAGAGGGTCCTTCGGAAAGAACTCGAGGAGGAACACGCGGCCGCAAAGAACCGCGTTGTTGAGTTGGAACAGCAAAAGGTGGAGCTTGAGAAGGCTAAGGCGTCCGTCGAGCAGGAGAAGGTTGATGTTCAAGCCAAGCTCGACACGGCCGAAGGGGAAATTGCCACACTCAACGCCCAGGTAAACGTTTTTACAGCGTCCACATCGGAGCTCAACGCGACCATCGCTACTCTCGAGGAGGGTCTTTCGACATCCAAGGCCGAATCAGTTGATCTCAAGATCCTGATCGAGGGCCTTGAATCTGACAAGACCGGCCTCCAGAAGCAGATTGAGGGTCTCAACACCGAAAGTACCGAGATGCAGGCACAGATCCACACTCTCAACACCGACCTTGCCGGCGCAAAGGCTGCCAACGTTTCCATTGCCGGCCAGAAGCTCGACTTGGCTAATGAGATGGCTGGAATTAGTGGCGCTCTCGCCACCGCGCAGGCTGAGATCACCAAGCTCACCGCCGAAAAGGCTGCCGCGCAGGCTGCTGCAAATGCCGAGGCCGGGAAGATTCCTGCCTTGGAGAGCGCCAAAGCCGAACTCGCTGGCAAGGTTGTAGAGTTGGAGAGTAAGATCTCGGAGGCCGAAGGTACAATCACCGAGCTTCGTGGCCAGGTCGCTACGCTTCAGGGCGAAGCCGATAAGATTCCTGGTCTATTCACTGAGAGGGTAGTCACGGAGAGCAAGATAACAGATCTTGAGGGGCAGGCCGCCTCCCTCAAAGCCAAGATTGCGGAAGTCGAGGCCGAGGCAGGCAAGCTTCCTCCACTGCAGGCAGCGAAGTCCGAGCTGGAGGGCAAAGTTTCCTCGCTCGAGGACCAGATCGCCCAGCTGCAATCCGACCTCTCCAAGGACCCCGACGCCACTGCTGCGGCCCTCCGCGCCGAGCTCGAAGCCAAAGGGCAAGAAATCACGCGTCGCGTTGATGAGATCAACACCCTCACCGCGAACAACACTACCCTGTCCGTTCAGCTCGGCGCCACGCAGCAACAGATCAACACCCTTCAACAGTCTCTCAACAGCGTAACCCAGTCGTACAACGCCGCGACCGGACAGGTGATCGACCTCCAACAGCGTGTCGACCAGCTCGCCTCGGCCTCCCGACGTGCCAGCCGATCCCGCACCTCATCCCCGCAGAAGAAGGACAAGGACCGCGACAGCAGCAGTGGCGGGAGCAAAAAGGACAAGCACCTCGTGGTCGTGCGGAACCCCGGCGACAGGGGCGCTCTGTCAGTCATGCTCCAGATCGCTGCTGCCATCTGAACCCCCCTCCCCGGCCCCCGCCCCCCCTTTTCGCCCCCCGACACCCGTTCCCAGGACCCCTCCTATTTTGGTACATATCAACCACTAACGGGGCTTTTGGACGACAACAACAGGCAACTCATCAGGCGGTGCGATCTAAAACTGAGAAAAACCATGTCCCGGCCCGGCAGCGCCAACACGACGCCGAGTTCGAGTGCGAACACGACCCCGCGGACCTCGATGGATTCGGTTGCGTCTTCGTCCCGATCCGGACCATGAACTACCGGATGGACACTACGGAACCTCGAGTCAAAGTCGAAGAGGCGGCGGTTCGGGAGTGGATGCCATATCCACGCGGGGCTCCTTACGACGGACGCCCCCCCGCCCCCGCCGCCCTCCCCCCCGCGCTTGTTTTACCCATCGGCAGAGGAACACCAGATTGAAGGAGGATTTTGTGCTTCGGGCTGGCTCGATTGTTTTTTTCTGCTGTTTCGTTTACTGTTCTGGTTCAACCCTTTTTTGTTTCCCTCGCCTCGAAGCATTTCCTCTTCCTTAATCGCTTAATCGTCAACACACGCAACGCATCATGATCATCGCTTGTCTCTCAACGACTCGCGTGCATCATCGGCTCGGTCCGTCTACATCTGGGTTGGCATTGTTTTACGAAAAGTGTTTTTTTTTTCCCTTTCTTTCCTCCATCATTTTGCTTTACTTTGTTTTTCTGTTGGGATGCATTTGTTTTTAAGCGTTGCTTTGGGTTGGCTCTGGTCATGACTGATGATGGGATACCCCCCCCTGTACGAGGACATCATGTAACGGTTTTTGCATTTTCCTTTTAGACTTGTTTTGGGCGCACAGCCTCTTTGTCGTGATGGGCGATGATGCCATTCGCGATTCATGGCACGGGAGTGGAGGGAATGTGCGAGGGGTGATGGATAGTATGTACACTGATGTTCTCAGGGGGTGGATACTGGTAGCATGTAATGGGGGTTGGTCCTGTAAGGGGGGATGGGAGTAATGGTGTAATGGTGTAATACGATGATGTTGGTGTTTACATCTTGACCTCCAGCGCCGTGGTGTTTGTGTTCGTGTGTGCTCGTCCTGCCGTTGTGGTCGTCCCCCCTGGCCGGGGCCATCCAGTAACAATCCATATCCACCACCCTTGATTCTGGATGGGCCTCCCCACACGGATTGCTTCCCAGTGGCCAGCTCGCCGACGAATAAAAACAGTGACCTGAGACCGCCTTTCTGGATCCCCCCATTAGCGAAGCGCTAAGCTATCATTGGCTGCGTTGAGCAACGTAAAAACACCAACCCCCGAGCATCAACACGGTGATACTCGGGGTCTCAGCTCGCGTCAACTTCGATTTCCGACCCGTGACGTGTGCCATCATCACTTGAACAGCACCCCGGGAAGTGGGCCAGGGGGAGCAATCCATCGCGGCGGCTATGGAGCCTCAGGATCGTCGTGGCACTCCGACGGAACGACGTCTCGGCCCTTTGGGGATGCACGGGGCTGGCGGCGTAAACGGACGCCCTCGCTCCGGTCTTGTCGGTTTCCGTTGCCATACTAGTATCATGCCGACTGCCACATACGGGAGAGGAATCAATGGAACGGAGATGGCCACGTCTTTCTGCGCTGGGTTTATCGGGGGGGTTGGACTGGGCTTGAAGGCGGTGTAGCTGTATGGAGGGGCATGAACATGCATCGTGGGTGCAGGTTATGCATGTGTGTACATGGGTGTTGTCGTCGGAGTCCGGGGTGGCTTGTGCCAGCATTGCTGGGGTAATTAGACGGAAATATGTCAAAAGAAGGTGAGGTGGTTGTGTCCTTTGAAAGGGGTGGATTTAGAAACCGGATCATAAATACGACGAGCTTTCCGTGATTCGAGGCCAACATCAACAAGTCTCAATAAGTCGTGGCTGATTTGTGTGGCCCGGCTGGGCTGATGCGAGATCATCATTCGACTGTGGGAGGGCTTTGATGTCGTTGTCTTCTGCTCCTCCTGTACATACACTACACGTGCGGTGGGTCTCGAGTTTATACACTATTTTAGATATCAAGGAGATCTGGAGTGTCGGGTCAGAGGGCAATTGGCAGTCCAGTGGCTAATTTGGTTGGCCCATAGCGCGACCGCTGCAGCATTGAGTGGTCCGGAAGCATGCCCTCTTGGTTAGGGGTCCACGACAGGGCTGTGGTGTCACAGAAGACGAGAAGGTGTGGTGTCACAGTGGCATCCTTGTCAAACCACGTTGCCTTATACCATGTCACCATGCATGTCGTGGAATGCCGGGTGGATCTAGAACCCGAATGGACACCAACGCCCGCTGAGGGCTTACCGGGGCTTACCGGGGCACCAAGTTGCAAAGGTCGGAACCGTTTGATTGAGACGCTGAAAATTAATAAATTATACAGTATTATGGTCATGATATGGGATGGTTGATCAACACCCATCATAGCCATGCATTTCGCTTTTCCCCCGTGCCCTTGCCAACCCAAGCCATTTGTTTACTTCTGCTCCCAAAAGAGGTCGACCGGCTTGCCATCCAGCCACTTCTCCATCTCGCCGTACATGCGACCGAATAGCTCACCGCCAGCGGTGGGCAGGTCCAGGTCGATCTGGTAGCCGAGACGAGCCTGAGCAGCACCAAGGTACTTGTAACCGGTGGGAATCTTCTCGAGCTCCTCCTTGGAAAAGACGGGAGCAGTGCGGCCGTCGGCGGGGACGACCTTGTCCTTCTCGTAGAACAGCTTGACGTACTTTGCCTTCCACTGCTTGGTCTCCGGGTTCTTCTCGCAGAAGAAGATGAAGCGGCAGTCGCAGTCAACGTCAAACTCGGCCGTCTCGGTGGCGGGAGAAGCGCCATTGCCACCGGTGGAGGGGTCGAACTTGAAGCGGTGCGTGATGGTGGCCTTCATCTTGCCGATGGCGCGGTTGTTGCTGCTGCTCAGCTCGACTAGCGTGCCGCACTCACGGTGCATGATGAAAACACCCTTCTCTTTGCCGGCCTTGGAGATGGCAATGAAGTCATCAACATGTTGGGGACCGCTCCAGGCTGATCAAACGTGAAGTGGTCAGTCGGAGTGTGCTTGACTGACAGAGGAAAGGCCAGACTTACTCGTCCAGACGGTGGCATCCTCGGTGAAGAGGTCGCGGTAGTTCTGCCACTCAGAAGCGTCACGATAAACAGGCCAGCCCTTGCAAAGCTCCGAGACGGCAAGGCGGTCGCTGAGCTCATCGGCGGTGCCGTTGATGTGCGAGTAGCACTTGCTGTGGGGGTCGATAGGAGAAGTCATGGTGTACTTGAATCTGACAGCGCTTAAAATGTTGTTGAAGATGTTTCGAATGACGGAGCTGAGGAAGGGAGGAATGGAGGGTTGGATGGGGTAGAAGAAGTAGTTGTAGGGAGAGAAACAAAACGAGTTTTTCACTTTGCGTGCTGAAATATTCAAATTTTCACCGCCGAAGACCTTGATCGCACCTTCCTGGCTCCTTTATCTTCAATAGGCCGTTATGATTCGGACGGAAGGCTGCTTTGACCCGCTAGCGCACCCTTTCGGCCCAACATTTCCAAAGTCCGGCTCAACATTGCCGACCATATCCGTGTAAGGAAGGAGGCAGAGAGGGATGAGAAGGCTCCTGGAACGTGTTTGTTGTTTTAGATGGCGCTTTGATGCCAGTCCAGGATAGACTTTGCCTTGGTTGGCACAGTGTAAGTGGCAAGGGTGATGGCATGGTGTATTTGAGTTTTCCAGGTTCCAGGTTTCTGGGTTTTGAGGCTTGCAGATTGTCTGACCCGAGCAGGAGAACAGATCCAGAGATCCACTGTTTTCATGCTGGCTGCTGAATTCACCTCGTGGCACGGGTAGATCCGGAATCCCGATGTTTGCTTTTCTGGTTCAGACCAGACAGGTTTAGGTTTCTCGAACCGAGCAACCAGGCCTGGGAATTGCGATTGCGATACGAATATCTGTGTTCCATGCAGTGCGAGACAGGGCCATGATCCTTCTGTATCCCCACTAACTAACCAGGTACCTTACCTAAATGGCGCTCGGTAGTCAGCCGAGCTGCGGTGAGCAGAGCCGCGATGCCATTGGGCTGCTGTGCACGCTGACTTGCACCATGCCAGAGAGGTATGCAGGTCCGCCCCTGGTTCAGGCGCACAAGGTACTGTATGAAGACGGGATTGGGACAATTTTCCAGGCATTGAGTGCCATGCCGTCGCTTTGCTGCATTGACTCTTGCTCACTTGATTTGACTTGATTTGGTTGTGGGTAACACCTCAGTTCTCGTCCCAGGCTCTTTGCTGATCAGCAAACGTTTTGAAGATCTTCATTCACCGCCCATCAGCCTTGGTACGGAGATAACCCCGGCCAAACAACCAGATTCCCGGGACTGTCTCCTGTTTCCCGAGTGTTTCCGATTTTTTTTTTCACCCCTGGCACAGTGTACGGAGAGCCGTCTGATGGTTGGTGGTTCCGGACCTGGCTCGGAGTTCGCGAGATTTACCAGAGAGCGGTGAAGGGAGCCTAAGCCACCTCTGCAAAAGATGGGTTTTGGGCTGGCTGCGTGGTGTCTTCTCAGAAATTTCTTCTTGTGCCAGTGTTGCTTCTCGTGTTGTTGCGTTCAGGGGTAAATCTAGAGGGTTAGGGCCTATTATGGGATATTCGCGGGCGCTCGCCTTGGCACCTGGCTCAGGAATTGCCCCTCCTGGAAGGAATTGCCCCGAAAACCCTTGCTTGCCCCTCGCATCCATGATCCATTGCAGCGCCATCGCATCCGCTCGCTCCGACACAACCCAATCCCATCCCCGACATCGCTGCCCGCCATGACCGAACCCATCAATCATGTTTCGTCGCACGGCGAATTCGACTCGCTCTTAGCGACGACGAAATATGTCATCGTCGACTTCTACGCCGATTGGTGCGGGCCCTGCAAGACGATTGCGCCGCACTTCCTCAAGATGGCCTCGACATTTTCCATTCCCGGTTATCTCGCCTTCGCCAAGGTGAATGTCGATAACGTTGGGTCCGTCGCCCAGAAGTACCAAGTCGCCGCCATGCCCACTTTCATGTTCTTCAAAGAGGGGAAGCAGGTCGCCGTCAACGGCAATGTCACGATACAAGGTGCCAACCTGCCGACCTTGACACAAGCGGTTGAGAAGATGGGGAAACTCGCGAAGGCGAAAGCCGACGCCGCCGCCGCGGGAAGTGCTTAGGCTTAGGCGAACATGGCGCGGCGGGGCAGGAGGACAACTACATTTGCGACGAAAGAGGGACTAAAGTCCGGGCGCATACACAGAGACACCCCCGTTAGTTGGCAGCTGGAGGCCTGCATGTTGGGGGGCGGGCCTGGCATATTGGCAATAGAACATCGTCCTCTTCTCGATTCTCCCTTTATCCCATCCGCCCAAGTCGTCGTATCGTCATCGCCGGCTCGTGCCGGGGGGAGAAGTTGGTTACGGGCTGGAGCCGGAGCGGCTAAGGCCAGCTTGAGGTTGGGTCCGGATTCGGATCCGCCTAGGTAGAGGTGATGTCATACTGCAACGGCGCCGTTCTCCATGCTTCGTCATGTTCGGTGGCTCAATTCTCGGACCCATTGTCGCCATCATCGGCCGATCGCGCCACGGACCACCGATGTCAACCGCCGCCGATGCCAACCCCTTGCTTCTATCTTTTGCCCTAGAATCTCGGCCTTCCTGTCGGTAGCAAACAGATTTCGACGGGATCACGAGATATCACCTGCGCCCACCCTTCAAGTGCACAATCATGCCCGACCACCCCACCAAACGACCGGAAATGGAACAACGCCGAGCAAGCGACTCGGTTGCCAACAGCGGCACCCAGACCGAAGACGATCGAGTATCAGGAGGGCAGGATACAAGCCTCACAAGAGCCCAGAGCCTCGACCGCCAACGGCAGCTTGCGCAGAGGCCACCTGCTCGGGATGCCCAAGTTACCAGAAGGCCAGACGAGGAGATGGCACCACAGCATGACTCGGACCGGCGCGGCGCCCCTGCAGTCCGGTTGGACATGGACTTAGACGTCGACATCACCATGAAGGCCAAGATAAAGGGTGTAATTGAGTTATCTATCCTGTAAGTCTGGTTTCACGTTGCGCCGATGTAGGGGGCTGAATGAACCTAACGCCTACAGTGACTCGGAACAGTCCAATCAACAACGGCAACCAAGGCAACCTTAGTCGAAATTGCTTCCGCCTACCGCCTACCGCGCATAGAGCGGGTTGCCGACAAAAGTGTTGGATTTAGGGCACATGGGTTAATTTGGGGGTGGTGGTGGGTGGACGGTAGTGGCGGTGCTGTCTCGGTCACCTGGTCACGCGACGAAGTTGACTGATCGGACAACCATCACACCTCATCCTCACGAGTTGCGCACATCGCGTGGAGGAGCAAACACAATATGGAGGACAGAATAAAATCCGGGACGCAGCCCAATGCGCTTTGCTGGTCCCCCTGAAGTCATCCACTCCAGCTCCTGCAGGCCGTCGCATTTCTCCCTGTGGATTTTACTCAACCGAACTAAAGGGTCTGGCTAGCCGAATAATACCCAGCGTCCATCAAACACTCGAAAATGCCATCCTCGCGTCGTTCGCCGCGGCCCGGCTCGTCAGAGCCGAAGACATCAAAAGCGCCGCCCGAGATCCTCCACCTCCTCGGCCGCGCAGTCCTCGCCTACTCGCTCAAGAAGCTCAGCGAGCAAAAGCAAAAGCCACCTTCCAAGTCCCGATCGCAAAGTTCACGGCGCAAATCTAGCCGTAGCAAACCCCGAGAACCCTCCTCCACCAGCAAACGCGGCAGCAGCCGCGATATGCCCCGCAGCGACAGCGGCGACATGCACGCGCTCGTCAGCCAGCTCGCAGTCGGCGTCTTCGCCTTTGGCATCCGCGCCTTCATCAGGCGCAGGAAAGAAGCCAAGAAGAAGGCGAAGGCGGCTGCGGCGGCCGCTCAGGCTGGCGCCCGGTCCGTCCCCGGTGAACCGGGAGGCGCCGGAGATAAGAAAGCCGGCGGCGGCGCGGTCGACCCGGAGCTTTCGGCCGCCCTGGACAGCGTCACCCAGGAGCTGCAGGGCGCGTCCGACTCGATCAGGCGGCTGGCCCGCTCTGCGCCGCCGCCGCTGCACCGCGAATGCGCGGTCCGGGACGCGCTGGAGGCGGACGCGGACCGGCTGACTGGGTCGCTCGCGAACATGCAGGCGAGCATTCACAACATGAAGAATCTACACCCGGGGCTAGAACGGGGAATGAGAAGCCGGCAGCAGAGCGAGAGAGGGAAGGGGCGAGCGGAGGTGAGGGAAAGGGGCGGACTGAGGGAGAGGGGTGGACTGAGGCAGAGGCGACCGGACGGGGTTAGGGAAAGGGTTGGAGTGGACCGCCGACCAGAGGAGGGGGGTGCCACAAGGAGCAGAGGGATACCGCGGGCAGAGGAAGGAAGGGCGAGGAGTAGGACGGTAGATTTGCCAAGAGAGGAGGCGAGCGGTGAGGGACACCGGCGTCACAGGGAGTATCGAACCCGCGTTCAGCCTGGAGAACGGCACCGGCACCGTCGCAGGCGGGATGAGGAGGAGGTACAGCGCGGTCGTCGACGCGAGCCAGTAGAGCGGTGACGGGCCCCCTCTGACATCCAACGCCCATATCCCGGACCGCGCAAGCTGCTTGGTCCCCGTCCCTCCGGCGCCGCACCCGTCCGGGGCCCACATGCCAAATTAGCCTTCGAGCCGCAGCCCGCCAGACCCGCTTAGGACCAGCCCTAACCACGACCTCCACCGCGTCCCCACCACATCACCACCAATATCCCTCGCGCCCTTCATCAAACGCCCGCATGGCTCAGTGGTAGAGCGTGTCACTAGTAAACCTAGGCATGACAAGGTCGTCAGTTCGATTCTGGCTGTGGGCAACGTCCTCCTCAGATGCCCGCATGGCTCAGTGGTAGAGCGTGTCACTAGTATATCTAGATCATGACAAGGTCGTCAGTTCGATTCTGGCTGTGGGCACAGTTTAAGGGAGAGGGGCGTCGCATTACTTTTGCTCGTGAGTCTTTTTGCCAGGCCCTCGATGGGGATGGTTAGAAAGGGGTTTGCATTTGACCGGGCATTATTAGGGTGCTCGTGGGGATACCTTCTTCCTATACATATAACTTATAACACTTGAACTTGCCGTACACCTTCCAGCCTATCCAAAGTTGCCGTGCCTGTGACATTGTACAGCGCTATCCTTGGATATAACACTGCCCAAAACACCCCTTCTGAACGTAAACCGGGGGAACCGAACCCGGCGCTGTCGTGGCACCAAACCCGTCACTTTCACCTCTGTACATACCCCATTACAACAACCAAAGCACCTAACCCCCAAGGTAGGGACCTAACCAACCCGCGCTCAACCACCCCCCGTATCCGTAGAATGCGACACCCTCGACCCCCTCCTCGACGACCCCATCCCACTACTCCCCTTCCTACTACTACGCACGCGAATCGACCGATGGTACCGCCAAACAAAGTAGAAGAACCCGACCAGAAAAACGGCGAGCAGCACGCCGACGATGGCGCCGATGGTTACGTTCTGGGCGTGCATGTCGCGGGATCGTAGCAGGTTTCTTCTACTGTGGGGTGTTGGTTGCGGGGCGGCATCATGGGTGTAGATGGATTGGGCGTGGAGGGTGTCGCGGGAGGGGTGCTGTTGCTGCTCTTGGTGGTGGTGGTGGTGGTTTTGGGGTTGGTGTGTCACGGGTTGGGGAGGGCGGGAACCGAGGGGATGGGTGCTGATGTCGGTTGTCGCTGGGCTGGTGGCCCGGGCTGGAAGGAAAGGGGGGCGTGGGATGTACATTGGGCGCGGTTAAGCCGCGGCTTGCTGCTCAGGGGGGTTCGTATGGTGCCTGTCATGGGATGGGGACTGGGTAGCGTTGGGAGGTGGATCGCTGGGTCATCGGATATGGAGGCTGGAGAGTAGAGGTTTGGAATGGGGAATGGGAATATGGCACGCGCTCACCGAGCTTCTCGTGAGGGTGTACCCCATCTTTAAGTCGTCTCCCCCGGCGCAATGCACGCTCTCCGCTACGGGCGGCATGATTGCAGGGCGAAACTCGATGACTGGCATCGCGGGTGCCGACGAGATATCTCTGATTGACCAATTTGAGGCCTGCGGGGGCAGCAGGGCTGCAGAGCGCCAGAAATGCAGCAGCGTGGGATGGCACATTGGGACCCAGGAACCCTATCGCAACGTGGGAGCGGCGCACGAAGAAGCGCGGAAAGTTCCCATCCACGGCTGCAGTAACATCAACCAGCGCCCGTCACTGGCTGTTGCAAACCAATAACCGCATGAGAACTGGTGGGGCGGTAGCGAAGACACCATTCGACGAATGCTGGCTGTCAGATGACGGAGGACGGCAAGCTGGCAGCTCGGCTCGTCATCGGCGGACGGACTTGTGCAATGGTCACGGCAGGCGGAGTTGGGATTCGAGGGAACCTCGCGATGTTGGATGGCCTTGACAGGTGCTTTGCGACCTTGAAGGGCATCGAGGTAAGTTTGTGACCAGTTTAGCTAAACGACGACCGCGGCGAAGAGGTTCCGTTTCACGAGAAAACAGCGCTCATGGCGGATGGGGTTGGGCCAGGAGGGTGCACGATAACCATGTGCTCAGGGGCGGAGAGGAAAATTGGGGTCAAGGCCCGGTGACATGCGGGGAAGCCACGGGGTGCCAACTCACCCCGCCTCTCCGTGTTGGATTGACAACTCAGGGGGTGAGGCTCTCGAAGTTGAGCAACACACGTGAAGCGTTAGGGAGCACCTAACCTTGAAGCCAGACAAAAACGTCTAATGGATTTGGAGTTTCTCATACGATCAAACACTTCTCCCGCATACTCTTCAACTCGAGCAACCAGTTCCGCCTACCCTCTCTGGCCGGCTCCCGATCCCTAGCATCCCAAAGGTGTTGCAACATCTGCATGGCAGTCCGGATATAGCCCCACGGACATATCCAAGGGTTCGTCGTCCATACGGCCTGCATCCGCTCAATGCACCAGGCGCGCTGCACCGGGTCGTCCGTCTGGGCGCCGACGACAAACGTCGGCCATATCGTCCCCTTCAAGTGGATATGATCGATGGGCACGGCCGCTAGGTAGCCTAGGACTTCCTGGACGAGCATGTCGACCGAGGATGGGAAGGGAACCGCTTCCGGGACGGCGAGAAGGATATACAAACATGCGGTGGCGCGGTGGGCTAGCGCGATGCTGAGACGGATGTCGAGATCGTCTTGAGTGGAGAGGCCACGGATATTCTGCACCCACTCGACGAGGTCGAGAGACCGGGCCTGGTGAAGCAGGGAGAGGGCGTCTTCTTCGACTCGATTGTGACCGCCGCGGCTATACAAGTTGCTAGCCGAGAGAAGGATGTGAAGAATCTCTGGCGGGCAGCAGTGGTAGCTGAATGCCTCGGCGCGCTTCAGGATGGACAAAAACTCGATGGGGTCGTGCTCGGCCCAGGATGTCAGGGCCACCCCGCTAATGGCAGACCCGAAAACTCGGTAGGTGAGGCAGTCGGCGGCGATGGCGTTGACGCAGTCCATGAGTCCCTGGTCCAACTGCTTATGGTCCGAATGGCGGAGCGACGACATCAGAGCACTGGCGGCTTCGATGTGGACTTGCCAGCTCCCCTTGCCCGAGTCGATCAGATCGAGATTGATAAGAAAGACGGTGGCGGCGAGCACCATGGCTTGGTTTTCGGGCGTCATTCTGTCGACAGCGGATCGAAGAAGACTCAACGCTTTGCCTTTGGCCACCAGGGCGTCGACTAGCTCCGGTCGGCCGGGTTGGTTCTGGTAACCATTGAGGGCGACTAGATGCATGGCTCCTGTGGCTACGACGACGGCCCGGAGGAAGTCGAACTCATACAGCAAGGGGAGGACACCGCGGAAGGGGTTGCAGTCATGTTGATCGAAGGATACCAGGTCGCGACAGACGGCCGTGGCGACTGTGGATGTTAGCAAAGACAACGGAATGGGTATGGGTTCAACTCTGGTTTGTTCCAGATTTGCTTACAGTGATGGACATAATGCCTGGTTCGGTGGTTTAAACCATTCAACAGGGGGTCGACAAGCGACGGATGGACGAAGAAAGATTCTTGAATTGGAGTCCGAGTCTGAGGTGGAACTGAACCCGACTTCGGCCCTGGCTTCCCGGACCTCTTCACGTCAAGCTGTCCCACCAGTTTCCCGCGGATGGCTGGGGCATTGGCCCACCGAAAGAGGGTGCCATAGCCAAGACAGTGCTCGCCCGAGATGGAACACTTTCGACAAGATGGAAAAGAGCGATCGCAGCGAAGACGGCGGCGGCGGCAGTTGTGGCAGGCCCGGGGCTTTGCGGCTACGGGTGCGCGGTCAAGCCCTTGCATCGAGGAGTTGGGTACTTGGACGGCGTCTTCATTCCTGGCGTTTGATGGGCGAATCGAGTAGTGGATGGGAATTACCTGACCTTACGGATTACACGGTAAAACAGTGATGTTGGTCAGGTTGATGGCAGCATTGGCAGGTGATCAGGTCTTTCCCGGCTTGGGCGATTCCGGAAGAGCCTTCCTGCAGCGAACTGACGGCTCCGAAAATTGGAGACAGTGGCGCCCCCGCGGCTTTGCTCCACTATTTCGGCAGGCGCCGGCGCCGGCTTTGGCAGTCCGGAGACGCTAGGCTCAAAGCGGTACTTAAAGGGCACGCCTTGCATTCGGGTATACTGTGCAAGTTTGGCTTATCAATCTCTCGACCGTAGAACCGGAGAAGATTCGAAAAGAACGGCTTGGGGTAAGATTTTGGAGAACACTCGTTTCTCCGACTCGGACGAGATGATCCGCGTGCGAGATCGCCTTGTTCCCGACTTGTTGATTCAGAATGGTTCCTGTTTTGGCCACTCAAAGATGGGATGAAGGCCAATGTGGGGTCCCCCCAGTTCGCCATGTTTTCCGACGCTAACCAAAAATGGCACCAAATCTTCAACTTGCAGGTTCTGGATCGCGCAGGTGCAGGCCGCGGCAGGCGTCGCTTCAACAAAAAAAACTAAACCCCTTGACTAATCACATCTCCGTGCATCAAGCCAAGTTTCGCTCGTGCTTAAAACCGTGGATTCCCATCACGTCAGTCAAATCGATCACTGGAGCATGGAGGCATCTGCATAACACCACCCTCCTCTTAACACCCTGCATCATGAACCGCAAGGATGAGGAGAGCATCACTGGCACCGGCACGGACAATGATAGAGCCGATACCGTGCTAGCGAGTCCGGAAGTTGATGCCATCGACCTTGATCAACTCGGTCGTCAGAGGCCGGCCGTCTTCAAAAATGCAGTCTACGAGATTCTGTTCTGCATCTCCTTGCTAGTCTCCATGTTTATGGCTGTAAGCTCCCCCTTACACAAGCTTTCGAGTTTGTGTTACCACCGCGTTCATATCTAGGTATGCTAACCCATCATCCAGGAATTCTTCATCTCAGGCTTCAACATTATCCTTCCCAATGTCTCCAAGGCCCTAGAGATCCCCAAGGACTCCCAGACCTGGCCTGCCAGTGTCTTCTCCCTCGTCACCGGTTCCTTCCTTCTGCCCTTCGGCCGTCTCGCCGATATTCACGGCGCTTACATCGTCTTCAACGCCGGTATCGTCTGGTTCTTCATCTGGACCTTCATTTCTGGCTTTAGCGTCAACTACCAGATGCTCATCGTAGCTCGGGCTTTAGGTGGCTTGGGACCTGCCGCCTTCTTGCCGACGAGTATCATGCTGCTCGGCAAGACCTACCGCCCCGGGCCGCGCAAGAACCTCGTATTTAGTCTGTGGGGTGCGTTTGCGCCCATCGGCTTTTTCTTGGGTATTATCACCGGCGGTGCCACGAGCCAGTATCTGTCATGGAGATGGTATTTCTGGTTGGGATCCATCGTCGCCTTTGCCGTGGCCGTGTGTTCTTTCATCACTATCCCGCGCGACGGGGCGCAGACACGCGCCGAAAACGCTCATATCAAGATGGACTACTTGGGCGTCGCGACCACCGTGCCGGGACTGATCCTGACCACCTTCGCCATCACCGATGGCGCCCACGCTCCTCAAGGCTGGAGGACCCCCTACATTCTAGTCACGTTTGTGCTGGGCCTGTTGCTGCTTGCCGCCGCCGTCTACGTCGAGGGCTGGGTCGCCGAGCAGCCGCTGCTGCCGTTCGACTTGTTCAAGCCAAAGTACATGGGCCGCATGTGCATTGCTTTGTTCTTTGCCTACGGCGTGTTTGGCATATTCCTGTTCTATGCCAGTTTCCAGTAAGTTACCAAGTTTTCCGTCTTGCAAGTTACAACCCTCACTCCACGGAGACTAACACAGTTCCTCAGCATCGGCGACTACATGGGTGCTTCAGCCCTCCAGACCGCCGTCTGGTTTACTCCTATGGCTGCTGGCGGTATCATCCTCGCCACGGTCGGCGGATTCACCCTGCACCTACTCCCCGGCCGGGCCCTGCTCGTCATCTCGGCATGTGGCTTCTTCGCCTGCTGCCTTCTGTTTGCTTTTGCACCCATTGACGCAAACTACTGGGCCTTCATCTTCCCTGCCATGATTGGCTCCACCATCGGCATCGATATTACCTTCCTTGTCACCAACGTCTTCATCACCACGAATGTGGCCCGCGAGAGGCAGGGCATCGCTGGCGCCCTGATCAATACCGTGCTATTTGTGGGTATCAGCTTCTTCCTCGGCCTTGCTGACCTGGCCGTATCGGAGGACGGAAAGAGGGGCGGCACCGAGGGTCACAAGGTGGCCTTTTGGTTTGCCACAGCCTCTTCCGTAGTGGTCCTTGTAATCTTCGCCACCATCAAACTCGGTAAGGCCGAGAGCGACTTGACGGTAGAGGAACGGGCGCGTATGGAAGGGAGCAGCGAGCCGAAACCTGCGTCGGCGACTGGGAACGAGACCGCTCTAGTATGATTTGGGATAGGGCAGTTTTGGATAGACAGGATAGAGGATAGCGAAAAATGGGATTGGATATAGAACATCTAATAATCAACACGCAACTAGGGATCCCCTCGGCTATAGCTCATCCCTCACCCATTCCTTTTTGATGTCCTTCTTGGCTTTCTCACGCTCTTCTCGCTGCTGCCGCCGCTCGTTTCGCTTGATGGTCCTGTGCATCTTCTCCCACATTTGCCGCGCCCTTTTTCCTTCGTCCGTCTCTACGACTGACAGGGCCTCGATCTTGAACGTGATGTCGCGCTTGCCAATGTCTCGCTGGGGCTTGGTATGATCGACAGGCCACGCGAGCACTGTGTGGTCCTCGCCAGCCTGGGGCTTATACTTGGCCAGGTTGTTGAGGTCGCCTGCACCGTCGGTCAGCATCTTCCCAACACGAAGGACGAAAGGAGGTAACCCTTACGTTCACAACCGCTCCCCTTCGCCACCCACAGTGGTAGAATCTCGTAGATAGCCCCCGCCGGGAACACCACAATCTTACCTCCACCCGCGCCCGCCGCCTCGGGCACTTTCCCCCCCTCCCGCCCTCCATTCTCGCCCTCCCCCTCCGCCTTTGGCTTATCAAACACCGCAAACAGCCACCTCTTCTCATTCGCCTCGCTCTCATCCCTCTGCTGCTCCTCAATCCACGCCCTCACCCCCTCCGGCACATCCCCCCACTCCATCACCACCAGCTCCCTCTCCAGGCCCTTATGATCCACCCCGTCCCAACTGCCCACATACTCCCTCTGCCGCAAGAACTTCTCGATCCCGCCGCGCCAGGGCGCCAGCCCCGAGGGGGGCGCCTCGCCCAGGTCTTTGAGCTTGTACATGCGCGCGGCAAACGTCGCCGCGTGCCGGCACAGAACCTGGAAGCCGCCCGGGTCGGTGCCGTCGTCGGGGAAGGACCGCGACCACTGGAAGGTGGGTACCACGCCGTACTCGTACACGTCCCAGTTGATGGCGGCGCGGGCGAGGTGGGAGAGCCCGGCGAGGGCGAGGAGGAGGGTGGGGCGCATCTTGCTGGTGGGCGGGTGGGTGGTTGCTTTTCCCTTTTTGGTTTGGGGTTTGGTGTTGGGTGTATGTGAGGGTCGAGGTGTAAGGTGGTTGCTGACGGTGCCTCGGGCAGGCGTGATGATCAGCAGGTTGTTAGTGAGGCTTTCGAGGGCAGAGTCGACTCGAGAACCGTGATGGCCACATGGCCGTATTTAAACTGCCGCCGGCATGTCTGGTATGGAGTTTGCCATCCGGCTATTCAGCCATGGCAACTCCCGAGCCCCAGATCTTGGGTGCACACCCCATACAGGCTAATTGCCGAACACCAACCATTCTCTCACTTGCCCAATTCGATGCTTGCTTAATATCTTGTTTATTACTACCTTGAAAACACGTGTCCAGTACACCGGAGGCTCTGCGTTCGAGAAAGGGTTCAATATGGGATCTCAAGCTTTTGACCACGGGAGGGTCAACGGTAGCGTTCCGAGTGCCGAGTTTCCTGTCAAATTAACATTCTAGAAGCTTCGTACACCTGCTTCAAAGATCTTGCGATCGGCAGTGCTCAGAGGCTGACTCAAAATCAGATTATAAAGGTCGGTTGCATCGTGGTGACGTTGTATATGTTCATGTTTATCCCCTTACAACAGTCAGTTGCAGAGTCGCGGACTGACAAGAGTTGGAGACCATGACTTTGATCTGGCTTGCTGTCTTTCAACCTTCTAGCGCAGACAACAAAAACACATTCCCCTACCCGTATTGTCTCGACCGGAAGCCTCGCCGTTCGCATGTGTTGTTTTATTCCTTTCCCAATCCGCATGATACTATTCTTCCCCCCCAAAATCCCATCCCCCCCTTTTCGACTCACATCCAGCGAAACAGGCATGCTACCCTACATCTTGAGAAGCCACTGCTCCTGGGCCCGCTGATCAAGGCCCCGAATCCACTGCACCGTCTTCCGCGCCGTGTAGTCAGAGAGCTCTTCGTACTCGGTCGTGTCCCTAGCCATCAACCTGGCGAGCGCGTGCTCCCAGGGTGCAATGTCTTGGGGAGGGACAATATAGTCGCCGGTCTTCGCATCGACCTCGCCCGTGACCATTTTCACAGGGACGAGGTAAGGAAGGTCGATCTTCGCCTCTGGGATGCCGCCCGCGTCAGACGCAATCACGGGGATCCCGCGGAGTTGGGCTTCGGTGATGACAGCCCCCCATGCCTCGTTCCAGACCGAGGGCACCAGGAGGACCTTGATCCTATCCCAGATATCCCGCTCGGTGTCTGTCGTGGCGGGCTCCACCCTGTTGAGCACGGTTAGAGCTTCTTTGGAAGTCATTATCGCAGATGGTTTCGAGACTCACTTGACATTTGGCAGTTGCCGAAGCGCGTCGAGATGCCATTGTTTGGTACCCCAGCTCTTCCAAGTGACAAACCGGATGTGCGGCAGCCTCTTAGCCAACTCGATGAAGATTGGGAGCCCCTTAAGTGCACAAGCGTTGACCAAACCAACCTCGGTCTTATCGACATTGGTTCGGCGCATCGGGATGGTGCCGCCTTCGAGATATGTCCACGTGGCGTGGACAAAGAAGGTCGTCTTCAGATTGCCATGCTTCATTGCGTAATCTTGAATTCCGCGCGACACGGTCCATATCCCGTCGAGCCCTCTCAGCATCTTGTCCTCGGCCGGCGCGGACAGACAGTGCCCGGAGAGGCTGCCGCAGAACGGCCCGAAGGGGAGCTGTTCCGCCGAGTGGATGACGCACACTCTCTTGAATTTCAAATGTGAGTACGGGTTCCCAGGCTGCAGCATATGTTGGGTGATCTTCATTGTAAGACCGTCGTTGAAGACAACGTGCGTCGGCTTGAAGTCTGCGATCTGGCTGGACCACAAGTTGACGAGGGCTGCCAGCCGGGAACTTAAAAAGTTACGCTGTGCGCCGAGGTCGGATTAGCATTGAACAGTGAACCTATTTGGAAGCTGTAAGCGGAATCACCTCTAGATATGCCTTGTGGTCTGCGACCTGCTCGGCATAGGGATACAAGTCCCATAACGCGCGCGAGATGACAATGTTGAGAATGCGGTTCTCGTCAACAAACTTGGTGACACGGAGCCGTCGCTTGACCCCGGTATTGGGATCTTTACCAAGGTCGACATCGGGTAGGCGTTGAACCTTCGGATTGACCCCCTTTCCCTTCGCCTTCGCCGCTCCTGCCTCGACTTCGTCATCCCAGGCATAGCATGTTTGGGCGACAGTGTGCCCGTACCCGCCTAGTTGACGGATGAAGCCAAGGTTAGATCTATATCCTCCGGAGGGAGCATTTAGACCATGGGCGGTCTGGACAAGGAAGACCCGCATCTTAACTTGGAGCCCTTGTGGTATTAGAGCAGACGAAAGGATAGAAGGGAGTCGAATTTGATTCGGGATTGGCTGGATCAAACTTGAGTTCGAGGGGCCGAGATCCACAACACACGACAAGCGTGGGTCATGATTATTGTAGGTTTGGGCTCGATCTTACTTTATTATCCTGTCATGATGGACGCTTTGCGGGCCGGCCGTGTTTCACGAATTGGCGGCACGGTTCCCAACTTCTGTGAGCGAAGGATGGCGTGAAACGAAGTGGCCGCTGTCATTGGTCTCTGGTCGAGACCCGGATGGCCGCCCAAGGCGACCAAATTGTTTAGGTCCCTCCAACAGTCAAGGTCTGTTTCATGTTCCCGAAGAGAAAATAAACCACGAGTATCCCTTCTTAAATTCCACTGGGCTAGGCGGTGAAAGAGGTGTCTCACGCCAGAAGTATGCGAGCCCGCCGCAGCAGGCAGAGGACCCGAATACCATTCTCATGGGTCCCGCGCCGCGAACGTGCCCCTAGCAACAAGAACCGAGCCGCAACGGCCGAGACCTGGGTACGGGTCTTTGGAAGAAGGCAGGGGCAGCACTCCATGCCCGCTGCTTAACGCTGCACGGCCTGCCTTTTCTTTTCTCTTCATTTTGTCGTTTTTCCTTTCCTTTTTTCTTCTTCTAATTACCGGCCAGTGATTAGCCAGGAAACCGTCTCTATTTACGGGAGCGTCGATTAGGTGCAGCAATGGTCGAGTTATTTGCACTCGTACAATTGAGTAGTAGGTACATACATTGGGATATGGCTCATGTTTGCACCATCTGCTACGAATACGATCGTTCTCGAGTTGCAGAACTCGTCCTGTCAACGTAAAAGTCTTCCAATCCTGGAACTCTGCTCCGCCCAGAAACGAAATGAGACCCTTGTCCAAGTTCCAACCATACCCTCGATCTTATAGGCCAGGTTGATATTGTATCCACAACCCCCAGTGCCCTTCGAGGTCGGGTATTTCCGTGGCTATTTCTGTTGCTCTGCCCTCTTCTCGTTTCGCCTCTCAGCTTGTTTCCTGTCTATAATAAATCACATGTGAAAGCGACGGATGCAGCGGGTCGGCGGCTCGGCTGTTGTCCCGTTTTCGCCACCGAGTACAACGCGCCGCGGAGTGCCCCTGAACGCGTTGGCGACCTCAGCGTGCCTCATTACCCACAGCGTCCAGCACGTGCTTGGGTTGGCCGAATCAAAAGCGGAAGGTCATGTTTTGGCCTGCCAGCGGTGGCCGCGTGGGTTTCAAAGCCAGGGGCAAGCATTGAACTCGACAGGTGATTGGCCATAATGGTCGAGATGATCAATGCCACCGCTTGCTTCCCTTCAACACCAGGCGCCCTCTCGCGATGTCTTGATCTCGTATAAAGCCAGGCGCCCGGAGGACCCTTGAGTCCCTGGCCCCCCAGCAGTTCGGCAGTTCTCGAACCACCAAGAGCCAGAGGTTGAACGGTTATCACCACTATAATGCGTGCCGAGGTTCTTCTTGCTCTCTTGCCCGCGCTCGGCGCCCACGGCATCCGCATCATCCAGTCTAACGATGATGGCTGGGCTGAGCAGTATGTTCGGTCGTTCCACAATGCCCTGATCGCCTCGGGCCACGACACCGTCCTGTCCGCCCCTGCCGAGAACAAATCGGGAACGAGTAAGCGTCTAGGATTTGCGAGTCGCAATTTGTCGGGTTTGACATGGAGCTGACACTCACTCACAGGTTCGCTCGATGCCGAGCCTGCCCCTAGGGACTCGCCATGCCAATATGACAGCTGCCCTGCCGGCAGCGGCCCCATTGGACGCGACGAGACCTCGCCGCGCCTGAACTGGGTCAACTCCTTCCCCGTCACATCCATGCGGTACGGCATCGACACCACCGGCCCGCAGTTCTGGAACGGCGAAGCCCCTGAGCTAGCCGTCTCGGGCCCCAACGTTGGCAGCAACCTGTACCTGGCCGTTCGTTTCTCCGGCACCGTCGGCTCCGCCGTGTACGCGGCCAAGGACGCAAAGATCCCCGCTCTGGCCTTCTCCGGCGCGTCTGACGGCACCCTGTCATACGCCAGCCCGGAGGAGCAGCGTAGCAAGGTGTACGCCGAGCTGGCCACCACGCTCACCAACGCCGTCATCGCCAGCGGCAAGCCGTACCTCCCGGAGGATGTCTTCCTCAATGTGAACTTCCCCAAGGCCGAAGGGCAGTGCACCGAAGCGAGCCAGTTCAAGTGGGTGTTGAGCCGGATCAACGTCGGCCTGTTCTCATCTCCCGATACCGAGCAGTGTGGAGGGACGCGGTTGCCCACCGAGACCTCTGTTGTGGACACGGATGGGTGCTACATTTCGGTCAGCGTGGGCGATGCCAACGACAAGACGACCGCTTCGGCCGAGAAGCAGGCGGTGGTCCTGAAGAAGCTTGAGAGCCTGTTGACGTGCTTGCCTTGATGGACCTAAGATTCGGCTCGCGCTAGCATAATATAAAAGACGCAACCTTTGGACGAACTACATTCTGCGAACCACATGACTGATACCCACAGCAAACCTACCATCCGTTCTCCATTTGACAGCCTAGTCCGGAGACTTCATTATCTTCCAATCCCAACGAGAAGGAATCAACGCGTGGTGCCGCTCGACCCCAGAACTCCTTAGTCCTTCGCCTCCCCCAGCCTGTCTGTCGCAGTCACAAGCATATTTTGTTGGGTAAAGACACCCATCGAATTCTCTTCTTTCCACGGTTTATCTGGCCTTGCCAAAGACATGTCGAAGTGCCTCACCAACTACCGATCTGTCAGTCTTTTGCCCTTACCCAGGAGAATATGACGCTGCTTACTTCGAACATGGCCTTATTGATCTCCATCAACGCAATCGGCTTCCCGAGACATTGGTACTTGCCATACCCAAAGATCAGGTCGTGCGTGCGGTTCATAACGGCCAGCTTCTTCTCGTCCTTCTCGAGGAGCCACCTCTCGGGACGGAATTCTTGCGCGTCGTCACCAAAGATCCCCTTGTTTAGCTGCAAGGCAAACATCGCGACACTAACGTTGGTACCTCCAGGCAGAAATACCGGTTTCCCATCCACCACGACCGTGTCCCCTCCGTCGGGCACCCTCTTGGGAAACGGGCTGCCGGCGGGCGCGTGCACACGCATCCCCTCCTTGATGCACGCCTGCAAGTACGGCAAGCTCCTCGCCGCCGTCTCCGAGATGATGCCGGGAGCAGGCGGGGCGGTACCATCCGCGACCGCGGCGTCGATCTCGGCCTGCAGCGCGGCGTACACGCACGGGTGGGTCAGCAGGTACAGGAAAATGGAGCGGATCGCGGTGGAGGTGGTGTCGGAGCCCGCGACCAGCTGCAAGATGGACTCGTTGACCAGCTCCTCGGCGGTTAGGCCGTGCCGCACAAACGACGCGAGCATGTCGGACCGTTTCTCGGTGTCGTGCCGGAGCCGCTCGTTGATGCGCGCCCGCGCGTGCCGCAGCGGCCAGGCGAAGCGGAGCCCGTCTTTCCCGGACGACCCGAAAAGGCGGGCTATCCAGGGGCTTTGTAGGAGAAAGACCAGACCTAGGGATACGGAGAGCCTCCCTAGCTTCATGCCTGCTTCGGTCGTCTCGATGTACCGGAACTGGTCGCTGTCCGTGTCGAGGTCTCCAAGAGGCGCGCCGAGGCCGACGTCATTGATAACGTCGACGGCGAGGTATTGGGCTTTCTGCCCAAAGTCGAACGGTTGTGCGGAGTCAGGGGTGGACAGATATTTGGTCCGAATGAGTTGTATCAGCTTTTTGATATACACGTCGACCGTATCCTCGAGCTCAAGATTCTCCTTTCCCGAGTACTATGATCCAAAGGCGGGTTAGCCATACATCATAAAGCTTTTACCTCCGAAGTAGGTGTGAGCGGGGACCTGGACTTACGCCCATTGCCATTTGCTGCCGCCTGCGTGTGTGAATATTCTCATTCGTCTCACTGAATAGATGGTCTTCTCCCGGTCTGGTCCGTGTTCCCCGCGCAAACCAAACAGACCGTGAATATGGGGAACGGGCCGCACTCATATGAGTGAGGAGCTCCACGGAGCAAGTAACCAGGTCGTTCGGGCCAACCCGGGCGATGGGCCCTGGACAATTAGTTGGTTAATAGACCACAAACTCGGATAAGTAGGAACAAGGAGCCGCCCTACCATACTTGTCACATGCTTCCTTGTATTTAGCATGCGCATCGGTGCTAATCGTGGTGGCCGAATGCCACAGCTCGGACCATCCCGAACCAAACGGGCCTTTGAAGGCGCTGAGTCGGCGGTACACCCAGACTTTGTAGACCAGGTAGGCCACTAGAGTGGCGCAAACCAACAGCCAGCGGCTCTCATACAGCGCAGAGAACAGACTCATCACGATGTAGTTACCTCGGTTGGGTTGTTCTGAGCTTAACGGAATGGAAGGGTGGTGAGAGGGGTCAAGGCCGTAATAAGGGCGTGGGCCAGGGTGAAAGGGTTCTGGGGGATGAGCTGTTAGTTGTGAGTTACGGTATGTCACTGTGTATATGACCATGGATGTTCGTTTTGAAAGCAACCTATCATTGCTACGCGATCCATCTTATGACTGCCGGTACCACGCACCAAGCCAAGCATGCAACATAGATGGGGGCAGCACCGAATGGGATCGTATCCGGAATCTCCCCGCGGATGCAAGGCGTGCGGGGAGAGCTGTGCTTTACCTATCAACTGAAAGATGGAGGCAGGTTTTGACCATGTCTCATCTCTACCCGATGAGGAATACAACCTGACGTATATCAGTATTCTCCCGTCGGGTTACACAACCTGTGATTCGGTTACCAATGCTTCATGGGCCAATGGAGGGGTCAAGAGAAACACTTGCAAAGGTATTCGTACCTGGATACACGCCTAGGTACAAATATACTAATAACGTGAGTTGACGCACACCTTCTGCTCGGATAGAGTCACACTCTAAAGGGTACATTAAAAGTTCGTGACACCAAAGACTCGAGCAAGGAAAGCAGAAGGGAATCAAGAAGCAGAAGCTAGAGAAAAGATATTAAAGGAAAGAATATAAGGAAAGAGGAAGCAAGATAAAGAAAGCGAAAGAAAGAAGACTAATATTCATCTTGTTGCTCTAGGAGGTTTAATCGATATCTACCCACAGCCCATTCTTTCTGCCAGATATAAAGAACATGCTGGTGTGAATTCTCCCTAGTTGACTCTCTCCCCTGAGATTCTTTTCCCCTGGTACACAAAGATCAAGCAAAGACCGTGTTTTGCCTCGCGACGGTCTCATCTTACACGCAGCCTTCGTCGTCGAGGTCGTAAGTAGCAATCATCTATAACATCTGCCGCTCCACGGATGGCGGCAATCCGTAGTAGGTCCCACTGCAACTGGAATAGGTCTTAGTTGGGGATCCTCGGGATTCCGAGCTCGGATTGTAAAAGCTTGTCTGGCCCGAAAGGTCACCCCATTCTTTCGATCGGCGAGACGGTTCCCCCGGTTTTGGTGTGTTATTCTAGCAAGAGGTCGGAGTCCGATTCGATCCTAATTTTGGCTTCGACGCTACAGGTAGTTTCCACTTTAGCTAATGCCATATACAGCAGCAACCTTGCGTGGAGGTTGGGGGAGAGCCTTTAACGTAAATCTTGCGTTATCGAACCAGACATGAACATAGTAACTTGTCGGGACATCATTCTTTATAGACGGTATTAGTCGGGGAAAGTAATAGTCTATGGCATCGTATGCAGAAATCTTCAAACAGGTGACACCGCTGCTCAGAATCGGTGATGTGACCACCGGCCCTGCGGTAGAAATGTTCTCGGCAAGGCGGAGCATGGTATCAAAATCGGTAACGGCGACGTTCAGAAATTTGACAAGGTGGCATCTCGTAGGCGGCTATGAGGATGACAGTGAAAAAGCCGATCAATGCACAGTAGCGGATGATTGCTTCGTGACCTTTCTCTGGAGGACCCCTTGCTAAAAAAGAAAAAGAAAGAAATCAAGCAAAACCAGAAAACAAATAGATGAAATGGAACGAACGAAAGCGAAGGAAAATGTCGACGAAAAGAGATCAAAGACAAGAAGTGGAGTAAAAAGCAGTAAACTGCCCAAGTACAGTCTTTGCGCTTTTGGATGGCTTGCCTCTTGTTCCAACAGTCGAGGATTCCGACATGATTCCGCTTCGCACACTCCACCTGGTCAACAGCGGGCAACTGGCGGTTTGTGCTAGCTTGCGCTTGCGCGCCTTCGCATGCAGAGGGCTGACTGAATATTGGTTGCTGCCTAAGAGAAAGAGCAAAAAAGGTCGCATCACGCTGACATTTCTGGGAGGTCCTTATTCAGCACCCTTAAGTCTTTCCCATGTTTGTCGATGGCTCCGGACTAGTATCCTCGGCTAGCCCTCTGAGAGAGTATACTCTCGATTGTAGATTGCATTCTGGCAGTATTTAATAACATATCATATGGCCCCAGTATCTCTCGTCCCAGAAGCCAGCCCCTTAACCACCATTCATTCTCCTCTCGGGTTCTTTGTTCGTGAGATACTACCCATCCCTAAGATGCAGTTCAACGCCCTTACCTCTCTCGTGTGCCTTGCCCTCGGGGTCAACGCTGGTGTGGTTGACAAGCGCAGCGGCGAAGGAGTGCACCTCGCCAACTGCTACCAGAACTCGCCCCTTGGCCAAATCCCATTCTCCCAAATGATTTACTACGCCGACGATGCCCAGGCTAGCCAGAACGTCGTGCCTTCGAGCTCGAATCAATGCCGTGTGACAAACCCGGGATCTGGTGGCTGGAAGACGTGGGAAGGCTCCCCCATCACTTGCAACTTCCCAACCAACACCTTCTTCACCTCCAACATTCAAGCTGGCGCTGGCGGATACAATGTCGGACAATATGCTGGGTGAGTCTAGGGACCCCCCTTGCGGCACCGGAAAACAGAAGTGGGGAGGCTGACAACCATGGAACACGCGCAGCCCTGGTCAGAACAGCTTCCACGGGTTCAACTGCTACCGTGACAACAACCACCAGCTCTATGATGACGGTACCTTTAGGTGTTGGAGTGTTTACTATTGCCTTGGTGTGAGTGTCGATCTAAGGACTGCTAGATCGAGGAGCTGACTGACGTCAATAGGCCTAAGCGGGAATCGCGCAGCTGGGGTTATGAAAGTGTTGTCAACAAAAGCTGTGTGCCGGTGCCGATATACCTATCTTCTAGGAGGGTAGTACACTTAGAACGCTTATTCCCTGTTTTTGGTCATGTTGATTCCATACGAAGCGTTGTGCACTCTGTCAGCAGCGTCGGAGTTTGGGGAGTTAAGGAGTTAGTAGCTACCTGTGACTGCCCCTTAACTCCTTTATAAAAGGCTCGCCACGCTCTTCGTCCCTGCGACCCCCATCATCTTCTGCACGTTTCCCATCCGTACTTCTTGGGTATTTTCCTTGATGTGTTGAATTTGAGCTCCAGCAAAATGGAAAGCCCCCCCCAACAAGCGTACCGACTTCCCGAGGCGGCAGTATGGTTCAGTAAGCATCCCGCGGGGGCAATGGTGCTGGGCCGAGTTCAACTGCTGACCATCCCCAGTAACCGGATGCTCATCCGGCATTGGAAAAGCTCTTGCACAGCTTGTCCTCTCCGAGGGTAATCGTGTTGCTGCCACGGCTCGCAAGCTCGGCGACCTAGCATACTTGCCGGACAACGACTCTCGTGTCGTCAAACTCCTTGTTGATGTGACATCCCGACAATCCATCGACGACGCCATTGCGACTACCTTGTCGCATTTCCAGCGCATAGATGTGGCGGTCAACAACGCCGGGTACTCGTTGCGTGGGGATACGGAGAACGCAACCGAAGACGCCGCTCGCCATCTCGTCGACACCATGTTTTGGGGCACGGTACACGTCACGCGGCATGCGATGCGCGTGATGCGCGAGGTCAACCCGCAGAATGGACCGCCGGGTGGCGTTGTGCTCAACGTCTCCTCGATGGGGGGGCGCGCCGGGTTTCCGGGGAATGCGTTTTACCACGCCGCCAAGTTCGCTGTCGAGGGCTTCACAGAGTCCGTGTCCAAGGAAGTGCGGCCGGAGTGGAACATCCACTTTTGTCTGATTGAACCTGGCGGTGTCAAAACAGACTACCTGAGTCGTAGCATGATCCAGATCGAGCCACATCCGGCATACAGCGCCCCGGACACGCCCGCTCGAATTCTGGACCAATACATGGATGACCCAGAAGCTTCAAAGAACTGGGCTGACGTGGGCACCGTCAGCAAGGCGATGTACACAATCCTGACTCGCGGGAATGCCATCCCGTTACGGGTGCCACTGGGACCGGATTCATGGGGGGTGCTGAAGTTGGAAAATGACAAGGCTGGACAGCTGTTGGACGAGTGGAAAGACTTTGCGGTCAGTGTCGGGAAAGAAGGACAGTTCGAATCTCTGAATTTCCTCCACCGCCAGTAGGTAAGGGTCAATGGGGTAGAGTAATGCCTGAAATATATATTCATTGTCGGCGGAGGTCAACAACCAACTATCTCGCCCTCCCCTTGCTTCCGAACCCCATTCTCAATCTGCTAATTTCCCATCTCCATTCCCGCCCAAACCAAGCAACTTCCTCAGATAGCAGGAGTTGGCAACTTTTTATTTCGCGCCTTCGATGCTCTCGGTTGAGTGGGCTGGGTGCTGCTGATCCTGGGGTTCCCACCGGGCCGCGTCGCCAATGCTGTCGGCAGTAAGACCAGCTCGACCAGGATTCTTCATACCAGCCTCGAGTTGTCGTTGATACGATACATTCCGCAAACGGTTTGCTTCGGCCGGGGTAAGACGTAGCTGCAACCTCTGTGTCAGCGTTCGTCGTTCGGTAGGTACCGAGGTTTCTTCAACCACTCACATATATCTCAACCCCAACTGCATGCAGGGTAAACGCAAGCCAAAATGCAGCGCCAAAACCAAGGCTCAACACGGCCGTCGCATTACTCCCGTTCCCGTTCATCGTCGCGGACACGAGGACAACCTTGTTAGGTTCCTGCCCAGAAAAGTACGTTCCACACTCGGGGTGCTGTTGGAGGGTCCTGTTTTGCGAACCTGTGAGGGTGAAAACCCTGTCACAAGTCATAGGGACCATATATCCGTCACTGCTGATGATGGTTGTAGAAATGACGAGGATGAGCCGCATTGTGATGATGGAACCAGCCTTGAGAGGTTAGAAAGGCGTCTCGATATTGTTGGACAAGTCCACTTACATAAAACCAAGCCCTCAGCATCCATGCCCTGTGCTGTTCGATTTGGAGGCGCTTGACATTGTACAAGGCGAGCGCGAGTGAGGATACGAAGGCGATGGACATGGTCCCGACGCCCATCTGAACATCCATCCAACCGCCAACTGCGTTTCGTGCAAGCATGATGGCACCGGCGGTTGACACCAGGCTCAGGATGATGATAAGGTACCCATTGATGCGATGAAAGAGAACGAAGGTGCGGCGAATGACGGGCACAAACTGGAGGCAAGTGAGGATTGCCGCAGGGAGGATGGTAGCAAGGTGCAGGAGAATACCAATCCTGTCGATGGAGCCTTCGGAGTAGTAATAACAGTCGAGAGGTTGATTTGCATCCTCCCCCGTGGTACAACTTGTGTCGAGGGCGAGGGTACTGTAGCCGAGCGAGGGTGAAGCCCAGAAAAGCACCAGCAAAGATGAAGAACAAAACGAAATTGTACCCTTTCGTGAATCCAACGGGATGGTACACCTTGCGTGCCGCGGTGACGAAGGCGTTGGCGGAGGGGGATTTAATAGTCATTTCAAAAGTCTTTGTCGAGCTGGAGATGTCAGGGTGTGTGCTGTTGGTAGACTTGATATTGAGAACAACTGAGCGAGTTGAAGAGACCTCGACAACCGAATACTAATTATCGAACCATTTATTTATACACATTTCAGCCATGGGCTTCGCATTTTTCGTCTGCCACCTAAATTGTGCTAATTTCGGAACGCGAACTTGGAATGGGTTCGTTAACAGCCTCCCTCACCCCCGGCGAAACAATGGGTAGGTACATGTAGCAAAGCCGAGTGCGAGTGCGATTGCAGGTCGCGGCCTTGACATTTGACAACCCAGGACTGAGAAGCCACAGAAGGTGTCTATGCGAGAACGAGTGGCGACCCACAGTAAGTGGAGCAGAGGATGACAGCTCCCCGTCCCATCGGGACAATCTCTCCCCGACTTTGTGGTGGGGCATTGGGGGGTGACGCAAGCATGGCGGCTGGGAACCACTCAGCACTGACCAGAAGAAGCCCCTGCGACAAGTAAGGATCAGGGGCGTTTTCTCTTGCGCAAGCTCGCTGAAGGAAGTTAGCAGCGAGGCATTGAACTTGTCAACAGTCGAAACCGGCTGCTGTCTGGAACGCTTTTTTTAATCTTTCAAACTCCTCCCATCCCTCACTCGCGGGAAAAGGCCCCTGCGGGTTGGTCCTGATCGGCTGGGCCACGTCATGACGTTGATCAACTCACTTGACCCGAATAAAGCGCAACTTCAAGTTGCAAGCACTGCAACTAGGTAATTATTGCTTCGTACTGGAATTCCTGAGAAATATTTACGCTTCCTTCTCTTTGCCAACATTTGGTCAGGCGGGAATCTGAGACCTTCAGGTCACAGGTGCCTCGGCAAATGAATGGTGGTTGAGGTAAAATACAGCTACCAAACTAGACCTTCTCCTGCATCCGTTCGGGCCGTTCCCCGTATGTGACGCTATACCCATCGACCCGCCGTATGTGCTCATCATTCTGGCTCACCCCATTCTCGGCATCGCACCTCACCGAGTGCTCACCGTCGTCAGAGGCCCGCAATCGAGGCGTCGTGTGGGACTCATCTGAAGTATTGCGATCACCCGTATAATACCCAGAGGATATGCTGGACTTGCTTCGCTTGAACGAGGAGGTGATGGTGTTGATGAGAGGGAAGTTGAGGTTGACGATGGATCGCAGCACCGGGATGCAGCCCATGATGATGACCAGGCACTGCTCGACCCCAGTGCACAGGTTGTATAGGCCATTGAAGTAGGCCAAGTTGCCATGACCGACCGCTGGCGGGTTGGTGAGCTGGATGATGACCAAAACCACCTTAATCATGGCAGCACCCATCGTGATGAGCGACAAGGACATGACCAGAATGAGCCCAATCTTTTGGTGGGTGGGCATCCTGAGCTTCCAGAGGATACACACCGGGAAAAGCACATAGGTCAGGTCGGTGATGGTGAAAACGACTATTCCCAAGGTCAGTAACACTTTCATGGTCTTAAACGAATGGGCTAGGCATGCCGTCTACTCACGTTGAAGGGTGAATGAGGTATAGTATTGCACGTAAGGCGTGAATCGGTATTGGCCCTTGACGCTGACATCCCAGAGCGCCGCCGTCGGGGTTACTTGAGCAAAGAGGAAGATCGGTGACAGAATGCCGAGGATCACCATGATGGTGCTGAAACCGATCAAGAACCATTTGAACCATTGGTGTGTGGTACCGAAGATTTTGATCAACAGTATCATGGCGGACAGCCTAGCAAAGATGGAAACGCCGTTGGCAATAGGTGATGAGATCCACATCCACCTCCGCGTATTCAGAAGCTCGTCGGGGGTGATGTTGGCGCCCGTCTTCCCCAGGCCGTAAGTACACATGATGTGGAGAATAGACTGATACACCAGCTGAAGGGCGAGCGCCAACACCATGACCCAATCCTCGATGGCAAAGAACCGGGAGTTCGCACGCCGAACGTAGAAGCGCAAGCCAACCGTGAAGACGGCTAACATAGTGAAGGTCCATGACACTCCATAGATCACGGGGCCAATGCCCGGGTCGTCGGGGTTTACCGGCACGGTCGACATTGTGGGGAATCTGGGGTTTGAGCGGATGACGGCGCAGTCGCCGGAGCCCGGAGGTCGAGGTGGGTGTAGGTTTTATGTATGGTTGCTCTGGGGCGGTCTAAGGCAGTTGTAAAAGCCCATTTGGTTTTGGGAGTTGCGAATTGCCGCTGGAAGGAACCGTGAGGTGTGGCAATCCTCGTTTCCGACCTCCTGTCGTGCTGCGGCGCTGTCTGGGAATTTGGCTGGAACTTCATCTTGGCTGTGAGCGGTCCGTGTCGTATACTGTGTAAAAGGCCGCTGAAGATGCCGCCCGACCATGGCAGTGTTCCCCAAACCCCGGCGGCGGCAAGCAGTGGTGTGGTAACGCACAATGTTGACGCGTGCGGCACAGCCTGTTCTCCGGTTGGCGAGGAACAAAAGACGCCAATCGGGCTCGACAAATGGGATACACAGCATAAGTGCCGGGTCACACTGCCTCGGAAAGGCCCCAAGCTGGAATGTCTCAACCAACACAGATGTGCTTTCCAGCCGCCCCCCTCGGGCCTGTGTTCATGGCCACATGCAACCACACGATAATTAACATCGACCTGGGCTGAGACTCGACTACGACGTGCCGGGCCGGACGAATGAAGAATCCGAAAGCCAGGAGACGAGATTCAACATCATGATTGCGTACGGCTCAGCTTAAGCTTGCCAATTCATACTGCGGAACCTCTTCTATTGTTCTATCAGCCTTTGTTCAGGGGAACGTCGAACCGACAACCACCAACAGCGGTAATCCACCGCCACATCGTACTCGGCATCGCTCTGCAGGTTTAGGGGGGATGGGGACGGAAGGAGACTTGGAGTAATGTACGATTCGACCCCGTGCCAACTCACCTGCAGCGCAGGCCCGGCAAGCGAAGGCGCTCATGGGAGAGTTTGACAGCGAGCCATCCATGGACGACTTGGCAACGCAGCCCTGCACATGTGTAATGTATTGTTTCTTGGGCTATTCCTCAAAAGTAGAAGTATAATATTACCAAGCACCACGATTTACGTGTGGTGTCCCATTCATTTCGTCAGCTGCTCGCCTTAATACCGTGTGTCTCAACAGCAGTGGACTCTTTCGTAACCCCCGCCCAGTTTGCCCTCCAGTACTAATACTTCAGCACCCCCCTTTAGTCTTCTCCACTTGCCTCTTCACCCTATCCATCATTTGGTTTAGAGACAGTTCCCCGCCATTCCCTTCTCTCCCAGTGCGCACCCTCTCTTGAGAGAGAAGAGTCTCCCGGATAGACACCGCCACCGGGTCTATGAGTACAGCCCAGCAGTTTACGCCATCCCCTCTCACTCTCCCGCTTGAACATCCTGCCGAGTAGGTGATACCCAACGCTCTCTCGATCGTGTCCAGCATGCCAGATGTTAATTCTATGAGGACCAGGGTCTGGATAGCAGGGTTGCTGCGGATCTGGAACCCCCCCATTTGCACATCCGGCAGCTGCAAAGCACCAGTGCCAGCCGTGTCGACTGACCCCGAATCAAGCTGCGCCAAAAGCCTCGAGAAAATACACCGCCAGTTACGTGTTAGGAGGATATATGTCGTGACCAGCGTCGTGACGAGTAATATATCGGGAGCTCTGCGGTGGGACGTCGTCGCTGTTGAGACATTGTCGCCTGTTGATAACGCCGTTTGACCTGGACCCCTCCGCTGCAATGTCTCCATCCGTTCTGCCCGATTAGGTGTGGTTTGAAGGAGGAACGGATCCGTCAGCAGGTTCATATCTAGGTGGGTAGTCGTCTGGCTATTTGTGTTTCCGGCAGGGGGGCTCTCTTGCTGTGCGAGACATTGGAGGATCTCGCAGAGTTGCGACGTTGCCCCTAGCGTTCTCTCGATGGCCATTGCGGCAGGATTCTGGCATTTGTCATCCGCGAGGGTAGCGTAGTCTTCAGCCAGTCTTGCGCCAAGCTCGAAAGCTTCTCGGTGCGTATTGAGTTGGGGCCGCGTAGTCAGCGGCGCGTCGAAACTGTCGGGGGATGGGAGGACGGCAGCGGCAGCGTTCCCGAGCTCGCCCATGTCGCCAAACATGGACGGCAAACTCCCACTGTTGCTCTCTCGCCGGTCTAGTTGCTTGGGCGTGCTCGGCGGGCCCTGAACATTGCTTGGAAATGTGAAGTTGGACACTGAAAATCCAAGCGAGGATTGACGGCGGGTCTGCTCCTAGGTAAGGTATGTTAGGTTCATGCATGCAGGCGAGAGGAATCGGTCAGGGGGGTGGGGGGGGAGAGCGGGAGTGGCTTCGGTGTGGCGTTGGCCCCAGATCGAACCTACGGTATTATTGCCGAGGGCCGGGTCGATTCCCTCCAAGTCACCCCCAAAGTCGTCAACTTCGATATAAGCTGTCGATGGCCGAGTCTGTTGCCGGTCGGCGGGTGGCAGCGAAACGCCCGGTGCATGGGGAGTTCTGACTGCAATGGTCCCCAAGTCCCCGCCAAAGGAGTGCCGGGGAGAAGCATATGGCTGCAGGGCGCGTGGTTCCGTCGTCTTGGTCGCGGCCACGCACATCGCACCGGTCCGGAGACAGCGATCGCAGCTATTCCCGCGAGGAGAAGAAGCACTGCGTTCACATCTAAGACAAATATGAGATGAGTAGCTCAGGGGGCTCTGGCCAGGGCGGGGTCTATCACCTTAGCTTGTAATTCCGGCAACGCTCGCAGGCAAACTTTCGAGAATGCCGGGACTTTTCCATCTCTTCTCTGCCTTCTCTTGCTCACCTTGGCTTCAAGCTCGACAGCCGTAAAACGACATCTGATGATAATAAATACAGCGTGCTATCTCCTCGAAGTCGTAGGGTTGAAAAGACGGACGAGGGGGTCAGCCTTCAATGTGTGGGCAGGATCGCAACCAAGGGCTGCATGATGTGATGTTGTGTTACCGTGCTCACCTTGGGGGGCTTCGACCGGTTCAAACCTCACCCGACGACACTTTCGGCGAGCGACCGGTTGCCTGCCGCGCTGGGTTCACTGTACATGCATATGCAATGGTCCTGCACGTCCCAGGGGCCAATATCTACAAAGCCCCGTGCTTTGGCGGTTGCACCGCTGCGCTGCTCAATTCCAGAAATAACATGCTAGAACTGTGGCAGCGTCCTGGGATAACGGCTGGATGGCGAACCAGCTGGGTGAGTCTGGGGCACTGGGTTGCACGGGGGATAAGCAGACGTCACACTTGGCTCAGCCATCCAATGCACGCCGATCTTACGGCACAGGGCGAGTCTCGAATAAACTTATTCGACCAATTCCTTCCACTGGCCCCAACCCGAAATTTGCAAATATTACAGTGGTCTGGGTGAAAGCTGGGCCGCTGCCCAAGGGGGGGGGTTGTTTTCACTGCACGGTGGTCCATACTGGAGGGACCAAAAAGGCGGGACGGCACGATATTAAGTCCAAGGTAGCAATGATGGGCACAATTCTCGGATCCATCGTATCCTTCTGTGTTGGCCGGTGTTGCCCGACATTGGTGAAGGACAACCTGGTTGTGGTATCTATTTCTTAACATGTCCCCGTCGTGCTCCATCTTCCTGCCTAAGCCACTCTCCGCTTGATGCCGAATTGGCTGTCAAGAAAGAGAAACGCGCGTTGGTTGCAAAGTGCCATTGCACCAACCTTGGCCTGCAGGCTCCCTTCACCCGGTTTCCGCGCAACCCATATCTCCTTGGCGGGGTGTGTGAGCCCCCGGAACAGAACTGCCGTATGGTCCTCGGCGTCCAGGTACAAAGAGTCTGCGGCGCCGCTCACCAAGACCGGGCAGTTTATCCGGTCAAGGTGGCCACGAAGTGTGTACCGCCGCATCGTCCGGAGAAGGTCGGCCGGTGTCGTTGCTCCCAGGAACTTGGCACTTGTCAAGATCTCCCATCGAGTCTGGAATGAAACCTGCATCCCGAGCCCGATGACGGCGTTGACAAACCAGTCTGAAATCCAACCTTTGTCCCAGAGATCAAAGAAGCGCGCCGAGACATGCTTCGTCGCGAACTCGTATAGGTCGTATAGCGGATCGATCGCGATACAGGCGGTAAAGCGTACGCTCGCCGCCGAACGAAGCGCAAAGTATCCGCCGAGGGAGGCACCGGCGATAGCAACACGGGCCAAATCAAGATCCAGTCCCCCATGCTCTTTCGCGTAAGAAGTAAGATGGTCCATGGCGGCATCCGTCACAATTTCCCAATCAGGGCGCATCGGGATGTTATCCCTGTGGAGGCTCAAGCCCTGACCCGGCCCTTCGAATGTGAAGACCGCATAACCCAACTCCGGCCCAGCAGCGGGGAAGGTATAATATATCTCTTCTTGAATTGAATCGGCCCCCACAAGATTCACCACAACGGGAGTTCCACCGGGAAGTCGACAAGACGCGGGAGGGAGGTACAGATACCCTGGTAAGGTGTGGTTACCGAATGGGATTTTTAACTCATGGACGGGACCGTCGAAGTTTCGAGTAGCCTTTCGAAAGAGGGCCACCGTCTTTTGTAACCTCGACACAATGTGAGGGTTCGGCCCACTGGGCCCGTCGCCGGTCAGCATGTAGGCGCTGGCACGTGTATAGTTGGAAGCTCGAAGGTAGGCCATTCGTGCGGCCGCGCCATGGCCGTGGCCCTCGGCCTCTCGTGCGATCTCTTCGGCATGGCGTGCCTGTTCCAACCATGTGTCTCCCCAACTCTCGGCATTGTTCTGCTGGATTTTTCCAACCGCGTCTAGAAATTCGGCGACCTCGGCCCCTCCATACCTCGCCGTCCCAAGGAGGCGAACTGCTTCAAAATCGAAGAACTTGTTTTCGAAAAAGTGGTGCATGGTTAATCACAGGACAAGAAGAAACGGCCCACCAGCGAAAGGACCTCCGGACAACCACGGTTGGGGTTCCATAAAAGAACCGGGGTTTGCATTCCGTTCCAACGAAGCAGGCCGATTGGTTGCTCTCCCGAAGGTGACCCCGATCGGGTCGGCGATGCTCAAGGGTTCCTGTTGCTTACGTGCACATGTTGGACATTGTCAACAACGCTCCTACTGCAGTGAGGACGACAATACACAGTTTCGGTGTTATTGGACTTTTCGAACGCGCAATATACATATTTTGCTGGATCGGTGGCATCACTCCAACTTCCCGCACCACGGGTGCAACCGGCCCAACTATAAACATGTCGCTTCAAGATGTGGCCGGTCATGATCGAGGTTTAGAGCCCATCGCCATTGTTGGCAGTTCTTGCAGGTTTCCAGGCGGGGTCTCCTCTCCATCCGAATTATGGGATCTTCTGCGCCAGCCTTGGGATGTCCTGAGCGAGATTCCGCGAAGTCGGTTCAACACGGACAAATTCTACCATCCTGATACAAACCACAGTGGGAAAATGAACGGTTAGGTGCCTTGAAAAGAAAACATAGCAGCCCCAAGCTCGTACGGCGCTGACCGAGTCACAGTTCGCCATTCCTATCTCCTCAAACAGGACCCTCGCAGCTTCGATGCACAGTTCTTTGGCATTAAGCCCCTGGAGGCCAATGCCGTCGACCCGCAACAGCGTCTCTTGCTAGAAACCACTTACAATGCCCTCGAGGATGCCGGTATCCCACTGCATAGAGCCAGGGGATCACGTACCGGTGTGTTCATCGGGCTCATGACCGAGGATTACTCCAATATCATCGGGAGGGACCTTCAGAACGTTCCCACGTACTTCGCCTCAGGCACGGCGAGAAGCATCATCTCAAACAGGGTTTCCTACGTATTCGACTTACACGGCCCTTCTATGACCATCGATACCGCTTGCTCGTCAAGTCTTGTGGCGCTGCATTTAGCAGTTCAAAGCCTGAGAAGCGGGGAGTCTGATTGCGCCCTTGTGGGCGGCTCCAACCTGTTGCTCAGCCCCGAACAATACATCGCGGGAACAAAGCTCAAACTCTTCAGTCCAACTGGCCGAAGCCGCATGTGGGATACAGGTGCGAACGGTTACGGTCGTGGAGAGGGCGTGGCAGTACTAGTTCTTAAGACGCTGTCCCAAGCTCTAAGTGATGGCGATTCCATCGAGTGCCTTGTCAGGGAGACCGGCGTCAACCAGGATGGGAAGACAAAAGGGATAACTATGCCGAGCGCGGAGGCACAGATCGACCTGATCAAGACAACATATGCAAGGTCCGGTCTTGATTTGTCGCGGCCCTCAGCACGGCCACAGTATTTTGAGGCCCATGGAACCGGTTTGTGGTGCCCCTTTCTCGCCGGTGATCAAACTCGTGGCTGACAGGTTCCCGTTGTACAGGGACACCTGCTGGGGACCCAATTGAAGCCGAGGCCATCAGCAAAGCCGTTTTCGGGTATACCAACCACCAGCAAGGTGGATCACAACCCTTGTACGTGGGCTCAATCAAAACGGTACTCGGTCATGCGGAAAGCGCCGCGGGTGTTGCCGGGGTCATGAAGGCGTCCCTTGCGGTTCAACATGGCGTTCTCCCTCCAAACATGTTGCTGGACGAGCTCAGCGAAGCTGTCAAGCCGTTTTACAGCAACCTGCGGGTTCTTCAGGCGGCCCAGAACTGGCCGGCAGTATCCGATGGGCCGCGGAGGGCTAGCGTAAATAGCTTTGGGTTTGGAGGGACAAATGCCCACGCCATTCTGGAGCAATTCATGCCCGTTGACTCAGAGACACCAAGCTCGCAACCTGAGACAACCCCGATGTCGCCATTCAACTTCTCTGCCGCTTCCGAGAAGTCCCTCCGGGCAAACCTTGTTGCCTATGCCGATTTTCTCAAAGACAACCCCTCAATACGACTACGAGATTTGGCGTGGACTTTGAATGTCCGGAAGTCAACACTGTCAACAAGGACTTCGATTGTAGCGTTAACAGCACACGAACTCGAGCAAAAGCTGAGACGTGCGGCTCTGGAGACAACCTTTAACTCACCGACTAATTCAGGGGCTTCTGGTTCTATCCTTGCCATCTTCACGGGGCAGGGAGCGCAATGGGCCACCATGGGTTTGCAACTTTTCAAGGATTCAGTACTTGTCCAAGACTGCTTTCAGAAGCTTCAAGCAGCTCTAGACTCGCTGTCTCCTCAACACGCCCCTGATTGGAAGTTGTGTGAGGAGCTATTCAAGGACCGCGAAAGTTCCCGTTTGGGAGATGCTGCTATCTCACAGCCGCTCTGTACAGCGGTGCAACTGGCAGTCGTCGACGTGCTCATGGCTGCGAAGGTAAAGCTTACAGCAGTCGTTGGGCATTCGTCGGGAGAGATTGCTGCAGCCTACGCTGCTGGGTACCTCACGGCCGAGTCTGCGATCCGCATCGCGTACTACAGAGGATTGTTCCTTGACATGAACAATGTCTCGGGCCAGATGTTGGCGGTTGGCACTACGCAACAAGATGCCCAAGAGCTATGCGAATTGCCTTTGCTGGAGGGCAAGATTACCATAGCAGCTTACAACTCGACGTCGAGTGTCACGCTTTCTGGAGACTCGGATGCTGTTCGGGAGGCAAAGGAAATTTTGGAGGACGAACAAAAGTTCGCCCGGATTCTCAAGGTCAACAAGGCTTATCACTCGCATCATATGAAACCATTTGCCGGTCCATACGCAAAAGCGCTGGAGGATATTCAGATATCTGTCCAAAAGCCCGGGAAGAGCCATCCAGCTTGGATTTCGACCGTGGTAACAGAATCGGCCGCCACAATGGGTTTCGCTTCTCTCGCTCATCGTTACTGGGCCGACAACATGGTCAGGCCAGTGCGCTTCTTACAGGCTGTCGAGTATGCAACGGGATCCTGTGGCCCCTTTGATGCTGTGATAGAGGTTGGACCACACCCAGTTTTGCGAGGCCCAACAACAGACACGCTGCGAGAAATCGCGGGGAAAGACGTCCCATATATTCCGACCCTGGTCCGTGACAAGAATGACAGTCAGGCCTTTGCGGGATGCCTGGGTTCACTTTGGAAAATTGTCGGGGATTCCGCCGTAGATTTCTCCGCGTTCGAGATATCCACCCATGGTCCACAGGTCGCAGCTCCAAAGGTCCTCAAGGACCTCCCATCATACGCGTGGGACCATGATCACCAGTATTGGCACGAGACGCGGTATACCAAAGCCTTTCTGACGGGCGGGGACGCGCCCCATCCCTTGCTAGGAACCATATGCCCTGCTGGGACAGCACACGAGGTCAGGTTCAGGAACTACTTAAGTCCCCAACAGCAACCATGGCTCTCTGATCATCGAATCCAGGGCCAGGTTGTTTTCCCGGCAGCCGCTTACGTTTCATCTGTGCTTGAGGCTGTGGCTCAGCTGTACCCCGATGACGATGGACTGGTTGAGCTTGCCAATGTCCACATCGGCAAAGCCATGGTGTTCCGAGACAACGAAACGCCAATAGAGAGCGCCTTATCAGTAAGAATCCTCGAGGATAGCACTGAGTGCCTGGAAGCAGACTTTACCTTTTGCTCTGAGGCCGTCGAAAAAGGCTCAACTCAGATGGTCGAAAACGCGAGGGGCAGGATTCGGGTGATCCGAAAGAGATCACTGAAGTCTCTCCCGGTTCCGGCTTCACCTATTGGCGAGTTTGTGAACGTGACTCCGGAGAGATTCTACAATTGGGCAGGCGAAGAGGGTTACGGTTACGAAGGAGCATTCCGAGGCCTGAAGGATACCCAAAGAACAATGAACCAGGCCGTCGGTTCCATCGCGATTTCGCCAGACACCAAGAGCGATGGATTCACAATAGCTCACCCTGGTATTCTGGATTGCGCGCTGCAGGCCGTTTTACTTGCATACAGCTACCCCGGCGATGGTAGGCTTCGCTCGGTGTACTTGCCCACCAAAATCGACCTGATACGGGTGGCAATGTCTGGCTGGAGAGCACACTCCCTTCGACCCAACCCTTCGTTTCCCTTTTTTGCATCTGTTGATCCACATCACGGTGGTGCGTTTGTCGGAGACGTCGATATTCACTCAGCCCATGACAATCACGTCATTCTCCAACTTCAGGGCCTTCATGGCGTGGCATTGGAACCCCCGTCCCCCACCAATGACGCGAAACTCTTCATTGAAAAGTCCTGGGGCCCGGAACTTCTTCAGGTTTCGACTAACTGGAACAGCCCTATTTGTTCGAGTAACCAAGATTTGGGGATTTTGTTAGAAAGAGTTGCTGGGTTCTATCTTCGGAGGTTGGCCGCACTCTTCCCGCTTGAAAGCAGAAACGGGTTGTTATGGCATCACTCTCGTCTTCTTGACTACGCCGATCACTGCTTGACAAGTGTTGACGGCGGCATACACCCATGGGTTAGACGGGAGTGGAACATGGATACAGAAGATGAAATTACTTCTCTCACGCACAAGTAAGACCATGTCGACCACCTGCCCGGCAGGCCAATATGCTGATAACACAACTGCATGTCAGATACACAATGAACACAGACCTGGAGATTCTTCGGGTTGTCGGAGAAGGCCTACACAAGGCGCTCCGGGGGGAGTTGAATCTCCTAGAAACGGTGACAAACAATGGCCTTCTGCGGAAATACTATCGCGATGCTTTGGGGATGAAAGAATATCTCGGGGAGATGGCCCGTGTCATGCACACCGTATCTCACAAGTTCTCTAACATCAACATTCTGGAGATTGGTAAGTCCCAAGGATCTGGTCCTAGGCCACGCCTCCCCCTCCACTGATATATTCGAGCAGGTGCCGGCACCGGAGCCGCAACAACTTCCGTCCTCGCGGGTATTGGGGATGCTTTTGAGTCGTATACATTTACAGACATCTCCAGTGGTTTCTTTGGCGAAGCTCAGGCAGAGTTTGCTTCGCATCAGCCGAAAATGGTCTTCAAAACCCTCGACATCGAAAAGCCAGTCGCAGACCAAGGGTTTACCGAAGCGGCTTATGACGTGGTGGTCGCGTCGTTAGTGCTGCATGCTACGCAGAGCCTCGAAACCACTCTATCCAACGTGAGAAAGCTTCTCCGACCTGGCGGCTACCTCATCATACTGGAGGTGACAGACAATACCCCCCTGAGATTGGGGCTTATTTTTGGAGGCATGCCCGGCTGGTGGCTCGGAGACGGGGACCATCGAAAGTTCTCACCATGCGTCTCCATTTCCGTCTGGGGGGACCTCGTGAGCAAGACGGGCTTTTCTAGCATCCGCACCATGGCCCCCGCCAGCAAAACCATCCCGGTTCCCCTCTCGTTGATGGTCACGCAAGCTGTGGACGATCGGGTCAACTTCCTCATCGAGCCCCTGGACCCGACGTTCGAATCACTCGAACTTGGTTCAGTCGTCATAGTCGGAGGGCACGCAACATCTAGGGAACTGGCCGAGGCGGTCCGCAAGCATTACAAAACCGTTGATCTGATACCGTCCATGCACCGCATAGGAGTCGCCAACCTTCCGCTTTCGGCGACTGTAGTCTGTATGGCTGACTTGGAAGGGGCATCAATATTCCAAGACCTCAAAGAGCCTGATTTAACAGCCCTGCAAGCCATCTTCAGTCTCAGTCAGACTGTCATCTGGGTGTCGACCGGCGCACATGGAAATGACCCCGCCAAAGCGATGTATATCGGCCTCCAAAGAACACTGGCACTTGAATTGGCCCACGTTCAGATGCAGAGCATCAACTTCGAGCGGCAGGAGGATGTCAGCAGCCAGATAATCGCAGCCAAGCTGCTACAGACTGAAGCATACGGCCTGTGGGAACGCATGAAACGTCCCGCTGATCTCCTCTGGCATATTGAACCAGAGCTGACAGTGCGTCATGGCCGAGTTATGGTACCGCGGATGCGGCTGGCGAACGCTCGGAATGAGAGGTACAATGCTGCGCGGCGACAATTGACAAAAGAAGCACCGGTCGGCAGCACACTTGCCATTGTGAGAAGAGACTCGGAACTTCATCTCGAAGAAATGAAAGCAGCGGGATCCGCATTCGGGGGTCAAATCCTGTTTACGCATTCGGTGTTAAGACCTGTTCGAGCGGCAGAATCAGCCCTCTTCGTCTCCCTTGGACTCACAGACACGGGGCAACGTGTGTTGGCCTTGTCGGATTCGTTGCGATCAACCATCTCAGTCCCGTCGGCATGGGCAATGCCGGCCCCAGACGACGTTGGCGACGCGCTCATTTGCTTGCTGGCCCTACATACTCAGCTGGTGGCTCGATACATTCTCGACAGGGCACCTATTGACGGCAAGGCAATGCTCATTGTGAGCCCGCCTCGACACCTTGGGGACGTCTTAGGAACCCTTGCTGCGGCACGAAATATCACCTTGTGTCTCGTTACAACTGACCCGGCGATTGGAAGCATCGGTTACCCCTGGGCGTTTGTCCATCCATTTGGTACAAAAAGGTCAGCCAAGGGGGCACTGCCAACTGCCGTGGGGTTACTTTTGGACATGGATGAGGACAAGGAGGTCGGTGCTGTAGTTCGGGCGTGTTTGCCGACGGACTGTCAAGAAATAACCCTCCCCGAGCTCGCTGAAACCTTCCCGCGATCCAATTTCTCACCACACTCCATCCGAGAGGTTTCTGACAACCTCAGCTCTGCATGGATGGGATGCCAGGTGAGAGACCTGCCACCGTGGGCGGCCCTTGGTGCCTCCCAAATAAGTCTTGACGATATCACAGCACACCGCGTGCCGACCAATGTGGTGCCCGTTGTGTCTTGGGAGTCCGACAACCGTCCGCAAATCCAAATACAACCAAGCAGCAAGTTGGTTACTTTTCGTCCAGATAAGTGTTACTGGCTTGTGGGTCTCAAAAGCAGCCTGGGGCTCTCGCTTTGCAAGTGGATGGCAGAACACGGAGCGAGGCATATTGCCATCTCAAGCCGAACTCCTGCTGTCAAAGACTCTTGGATAAAGTCCATGACCGCCCTAGGATGCAACGTCAAATTGTTTGATGGGTGAGCAGTGCCACATGAGTTACATAAGAGCCGTGATCAAGCTTGTTGACACTCCTACAGAGACATCACAGATAGTGGGTCGGTCCAGAACGTTTACCGGAGAATCACTGCCTCGATGCCGCCCATCGCCGGAGTTGTACAAGGTGCCATGGTGTTGCAAGATACCGTCTTCCCAGAACTCACGATCAACGCCTGGGAGGAGGTCACAAAGCCGAAAGTCAAAGGAAGCATATATCTTGATGAGACTTTCACCAACCATACACTGGATTTCTTCATCTTCCTGTCTTCCGTCGCTTACCTCGCTGGAAACGCCGGACAAGGCGCTTATTCCGCAGCCAACGCGTTCATGACGAGCCTCGCAGCACAAAGGCGCAGGCGGGGCCTTGCTGCCTCAGTGATTCATCTGGGCGCTGTGGTCGGCGTTGGGTACATAACCCGTGAGCTGACCCCTGAGAAACAAAGAGCATTGTACGAAGCTGGGTACTCCTTCCTGTCAGAGCAGGACTTTCACGAAATATTTGCAGAGGCGATTCTTGCAAGCCAACCAGATTCTGGTGAGGAATTCGAAATCTCAACCGGGTTGAGGCTCGAGAGCACTATCAGGGACACCCCAGCCAAGTGGGCGAGAAACCCGATGCTTCAGCATCTTGTGACAAGGTCAGATAAGCATGCTGTGTTCGGCAAGGATCGATCCAATGTGTCAGTGAAAGCCCTCCTGTTGGAAGCCACCACGAGCGAACAACAATTTGAGGCCTTGAAAGGTGAGCCCCTTGGTCACTCCTGAGGGTTCGCGGCTGACAAACGACAGATGGCATCATCGGAAAACTTCAAGCGGTCTTGCGCTTTGATCGAGGAGATTCTATACTTGAACTGAGCCCGGACGAATTGGGAATCGATTCACTGGTTGCGCTCGACATTCAATCTTGGTTCCGCACAGAACTCAACGTGGATTTCCCCATACTGAAACTTCTCAATGCTCCCTCCGTTCGGGAGATTATACTGGCTACCCAACGCCTATTGTTAGAAGCCTCGGTTAGCCCTATCGCGGGAACTTCGACCATGGACCAAGAACAGAACCTGCCCTCGAGTCCCAGCGGTCCGTCGATCTCCATGTCAAGCAGCAATACCGCAACAACGACACCTTCCCCTACGATGACGCCTAAAACAGATAGCCAGGGCCAGGATTTGGATGTGAGCTCAGAGGTCCTTTACGACAGCTGCAGTCGCAAGCAGAGTCAAGTCGATGGCGAGGGGAATGTGTTCGAGCGAATGGTTCCCCTCTCGTTTGCGCAGTCGAGATTTTGGTTTCTCAGGTCCTTTGCTGAGGATCCCAGCGCATTTAATATTACATCGGTTGTTAAGCTCCGGGGCCGCATCGATATTCATAGGCTGAGAAAAGCTCTTGAGGCCGTCGGACAGCGACATGAAGCCCTCCGCACCGCGTTTTACACCGACAGCGCCACCAAGAAGCATATGCAGGGCATTCTTCCAACTATGGTCTCCCGTCTGGAGACCGCGACGATCCAGGGCGAGCATCAGGTCGAGAAGGTGGTGCGAGAATATGAGAGTCATGTGTACGATCTGTTGAAGGGAGAAACGCTCCGACTAACCCTCCTTTCCTTTTCCGAAACTGCTCACCGACTCGTGTTCGGCTACCACCACATCGTACTGGATGGTCTCGGGTTTCAGATCTTCTTTACGGACCTGGAAAACGCATTCACTGGGACCTTGAATACCACTGCATCGGACGTCCTGCAGTATCCGGACTATTCGCTCAGGCAGATGCAAGAGTACCGTAACGGGTCATGGTCCCAGGAACTCAAATACTGGAAACAGCAGTTTTCGACCATCCCCGAGCCCATACAGCCACTCCTTCTCTCTTTAAGACACTCTCGTCTCGCCAACCCCTCGTTTCGGACACACTCGATCAGAACTCGGCTGGACGAAGCTTTGCAATCGCAAATCGTGCAAACCTGCCGGCATTTCCAGGTCAAACCATTTCACTTCTTCACCACAGTCTTTGTCGTGCTTTTGTCACGTTATGGCAACACCTTCACAGAGGACCTTTGCATAGGCGTAGCCGATGGTAATCGGAGCGATCTCGACACAGCGGGAAACCTCGGACTGTTTCTGAATCTCCTCCCTCTGCGGTTCCGGCAACACTCGGAACTCAGCTTCGCAAAGGCGTTGTTAGGTTCCCGATCGACTATTGAGGATGCCTACGGGAACTCTCGGGTTCCGTTCGATGTGCTCCTGGGCGAATTGAACATACCGCGCTCGCCTACGCATATGCCTTTGTTTCAGGTGTTTTTAAATTACCGCCAAAACATCCATGAGACAACCACATTCTGCGGCTGCGAGGCCCAGGGAGAAATAGTGTCGGGCGGCCGCAATGCCTACGATGTTAGCTTGGACATCGTTGACAGCAATGGCCAGGGAAGCCTCATCACCGTTACCGTCAATGCGGATCTATACGACGGCGATGGTGCTACAGCGATCCAGAACAGTTACCTCAGCCTCCTGCAAGCCTTCGCTCAAAACCCTGCAGCGAGGATCTGCTGGCCGTCGCTTCATCCGGAGGAAAGTGTCAAGCTAGGGATCTCGCGCGGACGTGGTCCTGAGCTAGGTTCTAAGTGGCCACCCACAGTTGTGGACCGCATTGACAGCATGATGAGATCGTACACGGAAAAGCCTGCCTTGACTGATGGCGCAGGAGGAAGCCTGTCATATGGAGAATTGGCTAGCAGGATTCACAGTATTGCCGCTCAGTTGGTAAGCCGAGGTGTGAAAAGGGGTTCGCGTGTGGGTATCTTCCAGATGCCCGGCACTGCGTGGGTCTGCTCCTTGCTTGCCGTCCTCCGTACCGGGGCGGCTTGTGTTCCACTGGATCTCAACGTTGGCATCTCGCGGCTGTCATTGCTAGTCAAGGACTGCATCCCTCAGGTTCTCCTCGTTGATGAATCCACCCTCGGACAGAGTGCCTTCGTGGAGAAGACGACGGCACTGATTTTGGAAGTCTCAACGCTTTCTAGCCCACAGCATAACTCAGACCAGGTGCCAAACCGAGCCCAACCACATGACGACGCCATCATCACATACACCAGCGGTTCAACCGGTATCCCGAAAGGCGTGGTTGTACGACACCATTCTTACCAAAACTTCTTTGAGTTCACGCTTCCTAGATGGGGCATCGCGGAGGGTAATGTCACGGTCCTTCAGCAGTCGGCCTACGCCTTCGACATCTCCATTCTTCAAATCCTCACAAGCCTTTGCTACGGTGGGACCCTCGTCATCCCTGACAATACCAAACGGCGTGATCCAACAGCTCTGTGCGACCTCATTGCCTGGCAGGGTATTACCATGACATTTGCAACGCCGACCGAGTACATATCCTGGGCCAAACACGGCATCGGCAAATTGCACAGCTCGAAATGGCGATGCGCCATGACTGGAGGGGAGCCCATGACCAGTTCACTTCTTGAAGTCTTCAAATCTTTGGCTAAGACCAACCTGCGACTGATAAACTGCTATGGGCCAACAGAAGCCTCCATCGGATGCGCAGACAGGGTGGTTGACTACAACAAAAGCCTCGATTCCAACCTCGCAATGTCGGTCCTCCCCAATTACAAGGTGGTTGTGGTTGACGATGATCTTCGGCCAGTCGCTGCTGGCGTTCCTGGACAAATACTGATCGGCGGCGCTGGAGTGGCAGCGGGCTACCTGAATCAGCCGGAGGTCAGTGCCGAAGCATTTGTCGTTGATCAATGGGGTACGGAGTGGGAAAGAGCTCGATCGTGGACCAGGCTTCACCTCTCCGGAGACCGTGGACGGCTGACCCTCAACGGCGAGTTGCTCCTACATGGCAGGATCGGCGGCAGCACCCAGATCAAAGTTCGAGGGGTTAGGATTGATCTAGTCGACATTGAAAACACCATCATCGAGGCCATGTCACCACATGTGGTTCAAGCGGTGGTATCTCGGAGAGAAACCCCGGAAACAGGGGTGGACTTTCTCGTCGCCTTCGTTGTGTTGTCCGGAAAGGACACTGGTCCTCCGCCTGACGATTGGTTGGCCAATTTCCCAGACGGATTACCTCTTCCACTGTATATGCGCCCCGCCCTGGCTATCGTGGTAGACCGACTCCCAAGGATGGTCTCGGGAAAGATTGATAGAGCAGCGGTGGACTCGATCTCCCTCCAGCCATCGTCGGCTCGTACAGAGACAAAGGGCGCTGACACGCTCAGCGAAATGGAGCGGGATTTGATGAGTTTGTGGAGAGAGGTCATACCACGCGAGGTTGCATGGCACCGAAAGGTTCATAGCCAGTCCGACTTCTTTCAGCTGGGAGGCAACTCGCTCGCGTTGGTGGATTTGCAGGGTTTGATCAAGGAGCGCCTCCATACCACTGTGCCAATCTACCGTCTGTTTGAGTCGGCGACACTTGGCCGGATGACCATTCTTCTCGAGCGTGGGCGCACAACCTCAGTAGTGTCGCAAGCTCAACCAGTCGACTGGGACCACGAGACGCAGGTTTCAGCGCACGTCGAACGAGCAGCATCAGAACCCGCTACCAATACTTCCAGGACCTCGGGCCCTGCCAACACCATCGTCCTCACAGGATCAACGGGCTTCTTAGGCCAAGAGCTTCTCTCCCAACTCGTCTCGAACAAGCAAATCACGAGAGTTCATTGTATTGCTGTCAGAAAGCCCAAGGAACAGCTGCCAACCGTCTTCACAGACTCCAAAGTTTCGCTGCACTTTGGGGACCTCGGGGGCAGTTACCTTGGACTCCAGGAAGGTTCAATTAGGGACATATTCTCTAAGGCCGACGTGGCTCTGCATGTTGGAGCAGATGTGTCATTCCTCAAGTCATACGACAGTCTCAAACTGGTCAACGTAGCTTCAACCAAGGAGCTGGCCCGCCTCTGTGCGGCTCGGAACATCCCACTCCATTTTGTTTCATCAGCTACGGTTGCGCGGCTGGCTGGGAAAAGTACATTCGGACCACATTCAGTGAGACAGTACCCTCCCCCACAGGGAACAGACGGCTACACGGCCTCGAAATGGGTTTCCGAAGTCTATCTTGAGAATGCCAGTCGTGTCATCGGCCTCCCCGTCTACATACATCGACCAAGCAGCATCACGGGGCCGGGCGCCCCCAACACCGATCTAACAGCAAACCTCGTCCAGTATGCTAGGCAGACTAAGACACTCCCCGACCTGGGCTCGGGTGGGGGTTACTTTGACTTCATCTCGGTCCAGACTACGGCCCGTATGATCATCGAGGAAATGGCAAGAAGCATCGGAAAGCGGGAAGCGGAAGTTCGGTACTTGCACGAGTCGGGCGAAGTTCAAATTGCGACGGATGACGCCGAGTCAATTCTGGGACTCCAAAACGGAGAGCCGTTCGAGGTTGTGACAACCCCTGAATGGATACAACGCGCAACAGACGCCGGCATGGATCCCTTATTGGCCCTATATCTCCGCCGCACCGCGACAAAAGGCGTTTTGTTTCCGCGATTGCTGAGAGGAGATTAATGAGCCGAGTTGTGGTTATTTGAGAGTCTACCTTCCTATCGAACCTACCTAGATTGAAGCCATGTTTAATGTGACCCCGTTAACAAACTGCGGCCCCCCTGTGATCCCTAAGGACTATCCACTTAGGCATGTACATACATACTTCCTGAGAACTCGCTCGCGGCGCCCTTCGAGGAGGGCCATTTCGACATATCAAAGGGATTGTTGCCCGTGTGCCACCAACCCTCACAATCACCCTCATTGAGAAGCCCGCGGAGACAGTCAGCTAAGCATGTTCATTTGGCTTGAAATAATACTTGCGACTTTGACTGGGGAACAACCCCGTCTGCGCCGCCCTAAAGGCACTGACCGACCACCTGCAGGCGCCCTTTCAATGAATACGGTGACACGGCTGCAACCTCTCCACCGCCATGTCCAATCGGGGTTCAGGGTCGTTTTGGCTGCAATTGCGCCGCTCCCTACACAGTGCGTTCTGAACGCGTATCATTGGGATGCTGGGGCCTCCGTGTCACCACCCCTTTCGGCTAAGTATTCGACCCAGGTTTGCTTCAACTGCGATTGGTGACCCCTGACACACAAGGTCTGTACCAGTACTTTACGGTCAAGCATGGAAGCTGGCTGCAGGTGGGCTGTGAAAGGCAACAGCTTCCTCTGTCTCCTCCTCGCTTGGTTTCGCCAGTGGGTTCTGCGCTACTGCCAAGTCGGTCGACCTCAGTCACCTCACCCCAACTCTCGATTCACCACACTCTCATACGGCAATACAGTGCACCGAACAGCACCCGGCTATCATGTTAGTAGCGCTTGTCTTCACCATTCTCGTTGGAGCGGCGGCATGGCTGGTGTTGAGAGCACGTACTTCGGGGCCGAAACTCGATATACCTTACCTACAGTTTGAGGGGGACAACTCGCTACTCAGGTATCTAAATGACACGCGGAGCTTGATGAGAAAGGGCTACGCCGAGGTGGGTGCCGATGTTGAGCGATGACCGAGGAAATCCATCATCTAACCTCACCGCAGTATACCAAACAAGGCAAGGCGTTTGCGATGTTCAACCATGTTGACTTCCAAAGTCCGCTCGTTATCCTCCCTCCCAAATACTTGGAAGAGGTTAGAAGTGCTCCGCAAACAAAGCTCAGCTTCCCCATGTCGCTCGAGAAAGTAAGCGCCATTTCCACCGGAGGAAAGAAACGGGACTAATTCCTGCAGTCGACCATCATCAATGATATCGGAGGCCCCAAGATGACCGATGAAGCTATTCTTGTGGTCCGGCACGATGTGACCAAAGCTCTGAGTTCGTTCTTTCAGTGTTTCACCACAAAGATGGAAGCTAAACCTCGTATAGCCGAGTTGATACCCGACATGAACAACAAGTGCATTCAGGCCTACAGGGAACTGATGCCAGCGTGCAAAGGTACCGCGGCCTCCACTTGAAACAGCAGTGTTCTTCGGTACTGACATTTGCGAGTTTGGACACCGGTCGTCACATACCAGTTTCTACTCAACGTATTCTCTCGCATTACCGCGCGGTCCCTGGTTGGGCCGGAGCTTTGTGACAGGCAAGAATGGCAAGATATCATCCTCGGCTTCACCAATAGCGCGTTCAAGGCATCCCATGGTGTTCGAGCTCGGTACCATCCCTGGACTCGTTGGATGGCTAAGTACCTTGACGGGGACGTCAAAGATGTTTACAGGTACCGAAGGCAGGCGGGCAACCTGCTCCGGCCAATCTTAGAGGCAAGGAAAGCCGAATACAGGACTCGCGCGAAAGGCGAGAAGGGGAAACACGAGGATGGTATCCAGTGGATCCTTGATGCGTACCACTCTACTGGTTCGACTCTGACACCCGACAAACTTGCTCAAGATGAGTTCATCATTACGATTGCGTCGATCCATAGCAGCGCTGCTACCGCGCTCTCAATTCTTTACGACCTGATGGATCGGCCTGAATCTCTGGCAGAACTTCAAGAGGAGATCTCCAAGGTTTTGAAACAGTACGGCACCTGGACACGCCAATCTCTCGCGGCCCTACGCATTATGGACAGTTTCATGAAGGAGAGCCAACGAGTGCACACCCTGCAACAGCGTAAGTGAAAGCCTCCTCCCTGTTTTTGCAGCCGTCGTTTTAACTTGAGACAATAGTAACGCTTCAGCGCATGGCGGTCGAGCCATTTACGTTCAAGGACGGGCTTCACCTACCTGCCGGTACTCAAATCGCACTGCCAAACGAGATGATTAGCCTGGATCCCGACCTGCATGAGGACGCTGACACCTTTGACCCCAAGCGCTTTCTGCGGAAAAGAGAGAAGATCGACCCCAACAAATTCCACTTTGCGTCCATTTCAGAGGACATGCTCCCGTTCGGAAGCGGTCTACATGCCTGTCCGGGAAGGTTCCTGGCTCAGGACGTCATGAAGTTGATGTTCATTCACCTTTTGACGCGGTATGAGTTCAAGTATCCCGAGGGGGTGGATAGCCGTCCGGCGAACATTGAACGGCATCACAACATCATGCCCAATACTGGCCTGTCTCTGTTGTTCAAGGAGAAGAATTAGGTAGCGTACAAATATCTCGCTGTTTCACAACCGTGAGAAGTGGGAAAGATGCCAGAATCGGAAAAGATAGTTATTGAACAGCGTGTGGGGGGCTGGAACCCTTCCAGTCTCTAAATTAAATGTTCGCCCAGGTCCCGCAACCCAATGTAAACATGCGCTTTTCGCTGCTATTTTCTCAAATCGTGTCTGAGCCGACGTGGCTGCGGAGAATATCCAGGATTTCATTCCATGTTTCTCGGTACAGTTCGTTGCCACGTTCACTCTCCATGAACTGGCTCGGGCTGGGGCAAGTATTAGAAACGCGAGTTGGTATCAACGTGGATGAACAACTTACGGGAGATACTTGTCATTAACCCAAAACTTCCCATGACTTTCGGGGCCTAGACCGGTGGCACTGACCATAGACCGACTGCCTTGCTCGGCCGAGCGGCCCAAGAAGACGTAGAAGACGGCCATGAACATGCGCTCCACAAGCGGGTGGTTGCGGCCCATGTTGGTTTTGCACATGCCGGGACAAGTGGCGTTGATAACCAATCTCTCGCTCCCAACCTTTTCGACTAGGGCACGGAGGACGAACATGCCGGCAAGTTTGATCAAATAGTATTGGCTTACTTTGTCAAACTTGGACTCGTTTTGCATCCGCTGCAACAAGGACTCCCCGTCGGAAATCCACTCAGGCTTGATTTCGAGATGTGCGATACTGTTGACGAAGGACATGTGCGGGACGAAGCCATCCGGGGCAGTGGCAGCCGCAGTCTCGCGCAGCTTTGGTAGCAGCAGTAAGGCCAAAAGTGTTGTCGACAACACATTCACCTGCAGTCCCATCTCATAGCCGTCGGGGCTTTTGTCGAAACCAGGCGTTGAGATTCCGGCGGCGAGTTGGACGACGTGGAGGCGAGAAACTCGAGTGTTGACGCGGTCGGCAAACTCCCTGACCGATGCCAGGGTTGTTAACTCAAGAATCTCGATCACGAAAATGTCAGGTTGGCATTTCGTGGCACGTATGATGTTGGCCTTGGCCTCTTCTCCCTTCTGCTGCGATCGAACAGCGAGAATAAGAGGGTTGGCACCGAGCGCGGCGTATTTGATGGCAGCAGCATGGCCCAAGCCCGAGTTGGCGCCCGTAACGAGGACTGCCTTGTCTTTGTAGTCAAGATGCTGAGGGTCGGCCGGCGGGTTACGTGCTGCCCACCAGAGCTCTTTCGGAGACGACATGGCTCGATTTAGCGCGGAGACTCTACCGCTTGGTGTGCAGTCGGGATGTGCGGTCGGTTCCTTGTGGAGTGCGGGTTGTGTGTGCGTGCGTGTGCCAGGTCGCAGACTGGCAACTGAGGGACAACCATGGCCCCTCGCTTGCCGTTACCGTGTGCACTTCCTCGCGGTACACTGGGCGATGACTGGTCGTCGCGCATTCCTCCGCCTCGTTGGGGGCCGCGTCACACTCCAGTCCTTGCCGGCCGGCAAGTGGTTGGCAAACAACGGACTGAGGCACTGCAACCAACACAGTAAAGTGTTTTCCTGGCCAAATGCGGGCGAGTCGCGTCCCGTTTTGACATGTTGCTCATTTCGCTGCTTGGGTTCTGTCACTTCTCACGGTGTCACGGCAGAATATGCCATCCAACCACAACATGCAGACCATTTGGCCAATTTCGTACGGCACAAACAGCCGGCGATTAGTCCTCTTTTGTTGATCAGCTGGAATGGGGCGCAAATAGCACGGGTATCTGTACATGCGGGCATGTCTGCGATCAAGATTACGTATTTACATACCTGGGTGCTTACATGCCCTTAATGAGTATACCGGGGTCCTTGCCTAAGTGATATCGTTGTACCGTTTACCTTGATACTCGCTGACACCAAAGTCATCACGGTTCGTGTCCGCGGCTCACCCAGTGGATATCCGATTGGCCATGACCGGGATATCGGAATCGGACCAAGCCGCCCCTCCTGACCCCGACCCCGATCCCGACCCCGACCCCGATCCTTGCCCCGAATGCTGCACTGGAACGGTCGAGGGGAGACCGAACTACCTGCAGTCAAGGAATCGTTAAGGCGAACATACAGAATAGTCTGCAGCATGCCCAATCTAACGTCATCCGAAGTTCAGAAGAGGTGGCTTGAATAGTGGAGCGGATTCTGAAATCCCGTATCCCCAGCTCTCACTCCGCGTGAGCCTCGACGGCGACAGCAAGCAAGATGCCATTCCCGGATAACCAAGGAGCAATCATTGCTGACAGTTGTGGGAATTTGGTGGTTTCTCATGATGTTGCCTTACCGGACGTGGAGCCTGATATGCTTCTTGTAAAGACAGTAGCTGTGGCCGTCAATCCCGTGGATGTTAAGCTCACCGGGACCATGGCGACGGAAGGTGCCATAGCTGGCAGTGACTGCTCCGGAGTTGTCGTTGCGGTTGGTTCTGCAGTACCCCCGGGGAAATTCAATGTCGGTGACCGGGTTTGCGCCGCCATCACATCCATGAATCCTGAAACTCCTCGGATCGGAGCCTTTGCAGAGTATGTTGGCGCCACTGCCGACTGTACACTGAGACTCCCCGACGGCATATCGTTCGAGTCCGGCGCAACCCTCGGCATCGGTGTTGCGACCATTGGTTATGCCCTATTCCGATCCTTGAGGGTACCTGGACACCCGGACTCTCCAGCGACGACGCCGCACTATGTCCTGGTTTGTGGCGGCAGCACTGCGTCAGGGACGCTTGCGATCCAGTTACTACGCAAGTAAGCTTTGCTTATCATCAATTCTACAAGACCAGATGCCTGGTAGTTTGCAGGGCTGACCGAGGCAGGTCCGGTCTAATACCCATCACAACATGCTCGCCAAAGAACTTTGCCTTGGTTGAGAGTCGTGGTGCCGAGAAGGCGTTTGACTACAATGACCCAAGGAGCGCCACCGACATCAGGGCGTACACAAAGAATGCCTTAGATTACGCTCTAGACTGTCATTGTGACGCTTCCAGTATGCAGTATTGCTACACGGCGATAGGCCGTGCAGGTGGACGCTACACGACCCTCGAGCCCTATCCAGAGCAACTACACACTCGGAAGCGCGTCAAACCGGATTGGATTCTGGGTCCAGCGCTTCTAGGCAAGCATATTGCCTGGAAAGCACCATACACGATAAACCCAAGGCCAGAGCTACGTGTCTTTGCTAGGGAGTGGTTCATGTGTGCGCAACGACTCTTGGACGATGGGGAACTCCAGCCTCATCCCGCAAGGGTGGGTGAAAAGGCCGGGTTTGAGGCTATTTTAGAGGGACTTGAGGTCCTCAAGAAGAAGACGATTTCGGCAGAAAAGCTCGTTTACCGCATCAAGGATACCTTAGCAGTTGGATGAGGTATCTTCGAATTGACTCTGACCTTCTAAGAGACGGCGGCATGTTGTTCGCAACCCATGTTTAATGGACAAAGTTTTTGCTCAAGAGCATAGACCGCGCCGGGAATCTCATCACTTCAGAAAATGCCGGCCCCAAGAACGTAGTCCTTCCGACAAGCCCGCCCACCACGATGCCGGCATAAGCACTACCTCCTCGGCCACTCCCAAGGTTGTACTCAAATGCTAGGCTCTTGTGCGTGATAACGAACTCCCACTGTTCGTTGCGTCTCGGGGACGTTGATATAAGCTCTAACCCTGTAACTTTGTCCGCGAGAGCCTCAGTGGTGATGCCCTGGCCCCCGTACAACTTGCGAACCCGTATATAGTCCTCCGTGTCTGACCTCTTGGTTCTCTGAGTTCCGAATATGTGCTTCCCGTCCTCGGTTAGAATAATAGACGGAACAAGAAGGCCCTCCTGTCGCCCTGATCCGAATTCCAAAAACGAAAGTGCGAATGGCCCGGCCCGTAGCCGAGCTACTAGGAGGCTGTTGAGGCATGTGAACCAGTTGAAAGCTCCCCACAGACGTTCATGCCCGCCCATTCCCGACCAAGATACCGTCTCCCCGTGGATTACTGCGTCGACGGCCACCTCCGCCACAGGGATAGGCTCAGCCCAATAAAAGTGAGGCACCGTCAACAAACTCGTATTGGCAGAGGGCCAGGTGCTGCCATCGGCGTATCGTGGAGGCGTAATGGACACCATCGAAATCGTGATATGAGCCTCTGGGTTGTCAACGGTAAGCTTCGTCTGCGACATATCGGCTGAGATCTCAAACATATAAGACCAGTTGTCGGCTTTCCAAGTCCCACGCGTTCCTCGGTGCGGACAAGACTCGATGATCGACTCCTCGGCGTAGTCCACTATCGCATAACGAGACCCATTGGCAAACACAAACTCGGTGTACACCCGTAGGTTACCGGCCCCGAAAAAGGAGAAATTGGGATCCCGGTAGAATCCAAACACGAATGCTTGCGTGCCATCCTCGGAGACTCCGTCAAACTCCCACTGTTCCCCCGCCGTTGAGTTCATCGGCTCGATCTTGGGTTGCTCCAAGTCATCCAACGGGCTGGTGGAAAAGAAGACAGGATCTCGTTTCCTCGCCATGTCGTATCTCGTTGCATGACTAACTTTGCATCCGGCCCCATTGTGGACAGAGAGTCGATCAATTGGCTGTTGCCCCGTCCAGCTATGTGCTAAGACGAGGGCAGTGGCGGGCAATACAAGTGCCACGAGGTTTTGTTTCCACATTTAGACGATGTCAATGCAAAATAATGCTGCATTGCATTCCATGAAAGATAATCCGTGTATGAATCTCAAGGCAGTAATACCCAACGTTTGACACGTTTAACGAGCCGGGGGGTTGAAGAAAGACCGATCTCTTATCCAGTCGGAGTCGAGTCCGAGGGTTCCTCGGAGACATGCACAACAACAGCTTCCATCTTGCAACACGACATCACAGTAATTGTTTGGTGCAATGGGATTACATACACCAGTCCTGTTGGCGATAACGGTGGACTAAGATGTTTTGTTTACAACTCTTTCTATAACCATACCCCTTCGCTCACGTATCCGGATTCTTTCCGGCACGAAGATTGCTTTACAATGTGGCAACGAGTGGTGGAAACATATGCCGAACTCGTTGAACAGTACATGGTGATTCGGGAATCCATGTCCACGCTTCGACTCAGCAGGTCTGAGCTGGCTCTGTTGACGATACGAAAGAGCTGGCACGACGTCAAGCTTGGCTGGCAAGACTGGAGAGACCATCCGAGCAGATCAATACAACTTGCTGTTTTGACTATGGCAGTCTTCGGTGCAGTGGTAATCTTGGACAAGATTATCCTACAATTCACCTCCCTTCGCCGTTATGGACTGCCGGTATTGAAACGACCGAAGGGTGTTCACCGATGGGACTACGCAGCACTACTGCAGGAAGGGGCACGTCGCTACCCCGACACCCCGTACATTCTCACATACTCTGGCTACGAGTACATTGTTTATCCATCGTCCAGCTTTGACGAGATAAAACGCCTCCCTGCATCGCAGGCATCCATGATCGAGTGGTTCACCCACGTTTTCTTTCAGGGGTGGCGGTTCCTCGGCCACGAGTCGAGCAGTCTCTACAAAACTGTCGGTGTAGATCTCACAAGAGCCGTCCCTTCATACGTTCAGGAGCGGCAACAACATGCGCGACGGGCGTTTGAGCTGGTGACAGGCCCATGCTCGGACTGGAAGCCTTTTGCCTTATTCCAAACTGCGATGGACCTGATCGCCATTACCAACGCCACGGGACTGGTCGGTCCTGAACTCGGAATTGACCAGAGATGGCGAAAGGCGGTACAGCGGTTTGTCATGGCAATGATGGGCGCCATCTTTGCCTCCCACGCGGTCCCCGGCATCATCCGTCGCGCCATTTCGCCCATCGTGTTTACTCCGGCATGGTGTCTCTACTATTATATGAGTCGGCTTTTGCTGCCTATAATACGAGACGAACTCGGGACGCACAAACCCGATCAGGACGACACCAAGAGCGGAATGGCGCCCCTCGAAGCGAAGGCCGACGGGACTCGGAATTTCCCAATGATCAAGTGGCTAATGGCACGATATAAGGTTGAAGAGGCTACCCCAAGACAGGTGGCTCACGACTTGATCGTGGCCTCGTTTGAGTCAACACCTTCGATGGCCGGAACGCTCTACATGATACTATCGGAACTAGTGATTCGGCCAGCCCTGATCGAGGAAATCCGAGATGAACTCTCCCGCAACATGGTGGACGGCAGGTTACCCCAGACGAACCTTGGGGAGCTAAAGAAGCTTGACAGCGTCATGCGCGAGTCATCTCGCGTTAACCCTTTCGGTTACCGTGAGTCTCGTTAATATTTGGTCCCCACACTCCGATTGACAATTGAACAGTGACGCTCTTCCGAAGGTTAAAGCAACCGGTCCAACTGTCTGTTGGTCCAAGACTCCCGGTTGGTTCCCTCATATGCGTCGATGCATACCACATTGGGATATCCGAAGCCTTGTGGACAGACCCCAAGACCTTCGATCCGATGCGTTTCCTAAAGCTTCGACAACAGCCTGGCCATGAAGCAATGCACCAGTTTACCAGTCTCGGCGCTGATTCTCCAGGATGGGGGGATGGCCTGCAAGCATGTCCCGGGCGGGCCTTTGCTGGGAACACGCTCAAGATCGTGCTTGCCCACCTACTGATGAACTACGATATCAAGTTGCCCTCCAGGGCTGAAAAGCCCAAGCGGTTCTCGATGCCCAACGGGTCTTTGGCTCCGGATATGAACGCACAGCTTTTGCTCCGAAAGCGCAGGATTAAGGTCGATTGATGACCGAACTAGGAGCCCCGATGAGGGAAGAAAAGTCTATGAATCCAAGGACGGTATCTGCAAGTATTATATAGTACACTCTATCTTGTCAATCCAAGCAATCAATCGTTTCTCGGAGCCAGTCCCGAGATACACTCGTAGTTCGGCTGCGACTCGTCCCAGCCAACACAATGCCAACAACTCAAAAGCTGGTCAGGGTCATACCGTCTTTTGAGTTCCAGAAGAGCGGCGTGGTTGTCGCCCCAGAACTCTTGTGACCAGTCACTAAGCCAAGCATAACCCTCATTAGCATACGTGCATCCCTCCGGCGCGAGTTTCTTCAAGCTTTCGGTCCCTTCCTTCAGCAAGGTGACTGTTTTTTGCCTTTCCGCGAAGGGGCTATCGGCTTTCCACATAGCATATCCTATCACAGACCATACAGAGCGATACCAAGCTGGATGCATTGATGTTGTGTGGTGTGTATGGTTGCGGCCGTAGAGAAACGGCATGGTGGACAACATGGACACCGCCAATCCCGAATTCTGGAGGTCCATGATGACATCCACCATGCTCGCTCTTGTTGTATCGTTGGCGAAGACAGTCTCGGGAATGATCCGACTGGTGACCATGACAGCCATACTGACAGGGACAAATGCGGCATGGCTGCCGTTGATCACGGCTCTGTAGAAGTCATAATAGCTTGCGTACGACGTGATATCCGCCTTTCCCTTCTGTGCCAATGTGTGTGTCACCAAAGGGGCCAACGCCTGGCTTGCGGTTGAAACGTTCATATCGCTCCGAGGGTTGACGAGAATTGCGAGATTTGGCCCCACGGGTCCGCCCCAGCCCTCCAGGGCCCAGCTTTGTATATTCTCCGCAAGAATCTCGACGAACCGTTTTTGGGTGGCGGCGTTGGCTTCAAATCCCAGAATGGCAGCGGTCATGGGGGCTTCCTGCTCGACTCTGAATGTGGAGTTGAGGATAACGCCGAAGGTACCGCTCCCGCCACCCCGAAGGGCCCAAAACAACTCCGAGTTCTGGCACTCGTTGGCAATCCGAACTTCCCCGTCCCCCGTGACGATGGTCAACTGAACCACGCGGTCCACGCCCAACCCAATGCTGTTAGAGAGCACACTATGGCCGCCGTTGAGGAGCCAGCCGCCTGAAACACCGATGGTGCTCGCGCTACCCCCGTCGAAGACGAAACCGTTGTCGTGAGCAAAAGTGACTGCTTCGTCGGTGTTTACCCCGGCCCCAAACGTGATAGCAGTGGTCGGGCGGCTGCTAGAACAACCAGCCGGAACAAACGACGCATGGAACTCCTTCTCTTGGAGGCCTCTGGTCCAAATTGCCAGAGAGCCACGTCGGCTGCTGCGCATAACATAATCGTGGCCGCTGTTCTTGATGGACAAGGCGGTACCTGACTTTCGTGCGTATTCGAAAATCTTTGGTACGTCGGTAGCCTTATTGATCTCGATGTAGAGAGACGAGACCAGCCCCTGGCTGCAGGAAGCGTTTCCTGGAGTATTGAGTGTGCCCGGTTCCAGGAGGCATTGATCGCTCGGATCGGCAAGGCATGCTTCGCCTTGCATGTACTGAAACCCTTGATACTTGCTGCTGTGGTAAAACCCCAACGGCGTCTTCAGTTGTTTCTTCACCGCGAGACACCGTGCGCCACCTGGTTCGGAGAAGCAAGGCGCCGCAAGAGGCTCAGAAGATCGGATTCGGCCATCAAGCGTAGCGTTGAGTTGGGAAAGGAGGGCGGTGGTATTACATGGTGCTGAAATAACAGGGGTTACCCCGATGACAAGAAGGAAAAGCAATTTGAGAAACATCACTATCATATCCAGCAAGTTGCATGTGATGGAAGTGGGTATCGAAGTGCAGATGTCGGGCCCCTGCATCGCGGCAACTCTCTACATGCAGGGGCCCAGACGCAGGTACATGTATGAGACAGACGCGAGGTGGCCGTGGGCGGTGCATCTTTGGTGTTAACGAATGGCCGATTCCCCTGTCTCTCCGGAAGCGTGGCCGAGCAAGCTGAAGGTTAAAAATAACAATATCCAACCGGACTGTAGCCTAATTGCAACCAGACTCCAGAGGGCTGAACAACGGTCGCGCCGTTGACTTGTGTCACGCCCGACAGGCCATGTGCGGATGACGGAGACCTTTTTCGCTGCTGTGATGAGGCGTGGTTCGGGCAATGATCGGTTCCTTCGTCATACAGATTACAGGTAAGTGGACAGTAGGCAGGTATCTAACGTCAACCTGGAATAATATTCTTGGCTCAAAATACGTTTGATGGTGACGAAATCGGAAACTCCCACGTGACTCATTCTCATCCCCAAGATCATTGCCCACCAGGTCTCTCGGTAGGGAGGTTTGCTCCCCTAAGTCGCCGGATCCAGCCCTGACCTACCGGCTGCGCTCTTCTATGTCAAATCGTAACTTCCTGGTCGGTGGCCTCGCTGACATGGGAGGTCGGTGATTTGCGGAAATCGGCAACAATAACCGCTGACGAGTAGTACACATCAATTCCAGGCTCATTTCCGTACTGCAGGAGGCATTAGCGCTATTGCAACCCGTGACAGATAATACAGTCGAGATTTCCACTTACAGTGATAAACGCAACTGCAACCTCTTGAGGCGTTGTCTTCTTTGGGGCGTGGTTGAGCCAGGTCACATGGTCCCGAGTAAATGCCTTCTCACTTTCCCGGTGAAGAACACCGTCGACGCGGTAGTAGTTGTCGTAATCCAGCTCTTCAGGGTTCGGGAAGTCCTCGCCTCCACCCTCCACAACGATCGGTCCACGGATGGATCTGCCAATAGTAACAAGGCTTGCATAAGAAGATGACGGTGCATTCTTGCTTGCGTCTTCGTCCTCGCTTACGCCTTCGTCCTCATTATCCCGGCAACCCAGATGATCCTCCTGATAGAGGTAATCGTCGAGGGCATGTGTCACTTTTACGGAACCCGTCAGACGCTTTAGAGCCTGGTAAACTAGCATGTCAAGGCCTTTCAAGGTGTGTTGCAGGGTATCGGCGGCCGCGGATGAAGCGTGAGGATAAGCGTGAGTACAGGTGAAGCCCAGTAGACCTCCTACGGAGAGTTAGCTTCAACAAACTAAAATAAATCGTCCAACGGAGAGACGAGAGACTCTACTTACCATCAGGGAGAAAGTCGGCGCGTTTCAGCAGCTCTCGCAGTGCTCCAAAGAAATGGAGAGACTCCGGCTCGAGAATATTGAGGCCGTCGGCCATCGATGCTGGTCCGAAGGTAGTCCAGTAGAGGTTGTAAGCCAGAGTCAACCGATGTCCGCCAGTCACCTCCAAGACTTCGTGTTCGCAGTCGGAGAAGAAGGCTCCCCATTGAATGGCCGAGGCATTGTCCGACGCCCAGTCAAACGTCACCTCGCGTCCGCCGTGCCTGACTGCTAACTGGCCACCTTGAGTAGTTGGTCAGCTTGGCCCGGGTGTTATGCCGCTCGAAAGCGACGCAGAACTCGCTGGAGTTACGAGTGTTTACCTTGGTGCGGGCGCGGGAAACACACGACGAGGGATCCCATTTGTTCCTCCGATCGGGGCGTGTCAACGTGGGCTTTGAACTTGCCCGAAGGACCGGAATAAATCTAGTGTCTGTTAGTTCGAGCCCGTAAAGTTATCGACAGTTCAACTCACGTTCAAATTGTAGAGCTCTGCTCTGATGCCACCGTGGTCGCCGTGGGTGAGGGCTTGGGCGATGGCATCGATCACGCCATGTTCGTATGGATTGAAATTCGTCGAAAACCTGGTCGCATTCATCTTACCGGCCTTTCGATAAGTCTCGTCGAAGACTGCTTCGCCGCCGACCCCATACGTGGCCGGTTCCGAGTCCTCCAAGAGTTTGGCAAACGCCGCCTGAGAGGTTGCATCGTTTTCAACGACTGGTAACGAGACCTTGCGACAGTGATTAACATCGCCCGAATCCCACCGGATCACAATGGGGCTTGTCTCGGACGCATTCGATAACGCCTTTGCGGCCGTAGCGAGATCGAATTTCCCGCCCAAGGCGAAGACACTCTTGTCCGCTTGGTCTGCCAGCGCGTGAGAGACCGTCTCGAGGAGGGAATGTATTTCGCCGTCGGCGTTTTCAGGGCGTGCAGATTCCATATCGGGATGAGACATCAGAGCTTGGGAAGAGCAATAATGGGGATCCGGGACGGAAAGGGATGGAATGATGGAGAGATGTGCGGAACTGGAATCGCTTGGAGAATGTCAGGCTCTCCCAGGCAAGAGGCCAGAACAACTCTTTTATAAGAGAAGCACCGAGACAACCCATCGGGCAACGACGGGGCCCTCGCGTGATGCTGGGCTGGCAGAACTCTTTTGCGCATGGCTGCCTAACAGTTCGAGCCATTTTGTTGTTGTCAAACCAATCAATGTTCTTTAATGGTGGTTGTTGGTCGGGAATATCCAACGACATGGCTTGGCTGCCTGTTGCTCGAACTGTTGGGACCTGGATAATGTGCTGTTTGGGTTCTCATCTTGCGGGGTTCCCGCAAAAGGCACGCTGGCCGGGAACGTGGCGGTTGCTGGAAGTTGTTTGTTGACACAAGAGCCCGTTAACTCTAGGCAGCCGGACCAGGGGTGAGATGATCAACCTCTCTCGTTCCACCGCCATTCTTCGGGCTCAGTGAAACCCGCCACACGACTTCCGGCGACGTCAAAAAAAAAAAAAAGGTAAAACAAAAGTGGGTTGTGAGTAAGCAAATTAATATTACTCGACGTCTAAGATAACATTATGTCCATTGGTAAAAGCCCGACCAAGTCAATCCTTATTTCCCCGTCCAAGTCCACATTATTCGCGCTTTCTGTCCGGAGGCGTCTAGGCCAGCGCCTGGGGAGCGTAGCTCTTGTCGGGAGTAACAGCTTCGCCGTTCACGAGCTCGTGGTCGGCATAAGAGGGCCAAGTTTGGAGGCGGCTGTCCCAATCAATAAGGGACCAGGTTGTGAACCCATTCTCGGCGCCCCACTGGCCGCTCCAGTTGGAGCTGAGGGTATAGGGGCCGCATTCGATATCGGCGGTGGAAGCTTGGCTGGCGGGCGCCCCGGTGACGGTGTAGAGGCACTCGGTGACAGGAGCGGTTTGCGTGTTGATGCCGAACGAGACGTCGCACGAGGTGTCATCCTCGTTGCAGGTCCGGGTGAAAGACTCGATCGTCCATTCGGGGACATCCGCCATCGCGGAGACAGCGCCGGAGCGCGAGTTGAGAGCCGGGGCAGCGAAAGCCGTGCTGGCGCTGGCAACAAGGCCGAGGAAGACAGTGTTGAAGTGCATGTTGATGATTGAGGGCCGGTTTGCGTTTGAGTTCAGGTTGGCAATGAGGGTACTAGTTGACGATGTCGAGAGTGATGGTCCAACACGAAAACGTTTGCTGAGGGCATTGCTCTCTCTTTATAGAGCTCGACCTTACCCCCTTGCCCTGACGGATGCATCATGACGTTTGATTCCACCCGCAGTCCGCTCGGCCAAGTCGTTGAGAAGACCAACACACCCAACTTGTTGGCGGATTCATTGCTGCAATGGATTCAGGCTGTGGGCTGCATATTTGGTGACGATGCCACGTTACTTCGTATTGTTGAGGAGGAGCTCGGCTGACTTCATTCTGAGATGCCGTCAGATCTCGTATTGACACACGGTACGACATTGATCGGCAGAGCAGGGGGCGGGGAGCCGAGGCGGTGGAGCGCCATGTTGCACCGAGCCCCAGAAGCGGCACTGGCACTCCATTTTGCCCAAAATAACCACGCTGAGCCATGTCATTCTTCCAACTTCTGCTTGGGTTACGGGCCTCGAGCGGGATCAACGCAGGCCGTGCAGACCCCAGGACGAATTGGGCGAAGCGCGATCTGGAAGGCAATCGGTGACCCCTACGAGGTCGCCCCCCCGCCGAACTCTCCGACGCCGGAGAAGAGCCACCCAAGTTCACCGGCTCCGCAACGATCTCCGGCAAGGCCGAGTGGGGCCGGCCGACGTCAAACCGGCTTCTCTGCTGGCCGCGCTATTCCGAGATTTCCAAGGTGTTGAAGTGAGACAAGCGCAACCGTCCATGAGGAAACTTTGAGACCATTTTGGGCATCTATTTCTATTCGGACCTATGTATGTATAAGCACTATATACGAGGTACTCCCTTGTATGTTTATGTCTTGGCCACGACTTGGGGACGCTGACCTGCCATTCCTTGAGAGCAGGCATGGTTTATCATTAGATAGTTCAAGGGAGAGCGTTAACTAACCCCAGCCCGCCATTCCTGGTTGTGCATGGCCTCGGGTCGCTTAAGTTGCTTGTTCGGTCGGGATAGTAATTCCGAGTCCCGAGTCGGTTTTGATGGCGGACTTGGCTTTCCAGCCCGCCGTGATGGGGTTTAACCAGTCTGACACTCTCTGGTATTGGTATAATATTTTGATATTCCCCTTGTCACGCACTTGCCGGGCACCCAGAAAGCATGACGGGCTCGAACAGCAATGTGGTTAATCGCACGCACTGACTGATACTTGGGGGTTGCGTTGTCTGGGGACTTTTGTCCATTTACCCCCCACTCCAAAAATCCCAGACCACGGGTGTGGATGTTGCATGTGAACCGCGAGTGTTCACGCTTCAGGAAGAAAACAAACCCCAATTGGGGATAGTCCAGCCTTTGACCTCCGCCTCGCCCCGAGCCCCATTATTTTGCACCTCGGCACCCGACTAGCGCGCGACCCCTGAGTCCTCCTTCACGCGGATGCCGAAGGTTGGAGCAAAGGCTCAAGCCACATCTTCTCCGCATCAACAAAAATACGAGGCAACATGGTTACGAAGAGGGAGTTGTCTAAATGGGACCGCTTAGCTTTGCTTGGGCTATTTCCCCTATTCGGTAACCCCGACCCCTAGTTAATAGTTTGTGACAGCAAATGTCTTGAGTTCACATATTGATTCTTCTTAGCGGCACGATTGCTTGTATTCTTCGCCATTCGCAGAAGTCCCGCCCTTCATTGGCGCCAAAGACTTGCTCTTTCGTTCCTCCAAGCCCAGAGGGCCACATTCCCACCGCACTACCTCCGCTGGCTGATCCGCCGCACCACGACTAGCGAGGCAATCGTTGGATATTCTGTTAAGCAAGGCATCCCGCACAAGTCTGTCACTCTCGATGCCGCCACCACCGCTTACGGCGATATCCAGGGCGGAATACCCGCCCCAACCATTCATTTCCTCACACCCACCTCGGTAAAGGATGATGGAGGCGGCACAACGCTCTTCTACTTCCACGGCGGCGGCTTCGTCAACCCCCTTCGCGGCCCAGCCCACATGCCCTTCATCATGCGGTGTGCTGCAGCCTGCGGGGCCAAGCAGGCCGTCGTACTCGAGTACTGCCTGGCTCCGGAGCATCCATACCCGGCGCAACTAGTCCAATGCATTGCGGCACTTCGCTACCTCCTCGACGAGACGGGTCGGCGGCCGGACGAGCTCGTGCTAGCGGGTGACAGCGCTGGTGGACAGCTGATCGGAGCGCTGCTCGCCCACCTGGTGCAACCGTCGCCTTATGCGGCACCGGTAAAGCTCGACGGCAAGTTCCGAGCCGCCTTGTTCGTGTCTCCGTTCGTGCGACTACCGCCAACAACGGGGGACTACGACTCCTATGAGACCAACAGAAAAAAGGATTACATTGACCGCCCGCAGGTGGATGAGTTCATGGGCGCATTCAAGGGGAGAAATGACGAAATATGGACAAATCTGTGCCATGGCAAAGGGTCAGATGATGTCTGGAAGCAAGTATTTGCCCGGGGCCCTCAGGGGTTGGTTCGGAAGAAGATGATTATTGTTGGCACGGCTGAGATCTTGTTGGATTGCTGTCGTGTATTTGCGGAGACCCATGTCCGTGCAGAGACCGTGGTTGCCAACCGGGACACGGACTGTCGGGAATTTAAGGGGAAGGATACGGTGCTGGTAGAGTGCGAAGGGGAAGTTCACGTCCAAGTAGCCTTGGACTCGGCGGTGGGTTATCAGAAGGGAACCATGGAGCGCGCCATTATGTCATGGTTGGCAGGTCTCTAGCCCTGCAAGAAACGTACGGCGCAAGCCCCTCACTACCCTAGACCGCTACATCCATACCTCGGTCGTCGCGCCCTAGGCCGGACGAAACCCCTAGCTAGGTAGTTCCCCATCCGCCTCCTTCCGGGAAGCCATCCTCTAGAATGTGCATCATCTGCTCATTGTTGTAAAACCAGTCTTCGAGCTCAGTCCCGTTTCCCATCCAGATCATCGGATTAACACCCCTCTGGAACGCCGGATCGCTGGCGTCGGTGGCGTTACCCGTCGGGTATGCCGCCTCCTGGAACCCCGGCCCCGGCTGGGATGGAAAGCCGAGGGCAGCCAGACAGTTGTCTACTGTGCTCGCCTGTTGCTCATCCCTAGCAGCTCCCGCTTGAGACTCGAGGTATTGTGATGCAACACTGTGAAGAACATGGAAGAGGCGATGGAGCCTCTCTACGGCTTCTGACACTGCCGTGTGTGGCTGTAGAGAGGCGACAAAGGCCTCAAGCCGAGCGAGGTCCGTTCTGTCTCTGGCTTCGATGACTTGGCAGAAGAGGACTATAAATGGGACGAACGGAGCGAAAAGGATTGTCCTGGTATGTCATCAATCAATATATACGTTGCACTGGCATCGACCGGGGTCATGTACATACCAGTTCATGTACGTTGAAAAGAGTCCGACGGCGTTCCTGTCTACCACGGCCATACATTCTTGGTGGCAGCGGAGCGTCTCCCTTGCCGTTTGGATACACGGCTCCGTGAACGTTGTCGGAGAGCCGGGGGGGTTAGGTACGGCTCGGTGGATCAGGGTCCGAGTCGACAGCCGGAGAACGAGATCTGACAAGAGGAAAAAGTCGGTGGTGTCCTCACCAGCTGTTGCTCTTGAAAACTGGTCCCATTTTGCCTAGGGAAATGGAAAGTCAGCCAGAGCTATTTAACCCGAACTGTTCGAGTATCCTCACCGCCGTGTCGCGGGTCGAAGCATCAAGCTCCCCTAGTTGATCTAGCAACAACTGCGCGCGTGATTTCCGGATTGGGTCTGGTTGGGCGATAGCATCTGGACAATACAGCAGTTCGTAGATCTGGCCGTGAATCCTGGATGCGATAACCCACAAGCCAAAGAAGCATGCGATGGGATATTCGCTCGCGCCAGGGCTCGCGTCGGCCCCTGGGTCAGGCACAGTGACATCGTAATCTTGTATCGTCGATGACCGCCCCAAGCGAAGCGCGAGACTTTTGTCAATGGTGTACACCCCCCAAAAGAGGAACTGTTTGGACTGGACCTCTTCAGGAGACTCGTTGGTGAATGTCGCACTCCGGTGATAACCAAGAGACTGGCACAGCTCAGATGCTTTTGATGACAGGATCCAAGCTAAAGACGGTTTCGCTAGTTCGATAGCGTAGTAGGCCTAGCCAATGTGTCAGTCTGAGAACAAAGAGCAGGGTCCGGATGGCGACGTACCCCAAAAGAGAGGGCGACGATCACATCGTCGGTTGCTGGCAAATGCAGAGGCAAGTTGGATAGGGCCGTCTCGGTGTTCACGCTGCAGAGGCGTGATAAACGGAAGTATTCCTCCTCCTTTTCCGGAAGCAGGGAGCCGTATGCACGAAACAAGAAATGTAGCGTAATATTCACGGTGAGAAATTGGGCTGCGTTGTATTCCTCAGCCATGTGAACGGCGACACATAGTTCTGGGAAGCGATCCATGCCGAACAGCTGGAAAAACCAGGCCACGCCGAGCTGTTTGTTCGCTGCGAGGTCGGGCAAGAAGAATTAGCCCTGCATGTGACGAGTTGGGGGTGGCTACCCACATCTGGCAAGCTTGAGGACTTGTAGAGTGGCCTCCATAGGGGGCAGTTCGCACCCCTCGAGCGCCGGCGGCCGCACAGTCTTAGCGTTCGGGTACTTCATCTCGTGTGCCGCCGGTTGCTTCTTCAGGGTTTCGACCATATGGCGGAGAGCTTCTATCCTCTCACGCATCTCGGGCCGGGAATCCCTGCTCGCGACCTTTTGGAGGAGGTCATTGGCGAAGACCGACTGAGCCGTCAAGGAAGACTCCCCTTCGACCATGGTCCCGGTGACCTGGGTTTGGTTGCTATAGCCACCATGGCTGGATGGGCTGGAGGAAGCAACTGTGGTCGTGGTCGACGGTTTTGCTGGCACGGTGAGCACTGGCGAGGTCTGGGACCGCTGCGTGCTGAGCTCTTCAAGCAGCCGAACCACACCGTCTAGGCGACGATCGATGAGGTCGATCTTCTTCTCGCTAAAGGACTGTGTCACTACACGCGAAACCAGCAGCCACTACACCAAGGCAGGCGTCGAGACTCGAGAGAGACGGGAGAGTATGGACTCACTACTTATGGGTCAACAGAATCCGGCTTCGCTTTTCTCGTGGCTTGTTTCCGGAATGAGTGCACTCTATCTTGGCATGCAGGCAGTGGGCACAAGGAGACTCTCGATTGCAGCGGATCTACGGTCTTCTTTAGTTGCGCCCAGTGGCATGGTGACGGGACGGAACCTACTTTACGTGCCCGACAGGCGTCACACTGCAGAACACAGGCAGGTTGGTCAGTTAGTTTTGGTCTTCCCGATCGTCTTGGCACGTCTGTTGAGGCGGGAGAGGTGGACTTGCAGCCCTAGGGACAGGGGTCTGGGAAGTGCCCGCGGGAGGCGGCGACTCGGCCCCGTCCGTTGCATCTTCCATCACAGGACGACCGTCGACGGCTCAAACCCGAGATATTGGCGGGTACGGTGTTAGTTGGAACGCCCGCTGGCAACTCGGCGGCCGGATTGCTTCTCGGAAGCTCTGGTCAGTGTCACGCGGTTCGAGAGGAAGAAAAAACGGGAAACAAGACAACGGATCCCGCGGGACGCGCGGGGTCCGACTCGGAAAATAGGCCGCGCAGCTGGAATGGACGCTCGAACCGCAATTGTGGACCCAGCCCGTCATGAATTCCCGAGAGCAAGGGGTGAGCTTCAGGGGGGGGCATGCACAAGCAAGTCTCTTTTTGGAAGTCTTGTAACTGAACGAGTGCCTGTGTACACGACAGGGACATACAGAAGCACTGAAGTCATGAATGACATGCCATGGTTTCCGGCGTATGACTCATAAACGGGTATGCGTTCAGTAGGTACCTTAGCTCGCTCTGTCCAAAAAAACCGATACACCAAAAGTACAGCGAGCTATCTTGGTGCGGTCCTTCTCGGCCAAATCAAACCCAAATTCAACAAAAAGAAGTGCAATAGAATCTCTGGGTGTTGCTCTATTCATTTCTGCAGTATCGTTTGTTTACGCTTTTAAATGGCCTACCCACAGCTTGTTTGGAACTGATGTGTTCGTGAAGGGGACTTGCAGGTGGACCCACCGAAAGTCGGTTTTGGTGTATCGGTTTTTTTGTCCACAGGGAGCTTAGGAAGTCGGGCACACATTCAATGTCGTCTGTGGCAACCGGTCGCCAATCACTGGCCGTCTTGAGTATTCTCGGCATTCTCTTCTTTGAGAACCCGAGCCCACCACGCGTGGTACGGCTGCACCGAGCCCTCCCAAGCCGCCGCCCTCGGCGTCGAAACCGGGTCAACTCCTTGCCCGGCTCCTCACCCAAAGACGCGTCCCGAAGCGATGGCACCCTTGGCGCCAAGCAGGCTGGGTCCTGCCAATTTGAAGCGAAGCATTTGATCCGCAAAACCGTTGAACCTTCCGTCGTCCTACACAGCAGGTATATATGGCCATCTCTTCTTCCATCCTAGCTCTCGGCGAGCTGGCGTGAGCATCCACTCGTCTTTGCAGATATCGCTGCTGCGATCTTGTGATCATGGCCGCCAGCATCGAAACAGCCAAGGAACTCGACCAAGCAGAGAAGGAGTCGACCACGCAGGCCGCGACCGAACCTCAGGCCGAGGAGAAAAAGGAGGGCGAAGGTGGCTGGGGGGCTTATAAGGTATGACAACCCAGCGACGTGGAATAAACCAACTGCGCAATAGATACCTAGTTATTGACTTTGTGTTGTAGCGCATTTTTCAATATGCCGGTGCCTTCGAGTACACCCTCCAGGGTATCGCCGTCCTTTGCGCCATTGCTTCCGGCGCCGGCATCGCCCTGCAGAACCTGATCTTTGGCGCGTTTGTGACTGTAATCACAGACTACACTGCAGGACATTCATCGACTGATGTGTTCCTTGACGACGTCGCAGGGCTCGCGTATGGTTTCTCCGTGCCTTGTATTGACCGTCAAAAGCGTTGGAGAAGACTAACGCAAGCATGCCTAGCCTCTACTTTGTCTATCTCGGGATTGGCAGATTCGCCCTCTCGTACATATACAACACCCTCCTGACCTACGTTAGCCACCGAATTGTGCGCAACATCCGCCATACTTATGTCAAGGCCGCCCTCAGCCAGGAAGTGGCCTATTTCGATTTCGGCACCGGGGGTTCTATTGCGACACAAGCCACGTCCAACGGTCGACTGATCCAGGGCGGCATCTCGGAGAAGCTCGGCCTCACATTTCAGGGACTGGCCGCTTTCGTCACCGCATTCGTCGTTGCCTTCGCTACGCAATGGAAGCTAACACTTATCACGCTATGCATTGCCCCGGCCAATATTATCACCATGGGTGTGGTTGCTACCATTGAGGCCGGCCACGAGACCAAAATTCTTGATATGTATGCCCAGGCCAACTCATTCGCCGAGGGTGTCCTTGCCAGCGCCCGTACAGTTCATGCTTTCGAGATGCGGACTAGGCTGGTGGCCAAGTTTGACGGCTATCTCTCCGAGGCACACCGGGTGGGGAATAAGATTTCGCCCCTTTTCGGCGCCCTCTTCTCGATCGAGTACACCATCATCTACCTGGGCTTCGGTCTTGCCTTCTGGCAAGGCGTTCAGATGCTCGCAAGAGGCGAGATTGACACTCCCGGCCAGATCTTCACGTGAGTTTAAGGCGCCCCTCCCATTGCTGACCAGCTCTGACCGCCTCGGTACCCAGTGTGCTGTTGTCCGTCGCTATTGGTTCCATCCAAATCACCATGCTGGCGCCCTACTCCATCGAGTTCACTCGCGCAGCTGCGTCTGCCGCTTCGCTCTTCAAGCTCATGGACAGGGAATCAGCCATCAACCCTTTTGACAAGTCCGGTGAGCAGCCGTCCGAAATTACCGGCTTGGTCGAGCTTGAGGACGTCACGTTTGCCTATCCTACCCGCCCTGGTACCACCGTCTTGGATAACTTCTCGCTTACGGTACCCGCCGGCAAGGTCACCGCTCTTGTGGTAAGTACAGAAGCGCGATAAACAAACTGGCATAGACCACCAAGTTGCTGACCTTGCCAGGGACAAAGCGGTTCTGGGAAGAGTACCATCGTCGGCTTGATCGAGCGATGGTATACTCCCTCCTCAGGAGGCATCAAGCTAGATGGACGGCCCATCGATAGTCTGAATCTGAATTGGCTTCGGAACAACGTCCGACTTGTCCAGCAAGTGTGTCCCCCCTGTCATCATGCACCACGCCGCTCTCCACTCACATGTTTTAGGAACCGGTCTTGTTCCAGGGGTCTGTCTTCGACAACATTGCCTATGGTCTCGTCGGCACACCCTGGGAAAAGGCCAGCCGAGAGGAGCAGATGGCCCAGGTACGGGAAGCAGCTACCACGGCATTTGCTCACGACTTTATATCCGCGCTACCTAACGGATACGATACCGACATCGGGCAACGCGGAAGCCTCCTGTCCGGGGGCCAGAAGCAACGGGTAGCCATCGCTCGCAGCATTATCTCACGCCCCAAGGTCCTTCTCCTCGACGAAGCAACGAGCGCACTCGATCCCCATGCCGAAGGAATCGTGCAGCAAGCATTGGACCGCGCGGCCGAGGGACGCACAACCATTGTGATCGCCCACAAGCTGGCCACAATTCGCAAGGCAGACAACATTGTTGTTATGTCCAAGGGCCGCATCGTCGAGCAGGGCACGCACGAAGGATTGATTGCCCATGACGGCACATACGCTCGGCTCGTCCGTATCCAAGATTTGGCTGTCGGCTCCACCGGTGCCTCGTCGGATGCCGAGGAGGACACCGCTGGTGATGAGGGAGGCCACCCTGCCGAGCTTACTAAAACCATGACCCGATACGCCACCGAGGACCAGGCCCGCCTGGAGGCACAGAAGAATCGCGACAACTTTGATGACCACAAACATCTAGGCTTGATCGCGGTTATCCTCCGCCTCATCAAGTACAGCCCAGAGCTGAGAATGTGGTATCTTTCGGTACTGGCGTCCTGCGTCGCCGCCGGTGAGTTTGTGTCTAGCCGTGGCTGATTAGAAAGTGACTTTCACTGACAAATCGGTCATTGTAGCGGGTGTCTTCCCTGGCCAAGCCATCTTACTCTCCAGGATGATGGACGTCTTCACCTTGACGGGCGAGGCTTTGAAGGAACGCGGCAACTTCTTTGCATCCATGTTTATCGTCTTGGCCGCCGGCTGCCTCGTCTTCTACTTTGTCCTGGGCTGGTCGGTGAACGTCGTCGCTCAGGCATGGAGTCCCTCCCTGTAGCTACAAAGAAGAGCGCTAACCGTCCTGCCAGACCCTCTCCCACAACCTCCGGAGGCAGACCTTTAGTGACATTTTGCGCCAAGATCTTCAATTTTTCGACCGTCCCGACAATAACACCGGCGCACTGGCGAGCCGGGTCGACTCGAATCCCCAGTCCGTCTTTGAGTTGATGGGTTTCAACGTCGCGCTTGTCGTCATCGCGGTTCTCAATGTTGCCGCCTGTAGCATCTTGGGTCTTGTCCACAGCTGGAAGTTGGGCGTGGTAATTGTCTTTGGCGGATTGCCTCCCCTGCTCGGTGCTGGGTGGCTCAAGATTCGGCTGGACATGAAGATGGATCACGACAGCTCCAAGAGAAGCGCGGTTAGCGCGTCGATTGCATCTGAGGCGATCACCGCCATCCGCACGGTCTCTTCACTGGCCATCGAAGAGCGTGTTCTGTCCCGGTACACGGCCGAGCTGGATCACGCAGTGGCCGATACGGTCAAGCCCCTGGCGAGTGTAATGGTCTGCTTTGCTCTGACGCAGGCCATCGAGTATTGGTTCATGGCTTTGGGTTTCTGGTATGCATCACTTTACTTCCCCTGCACACACACGTCTGTCCATAGCTAACCCGCGAGACAGGTATGGCTGCCGCCTGGTTGCCTTCAATGAAACATCCATGTACAACTTCTTCGTCGCCTTCATGGCCGTCTTTTTCTCCGGCCAGGCAACCGCGCAGATGTTTCAGTTCTCCACTAGTTAGTTGTTCCCCCTCCGGGGTAAACCAAACTGCTAACTGTGTCAAGGCATCACCAAGGGAAAGAACGCGGCAAACTACATCTTCTGGCTCTCCGAGCTGCAGCCGACCGTTAGGGAGACCGACCAGAACCGCAGCAACGGTCCAAAGTCTGGTGGGCCCATCGTGTTGGACAATGTGCGGTTCTCGTACCCGTTACGGCCAGACGCCGTAGTGCTTCGAGGGGTAGATCTAGAAGTAAGAGCCCGGGACAGTGTTAACCCGACCTTCGCTGACCTCCGCAGATTAAAAAAGGCCAGTTTGTGGCAGTGGTTGGTGCTTCTGGTTGCGGCAAATCGACTGTCGTTGCCATGTTGGAGCGCTTTTATGATCCGTCCACCGGCAACATCAGGATCGATGGTGACGTCCTGAGCGAGCTCAACCCGAAACTCTACCGTCGCATCGTGGCCCTTGTTCAACAGGAACCTACCCTTTTCCAGGGCTCCATTCGGGAGAACATCGCTCTCGGTATTGATGACCCGACAGTTGACACGTCAGCTATTTACACGGCGAACCCAGGCCCCGCAGTTCCCGACTCCCAGATCGAAGCGGCCCTCCGTGCAGCCAACGCTTGGGAGTTTGTCTCCTCGCTTCCGGATGGGTTGGCTACCGCGGCGGGTTCCAATGGCACACAACTCTCGGGTGGCCAGCGTCAGCGCATTGCCATCGCCCGATCACTGGTTCGAGATCCCAAGATTCTACTACTGGACGAGGCCACTAGTGCGCTCGACACAGAGAGTGAGAAGATTGTCCAGAATGCACTCGCCGAGGCGGCCAAGGCTGGGGACCGCATCACTATCGCCGTGGCTCATCGCCTCTCGACCATCAAGGACGCCGACGTGATTTGTGTGTTCCATGGGGGCAAGATCGTAGAGAAGGGTACGCACGAGGAGCTGATCGCGCTAGGGGGAATGTATCGCAAGATGTGTGAGGCGCAGAACTTGGATTAGGATGGTGACTAGGAGGTAGATACTGCCTTGATGTCACCGCGAGAGGTGAATAATAATTAGACAAGGGGTCAGCTTTGTAATAATATATACCAACTTCGAGCTCAATCCGCCATTACGTACACGCAACACTGTTCTTCCCCAGAGGGCGACAACACAAGCCACAGAAGTGCCCACGTTTCAGCTGTCCATGTGAATAGTTGAGAGTCTTAAGTCTCCGATATCGCGGCTGGAAGTGCTACCGAGTGTCCGTTGCAAACCCGGGTCAGTCCTCGGCTCTGAATGCTGTCCCAACAGGCAAAGACTAATCCAAGATGGGTCAAGTACCACTTACCTACCTCCTCAAGGGGAGAAAGTCCCCTCCGTTTACGTAGTAACTGGCTTACCTGCGTATCGAAACTTGGATCTACTACGGCCGGTAGAGACACTAATTCAGTCTGCTCCCGCGCGTGTGTTCATTCACATAGTACGACAGCCACGTAGTTCCTTATTGTCATCGGCGGATGGACTTTGGGAACTTTCAAGAGCCAGATCGCAGCACAGAGCGCATTGGACCGCCTTCTGAGACGCACCCCGAAGGCTCGAACTTTTGTAGAGCATGGCAGAGACTTGAGATTCTCGATATAAAATACTGGGCCGGCTGCAGAAGCCGCGGGGTCTCGCCACATGTGATGCCGGAGACCGATGGAGACACCTTGCCATCAAGGTACTTGTGCAGGTACCGATCTATTGTCTGTCTCCACAGAACAGAGACCCAAAACCCTCCGGGGGTTCACTGCATGACACAAAGGGCAAACAGTGAGTGGACGCAACGAGATGTGGATTTCCCGCTCTCGGCGATGAGGGTTCAGCTTCGGTCTGCTGGTGATCGAATCAAAGGCCTACTGTTACCCATACGCACCAAGTAAAGAGGGCTCGAAATGGCGTTCGAAGGCGACTCGCATCTCCGAAGCTCCGAGCACGGCATTCGAAACGGTGGCCAATCAAGTGGGGCAGATTACAGAGCCACGCAGCTGCCCGGTTGTAACCGTCTCGAGGGAAGACCCCCTCACAAAGTCATTCAACGGTGGTTGATCTCCGGGTGCCATGTGGGATGAATCAGCCACGCATATTCATGTTATGTGATGAGTCGTATAGTTTGCACACGGATCCATGCCGGCAGTCGCGGAACGGTTATGAGGGTGGCCGGCGGGGCTTATTGTCGAACCATGGGAGGCCGGATGCGGGCGGCATGGAGGCGGGAAGGAGATGGATGTCGCGATCTTGCCCCTCATGGATGCGGGGTTGGCGTGACAGCGGCACTCCTTGTCCGGGAGCGGGGTACTCTGGTTGGTCAGGTACGATTCCTGATGCCCATCGGACCCCTCCAAAGATACCTGGTATTTATCAGTCGCCTCTCGTTGCCCCTTCTCGTCCCTTCTTCCCTCTCCCCAACTGGCTTGTATCTCTTCCAGGCCATATATCCTTCGGTACCTAGTGCCAAACTTTCCTCGTCGACGAACAACACCAATCAACCGACACCATGGGCGAGTGTCCTGTCAACCATGCCAACATCGCCGGCGGTGGCACCAGGAACAACGACTGGTGGCCCAACCAGCTGCGGCTTAACATACTCCGTCAGCACCAGCCAGCGTCAAGCCCGTACAACAAGGAGTTTGACTATGCCGCGGCCTTCAAGTCGCTCGACTATGAAGCGCTGAAGAAGGATATCAAAGCGGTCATGACCGACTCCCAGGATTGGTGGCCGGCCGACTTCGGTCACTACGGGGGTCTTTTCGTCCGCATGGCGTGGCATAGCGCCGGCACTTACCGTGTCTCCGATGGCCGCGGTGGCGGCAGCCAAGGCCAGCAGCGGTTCGCGCCGCTGAACAGCTGGCCCGACAACGTCAGTCTCGACAAGGCGCGCCGCCTGTTGTGGCCCGTCAAGCAAAAGTACGGCGACAATATCTCATGGGCCGACTTGCTTCTCCTCACAGGCAACGTCGCCCTCGAATCCATGGGCTTCAAGACGTTTGGTTTCGCCGGCGGCCGCCCCGACACTTGGGAGGCGGACGAATCGGCCTACTGGGGAGGCGAGAAGACATGGCTCGGCAATGATGTCCGCTATTCCCATGGCAAGGAGGGCGTCGCCGGGGAAGGGGTCGTGGATGGTGACGAGTCCGGCAAGGGCCACCGGGACATCCACTCCCGCGACCTCGAATCCCCGCTTGCCGCCGCCCACATGGGTCTCATCTACGTCAACCCCGAGGGCCCCGATGGCATCCCCGACCCCGTTGCGGCCGCCAAGGACATCCGTACCACCTTTGGCCGCATGGCCATGAACGACGAGGAGACGGTCGCGCTCATCGCCGGCGGCCACACTTTCGGCAAGACACACGGCGCTGCCCCCGCAGTCAACGTCGGCCAAGAGCCGGAAGCAGCTCCCCTGGAGCAGCAGGGTCTCGGCTGGAGCAACAAGCATGGGTCGGGCAAAGGAGCAGACACCATCACCAGCGGCCTCGAGGTCATCTGGACCAAGGAGCCGACCAAGTGGACCCATAACTTCTTCGAGTACCTCTTCAAGTTCGAATGGGAGCTTACCAAGAGCCCCGCTGGCGCGAACCAATGGGTGGCCAAGAACAGCGAGGCCATCATCCCCGACCCCTTCGACCCCAGCAAGAAGCACTTGCCTCGCATGCTCACTACCGATCTGTCGCTGCGGTTCGACCCGGAATACGAAAAGATCTCGCGCCGCTTCCTGGAGAACAAAGACCAGTTTGCCGACGCATTCGCGCGCGCCTGGTTCAAGCTCCTGCACCGCGACCTCGGGCCGCGCTCGCGCTGGCTTGGCCCGGAGATCCCCAGCGAAGTGCTCATCTGGGAGGATCCCGTCCCGGCGGTCAACCACCCGCTGGTCGACGAGCAGGACGTTTCCGCGCTCAAGCGCGACATCCTCGCCACCGGCGTTGCCCCTACCAAGCTGATCTCGACCGCTTGGGCGTCTGCTTCGACCTTCCGCGGTGGTGACAAGCGCGGTGGTGCCAACGGCGCCCGCATCCGCCTGGCACCGCAGAAGGACTGGAAGGTCAACAACCCCCCACAGCTGGCCGAGGTTCTAAAGGCACTCGAGGGCGTGCAGGCCAAATTCAACGGCGCCGCCCAGGGAGGCAAGAAGGTATCGCTGGCGGACCTGATCGTACTTGGTGGTGTCGCGGCACTGGAGCAAGCCGCTGGTGTCGCCGTCCCCTTTACCCCGGGCCGCACCGACGCCTCGCAGGAACAGACCGAAGTCGAGTCCTTCGAGCACCTCGAGCCGCGTATCGACGGCTTCCGCAGCTATGGGCGGGGGACATCCCGTGTCTCGACCGAGCAGTTCCTGGTTGACCGTGCCCACCTGCTGACCCTGACGCCGCCCGAGCTGGCTGTGCTCATCGGTGGCCTGCGCGTGCTCGGGACCAACTACGACGGGTCGTCCAATGGTGTGTTCACAACGCGCCCCGGCAAGCTGACCAACGATTTCTTCGTCAACCTGCTGGACATGGGCACGGCGTGGAAGTCGGTCGACGGCGAGGTGTTCGAGGGCAGCGATCGCAAGACGGGCGAGAAGAAGTGGACTGGCACGCGGGCCGACCTCGTGTTCGGTGCGCACGCGGAGCTACGGGCCGTCTCCGAGGTGTATGGCAGCACGAGTGGGCAGGACAAGTTCGTCAAGGACTTTGTCGCGGCGTGGAACAAGGTGATGAACCTCGACCGTTACGATCTCGCCCAGGCTGGAGCGTCGGGACCGAAGCTGTAGGTTGATGATTTCGGCACTTGGAAGCACGAGTAGTTAGCAATCCACCCGAATGCTTGATTCAAAATTTGGGCCGTGCTGCGGGACATTTGCAATGTGTGATGCAACGACGAAATGGAAGAATTTGGGAAATGGGTTCAGCTGTGCGCGTCTCAACTTCGTGGGACCCACAAGAGCTCCCCGAATGTTCCCCACCTTCCAAGTTCCCCGCGACGCGCCGACGCCAGTTCTCCAGCTTCCCTGAAGCGCCGGACTCTGTATGGAAGCCCTTCCTCATCCATGGATGCCGCCCGCTTTCGAGCGGCTTGTTGCATCTCCATAATGGCGATCTGAACGTCGCGATGTTCAGTAACTGCGACCTCATGCGTGTGTTTAATCCGAATACAGACCGCATCGACCTTCTGACGCAATGCAATCCGTTTTATCCCCGCCCAGACCAAGTCCACCCTCGCACGAGACAACATGTCGGATAACCTGGAAACACCCCCGAATTTGTCGACACCTTGACGGTTCCGGTTTCTTCACCGAAGGCCGGCATTGCTCTCGGGGCTAGGGAATGTTGCGGCTTAATAAGAGATGGGAAATGGGAAGACATCTGGATGAGCCGTAGGCGCGAGAGCTCGTTTGGCAGACGATCTGCTCCCGCCCGGTATTCGGTGCGAACGCTTGAAGTCCAGTGTCTACCTCGTGCTTCTGTATGTTGCACAATATTTCCGGCGTTGTATTCTTACTCCTACCCATTTCTACCTCGCTAGTCTCGGGACCTCCAGCAGACTCGGGAGTGCGTTACTGATGTGCTTCTCTAGGAGCGCACCGTATGTCGACACCCCTCCGGGAAGTTCGCGGATAAGCTCTCTGAAGTACGCGATGTTCTCCAACCCCGTTCCACTTTTGTCCGTTGCCGGCACCCGAGAGAGCACATCTATCATCGCACAGGCAACATCGAAAATCTTCTCGTTGATACCGACGCCGTGAATCCTAATGCTCTCGAGCGACATGCCCCGGATAACACCAGCCAGCTCCTCGCCCACCTCGACCGGATATCGGAACGTTAGGTGGCCTGGCACCCCAGGTTCCTCTACCAACAGCCCTAGGCGCAGTCGCAGTTGCCACAGGGTGACCAGCAGCCAGAGCTGAGTTACTCTGAGGTTGGCCAGCTGTGTTTCGCAAAGTACACTCGTGTGCCGCGGTTCGAGAGCGCCGCGGATGGCGACCTGAATAGCGTCTAGCGGAGACAAGAGCCCCGGCAAGAAGACGGTGTTTTCCTGGTTGAGCAGGGCAAAAAAGACTGTATCCAGCGGACGAAAGAGGGCCACCAATCGTTGCAACCCGGGCACGGTTGCATCTAGCTCAGCATCGGCGTCAAGGTCAGGCCCCGATGGGATGACCTGCAATGTGACAGGGCGACGATATCGGATTCCGTGCGAGCGCTCCGACACCAGGATTACCCAAAAGAGTCTGTTGGCCAATCTGCGCCTAAGGATGTCGCTTTCGCTGATGCGCAACACGAGCCACATGGTTGCAGCTTCTCGAAGGAAGTAGAAACCCTGGCTGTGGTGGAAGAGTGACGCGTGACCGGCATAAAGGAAGAAGGTGGCGAGAACACGCTCCAGGCTCGGATTGAATCCCGAAGACATGTGGTTGCGAGCAACCATCGCGTCCTCGAAAAGGAGCTCTCCAAGTTTTCTGTTCGAGTGTAGGATCCCGTCGGCTTCGAACAAGTGCTGGCTGGGCTCTTCGACTTGTATCAGAACGACTGCACAAACAGCCGTGATTAGACACTGGGCTTCGACCCCTCCTAGGGATTCCGCCTCGGTCGCCACCAACTCAACATACTCAGGACTCAGTATGGGGATGGTCGGATACAGCTTGGCAAAAAAGCGACGGAAGCAGTACCCGACAACAGGCGCCGGGGGAAGACTCCGCCGCTGCGGCTGTGTCGCCAGCGGCGTAGCGTGGACGGTTTCCGGCGAGAGGCTTTCTGGGAGCTGTGGGAACGACCAGTTCCCATCCACAGGCTGCTGCTGTACGTGTCCTTCGTTTCGAACGCACTCCGCCTCCAAGCCGACTCGAGTGCATCGCTGACATGGCCGGGATTCGCTGCAACCCTTCTGCAACCTCTTGCACCTCTGGCATGCTTTCGAGACTTGTGCTCTCTTGGGCCGCGGGACAGCGCTGGCCCCTGAGACGGCTGCGTTCCTGGACGGGCTGCTCATTCTGTGGTCCGTAAACCGGCCTGTCTGCATAGGGTTGTCCCGAGTTCCAGTAGCGCTGGGGTAAAATGCGGAGAGCCGGGAAGCTTGGGGTCACCTAGCCTTTTACGGGAACACGCAGGGCACTAGGTCCACTCGCCGAATCCGCCAAGCCCCTGTGACAATTTGAGGAGCTCGCGGCGCGACTTGTCAAGGCCCCGTTTCACCATGAATAGTAGGGCAGTCGGGCGGTTCTGGTTAAACGGCTGGGCATGTTTACATCACAGTCCCCATGCTCTCATTCCTTATGTACTACAGCACATCAAGGTTTGAAGTTGAGGTACACTCTTCCTTCCCAAGGCTTCAGTCGGTCACTCTCCAGCGCCGACTTTCCCGACCTCAGAGTGCTCACAAGCAAACGTTCCTCCCCCGTGCAGCACCCTAGCGCATCGCTAATGTCAGGGCATTGCTGAGCATAGCGGGTGAAGTTCATCACCACCAGAGCTTTCCTCTTCCCCCCCTCCCCTCCAGTGTTGACCTCCACATCGCTTTCCTTGACATACATGAAGAGAGCCTCATCCTCAGGGGCCAAGAGTCGAAACGTCCCATGGATGAAAATGTCTCGATACTCCTTCCGGAGCCTCAGTGCTTTTCCATAAAACCGCAGAACAGATTCAGCGTCTTCCAGCTGGCTCGCAGCGTTCAGCTCTCGATACTGGTCATGCACCTTCATCCAGGGCGTGACGCCGGCGCCTGTAAATCCCGCGTTGGGAGAGTCGTCCCATTGGAACGGCAGTCTCGAGTGGTCCCTGGCTAATATCCGCAGGCCATGCAGCGTCCCCCGAACACGCTCGTCGTCACGAGACTGGACTGCCTCGTTATAGAAGCCCAGGCTCTCCACATCCTTATACTCCTCGATGCCCCAGCCTGTCGGCATGTTCCGCATACCGATCTCTTGCCCCTGATACAAGAACAAGGTTCCTGTCAACGTGGCTTGCCACAAGGCGATCACCTTGGCACTGGCCTCCCACAACTCTGGGGTGCTGTCATCCCCAAACCGCGACACGGCCCGTCCATTGTCGTGGTTCTCACAGAAGACAGTGTGCCAGCCGTCGGTCCCCTCGATGAAGGTTTGCCACGTTGCCACATGCTGCTTGAGAAGCGATAGCGGGAACGGCTGGTAGATGTACTTGCCGTGAAACAGGTTGCCGGTTCCCAAGCGGATCATGCTGAACTCGAACACCATGTCCAACTCTCGTGCCGCAGCTGAGACATACGGGAGTACCTGCCCCGGCAGGGGTGTGTTAGAAAGCTCGCCGACGGAGACGGCTTTGTATGGCGCGAGCACCTGCGTCTGCATCTCGTGGATAAACTCGTGGATTCGTGGGCCGTTGCACCACATCTCCGGCGCCGGCTGGTGCGGAACGGTCGGACAGGTGACAGGCGCGTCTGGGAAGTCGATGCGCTTGGAATATTTGTTCACCGTGTCAATGCGGAACCCATCAATCCCCCGATCCAGCCAGAAACGCATCGCTTCCTCATATATGGCTGCGCGGCAGTCGGCATTCTCCCAATTGAGGTCCGGTTGGAAGGGGCCGTACAGATTCAGGTAATATTCCTGCGTCTGCTCATCCCAGGTCCATGTTGAGCCGGCGAAATAACCGCGCCAGTTAGTCGGTGGGCTGCGGTTCCCGGCACTGTCGTACCTGGGCGGCTTCCAGAAGTACCAGTCGCGTTTGGGGTTGGTTTTGGACGACCGGGCCTCTTTAAACCACGGGTGCTGGTCTGACGTGTGGTTCACCACGAGGTCAAGAATGAGCTTCATGCCACGGCTGTGACAGGCTTCGGTGAGCTGGTCAACGTCCTCGAGGGTCCCGTATCGTGGATAAACGGCCTGGTAGTCCGATATGTCGTATCCCATGTCTTTCTGTGGACTCTCGAACATTGGGGATAACCAAACGACGTCAACACCCAGCTGGTGAAGATAGTCGATCTTCGAGATGAGGCCCGGGATGTCTCCCCAACCGTCACCGTTGGAGTCTGAAAAGCTGGCCGGGTAGACTTGGTAGAAGACAGCATCCTTCCACCAAGGCGTCGTGCCGGCCCAGCCGTTTGGGTGATGGAAAATATTAGATCCCATAATCACGGGGGGGGGTAATGTGAGAGGGTCACCAGTCGCCGGTCACCTTTCCGACGTGATGTTTGGAAAGACAATGTCAAATTACCACGGAGAACGGTCTACAATGGCGGCCGAGGTTGATATTGTTTCCGCGAGGCGGTCCTCACGAATCAGCCCCGCATACTCCCGAGGCGGTTTGCCAGGGCAAGGTGGGCGGACAGGTCGGACTCCCATTGTTGGCGGGGCGTTCCGACACCCTTGTCCCACCCAACCGGCGGACATACGTAGCGGGCTTCACAGCCAGCCTCGCCCCCGGCCCTCTCACTTCATACGCGGCGGGGTAAGGACAGGGCAAGTACAAGCACGTGGAAGGAAAATATATTCCCGAATTGGATTCGACATGTACACAGGTATCTCGTAAAAAAATGGGAAGACAAAAGAAAAAGAAAACAAACCCCCACCTGTTTTTCTTCCCCAGACTTTTCTGGCCAATTGTGTGCAACAAACTCCGCCTCTGCTTCCGACACCCTTGTTCCATCGGCAACGGCATCAGCGCCAAGTGGCCGAGTCCACAGTTCTTTTCTTCCTTTCGAGGCCCGTTTGACAAGCTTTCCCCCGTGAAATCTAGATCAGGGTTGCTACAACGGCTGCAACAACATCCACTCGATTAGGCGTGAGAAGGTAGCTTTTCCCCAGAAATGAATGAGTGACTTTCCTGGTTTTGGTACGCTGGCCGATTTGGCCAGGGTGCTGCTCCAAGTGACAGGAACACCAAAGTGATCAAACCCCGCAGATTATTCCCCCTTCCCCCCCCCCCCCCCCCGGTTCCCCCGGCCATTGCCGAGGACACTTTACATACTTGACCACTTGCGGGCCGGCCCATGAACACTCACAGACGTCCCATTACGCCGACCAGGATAAATATCCCACCCATTACCACGGTCCCGAGCTCTCGGGTACCTTCTCTCACCCGCACCATCAACTTTTTTTAAACTTCCATCCTTCTGTGTTCAACAGTTCCCAACAGCATGGCAGAGGTCAAAGCACCACCGCTCTCCGGCGGTCCTCCTCCGGAAAAAGCGGCCGGTGACCCTACTCTACACGGTCACGGCGTCGTAGCTGTCGAGGCAAAGCACGCGTCGGACAAGGAGCACCAGATGTCACTCTTCCAAGCCATCAAACTTTACCCGAAAGCCATCGGCTGGTCAGTGTTAGTGTCATCCACCATCATAATGGAAGGTTATGACCTTGCTCTGCTCGGAAACCTCTATGCCTCACCGGTGTTCAACAAGAAATTCGGCCAGTATGATGCGGCGGCGGGCAAATATGTCATCTCGGCGGCATGGCAATCCGGTCTGTCAAACGGGGCGAGAGCAGGGGAGATCTTAGGCCTCATCTTTGCCGGCTGGACTTCGGATCGCTATGGTTACAAGATGACCACCATTGGATCATTGATTCTGATGATCTGCTTCATCTTTGTCTTATTCTTCGCACCCAACGTTCAGGTCCTGGTGGCCGGCGAGGTCTTGTGTGGTGAGTTCAGCAACTCGGTTCCATCCTGAGCGTCTTAATAACAGTAAATTGCCAGGTATCCCATGGGGAGCTTTCCAGAGCGTGACAGCTGCGTATGCCTCTGAGGTTGCACCCCTTCCACTTCGCCCGATCCTCACAACCTTCATCAACCTGTGCTGGGTTATCGGACAATTCTTCGCCGTTGCTGTCAACAAGGGGTCCGTGGAGCGCAACGACGACTATGCCTACAAAATCCCGTTTGCGGTCCAATGGGTATGGCCCGTCCCAATTCTGGCCGGCATGCTTTTTGCTCCCGAGTGAGTTGAGCCCCCTCCATGCCCCTATTCTCCAACCAAATACTAAGCAGTACTTATTTCTACAGATCTCCTTGGTGGTACGTCAGACATGGCAGGCGGGAGGAAGCGAAGAAGTCTTTGTTGCGCTTAACATCGCGCAATCAGCCTGGCTTTGACGTCGACGAGACCGTCGCCATGATCGAGCATACCAACGAGCTTGAGAAGAAGGTCAAGGACGGTGTTCGCTTCCGCGATTGCTTTCAGGGCATTGACCTCCGCCGGACCGAAATTGTCGTCGGTATCTGGCTCGTTCAGACATTGGGAGGGCAAAATCTAATGGGGTATTTTGCTTACTTCCTGTGAGTATTACACTACGCCTGCGCATTCACCCATATTAGCTTGCTTTAATCCTTGCTAATATTTGACAGCACCCAAGCCGGCATGGACGCCAGCAACTCCTTTACCCTGTCGCTCTGCCAGTACGCGCTCGGCATCATTGGGACTATCGGGTCCTGGTTTCTCATGTCTCGGGTCGGTCGCAGGACGATCCATTTTAGTGGATTATGTGCGCAGCTTACCCTGCTGGTTATCGTGGGCTGCCTGTCGTTCGGCAACACCAAGGCATCCGTATGGGCTATCGGTGCGATGCTAATTGTCTTCACCTTCGTCTATGACTTCGCGGTTGGTCCCGTCACCTATTCCCTCGTTTCTGAGTTGTCATCGACACGACTCAAAGCCAAAACCATCGTGCTGGCACGCGCGGGATACAACGCCAGCAACATCTTTGTCAACGTTATGACCAACTACCAATTAGGTTCTACCGCATGGAACTGGGGCGCCCGAACGGCCTTCTTCTGGGCGGGTTCATGCTTGCTGTCCGCGGTTTGGGTCTTCTTCAGGTTACCGGAACCGAAGGGTAGAACATATGCTGAGTTAGACCTGCTATTTGAGCAGCGGGTGCCGGCAAGAAAGTTCGCGGTAACAAAAATCGACCCGTTCGCTCGCCCTGGCGAAAAGAGGCTGTCGGGCGAAGTGGTAGAGCACGTGGAGAAAGAGAGGCCCGTTTAAGTCAAATTGGACGATTATGATTCGGGGGGTACTCAGGGTCTTTCCATTGGAAGGTCGGTTGTTCTTTTACTCTAATGTCACAGTTCGTGTTGCAGGGTTATGTGCAAAGGCGTTGTTTAATTAGGTAGGTACCCAAGCACCTCATGGACAAAAAAAGCCGAACTCCAAGTGCAGATGTCGGTAATGGAAACTTCGAGTCCTCGGCTGGAGGGATATAACGAAAGTTATCCTGAAGCCTAAAGAAACTCTATTCACCCTATTTCCTTTTCTTTTGCCCTCTTCTTTTTATTTGACTTAGTTTTCTCGATCTCTTTTCATTTGTTCTTTTTGCTTGATTTCTTGCTTTCCTTTCGAGTTCGGCGTTTTTTTAGCTAGAGGGTAGTGGTACCTCGGTAACTCGTAACCCAGTAGGCGACAGGCAACTCTCTAGAAAAGACACACCTGTTGATTACTATTACCACCTTAATAGAACCAAATCCCTACTGAAGTGGCGATACACCTCAAAACCACACATACCACCAAACACTTGCAGTAGGTTACGTACCACGCGCGCGCGTTGTAATGTCAATGTTATATAAGGGAGGAATTGGCTCAGAGAACAGTCTTCAACACCACAAATCCTACAACCGTAGAATCAATGCACCTATATAGTATAGCCTTCTGGTTAGAAGGCCGCGGTTACAACTACTGTAAAAAGAAGTTACTTTAATAAATACAGAAAAAGAAATAGAATTGTATACTCTATAAACTCTAAAAGGGCTTAAGCCTCTAACTAAATATAAGGATGCCCTAGGCGGATAAATATAACGAAGAAACGGAAAAACGAAATTCCAGACCCTATATCCCTCTAGTTAGAGGGAGCTCGTTACCCTAGTTTATACTTCCCTTTTAAACTTATAATAGCTCCTACCTATAAGTTCGAATCTAATCCTCCTAACCGTTATACTATATACGCTCTATGTATAATACTAGGTCCTATAGGTAACGATTATACTATATAGATATATCTGTTACTTCCCTTCTTATAAGAGCCTAACCCTACTACTATACCGGATATTTAGGTTCTAAATAATAGGTAGGTAAGCTATAGTAATTATAGATAGAGGGCTGCTCGAAACCTAGTTCTAGATTCTCTAGACTAGCTATATATATTAAATTATATATTCTTATAGTTTTATCATTCCTCTACTATCTAGAGGGTACTACTACTAATCGAATATTAAGTTAAGAAGATCGTTAAACTATAGGGCTAGAGGTCCGAGGTAGTTAAGGTATAGACAGTTATAATATAGGTAGCTACAGTACTAGCAGTATTAATAGGAGTATCTACCGGGTAGCGGCTAGCCTTATATTCTCAACTACTTTATAATAATTATAAACTACCTTTCAGAGCTTCTCGCTCTAGCTTTTAACTTTATATCTGATCTACCAGAGATAGATACCAACCTCCTTACCTACTCTAAGGCTTATAGTCCAAAGTACCTTACCTAGATTAGGGGTATTATAGTACTCCTTACTTTAGGTTCGGCTAAGAACTGGGGTACTACTAAGAGAGATAAGAGCCGAATCCTTCTAGTTAGAGCTACCCGGCAATATATCTTTATTACCGAGCTTATTTAATACTTTAGTAATTAGTTTAGGTAGGTTATTAAACCGGTTCTTCTTTAAGAATTTCGGTAATCTAACTAAGTTTTACCCTAAAGTAGCTAATATCTCCTTAGCTCCTACCTTTAGAGTTACCTACCTAGATAGTCTAACTAGTATATCTGGGAATATAGAGGTTAGCTATATAATAGCTATTTTATTATTATCTAGGCTACTTTTACTTTTAGATCCTTTCTATTATCTTTAAGTTAAGGATATAAACTATCCTTTAATATCTAGAGGTAAGTTATCTCTCTATTATAGAGTAACCTAACTAGGAGATATCTAGACTCTAGTATTATAGAGGTTACTGTTTTTATAGTTATCCTATACTACCTTAATGTAGAGTAGGTAGGTAGAGGTATTACTTAGAGCTACCCTAATAACCTTAAGCTATTTACTTAGTATTTTAGTTTAGGCCTTCTCTCTAGCTAGTTTATAGTAAGGCCGGGTTATATACTAATTAGTATTTATAGTATAATCCTAATAGGTTCTAATATCTTAGAAGAAGAATCGGGTAAATTTAACTATTTAGATTCTATACTCTTAGTTTTATAACTATATTAGGTAGTTAACTATTCGGATATCTAGCTAAACAATCCCTCCTAAATATTTAATAGCTATAAAAATCGCCCCTTTAATACTAACGATATTACTATAAAGGCTATAGTCCTTAAAGTCTATATAGTAATAGGATCCTTATATCTAGTTATAGATTATAACTAACTAGTAAGCTTCTTCTATATTTCTATTAAGGTAGTAGAGGATTATCTAAAACCGCTTTATTCTAGCTTCTTCTAAGAGTTCTTCCTTAAGCTATAGAACCTCTGCTAGTTAGAGGTTGTTAGCAATAGGCTTAGGAAAGAGGAAGATATAATACTAATAGTAAGCTAGAGAAAGATATAGGAGGGCTATAATACTGGTCTAGTCTAACTATCATTTCCTAATAATCTATCCCTTAATATTATAGAGAGATAGTATAATATTATATTAGAGTAGATTAAAGTAGTAGGCCCCTCTAGATAGAGGGCCCTTATAGTTAGGAAATAACCAGCTTATTACTTCTTTATTATATACCAATCCTAGCAGTATTCTAAGCTAGTTAGGCCTACTAGCCTCAATTATTAGTATATATCCTATATACTTATTTAGTATTAGTAGGACTCTCTTATTATTTATTGAGATTTAGGTGGGTGAGGCCCTGTAGTACACGCACTGACAGGGCTTACAATGCACTTTAGGGAAGCAATGCACAGTACTATTGCTTAGCTACCAGCAGTAATTACAGGGCCTAGGCCCTGTAACAGTGGTTAATTTAGTGGGTAGACCACTATTGTTTTGGGAATGCCTCTATATTTGCTATCTTAACCACTGGAGTTGGATTTACTACTTCCTTCTCATATACCTACCGACCGGGGCGCAGTGCCGAATTCGGCCTAGCGGTCTTAGTGGTAAAAAACTGAATCCCGCAAAACTCATTTGTATGGGTTTAACTAAAAATGGGCTTACCTACTCGCAGCCGCACCCAGAAGTGCCCGGGCCTACTTGTACTACTACTTTAAAAACCGGTGTAGGGTAGGCCGGTTGGGGCCAAGCGGTGTAGGGTAGGCCGCTTAGGAGCCAACTACCGGTGTAGGGTAGGTTGCTTGGGATGCTAAGAGGTGCAGGGTAGGCCGGTTGGGAACAACCGGGTGCAGGGTAGCTCGCTTGGGAAACCCAGGTGCAGGGTAGGTGCAGGGTAGCTCGATTCGGGAGAAACCAACACTTAGTAAAAAGAAGAACCAACCTTCTTCAAACTAAGATAGCTAGCCACCCAGTAATCGTACCGCTACAACCAAGATACCAGTATATAGCTACAGGCTATACGAATTCAATTACAGTACTGTAGAGCCCCCTAGATAGCCACAGCACTAGTAATCTGAACTCTAGGGTTCAATACCCCCTCTTTGTAGGCCTATATGCTTAGTGGAGTATAGAAGGTTTAAACCTTAGCTATACTAGCGAAGAGAATAAAAAAGATTAACTAACTAAACTAAAACTAAAGAACTATAGTAGTTAGATACTATTTACAGGCTTTTCTAGCTGTTGAAGCTATATAAAAAGGACTAAATTACAGGACCAATTTTAACACTATTTACAAAGGGAAGAAATAGTAGGGAATGGATAGGCTGTTATAGTGGGTGGTCTAATCTAATAACCACTATAAATACCTCGGCTTCTTTAGACCTAGTAGGTCTATAAACGCCCTAAAGAGTTAGCTCACTAAAGCCTTTATAAGCCCATCGGCCGGTATACGTTTAGTATCAAGAAAACTAATGGAAACTAAGCCCCCTCTGACCTTCTTACGCACATAGTGGAATTTCAGCAGTGTATGCTTAGTTCTACTATATAGAGCTGGGTCATAGGCTGTAGTTATAGAGCCAGTATTATCCTTAAATATAGGCACTGGGCCTATAATTGGGCGCTCTAATTCCTTAAAGAAATCCATTAGCTACTGAGACTCCCGTATAGCCTCTGTAAGTATATCGGTTTCGGCTTTAACTGTTGAAAGAGCTATAGTAGAAGCCCGTTTCGATTTCTAGGTTACAGGTCCACCAGCTAATTTAAATAAATAGCTGTAAGTGGATTTAGACGTTTCTTTATCGCCTGTATAGTCGCTATCTGAAAAGCCTACTAATTGTAGGCTCTTTGCCCCCTCTAAAAGAGTATTTACTATATCCTTTTTAGTAGGACTATAATAAATAGCTAAATCCTTACTACCGTTTAGATACCGGAGTAGGTTTTTAGCGGTATTAAGATGCTCTATAGTAGGGCCCTATATAGCTCGTAAGAGCTACTGTACCGTAAAGGCTATATCTGGCCTTGTTAGGAGCATTAGGTACATTATAGTGCCTACTATCTTCTGGAATAGTTTGTGGTCGGACCTATTTATAGGGCTGCCTTTACTAGATATATTAGATTTATAACTAGTAATTCCTGGTTATAGGGGTATAGAGATTGATCGACTAGAATCCAACCTGAATATCTTTAAAGCTTCTTCGATATACTGTTTTTAATGGATATATAGTGTTCTCTTTTCTCTAACCCTCTCTATTTGAACTCCTAGGAAAAAGGCTGCCGGGCCTCTATCTTCTATAGTATAGACCTTGTTAAAACGACGTTTAAAGGCCTATATTTTCTTAATATCAGGCCCTATAAGAAGGCAATCGTCAATATAGGTAACTATAAAGATCCTAGTAGTAGGATTATAGAAGATAGCAGAGTCTGAAACTAGTGGTTCGAAGCCTTCCTTTCTTAGTAAAATACTAAGATTAGTTTGCTACAGTCTAGGACTCTGTTTTAGGCCGTATAGGGCCTTAGAAAGAAGTATAACTTAGTCCTCCTTAGGGTTATATCCTTGCTTCTTTAGTAGAGCCTTAGTGGATTTTGAGGCCTTACAAGCATAGTCTATAAAACCGTCTGGAATTTGCATATAGTTTTCTTCTTCTAATTCCCCATTTAAAAATACCCCTATAAAATCGATTTGTTCGATTTCCCAGTCCTCTATAGCTGCTATAGCCAGTAGGATACACTACGAAGGTGGTATAGTAGTAGAGGTAAAGGTTTCGTTGAAATCTAAACCTTCAATTTATTGAAATCCTCTAACTACTAATCTAGCCTTATATTTGACAATTTGGTTATCCTTATTTTTCTTTACCTTAAGGACTAACCGGCTAGTTAACAG